GCGAGACCCTTGTTACTCGCAACGCTCGCATGAAGCGCAAAAGCGACGGCGATAGCCTTGCAACGAGGGCTAATAGGGCAAGTTCAAAGCGTCGCGCTGTGTCTCTAAGCCCTCGTCCCTCTCGAACGGCTAGTCCTGACCTGCCAGAGTCATCAGAGTCGCCAGAGTTGCCGCCGAGACTAAGTATTGAGGAGGACATTATGTCGCAAGCACAGGAAGCGTTAAATCTTCTTAATGAGGATGATAAAGTCTCGTCTATATCTAGCAATGCTAGAGAAGACGATAAAGAGAAGGGGGAGACGTCAATGCAAGCCCCTCCGTCGGCGCAACCTGGTTATCGATCGAATACTTCGCCGCATACCGCGGAGAATGACTTAAGCCTAACTGATACGGACTCTATTGAATCAGTATTTGAGATTGATAAACTTTTCTATGATATCGCCATAGAAATCTTTATTAAGAAGGTTAAGATCCTTAGTACGGAAGTATCATGTCGGGGTTTTGATATTGTCGACACACTCCTTGAGTATAAAGGTCAACTTGAGTATCAATATAACGACTACAATCGAAAGACTCATGAATTACGCCCCCCTGTCTTCGGGGGCGAGTTCACAATTAAACAAGGTAATAAAAAGCTTTATTCCTTGACTATGAAGACTCAGGAACACTTTGAGAAGGCCTGTCAAAAGTGGTGGGAGCTTCATCATGCTCGAAAAGATGGCCGTAAGAGTAGGACTGAACTTAGTGCGCATTTGGCACTAGTATACTCGATTGTTGAGAAGCCAAAACGACGTCGACCAACTAGTCGACATGGCTCATTTAGTGAGGACGTTTCGACATCGTCATTATCTCATGATGATGTCTCCTCAAGCCGTCATCTTGACTCGACCCAAACACGTCGCTATCGCAAGGAAAAGGCTAGGAATAAAAGGTCAAAGGGTAAGGTAATCTCCGCAACACAACAACAGCGAGAAGAAAAACAACTCCAGGCACAAAAAGAGGCCGCCGCCGGAGTAAGCTTCCTTGATATCTCAAAGAGACATTATTGCAAGTTAAAGAATTGCAAGAATTACTCTCGTCTATGCGTTGATCATGGAGGACAGCATTTTCCTCTATCCACGCCATTAGTTCAGCGTTGGAGCGATATGATTGCAAAGAAGGCTCCTGGTGTGACGGCTGACCAGGTGCCGGACGCGATCATGGTGGCCCTTCTCTCAGAACGGAACAGGAACGAGAAACGCTACGATGCTATGCATCAACCTCCGCCTATTTACCCGCCAAACTATATGCATCCGTTCGTGCTTAATATTGGAGGAATCCCGTCGACGAGTCACCTGGCACAACCTCCCGCACACGTCTATCAACCTCCGCCGTTGACAGCCGCCGCCGCCGCCGCCGTCACTGGGCCTCGATCAAGCCCTCCACAACGAGAGGGTGACGACGATCAGAACATGCAGGAGTACTTTAATTGGCTAGCGACTAAATATCCTATTCATGCGTCCAAGTTACTAGAGATTAAGCTCTCTGTTGCGGATCATGGATGGGGCTTCTCTGATCTACGAACATGTACAGATGAACATTGGAAGGCTATGACTGTTCCGGCTGGTTTTGTGACTAAAATCCGCAATAACCTCAAGGAATTTGCGCGTTTAGCTATAACAAGTGGAGACGGTTTCAATGATAGTACAAATGGACGTCCGGTGAGTGTTATATCGTCAGGGAATAGCAGTCAATGAGGGCTTGTTGCATAACTCGGTGTGGTGTTAGAATTATTTTGCGTGTTGCTATCTCACACTATACCTATTATGGCATATGGCTTAGCCAATTATAGTTAGCGTGATCACGTGGTAGCTATATTTGCATAACCTCAAGAATAGACAGATCAAGGTATATAGACTAGGCTTATTATTGCAGGATGAGATGCCTATAGCCCCTTCTTTTTTTATCTATTCTCTGCTAGTTACTATGCCTCATCAAATATAGCCGCATCTGCGGAAGTAATTATGAGCTGTCTCGGCCTCACAGACACTAGTCATTGCTAGATGAATGAAGGTATCAAAGCTATTCTCATAACAATAGCCTAGTTCTCTATTCTTTCGCATCCACTCCTTTAACTCGTGAAATGACATCTCAATTGGATTGAGCTCTGGAGTATATGGAGGTAAGTACTCAAGAATGACGCCCTGCTCCTCGCACATTCGCTTGACTCTATCGGATCGGTGGATAGTTGCATTGTCCATGATCAGAACGGAATGATCTCCTGGGAAGGGGTTCATCTTGTCAAGCACTCCTTGGAGAAATGTTTCGAATCGTTCGGCGTTAAAAGAGCCTTGATAGACCTCATAAGTGAGCCACCCGTCTGTTGTCATCGCAGGTAAAATGCTCCAACTGGTAGATCGGCCACCTGGTAGTTGCACTCGGCATGGAGTGTTGCGGGCCGACCAGCCAAACTTTCTATCCATAGTTCTATTGTTTGCGGCGCTTTCATCGAGTGTTACCAGCTGGTTACTGGTGTAATTGGCCATCTGTGCTATATAGGAAGCGACAAGTTCATCGTCTCGCCTGGTGTTAACTCTGGTTACCCGTTTGTACGTGACATTCATAGAGTTGAGTGCCCGGGAGACTGTTGATATATGAGCGTTGATACCAAACTCATCGCGGAGAAAATCGCAGCACTCATCCAGCCGCGCCGTCGGCCAATCTAGCATAAAATCACGAAGTCCTTCCATTGCGGCATGATGAATTGACTTTGGACGACCTTTAACAGGTGCTATATCATTTGTTTCGATGTCTTGATAGCGTAGATCCCGTCGAACTTTGGAAATATAGGCATTGGAAACCCCTTGAGCCTTTGCAATGGCTGTGCCTTTCACTCCTGCCCGAAGTGCAATTGACACGGCCACTTTTACCGCAGGATCAAACTTCGGCTGTGACGGCATCACAACCACGCCTTTTTATATAGTAAAATTTAGATACTTGGATAGAGAATTTGCTCCGGAGTAAGATTATCATATAATATTTATGAAATTATAGGGTGGTTGTTGAGAAATATGGCGTTGTGTTCTCACCGCTTTTATGATTGTTGAATGTTTTGCATGTTGCAAAAAAATAAGGTTTTTACGGAATTTTGCAAAGCACAAATATTATCAAAGTCAGGGAGACTGATTAGTTAAAAAACTAGGCCTTCGATATTTGTGTACCAACTTTGTCCACATTGGTCTAACAGTTTTTGCTTTCACTGAACGAGTCTCTCAAATATCATTACATTACAGATTAGAGGGATAGTCAATCGCAAATGAAATTCGAAAATTAACCAAGGGAATACTCATAGGGTCCTCGCGAGTCAGCTTAAAGATTCTTCTTATGGGCCTGTAAATACAATACATCATCCCGCCTGAAGCCTCAGCTTAAGAGTGCTCGACGACGGCATGACATCTGAACATGGAAATGAAATTGTTCAGCCTTTGAGGTCTGGCCATCGACTCAAAGCACAGTCTTTCTCAGACACAAAGTAATCAGTACTTTGGGAAAAACCTGCAGCTACTGTAGTGCACTAGGGGTTTCCCATGTTTTGGATGTCAACGACTCAATTTGTGCTGATTTTGCTCGGAAACAGTAAGACCACGACCCCAATCGGCCATTTGGGCCACCATTCATGTAGATGCCGGAGGTGACCTGGCGTCTGTCTCACCGTCGACGTCAAGGTAGCAGCCCACCTCGACGTTATTGCCGTCAAGGTCGATCAGAAAGGCACAATAGAATGGAGGACGCCTGATACCTGGAAGGCCGTTGTCGCGAGCTCCGTGTTCAAGCCCGGCGGCATGGAAGCTATCTACTGCCTCCCTCGACGGCGCCGAGAAGGAAAGATGAATTGGGCTGCTGGCGACGGTGTTGTTGTCGGTCCAGAATGATGGCCTCCCCTCTCCTAGCACGAAGAATGGCGATTGTGGCCTGCCGCTGGAGAAAACGACCCAACCCGAATCGACAGCCAGGCGGTGCTTCTCGACAATCCTGATGCCCAGCGGGGCTAGCATGCGAGCGTAGAGTCGCGCGCTGCTCTTCAAATCGTTGACGACGATACCAATGTGATCAAACATCGCTTGGCTGCGCCTGAAGATATGTAGAAGAGCACCCCGACGGACCCTTTGGACTGTTGATGGGTAGATGGGGGTAGTGTGGTTCAAGCAAGTGAAGCTTACGGCCAAGATTTCTCCTTATTCACGACTGAGTTGCCGTTCTCCGGGGGGAAGAGGGGGGGGGGAGGGGGGGGAAGGTGGGGGAAGAGTGGATCAAGACGCCGGTAGGAAGCGTTGCACACGGCCCAGACTGTTTCGGGACAGGAAACACTGTACTTCGTATGCCACAACCTATGGTCGATTCACTAGCATCAAAGATTGGCGAGCCGAGTTCAATGGTGTTGCATGCGGCTGTTATGTAGAGGGACCTGGATGCCCGGCCACTGTGGGCATTCCTGATACTCCGTACTCCGTACCGCAAAAGCAATTAGACGAAACCTAGCCAAATATTTAACACAATCCAGCGCTGTCTCGTTGCGTAAGAAAGTGAGAAATCCGGGGTAGATAAGACACGGCTTCCCAGCCATCAGACTAGAAGACATTCCTTGAGCCTCCTCCGTATCTTTCAGGACGACCTGAGAGACTTGTGGGTTCTGTAACCTTTGATCTGTTGCGAGATTTATTCTCATCATCTCCATCATCATGTCAAAATCCTTTCGGAATGCAAGGAGTAACCGTCGTGCCTCTAAGGGCGGCAAGCTCTCGAGACCCATCAGACGTATAAGGCCCTCCTTATTGGTCTTTGTCTCAATATCTACTGTGTACAAGTCCAAGTCCAGGCTGATCGGGCCAGATGAAGCCTTTACCTTCGAGTTGGCGATAAATTGCATCCTCGGTAGTGGCGAGAGTAGAGCACCTCCTCTCCGGTCTCACTTCCCACGTCCTGCGTGATGTACATACATTTCCACTCGCCTCGGCCAAAATCATCATAACCATCCACCATGACAAGCAAAAGACATTATACTTCTCCAGCACGTTAAAAAGCTCTTCAACTCCCCCAGACCCCGTTTTCATATCCCTAACTGGCACCAATAGATCAAACTCCTCCTCGTGGGCGATTCCGGCGTCGGCAAATCCTGTTGTCTGCTCCGGTTCGTTGACGATCGTTTTACTCCTTCCTTCCTCGCCACCATCGGCCTAGATTTCAAGATGAGGACGATTCTTCTAGACGGTGAACGCGTTCAATTACATCTATGGGATACGGCCGGTCAAGAACGCTTCCGCTCAATGACTCTGGCTTACTACCGCGGTGCCATGGGCATCCTGCTCGTCTACGACGTCACTGACGAGCAATCATTCAATAGTTCGTTTCTGTGCCCCAGATCTATCTCGACTTCTTGTGATTTATCTATTTCTAACAAACCATGCATTGCCCTGCAGATATCCGAGCGTGGTACTCAAATGTCGAGGAACACGCACCCAAGGGGGTCAATAAAATTCTGATTGGAAACAAGTGCGACATGCAGCAGGAGAAACGGGTCGTCTCTACCGAGCAAGCACAAGCCCTGGCCGACGAGCTGGGTATTCCCTTCCTGGAAGTATCCGCCAGATCCAACATCAACATCGACAGGGCTTTCTTCTCCTTGGTCAGCGACATCAAGAAGAGACTCGTGGAGAGCTCGCAGGTCGAAGGAGGCGCATCTGTCATCGAGAAGGAAGCTGAGGGAAGCCGGCAAGCACCTGCCATGGGTGGTGGTGGTTGCTGCTGTTGAAGAAGCCAGCAAAGTAAGTCAGCATACTGATCCAACCAAAACCCCCCACGCGTTGAAACACACCCCGTCCTGAGTAATCCCGGGCAGGCTATCCTATGGTTGTCGCTCAAGACCAGTGATTTCCAGTCAGGCAAGGTGTGACATGTACCGGCACCACTGACGATGTTCCGCTCGACGGTGGCGTCAAAGTTCCAGGAAGGACCACTAGCCACAAAAGTATAACATATAAATGTATATTGTATCGGGATAGAAAAGTATATTGTGCTCCCTACTCCATAAAGACCCATAGAAAGTCTCGGTGTGCACGAACTTGGCCTGGGATGTATGGTGACATCTTTCTCGACTGTTACCGTCGTCATTATCATTATGTCCCGTCCTGAGTAATTCCCGGGCGGTATCGCAGATTGGCACCGTCTACCTTGAACAGTAGGTTCTCAAATCTGAATCATACCAAAGGCTAGCCTATGATCGTCGCATCGGCACCGCAGCCGTTGTAGCCCTGCTGCTGCCAGATCTTGACGCTCTTGACTTGCATGGACGGGCCGTTTTTGTTCTGCCAAGTAGGATACCATTGGTCTCTCGAGTCCCAAAACTGCTTCCGTGCAAACGGACTCGAGTTCTCCCAGGGCTTGTCGGCCAATCCGTCGCGGAACCAACCGTTCGTCCCACCGACGGCCACGTCGAGGATAAGGAAGAAGTCCCGGTCGAAGGGGGCGGCCTTTGTGCCGTTTGCCCAAATGTTGCCCGGCGTGCCCAGGCTCAGAGTCGAAAACCCTCCAAAGTCCCAAAAGGACCTGGAGAACCGTTGATAGAGAACCTGCAGCAACCGGCTGTCCAGGTAGGTGTACATGTACTCGTCAGTCCATTCCAGGCCAAACGTGTGGAACTCTTCGGAAAAAGTCGAATGGAGCGCCCGTTCCTTTTTGTACGTTCGCCACCAGCCATCATTCGCCATGTTTGGACCCCAGTGGAGGGTGGAGGAGATGACATTGTTGCCGCTGAGAGGATACGTCCAGTTGTTCCCCCTACTTTCCGCCATATCGATCTCACCACTGGCAGGCCAGACACCGTAATCCGAATTAGTCGGGAAAAGCCAAATGCCCGGCCAGAGCCAGTCCCCTTCAGGCAACTTGGCCACCACCTCGATTCGGCCAAATCGTATGTTGGCCCCCGGGCTCGTGTTGATACGTCCGGATTTGACGGGGTTGATTACAGTGCCGTTTGTGGTGTTTGTCACGGACACACAGTTATCCCAGCCCGTTGTGGTGCAAGTCCCTCGGTCAAACAGATTTAGACTGACATTATGGGTCATGAGATACTCGTCTTGGAGGGTAGGTGTGATGTGGAGCATGTGGTCTTGGATGTAGACGTTTTCCTCGTCACCGGTCGTCTCGTCGAATTGACCGTTGCCGAAGCCCCCGACCTGGACCTCCTGTAGCCAGATGGACTTGTTAAGATGCTGCGAACTGAAATCGTCCTCGTAGATGAGGCAATACTTGTGTACGGGAACATTTCTGTAGCCGACCCATACGTTGATAGCTGCGACACACAATCCGAGGAAGAGACCGCCGACAGGGACGATACTCAGCCATTTCTGTCGAGGGTCCTTCTTTTTCCGAAGCCACGAGACATCTCTGTCCTTGGCCTTAACTCGGCGAGATCGAAAGTACACGCCGGGTCGGACGGAATGCTTTTCTTCAACCCGAATAACGGGGTTCGCCTCTGGAAGCTGCGGGTCCACTGAACTTCGGGTCTTTTGTAGTGGGTGGCAAATAATGCCAAAGTCGACATCTTTTGCTGGCGACTTATCGGATTCCCCACTGCGAGAATAGTCTTGGTTGTTTTCCTTCTCGCGTGCCTCGAGAATCCCCTCGGCCGAGGAGGAACGTTTGACGTTGGCGTTATCTTGGGCTCGTTCCGGGCCCTCTTGCCTCCCCCAAAATTTGAAAACCTTGAGTTTATGAACAAGCCCCCTAGTGACACTAGAGGGTTTAGACGAATCTGGTTCCCGGCTGACTGAGGGGTCTGAGGCCTTGTGGTTTGACGTCAAAGGATAGGAATACGAGGCAAGCGAGGGCCCGTGTTTATGGCCCGCGTTTCGCGTTGCATCAGACGGATGTGAAGGATATGGGACGGCGACGCCGATGGTTCTGGAGGTTACCTCTTGAAGTAGAGACTCTGCCCGTTCAATGCTTGTGCCAGTCTCAGATTCAGGCCGAGTTTCTGATTGTCCATTGATGTTCTTCTCCTGGTCCTGACCACTTTCGACACTGCGAAGACTGCCTGGTCTTGTTGCGAATTCTGTTGTACTTGACTGCGCCGAGTCGGTTGGGGTTGGATCACGAAATGGATCCTCGTTCGAAGCTGACATTTTTGCGATTTGAAACTGCTATTTTCTTGTATGACCATACTTTTGCCAGCATAACTATGGGCTTCGTGGAATTTATCACATCAAGTACTTTGAACGTGGTTGAAGAGGGACACATACCGCACGAGCGCACGGACAGCATAAGCATGTCTCTTCCCAGCAGGCTCTGTGCAACCATCAGGCCTGCCTGCGATAAGCTCGACATGATATCTGCATCTGACTTCCTGGCATTCAAGAAGACACCATGCGCGCAAGAGCCATGGAATGACTTGGTTCGGGCGAGCTAGTCTTCGCTTCGAGTGAGACGGTGGACGGATTGAGAATATCCAGAGCCAATAGTCTGGCGAAGTGCTCAATAACAAAACGACACAATCAGGTGACAGAGGGGTTAGTCTCTAGCAATGTCTTGAGGGAGTCTAAATCCGCGCATAACTGTATACTGGCCCCTGCCGTACATCTAATATCGGGAATGGACCCTCCCCGTTAACAAAGGGTATCCCTGCTACGCACAGACGACACATTTGGGAATGTGCATGGTATGTGCCTCGCAAAGGGCCCACTCAGCACGTTGTGCCGTACATTCTAGCGTGTCCAAGAGATGCAACACGAGGACTCACAGACGCCACGGCGGAAGTGGCTGTTTGACATACAGTACTTGAGGCATGCTTCTCTCAACGACACTACCCCAGCGGACGAGAAGCCATGCTTGGATTCCACAATTCAAGATCCATTGATCGAACACAGCATCGCTCTGGGGTGTTTTGGAATCCGACGACCGTGTGTTACCGTTGAAAAGGACTGTGCGTCAAATTTCCTGGTGTAGTGACTATCAGTTATGGTTGTAGCGACGTAAAGAGAGTTAGATAGACTAACTACAAGCGAAAGAAGGACTCGCCGTTATATGTACGTAAGAACATGTGAACCACTGCAACAGTCGGAAACAACATCGCACAGGTACCTAGGCGATCGCGCTGCGAGACATTGAAACATCGGCGCGAAGATGCAGTGCACTGCCTCATGAGTAACGGGAACAGGAAAGGCTGGGTTATCACTCGGACGCCATTGATACGTGTCGAGATGCCAATGAAAGATGAGTGATCGTTGACATTTATGGGTGGTTCCTACTAAGTGTTATGCATGGTGCCTCAAGTTCGAATTAGGTATAGCCAAGACCTCAAAGCATCCTCCAAAATGACCGCTATGCCTAATCAGGTCGACTGTCATTTCGCCATTAAACAACACCGATGGAACCCGATATCAATGCTGCGAACCAACTCGCACGGACCGATGCTACCAAGCACTTGCAACAACATCAGCGATATGCGAAATTTCCCGTCTGGCGATATCCCGGCGATACTGGTGAATACTGAGTGGAGCACGCAAAGCGCCCTCACAAGAAGATGCATTCGACCTTGAAGATGGACCGAATTGATGCATACTGTTCCTCTGCGCGAGACCCTAAAACAAGAAAGCGATCTCCCTCTGAAGCGTTCATTGCCTGTACTTATGAGAAGGATCTCCCGGAAATGCACTGAAGGAGCCCAGTGAAAAGCAGAATGCATGGTCACTGATCTACGGCTAAGTTGCTAGCAGCATTCTAATGCGAGGCTGGACCGGGTAACGAGGCCAATGTTTTCGGATCTTATCCTCAATGCAGCTTGGTGGGCCAGAGCCGCGTCAACGCCTGCTACGGACTACAGAGTGGTAGTACTGTACAATGGCAACCACCGTCTATTACTTCCGGACTAGGACAGGCAAGATCGGTTACAGGCTTCACTAGGCGGTGTAGCACCTGGCAACTATTGCCATGCAAGCGATCACCTTTTCGCCTAGCTAGCCGGATTTTCCCTACCCGAGAATCTACTCGATCCGACCGCTGGTCCACGACAGACCAGCCAGCAATCGAAAATAAACGCTAAGTTCAATACGAGTATAGACTCTGCCCTTCTAGGCTCTGGAACGAGCACGTACCACCAAAGGCTTCCAAAGATGGCAGAGTTGATTCGAAAGAGGACAAGGGGAACCAGATCTGTTGTCTCGCATTATGCATGTGGCGGTGATCAAAGCGCAACATCATGCAACAAGTACTCGGGGACAAGTCTGCGGAAGTTCTGGGTTCCGTCTAGGCCAAAAGATAGGTTTTCCAGATATTCAGTGCGCGGAGATGCAGGAAAGGGTATTATTGATAGAGACATGACAAAAAGAGGCCAGTCCACGGCTGCTTTTCATGCCAGCTTCAGCGGCTGGGCCTCTGCATCTAATCAGCTTTCATCACAGGTCTGATGGCGAGTCCACCGAGAACACCACGCAGGTTGCAAAAGCGCAGGCCGACGCCCATACAGCCTCCAAATACACCCCAGAACGAGCTCTCGGAACGAGCATCGCCGTCAAAGGCAACCCTTCGAGATGGCATATCGCCGGACTTCGCTGTGGTGTCTCAGGAAGATGGGTCAGAGTCCTTGCCGGATACGCCGTTCACTTCGCCAACCGCCCATTTGAGCGTTCAGCGAGAATCACAAATTGACAAGTTCAAATTTGAGGTCCGACTTCTTTACTTGCGTCAACAACAGCTCCAGAATCGCTGGGCAGACGAGGAATCAGGGGAGGGCGTCTTGTTGAAGACTGGCAAGGGCAATTACATTTCTCAACCTCGCGAACTTGCTGATGCCTGTGGCGGGTTTTCCGAGCAGATGAGGAAGCTGAATGTCAAGGTAATACGCACTTGGGTCTTTGATCCATATACGGACCGTACAGCCTGACAATTTTACCTAGGTAGCCATGACGGTCAAGACGCCCGTGATCGAAACGTTTCTCGCGACGTACAAACCGCAATATGTTCCTTATACCCAAGGCCAACGGATCAGCATCATTGACTCTATCGACCAAGTGTGTCAAGCGCATAGGCACCATTACGCAGTATTTGTCCGGGGCGCAGGATTGCTTGCAGTATGGGATGAGGATGCAGTTGAGATTACCGACCGTGCCACTCGCATTGAGAAGCATCTGGTCGACCTGGTGTGGGCGATGAGCTCCGAACAAGAGAGCGACATACACACAAAAGAGTCTTTTGAACAGCCTGCGAGAGAGGAATCGAAGGCTCCTGTGGTTGCTACACCCCAACCGCTTCCTGCCATATCAGAAAAAGATGCAGAGACCGGTGCTCCCGAGGCGCCTCGGCAGACACTGTTGTGGCAGGCCTTGGTGGTTGGCTGCGCCGGGTGCCTCACCATTTTCTGCCTCTCGATAGGGTGGAGGGCTTTGGCAGTCGAGATCAAATACGACCACAGCTGGACTCGAATATTGCTGGTGATTGTATCGCCACTCCAGTTATGGCTGGGATGGTTCTTCTTCATGACCGTATGCACCACCATCGCCCAGCTCGTCGGCCCGGTCAAACAAGTCTTTCAGAATTCCAAGTTCTACTCGGCCGTCCCCACGAAGCGTCTCCGAGACAATCTCCCGCACGTGACGATCCAGTGCCCCGTGTACAAGGAGGGCCTCGACACTGTCATCATTCCTACTGTGGTGTCGGTCAACAAGGCCATCTCCACGTACGAGCTACAGGGCGGGAGTGCCAGTATCTTTGTCAACGACGACGGCATGCAGCTTATTCCCGAAGAAGAAGCGAGACGCCGGGTCCAATTTTACGAAGACAACAACATCGGCTGGGTCGCTCGACCCAAACACGCACCAAATGGAGACTCCAATGGGCAGAATGTCTTTGTCCGAGCTGGGAAATTCAAAAAGGCTTCCAACATGAACTACTGTCTCAGCGTCAGCAGCCGAGTCGAAGACAAGATGGCCGAAGTCGAGCGGACGCCCAACTGGACTCAAGAAGACGAAGATCAGCTGTACTCGTCGGCGTTCGAAGCCATCATCAAGGAAGATCAGGGCCGGACCTGGGGAGCAGGTAACATCCGCATGGGCGACTTTATCTTGATCATTGATTCAGACACCCGGGTCCCCGAGGACTGTCTTCTCGACGCCGTCTCCGAGATGACCGCGACTCCGGAAGTGGCCATCATCCAATTCATGTCGGGAGTTTTGAATGTCACGACGAGCTTTTTCGAGCGCGCCATTACCTTTTTCACGAATCTCGTCTATACCTCGATCCGGTTCGCCGTGGCCTGTGGCGACGTGGCGCCGTTCGTCGGCCATAACGCGATGCTCCGGTGGTCCGCCCTTCAAGACGTTGCCTATGTCGATACCGACGGGACGGAAAAGTACTGGGCCGAGAACACGGTGTCGGAGGATTTCGACATGGCACTGCGGCTCCAGTCGCTCGGCTATGTCATTCGGTACAGCACTTACTGCGGCGACGGCTTCAAGGAGGGGGTCTCGTTGACCGTCTACGACGAACTGATCCGGTGGGAAAAGTACGCCTACGGCTGCGCCGAGTTACTCTTCCACCCCTTTTACAAGTGGCCCCTCCACGGCCCCGTCACGCCCTTGTTCCGCCGGTTCATCACGAGCCCCATCAGCTGGATGGGCAAGTTGACGATGATGTCCTACATCGGGACGTACTTCGCCATCGGCTCGGCCTGGGCTTTGACCCTCCTCAACTATTTCCTCCTGGGTTGGTTCAACGGCCACCTCGACAAGGACTACGCCGAGAGTTTCAACGTCTACTTCGGTCTGGTGATTGTCTTCCAAGGCGCCGGCACGGTGAGCCTCGCGGTTCTACGTTATCGCGTCGAAGGTCGCTCGCTGTTCAAATGTCTCTTGGAGAACATGACTTGGATGTTGGTCCTCACGGTCTTCCTGGGTGGCATCTCCCTGCACGTCTCGGGCGCGCTGTTGTTTTACCTCTTCGGCATCGACATGTCCTGGGGAGCCACGGCCAAAGAAGCCACCGACACGTCCTTTTTCAGGGAGATCCCGGTCATCATCAAAAAGTTCAAATTCACCTTTGTGTATTGTATCTTGTCGGTGGCCATGATGATGGTGCTGGCGGGCATAGGGCCGCTCGGGAAGTTGGTGCCCGAGTTCTGGAGGATCAACAGTTTCATCGCCATCTACCCGCAGGCCATCATGATCGCCATGCATTTCTTCCTGCCTCTGGCCTTGAATCCTGGGCTGATGCAATTTGCATTCTGATCGTTTGAATTTTTTTTATTTTTTTTTTAAAAAAACAATAATACTATTACTACCTTGGACGGGCTGATGGAGTTTTTGGGAAAACCACCGTCGAGTGGGAAAAGGGGGAGTTGGGGGCTTTCCGTTTCCTATAAAGATTATAAACCATGATACTCGGTATGATACAAGACGATTACAATCCACATTCAAGAGACCCTTTCCAATCAATCCGGTTGATTCATTGCAAGCCCTTATATTCCGTTGTCGTTGGCCGAACCATTACCATTGGTCCCAAGGGCATCTCATATAGTACCTAAGTAGACGATTTACTTTGTCCTTTTGAGTGCTGTTAACGTTCATTGGAGTCCGAGGGAAATTATTGATTCCCAAGCCGGTAAGGAATATATGCTCATTATATATTGATGACTGTCTCAGGTATTTCCAAACCCGTTTCCACCAACGTTGTCCTATTAGTCCAATGCAAGCAACACAAACGCCGTGTATTTTGACCTTGAAATCGTAAAGATACCTGTTCTGCACCTAGCCCTCCAAGTTTCATCGTCACCAAAACACCGAGATTCAGCTTTCGAGAAGTCCGGCCGCAAGCGAGGATTTCCATAGGAAAATCACTTTGTGACCCAGGTCCAGCTGCTCTGAGGAGAACTTGCTAACATTCCGTGAGGATCTCGTTTCGGCTACCAATCTTGAAGGTTTGCAGCGACTGAGCCAAAGCGCGTGGACATCTTCTCTTGTCCCGTTTTTTTCCAGCTTCAGTCCAACCCTTCTCACAAGTTCTGTGTTGGAACCTGCAACGTCTTCCCATCTTCTTTACCCTGCTGTAGATCAAGTCCGGCACTCGGCAAGGGAGGACCCGTCCCCGACCGTCGTCTCCTCTCCCGCTCCGCGAGTCCAGCGCCGGACTGGCTCTCAATCTTATTGAGCATGGTACCAAACTCGGTGCTTTTCCTGAACTTCATCCCTTGCATCCAGCTGTCGTCCTCGTCGTTGCCCAACCAATAACTCCGTCCGACGCTGACCATGGCACGACCGAGTTTCCCCTTCCACCCTCGACCTTGGGGTTTTGTTTCGGCGAATGGATTTTCCACCATGCCGGTTTCAGAATTTGCCGCAGCGGTACCAGCCTTCACACCGTGATTAGTGGTGGACGCGATATGTTGCCTGACGACCATGCGTGCCCAGGCGAGAATGATCAGACAGAAATATGCTCGAATGGTCCAGAGCATGACAATGACACCGATGCTGTTCATGCTCTCCGTCCCCAACACGCCATCACCGATGCCGCTGCTCGCAGGGCTGTCGGCGGGGACACCGGCAGCAACGGCATCCTGTCCGGCAGTCACGCCGGCAGCCGGGTTCGCGACGACCTCCACACGGCTCACATTCTTTTCCGGGCTGGTGAATCCTGAGGTGTCGTCCATCATCCCGTGTCCGGGTCCCTTTGAGCCACTGCTCTTGCCGTCGTGCTGCACAAGTACAAGAAACCACGTCACGGCAAAGGCCGCGGTGTATGCCGCGTTGATGACACTGTCCAGCACGTAGAACCAAGCCAGCGCAAGACACTGGAGAGGGGTCTGTTTCCGGATGAACGGCGCCAGGTATGCCGTCAAGATCAAGCCCAGCACACTGTAGACGTACATGCTCAACTGGAATCCCGACAGGTGGTAGCCCGTGAACAAGGCCAGAATGCCGTAGAAGCCCGCGAGCTTGTTGATGAGGAGGGAGAGGGTGATGAGGGAAGCGCCGGTCGAGAGGGTCATGGTATAAAGGAAGCGCTACAACAGCAGAAAAGAGTCAGCTTATGGACTTCTACGAATCTTTCGATTATCGAGTCCCCCAACCGCAATGTGGGAAAATTCAGCAAAGTAAACCCAGGTCGGTTGATGCGGCGCAGGGTCTGAGAAAGAAAGAAACATCACATCATCACACATACCTTGGGCCTTCCTAGGCGGTGGAGATACGCAGAGATGCCCATCTTCGCGAGAGCAGGATCGCCGCCAAAACGTTTACACAGTCGCGCAATAATTCGTGTATTTCGACTTTTTGATTCCGTAAAAAGAACAAAGGAAGGATGTACTGTAAGGATGGAAAGAATGGGGAAATTAGAGATGAAACCGAGTCAAGGCTCCTCCCAAGGCGGCAGCGTTCGGATCGACAATGGGCGTGCATTAATCGACCGTGCGGGCCTTTTTTTGTGTCAGCCTCATTTCGCTATGATTTCATCGGCGTCATGTTTGCACAAGGCTGATTGTTGCTGGTGCATTACGGAGTACTCCCTACATCGATGGCCTTTATGCATTGTAAACTACAAAATCCTCCAAGAAAACATCACACGCTATTGCAAAGTACGGAATATTCATACTGTGTTCACCCATTCTATTTTATTCACTTGATTCTCTAGTTAGAATACAACAAAGTCGGTGGCCCATTTGTAACAAAATGCTAGAGCCATGCCTCGCCACCTGGGTACTCCGTAGAGATCTCGAGCTTGGTGACTCGCAACGCCAACCTTCTTCCACTTTCATTGCCATGCAGATACTGCACCAGTTATCAATTACCCTATGTTGCACTCATGCCTTAATCGTACAAGCTATCGTCGTTGCCAGCCTCTCCGAAACCATTGCCGTTGGCAGCTGCAGCAGTCTCCTCAGCAGATGGGAACTTGAAGAAAGCACTGCCACCACTCTGCTTCATGGCTTGAGCAAAGGCTTCGTATCGGCGGATCTCAACGTCACTGACTGATCGTCGAGCAGCTTGCATGGCCTCTTCGAAATGAGCCTTGGTAAGTTCTGGCACGGGGTCATCCATGTCCTCGTCCATGGAGTCTTCACCAGCAGCTTCACGCTCCTTTCGACGTTCGATATCAGCCGAAATGGACTGCTTGATTGCCAGCTTGACAGCACGTTGGGTAACGAAGCCCAAGTCGGCACCAGAGAAACCGTGGGTCTTGCTGGCAATGTAGTCGATATCGACATCTGGAGCAACTGGGGTCTTGCGAAGCTGAGCTCGCAGAATGGAAGCACGCGAGGCTTCATCTGGCAGAGGCACATAAACCAAGGTATCGAGACGACCAGGACGGCAAAGAGCATTGTCGAGCTGTTCGGGTCTGTTGGTGGCGCCAATGACGAAAACATTCTTCTTAGAAGTCATGCCGTCCATCTCGGTCAAAAGCTGGTTGACGACACGGTCAGAAGCACCACCAGCGTCGCCAACTGAACCACCTCGTGACTTGGCAATGGAATCGAGTTCATCAAGGAAAACAACGCAAGGAGCAGCTGCTCGGGCCTTGTCAAAGATGTCTCGGATGTTGCTTTCAGACTCTCCGAACCACATACTCAACAGCTCAGGACCCTTGACAGAGATAAAGTTTGCAGCGCATTCGTTGGCAACAGCCTTGGCAAGCATAGTCTTACCAGTACCCGGTGGACCATAGAACAGGACACCACGGGACGGTGACAGACCAAACTTGAGGAATTTCTCTGGATGGTCGACAGGATACTGGACTGATTCGATGAGTTCGCGCTTGACACCCTCGAGGCCACCGATGTCGTCCCAGCGGACATTGGGCACTTCGACAACTGCGACTTCGCGGAGAGCCGAGGGGTTGGAAACACCAAGAGCGAATCGGAAGTTCTCCATGGTTACACCAAGCGAGTCCAGAACTTCAGCGTCAATCGTGTCTTCATCAAGATCGATAAGATCCATCTTCTCACGAATCTGTTGCATGGCAGCTTCGGAGCAGAGAGAGGCAATATCCGAACCAACATAACCATGAGTCTCTGCTGCAATGGATTCAAGGTCGACATCTTCAGCCAGCTTCATGTTCTTGGTGTGGATCTGAAGAATTTCGAGACGCCCAGTTGGGTCAGGGATACCAATGTCGACCTCGCGATCGAAACGACCGAAACGTCTAAGCGCGGGGTCAATCGAGTTGGGTCGATTGGTGGCAGCCATGACGACAACATTAGAACGAGCCTTCATACCGTCCATTAGGGTAAGCAATTGCGAGACGACACGTCGCTCGACTTCGCCGTTGGTCTTTTCTCGCTTGGGAGCAATGGAGTCGATTTCATCAATGAAGATGATGGCGGGCGAGTTCTTTTCCGCTTCCTCGAATGCCTTTCTTAGGTTGGATTCTGATTCACCGGCCATCTTTGACATGATTTCGGGACCGTTGATCAAGAAAAAGAAGGCACCAGTCTCGTTGGCCACGGCTCGAGCCATCAACGTCTTACCGGTACCAGGAGGACCGTACATGAGGATACCTCTGGGAGGCTTGATACCGATAGACTTGAAGAGCTGCGGATGTCTAAGTGGCAGTTCCACGAGTTCTCGGATCTGGGCCATTTGTTTTCTGCAACCACCGATATCATCGTAGCCGACCTCGTTCAGGTTGCCTTCCTCATCTTCTCGCTGGATAGGCTCGCCTTCGCAGTGGATGACTGTATCTTGCGCCACGATACCATATTCCGGAGGGTCCACCTCTACGACCTTGAATTCCACCTGTCGCATACTCGCTCGGACAGTGAAGAGATCTCCCTGTCGGACGGGACGGTAGGCTTCGCGGAAGTATGGTGCAAGGAAGACGTCAAAGAGAGATCCAGTTAGACCCTCGATTGTGTCGGCAATAGGAAGGACGGCAATTCGCTTGGCCTGGGATATTCGTTAGTACTGCGACCGTTTTATGTATGCAGAAAGTGGTGGACTCACATATTTGATATCAGGGCAAGGGTGTACGGTGATGATATCGCCGTGCTTGACTCTCAAGTTGTGACGGACCACGCGGTTGATTCGAGCGCTTCCATCATCGAGATCGTCATCGGCAAGGACGATAAGGACGGTGTCTTTTCGCTTCTTGCCCTTGACAAGCACTGTATCTCCTCTAAAGAGCTGTAACGTCTCCATAGTATTGTTGGAAAGAGCAATAATCGAGTTGTCATCGTTGGTGGCGTCCGTGACACTGCGGTCAATTTGTCAGCTTCGCGTTTCGTCACCTGTTGTTCTCGCATCTTACATCAATGAGTTTGGCTTCTTCTTCTTCTTGAGGATCGCAGTTGAGGTATCAAGCTCCTGGAAAGCTGTCAGTATCGAGTTCGCCACGCCTGTCGTTGATGTGACCCTTACTTCTTTCTTCTCTGCGCCCGAGGCATCACTGTTTCAGTCAGTTTGACGGTCTTGAGATGTGTTCCGAGCAAGGACATACTTCAGGTTCACCTTGTGGTGCGGTTTGTGCTGAGAGTGGTCTGGTTGATCAGACATGATGGCTGTTGTGAGGTGTATCTAGATGGCAAGATCGATGGTACTAATTGCTCCGGAAACCGGTGTTTGGATCTGAAGGAACTGCTAGACCTTGAAGCCGGAGGATGGAAAACGAAGGATGGATCTAGACGACGCAGCAAATATGAAAAGATGAAGAAGCCTTTTGATACAGGCAGTGATGAGAAAGATGTGATGTTGTGGTGAAGAGCAAGCTGCCAGAAGGACGGGAAACGGTGATGTAGCCGCAGGGGAAGATGAGACTGGGCTGGGCTTGGCGCGCTCTGGTTAATGACAAGTCAGCGTCCCAAACACGTCGTCTAGTTGCCGCCTGCTGAGAAGCGCATGGAATCTTCTCACAGCGCCCATTCGTCGGCCTTGCCACTATTCACCTATTTACTCAGTAAGAGTACAAGGCTGACAATTGTTTGCTATTGTTTACGCTACACCTCTCATCATCTTTTCAACTAGGCAGCTGCAGTACTTGTGCACGTATGTGGAAGGGTTATCGCTGCATACATGTGCAGCTGTCTACGGGTGTCCTTGGACATTCCCCTTCCAACAAGTCGGTGACACCATCACCTTGGTTTGAGCCATTGGAGATTATCAAGACGCCGCTCTTCGCTATCGAATCACGATGATCAATCATGGCGCATACTCACTCGTTAATTTTCTTGCCTCACTTCATAATGCACTTGTCGTACCCATCACTAGTCCTCCTCTGTACAAATCAACCAGAAGCAATCCCACATCAATAGAGTAACATACCGGAGATTCCTTATCATTAATTCCGTCTGTCCGTATCTAGTATTCGTACCTGTATGCGGGTTTCCGCTCCGCCCGGATGGTCACCCTTGTACACTTTCCGCCCTCATGCGGAGAAAGGAATTTATTTCATAATACCCAACAACTCTACTTCAAGACTCTCGCATACCTCAATGAACGCATTCTATAATACGAGACTTGGATATCTCATTGTTCTATAACTTCTGAATCGTTTTGCTTCACAACTACATTGTCATCGTCAGTGCTGCTGGACAGCTACCGCGGGCATAAATCGATTTTCTACAACGGATCCCCGCCTCTATCGAATCGATTCTTCTTGCTTTTACGAGTACTGAAACCGTTGCTCTGTACACCATCGCAGCAGGAGCCATACCACCGAGGGAAGCGATCTCAAGTGAACACCCAAAAACCACAACTGTGGAATCAGAAGCCGTTGGAGCACAGAGTCTGTCTGGGACAGACACCAAGCGTCCAGAACGACGCTGACACCTTCACAACACCCGACTTTCCCATCCCTCGTTTCCTCCAACAACCATGTCTGATCCACCACAAATCCAAATCCCGACTCCCACATCCCTGACCTCGACGTCGACCTCGCTCCCGCCAGAGACCTCACAGGCGCTCATCGCCCACCTCCGCGCGACGGGCCAAATCTCCGACCTCTCAGACATTCTCGCCGACTCACTGGCCCGGACGGGCTGGACGGACCGAGTGCGCGCGCTTTCCCTCGAACTCTTGCGCAACGGGACCTGCGACACGTTTCCCGAATTGTTGACCGAAGTCCTACGGCGAGCCAAAATCCCCAAATCCAACACATCAGCCGCATCCTCAAATTCCAACATCAACAGCAAAACGAACGGCACGTCGACGTCGACAGCGACGAACGGCGCAACAACAGGAGGAGGGGTCACAGGGAACAACGCGATAGCCCTGAGTAAAGAATGGTCGGGAGGTCCAGACGGCTTACCCGATGTGCGCATACCCGAGACAACCGTCGAGATGGGCGTGAATTTTCTCAAGGGCAAGATCAAAGATGTTGTGGAGCCGATTCAAGATGAGAGTGACTGAGAGTTTACGGAGTAATGCATGCCAACAGTAGATCAATCTGGATCAAAAGTTGTAATAGGAGGCTGGATACGAATTGAATATGGCCATCAGGGTGTGTATTGGATAGGCGGAGCATACCATTCTATTCTTTCGAAAGTTGTACTCAAGCGCACCCCCAAGACAAGGGCGGCCGCCTCACGGCGAAGACTTTTTGCAGACCAACGACCAAGGTTACGAGGCAAGGGGTCGCAATGAAAAATGTGTAGCCTGCAACGCTTCACGTTCAAATTCTCAAAAGGCCACCTCCAAAGGGCCACTTTGCATTGTTCTCGCTAATGGGACACCCCCTAACCAAAGGATTTTCGCTGTCGTCCAACCTCAAATCCGTAACATACATACTTGGATCTTGCGCGCTCTTAGACATGATCCAAAGCCCAACACGAATAGTCTTTACAACTGTAATCTCTTGTCGTCCATCTTCTGCAACCGCCGAATGGACGACGCTAAAGAACGCCACCGGGGAGGTTCTGTGGCATTGCACTCCGCACACTTGCCGAACTTGAAAGCTGTCCGGCACTCCCCAAGGGCTTCGTACCTCCAGTGGCCGCACTTCCTGGCTCATTGATCGGATTCGCCAGCTTCCTCAGCATGAACATTGGCTTCTTGCCTTCCTTGTCCAAGTCCTTGAACAGAGCGAGCGGCTTCTCCTCGAGGCCAACACACCGCTCTTGGTCCCCGTACACAATGTACAAAGCATATTGCCGCCAATCTGCTTGGATATTGTACTTCCGCAACGCAGCCGGCAGAACCTTGTAGCAAGGATCTTCCAGCCCCACGCGGAAAGACTTGAAGATCTCTACACTCGGCGCCTCTGCACCGCTGCCAGGCGTATGCCCACCAGCCGCACTGGATGGTAATTGTGGCGGCACACTTGCTGACTGTTCTCTCGGAGGTATTAGTGTGCTTGCGTTCGATATCGTAGAATTTGTCGGGTTGATCTTCGCACTGGCACTCTTTGCTGACGTTGGCGGCTCGCGTTCACCAGTCACTTGACTCGTCCGAGGGTCATCTGAGCCATCGTATCTCGACATGTTATTCCCATCTCGCGAATAACTTCGTGGTGCGAGTGGCTGATGCTGGTACGGTAATGGAGATGTAGGTGAGGGAATGCCAGGGCTAGGGTGAGGCATTGCTCCGCCTGACATTTGTGCCGTTAACGAATTGCTTGCCAGGCTTGCCGCAGCACTGGGGTCAAGCGACGAGTTATCTGCAAACGTCCTACCCTCGTGGATAGTGCTGGGGATGTGTGTAGGCGAGTTGTTCTTCGGCGTCGAGCTCAAGCCCAGCTTCTTAGAGAAAGTCCTAGTAAGACTTGACTTTTCAGGAGCAGGCTGCGTCGTGAGGACTGGAGGTAGGGGAGAGGGTTGGTCTTGTTGATACATTTCCGGGCTGAGGGTTGAGGATTGGTGGGGAGCATAAGGTAGAGGTTCAGAGCGTTCTTTGGCCATCTTGAAAACAGGGAGGAGTTCCTGTCGCAGCTTGCGGTAGTCGTCGGCCAGCCTGGTCAGCTGCGCTTCAGCTTGTGCTATTCGCTCCTCCCGCAGACGGATGAGAGATCGGGCTAGGCGATTGATGTCTTCTTTCGTGGCCATTTCGTGCCGTGGGTTGACCTCGGCGGCTGATAAAACACGTTAGCGGGCTGCTTCACGCCGCGTCTTGCCGGTCTTACTCGGTGGAATATAGTCGTCTGGTTCGACTTGGATGTCCTGCCTCACTTTCAAGTCGTACACATTCTTCAGTATGGTCAGCCGATGGCCGACGCTGGCTATGCCCATCTCCTTGAGTTCTTCATGTTTAAGGGCCACAAGCGCCTCGCCTTCGATACCATGTTCTGTCCACCTTGTTAGTCTACTCCTTCTCTGAGGTTGTCTTCCATACCTATAAAAGCCTGGCAATACTGACGCAGGTTCAGACTGGCGACAAATTGTGCACACTCTTCCGGCGTCCATTCTGTTATTATTGTTCTCGGTAAACTTGACTCTTCTCCAGCGGGATCGAAGGTGGTGGGAGTATGTTCGTTCGAGGCAGGTTCGGAGGACGTCTCGGAGTCTGTGTGTAGTTGGGTTGGTGAAGTCATGACGCTTCTCTCATACTCATCGTCGGCGTCAGAATCTGCATGATACGTAGTTCCACTGGGAAAAGCCATGATGTGTCCTCTCTAGTGCACAGGCATGTAGCGCCTGGGGGATGGCTGTAGATCCTTGCTCTTCAGCCGCAGGGAGGGCCGGTCACCCGTCAACTGCGGACCTACTCGTGGAAGCCAAATCCAGAGCCCCGGCTTGTTCAATGGTACGAATACAGCGCCGAATCGTCCTGGATAGGAGTTCGATCGATATGCAATTCGTCTGGTGCGGAGGTGGATGCTTTCGTCTGGACGTCGTCGGGCGCTATAGCGTTGGCTAATTGAAGGATGCGAGACAGGAGAGTGTAATCGTGTTCGGTTCTGCCCTTTTGTTCTGCTCCAATGTGTTTGGCAGAAGGCCGTGCCAGTCTCTGATTGCTTTCAAGCGTACAGAAGACAAATGGTCACAAAGCTCGTCTCCAGCGTAATCTTGATCCAGACTGATGTGTGGAGTGGCAGAATGAAGCGAGGATCTACGTTTGCGACTCTAGCGGCCGCCGACAAGGCTAGTTCTATCGCATTTCTACAATTGGCCTGTGATGACCAGGGCTACCAGTTCGTAGCATTTGTTTGTCTCATGGCAACAAGGAAAATCCTTTTCTAGAACACTCCCAAGGCAAGCTGGTCCTCTTGAGAATGGCTTCTTCACTATTTACATCCCGACAGCTGATAGGGGAGATACTCAAATTAACAAACCCGCTATTGTTGTTAGTGAACTATGGTTTATCTCGCTTCTTGCCATCCCTTTCTCGGTTCATTATGCGGGTGGAAATCACCAACAGCCCAGGTAGGTGGCCGCGAGCCATAGATCAGAAGGAAAGACGTTCAATTCGATTCATCTGCATGCTCACTCCGCTGACCTACAGAACTAAACGCTCAAACGAATATTGCCCCTTACTCATGCTCTCCAACATGCTCATTTCTCGAGCACTCCGCTTCAACACCTGCCCACCTCCTTTTCTGACCTTGTACGGACTGATCACATTGTCGGCTCGAAGGGCAAGTGGGAGTCCGCCACGCAGCTGGAAGCCATCGTCTTCTTTGGTGTTTTCGGAGTATAATGTGACTATCTTTCCGGGCTGTTGGGTAAGTCTGGCAGCTGGGCCACTGACTTGGAGACGACCACCTGCACTCTCATGCTTTCGTATCGATTCCTCGTACCTCAGCGTCTCTCGGAGTATACCTTGCAGTTCGGTGGCATCCCCCAGGCTCTCGGTGGCGTGTGTAATTTCAGTCACAAGATCTGGAATTATATTGCCAACAAAATCCTCGTTTTCCAGAGCACCGATAAGTCCCAGAGGCCCGATAGCATCTACACAACTTGTTAAGATGTTGATAATCGCGCTGAGCTGCATGACTGAGACCTTGCTGTCGGTCTCTATGGGAGGCATGCTTTGGAACGATCGCGTGTGGCCACCCTGAAACAGCTGTTGGCGTAAAAACTGGATTAGAGCTAATGTCTCGCGTTGGGTGAAAAGGGATCTCAGACTCTTGGTGATTGTTTGGGTCGAGCCGGCACCCAACTTGTTCAATGACAAAATCAATGCTTTCTGGAGCTGAGGTGGCAACCACGTTGGATCGGAAGTGGATGTCTCCAATGTCTGTATTTGCATATCCGGTATGCCACCTCCTTCAGGACTCGTTGCATCTGATTTCGGAGCTGAAGCCGCATCAGCTACGACGGTCAATGCTCGAGCCAGAAGCGTCTGGGCTACCGTAGCTTGCTCGTCGACGTATGGACTGAATCCAGCCTCGAGGCATTCAATTAGTAACTTCAGGCTTGGATCGACCTCCAGAAGTGCACCTGCAATAGATTGAAGTTTCACATGCTCCGCGGATCTAGAGCTATGTGCTGATACGGCTCGCTTCACTCCAATATGAGAGAGCAAACCCAATCTCGAAAGCCAGATTATCAACTTGAATGAGGGAAGCTGAATCTTCAGCCTTGCATCAGAGTGTCCATCTTGGGTGACGCTTTGGAGCGAGTCGATGTGGAATATCTTGGCTAGGAGATAGTTGATTTTGACATCTGGGATCGCCAGACGAGTTGAAGGGAGATCTTCGACCATAGTTTGAGGCAAGGATGACTGCAGCGAACCCGACATGAGGTCCGTGGCGAATGCCTCCTCGAAACCCATTACATCACCTGCTTCTGACAATTCATCGAGCCTCTTTCGTACGAGAGCCCAACCCTTACTTGACAATACATTGTCGCCAGATGAGCCGATGGAAAGTTTCGGAAAGTTTCCACCTAAGCGACATGCTTCGACATGAAGGTTGACGCCGAGTCCAATATTCTGAAGCAATTGACTTCCGACTTGTAACTCCTTCTTAGAACCAGTTGATAAGGATACATCGATCGCGACCAGATGATGGCGACGTCTTCCAATGACACGTGCTGAGTGGCTCAGGTATGTGATGAATTCCACAGGGCCAATTTGACCTTCCGCAGTCATTCGGTGTCGTTTTCGTTTAAGACTGGTCCTGGAGGTGTTCTGTTGCAGTCGTATCGATTGATATTTCAGGTCATAAAGCCGCAGAGAATCTTGGAAAGAGAAAATGGCGAATGCCGGTGTGATGGCCATGATTTCATAGCTCCCATTGACAGCGGTGTTTAAGGTAGAAACAGAAGCAGGTATCACCTTCGAGAGATCATACGTCGAAAATGTTGCTCCAGACTTAACATAAAGATGAGAAGCATGGTGGCCGAAGGTGCAGCGCCTATCCTTTGCGTTGCCATGCTGCAGGATTTCATGTTCAAACAAGGGCGTAACAGAGGCCATTTGAAGCAGATTTCCCCCTTCGGTGAGGTTGACTGGCCACACACCGTAGAACAGTCTTCGATCGTCATCATCAGGTAGAGCCTTGGTGTATGCGAGAGCGATGTAAGAAGTATTAGCCTTGATATCACCTAGCAGGTCCGATCGCTGCTTCAAGACCGACTTCTCTGCATCCGCCGACGTGAGGTGCTGTACCGCAAGAACCTGGAGGTAAGGATGCTCTTTAGTATTCAATGATATCCTGGCTACTCTTCTATCCAGATCCGCAGAAAATATTGTAAGGTTACCATTGGCTTGGGCGACTAGGACTTGGTTTCCGGAAAGCGGCAAGACATCAACAAGCAGGACAGGCTCCTGTCCGTCGAGTTGAGGACTTCTGACAGATTTGACATCCTGCTGTTCACCATCAAGGCTTTCGAATAATTGTATCTGCAAGGACTGCAGCTTTATGGCACAATAGGATTTTCGGTGTGTCTTGTCATCTACCGCAACACGGATTGAGCATGGCGGACCGGAGAAGGAAGAATTTGGTGGTACCGGATATGAGGTCAAGATATTTCCATCTTGCGCCTGGAGAAGTTAGTGACAATGTAGTGCAACCGCAGCTTCTATAATCATACTTCGTATATATTCAGAGAGTTTCCATCCACCGCAGCACAAATTTCCTTCCTCCTTCTTTTTGATCCGTCACGCACTGTGAAAACTGGGCCAACATGAGTCGCAGCATCTGGTCGTGCAGTGCGCGGAAGCCTCACTAGAGGATGTGGAGCAGAGATTTCCATTGTCAGGGCGTTGGCATATTTCCTGTCTTGCTGAAACCAGATGTCTTGAGGATGTTCGCAAGCCTTGACAAAAATTCACAGGCTGCGGAGAAACTGCTGCCGCAGTTTTGCCGTGGCTGGCAATTACTGTAGTAGCCTCAGCAGCCCAGGGCTGGTTAAATCATCTAGCGGTCGATCTCCCGCTCAAAAAGTAGCACACTATCTACGGACTAATTGCCCCCTAGACTATCGGTAATCGCGTCACCGACGCGCTTCATCTCGGCCACTTCAGTGTCTTTGAGAGAGACACGCGCATTTTCCTGTGACCATACTAGTTACTTAACAACGAAGGCCTGATCTTCGTGCTCCATGGTGCACCTTGTTCTGGAGCACTCTGGCAGCTAGATCTTCAGACACATCTCGCCGGCACTACAGTATTCATGCCACCAACAATTCGAGTTCAAGGAGCCAGGAAGTGAATGGCGGCGGTCCTGGATTGCGGCAATGGATCAGGACGGTCTGCTCAGATGCATCCTTTCTTCCAAAAAGGCAAGACTGTACAGTGAGATGGTTCTTTCAAAGACTAATTTCTCTAGCCATAGTGCCGCATTATGGCCTTTCTCATGACGGTTCTCGATTCGACGTCCCACCAAGGCTTGACGGTAATCCGCAACCAAATAGAGACTCGGCTGATAGCCCACCTTCGGATTTATCACCACCGCCGCCTTCGTATGATGCACACCGTGTTACCTCCGGTTCTCAATGCTACCCAATGACTTCGAATTATCGGGAGTCTGGGGCATCATCCCTCAGCAACTTCGACGGAAACGCTTTGGATGAGGAGAGCAGAAGGGCCAAGCGCAGAAAGATATTGTTAGAAGCCGACGAAGCAAAATTTGAATTCAGCGGGTCTATCAATACACACCAGCAATCATGGCAAACTCAACTCGAAAACGCCGCTAGACAGGATCCCGAATTAGAGGAGCGCCAGGAAGATTGTCAAGGATTTATGGACACAGTACCAGAACATCCTCGAGGCTATCCTAAAGATTTGGTCGCTACCTCTGGACCTCCAAATACACCTCCGAATCTGACATCACTGGTGCAAGTGCAGCATCCGATGTTAGAACGCTCAGATGCTCTCAAGAACGCTGTTTCGGTCGAGGAAAGCATTTCGACTGATGAGAAAAAGATGGCGATTTCTGGTGATCAGCCCAAAATCACTGATTCCTTAAATGCATCAATCAGACGCTCCCCAAGAACAAAACGGACCGATGAAGACCGATCGGATAAGCCGAGGAGGGCAGCACGGCAGGGCAAGAAGGTTGAGATGAAGAATGGCAAATTCGTATCCACTCTCCGAGTCATTTTGACCTACGCGAACAAGGACGCCGGCCAGAAGATTGACGAAATACTCTCAGCAGAACCAGCAAAAGCTTCTGGATCGGTAGTGCCGCAGAAGAAAGGTAGAACTGCCACTGAGAAGAAGGCTACGCACCCTTTCTTTCTGGGGAAAACAGCCGTCAACACCGATAAGCTACCATCAGTCAAGAGCGAAACGTCTTCTCTTGCTCCGGCATCAGAAGATGAAATTGCAATTACGAAAGCGCCCAAACCCTGGAAAGATATCGTATTTACTACCAAAAAGGCATTCCTGGACAAATCAGTCAACCTCATGCCTAGTCTCTGGCCACCAATCTCACTCCAACGAATACAGCCAGAATGTCCCTTCTTATACGACTCGGCTATGCTGAGTGAAGTTGCAGCCATGCCCAAATCCAAAAATCGTGATCTCATTATTCCGGTGGAGGAAGATGCTCTGCACATATTTGCCGGACAGCTGAAGGGCATCTCAGATCCTTCAGCTTTGGTTGAAGTTCCGACTCGCAAGATCATGAGCGGCGATGAGCTAGCCCTGACTCTCGATTGTCATGCTACCACAGCATATGGCAGTACCGACCGCCTACAAGCGTTGCGACTACCTCTGATCAAACGAATCCGAACTAGACCCAGCCCCTTCGACATTGGTAAAGCTGCCGGTCCGCACATGTGGCCTCAAGAATATGGTCCTACCTGTTGGCAAGAAGTTCTTCAAGACCAGAGCCAAGTCCTATACGACTGGCTTAGCAATTTGCAGGTGCACCAAGTTCAAACAGGTGCACATATATCAAAAGCGAAGCTTCCACCCACGAAGAAGAGACGAAAGAGGAAGACAGATGGGATGGATGATTTTATTGCATATTCTGATGACGATGATGATCAGAGCTTTGCCCCGTATGGAAAGAATGCCATTCTAATAGTTGGACCTTGTGGTTGTGGGAAAACTGCATCCGTTTACGCCATTGCTCAACAATTGGGGTTCGAGGTCTTCGAATTGCATCCAGGTATAAGGCGCAGCGCCAGAGACATCCAGGAGAAGGTTGGCGACATGACGCAAAATCACCTTGTTCAACAAGCTGATTCGCAAAGTCGAAGATCAAGTGTGTCCTCGGCAGCTCCAGGAACATCTCTGGCGTCAGAACCAGTTTCGACAAATCAACAATCGATAGCAAGTCTCTGGGGAATGTCAAAAGGATTGAAGCAGAAAGAAATGACAGACAACAAGCAGGAGACCAAAGTGCGGTCACAAAAGCAATCACTCATCCTCTTTGAAGAAGTCGACATCCTTTTCGAAGAGGACAAAGGATTTTGGTCGGGTGTACAGTCTCTTATCAGCAGCTCGAAAAGGCCGGTCATCATGACCTGTAACAGCCTTGAATCGGTTCCACTTGACGAGCTTGATCTTTTTACGGTATTGGCTTTTGACAGACCTCAACCCGTCCTTGCTGTGGACCACCTTCAAAGCATAGCAGCAGCTGAAGGCCACTTACTGAACAGAGATTCTATTGAAAGACTATACGCCAGCAAAGGGCATGATCTGCGTGCATCTATAACTGAGCTCAATCTTTGGTGTCAGATGACGGTAGGATCAACGCAAGGTGGTCTCGACTGGATGCTCCCATGCAATATGAAGGCACGATCGAATCAGGACGACTCTGTACTTCGTATCATAAGTCAGGATACTTTCACGACCGGACTTGACCTATTACCTAATGGCCACAGTGATATGGAGGACATGGTTCGACTCACGCAAGACAGTCTGGAAGTTCCGGCAGTTGATTGGATCCGGGATGAGATTCCTGTCGAAGACACTGATGAGCGACGTCTTGAGACCCTTGACGCCATGCTCTCCATTTCTGAAATAAGGAGTACTATGGACTTACTTGGTCCCTATACGTCGCCTATCCTGGCTACTTTCATACCGACGACATCAGGCGGCGAGAAAAGAAAGACCCCAAGGGAGAAGGCCGTTGACTCGGTCGTAGAGCGCTTGACACAAAAGCGCATGTCCAGACTCGACGTCACTGATGCCTTTGAGATGTTGATGGAGGACTACAGGATCGCGTTACCAACTGCACCAGGTCGCAAGGCCCCTTCACTCGACAATGCCGCTCAGTCTGTAGTGACTGATGTAGCGCCATACGTGCGAAATATCGTCTCACATGAACAGAGACTGGAACAGATCCGTCATGAACTCAACGGTGGGTCACAGGTCAAACGACAACGCAAGACTCGAGCAGCGAGAGCTGCTCTGGAAGGTGGAAATAAGGGTACTACTCGTCGTGATAGGTGGTTCCCAGACGGTCTTGATTTCTCGGCGGTTCTTGCGACAGGAAATGCCTGGCCTCAGTTGAAGCCAGAGGAGTCGTATTCCGGCCCGGATACGCCGGCGTCCTCCATAACCACCGACCCAGAGGCTGATCTCGTGGGACCGGGTCGGCTTTGAGCCATGAAGTACCTAGCCATTCTCAAGATCTGCAGATTGAATCTATCTTAGAATGCTTTTCCAGTAGCAAGGAGATCGACAAACAGAGTCTCTTGCCAGACCAGGGCTAGCTACATGTAAATTAATGCGCTGCCATGAGATGCAGGCGATAGATATGAACATATGATCAACATAACAACACCTTCATGCGTCTCACATCTGATATGTCTCTGGGATTCCCGGTTGCACTATGTGCAGAATCATGTTGTACAGTATTCGAAATGCAGTGTGTTAAGTCAAGAGCTTGGGCCAGATCTGACTTCAATAGGGGCATATCATCAGTTACTCTAAACGCCTGAATTGCGAAAAACTACCCAGGTGGCGTTAAGCTATCATCAAATGGCGTATCAAATACAGCGGCAGTGTAGATCCGAGCACAGAGAGATATATAAAGCCCAGATTCGTAGTAATCATAGTGATCATTATCATACCGTCACAGTCGTTTATCGTTGGGATGGTCCCCGACCAGGGTTTCGTTTCAACATCTTGGTAAATTTCTACCACCGTTGCGGGTCATCTTATCGACCAACCTCTTCCAAGACTCTAGATCGCTTCCGTCGGCGTACCTGAGTGTCGTGTCCCAGACTCCCGGCGTGAATGCGCGCTTGACGGGATCGATCGAGCTGTACAAGAAGACCCTCGAGCGGTGGAGGTGTTTGCGGCACGCGGTGGTCGAGAACCTGGTGTACTCGTCACACAGGTTGTCGAGGGCGGCGGCCTCGATGAGACTATCGCAGACCCACGACATGTTGAGGGAATCCTTGCGGAACGCGCACAGCTCCGGACTGTGTCGGTGACGCTTGTCGAAATAGCACGGCATCCGCTCGGATACGAGTGAGATGTCGTACGTGACTGAAACCGAGGTGAGTTTGCACGTCGCCGCATTGACGAGCATCCCGAAGAAATCGGACCAGGTGGGAGCATCGGGGAAGTCGAGCGTCTCGGCGGCGGCGTCCGATGACTCGACATTGTCGTTGGTGGTGGTGTGACAAAAACAGTTGTGCAGTGTAACGGATTCGAGAATGGTCGCGTGGAAGGGATACGTCAGGTAGTCGACGAGCCTGCTGTCAATGAACATGTTTTCGAGGCTCAAATGGCGGAGTTGGGGGAAATGTGAAGGAAGTGGGCACAGCGCTGTCTGATCGTCAGCGGTTTTCCGTGTCTAACTCAGGGAGGACCGGAAGGACGTCGCTCAAACGAGAAATCATTCTTGGTTTACAACTGGGAACGGAATAGACTAAATCAACTGTAAGATATGATCGCTTTTTCCTGATAAATAGTGGCCTGAAATGGAACGAAACACCAAAAGCCAAGCAGGTGCGAAACCACGTCAATATGAAAAGACACAATGTATGATAAATACTCACTCGAATACGATGGCACGTCATTAAACTTTAGCGCGACCTGCCATGCTGCATTTGCCACTAATTTGAACTCAGTGATAGAGTGGAGGCTATCGTAGAACCATCCGGTAATCATGTATCGAAACCAACCAGTCTTGGGGAGCCTGACGCGGTCTCCGGCGATCGATTGGAACTTGCACAGGGACATTGTGAATGATGTGATTTTCCTCAGGAATTCGCCGAGGCATGGCTGGTGGTAGACGCCAGAAGGGTGAGGAGCCACGTTGTGAATCGTCAACGCAAAGCCATTGGGCTTTTCGGCCATGTCGTGGTTTTTGGCAACAGAGTCGAAGATGGTCCACAGCAGCCTGCGATGCAAGTGGACGCGTTCGTAGTCTGTCAGGGGCGACTGCTCCGGTTCAAAGGAAAAGCAGGGCCAGTAAACCTGATTGAGGGTCAGCCACTCGTCGGGGAAGTAGAGAGTCAAAGATTCCAGGCTGGGCGGGAGCTGGCGTAGAATAGTTTCGATGAACGAGCAATTGATCCATGTGAAGTGCCTTTTGTACATGTATCTGTGGGCGCTGAGGTCGCGGCACATGCGTGAGCGGCGGAGGACCGACCTTCCCGTCGCACAAGACAATGTCAGTGACTTGACATGTCGGTTCGATCTGAGTGTCTGGACGCATGGGGAAGAGTTGATGTGGATGCCGATGGTGACCGAGTTAAAGACAAGAGGTGCAAAAAGAGCCCTGTAGAAACGACATGTCGAACTCCATTGAAGGAGGGTCAGAAGGTCTGAACTGGAAAGGTGATATCCGATCTGGTCGATGACTTCTTGTGGAAGATTATCGATTGGGAAAACCCGAGGATCAACATGAATTGAGGTCCTGACGAGACCCTCTGTGGCCATGATCGAGGCACATTGTACAATATGTACCAGGCGAGAAATCCAGATGAGATATGGGAAGAAGGGAGATCAAGGCTGAAGTCTTCGAGGAGAACGAAGAACGCTGCTCTAAGTCGTTGCACCCAATTCGGAGGGGATGACGTCAACTCGCCCGGATCAACGTTTACTCCTTTTTCCGGGCTTCGGACAACGCACTTTACACTTTGGGTGAAGCTGGTTCATTTTAAATATAGGAACGACGACCATGCGCTGGCTACACTGCATCCAGGAAACATCTCGTTATCACACGCGGAACACCATTACATGAGCTCATTCCCAGCCTTGTTCCATCCAGAATAATCTGGTACTCGTTCACCGTCCAACGGCGGACCTGTCACAATATCCTCCTACTTCGGTGCGGCAGAACGCATGTGGCCCTCCATCAATCTGTCCTGAATGTCCAGTCAGCACACAGTGTTCAAGGTTTCGCCATCGTCAACTACTTACAATCATCCATTGAGGCAACAATCGTACAGCATATTGGGCACCCCCTGCTCCAGATCCCACCCAAAGCTTCCCGGTTGTCCCTTTCTCCACCTCACGGACAACCTTATGTGCGTAATCCTTTGAATTTACGGCATTGGCTTGCAGTCTGCCGTCGGAAAGGCCGTAGATGAACTCTTTCTCATCTTCATAACGCGATCCATCAGGAAGTCTCGTCGCTTGGTTGTTCTCGAAGAAGTTGGTTTTGACACCACCGCTTATCAGTGTGATGGTTCTGACGTCAAATCGGGCGAGCTCGAGACGAAGGGTCTCGCTAGCATTGATCAAGGCGGCTTTCGAAGCACCATACATGCCTTGAACTTCGGTCAGCTAGTTCTTCAAAAGTTGGCGTGACATCAGGACGTACTGTTATAGAGCATAGGTATTTTCCCGGTGATGGACGAATTATTTACAAGGCACCCTTTGGCATCGATCAAGAGGGGAGCAAATGCCTGTGTCACGGCAATTGGTGCCCAAAAGTTGAGGTCAAACAGCTTTTTCCCTTCCTCGATGGATGTGTCTAGAGCAGGCAGGATAAGTCCCCCTCCACTATTGTTCACCAGGACATCGAGCTTGCCCCCGGTCTGTGACTTGACATTCTCAACGGCTTCTCTGATTGAATCTGATGACAGGACATCCAGTTTCAGTACGGTCACCTTGGGAGCCGTGGCGAGAGATTTCGCGATCTTGGACGGTGTGCGCGCGGTTGCAAAGACGTGATAGCCACTCTCATGGAATGCCTCAGCCAGAGCTCCGCCTATACCACCAGCCGAGCAGCCGGTGATGAGCACTGTCTTGACTTTTGCTGACATGTTGTGGGATATCAGCAATGTGCTATGGCTGTTGCTGCGAGGTAAAGTGATCGGTGTTGCGATGAAGATGATCCAGAGTGCATGACGACCGGTGCGCTCCTCTGGCACTTTATACCAACGCTCTGGAGACACTCCTGTTCCATTTTCCACACGAGACTAACCCTCCGTCGGATAGCTGAAGCAGATAATGTGCCCTCATCATCTCAACTGCTGCCACTCCCACAGCACTAAATCCGACGCTATTCCTAAAATAGCAAACAATATCAAGTCTTGGCGCGCCAGGCGACCTTCTTCCGTGTCGAAGCTCAAGCGTCAGCTTATGATTGAATGTCAAAAACGAACGATGATTGACGCGTGCTCAATACTGCCTTTATATGGTGATTAAGGCACATCTGCTCGGCCCCATACTCCTTGGATTTCGAGTCGAACCGGACTTCCGAAGGAATATTTCGACAGGTCCAGCGTAGTGCTTGCATTGGTGATGGCCTCGTTTGTCTTCGCTTTTCGACACCTCACTAGCAAAGATGCATTTCATCATCTCTACCAACTCTCAGAAAGGCAATGAAGATGATAAGAAGATGATCAGACGCCATGTCATGCTCGGCAAGAACAAGGGAAGGACTCGACCTAGCAAGCGCAAGGAATCATCCATATCTTGCGTCTCTGTAAGAGTTGGGCCCAATGGCAATCCGCTTGTGGCGCTGAGCCTGGTGGACGACATGTACCGTTCTTTCATTCCCATCAGAGTTGGCTCGGATTGCTCCTGCAGCGAAATTGCTGCAGACGTGGAGCAGGACACTTTCGGAGATATCATGAAATGTAGTCCTCCTCCTGGTCACAGTTTCACAAAACGTCGGCTAACCACCTATGCATATCAGTTGCGGCCGTCGCACCCAAGATTTTGTTCCCATTGGCGGTATTGATAGGCTTCGAACCCCAGGACCGTGACTGGTGTGACGCACTAACCTACGACGCTGCCTATCTCCATGCAACCATGTCCTTGGTTGAAGTATTGGTTGATAACGTTATGGTGCGACGACATAAAGTTGTCAACAAGAGCGCCACCCGCCACTTGGTGAAGACTGTCCAGCTTCTTCGGGAGAAAATGCTTGAAAGAAAGGAAATCTATGCATCTGACTCGACCATGAGAGTGATCTTGGTTCTAGCCATCACTGCGTTTTTCCTGTGGGATCATGAGACTGCGAAGAAGCACATGCAGGCACTCCGCTCAATTGTTGACCTGAGAGGTGGCTTGGCCACGTTCCATGCCCAAAAGATTTTGCTGACACTACTTAAGTAAGTGTTCCACAATACGGTTCATATATCGCTAACAATGTCAAATTAGATGTGATCTTTGTATCTCCCTGCATACTGGAACCAAGCCAATGTTCTTCAACGCTCCGTTCCGAGAACCCAATATGCCTTACCCAGAACAGAAAATCTTAACAATCGGAAAGAGTCCCGAATACCGGGATTCTCAGGTGCGAGACAGCATTCTCCACGATGTACACTACGACATAGCCACCTCATGGCTAGTACTGCAGAGATTCTGTTCACTGGCCAATCTCGCCGCGCAGAGCCACGGGTTAATGCCTACACAACTGCATGTGCAGACTATGGCTTCGGTAACGTATAGGCTTTTGGACTTGAATCAATTTCAGGCCAAGTCGCAAGAGGAAATGATTCGACTTGGACTTCTCGCCTTCACTCACCACATCTTTCTTCAATACCAACATCTGAAGCTGCCATACAGTCATTTCCAATACTTGCTCGAAAGGAGCCTAGCCAGAAAAGAACTTTCTGATATTGCAAACCCTCAACTAACGCTGTGGATATTGATGGTTGCGGTCATTTCGATTCCCAATTTAGCCGAGGACATCTGGCTGTTTAAGTCTCTGCAGACACTCTTCCAAGTCTGTAACATTACGTCGTGGACTGGTCTGCGGGGCTTTATGAAGTCAATGATGTGGATCGACGTTTTACATGATAAACCAGGAAAAGACATTTACGAGGCCGTATCAACATGCTCGGATATGGAATCAACATGTCGGGCTGAAAAGGGCGTTGTCTTCACTCTGAGCTAATGATTTGGATGGGGACTTCGATGTTGTGATATATACACTGTCAATATATTAAAAGCTCCGCCTTGCGCATATCGTTTGAGCATAGGTGAGCATGTTAAGCTAGCAACCTGAGGTAGAAAATGGTAAATCAAAACTCGTAACTACTTGGGGCTTTTCGGGTCGCTGCTTTTAGCCTAGTGCTAACGTAGCCAGCAACGAATTACGAACCTCGGCATCTTTTGGGGCCCATACAATGTTCATTGCTGCGAATGCGTCTGCAGCATAATCACCATCGACGACAAACAAGCGACTGATCGCGGCGTCAATGGAAGGGCAACCTGTTGTCGTATGAGTACGATGGAACAGACTTTTCAAAACCATTCAATGCATCAATAACATAATCCTTCATCATGGAATATCTCAACGCGCTTCAGTCGCCCGTTGACGATTTCAAACCATCACTTTTCGAACTTCTTTCGGAGCAGCAACTTGCCGCGCTTCTTCCGCCTACATTACGCTATCTTCTCGCTGTCGCGACTCACAGACATCCCCGATACCTATTGCGGATCCTGAACAATTACGATGAAGTATACGGGCTGTTGAGTCTTGTGGTGGAGCGATATTATCTCAAAACATTTGGTGGCAGTTTCACAGAGAACTTCTACGGACTGAAAAGAGAAAAGGTCCTGAACATCAATGGCGGCGAGATCAAAAGGACACAGTTGGCGGTTCCAGAAGAGGTTCGCCAGAGATTGAAGCTGAGCGGCACCGACATATGGAAAAATCTCGTCGTCCTCGTCGGCATTCCCTACTTGAAGAGAAAGCTGGACGAAAGCTATGATATACATATCGCGCCGACTGCCAGTCTGCTCATGGCAGGAGGGCCAAGATACCTCAACAGGGACGAGCTCCCTCCGAATCCGACCATCCGACAGCGCTTGATGTGGTATTACAAGTGGTTCCTCCGGAATGTGTACCCCAGCATAAATGCAGCCTACCACTTCAGCATACTGGCATTCAGCTTAGGATACCTCTTTGATGGGACAAAGTATTCAAACCCATTTTTGTGGATGATAGGAACACGAATGCGGAGGATGGGAGCTGCCGACTACCGGGCCATCGACGCCGCGAGCGAAGCCGCATCGAAAGCTACCAATGTCGGGGGTTTACCAGGCCAGGGTCTTAGCGGTTTGCTACACCCACGCACTCTTTATCCTCGGATCTTGTCAAGTCTGCGAATTCTCCTCCCCACAAGTATATTTGCTTTGAAATTTCTGGAATGGTGGCACGCCAGCGACTTCTCACGACAGTTGAGCAGGAAAGCCTCAGAGGGCCTAGAATTACCACCGCCCATCGTCTCTGGGATGGGCTTAGCACAACGAGTCGCCTCTGGGCAGGATCCCAGCACGCCAAACACCGCTGCGAAACGAAATCCGCCAGTGTCCAGCATCACATATCTGCCGATCCTCACTGTACCTCCGCCGCCTTCGAGCGATCTCTGTCCAATTTGTTTGCACCCCATCTCAACCGCTGCATCATGCCAGACCGGCTATGTTTTCGATTATAAATGCATATTCCAATGGATCGAAGGGACGCACGAAAGACAAGAAGCTTTCATGAAAGGGGAAAAGATGAGTGAATGGGAGGAGGATGACGAAGACGAGGCGTCTCCCGAGAAAGATGGAGAGGCACAGGGGAAAGCTCCCCAAAGCCGAGAAGGCCACTGGGAAAGTGGCAAAGGTCGTTGCGCAGTCACTGGCCGGCGGGTCCTGGGCGGCACGAGTGGTCTGCGTAGAATCATGGTGTGATTAAGGTGTTGGTTGATACTTCTCCATTCTACTTATGCCGGTATTATGTTCAGGTTGAGGACTGGCCGAACTAAGGGCTCTCTCGATGTTACTCCTGTGGCGACAAACTCCCCGTTGTGTTCTAGCCATAGTAACCTGACCACAGGCGAGAAGTGGTCACGATTGCCGTGTCATTCTCGACTGCTAGGGGTAAATGTCGGCTGAAAGTCTCCCAAGCCCAAGGCATCATGTCCATCTACAGTCTGAAACAGACAGGGCAGCAGGTCCCCCCATCTTATGCATGACGAGCATTACTATCTAGTGCACTCTAAGTCGAAGTCCGGAGATTTCGTAAGCGACGGTGGTTAATAGGCGAGTCAAGCCGAGCGGGGCGGGGCGGATTCAGGGGATGAAACACTTGCATCTCTTGGCAGGACAATCTTCTACTTGAGTTCCACTCCACGAACGTTGAGAAGACTTAGTACCCATGGACAATCTTTTCTTTGCAATGCTGCACAGAGAACTCCGTACCTCTTACAGAGATCATGTTGTCGAGTCGAACTATACAGATCCATCACATTACGCCTGGGACGCCAATTTCACCTTGACATACAGATATATATTGGCTGATCAAACCCACATTCCATCAGTGCCTAAAACAACATGATCGCTCGTCGACTTTTTTCTGAAACAGATACCTCCCGCCGAGTCCTCTGGCAACATTCTTGGCAATATGGCAGATCTGGTACTTGTTTTCTTGGTACGGAGTACAGAGTACGATAGATCCAGTGTTTTCATCCCGACTACGATGCTATCACCCCTATATGTCTTCTGAGCACCAGCAACTCCCCGGCGACCGATTCACCTTGTATCAAACTTGTACTCCATTCGCTCCTATTCGTCCCCTGCAGAGGCAGCCATGGCACTCCATCGGTGTCATATTGCACCCCTCCAATGTGAAACTCACTATGACCGTTGTCAAATTGCTTTCTGAGCTGGATATCTTGGGTAACTGTGGACGATGCTGGTATATAGGCAACGACTTGCCTTGCCCAATCCCTATATTCCTTTTCCTTCAGAGTAACAAATTTCCTCCAAAAGCTTCAAGCAGGTCTTTCGTTTTGCAGGTCAATTGACCGTTTCGTTCTTTTGTATATTCGCCCACGTTCATTTTTCTTCCATCGACACGGAAGCACTTTATTGACTGAAGCCCCCTACATTTTTGCCTCCTCTCTGAGCAGAACCATATCAACGACAGCGTGCAGCATTTACCTCTCACCGTCACATATATCACCAGGAGATGTCTCTCGTCAAATCTACCGCCCTGGTTGGGGTTCTCGGTCTTGTTTCCAGAGTGTCGGCTCACGGCATCGTGTCCGGCATTGTCGCTGGCGGCAAATGGTACTCTGGCTACAACCCAAGCTTCCAATATCAGAACCCACCACCCGTCGTCGCCGGGTGGTCCATCCCCGAGGACAATGACTATGGCTTCGTCAGCGACTACACCTCCCCCGACATCATCTGCCACAAGGGCGCCACGCCGGGCGGCGTTTACGTGAGCGTGGCGGCCGGCGAGTCCTTGGAACTTCAATGGAGCGAATGGCCCGAGTCCCATCGAGGTCCCATGATCGACTATCTCGCTTCCTGTGGCGACGGTGACTGCACCTCGGTCGACAAGACCCAACTCAAGTTCAACAAGATCGACGAGGCCGGTCTCGTGGACGGTTCCAACCCTCCCGGCACGTGGGCCTCCGACGACATGATCGCCAACAACAACTCTTGGGTCGTCACCGTCCCTTCCACCATCGCACCGGGCAAGTACGTCCTCCGTCACGAGACCATCGCCCTGCACTCGGCCTTTGACGTCGGCGGTGCCCAAAATTACCCCCAGTGCATCAACCTAGAGATCACCGGGTCCGGCTCGACCTCTCTGACCGGGGGTACCGTGGGCACGGAACTCTACGACGCCCAAGATCCTGGCATCCTGATCAACATCTACGAGGCCCCCATCAAGTCTTACGTCGTCCCTGGACCTCCTCTGTTCGACGGCTCTTCTTCGCCTGGTGGCGGCGGTGGATCTGGATCCCAGCAGAAGCCCTCGGGATCGTTGTCTGTGTCTTCGTCTGCGACAGCAAATGGCTCTTCATTCGCCCCCGCCGCCTCTTCCACAGGCTTCGCCATCACCAACTTCCCATCCAGACCGGTGGCGATCGTCACCTCTACCTCTTCCGCTGCCCCCGTCGAACCCACCGAGACTGGCGCCGAGGAGTGTCCTGCCGAGACCGCCCCCGTCGCCATCTTACCCGTGACTTCGTTCACGAGCAACGTCGCCGCGGCCATCACTCTCGCTCCGGAATCGTCCACGACCCCGGTAGCTACAGGCACCAGTCCCGCCTCCTTCACGAGCACCGTCATCGGTCGGACAGGCCAGACTACGAAGTTTGTATGCCATGTCGTTGACTAGGTTGTGGGAATAGGGGAAGCCGTTTCTCGAGATTCGTGTGGTATAGTTCCGTTCTTTTTTTCTCAAAACCCAAGCAACACTCAGCGACCAGCGACAAGCACCTGGTGATTTTTTGAGGAAATTTTTGTTTTTTCCAAGACAGAAGCTTTGATGATATATTATATGCTGAGCGGTTTTTGTTTCCATCTATGTCATACTAGACCGGTCTAGTTCCCTCGAGGGGCTTTTGTTTCTACATAAAACATGCAGATATATGCATCCTGTCATGTCTCCCGTGCATGATTCTGTGGACATTGAAAACATGGCCCATTCTTGAACTTGTAGCGATTTATATTTTTCATTCCGGGGCTCGTAACGCAATTGCCCATTGTTCCTTCTTGGACAATCCATTTCCTCACAACCCGCATGAAAGCCCAGGTCTAATAAACGTCTGAGGTAAGAGGTCGCCTAGTCTCAAATCTACCGTTCGACGAATCTGGTCTGTTCGATTAAACGAACACACTCCCACCCAAGACGCCGTGCAATTGTGGTTTATTTCACGTTCAAATCAACCTCGTCACCACTTTTCATGCGTCCGAAGCACTTCTTCCACAACTCATTCTCCTCGCCCAGGAAGTACGTCAGGTCCACGCCGTCCATGCCCGTCTCGTCGTCGTCCCCGGCCATGGACTCGAGTTGGGAGATGATGTTGGCGAGCCCAAAGGCCTTGCCGACGCTCTGGGTGGTGCCGGCCTCCAGCATGACGTGTACGACGTGGATGTGGAAGTGGTAGTAGGTGGGTTGATAGTGGACATAACACTTCAATTCGTCGGGCTCGACCTGGCCGGCTGGGAAAACTTTGGTGGTGGCGGTTTTGATGACCTGGTTCCGTACGGCCCTGAGCCAAGGGATGTGCTTCTTTTTCAAGTCCCGGAGGGACCAGATGTCCCGCCGCTGAACGAGGGCGAGTAAGTGCATCCCCTGTACGGTCTTGCGGTCCCAGTTGAGGTCGGGTAGGATGAGAAACCCGGAATTGGAAGGAGAGTCCCAGTCGCACCGGGCGATGACGTCTTCTTGCTCCGTCCGACCTTCGAGAATGTTAAAGACCCAGTCGAGTCGGCCCGCCGCGCGTTGGCTGGACATGTAAGGGCGGACGTGCCGACTGTAAACGTCGGGGGTTTCGGTGACCATGCGAACACGCTGTGAAGAGTACTTTTGCACGTGTTTCGGTGTGCAAGGGTAGATGAGATTCAGTTTCAGGTCGTGCATTTGTGGTAAGACTGGAGAGACCGACCCAGTCTCTGAAGACGGCGCGAAATTGGCTCTTCGGTCGGCCATGTACCATCTGTAGATGTCGTTGGCTCCGAGGTTGGTCGTGTTGGTGAGGGACGACAGTAGTTGCGTGACGAGTGTCGAGTCCGTGGGGAACGCGGCCCTTTCGAGTGTGATGACGGCCGGTTGGGACGAGATTGCGCCCAGGAGGGATATACGCCGGCCATTTTGGTCTGTGACACGGTGAGTACGTTGACTCATGCTACGTTACGATGCCTTCGAGGGTGGTGCTGATTTTGTTTCAAGCACGTATTCGATTCTTACCTTGATTGAGCACTCTTTCGAGTTGGAATTGAGGAACCAACGACTCGGCTTGAGATTTTGTCTCTGGAGGGTTTGTGGCCATGATAGAATGGCAGGCCGAGTAGGAGTTTGGGCTGTTGACTAGGAAAGGTATTTAGGAGGACCGGCCAAAGACTCTAGTGCACTTGATTCAATGAGACTGAAGTCAGAGAAAGATATAAAATAAGAAATGACTAAGCAGCCAAGGTTATCGAGACGCCGAAACTATGCGCGCTAAACAACGACAAGATGTCGAGGATGGTGACTCAAAGGCCTCCTCACAACTTCCATCCAGGACGGTGGTACTTTGAAAACCTCCTGCTTACGAATGACGAATGTCCTCGATACTACATCGTACATTACCCGGCATTTAATGTAAGAAAGGTATCTTCATCACATTTCCAAAAAAGGGCATCTCTCCAAAATGCCAAGCCATCTCTCTCTCTCTTTCTCTCTAAAGGGGGGCTTCCTCCATGACTCCCTAAATGCCTCGTATAAGAAGGCAGGAGGGGGCCGATGTTTGTTCTTGTCTGGCATAGTTACGGCTTATCCTGAATACTTGGACATTCCCCAAACCCTCCTCGGACAACATGGCCGCTCAAATGCCCAACCCCCTCGAAGCCCCTTCGCAAGTGCTGGATCTCTTGGACCGTTTACATAAAGAATCCGAGTCGCAAGAAAGCGCGTTCGACATTACTAAATACAACCCCGATAGTCTCCACGACGCGGCCAAGGACAAGTTCATCGCTCTGGATCAAGACAAATGCCAATTCGTCTACCAGATGTGCAGGGCCATCAATGCGAAGAACGTCGTCGAGGCCGGTACCAGTTTCGGCGTGAGCACCATATACTTGGGTTTAGCAGTAACCAGAAACATCGAAGCCACGGGGGGCGCTGGCACCGTCATCGGTACAGAACACGAGCCCGAAAAGGCACAAACAGCTCGAGGATATTGGGCAGAGGCCGGAGAAGCGGTTTCGAGACACATCGACTTGAGGGTCGGGGACCTTCGTGAGACGTTGAAGACCAATTTACCCATGATCGATTTACTTCTCATTGATAGTAAGTTCTTTGACCGACGAATATGACGTTCACAATGACCACAGGCGATCTCTTTTATTTCCCTGTTTTTAACTGACACAAATTGTGTGTAAAACAGTTTGGGCACCAATGACCCTTCCCGCCCTAAAGATCGTCATGCCAAAACTACGATACGGGGCCGTCGTCATTGTCGACAACACCATCGGCTCCGCCGTCAGATACAAGGAATTACTCGACTTTATGAGAGCCCCGAATAGTGGATTCACCAATCTGACGCTGCCATACACCAAAGGACTCGAAATGAGTCTGTATATGCCCTCTCGGATGTAGGATTGGGTCGAGTTGTCCGGTGGCCACATTTTCTGTACTGATTCGAATTGACCATGATGAGCACAGTGGATTTGCTAGTCCAAAGCATTCCAGGACGAGATGGCGGAAGGGCTTGCTATGTTTGAAGCTCGTATGACCACAGTGCGGAAGCTGCTGCCGTCAAGGGAGAAATCCAAGATGGCGAAAAGTGGATAGAAAAGAAGAGTGAGACACAAAATAAAACGACCAGACTTTAGAGCAGAACAATCGAAACATTTTCTTTTGTTGGTCTAACAAGCCGTGTTTACTCAGTGTATCATTATCCGTTGCATTGTCGATGTAAATTTGCGCTTCGAAAAACCAAGCACGGATTTAAGCGCGCGAGACCAAGATATGACATTGTTTGCATACGGGCCCAAGTCTCGAGATGGATTGTATTGACCACTTTCGGCTGAAGGTTGAATTCTGTGCCACTGTCATCTCCACCACGATCATTCGTCCCCGACATCGATATGAAGAGGGCTCCGAGAGGCAGTATAGGAGCTTATATTTTCCACCTCCGATGCTTCTCGCTCACCGACGACGACGATGGCAACAGCAGCTCGAATCTAACCCAAGCGACACATGCACTCGTTGCAAGCAGCAAGGAGCTAACCAAAATCGTCATTCCCGTATAATCATCCGACCTTTTCGCACCGTCGGACCCCCGCACCAAAACTCCAGCAACAGGGGTCCCCACGAGAGCGGCCATACCCTGTGCCATGTACAGGACGCCGGTGGTGTACGGCAGCTGTTTCACCCCGAAAAGCTCCACCAAGATCGCCGGGAACAAACTCACATAGGCACTCGCAAAGATGCTATACAAGACCGTGAAGGCGATGTAGAGGTGTCTCCCGGGTGCTTCGTGAGCAGTACCGAGTACCGCGCTGGGCAACCAGAGCCCGATGGCGGCAACGGCGCTCAAGAAGGTCGAGAGAAAGAAAGTGTTGACTCGGCCCATCTTGTCCGCGACGAAACCTATGGAAATCTTGCCGATGGCGTTGCATGCGTTGCTCACGGCCACGAAATTCGCCCCCTGTTTCTCGGTGTACCCAAGTGACTGTGCATACGACACGAGGAAAAATACCGGGGTGTAGTATGCTGCGCTCTGGAAGGCGGCCCCCAGGCCGTGTGCGATGAATTTGCGTTGCTTGACCATCTGCCACGCAGGGAGAGGGATTCGAAAGAGTCCTCCCGCGGGAGAGATTGCCGCACTCTCTGCGTGCAAGCGACTCCTCATCGTCGGTTCCCAGTCGAGCGCGAAGCCGGCGGCTCCAATCAAAGCCGCCGCCAGAGCACCGGTCAGCCTGAGAGTGTCGCGGAAGCCCATGGTGTCAATACATGCGGTGACGACGGGCGCCCAGACAAGGCCGCCAATGCCCGTGCCGGCAGAAGCTATGCCCATGGCGAGCCCGGTACGGCCTCGAAACCATGTAGGGGTCACCGTCATGGACGGCACGAAGGACAGGCTCGTCCCGATACCCAGCAGCAGACCCTGGGCAAGCTGAAAGTGCCAGAGCGCCGTGCCGAAACTGGCGAGGACGTTGGCCAAGCCGAACAGTAAGGCACCGGCCCAGACAACTCTTGGTGTGTCAAAGTACTTGGCCCAAGCGACCGCAAAAGGCGCAGCCATGGTCATGACAGAAGCAGAAAGGCTGCCGATGAGATCAATTTCAGATGAAGAAGCATGAGTGAAAGGGCCAGAATACTGCGTCGCCATCGATTCGTAGAGAGCTTGATATATTCCAAAGGTGAACAGGAGGCCACACGCCGTGAAGTTTACTGTAAACGCCGCAAGTACAGTCACCAGCTGACGACTGGATATAAGTCAGTATCACTGATACCCTTTGCGTGACATGAGAGAGAGGACAAGGTCGCATGTTGGTAGCATAGATGTTGGGTCATGGCAGAACTATCCAATGAAGTGCACATACCATCTCGAAACCCTTGGCTCAGCGTAGCTCTCTGTTGTGCAAGGATCTTCATTTGGAACGTCAGAGTCCACTAGGCCTGCGGTAGTCGTAGATTGATGTTCATTCGGGTGCGTCCCAGGTCCGTAGGGCGCGGTCTCGTCGAGATGAACAGACATTTTGCCCTGTGATATATGAATCCCTGGCGTGGTAATGAAAAGCAAGGAACAGTCCCACGCGGTGCCGGAGTACAGGGAAGTGTAGCCTGTGCTTGAGGGGAATGTGCGAATCGAGAATCCCGAAGGTTCATATGCTCAGACTTTTATATGCTCGAAGTCCTCGAACTCGTACACTGGGTGGCCAACGACGTGCTTTATCCACAATGATCTGTGTTGACCTCGAATGAGACATATAACCGACTTGTACGGCGACTGGCCCCTCTCTCTTTTCCACAAGCCAAAGCATTCTGTAGTCTGGTCGCTGTTGCATCTGGAAAGTGGAACCAGAAAGAAAAGGTCACAGTTGGGGATCGTGCTGTATCAGGTAATTCTCCAGGATGTTCATTGAGTAAGCAAAAGATGAAATGCAGTCCCTCGCACGTGCTGGACACGGAAATGTTTGGTGCCTTGCATATTGCACATTTACATAGCATGCGAGTTCAATATTCGTTGCTCTTTCAGACCTAGATTCCTCGCACAACAGCGGAGTTTAACCTGGAATCGTCGATATTCTACGAGCAATCAACGAATCGACAAGGTACGAGGACGGGCATGTAATTGGCATACCGAGATCGCTTAAGCAGGGCCCACGACCACTACGAGGCTTTTGCTTGTTCACACGAGGAGACATCATGTAAAAAGGAGGGTAAAAGCCGATCGACCCTGGCAGCATTGCGTTGAAAGTGTAGATAGTTACACTGTAAAGGCAGCAAGAAGCTGAAAAGCGGCGACACATTTGATACGGAAACGTCGATTGCTCCCCATGCGTTTCTTCATGACTCCGTGTTTGTTGGTTAAGGACTTTCTATCAACTCATCATATTACAAGAGATACAATGTCACGGGGCTTAGAGTCGCAGCATTTGCCAATCGTCCGGCCTATGATCATACTCAAGGGTACCGACAAGCGATGGGAGAGCAACCCTCATCAAAGCGGCGCAACAACTTCGTCTGCCAATTCTGTGCCAGGCGCTTCGTTCGCCATGAACATCTCCAGCGACATGAACGACTTCGTAAGCATCATGAGTTGACCATGCCTCCTCTGTCTCTTACTTACACCTCGGCCTCACTTGCTTAGATACCAACGAGAAGCCGTTCATCTGCACACAATGCTCTTCGTCCTACACGAGAAGGTTGAATACTAGAAGACTCCCCTAGGACGATTTCCTGATCGTGCTGACTCGAGTGCAGGGATCTACTCGCCCGACATGTCAATTCGGCACATCAACAGCACAATGAATCACTCTCCTCAATGCCAATGATCCATCTTGATGCCTCCTCGTTCGAGAAGAGCAATCGAAGCCCGATTTTGCTGGCCTCGCCTGGAACGGCTGAAGCGACTTTCGACGGAGGGCTACCATTTACGACAACATCATCCTTACACCAGGACGAACCGACCGTTTATTCAACCCAATTGAACTTTGATGAGGACAATACGCTGTCGAACAACATCTCCGAAGCGACAAATTACTTTCCTCCAGTCAGTTACGACATGGGATTCGTTTCCAGTCTGGACTTCAATCAATTCTTGATGCTCTCGCCCCTTCCCTCTTTAGCAGCTAATTCACCTTCCCACGACAGTCCCGAGAAACAACTCAACGCATTGACCCCGAACAGTTGTGCTCCACAAAGCACGAATCACTCGACAAGTTCGTGGGTCCCTCTCTCGGCCGTGCCCGATATGTCGGCCTCAACATCAGAACAGCGCAAGCTTGATTGGGCTATCATTGATGATGACTGGGATCATTTCGTTACGACCATTACACAACTTTGTCCTGAATATGCAGTGTCTCGACTGCCCTCTCGTCAAAGTATATCACGATACATCGCGGCGTATTTCCGGGGGTTTCACGAGCACCTGCCATTTCTACATGCTCCGACAATCAATTTACACGACACAAGGCCACATCTGGTCGTTGCCATCGCCATGATCGGCGCCCAATATTGCCTAGACGTCAAAAGTATGGTTTCGCTTTTTAGCCTTGCGAAGTTGATGGTCCAGAAAGGGATTGACATTCGAAGACAGGCATTTGCAAGCAATGAAAGAGCACCACCGGAATCAGGAAGAACTAATGCAGATGGAACGAGCGATTCGAACGACGAAGCAATCCAGTCCTGCCAAACACTGCTTTTGCTGATGATTGCGGCAACTTGGGGCGCTCCCAAGACCACTTTGAAGGAGGATATGAATCTACAAAGCATCCTTGCAGCCTATATCCGTGAGGAAGGGCTTCTGCGAATCGACGATACCGTCAAACACAACTCGTGGCACGACTGGATTCGAGCAGAAGGGGTAAAACGAACAGTTTTGATCACATTCTGTTTCTTCAACTTTCACACCATCCTTTATAATGTTCCTCCACCTATACTGAATGCCGAGATTCACATGGTGTTACCTTGCTGTGAGGAAGAATGGAGGTGTAGTACTGCTACATCATGGGCAGAGGAGCACGCAAAGGGAAAGAACACCCACCCGGAATTCGGCGTTGCATACAAGAGCCTCTTCCACCCTGCAGCATATGAAGGTCTCAAGACTTGCTCATCATTGGGCGTCTACATTTTGATAACGGCAATCGTACAGCACATCTATGTTATCCGACAGCTCAGTAAGCATACCCTCTTCGACCACACCACGACAATCCCCTCGGAAATTGATACGCTACATCAAGCACTGCGTCGGTGGCAGGAGATTTGGGAGATGGACCCGCATAGATCACTTGGCCCAAACAATCCAAACGGTCCATTACCGTTCAACTCAACCGCCTTGCTTCGAATGGCATATGTCCGTTTAGGCATGGACATTGGCTCCTCATTTACCATGAGCTCTCGTAACCCACAGCAGATCGCTTTCGAAATGCTGCACAGTCCACCCGTTCCTCGCAACCGCCACAGCACGAGGGCGGCACTACATGCTGCTCACACCTTGAACACACCCGTCAAGATTGGGTTGAAGCTTGTAGCCAAAACTCAAGCGTTGACCTGGTCTCTTCAGCATTCCTTGTCATATCTTGAGTCAGCTTTTCTGCTTAGTAAATGGTTGGACAACATCATGCGTTCGCTTGAAAATCCACCGCTAGACGAGGCTGAACAGCAGGTTCTGTCATATGTGCAAGGCATTTTTCATGAAGCCGTTGACAATGACGACGAAGAGACGACTCCATGTATAAACCCTCAAATGAGTATCAGCCTGATTCGAATCTGGGCACAACTAATCCTCGAAGAAGGCATCTGGCCAATAGTAAACATGGTTGGAAAAACTTTGGCCTTGTACGCTGATCTTCTAGCAACCAACAATGGAAAGGATGTTGCCTGATCGAAGCATTGAAGAAGGATACGTAATAATTCTATTCCCAGGGACCACTTCCGAGGAGCCCGACCTCGCCGATCCAAACAAGCTTCTTTCCTTCTAGCCGATTCGCGGCTGTATGCGCTGGAAAGGGTTGGCATTTTGGAGAAGATCTGCCTCATCTCCAGGTTTTGGGATCCACATGTCTCTATGGAGAGATGCCTATTCTAGGAACTCGGTTATATGATGATGATTACTTACTGATAGAGTCATATATCGGCCACTTCTCCGCAGTCGACCACCTGACAGGCACGGCCGTCACTTACTACATAAGAGGCGTGTGCATCCTTGGATGCTACAGGGAGGTATGAAATATGTTGCTGACGAGACATCAGGAGGTTGCTTGTACGACAATGGTCTAAGTTATGCGTCTTTCACTCGGCTTTCCTGACTACTTCCGCCGTCGTAGAGGCTACGATGGCCAATTGCCCCATGGTCCGACCTTCATTATGCAGGCGGGTGTCGCCGGAGTTGCTAAGCTGACAATGGACGGAGCTGATCGAAAAATATCCCCTGATCCCCCTTGGACACTGGAAGTAAGGCTCAGTGGTCAGTCCCGCCGGCATTGAGAGTACTGTGTGCTGACTAGAATGAGCAGGCATTCTGAAATGCGAACTGGACATGAACCCTGACAGTGGATTGTCAGAGTATCGAGCCACCAAGACAACAGAGGTATAGACTCGATCCTTCTAAATTACCAAGAGAAACCTTGCAGCTAACCATATCTTCCTGTAGTTGGTGTCTATGATGCATTTCACGGCGACTGACAATCTTTTCGATCAGATGATGGAGTCAGGAGCCGCAAGTGTGCCATTCTTCTTCGACCTCAGTCCTTACCTTCAAGATGGCGGGATAGACGAGCCACCAAAATACAACTCAACCCTCTCTAGCCATTTCACCCCACTTCCTCCGTCCATCCTTCCGTCGTCACTGGGTTCCCGTCATAGAGGCAGGACAGGCAACCTGTGCGAAGGATTCGCGCTAGCTCACGTCTACTACACAATCACCGCCACGCTGATGACCGACACGCACACCGTGTGTCGGCGCAGCCAGAGAATCAATCTGATTCCGTTGCTACTGGAATGCCCTCCCACATGCCTTGCAGATTTCGAGGGGGAGTACCAGCCATGTCAGCGACGGACTTTGAAAGAGTCGATTTTTTGGAACAGGGGTGATATCCAGATCACGATCCGGGAGCCAGACCAGTTGACCCTCACGCCTGATATCAATGGGTCTTTTGCGAGACTTCCTGTTCAACTACAGCTGGACTTGCCTAGCTCGTACAAGATTCCAGCAAACGGTGCGCTATGCGTCGAGACTGACGTGACATGGCAGCTCCGAGCGATATCCTTCGTCTCGATCAAGGCTCAAACGCACGTCCCGACCATTAAAGGGGCTCTTGCAAGCCCAACCATTGCCCCAGTGGGCACATCGACTGCGACAAGAACTTCATCTGTAACCTGGGGGGACTGGACGATAATAGATGGACACTACTCGGCAAAAACCCGTCTGGAGAGTCATCAAGAGTTGCTCTTGAGCTTTGCATCCTCGGATATCAAGACGCCGACCTTTTGGTCTCCATATCTCAGTGTGAGGTTTACTCTTCGGGTACAGTTTCAAGTCAAAGCACCTGGGATTGCGACAATCGAGTTGGAAGTACCAATCCAAGTGGGTGTGGACCAAGAATCTTTGGAAAGCCACAGACTCGAAATCGACCAAGGTTTGAGAGAAAAAGGTGGTTACATATTGGGGCGTACTTGATGGGCATCGATGTCGGATTGAGACTTTGATCAACTGACACCATTCCGGAGACTGGAGAAAGCCTCCCACATCCCAACCATTCAACAATGTTGAGATCCGCTGACCTTGCCTTGTACGGAGGACGAGAACTCGTTTTATCCGAAGTCTAGTACTAAATGTCAAAAATTGTCTCGGAATAAGGCGTACTAGGGAGACAATAGTAGGGACCAAATCATGCAAAATCATGTTGTGAGGGTGAGTGAGAGCGTGGAGGGTAGCAAGAAGGCGAGAAGAACGTGAGTCACGAGCGAATGGTCTTGAATAGCGGCACCTCTTCGGTGAGCATTCCGTGAGCTTGGGGGCCAATTGAACGACTGCTTTTTCATGCTACATAAGCGATGTTCACATCGTTATCGCTGAGCCTGGACGGCTCATATAAACGTGGCGTACACGGAAAATCACCTCGTCTTTTCGACATTCACCCTGTATGGTTTCCCAGTCCAAGTAGCATAGCTGGGAACAAAAAGGAAGAGAGTCGTAAGGGAGAAACAGGGCGACCTCTAGTCGAGAGAGAAAGAATGCATGGGACCAACCCCCTACCAACAAACGCATCTCGTCCCTGTCACTATAGGGAGGAGCAGATACAATGACACTAGACTGAACGGATAGTATTGTTTCTGTTCCTTACATATCTAGGTAGGAAGTAGTCTTCGATATACTATCTACAGTAGAGAAGCTTCCACGGTAAGAACTATTGTATCTGTTTGGCGTAAAAGTATCTATCAGTTGGGAAATAGGCGAGGCGAGCATGACCGTAATGTCTTGCGGTTGAAAACACTAGCCATCGCATACATTCTCTCCCACCAAGGCACCTTTACCTGACACCGTAAGTGGCTCCGACGACAAGAAAGTAATCGGGAGTGACTCGTAGGTGCTGACTACCTAGGTAAATAAAAAAGGACGGTCATCGCCCTGGGTGAGATGAAACCTAGAAATGCTCAAGTGCGGGGACATTTGAAAAGTTTGATAAGTCTTGACCACCAATTTTGGGTAGTAAATTGCCCGGGAAATTGGGCCGTTATCGTCGACACGATGGCCGAGTGGTTAAGGCGACAGACTCGAATTGTTTCATCTCTTTCTTGCTATCTGTTGGGTTCGCCCGCACAGGTTCAAATCCTGTTCGTGTCGAATTTTTTTGTGGTTTTTTTGATGTTGCAAATGCTGGTATGACCTCGAACACACACGACAGACGAAAAATAAGGACAAAAAAAGAAAAATAAAGAGGGCTGCGTGTGAGGTGAAGTTGCGGAGCGGGAAAGCAGAAGGCAAGGGGAGAACTAAATCCCCAACGCACGCGAGGGCGGTTTAGCGGACTAATCACAAGCCGATGTCACAATCGAAAGGTTTTGGTGGAAATGAACAAGTGAAATATTCAATTTTTTCAACTATCTAGTCGATGAGACCCAATGCGTCCATTGAAGCCTCGGAGCAAACAGCCAAAGGAAAAATAATCCTCTGACGCCGACCAGGTCAGGGAAGACATTGGGCAGATAAGATGTCAACGACACTCCCGGAAGGATGTTGTCACGACCATCCGGGGGCGTTGGCTCTGCTCTTTTTTCTTTCTACATGTCCAATTTGTGTAATAAATGGGTTGAAACAAGTCTACATAGGCAGGAATCGACTATTGTATGACCAAAGGTAGGTACGCAACCAAGGTTCCCGCGATACCAGACATTGCCGTTGAACTGAAAGGGGTATGTTGTACGGTGCCGTGTTGTGTTTTGCAGTGTATGAAGGATCAAACAAGTTGAGTGAGGACATGATGAAAGATCGGAGGACCATCTTGTTGTTATGCGTATGCAGGATTATGTCTGGTGAGCATCAGATTGAATCAGCTGAGAAGCTCTTGACCACGGGCGTGTCCTGCACTCCCACGGTGATCTATCGCTTTTGCTCGAGTCTTGGACGACGTTGTGCAGACTGCCTGGATCCTGCACCGACATAATCTATCGACGCATGACGGTGCAAAGATAGGGCATGGCATCCTTGCCCCGAGTACCCTTTTGAATGGTGCAAAAGTGACCATGGCCGAACTGAGTGTCCTTGGCAGCTCCTCGAGTTTGCTTGGTGGAGGGAGGCATTGTTGATAGACTTGTCTAAAAGTTGGGTTGGAAAATGAGTGTGGTAGAGTTGGACTTTTCTCGAAACGAATGTGGTTTGTTGATCTCGGGAGGTATTTCGGAGCAGCAGCATTCAGTGTCTTATATGCCTACCCTCTTTAACGAACACCATCGCACATTGTCACATTGCCCCACGAGAAAGAGAGAGAGAGAGAGCCGGGCCAAAAAAAACAAAGGAAGGGGTTGATTGCGACAAGACTGAATGGAAGGGTTGAGGAGCTTAATATTGTTCTTGCTTGATATTGTTCTTTCCCCACACAAAGCAAATATCCTGGAACAGAGCACACATACACAACCCAGAGGCTGGAATATGACACACACCGGACGCTTTCGACTATTTCGAGGTCAAAGACATTCTCCGAACCAATATTGCAATCATGGAAAGGAACAACAATGGAAATGCTTCCGGAAGTAATGCTCGTGTCGTTTGGTCGTGGCCGGAAATTCCATTTCATCATATCTCAAAAGCGAGTAAATGGCAGCCACTTGCCCCGGAGGTGGATATTGACCTGCATAGTTGTTAGCCAGCCTGCAAGACCAAAAAAAGTACGGGTTTGCCTTCAGTACCCATGTGTTGCCGTCCTTGTCAACCTCCTTTTCAACGTGAGTCGAGAACGAGATGGCGCTCATGATCCCATCTCCAAACTTTTCATTCAAAACAGCTTTGTATGCGTAACCATAATTTTGCACAATCTCATACAGACGGTAAATTAGAGGCTCTCTCGGGGGCATCTCGACGCTCTTTCCCCGGTCGGGGAAGCCCGTCATTTGCGCCTCCAGGGTCGCATGGTCGAGCCCAAAGTATTCCGATAGTTTCTTTACGTCTTCCGGAGAGGCCTTGGCCTGTCCGTAGAACAAAGCAGCCACTGCGACCTCGTCACGACCCAGCTCTTTCCCGATAGCCTCAAATGTAACCTTCTTCTTTGCCTTGGCCTCGAACAGGGTTTCGGAGGACGATCGAAGGTTGGGGTGTTGCCGCACCTGACAAAGAGCATGTTAATTGTTGTTTGTTTCCTTTGTATTAGGGACGACTCACGTCGAGAGTTGCAAGGGACATGTTGGACTCCTTTCTGGAGACTTGCAGCGGAGTGAGACGAGTATATCGAAGTGCGGTCTGCGACCTTGAACCTAGAGCTGAGGTGGTAGTAAGCCGCTGTAAAGAACGTACGTAGGAAGCCATGTCTTGGATTAGAATATCACGGCAATATATATAGCCAGAAACCAAGTCAGGACCGTGGAGAAGTGCACCGGTTCAATACCGAGTGTCTTTGGTGGAGGGGAAACGGAACTGTGATTGTCTGGCCCCGCATGATGGGCATCGAGAGAGCTTCGGCATTGGGGAGCTGTTTGTTGTCATCCGTCATCATGGTGTCTAATGGGATCTTTGAAAGATAAGATGCGAGTTTTCGTACGAAGAGATACGGGCAGTGAGAAACCTGAAAGATTTCCATTCGGGCAATACTCAGACCTTCCAACTCATGTGGAATAAAACTTTGAGGTCGTGTTATACCAGACAAAGAGATCCCGCCAATGTGGACGCAACTTCTAGGTACATGTACCTGAAGTTCCTTAAGGCCAGGATTCGTGTCATGCAGTTTACCTTGTAAACTTGGCCAGACTCCGACTCCGGTAGTGCGAGTACGCGTAAGTACGTACCTTGTGTACTGTCGAGTACTTGAAGCGGGGGGCAATCATCTTATGAGCAATCGAATCCATGTACAGTGAGAGTCTCAGTGAATTAAAGCAGCATCATCAGCAACATGCATAACGCATCCAGCTCAACCAAGGGGCTGAGTCGCCTTGGCGGGGCTTCGTTCGCTCTTGTTCAGCTGAAACATTAGCAAGTTATTCTAGACTTCGTAGGCAACAACCTCGACGTGTATTCGTCTATCGTGGTCTTACTTTTCTCTATGTTTTGATTACGACTCAGATCATACTTGTTGGACAGCCCCAGCATCGCAGAAGATCCCAATCAAGATGTCGTACCAACCACCGCCGGAGGACGACGGGCTAGCTTATGGACATGACTACTCTCAATCCCGGGGAAGTGGTCAGAGCGGCACGGATCGATCATTGATTGGGGACACCTTCAAGAAGTTCAAGACCGGCTATGACAAGTACAAAACCTCATCATCGTCAGGGCCAAACTACGGGTATTCATCCTCAGGTTCCAACCAAGCCTATTATGGTCAACAGGGCCAGAATGCAACCACAGGGCAGCCACAGTCATCATACTATGGCCAGCAGGGCCAGAATCAAACCCCACAACAATCGTACTATAGTCCACCAGGATCATCTGCTGGTCAACCGGCCTATCCAGGGGGGCCTCCTTCGCAACAGCCTGGGGGGAAACCAGACATGGCTTCGAAGCTGTTTGGGGCTCTGCAGAATACGGTTCAGAATATAGGCTCTGATGTTCAACACTTGATCGACCCCAGTCACAAACCGCCTACCCAGTATGGCAATCAACCTTCAGGACAAATCGGCTCGACTTACGCCAATATGCCGGCCGGTCCAGGCCAGCCTGCGGTCAAGAATCGATTTGATGCATTCGCTTCCGAGAAGCCCGGCAACGACGTGAAATGGTATGTTGATGGCTGCGGATACTTCTGGGCAGTAAGCCAAGCTCTTGAGAGGGCGAAGCATTCCATATGGATTCTCGATTGGTGGCTGTCTCCTGAGCTATACCTCCGTCGACCTCCATCTCAGAACGAGCAATGGCGACTCGATCGAATTCTCCAACGAGCTGCACAGCGTGGTGTCAAGGTCCACATCATTGTTTACAAGGAAGTCACACAAGCATTGAGTATGTCTAGGAGCGTGACAACTGTGGTTGCTTATGTGTATACTGACTCTGAAATCAGCGCTGTCATCCGCCCACACCAAACACGAATTGGAAAAGTTGTCACCCAATATCTCCGTCTTCCGACACCCTGACCACCTCCCCGATGCTCAGACTACCCAGTCGTCCTTGATCTCATCACTTCAGGGTCTCAAGCTCGATGCTGCGGGTGCTTCCAGACTTGGTGCAGATGCGTTGAAAGGTATCTATGGAATTACTGACGACGTCATCCTCTACTGGGCGCACCACGAGAAACTCTGCCTTATCGATCGTGACATTGCATTCATGGGTGGTCTCGATCTTTGTTTCGGCAGGTGGGATACGAATCAACATGCTATTGCCGATGTCCACCCTTTGAACGTGAATGACACCGTCTTCCCTGGACAAGATTACAACAATGCCCGGTGAGTACAGTCCGGCTGTGTAATGTATCTGTCGACGAAGCTAACCCGTAACAGAGTGATGGACTTCAGCGATGTTGCAAATCCGTTCCAGAATAAGCTTGATCGGACGACAAGTTCTAGAATGGGCTGGTAAGTATGACCTGTAACTGGCTTGTACGGCGATTGACCATGCCAGGTCCGACATTGCAATCTGCCTCCAGGGGTCCTGTGTCGCTGACCTCTGCCATCATTTCATTGATCGCTGGAACTTCATCTACGATGAGAAGTACAATGTTCGGCAAGACCAGCGCTACTACCGGATCGCCGACGATTATCCCCATACTTCTTCAGGACCAGGGCAAAGACCACAATCGCAGCAATCGCAGCATGCGCAGACACAACCCCAACAGTCCCAACAACAGACTTCGAGTTATCTTCAGCCACCAGGACCAGGCGGTTCATTTCCTCCTCCTCCAGGCAGTCAACCCTACAGCCCACCTGCGTGGCATAGCACCAGCAGACCGCATACACCTGGTGGAGATTCATATCAGCCTCAACCGAGCACCAGCCCTGGAGTTAGCCCGTCCTTGCAGCCAGCGGCGACATATACTTCAAGCACGCCTTCTACTTATGGTCAGCCTGCACCCACGGGTGGTCAACCGCAGTATCAGACCTCGCCGCCTCCTCCAGCCGGAAACTACGGCCAACAACCGAACCTCTACTCACAGCAGAATTTCCCTCCCCCACCACCAGGGCCACCGCCACAATCTACTTCCGGAGTGACGCCATCTTATGCAGAATACCAGCCGCTTCAAAGCCATGACTCGCAGCAAGGGTACGCGCCGTACAACCAGGGTCCTACCGAGTTATCTTCTCAGCAAAACCCAGGGCAACCGTATCAGCATCAAACATATCAACAACCTGGGTCCGAGCAAAGCCGCGGCGTTGATGACTACGAGTCTGAGCAGAGTCGAGGGTATGGCAATTTTGGTTATGCCAATGAAAACGAATCTCCCTACCAAGGAGAACGAGGTTTGCGAGACCGAATGAATCAATACAAGGACCAGGGTAGGAAATTCGGCCAGGAGTTGACGTCTGTTGGCAACAGAGTGTCAAGCGAATTCGGCGGACGATTTGGCAAATACATGGGAGGCTTTGAGCAAGGTGGGCGTCCTTACAATGCACCTCGCGGTCCCATGACATGCCAAGTGCTTCGCAGCTGTACTACATGGAGTAACGGAACGCCCTTGGAACATTCGATTCAGAATGCGTACATTGATGTCATTCGAAACAGCCAGCATTTTGTTTACATCGAAAATCAGTTCTTCATCACCGCGACTGGAGATAAACAGCATCCTGTCAAGAATTTGATTGGACAAGCTCTTGTTGAGCGGATATTGCGCGCGGCTCAGAATGGTGAGAAATACAAGGTCATTGTCGTGATTCCAGCAGTGCCAGCGTTCGCTGGTGACCTGCGCGACGACGCCTCCTTAGGCACTCGTGCGATAATGGAGTTCCAGTACAATAGCATCAACCGGGGTGGTGAGTCGATCATGGAAAAGATTGCACAGGCTGGGTTCAATCCAATGGATTATATTCGCTTTTACAATCTGCGAAACTATGATCGAATCAATTGTAACAATGCTATGCGCCAGGCTGAGCAAGCAAGCGGAGTCAGTTATGAAGAAGCACGGAAGCAACATGGTGATATCGTTGGAGCTGGATACGGATCACAGGGCTACGGTACTGGTGCAACCCAACCCTCCCAGGCGCCTCAATATCAACGTTACCAAATGGCAGCACAAGGGATCCAATCTCCGGACGGTCGTTGGGACACAGTGTCTCAATGTTATATGCTTGGAGGTCAAGATATCCGCTCCGTTCCGTGGGATGGGCCACCTGAAGAGGAACTTGATGCCTTCGTGAGCGAAGAGCTGTATATTCACTCAAAGGTAAGGTTGATTTGCGATTCCTGAATTACTCTAATGCGTCTACAGTGTCTGATCGCAGATGATCGTATCGTCATTTGTGGTTCCGCAAACTTGAACGACCGGAGTCAGCTCGGCTCTCACGATAGCGAGATTGCACTTCTGATCAATGATCCTACTCCTCTCCAGACCTATATGGCAGGTCGACCATACACAGCCAGTCGCTTCGCTGCTTCCTTGAGACGACAGCTATTCCGCAAACATCTTGGTCTAGTCCGCCCGCAAGACCTCCACAGACCTGACCCTAACTTCGATCCGGTTGGAGTACCAAACATGTACGACTGGGATAGCCCCGAGGACAACATCGTCTCTGATCCTCTGAGCGATACCTTTCAGAGTCTATGGAACACTCGGGCCCGCACAAATACCGATGTGTTCCGTAAAGCCTTCCGAGCAGTCCCTGATGATTATGTTACTTCTTGGGCAGAATATAAGGAATTCTATGAGTACTATTTTCACACTGCCGATCAAAAAGACGACGACAAGGCGAGCCGAGTGCCGCCACGAGTTCAGTATGGACATGTTGTTCGAGGAGACTTTCCAGGCGGAGTTGGCGAACTGAAGGAGTTGTTGAGCCAGGTCAAAGGCACATTGGTAGAAATGCCATTGTGCTTCTTGCAGAGTAAGTCCAAAGTATTTATCGTCGCGGATATATTCTAACGCAAGTTGCAGATGAGGATATAGCCAAAGAGGGTCTCAGTCTAAACGCCCTAACAGAGCCGCTTTACACTTGAGATAGTCTGATACTGATCGTGTACGTTCAACATCGGTATGGACGTAGGAGGAAAATAACGACTGTATGATCCATGAATACAAAACCAAGTAGAAAATCAAAATCGCTCGGTGGCTTATTGCTGTGGTCTCGCCTAAGTCTCATACTCTCATTCAAACGGCACATTAAAATAACGCTATGCCTCACCGTATATATAATACGGTCAATCATTTTTAGCCCCTGTCTTACTTGAATGCCATACTTAGGCCTCCAAACTATTGTTCACATATTCATATCATTTCAACTTCACCGCGCCTACAATTGAATATTCTTTTCTCAGATTCCTGTTGTCGTGGTCCTGGCTGATTTGCCGCACAATGAATGTGGCTCAGTGGATGACCTGAACCATCAGAAGTCATTAACTTTGTTCTCATTTCTGCAGGTCCTCATCCAGTTCTTTGTGCTTGCTTGATTACCTTCCTCCTCCCCGCCTTGACAAACTCGCATTTCCTTTCTATCTCTGCGTTTCAACACTTCTTCTCTCTTTGACCTCCTCTAGTGGTTGACTTCTCTCACATCAGCCAAGATGAAGATCAAGTGTACCTACGAGGACTGCTTCAGACATTTCGAGTCTCAGTCATCAATGATCACGCACAAGATCAAAGACATCAAACACTGTTATTGTAAACTTTGCGATCTCGACTTTCCAGATGACATGCATCTTTTCATCCATCAACTTGGAACTCCTGCCCACAGTAAGGCGCTTCGATGTCTGGATTAAACGGTTCGTGCTAACTTGGCTATAGTCTGTTGTCCCGTCTGTGCTCTGGAGGTAATGCTGTCTTCAATGTCGAGGCGACACCTGGCTGACGAATACAGTTCAAAAGTATCGCAGGCAGAGATCGACATGTCGAACAGGTAAGTCTGAGACGCTTCCAGTCCACAATCCTTCAAAGCTGAAGAGTTTCAGACACACCGTACGAGTCAGAATATCTCCTGTGCCGGCTGCCAAACCCGGTTTTACTCTGCACAGTCACTGATGCAACACATCGAAAACGACGAATGCGATGTCATCCGATTGAGGGATTTTCAGATGCAACGAGCCGAGAAACAATTGCAAAAGGATACGTGGATGAAAGAAACCGAACCTTACGACTTCACTAGTCCAGTGCAAAGCCGACTCGCGGACGCTGCCAGCTTGATGGATGATGAGGCTGCTGGAGACGCTGATGGTGGGGTCTCTCTGGTCCAGCCCCGTGATGGTCGCCGCATCTCGGCATTGCCAGAACAGCATTTCCCACCGTCAGGTACGGACCCGACCAGAGGCCAAGGTACCACTGCAAAATCTCAACTCACCACGAGCAACCTGTTGAAAAACAACGACCCGACCAAGGACATGGCAGGGCTGACAATATCACATCATCATCAGCTTCGCCCGCAAGCACCAGCATGGGACTCCTATGCAGCGGCGGCGGCGGTACCGGAACCGACCCCTGGCGAGAACGCAGCCAACATCCGCGACTGGCTCGGTTCCGTCAACAGCAAGACGAACCCACCGTCCGACAATCACAGCGAGGTCGCTTCGATCTACGACCGTAAGTCACCGGAATCGGTGGTGTCGGAAAACTACATCCCTCCAAGCCTGCGGGCCGGTTCGATCCCAGCCGGGGGCATAAGGAGAGTTATAACGATGCCAGCCCACAGCATCATCACCAGCACGGGCGGCATCGAGTTCGAAAAGTACTGGGATTCGTTGCGCCAGGAGTACGTCTGTCCGGGGGAGAAGTGTCTCCGCGCCTTCAAAGGTCAGCTGGATTTCAAAAATCACCTCCTCTCCGCGGCACACGTCGGCGGCCAGGTGACCTGTCCGAGCTGTCTGAAGAAGTTTGCGACCACGACGGCTTGGGTGGCCCATTGCGAAAGTGCGAGCAAGAGGTGTGACATACGCAAAAGTGCCGATTTCAACAACGTGATGCGAGAAATCACCGGTGGTATCTTGGGCACCAGTGGCTTTTTGGGCGACGGTTCCGTCAGGTACGTTGCACCTCGGATTGAGGAATGGTGAACAACGGACACACAAGAAACGAATGAGCACAAGAATGCGGTGGAGGGGGATACTTTTCTTGTGATTGCGGATATGGAGGATTTACCTTGCACACTACACACACACACACACACACACACACACACACACACACACACACACACACACACACACACACACACACTCGCTCTCTCTCTCTCTTTCTGATGAAGGGCAATGGACCCACACACACACTCAGACGCCCGAGAAGGGGTTAACCACTCTCTCGATTCTCGACTCTCGACTCTCTACTCTCGACTCTCTACTCTCTACTCTCTACTCTGAACCACACAGAGGCACTACTCGGTCTCCCCCTCTCTACATTTTACGACTTTATGAGATCAACCATGCATGACGATTCACGACACTTGACGAGCTTTTTCACCTTTTCCCCTTACTTTTAACTCGACTCTAAAAGTCACCTTTCCCTAAATCGATGAACCCACTGGTACACGAGTCTTATTCCCTTCTCCTTTTTTTCCCTTCACTCTTGAGCGATAGCGATGCGGGTAGCGGGAGAATGCGGGATGACATTACATGATGGATCACCATCCGGTGAACCGATACATGATTTCCTAGGGAACAAGCATACTGGGTAGCTTTGAATATGACTTGCTCCAAAAAAATACGAGAGCGAATTCCACATTTACATTTTTGTTTTTTCCTCTGTGCGCGCGCACACACACACACAGACACGCTGTGAAAGGGTGAATGGCGGTTGTAGATTTTGTAACAAGTGAAGAAAGCACAGTTGCACTCTCCGTGAGGCAATGAATACCTGGAAACTAGAGCTTACTAACGAACCCATCCCGATCGACTCGACAGAGGTACTCTTTCGAGATTTCCTTGACGCTCGTCACCCCCGCGAGGCCCATGCACAGCCTGAACTCGTCCATGAGGAGGCGGAGGCACAACTCGACCCCGTCCCGGCCCTTGTACGCCAGGCCCCAGAGGACGGGCCGGCCGACCCAGCAAAAGTCCGCCCCCAAGGCCAGGGCCTTGAAGACGTCGGAGCCGTGCCGGATGCCCCCGTCGACGTGGACGGGGACCTCGCGGTTGACGGCGGCGACCACCTCGGGCAGGGCGTCGAGAGTGGCCAGGGCGCCGTTGAGCTGGCGGCCTCCGTGGTTGGACACGACGATCCCGTCGACGCCGTGGTGGACGGCCAAGGTGGCGTCCTCGGCCGTCGCCACCCCCTTGACCCAGACCGGCATCTCGGGCCCCGCGCGGGACTTGAGCCAGGGGATCGACTCCTCCCAGGACAACGTCGGGTTGGCCGCGTGGGTGTGGAACGTGATCGGGCCCGTGGGAGGGTGTCGTTTGTGTCCGTCGTGGTAACCCGCCACGCTCTGTTTGGGTTTTGTTTTCGTTTTCGTTTTCGTTTTCGGTTTCGGGTTGGGGTTCGAGTTACGTTTCGACGATGTGTTGGCACGCCGTTTGTGTGGGTTTTGTCGAGGGGTGCTACGTAAGGGCTTGTCGGCGGTGGTGGTTGTTGTACCGTTGTTGGGTGAGTCAGTATTGTCTGTCGACAAGGATGATGATGAAGAACTTGCATTTGTCGTGGTCGTCTGTGTCGAAGCTGTTGAACCAGACGCACCGTCATTGTCGTCCTCACCCTCATCCTCGCCTTGATCGACAAAGTTTGCAATGGACAAGTGGGCAGGGAGTTTGAATTGGTTGCGGATTTCGAGGTTGCGCCGACCGAGCATGGGCGTGTCGACGGTGAGCAGGACGGCCTTGTAACCTGCCTTTTTTGCGCGGTCGATGAGCTTGGTCGAGTGTGCACGATCTTCAAAGAGGTAAAGCTGGAGAACGTTGGGGTTGGCCTCGCTCGCCTCGGCCACGTCTTCGAGGGTGCTCGTGCTGAACGACGACAGGCCCATCACTATACCTTTGGACTTGCAGGCGCGTGCCGTGGCGAGTTCGCCGTCCGAGTGCGCCAGTTTCTGCATTGCCGTCGGGGCGACGCCAAAGGGACTACTATTCTTGTGGCCAAAGACGTCCACCGTGGTGTCGATTTGGGATATGTCGCGTAGTACTCGCGGCCGGATCCGGTATTTTGAGTAGGCGGAAATGTTCTCGCTGAGGGTGGTGCCGGCGTCGGCGCCTTCGTTGTAGTAGTCGCGCGTCTGCTTGTCCATGCGTTCGTTGGCAAGGGCCTCGAGTTCAGCGATTGTGAGACAGTTCAAGTCGTGAGGAGTTGCTTGATTCGCGGGCGGAGAACCCGAAGCAGTCGGTTCGGCTTTGGTTTTTGAAGCCATGATGATCGACAGGATGGATAATGGTCCCGTTGTATACTTGCTGCAGCTGTTTCAATATAAGTCCTTAGCTACCTAGAGTAGTCAACTAGGGAGGCTAGAGAGGGTTTCCCACTATGCCCGAGATCATCACAATAACCAGCAAGAAACCACGAGGAAACTTGACGGGAAAAGAATGAGTAAGAAAAGGAAACTCGCCCTGCAATGTGTATGAATATACTTATGCTAGCTTCGCACAAGAGGAAAGGGTGTATGAGTGGTAGATCTCCTCACATCCATGACGCTGCGGAATTCGAGATACACTTCGCCTACCTGCCTAGAACCTGTCGAAGAGCTGGGGGCATTTTCATGGACTTGCGCCGAGGGCGATGGACGATGACGATGACGTCGCGATAGAAATGATGGACACGATTGATGGTTTTGTCGTTAGAATCGATGAGGGGACGCAGATCATCAGCCTCTGCATTGAGTTGGAGAACATTTCTGACCACTGGGCGACTTGTAAACACCGTGTTTTGGGTGAATCGATCTAAATCGAATTCATTGCGAGTACACATTCCAGAAAGCGAGAGTCAAGAGACAGTCTCAAGGTTGTCGAAAGCGGCACTGAGCTGATGGTCTTCGTATCGTCTCTTCTCTCTTTCTTCTACCTTGAAACTGCGCAATGGATGCCACCATCTCAACCCTTCGAGATCTCCTAACAAACTCCAGACACACGAAATGGATCGCACCATTAATATTACTTGGGGAGACAGCATTATGCGGACTGATCATTTGGAAGATCCCATGTACGTTTCTTTCCGACTTGGTGTGAGCACTCACCACTGACAAAAGTCTTTGTAGACACCGAGATCGACTTTACAACCTACATGGCCCAAGTCCGCATGTACCTAGATGGTGAACGGAACTACAACAAAATCACCGGACCTACCGGGCCTCTCGTCTACCCAGCCCTCCATGTATACATCTATACGGCCCTTTACTACCTCACAGATGAAGGAACCAACATCCTCCGGGCTCAGATCATCTTTGCTGGCCTCTACCTGATCACTCTGGCCGTGGTGATGGCGTGTTACACACGAATAGGAGCGCCCCCGTGGCTACTGGTGCCGCTGGCACTGAGCAAGAGAATGCATTCTATATTTTTACTGAGGCTGTTCAACGACTGTTGGGCAACGCTCGCACTCTGGATAGCAATCTATCTGCTACAGAGAAGAAAGTGGACAACAGGAGCCATGATCTGGGCACTGGGTTTGGGTGTCAAGATGACCCATTTATTGGCTGCTCCTGCCATGGGAGTCATTCTGCTACAGGCTGAAGGTACAAAGAGGGCGGTTGTGAATGGCCTCTTCGTCTTGCTAGTCCATCTGAACCTGGCCATACCCTTCCTGACAGCAGGGTATGGTCTTCAGTATCTTGCACAAGCTTTCGACTTTGGTCGACAATTCCTCTTCAAGTGGACAGTCAATTGGAGGTTTGTGGGCGAGGAGACTTTTTTGTCTCGACAGTTCACCGTCAGTCTCTTACTTGTTCACATATCCCTGCTCTTCCTGTTCTTCCAAACCAAATGGGTCAAACCAAGTGCTTCGAACCTAGTCGACTTTGTCAAGAAGTACGCTTTGTCCGTTGGAGAGCTTGATCCGGTCCAAGTGTCGAGGAAAATCACCCCAACCTTTGTCATGGATGCTGTTCTCGCAAGCATTGCCATGGGTCTGTTGTGTGCTCGAAGCTTACACTATCAATTCTTTGCGTATCTCGGATGGGCAACCCCGTATCTTTTGTGGAGGGCCGGAGGAGGACCTGTATGGATATTGATCAACTGGGCGATTCAGGAGTATTCGTGGCTCGTCTATCCTAGCACCGACCTGAGCTCGGTGACTGTGGTGTTTGTGCTGGCAATCCAGGTCATGTGCCTTCTTATTGCGCCTCCAGTCGATCACATTTCTCCGTCAAGACCGTCCAATAGGATCAAGTAGGTAGGTACAGAAGAACAGACATCAATGTCCATCAGTTATCATCCTCTTCGCTGTCTGACGGAGGCATTTTTCCGACCAGCGATTCCTCCTCGTCACTGTCTACGGGTCGTGGCTTTTGAGCAAACTGCGCAGGCCAATATGACTGTTTCCGCCATGTCTTCTCATCTCCAACAATGTTCACGATCTCGCCTTGAATTTTGTTCTCCCGATCGGTTGTGGAAGTATCGATGAGGACATATCCGCCTCTTTTGACAAAGATTGTACCGCGGAATTTGGCCTCGAGTTCGACCAGGAGTTCGGATCCGTCTGGTGTCTTGACCGAATAGAGATCTTTGCCTTGAGCCTTGATGACACGTGCGAGCGTCTGGCGGGGAGACAGAGAGTCAGGCGGTGTCAAAGTTTCTTCGGCAGTATTGCGAATCTTCCGGCGAGACATGGTGCGATCTATGAGATGCCATATGAGGATGGGATTCTGCGTATCGCGATCACATCGTAAATTTTGGCGCAGGCACAATGTTCAGCCAAAATGGGAAGGCTGGCCGGGTGCTCAATAAGGAAGTCCAGCCGAGTGACTGTGATAGACACCGCCATCATGGACATTTTTCCATCACCATCACCATGTCTCCCACCGATCACTTTTGCTACGCCATAGCCAATCTGATGCAACCATGTGCTTTTGTGCTTACGATGAGCATGTATATGATATAATTCTCCGCCCTTTGGACGCTGCAATGACCCTGTTCTGGCCAGATGCAGATTGAACACATGCTTGATCCCCACCATGACCAAGTGCTTTCTAATAAAAAACGCTCCCTCCGTCTGCTGTCATGTCCAATCTTCCTTTCTCATAATCTCCCTTGGTTTGGCAATGACTATACCTATGACAACAGCCAACTTGCTTATGCTCTGTCAGTATCAGCACTCTCCTGTTTTTCCCTCGTGCCCATAACTCTCTGCTTCCAAAATGGCCGCAGCGACTATTCCCTTTGGCGCTTTCATTAGCCATGAGAGTGATTCCTCAGCCTCTATTCGAGGGCCTGACCCAGTCTTCCATCGAGACAACATCACAAAATCCTCGCCTACAGATGATGACCTATCTAGGCTGCAATGGGGGCAACGTCTGAACGGGCCAGAGAAGAACAGACCTGGCACGGTCTCTCCCATTGAGCAATCGATCCCGCCCACGCCTGGAGACTTGGAACAAAGCCGACCAGCGACACCAGCAGGAGCCCAAGCAGTTGGTGCAATAGTTCAATCATTCTCGAACCCTCCCAGAAATCGCTGGAGAGTTGCATCAGCGACCGTCTTCTTTTTGATGATGGGGATGAATGATGCAGCGACAGGTGCTTTGATCCCTTACCTCGAAGTCGAATACAATATTGGCTATGCTATTGTCTCTCTGATTTTCGTTACAAATGCATTTGGCTGGCTCGTTATGGCTCCAGTGTCTCAAATGATCGAGGCCCGAGCTGGTCGATCTCGTTCTTACATCATCGCTGCAAGTCTTATGAGTATAGGTTACACCGCCCTGGTGTGTGCACCACCATTCCCTGTTGTGGTTATGAGTTTCTTCCTCCTCGGCCTCGGCATGGCCTTGTTCTTGGGAATGACCAATGCTTTCATCGTTAATCTGGTGAATGGCACCGTTCTTCTGGGTCTGTGCCACGGCATATACGGCGTAAGTACACTTCTTAAAATCGTTGGATGACACTGACGGTACTCAGCTTGGTGGTGTTGTTTCACCTATCATAGCAACTGCAATCGTCTCCAAAGGCATTCGCTGGTCGTATTACTACTTCATCAACCTTGGTATATCCATCTTTTCGATCTTCTTCATGGCATGGTCCTTTAAAGGATTCGAAAATGATGCTTCTCAGCAGCTGCTCACCAATCTCGAACTCACCGCTTCGCGACAAGCATCTGCAGCAGGAGAGCCGACAAAGTTACAGCTTCTCAAACGAGCATTGAAGAATCGGACCACCCTCCTTGGTGCTGCATTCATATTGTGAGTCCGTTTCTTCCGAGGTGGTCAGCCCATGCTAATTGACGTTGCAGTTTCTACCAAGGCGCAGAAGTTGCGATCTCCGGTTGGGTCATTTCGTATCTGATCCATTATCGAAAGGGAGACCCAGCTCACGTAGGAAACGTCACGTCCGGTTTCTGGGGTGGTATTACCGTGGGAAGATTTGTCCTCACTCATTTCTGTCACAAGATGGGAGAGAAGCTGGCAGTAGTGCTACTCATTGTTGGAGCTGGCACTTTTCAACTTCTTGTTTGGCTCGTTCCCAACATCATTGGTAATGCAGTTGCGGAGGCCCTAGTCGGTCTATTCCTCGGACCTATATATCCGTGTGCAACCGGTGTCTTCTCGAAGCTCTTACCTCGGAGCATGCAGATTGTCAGTCTCAGCGTGACCACTTCTATGGGATCCTCAGGAGGTGCACTTGTGCCTCTCATCACTGGTCTCATGGCACAAAGTCTGAGCACAGTCGTACTGCACCCAATTGTTCTCATTTCATTTGCGGCGATGATTGGTACCTGGATATCACTTCCCCGGATCGGAAAGAGAACAGAATGATCATGGCCTGTCGTCAGCTTGCAGATCATCAGGAAATGGACATGCATCAATGCCAAGCCATGTAACCCTTTTGCTTCGAGAGCATGTGCTTTGGTGAATCAACCGAGGCTTCTTTTGATTATGAGGAGGACGACTCTCACAACGACCTCCAACTGATGGATAGCGATGGAGCACTCTCTGACGATACAACGCAATATATCGAAGCTGCTACGCCGCTTGTCCTCACTGCAACCTCGAATCCCAATTTTTCTCATTTTTCCCATGTCAATCAAAACGTGAGTGATACAATCTATCATTACTTGTGCAACCTTCGAATCTCTTGAAACGCCTCCTTGAATGACCCAGTACAATGGATACCCGTGGCGAGGAAGCACAACATGATCGTGGAATGCGAGCCCGCGTGTTTCACTGGGCAGGACGCAAGGTCAGCCAATTTTTGGAAAGTGACAGTGAGCCATCTTCGTCATCAACACCCGGGCACCAGGACAGACCAAGTCAACATGGCTCAAGCCATGGTCAAAATCCAATTCTACCTCAACAATCCGATCATCTGCGTCTACTTTTCAAGGTGCGTCATCGCTCTGTCGAGACCTTTGCCTTGTGTTTTGTGACGGTGTTTGCCCGAGTTGGAGAGCGAATACTGCCAGACCTCTGACCACCATGTCGCTGCGTCACCCTATGGCACAACACTTGTGATCAATAGCCTATTGTCGTGATTGATGTCAATCGACTTCAATCACCTCGATTGTTGATTGTCATGTCCCCATGCATGCAGAAGTCCTGGAGGGCATCCCCTTGATCCTAAAATATTCCCTCTTGATGCTCACAGTACCCAACACTTTGGTTCAAATGGCATCAAACGTACCATATCCTGTCATATCAATATGCATTTCATTGGCCATGCACCATTTCTTACAATCTTCGTTGTTTCTCATCTAACTCGTCTACTTCAGGCGTCACCTCTCCCAGTGCTGGACACCACCACGAACACCTCCCATGCCGCTTACACTTCCAACCAGTCTTACCCGCCCGACGTCTCTGTTTCTTGTGTCGATTTCTTGGGTGAAGTCCACAGCGCTACCACCTACGTCAAACGCGACCTCGGTTTTCAAGGGCAGATCGGTTCCTTTGTTCTCCTGTCCTACGGCGACACGATGTACTCTGACGTGAATTACTCGGACACGTGGCGTGGCATGACCAGCGACTCGGTCGCGCTGGCCACTCATGACCCTCTTGTCGTCGTCGATCCCGTACTCAACCAGCAAGGCTACCCTCCGCAGTTCTGCCCCGTCGTCGATTCATTCGGCGAAGACCCTTCAGAGTGCGCTCTGGGCATAACGAACGTCGTCCAGACCACATCGTCCGACGACGGCGTCATGTTTTTTCTGTTGAACCATCGACCGGACGGGAAAAACAACCTGGTGGGTGCAGGCGTGGCGACCGTCCACGTCGACACGTCCCGATACCCTCTCGCACCTCACATCCGGCGTCTCGCGCGGTTCTGGTGGGACGCGTCGCAGGAGCCATGGTACGGCGACGTGTGCGCACTCCGGCACGACGGGTTCGTCTACGCGTACGGCCACGGTGGACACGCCGACCAGAACCCCTGGGTGTACGTCGCGCGGGCGCGTCTCCACGAGGCCACGAACCTGGACTGCTACGAGTATTGGAACGGAGAAGGATGGCAGGCAGAGCGACTCATGACAAAAGATCTGGGCGAGAAGGAGAGTGTGTTCTGGCAGATCAACCAGGGTCAAGTCGTCTGGAACGGGTATCTGGGCTGTTTCATCTTCGTGTACTGCGACAACTGGATGAATTCCAAGGTGTTGATGAAGACGGCCCAGAAGCCCGAGGGACCTTGGAGCGACGCCGTCGAACTCTACCAGGCGACCCCGTTGAGTGAAGGGAGTGCGATATACGCGGCGATTCCGCACGATTATTACGATCGAGATGGGCGGACGTTGGTTGTCACATTTACGAACCATCCAAACACGATACAGGCAATCAAGGTAACGTTTGGTTGAGGGGGCGGGGGAGAACCGACGTTCATGGGTTCGTGCGACAGGTTACTAAGTAGTTCAAGGTTGTGGTTTGGCAAATTCCACATTTCGTATGATGTTGACATGTCTGTTACGAGTTCGAGTTCGCAGCCGTGTGTATACATGCCAGCATGGTCCCATTTTCGACCCTTGATGTGGCTTTGAAACCATGTGCACAACTGGCAACCCAAGTCGAGTTGGGTAATCGGCTCTGTCATACTCCGTAGGTACTGTATTGATAGTTGGAAGCTGACATTTCCTTCGACTTGTTTCTACATAGACGGCCAAATTTTCACAAATTTCATGATTCCATTTCACACCTTTATATTTCACGTTCGCGTTCATGTTCATATTTCATTCTTCACACACACACACAAAATCTCTAGTTTCATCATGGGCTAACCCTCCCACACAAAGTCCTGACTCACGGTCGACGGCACCAAGGGACGCAGGGCCATTCCGTAATCCCCGCCGTTGGGGGTCCTCAGTAAGGTGTGGATGTGGAACTTGGCGGGGTGTTCGTTGTTCAAAAACACCCCGGAGTGGTGGTCAAACTCGACCAGGATCACGGGACTCTGGATGCGGAAATAAAAGGGGTCCGAGTCGGTGAAGCCGCCTATCCAACAAAAGTAGGTCTCGCCGTAGTGTTCGGCGATCTGGGACAGTTTCATCTCCCTCGCCCGTCGGGGGAGGTACAGCAGGTACTGGTTCAGGATACCCTTGACGAGGTCTCTCTGGTCGGCGGTCATGGAACTCACGGTGATTCCCTCGTAAGGGACGACCCGGTTGTCCCGGAACGCACCGCACAGGTGACGCTGGTCGTCGTGGTTCCAACGACCCTTTGGCATGGCCGGGTCCTTCATCCCCTTGTAGATTTGAGCCTCTGATTGTCGTTCCGCGGGGAGGGACTGCATGAGCCTGAGGCCCAAGATTTCTTCGGCCTCGAGGATCCTCGTGCCGGCGTACGGGCCCGAGTCGATCAGGTTGGGTTCCGCGCCGGTGAACCACGGCGAAGCCACGATCTGGCGGCGGTACAAGAACACGTTGAGGCACAGGTGGTGACCGTAGAAACTGAAACCCCAGGGAGCCGTGGTGGAAGGTTGACCGAAGAGGACAAAGTTGTAGGAAAACTCATTCATCACGGCGGGCGACTCGACCAACTCCCCCAGGAACCCATTGACCCGCATGGCCCCCACGGCCTTGTCGTAACCCTCGGGGGACAAGGTGGCCTCGAGGACGGCCATGACGCCGTCCCGCACCTCGGGGTCGACCTCGTCGAGGCGGACCCCTTTGTGGCTCAACAGGAACTCCGGGTTGGACCAGGTCCTCCACTGGGGGGAGTCGACGTGGTAACAGACGGCGGTCTTTTGTTCGGGGGTCAGTCGAGAGAGGACCGATTGCGTCTTGTCGACAATCTCCTCGATGGGGATCCCCTCGTCTTGGATCTTGAACAGCCCCGGCCGCACACTCCCGTCGTTGGTGACTCCCCGAAAAGGCTCCGACAAGAGTTTCTGCCAATGTAACCACAAGGAATGGATCCACGGGGGCACGCCACTCTCCTTGAACCGCTGGGCGTAGACGTGCGCATTTTCCGTCTTCATGGTGGTGAAGCGTGGAATGCTCAGGTCGGGTAGGTATCGACGGTAAGCGCTCGATTTGTTGGAGTCTGCCATGACTGCCTCCTCTTCTTTTGTTGCGTGATGTTGAAAGGATGAGATGAGATGGATTGGGGTATCCAAAGACTACACAGGAGAGCCAGTATCAGTTTGGGTAATGTTTTGAACAGAGAACGAGTACAATGATGGACACAAAAAGATATTCCTAGCTTTCTCCGTCCAAAAAAGTCGACTTTGGACAAATCCCCACAATTTGAACCTGGTTTTTGACAAGAGAATCGTGGGGCACCGAAGTTCGGTCACTCTCTCTCTCTCTCTGTCTGTCTCTCTCTCCCTTTAGCATTTACTTGCATTAAAAGAGGAGAATCTTGTGTCTCACACTCCGGCAGATTCTTGCGGGAAAAGTCGCCATCATTCTCACCCCCGTACGGAGATGGAGTATTTCACTCGATACGGAGTACAGTCAGTAGATTCTAGAGCTATTTTGATCCATCCACCGCCACCACCACCACCATCCCCGAACATATGTACTATTAGTACAAACCCACCGTCTCTTTACTTCCCTTTTCGCAAATCCCCACAGCTGCACGCCCAATTCTCTCTTTTTCCGATCCCTGTCCCTTTCATACTGTGTACATCACGAGCAAATGGCCAAAGTATCAGACCACAGTAGATCATCATAATGTTGAAGAGTCTACCGTCGTCTGCATTGTTCAAACGTATGTCTGATTGTTTTTTTTATCTCATCTTCACCCCTTCACCCCTCCCCCCATCCCTTTTCCCATTTTGTGTAACTTTTTAATTCTTACTACTCCTCCCAGGGCTCGTCCGTTTCGTTCCAAGATCCGATCCGTCCAAAATCCTCATTGGACAGCCTCGCGACGACACTCTCGACGTCGGTCTGGCCCTACGAAATGGCCAAGATGTTCAAGTCGACTTGTTTTCCGGATCTTCGGTTTTATCACCAGGTCAACAGACAGGCAAGAGCGTAATTATCGATCGAGTCTTGTCACCGTTACAAATGTCCGAAGTCGGTACAATTCGATGTATTGGTTTGAACGTACGGCCATCGACCCTCCCTGTCAAGACGAGGGATTGGACTCGCTGACCGAGATCCGAGACGAACAGTACAAACAACATGCCGCAGAAGTCAAAATGTCTCTACCAAGTGTACCTACCGTGTTCATGTGAGCCTGCCACCTCCGACTTCCGACCCGAACTTCCCAAAAGTCTACAACTAGCAAATTTGTCAATTTGTCAATGGTCACATGTCAATGGCCAATATTAACGTTGACGATGTCCCCCAGGAAACCTCACACGTCGATAGGTGACCCGTGGCCCGCTCCCACAGTCCTACCCAAACTCACCCAACAAGACGACTGTGGCGACTACGAGTCGGAACTCGCAGTGGTGCTGGGCCCTCGACCGGCCAAGAACGTCCCAGAGTCCCAAGCCATGGACTACGTTTGGGGTTACACCGCGTGCAACGACATTTCCAGCCGGACGAGTCAGTTCGCCCAGACCCAGTGGGGTTTCTCAAAGGGTTTCGACACGGCTTGTCCCTTGGGTCCGACGATGGTTTCGCCCGCCATGATTCCGGACCCGTCCAAGTTGAGGGTACGAGGGATCAAGATCCCCCTCGAAAAGAAAGCCAGTGACGAGGACACGATGGTACCCCTACAGGATTGTCGGACGGACGACTTGATCTTCTCCGTGCCCAAGTTGATCAGTTTTCTGTCCCAGGGGACCACGTTACCGCCTGGGACGGTCATCATCACGGGAACACCGGGCGGGGTGGGCATTGCGAGGAAACCCAAGGTCACCATCCGGGCGGGTGATGAGTTTAGGGTCGAGATCTCGCCTCATATAGGTACCTTGGTGAATGTTTTTGAGAATGAGCAATGACACTGATGATGTGGTGACATGGTGACACGGCGATGAAGTCTGGAGTTCCAGAGTACTGTTACAATCCATCATTGTAGATGAAGCAGATCTAGTCGAAGACATAGATGACTTGAACATGTACGTATATATACCAAGAGGACCTCATGACCACATAGAAGTCAGCAAAGAGTGTCACCCTCGTCCTTCTTGCGTATACCCCAGGAGCATTTCTTGATAGACATGCACGTGTCATCTTGCAACGACTTCCCTCACCTTGGTCAACTTCAATGCGCCCTTCTTCCCCCAGCCTGATTGACCACTCTGCACACTCGGTCTGAACTGTTCGTACATGCGGAAAGCTTTTGAGTTTAATTCATTTTCGTGTCCTCGTCCGGTCGTCATCGTCCACGTCTCGATGGCATCTTGCATGACCTTTGTGGTCCGCTCGTAGTTTTCCGGGGTACCAAATTTGCTCCTCAACAGACCCTCGTTCCCGTGTTTAGGTTTCCCTTGCAACATCACGTCTTCACCCTCGACGTACAATCTGAAACCCATCACCTGGACCTCGCGATCCGCCCCCGCCTCGGCTGCTCGACGCTTCGCATTCTGCTCGGCTTTCTCTTCCGGTGACCTTTCACGTTCGTCGATCGTGCCGACGGATTTACCCTTGGCGATGGCGCAGAGGGTGGAGATGGCGGACCCGATGGCCAGGTCCGTGGTCCACGACAGCTTCGGGTACAGGCGGTGGGCCACGCAGGCGGACCAGAGTTGTAGGACGGGCGAGCGGTTGATCGTGATGGTGTCATTGCTGTTGTCCTCGTCCTCGATGGCGTCCGGACTTGGTTTGGAAGAATTGACTGGTCCGGATGATTTGTCGATGTGTCCTTGTCGTGATTTCTTGGAGCGCGGTGATGAAGTGATGGTGGTGGTGGTGGTGGTATGTGTGCTGGACTTTCGTTTCTTCTCCTTTGACTCTGACGCCGAGGATGATGAGGATTTCTTGGTGATTTTATTAGTTCTAGGTCTGGATCGCGGATTTTGTGTATGCTTTGACCCTTTGGAGGCATTGGACTCAAAGTCCTCAAGATGCGATTGCTTGCTTTTACTTCTGGTCGTGGCTGGCATGATGTTGATGTGACTCACTCAAGTCCCCGACTTAAAGTCGCAAGGCCGATGTCGATGATGGAGTAATTATCACTTAGGGCGAGGTTTTGGTGCCTCTGTTCATTAGAAATGAATGTTGCACGTCTCCCTGCATGGAACGATAATGATGCCGGGAATCGTTCCGGTGTCTCCGTACGTCATTGTGATTCTCGATATAAGATCCGGATTTGGAGTATTTAGTCGTCGCACGTCGTGGTTTTTTCTTCCATTAACCTCAGTCGATCTCGTTAGGGTTGGATTCCTCTTCCAGCATTCGACACAATTCGTGTGTCCGGCGCTCCTAATGTATCTAGTGGCTGTGACATCCGTGGTCGAAGACGATGAGACTCCGCTCGCACCCAGTCAAAACAATCAGCGGAACAGGAGAAGATCTAATACGGCGTCTCAATGTCTATACATCGAACCTCTATTCCTCCATCCGTAAGCAGATCCCGAGACGGCATTCGATCCGCGTGGCCGCAAACCAGACACAGTCGCTACCTAGACGCTCTAACCTCCGCAACTGTACTCCATAATGACAAACAAAGTGTCCCACCAGCCTGTCTATCGCAGATCACCAGAGTACTCGTACCTCAGCATGAATATGGAACCACGTTTCCGTCAGCGTAGACTTGACATTCACCATTCACTATGCTCTTGTCGCCCAGCTTCGCGGTGGCTTCGGAGAAATCAGGAGCATTCCCATTTTTACTAAACATAATTTCCAAGTTAGATTGAAACCCAAGTTGCGACGAGAGTGCTTCTATAAATGTTTTGTGAACTTACCAGCCAGGGTCACCCGGACATTGTCGACATTTGAACGACTTAGGTACTGTGTTCCCATACAAGGCGGCAAAGTTGGACGTGCCCGGAACGGTGAGCTTGCCGTCCGATCTTTTCGTTCCGCTACACTGATCGCCCCAGTAGAATTTGCATTGCCATTGAGCGGGGACCTAGATTGGAATGGCATCAGGGGTCTTGAAACAGAACGAACTAGTGCAGGAGACTTACACCAAAGGATATATCGGTATTCCAGGTGAATTTCGCACAGGACATTTCGCTGATGGGTTGGAACTTGCATTTGCCCTTCCAACTAGCCGAGTCACAAACGTATACACCAGCGGGAGGCGATCGTTTGATGATTTCTTCGCCAGCAGCGGATTCGACGTAGTCGGGATGACCTGGTGTCAACTCTGGAGTGTCCATGAAAGTCTTGTCATCCTGGGCGGTGACAACACCGGATATGGTGGCCAGGAGGAGCGAGATCAACAAAGCACGCATTGCTCAAATTGAGAAAATCGAGAATCGTAGATCGTAATTTGAGATTGGTGGTGATGTACCGAGGAGGTTCGGACGGATTCATACCTGGATATTTATGTATCTTTCTGATGGTGTGCGTGAGACAAACAAAGATTGTGTCTTAATTCAACACCGAAAACGGGTGATTAGATCTCGTCCCCGAAGCCGCAGGGTGAGAGGTCCTTGTCAACACGTATGCAAAACACAAAGAAGCAAAGATGAGGTCTGGCGGCTACCACCTTGTGCAGGATCAAATTGCGGTCGTTGAAAGTATCGACTTTCTGGATACCAACCTCCAGTACCTTGCCACAACAGGGACGGCTGCACAAAACACAGGTCAACGGCTTCGACCTGTAGCAAATCCTACCTTGAAGGTCTTCATCATCATCATCTGAGGGCAGAAATCTGCTGGTGTCAAGTTGTTTCGGTAAACAACTGTTTTTAAGTCAAACAAAAATCGAAGTCTCGGTCCAGGCCAAAACATTCGAGACATGGTTAATCTTGGTTCGATGATGTGTATTGGCAATGTCAAGGGATTTGGAAGAGGATAGAATAGATTGCCCCGAAGTGAAGTGGTGGCAAAGGAGCTTTGGTAAAAGCAGTTGAGTTCCAGTGGTGGGAGGAAATGATCTGATGCTGCAGTACAGTAGGCATGACAAACCCTCCATGTTGCACTGTGCGGGGATCTCTTCCAGGCTCCAGATGCCCCGTTGGATTGTGATTTGGCTAGCCGGAGTTGGCCTAGAACGCCACCTAGAATCGCTTTAGGCCTCCCTAAAGGTCACCGAAGTCACTCCTCTCAGGGCCACCATGTCCCTAAGCTCCCGGATATTTCAACCATGAAACTCTATGCGCGTCACTAAAAGAAGGACGACGTTACTATCAACTCCAGCAGAGCCTGAACGTATCCCGACGACCTTTTCTACGACTCCGCCCATGGCTATGATGCTCCAACGTCGTCAACGGTACATGGTCCTCTTGACCTGACCGAATTCCACGAAACGTACCTTTTCCCTTCATTTGCCAACCACAAACACTTAGGTGTGACCGTCGTGTGATACTACGCAACCTTTATTACAAGGGCTATTAATCAACCAAGCTTCCAAACATGACTTCAACCATTGAGTGATTCGGATGAAGATGTGATAAAGAAAACAACCAACCAAGCTCACAGTCCTACGACAAAGCATACAAGTAGGGTTATCGCTTGATGGGAAACCAGCACCCGTCAGGGACTACTTGATTCGACGTCTGCTACTACAGAAGTCGAGGTCTACCTCTCCCATCCGGCCTTCAAGACGATGACGTTTCATTCTCGCGCTCGTCCAGACAAACGCAAATTGCGGCGATCAAGACGAGGTCGACACCTGGCGCAACCGTGACAAAATACTGTGTGAAGGAAAAGCCATATCAGCAACCAGGACACACTAGAGGTAAGGGGACCATTCTCCCCAAGCTTACCGTTTGCTTGCCTCCAAAGATTTGCCGCGCGTTCATAAAGCTTCTGGAAATGCTTGCGACAGGACGTCCAGCAAGGGTGATGGTGGCAGATCTATCCAGCCAATCGCCCTTGAGGTTCAATTCAATCTGACTGCCGTCCGACTGGTTTTGGAAATGGATGGTGGATTTGGATGAGAGGACTGGGTCAAGCTCATTGTATCAGAACAATAATCCATACAGCTTGCAGAATGAATTTATTGACAGCAACAAGGGTCGGAAGTACCTGAGAAATGACCCTTGACCTGGAAGACTTCTTGACCGTTGGGAGCCACGCCATAGAAGCTCTTGTGTAGCGCGATGTGTTTGTTCCTGAGGGTAAAGATTTCATTGTCCTGCATATCCGTGAATTCTTGCAGGTTCCGAAGTCAGCATTGACACTTTCCACCCAGAGAGTCAGAATTCCATACTTTTGGCACTACTGAGCGAGAAAACCTTGCCCTTGCATCTGCAGAGATGAAGGCCCGAGACAGTCGTGACTTCAAAATCATCCCCCGACAGAGAGAAAACCTTTTCTTTCATTTGCAAGGTCTGCTCCTGGGGATCACAGAAGGCTTGATTGATGCCCAGCGGAGGGTGGAAGGGAGCGAGTGACCCCATAATTTGGTTGGAACTGGTAGTTAGAAGCCTGATTGGCGTGCTTCGAGAGATATTAAGTTGAGAATTCTGTCAGGAAGAATATGTCTTGAGGCCGAGTGAAAAGCAGAAATGATGAGTAGAATGACTACTCAGGTAGTTTCTGGTTGATACATCTCTGTGAGTAGCTGAGGCTGGGCTGGTGAGGCTGAACCAGGACCCCCGCCGTCATTCCTTCCTTGCCTCCATTATTATTCCCTGTTGGCAGCCTTGGCTCAGCTTGGCTCATCCCATTAAAGAAAGGCCTATTGAGATGGCCCGGTCAGACTTACCCAAGTAAGCTTCCAGGTGCTGTAAGCCTTTGGTTGTCCCAGCTGCCCATCTTCTCTCTTCATCCTTTCTGATCGACTAGCTGCCCAGCTATTGACTGTCCGTCGTACTGTAACCACCACGACGATCGCCTCGGCCTTATATTTTGACCGAGACACGAGCATCTTCGTTGATTATTACTCAGCCCGTTCAGCATAACCCGAGTTTCCAGTCTACTGTACGACGAGCATCCGATCCCAGTATCGAGATATCGGACACGGATCAAATCAAACCGGGTGAGCGAGGACTACCAAGCAAAGTCGACGATCCAGTAGGTCCACAGCATCATCCCAAACTTCTCCTGGAGGCTCTCTCAACCGGTATGTGACTCGAAATAGGAGTGGTGCGTACAATGAACGTGTATTTAAAGCCCAGTTCCATTCAATTCATCCTTCAGGCGTGGTACTCAAAACATCACGCCGCCAAATACTTCTTACTATGCTGTAATACAAGAGAACGCTTACCCAGCTTCCTATGAAGTCTTTGCGTAATCCTACTCTCCGGTACCATGGACACCAAGATACTAAAGAACGGTACGGTGCTCGCCTTTGACGATGCCACCGCAACCATCAAAGTGCTTCCACAAGCACATGTTGTCATCCAAGGCGACTGTATCACTGCCATTCTCGACCCACGCCAGGCTGATGCTGCCATGTTTTCCAGTGCCAAAGTCCTTGATGTGAGCGGTCACATCATCTCTCCAGGCTTCGTCAACACTCACGCCCATACATGGCAAACAGCATATCGCACCCTGGGTCCTAATACCACGCTGGCAGAGTATTTCGGCTGGGTTTCGCAAATTTCACCTAAAATTGGGGAATGGACTGCTGAAGACATCTATGCCAGTACCGTGGAAGGTTATCTTGAAGGCATCAACGCGGGAGTGACTAGCTACCTTGAGCATGCTCACTGTAATTGGGGAGAGCCAGTCATGAAAGCTGCCTTTGAAGGCGCTGTGGACAGTGGTGCTAGAGTCTGGTGGTGCTATCATCCCGTTCCACGAGACGACTTTGATGTTACCAAGCAAATCAGTATTCTTCAAGAACTCAAGGCACAATCATCGCAGACACATGATTTGATCCGCATGGGACTTGCTATGGATGGCTTGGATCATATGTCAGATAACCAAATTCAACAGACAAGGCAAGTTGCGATTGATTTAGACGCCGAAGCATTGACTTCTCATTATCTTGGGAAACCGTGGCCCTGTGAGTCTTGTTCCCCTCAGCAAATATCGCCCTTCGGGCTAATTTGTCACAGTTGCAATTGGTTTACCAGGGATTGCCGAAAAGCATGAGTTTCACAAGCTCCGTGCTCCCTTCATCTGGTCCCACGCCGGGTTCCTGACGGAGAAAGATCGGGAATTACTACGTGAACATGATCAATATGTGTCAATAACTCCCGAATCAGAAATGCATTACGGCCATGGCCAGGACACGAGTCGCCTGATTCATGATCAAGCTTCGATCGGCATCGACACAAACTGGACCTTTTCCAATGATATCCTTCTCCAGGCTAGACTGTGGCTGCAAAATATGCGCGGCCATATCTCAACCGACATCTTGAAACGGGGGAATATCCCCAAGCAGAATCCGATGTCTGTCGTGGAGGCATTCTTGCTTGCGACTCGAAACGGTGGTCGTTCACTCCGTCGGGATGATATTGGAGTCCTACGGGTTGGGGCTAAAGCAGATATCGTCTGTTTCGATGGCAATTCCGTGAACATGTTAGGCTGGACAGACCCTGTTGCAGCTGTCATGCTTCATTCTAATGTTGGCGACATTAAGCATGTCTTGGTCGGCGGAGAATTCAGAAAGAAGGACGGGCAGCTGATCTTGAAATCGGGCGAATGGGAGGACATTTCGAGGCGGTTCAAGAAGACCTCTCAGCGAATTCAAGAAGTCTTCCGTGATCCGCCACCTCTGCCTGCGCATATATGGGACAAATATACATTCGAGGATGTGAAGGTTGGCACTGCCAAATTGACCAAATGATATGTTGAGAGAACTGTTGTCTGTCAGACCCATTCCATTTCTTCAATTCCGACTTTTAGCTATGCACGGTGACGATGGAATGATTACGAACGATCAGAGATGCAGAACTAGGTGGGTAAACATCCCTGCTCCCGATCCCCTGGTGGTTCTCCTAGTTTGGGTGAAGAATTGATCAATCATCTGGCATCATCCAATTCAGAAGGAGAGAAGATAACGGCCGTGATGTCTGTATCCATCATGAATATCCCCCCTTCGTGTCATACAGTCTTTCTGCAAGTATTGATCCGAGTGGTGTAGATGGAAGCAATTCCTGTAGCTGAAGAGGTATGTGGTGAGATTGACTCGGTGAATTTGATCTTGACGCAAGGTTCTCGAGCTGCCAGCAACTGGTATCTTTGAGCTTGTGTTGTAATCAAAGATGGCTCAGATTCTCGACGAGTACGGAGTGCATGGTATACAATAGTCAAGGGGAGCGTCGTAATCTTGGTGTACAGCATGTTGATCCACAATTTACCCCTCCAACCCCTCCATCACATCCGGTTCTTTCCCATAACGAAGCTCCCTAGACCGTACAGCTATTTATCAACACCATTCCTTCAGACTTTTTCTCTCTTGATCTTCTCATTGCGCTTCTCTCACATACAGAATCTCCCATCTTTTCCACAATCTCAACACTCACCCACAAACAAGTACTCCTACAAACCGATCCCCACAAACCATTCGAGCTGACTTGTTCCAGGTCTTTCGACACTTGCTTCTTCTCTCGTTCTCAAGTAAAGCTCACTCCGAAAGGATGAAGGGCGCCATGTCATCCTCTCGCTTGGTTGAGAGACCTCATGGTCAAGGTATTACTTGTATTTGATCAATCAAAACTTCAGACGTGGCGACACGTCTGAGCATGAACCGGTGTTCGCAAGTTTCCTGCCAGCCGCTTTCTGTTTTTCTTTCGAAAGGAAGAAAGAGAAGAAACATAATATTGCCATCCACCCAGACCCCGGCTTTGTCGTGGATTTGGAGATGGCGATGCTGGATATGTGGAAGTGCGTTCTGAGATCATACGGTTGAACTTGACTCTGGATAATACCAGCGAAAGAATCATGCCTTCTTCCCCCCCACTTTTCCCCCTTGACTGTGCAAGGACACATTCCCCTAACGAACGCAGGATGTCTCCACCGATCGCCACCTTCGACGAATTCAGCGGCTACACCGCGACCAAGGAGGTGAAGACGCCTTTTGACGGTGCCAAGAAGCTCACTCTCAATGGCGCCGACGTCCAAACCAAACTCTTGGACGACTTTGCCGGAAAATGGGAGAGCTTCAAGTTCGCTCCCATCCGCGAGTCCCAAGTCTCACGTGCCATGACCCGACGCTACTTTGCCGACCTCGACCGCTATGCCGAGTCGGACGTCGTCATCGTCGGTGCGGGCTCTTGTGGTCTGTCCACCGCCTACACCCTCGCAAAGGCTCGTCCGGACTTGAAGATCGCCATCATCGAGGCTTCCGTCTCCCCCGGCGGCGGCTGCTGGTTGGGTGGCCAGCTTTTCAGCGCCATGGTCCTGCGCAAGCCGGCCGACGAATTCCTCAATGACATTGGCGTCCCGTTCGAAGACGAGGGCAACTATGTTGTCGTCAAGCACGCCGCTTTGTTCATGAGCACCTTGATGAGCAAGGTTCTGGCCATGCCGAACGTCAAGCTCTTCAACGCGACCTGCGTCGAGGATCTCGTGACCCGCCCCTCCGAGAACGGCGGTGTCCGCGTCGTAGGTGTCGTCACCAACTGGACCCTCGTCACCCTCCACCACGACAACCACTCTTGCATGGATCCCAAGTGAGATACTGCGCCCTTCCCGCTTTGCCAACGTCCATTTCATGTCGAATTGCTTGCTGACTTGGACTTTTTGTCGCGCAGCACCATCAATGCCCCACTTGTCATCAGCACCACAGGCCACGACGGCCCATTCGGTGCCTTTTGCGCGAAGCGTCTGGTCAGCATGAACGCCGTCGAAAAGTTGGGCGGCATGCGAGCGCTTGACATGAACAGTGCCGAAGACGCCATCGTCAAGGGCACCCGTGAGGTCTCCCCCGGTTTGATCATGGGTGGCATGGAACTCAGCGAACTCGATGGCGCCAACCGGATGGGACCTACCTTTGGTGCCATGGTTCTGAGTGGTGTCAAGGCTGCAGAGGAAGCCTTGAAGGTTTTTGAAGCCAGAAAGGCAGAGTGCGCAGAGTAAAAGTAGGACGGAATCGGCCCTCCGTCCTACCCAGTCCTTCCAATGGACATACTGCGCTATCAGAGCACACGCAAGTACGGTTGTTTTTTGTCCGTTTTACTCACCTGTATGGGGATTGTCACTCTTCCATGACATCGCCCTACACTGCCACTCCTTGAATACTTTGCCGTATGTAGCTGAGATATCACAAAGATTGATGCTACAATATTCTTTTCATGTCTAAAAGATACAAAGTTACTCACGAGCAAAGTGTTCGATATCCGTCGTGTTCTTCCGTGGCTCTTGAACAAATTCCGTCCCCACCTTGTAAACAGTATAAGTCACCAAAAAGCCCCATAATCGCCTAAGCTGCCTATTCCGGCACATTGGTACTCGGTATTTTCCTAGTATCCCGGACGGAGGACGGAGGACGAAGTAGTAACGTGGTTTGTCAGCAGTCTACGAGTACTCTCTGTACGGTACATGTCATTTTGTCGACTTTCGTACTTGATAGATTCACAAACAGCCAACATTCACCTCGAAAGAAATTGTACTCTATACTATCATGACATTTGTACATATCACATTTATTTTGTTCTCCCCGTGCGAAACATAGTTCGAGGTCGAGGTGTCGAGGTTAACGAAGAACAAACAAAAAACAGCAGAGACCCTCCCCAAAACAAAAAAGAAATGTCATCCGACCACGATCCGGAAAGGAGGCCTCTTTTATCCACCTCCAATGGCCACACGACAGGTCCAGGTTCAGGTGGTCGGACGGAGACGACTGGTCGAGCAAACCCGTCGTCGTTGTCGAACAGCACCGCCACCACCGAGACACAAAACCCCAAGCTCTCCAGGGTCCGGGGCACGCTCATCTGCCTGTCGGTCTGGGTCCTCATCTTCATCCTCACCAACAACGTGTCCTTGATCACGACGATCCAGTCGCCCATCGCCGTCGCTCTGGACGCCTCGACCGAGGTGAGCTGGTTCACCTCGGCCTACCTCATCGCCGTGACGAGCATCACCCCCGTGGCGGGCCGGCTGTGCGCCATCTTCACCCCTCGCGTCTACCTGTTGGCCTCGATCGTCGTGCAAACCTGCGGCCTCTTGATCACCTCACAGGCTCGCTCGTTGGGCTCGTTCCTGGTCGGCCGCGCCGTCACCGGAGTCGGGAGTGCCTCCGTCACCCCCGTGGCCTTCATCTTGGTCACCGAACTCACGAGCCCCCGGAGGCGAGGGTTGTTTTTCGGGTGCATCAACACCGGCTACACCTCTGGGGTGGCGTGTGGAGCGATCATCGCCGGAGCCCTGGAACCGCTGGTCGGTTGGCGAGCCGTGTTCTGGCTTCAGATCCCTTTCGCGTTGTGCGCGGCCCTGGTGGCTTTCTGGTCGATCCCGGCCACTCCGGCGGCGGCGTCGTCGTCGTCGTCGTCGTCACGACCTGACAACCAAGAACCATCAACGTCGACGAAAGACGACTCTCTCGGCACGAGACTCTCCCAGATCGACTACTTTGGCGTCATCACCATCATCGCCGCCGTGGTCTTGTTGCTTTACAGTCTATCTTCACCACAGATCCAAATCACGCCCATCGTCCTGTCCTTGGCGTCCCTGGTCTTGTTCGTCCTGGTCGAGGCCAACTGGGCCAAACGACCCATCGTGCCCGTGTCGGTCCTCGAATCGCGAGGCAACATCCTCACCGGCGTCGCCACCATCGGCGTCATGACGGCCCGGTGGGGGGTCCTGTTTTACACTCCCACGTACGTCTTGACCCTGAGAGGCTGGTCTCAGGCCAGTGCCGGTTTGACTCTGATCCCGACCAACTTGGGGTTCGGGCTGGGCGGGCTTTTGGCCGGGTGGCTACACATCCGTCGCACGGGCAGTTTCTACGTTTCGTGCCTGGTGACGTTTGTCCTGTTCGCCCTCTCCATGTTCGCCGTGTCTTGGATCTCGACCCCAAACTCCAACATTTATGTGTACATTGTGGTCTTGTTTCTGAACGGCTTCCTGGTCGGAGCGCTGCTCAACTACTCCCTCGCCCACGTCCTGCATTTGACGATACCCGCGACTCACATCATCGTCATCCCGCTCAACGCCATGTTCCGTAGCCTCTCGGGATCCTTTGGGTCGTCGGTCTCTGGTGGTTTGTTCCTGAGGACGCTAGCCACCACGTTGAGCGACGAGTTTGCCAAACGAGGCGTCACGGGAAAGGAAGGCCTGATCAGACAATTGATCGGGACGCCCATCCTGGTTCAGAGGTTGACGGGCGTGGAGAAAGAGGTGGCCAAAATCGGGTACGAGACCGGGTTGAAGACCGTGTACCTCGCCGGTGGTTGTTTGGCGGTCGTCATGTTGGTGGTCCAGGCCGGTGTGGGATGGACTGCACCGGACCTCGGCAAGGGTGAGGGACATGGTGGTGGTGGTGGTGGTGTTGATGACGGGGAAGGCAGAGAAGAGAGGATCGGTGGAGATGTACTTTCACCTGTTGTTTCTAGGGAGACGTGAATTATTTTTCAACACAATGGACTAGGTACTTCGATGGGTGGATGTTTGGATATATCACGGACTCAATACAAGGGCAGGAACATGTGTAGGTATAAGAAAAATGACAAAACAAGATACATAGAATAGATTTGTACATGAAGATTCCAACATTTGAGATGTAATGTCATTGAATGCGAGCACACAGAGTATGAATTACCATGCGATACTGTACTCTTGTGTGAGGTCGTCCTCAAGAAGGTTGGAGGGGAGGGGAGAGGGCGTCACCCAGTCATCTCGGTTGAGTACTACGGACAGTGTACAGTACATTGATGCACTGTGGTCGTACTTATAACGAATAAAATACTTCAAGTCTTGGTCTCATGCATTCAACCCTTTATTCTCTCCCAAAGTCTTTGGTTCGTGTCCACCTTTTCCAGATCCCTCCAGGTTTCCTCTACTGCCTCCACCGCTGTGCACTTCGTCGTGGACTTCGCTCAGACCTTCGGGCATGGGAGCTGCCTTTTTGGCACCGGCGATTTCTGATTCGGTCGTAGGCTGTTGTCGTAGAGGGTAGTTAGCCAAAGTCTGAGACAATTCTTTGTTTTCGGACCAGATCAGAAAAAGAGGTGTCGCATGTTTGTGCAGTACCTTTCCATCACCACCGTGGATAATGTTCTTTTCACCTCCAATGGCGTTGTCTGATTGTGGGACGCCGTTGTCGTATTCCGCTCCACGAGGCATTTTGATATGTCGATACAAGTTTTGATGTTTTTGAGCGGTTTGGTAAGGATTGTATGATGAAGTTTCAATTGTTATCAAATGATATATTCACCCAGATTGACAATATGTTTATATGTAGGCAGACGAGATAATCAAAGAAGAGTGAGAACTTCACAAGAGGGCAGCAAGTCAATTGGTAAATAGGTAGTGACTTGTGTGGTTTAAGACGTCATACCAGCTACAAGTCTCGCGTATAGCATGAAGCAATCTCTAGAAAGAATCCGTGGACCTTGAACATCTTTCACTGTAAACGAGTAGAAATGGAGTCAGATCGCATCAGCAAGTGGCTGACAATATGGATACAATACTCCGTAACCTGTTGCCCTTCAACGTCAGGATGAGGTCACGGAATTCGGTGGGTTACGGATTTGTTCACGGGCCCCTCGGTGGGAGCAGAACAAACTCGTGTTTCATATCTTGAGGTCTCCGATGACGGATACATGATCCGCTTCCTTCCCAAGAGACGAGTCGTTTCTTGTGAATAGGCATAGCAGCAGAGAGGTCTGTCTCAAAAGGACATTGAGACCCCAGACGACGATGGAGGGTGATATTGTGGTGTCTTGACAAGTGGTGGCGGTAGATATTCGGATATATTACATCATCCCCGGACTGTCTTCTGTCCGTCCATCTCGTTCAAAAGGTGAATCGAGTCGTTGATTCGATTTTGATCTCGCACAAGAAAGCCAAAAGACTTTTCAAACCTGCCACGTGTCGAGATGGTTTGCGAAATATATGATACATTATGAGTACAACAATGCAAAAACACACTTTTCTTTCTTTTCGTGGTGTTCCGGACCTCTTTGAGTGACAACGAATATTGACTAGGGAGTACACGCCAGTGGATATATTCATCAGTGACACGTCGACCCTTGTTTTTTGTTACTGACAATGACCTCTACAGCGTAGGAGATAACCACTCTTCAGTGAACAAATTCAACCAACGCTGATACTACAAATCTCTTACCTCGCATCTTGTTTTTTGGGTTTATCAACATCCTCATCATAATACCACCTCACACCAAAAATGACCGATCGAATCGTCAGGGTTACAATTCAAGGCGCACTTCTAGCCGCAGCTTCCAATGCCATCGCCCAAGGCTTCACAGTTTACCGCGAACGATCCTTCAACGCGCTCGATTCCCTCACCTTTGTCCAGTTTATCTTGTTCTCCATTCTCAACACTCCTCCGAATTACATGTGGCAGTTGTGGTTGGAAGACAATTTCCCGGCCAACCCCAAGAAGAAGCAGAAGAAGAAGAAGGTGAAGAGTGACGATGCGAAACTGGATGACGAGGAAGAGAAGAAACTGTCAATAACAAACACAATCATCAAATTCCTGTTGGATCAGTCGGTCGGAGCCATCTACAATACTACATTCTTCATCACCGTCATCAATTTGTTGAAGGGCGCAACATACACGCAGACCGTTGAAGCTCTGTCGAGGGTGGGTTTTTTTCCCCTTCACTTGTTGCCTGTTGCCTTTTGTATCTTGAAACAAAACAACTGACGCGAAGACGCAGGATTTTTGGCCAATGATTATTGCAGGGTACAAGTTTTGGCCTCTGGTTTCGATACTGAATCTGTCTGTCGTACCTGTCGAACAGAGAATGCTCGTCGGTGGGTTGGCGGGGTTGGCTTGGGGTGTTTATGTCAGTCTCATAGCAATATGAGGGTGACGTTCATTTATCAAGGGTGTTTTGGGTCATCTGTGGGTTTTTCGAGCTGTGGTTATCTAGGGAAAGAAGAAACAAGATAGCCTGATAGACTTGTTGGATCTGCGAGAGTTTTGGGTGGTTGGTGCTGGGGGTGTTGGATACTGGATAAGTCAGGAATGCGCGGTCAACAGTACGATACGGATCTTGACGACGACGACGACGATGATCAACGAATGAATAAATAGATACAGCATAGATGGATAAAGGTTCTTGGCTATTAACGATAGATATTTCATGCATAGGTAGACCTCGAGTACTCGTGCAGGGGACGGAAAAATGGTAACTTGGTGTATCTCGAAGGATGTAGGTGGGCAGAGGTTGAGATTCGCGCATGATGCTCAATATCACAAATTCTAACAAGCTTCAGTTACGAAGATTTCTTCTTTTGTGACTTCCAGTGTAAGATGATGACTGCGAAACGACAATTGTCCATGAGTAAGTAATGCTGTGGTAAGCGCCGAAGCCGATGAAATTCGGCTCACTGTGATGAACCGAGGTATTCGACCTTTACCCCGTATTTTTATATTCTCGACTTCTCGTGAATACTCAGTTGCTTACTCCTCGAACGTCGACTCCTTCATCTCTATCCCTCTCATCTATATACTACAATCCTTCTGACAACGACGTCTCATCTTCCGAGAGTACGGTCCGTACGGAGAATTACCAATCCCATCGGTGCGACTCGGATCATATTTGAACCCGAAGCTTTAAACAGGGCTTACTTCCGTGTATACAGTCGAAACAAAGATCCTCAGGTCACCACTCTAACCTGTACAAACAAACCCTCGACATCATTACGACCCAATTGCTTCACACACCGTAATCCTCAACATCTCCCTCCCCCCGCAAAAATGTCATCGTCCACGACAATCCCACCTCCACCGCCCAACCCGTCGGTGTCCTTGGGGTACCCGGCCCCCCACGTCTTACTGGTCACCATCACGCGGGAAAGACAGATGAACAGTATCCCCTACGCCGTCCACTGGTACCTCCACCGTGTTTTCGAATGGTTCGACCGTGAACCGACCTTGCGCGCCGCCGTCATCACCGGGTCCGGCCCAAAGGCTTTCTGTGCCGGTCAGGACCTGATCGAACTGGGGACCCGAGACCCGAAGGAAGTCGAGGACAAGCCTTACCTGAGCATGCACCCTCCCAGTGGGTTCGCGGGAGTTTCCAGACGGGTGGGCAAGAAACCCATCATCGCGGCCGTCAATGGTTTCGCTTTGGGTGGAGGGTTTGAAATCGTTTTGAATTGGTTGGTCTTTCCCTTCTCAGCACTGACGTGTTGATTACCATCTTACTGATCCCGCTCCTTTTCGGTCCCTCACAGCGACATGACTGTGGCTTCACCCACCGCGACCTTTGGTCTCCCCGAATCACTACGTGGGATCTACGCCGGGGCGGGAGGACTCCCCCGTCTCGTCCGCAACGTCGGCCTCCCGCTCGCCAGCGAGATCAGCATGACCGGTCGTTTCCTCACCGCCAAGGAGGCCCTCCAGTTCCAACTCATCAACCACGTCTCCTCTTCCCGGGACACCGTCGTGGACGAGGCCGTCAAGTTGGCCGAGAAGGTGGCCGGCATCTCCCCCGACGCCATCATCGTCACCCGCGCCGCCCTGCGCGAGACCTGGGAGACGGGGAGCGTCGAGCGCGGTTACCAACTCGTCCAGGAAAAGATGGCCCGGGCTCTGCACGAGGGGGAGAACGCCAAGGAGGGCCTGGCGGCCTTCAGGGAGAAGAGGAAACCGGTGTGGAAGGCCAGCAAGTTGTGAAATTGTTTGAGTTTTGGGGAATCTTGGTGCTGGGCCCCCCCCGGGCATGTCCCAGGGCAAAGTACGCTTGTGGTACGTGGCATGTACGCAGAATGAATGCATGGGCCCAGGGACAATCAGAGTGACGAGAGCGGTAACGAGAGAAAAGAAGGGAAAAAAAATCAATACAGAACATCATGAAATCATGTCCGTTGATCGAATCAATTTTCTTTGTTATTACAATAGATACACCGAGCTCCGTAAAGGTGAATCTAGCGACTCCCAACCGCTTCCTCTGTAGTTTTCTGGAAGGTGATCAAATCTCATAACCAAACGGGATACTCTCCATGGCCCCACTACGCTGTACGCACTTTGCGGCGGCCTCGTTGGCACGCAGAGAGGCTTCTTGGACGTCGAACCCTTCCAGACTTCCCTGTTTGGAAACGTGTCGGGCCAGAGCCGTGGACAGGTACCCGACAAAAGTGTCACCTGCGCCGGTCGTGTCGACCACCTTTGCCACCTTGGCCGCCGGGATGAGTCCACGGGCCTGTTGTCGAGTGGATTTCGATGCCACGGAGTAATACAACCCTCTCGACCCTAGAGTCACGACGACGATCGAGATGGACGCCAGGTCGTGTAGATGTGAAGTCAACCTATCCAGATGTGGTGTGAGGTTCTCTTCACTCGGCGTTTCGATGTCCCGGAGTTCCTGAACCGCCTTGAACAACAACAGACACTCGGTCTCGTTGACTACAAGGACGGCGAGGTCCTTGAGAGCCGAGAGCGGGATCGTGTCGAACATGGGGGCCGGGTTGAAGACCACGCAGGTCTTGTGTCGGTCCGAGTTGAAAGTCGACAACAATCCCAAGACCGTCGGCTTGGGGATCTCCCCCTGCATGACGATCACGTCGGGCACGCCGTCCTGGGTGGTGGTGGAAATGATCTTGTCGAGGTCGTCGACGTGGTGGTTCGCCCCAGGCACAAACAAGATCCGGTTCTCGCCGTTGGATCCTTCGTCGACTATAATGGTCGCCGTTCCCGTCTGGACACCTTCCACCTCCTCGACGTACCGCGTATCCACGCCGCTCTTGGTCAACGTTGGTTTCAAGAGCGAGGCGTAGTAAGGGTCTCCGGCTCCCACGGCCCCCAACATCTCGACCTGCACGTCTTGTTCCGTCGGCGACGTGTACGCCGCCTTGCCACAGGCCACCGCTTGGTTGCTTCCTTTGCCGCCCGCATGGACCGTCATCGACTTTGCCTCCAACGTCTCGCCGGGCCCAGGCACTCGCGGAGTCAACGTGACAAAGTCGATGTTCAGAGAGCCTATGATCCGGATGATGGGTTTCCGTGCCATCTTTGGAGGCTGTGGGGGGTGTGTTGAAAATTGTGATTTTACCCGTCTAAGAAATCGGCTTTTGCTAGATGTTGAGTAGTACAGGCTGGGTTTTGTTGCAAGTCTCCAAACTTTCAGCACACGTAAACAAATGATCAATCAATATGTACGAGTATATCTCAAAAATCATGCACCCTTGAAGAGGCTGTTGAGTATTTTGAGGCTAAGGACCCTTTCTTGGGCCAATGAGGAATTTTACCCCAAGAAATTTCTGATTGGCGGATGTCGCCGGATTTGTTCACAGGGTTGTATTGCTGGCGCGTAAACAATCATCTCGACAAGCATCTACGTGATTGTGCAAAATGGCATAGCAATTAACTAGACACAAACATTTGTGTCTTGGTGAGCGAGAAGCGATGGTAGCTCCTCAACATCCTGTGCCCGTACAAAACTAATGACTTTCTCTGATGTGTCTCACAGTGGGCAACACCAGATTCGAGACAAAACTCACTCTGACAAAGGAACGTGTACGGTTGAGCGTTCAAAGCGAGGATTTGAGAATATGAGCTGTCGCCTTGCTCTGCCTTGATAGACATGTGGACGAATGAATCGGAGCCATACACAACTCTGTCTTTACGCAACGCCGAAGACAAGGCCGTCAGTGATCTCGAATCAATCAAATTGACCTGTCATGTTGCTTGATATGCTGGAAGACAGCGACACACATAAAAAGACTTTCGCTTCGTCGATAACTCAGCATCGAAGCGTGGAAAACGTCAATGCCAACGAACAAGTTGCGCTGCGTGGTTGTCCTACCTCACAGACGACAGTGCGATCGAAGTAATCTGTATTCGGCTGCTTTGTGGCTGCAGAACAGCAGCAGAGGTAGGCAATTGAAGCCTTGTTCCCAGTTGATGATGCCTAGCGATGTCAGTTGGCTTGGTTTAGAATCCGACTGTGTACAGGACGTTGAATCAAGCAGATACGGTTTCTGCCACACAAACGACCAAGGATTCCTCGAAACGCGATCTGTTGTCTGTGCATGTCCAATCGATATGCTGCCAACGTGTCAGACTGACTGCATGTAATTAGAATCAGCAATCAACACAAGAAGTCCTTGTGTTGCATTACGGCTACTTCGTAAATGTCGTAGAACGGGCGCCAATGAGTCGTTTCGTGAACGATGAGAACCGATCCTAGTTAGTAAGAGCTTCGTTTACTGATGGCAGTTGAGGGACTAGTCCACTTCCTGAGAGTTCCGTCGCACAGAAGAAGTCCACATGCGGTGTGGTTCTCCGTACAGGGGAACGATGTCCAGGACTGATGGAACGAGAGGATTACAGTAATGTGAAAGCGGGCTGGAGTCGCCTCCTTGATGTGGGGATCATTTCGTTTCGAGTGCTGGCTAGATACAGTATGTTTGTCATATCCTTGCTGCAATTGCTAGGGACCCTTGTGCCCGGAACAAGGCAGAGTAACGGGTCGACGTGGCTTTAGGGATGCTTCAAAAAGGTCTCGCTGGACTTCGATAGGGGTTGAGGCCGACAATCTGAGGAACCGACGTATCAACACGGAGTTAGCGAGAGAAGAGCAGATCTGATGTCGTAAGCCTTCTGGTTGATGTACGTAGAGAGGCGGGGAATCGAGTACCGAATTGAACTGCCCCTGGAGCAACCAAGGATGTTAGACAAGCTTTGTGCAAGCTTTTATGGGGCACCTTGCCGGCACTTACTATAGTAGACTCCGATGGTGACAGGGGTGCAAAAACCTCTCGAGATGGTCAATCACCTTTGCAGTAATCTTCAGCAGAGGTTTGCGTGTGATGTTGAGATTGCAAGTTTTCTGATTGTACGGAGCAGACTCTGCATCTCTAGGCGTGCAGTTGTGCTGCTCCAGCCTGAAATCAGTAGAGGCACTGGCAATCTCCGAACAGGAGAAGAGCGGATTCTTGAGCCGGGGCGTAGGATGTTGTACAGTACAGGCTGCATTTCAATTGAGAATTTAGGGAGGCAAGAAAGACCAGCATTTCCCGGCCACCAAACCCCACGGCTTGCATCATACTCATCCAAGTAGCCATCTCTGCAAAGACTTGAAGAGTTGTTCGGAGGTCTGAGCTTTGATGTTGCGTAATCTTGATGGAGAACATAAGCGCCTCGACGAGCCCAGTGCCGCCCAGCGCAGTACACCTTGACATGGGGGCTGGTTGATATTGAGATGCAGTCCACTTGGTGCTCTGAGTGTCTAACATGTTTCAGATGCAGCGGTCCACGAAGCGGATTCCACATGGTCATTGCAGCACAGGCTGATGCTGTTGTGCCTTGTCTCCGCGATCGAGAGTCGGCAATCGAGATGGAGTACGGGAGAGTTTGAGAAGATGCATAGGCTGGTCAAAGGACACAGGCTTGGTCAATAATACAACAGACACGGGCGACTCGGTAGTGAAATCTGCAAGGAGGGAGGAAGCAGATGCGGCGTCACCATGTGAAACGAGCCAGGGTGAAGATGCGACTGGGGAGAATGATGAAGGGTGCGGAAGGGTGAAAGTGGCTGCAGCTTTAGCGGGAGTTGGTTGCGAGATAGTGAAGAAGAGGGACTTTTTAGGTGTCTTTAGCTGTGAATGGCTCCGATACTCGCCGTCTTTAGCGCATGTAATTTTCCGAGCATCTCGAGTCTTTCTCTTTTACGGATGGAGACTCGAGGCTTCACTCGACATTATTCAGGTCATCCATCATTGTCCTCCCGCTGTACGTGAACATGTATGGAGTCGGTGTCATCTGGGCGTTTCACCTGAATCCAGCGAGGCAACCTTGACGCCGCCCCCAGCCCAAGAAAAATTGTCGCAGACAAGTCCACTTCTCACTGGCCTCTTCCACGCACCCATCCTTCTCAGTGAGAACTACAATGACCGAGTCCAGCTGCCATGTAAGTTTCACAGAGAAGAGTTGAATCCTCGTTGCTATCTTGACGGCAGCCTCAGTGTCAATTTACGAAGAGCTGGAAAGTACAGGGAACCGGTTGCCAGCCAGACCATCCGCCTCATCAGTCCGTTCAAACTGCAACTTTTCTACCAGTCTGGTATCATATGGCAAGCCTTTTTCCTTGCACCTTTAATTAGCACAAGTGCTCGAGGAAATCCATCGTCTCTCTTCTCTTGTCCTCATTTCTTTGTTATCTCGCTCTCTACTCCGTAGATTTGAGACCATTGGCAACCATCCTCCTTTCTTGGTCATTGGTCGTTTCAGTGCAGATTGCAGACCAGTTCGTTGTTCGTCATCGTTGAACAAATCTCCAGCTCCCCGCAGAACGAACCGGCTTGGGTTTAGCTCCAGGTACCGGGCGAGTCCTTGAAGAGAGATTGGGCCAGTTGCCAGCCTCGTCAACAAGGATCTTCTTTGTGCCCAAAGGACTCGAAGCCAGCTAAAAAGCCAGCTAAAACTGGTACTAGGCTCCACCGGCATCACGATCCCTGCCATCTGCTATCGTAGACCCTGGGAAATCTCGAAATACATACCCAGACAAAGACCAGCAAAGAAGTGCTCTCGCTAGCCTCAGTAGCGAAAGACCTTGCAAAAGCGCTCTGTGCTTGGGAATGAGAGGGGGGTCCTTGTCGGTAGGACGCCGGATCGACTATTTACCAGATATCACCCATTCACTCCCTCGCGCGGCTACTTCACTTCCTCTCACTCTCTCGCTTCACCTTTGAGTCCAGGCACTTCATCTTTGTATGATCCCATCTTGTTGCAACTCACCACTCCTTTGAGCTGCTCAAGATCAGTCGTTCTTTACCTTGCCTCGGCCTTTCAATTGTTAGCAACGCACAGTCGGTGACCGTGCATCCTTCGGATCGTCCCCAGCCAGTCCGTGCCTCAACACCAACACTCTTTGACCAGAGTCCAGTCCTCAGCCTCACCTGGTGTGAAAAAGCATCAACCAAAACACTTGGGCCATTGCTCGGACACTGCTCACCCAGCCAGCTGTCACCAACCCACGAATTCTATCATCTGCGCAGCCCGGTGCATTGCCATTTCCTGCCACATTCTGGTATCAAATAGCCCTCGCATAACCACCGAATTCAGTCTCAATAATCATCAGACTATTGCGACCAACAACTCGACTACGACTTACTAGTTCCGACTCTTCGACTGCAAACATGAAGTTATCCATTGTCGCCCTCGCCGCCACATGCGCCGCATTGACTGCCGCCAAACCACTGGACAAACGTGCACTGACCACCACTGTCGAATGGGAAACCGTCACCGTTACTGTCACCGGCACTCCTCCCGCTGAGACTGAGCCGGCCATTGCCTCTTCTGTCGCACCCGCACCCGCTGCCACTACCGATGCCGTCTCATGGTCTTCCAACAACGACTGGACTTCGGGCTCTGGTTGGGGTGGATGGGGGAATGGATGGCGAGGTGGATGGGGAGGGGGAAGTGCCAGTGCTGGTTCTTCTGCCGCGGTGACTTACACTCAACCCCCATCATCTGGTCCTGCTCCTACCTCAACTGGCGGAGAAACTCCAAGCTCGTCCACCCCTAGTCAGCCAGCTTCCACCAGCGTCTCTTCCGACTACCAACAAGGTATCCTCGACTCACACAACATCCATCGCCGAAACGCATCTGTTTCCGATCTCACTTGGAGCGACAACATGGCATCAATTGCAGCTCAGATTGCAGCCAGCTGTGTCTATGCTCATGATACTAGCACCGGCGGAGGTGGCTATGGTCAGAACATTGGCGCCGGTGCTGCTCCCTCTGATGTGCCAGGAATGATCACCAACGAAATGTACAACAACGAAATCAACTGGTACCCTCTGCCATATGGTGTTGAGCCCGACATGACCAACTTCGAGAAGTGGGGTCACTACTCTCAGATTGTCTGGAAGTCAACCACCTCTGTCGGATGTGCTACCCAATACTGCCCCAATGGTTTGGCCAACACTGGAGGCGGGGTCAGCCCATACTTCACTGTCTGCAACTACAGCCCTCCTGGTAAGTGTTGGCGTTTATTTTATTGTTATCGATCTGTACTGACCATGGCTGTAGGAAACTTCGGCGGTGAGTATGCAGCAAACGTTCTGCAGCCCCAGGGTGAGCCCACAGTGACGCTGTAAATGTCGACTTGATGGTGTTTCTTCATGATTGACGATTCATTGCATTGCACTTGCACCTTGAGAACCTACAGCGGGCGCATTCTTTCCTTCCAAGGCTGGTTATGGCCACACATTTATGAAACCAAGAGTTTGTTGTGATTTTGGAGCTTGCGACCAGCGTCGCCAACACTGGATATTGTTGGGTTGTTTTCTTTCCACGCGCAGGTCATTTGGACACCTCGTTGCTTCTCTGAGAGGGAACCGAGGCCGCACAGATTTTCACTTCGTTTTTTACCTCTTGGGCTACAGTTGGGGAATCTTTTTCATTTCTTTTTTCAAGTCTGCAAAGGAAGGCAGATAGAGAGACGTCGAGTGGCTCTGGGTTCAGTCTCTACTTTTAGCTTACGGCGACGAACCAAAAATGTACAACAGCATTCCAAACATTCAATTTCCCCTGGCCAATCCCATGTTTCTCGTTGGATAATACTCCGTATGTGCAGTATGGAATTCTCGGAATACTTACGGAGTACAAGTAGAAGAAATAGTACTAGATAGTCCGCGCCCCAGGACGGGTTTCATATCCACCCTATAAGCCTGTTATGGAGACCTATAGTTTGCCACTGACGATGCCCAGAACGGCCTTGGGATAGCCTGGCCCCAGGCGCGTTGTAGCCCGGAGATCTGGGCCCCCTTAGGGCTCTGGCACGCTTTTCCCGTTCGCCCAGGTTCATTCTTCCCCGATCGTTTGGGTGTGGCGCATAAGGCTGCGGAGAAATGGAAGTTGTCATGCGCTCCTCCAATCTATCTCCAATGATCATTCGCCTGCTCTGAAGCTGACCTTTGCATCTTCCCTCCGATCGTCCAGCCTTAACTCTGGAGCTGGAAAGAATGGCGTCCATCCAAGACGAAACAGACGAGAATGCCGTATTTTGCCATCGTCAGGAGACATCCACAAATTTTGACCAGGTCCAGCAATAAAAGCAGATGAATACTCCATGCTTGTATTGTGAGTTGATCACGGTAGGTGCCTTGCCGATAGCTTCGCTACGTCACCGCGAAAGAGGAGAATCAAACCATTTTGTCCAAGTGTCTATCTAGCTGATGAGTGTTGTCGGATGACCACGAAACCAGCAAGACTCTCCTGCTTCTTTTCAAATCATTCCACAAGATCCTAGCGAAACCCTCAGAAGCCCATTATCAGACTTCGCTGGCCTCTCCTGCTTGCTGCTGACGTGCTGGTTGGAGGAAGACTGTTGTTCCCGCACCTCGGTCATCTGCGGCAGCGCTGCTGATTAGCCCACCACCAACACCCGACACTGCGCACTGCGCGTTTTCTGTACGTCCACTTCTTTCCTTTCCTCCGAGACGCTACCGCCATCTTTCGAATTCGCATCATCCGTGATTATTCGAGAATGGTGGTCATACCTCCCGAGCCATCTCCTTGCCGCCCACCGTTATGATGGAATCTATGCCTTTGTGCAAGACGAACCGTGGGGACAAGCGAGCGTTGGCCGCATTTCTCCATCTTCCTCCGGCCTTCTTCACATGCTCTGTGGGCGGCCGACGGCGGGTGTCCTCCATGACCATGTTCTGCTCTGACCCCTCCTGACCCTTCCATGTCTTAAGATCATATCGTTCAGCTTGTTGTTCCTACTAATCAACTTCTTCCCTCGCGTTTTTGTACTTGGTCAGCGGCATCCGGCATTGAACGACTCTTTAACAGCCCAATCCCCATGCCATCCTACTGCCTGCACGATTGCCACTACTTCTATCGGACTGCTCTTCGTTTGCTGAGCGTTGCTACCTTGGTGGCTGCATTGTACTCATGATCAACCTATTGACCATGCCTATATCTATCGCAGGAACCCGATATTTTTCCCAACCAGCTTCCATTGGCGACACGCTAAGCCGAGCCTCGCCAAAGGCTGAAGTCGACGGGATGGCCGCCGAACATGTCGAACGGGCTCTCGAGGCCGCAAAAGATGTCAAGGAGTCATACAGCAAACAAGAGAAGGAGCCCATGTCGGCACAGACACTGCCAAAAGAGCACACCAAACGAGGCATCACCTTCGCGGCACAGAACAAACTTCCAAAACTGCCAATACCCGACCTTGACGCGACAATGAAGAGATATCTCGAAGCCCTGGCACCGCTTCAGACGATACAAGAGCATAATGAGACGAGGGCCTCCGTCCGTGATTTTCTCGACCACGAAGGGAAGGATCTCCAGGACCGACTGAAAAAGTATGCCACCGACAAGACAAGTTATATTGAGCAGTTCTGGTACGATTCGTATTTGAATTATGACAATCCGGTCGTCCTCAACCTGAACCCCTTCTTCCTGCTGGAGGATGATCCAACGCCGGCGCGTAATAATCAAGTCACCCGAGCAGCCTCCCTCGTCATTTCCGCACTCTGCTTCGTCCGAGCGGTACGAAAGGAGGAACTACCTCCCGATACCCTAAGAGGTACGCCTTTGGATATGTACCAGTACTCCCGCCTGTTTGGGACTGCTCGTGTCCCAACCGAGAGCGGTTGTATCATTGGCCAGGACTCAGATTCTAAGCATGTTGTGGTCATGTGCCGAGGCCAGTTCTACTGGTTCGATGTTTTGGATGACAATCACGACATCATCATGACTGAGAAGGACCTCGCGATCAATTTACAGGTGATTGTCAATGACGCTGAAGAGATTCCTATCCAGGAAGCCGCCCGAGGAGCCCTTGGAGTGCTAAGTACCGAGAACAGAAAGGTCTGGTCGGGGCTCAGGGACCTCCTGACCAGAGATGAAGGATCAAATAACGCAGATTGTCTGTCTATCGTTGACTCGGCTTTGTTCATGATCTGCCTGGATTACACTGAGCCGGCTGATGTTTCGCAATTATGCGGCAACATGCTCTGCGGTACCAATGAAGTCGTTCGGGGCGTTCAAGTCGGCACCTGTACCAACCGATGGTATGACAAACTCCAGATCATTGTTTGCAAGAATGGAAGTGCGGGCATCAACTTCGAGCACACGGGTGTCGACGGCCACACTGTTCTACGCTTCGCCAGTGATGTTTACACCGACACTATTCTACGATATGCAAAGTCTATCAATGGACAAGCTCCGACCTTATGGACTTCTCAAAGCCCTGACCCCTCGAAGCGTGACCCTGATAGCTTTGGTGATGTCAAAACCACTCCTCACAAGTTGGAATGGGACATGACCCCGGAGCTCTCAATCGCCCTTAGATTTGCGGAAACACGATTGGCTGATCTTATCAACCAAAATGAATTCCAAACCTTAGACTTCTCTGGCTACGGCAAGAATTTCATCACTTCCATGGGTTTCTCGCCTGATGCTTTCGTCCAGATGGCCTTCCAAGCAGCATATTATGGTCTCTACGGACGAGTGGAGAACACCTATGAGCCGGCAATGACCAAAATGTTCTATCATGGACGAACAGAAGCAATTCGTTCCGTCACACCCGAAAGTGTTGACTTCGTCAAGACTTTCTGGGCGGACAACACGCCGCAGAAGAAGATTGAAGCACTCAAAAGTGCTTGCCAAAAGCATACTGCCGTCACGAAGGAAGCAAGCAAAGCTCAGGGTCAAGATCGTCACCTCTATGCCTTGTATTGTGTCTGGCAGCGCAAGATGAACGAAGAAGGAGCAGAACTTGCAAGCAACGCCGACTTTAGTTCGAACGGTTATTCTAGTCCAACCGACCCGAGCGACGCGGGAAGCCCTAAAAGACTAGACGAACGGCCAATAAGTCCGACTCGCTCCCATGCCGGTACCGAATCTAGCCGCTCGCCTGGCCCTGCTCTGCACCAGATGCCCCCCCTCTTCAGTGACGCTGGGTGGGAGAAAATCAACAATACAATACTCAGCACTTCGAACTGCGGAAATCCCTCACTGCGCCACTTTGGCTTTGGCCCAGTCTCGGGTGATGGTTTTGGTATAGGCTATATCATCAAGGAAGATTCTATCTCGGTTTGTGCGAGCAGCAAACATCGCCAGACGCGGCGATTTGTAGACAGCCTCGAATCCTACCTCAATGAGATTCGTCGTTTGTTAAAAGCCACCAGACCGAGGGCCACCTCTGGTGGTAAATTGACACGGGCAAGAGAAGCAGAGGAAGTAGGCAAGGACGGTCGACTGAAGTCTCGAGGCCGTGCCATCAAAGCCGAGGCCACGAGAGCCGACGGAACTCAGACGCCTACCAGCATGGACACTGCTGAGGTGGAGGATGATGGTTTGGGTGGATGTAAGTTATCCGTTCTCTGCTTTCTACAATGCTCACCGATGTGACTAACTTTGGAAACTAGATGGCTTCTTCGACGCCGGCATGTTATTGCAAGCGTTGAAGAAAGATGCGCCGAAACCTGCAGAGCAACTGGCCCAGAAGAAGAGGACAGTGGGAAAGAAGCTAGCCTTGACGGAATATTGATCGTTAATAGCTTGCTGTTGTATTGCACAGTGGTATGGAATTAATGTAGGCGGATATTCCGGACTAGCCATGTGCGACAACAATGCTTGTCCCTAGACAGGGTTAGGGGTGTGACAGGGGGAAGATGACATAGCCATCGCTTTTTTTGAGGTCTCGCAGCATCTGTACGATGATTTGCATGGAATCTTCAGACCAACCGGCCGGCGTCCGTGCCTGGATCGCCTACCGAGCCAATGGTCCGGGGCCGCTGCAGAATGGCACAGGGAATCGTTTTCACGTATGTATGTAAGCTACGGAGTAGCATATACAACAATGCACTAGGTCAGGAGTAGCGAGGTGGGTTATGTATCTCAATATTCGTTGACTGATTGCATATGTGTGCACGTAGTCTGAGATAGCCAGGCGAAAGGGGGTTCGTTATGGACCAGATTGTCCTGTTCTGTACGGATACGAGTCGCTCTCATGATCCCCGTTCTTCACCAGGTATTGCCCTTAAGGTGGGCTCACGCCACATCAGAAACGCCAAGACGCCAGACCCAGAATGGCTTAGCATAGACCATCCGAGTCTAAGGAACCTCAACCCCCATCGGCAACACTGCAACAGTCACTGCGCGAATCCTGTCCCTGACAACTGCTCAACTCACTACCGCTGGACACATTCGCTCGCTCATCATTCTCTGGTCAGAGGCTGTGGCTAGAGGTTGCGCCTTCCTGGTTGCAATTCTCTCCATGCTGGCCACTCCCTGATCCGACAAATCACCCGACTCCGTCATCTCTCCCGATTTCAGCCTATCGAATCCCTCCTCCCCCCGATCATGGCCGCTACCACCATGTCGTCACTCCCTCCCCATGAAGGACTCGTCGACAACGTCCTCGACAAGCGCGATTCCGTTTCTGAGCCTAGCCTTCCTCCTCAAGTCCATACTCCTCCTACCACCGACGAGGCGAGCCACAAGGACGATGACGCAGCCTCGAGTTCATCCCTCTCCGATCTCGGCGATGACATGGAAGATGAAGAAAACAGAATGCGATTTGAAGAAGCGGCGAGGGCAGGCGCTGAAGCAGAACAATTCTCAGAAGTCAAACCTGATCGTTACGAAAATGGTGTCCCTATCTTTACTCCGGTACGGCAGCAGCCACAAATGCGCCCTCATTTTCAAGCAAATTAGTTGACACGCTGACATGGTTACCTATAGACGATGGAACAGTTCAAGGATTTTCAGAGATACGTCAAGGGAGTAGATCCCTATGGAATGCAGTCAGGCATTGTCTTGATCGATCCCCCAGAAGAATGGTGTGTACAGAGACTCTTCATAGAGCCTGGCCTTATTTGGCTGTTGGGTCATTGATTTCCTGAACGTCGAGTCTAACAAAAATTGCAGGAAACGTGCTCGAAAAGCTCTGGACGACATGATCAAGACTATCAAGATCAAAAACCCCATCATGCAGGAGTTCCACGGTGCGCAAGGTATCTATACCCAGCGGAACATCGAGAAGATGCGATCATACAATCTCCCACAGTGGAAATCGACCTGTGAGCAGACAGAAAACCAACCGCCAGCCAAACGTGGGGAGAAGCGTATGAATGCGGATAAGCTGCTGGGCCGTGGGAGCACTCGAACTCGGAGGACGGAATCCTCAGCAACACCGGAAAGTGGCAAAAGAAGAGGACGACCGCCGAAACATATAAAGCAAGAGCCCCTCGAACACGATTCCACCCTACGCGCTCCACCGACACCCACGAGCCCGGACGTCAAGCCCGCAGTCATGATGAGCGAAGAGCCCGAAGAAGCACGTGGAGACACGGCAGAGCCAACTCCTACCAAGGGCAAGTCTGTAAAAAAGCCTGGCAGGCCCAGAGGCAGACCACCGAAGAGCACTACAGGCAAGAAAGAAGGAGGTGGCAGCAAAGGCGCTGAAACTACTGTTGCAGCACGAAGATTAAGAAATGCACGTGAAGCCAATGATGACATTGACGAAGAGGCTTTTATAGATTTTGATTACCGAGTTTACGACAATGACCAATGGACAGCTGAGCGCTGCGAGGAATTGGAGGACAAGTACTGGAAAAGTCTCAACTTCAGCAATCCTATGTATGCTGCGGATATGCCTGGATCTCTATTCGACGAGGATACCAAGGAGTGGAATGTCGCCAAGTTGCCTAACCTACTAGACCTTTTGGGCCAGCCTATCCCTGGGGTCAATACTGCATATCTATATCTGGGAATGTGGCGTGCGACCTTTGCGTGGCATTTGGAAGATGTCGATCTTTACAGCATCAACTATATTCATTTTGGTGCACCGAAACAGTGGTACAGCATCTCACAAAAGGATGCTCCGAAATTTGAAGCGGCCATGAAATCACTGTGGAGTTCGGATGCGAAGAGTTGTGATCAATTCTTGCGCCACAAGACATACCTAGTCTCTCCTTCCATCCTCAAATCCAAGTTTGGAGTGACTGTCAACAAGGTTGTCCATAGAGAGGGACAATTCGTCATCACATTTCCAATCGGCTATCATTCAGGCTATAATCTTGGTTACAACTGTGCCGAGTCGGTGAATTTTGCCATTGAGAACTGGCTGCAATATGGAAAGACCGCGCGCAAGTGCCAGTGCGAGGCAGACAGTGTTTTCATTGACGTTGACTGGTTCATGCGCAGACTGAACGGCGAGCCTACCCCCGAGTTTGAGGAGGTAGAAGTGACCGATGATGAAGACGAGCTTGACGATGCCGCTGACCTTCCAACACCACCAGCCAGCGACAGAGGCAAGATGAAACTGCCGCAAAAGAGGAAGCGTGGACCGAAAGATCCTGGCCCCAATAAAAAGGCCAAGAAACTCATCAGGATCCGGAAGGTCAGCAAACATCAACCTTGCTGTTTGTGTCCAAACGACTTTGTCTGGGAAGAGCTCTTACCGACCTCCCATGGACAGAAAGCTCATCGAACTTGCGCAATGTATACGCCCGAGACATATATTGCCAACAAAGACGGCAAAGAGATGGTGTACAACGTTGAAAACATCAGCAAGGCTCGTCTCGAACTCAAGTGCTATGAATGTCGACAGAAGAAGGGTTCATGCTTTCAGTGCTCTTCAGCCAAATGTACAAAGTCATATCACGCGACTTGCGCCATGCAGGCCGGTGTACAGGTTGACAAAGGCGAGATTGCAGTATGGCACGAGGGCGTTGAATATCGTGACATTGGCTTTGATTGGCGATGCCGACTTCATCGTACTGTCAAACGAACGAGGATCACTAGCGAGCTCTCTGCTTGCAACCATGCCAACAGCTGCCGGCAAAATGCGGATTTCCGCGAATTCTTGGCCAAGCTCAAGGACGGAGAATTGATCCAGTTCCAAGCCACCAATTCTGACGACATTGAGGCTGGCCTTGTGATTGCTGGGTACGACTCAGGTCAAGATTCGGTTTTGGTCAAAGTCCTACCAGACCTGAAAACCGTCAAAGAAGTCGACCCCTCAGCCATTCTATTTGTTGATAGCGCGACTTCTTGTTTGCAGAGACCGTCAGCCAACGCTCTGGATCTTCCGGAAACTCTTCAAGGCAAGACTGCATCGTTTCCAGAATCTACTGAGAAGAAACCTAGTGCTGGTGATGTCTTTACCGAAGAACCTAGAACTGAATGGGCAGAGTTTGTCTCTGCAGAGCCTCCCGTCAATACGGATCAGAAGCCTGTCGACATCTCTAAAGAGAAGCAATTGTGGCTATACCTCGGAGACATTTCTTCTGATGCAAAACCTCATTACACGGCAGATCCTGACAAACGTGTGCATGATCCTGCATCCAATTTCCTCGACCTCGTCACGCCTCGCAAGTCGGCCATGGCACCACCGCCTCAACCGAAACGTCAGTCTCTCAGTGCGTCCCATCCCATGCTCAATGTGGCTGCGCGGAATGCAGCCATGGCAAACATGCGTCAAACCACTCCGCAGGCAGCGTCGCCAGTAATTCCGGGTACTTTTAGCGGCACAACGCAGAATTTAACGATGAATCGTGGCCAGGAGACGGCCAGCAATGCACCAAAGACTGGACAGACCAAACAATCTCAATACCGGGACATGATGACTGGCCAAGAAGCTCGCTTGAACGAACAAGCGCGCATACTTCAACGACAGCAAGCCAAGTCATTACAGCTGGACGTCGCCGAGAAAACAAACACGATGAGCCACGCTAATATTGGTATTGACCAGGAGGCTGTGCAAAGACAGAGGCAATTTCAGCAGCAGGCATCTCAACATGCCAAACACATGAAGGAGTGGTCTAACGATCCTTCATTGCCTCCCCTGAAGCAATATGAGCAGTTTCCCACTTTCACCAGCATGGGACATTCAGGAAACTATGGGAGCCCGTCCATGATGAACGCTGGTTTTCGACCGCAACAGTTCCAGTACAGCAATGACTGGATGACTACCGGTTCATCGAGCGGAAGGACAAATTATCATGGTTCTCAGGGCATGGGCATGAGTTCTATGCTGTCATCGCAGTCCAACCCGTATCAGTCATCATCGTCCTCCATAACGCCATTCCCAGCATATGTGCAACAGTCTCACCTAGAATTCCCATACTCCACCCAGGCTACAAGCAACAATACGACTACTGGGTCGTATCAGTCAACGAGTATAGAAAACATTCGAGCTGCTGCAAGTCAACCACCTCCACCTCCTCCGTCGGCTGAAGTGGAACGACGACGGCGAATTTCCAATCCAGCTTATCCCTTCAAGAGTCCAGATCAGATCAAGGCGCAGAAGGAAGCGGAGAAGAGGTCGCCTCCAGGCAGCCGGCCTACAAGCTCATATATGCTCCCTAGTCCCCGAGTTCAGCACGACACATACATGCATTCAGCATCGCCTACAGGTTCCATGCAACCTCTCGACCCTCATAATCCGCCTCAATTTGTCAATCCAAATGCCACACAGATCAGTCCTCCTGGTTCAAGTGCGGGCCATCGATCCGCTAGGGGCAGCTTTTCAGGGTTTGGCACTCAACCAATCCTTGGTCCTTCGCTACCCGCTGGTGTCAGGAGATCCTTTTCGATGGACATGACATTGCCGGACATGGCTCCCTTCCCTGCCGCCTCGTTGCCGTTTAGTGGATACATTCCCAAAAGGTCCATCTACGACCCTCTAAGCCAGGTGAATGCTTTCCAACAGGCCAAGCCTCAACTCTCCGAACCACCAATGGCTCCAATGTCTAGCAAATTGATCGAGACGCTGGAGAAACGAGCCATTGGTGCCAATGGATTGCAACTGAATGATCGAGCAATCCCCAAGCAATTGACAGATTGGCGTGAACGAGGTGGCTTCTGGGGTCGCGTAGCCAAGTATTATATTTCGAAACACCAAGCGACCGCCACTCTATACAGGTCACCTTTTATGGCGATGAGTCAACAAGCCGATACTGCGACGCTTTCGGACAGATACTATCAGAGCTTGGAGGGGGATCAGCGATCCAAAATTGACGCCTTTCGACGGAGCAAGGAGAGTCAGGAATAGCTCAGGCAATAAATGATGGAGTTTTTGCCCTCGTAGTGATGGGTCTGAGTTTGGCAATGCAAACAGGATTAGGAGTATTGTGGTAAGAGCATCGTTTGATTGGGCCTATCTTTTACATGACTGTGGATGAGTGATATGACGGGGAAACGATAAGGTGGAATTGGCATCACTGCCAGCAGACGTCTTGATGAACAGCTTCGTCAAGACTTTATGTGTGCGTTGTTTAGTTGAGATGACTCTGATGAATGAGAAGATAGGCAGTTACATTCTTTTACTGCCAACACTCGTCCGGTATATGCAGATAAATATACTCTGAGACCAGAAAAGCAAATGAGAATTTTTTTTGGTTCAAGAGGATTTTCTTGATTTCTCTGTACGTGTTCTCATTCTTCGCTTTTTACCCTGGTTGGCCACCCGATATTTCGGTAGGATGAAGGTCGAGTCTGAACCATCCCGGCAATGCATATCATGAGGACGCTCTCTTTTCTAGGCTGGCCCGCGTTCGGTCTGCACGATTCGAACACGACCGAACTCCATCATGACAACGGTGGCATGGTGTCTCTTTTCAGTGTCAAAGTGTGTTTTCTATCTTGCCTGTGCCTCGTGCTGGGGGTTGTCCCGTCACGTCATGGACATAAGCGTGGGTGGCCTGGTTTTATTGAAGTCTCGAGGCAGAAGGCGGGAAAAAGATGCTTACCAGCACCCAACCTAGAATTTTATGTTTCGTGCCCAGTTTGTTCTTCGATCTTTTCATCGTTTGGTGTGACAAAAGCTACGATTGAGTGGCACTAGGACGCAAAAAGATTGAGACGGTGTGAATATGTGAGTTACTTGGAAAAGAGGTTTTCTACCTTTGTCAATATTTTGTTCAAAATTTTTGAATGACGATATGTCTCTTATTGCGGGATACGTTGGGCTAATCACCATACGTTTTGAGGTACAACTACAGGATCTTCAGGTTCAAAGACATGATTCATGCTTTTGTTGGTCGACAACACGGTGATGACGATTCACGACTCTCTGCCGGTCTGGTGCCGCTGGCCATGGTAGGTATCATATTCGCCATCCTCCCTAGCGAAGCTTGACCAGAAACATGACCAAGGTACTTACGAACTTACGGTACATCTAGGTCACAGTTACAATCGCAATTACTGTGCACATGATCCTAGGGGCGTTGTACAGGATCTACTTACACCCCTTGAGCAAATATCCCGGCCCGAAAGTATATCACACCACCAACTTGGTGAGAGTGTATTTTGTCCTACGTGGGGAATGGGTTCACAAGGTATCCGAGATACATGAAAGATTTGGTCCGGTGAGTTACTTTACAATACGTACTCGTCGACACTCGTCAGTGTTTGCCGGTGCTTGCCACCTTGGAGAATCCATTCTAGAGGCAAAAAGTTTGATCGTTGTCTTTTTTTCTCTCGTGTTCTTTGGCCAACACTTTATATGTACATGTCAAAGGTCGTCCGTGTCGGTCCCGATGAATTGTCATACGTCACTGAGCAGGCATGGGCGGATATCTACAAGACCAGAAAGGGCGGTACCACGAATTCGGGAAAACAACTACAAAAATTCATGCCTAGACCACCTGGGTTTCAGCACGGTCTCATGGACAATCCGTTTGATGATGAACAGGCGGTGTGTAGAAAGGCATTAGTGGCGGGAATGAATGATCGTTCCGTCAGGATGAAAGAATCAACCATTTTACAAAAGAATGTAGGTTTGTTGATTGAAAAGATGAAGATGAAGATCAACACGTCCAAGACTTGGTCCACCAGAGATAGGCCAGAGGAAATCCATGGCCAAGGACAAGACGATGGCGAGGAAGACTCGAAAGAGGGTGAAGGAATAATCGATCTCGCCAATTGTTTGGAATGTGTCGCCATGGATGTCATTGGAGATTTTGTCTCTGGTGAGACGTTCGGTTGTTTGTATGTCGACATTTTACGCCCCCCCCTTCATCTTCACCTTGGGTATCCATACGCCTTTACCATGAGGTGAGCTTCGTGAAGATGGACACTGACAAAAAGATCTGTCTGTTGTAGGGACAACCTCGAACTAAACCCATTGTTCGACAAGATTGTCAATTCTCTCAAGCAACTCGCCATAGGATGTGGGTTTGAATCTTGTCGTTTGACGAAACCGATTGTTCGAATGGGGAAACCTAGATTCGACACCGTGGTTGAGATACGACGACGTCTTGAGAGGAGGGAACAACAACAGCAGCAGCAGGACAATCCTAAATCGGAAGATGATATGTGAGTGTTCCCAGTATTCCCAAGTCGACGGTCAATCTTCGAGAGAGCAGAAGTGGATACCCCAAAACCCGCCCAACTGAGATTGTGATATCGAAGAGGTGCTGACCACGCCTTGTTTGAAAGATTATACCACGTTTTCAAAGACGTCGAGACTTCAAAGGGCTTAGGATATAAGAATTTGGCGGAACGTGTGGCCGCCGACGCCATAACTGGTGGGTTCGATACGATTGCTATAGCTATGGTGGTGAGTAAAGGACTTTCGTTCCCATTTTACCAGTCTTTCTCAGCACTAAAACCAACATTTGACATACAGGGTGCAATGTACTTTCTAGTCAAGAACCCTGAAAAGATGAAGATCCTCCGAGACGAAATCAGAGGAACATTCGAGACCGACGATGAAATCACACTCGCCCGAGTCAATTCTTTACCATACTTGACCGCCGTCTTTTCCGAGACTTTGAGACTTTGGCCTCCCGGCCCTGAAACTTTGAGAAGAGTGACAAACGGTCCGGGAGGGAACATTATCGATGGCGAATGGGTACCACCTAACGTAAGCATTCAGGTCCTGTTGCTTGTTCGGGAACAAAATGTGTTTTGTTTTTTCCCTGGCACTTCGTCCTCTTCATGGTTTCCCCCCCTTTTTGTTTCTTGTCCTTCAACAAACTGTTCTTACTTTTTGGGTACCGTGAACCACTCCTGACTGACCTCTCTACCTGGTCATTTTGTAGACATTGGTCGGTGTCTACCATTGGACGGCAGGAAGGTATAAAGGAGCGTGGACCGACGCGGATGAATTTGTACCCGAGAGATGGTTCGACCGAGACAACGACACATCCACCGACAAAGACACAAAAACGGAAACAAACACGACCAACCAGGACAATGTTGGTGGAAGATACAAAAACGACAAAAGAGGAGTCGTCAATTCTTTTCAATTGGGCCCTAGAAATTGTCCCGGCCAGAGGTAAGTAGTGTGCCCTTTGCTTCACCTCACCGGCCCATCCCGTCAACACACACGACAAGTCTCAACCACATCCAAATCATTAATCGGTCATGCAGCCTCGCAAACGCAGAGTTCAGACTCGTCATTACCCATTTGATATGGAAGTAAGTCTCGGGACTTTCAGTCACATACCTCAATCCTCGATCCTCACAGTTCCCGCTTCCCACCCTTTTACTTCTCGCCGTATATTCCTCTTGAACAATTCAACCCCGGCCAACTCTTCTGCTTTTTTTTCTTTCCCCTCTTACTGACGAATTACAGCTTCGACGTCGAGGCCGCCTCGGCACAGGAACAAATCCCGGATTGGTCCAAGACCAAAATCTTTGGTCTGGTGGCGGAAAAGAGACCTCTGACGGTCAAGTTGAGACTCAGAAAGACAGAGCCGGGGGGCACTCCGTAAGTATCGCTCATCCAACAACAAACACCATCAACAAATTCAGTTCGATCGAGTACGGACTGACCGACCATTGAATCACCAATATTTTCAAGCAGGATGCTTTGGAATTTCTAAAGTACTACTAGTACATACGGCAAGGGGCCTCGCTGCTCAGCTTTCTGAAGCAGCAGCGAATCTGGAAAAAATCAACCTAGACCTAGAACTAGACCTAGACTCATTCCTCAAGAAGATGCCTTGCCCAACCTGTGATAATAAATCACTTTTTTTTGTACAGCACAGCACAAAAATATTGCCTGATCCCATGGTGTCTGTGCTCGCCTCCCACCAATTTCAATTGAGAAAACCACGCCATGCTTGTATCGTGGCCTCAAAGAGCACCAAAAACGCCTGAATGCCGCTGAAATGTACTCGATCAATTAACGTCTATCCCGAACCTCACCCATTTACCCATTTCCTTTCCTGAAAACAATCATCATGAGCCTCCATTTATTGCTTGGGAGACATTGCCGTTCCAACAGCAGAATAATATGTCTTTTCAATCATGATAGTCTTTCTTTTGACCGGGTTTGGGTACATTGGCAGCTGGTCGTAGAGCTTCATCTTCATCGCCTTTGCCTTTGCCCTCGTCGTCGGTCTTTTTCTTTTCACCCTTGTAGGTATTAATCTTCTGCACACTTTCTTTTCTTGGCTCTTTGTTTTGTGTACCCTTGGGAGTATCTTTTCCGGTCTTCAATTTGCCATCGGCATCTTCCTTTACTTCTGGCTTTCCTGTTCGATCTGCGATCGCCTGTTTGTCCTTTTCCCATTGCGAGTCGACTTTTTGGAAAGACTCTTGTGCCTTTTTGATCTTTTTGGCTTCCTCTTTCTCTTTGGCCTCACGTTCCTTCTTTTCCTTTTCCATCTCATCCATGTGCCTTATATCATCGACAGATGGTTCGTAAAGATGCCAGACCGTGTAATGTGGGAGGCCAACGACTGAGAATTGCATTCGCTTCGCCATCTTGCCGAAGCCTTCCGTTTCAGCGTGTCGTTCAAAGGAGAAGGCTGGGAAGTGGACACCGGCGCGGAAAACTCGTGCTTTGGCCAGGATAGAGACACCGCCAACACCGTCCAACTCCATCTCAACGTCTGGATCTCCATAGGGATCGCGGAGGTAGGCCAAATGAGGACGCCATGTGGCATACTCAGCATATCCTTCTACGATGACAGCATCTTCATCCAATGTCTCGGCTAGGGCAATAGCGGTTTCGGATTCTTGCCAGGAATTCAAATCATAGGGTTGCTCTCCACCTAGCCAATCGGGCAAAGGTCGCCAAATATCTATAAGTGAAAACGTTAGCTGATAATCAGGGTTGAACTTTCGGGCTGTGTCCTACTAGGAACAATGACATCCTTGTCATGTCTCATCAAATCCTCGATGACGGTGAAAGGGCAGGTTTCCACATCAGCATCACGCCAATATACCCAGCTATGGTATGGTCTCAAAGCAGCACTGAGTAACCAATTGCGTGCTTGTGCCATAAGTTTACGGCGACTGGCTTGGGCAGCGAAACCATGTCTGCTTTCAAAATCTTGACTGATGGATTGTCCAAAATCCTTGTGGATGATTGAGATCTCTCCATAAGGCTGTGATGGATTGGGATCGGCTTGCAGCTCTTCAAGAAGCCTGGAGAGTAATTCTTCGGTTTCATCCTTTGAATCGGAAACAAGGAAGGCCAGATCGACCAAGTGGTGGGGGTATGTGAAGTTTCTCAGGTGACTAAAAAACATGTTTAGATGCGTCGCTGCATCTCTCAAAGGTGTACAAAGCAAGACTCTCTCTTCTCTTTCCCATCCCACGGAAGTTCCTTGAACATCTTCCAGGTCATAGTACCGTAGTGTTTCAATGTCCGAATGATCTTGTATCGATCCTCCAGAACTCGACCACGATGGAATTCGTGACGTCGAGGGAGTAAACAGCCAGAGTAGCAATGCGAAGATTCCCAGTGCAAGTCCACCTAGACGCATGAGACGAGAGCGGTTGTGCAAAGCTCTTTTCTTGGGTTCGAATTTCTTGTGAAAGGATGCATCGTGCTTTTCATCATCGTAAAGATCAGGCATGTCCCATATGTACTTGCTCTCAAGGTCTGATCTCTCCGAGAACTTGTTGTACACTTCATCGTCTCGTTTCTTGTGAGCGGCATAGCCGTTGGCAAAGGCGTGATGCCTGTTCATCCCGTCACCTCATCACCCGACTCCCCTCTTGCAGTGACGTGCGACTATTGACCAGCAAGAGACCCACACAGCACACCGCAGTAAGGGTTTGGTAATGAGCAGGGAGTTGGGGAAGCGCCGAGTCCGGCTATGGCGACGGAGCGATCAAGGACGAGGAGTTCGGAACAGAGGATGTGAGGACGGGTAACGTTGAAGAGAGAAAAGAGTATGCTAAAACCACAGTCTGCACTTTGAGATCTGGGCTGGCCGGGAAGAGAAGAGGCCAGATGTGAAAGTGGTGCCTGCGTTGTGTGACGGACAGTGTCGCACGGCAATGGGTGGTAGTCTTCCTGCAGAAGAGAATTTGAGAAGTGAAGAATTGTTAAAAGAACATATGGAGAGATGCAGACATGCCAAAGACCTCAGGTGTCAAGGGACTGTCATAGGAAGATGCCAATGTCCACAACCTGGTGCTTAACTGTCAAGACCTTGCAAGGAGCATTTGGGGGCTTCGTAACTGACACTGACGACTTGTGCCTCCCGAATGAGGCTAGCGCCTCTTAGCGTCATATCCATATTCGGCAAGCTGAGCGAGTGTATATAAAGCGGCGAGACGGAGTCAGTTGATGAGGCTTAGCCGAAGACCAAACACTTTCCTTCTCTTCTCCTTCCATGATCCCAACCGCTGACAAAACATCTCCTTTCTGGAGCACAGAATACTGTCAGTGTGCATGGATGTGAACGATGAACACTCACACTATTTGACGCGTTATGTCGATCTTGATGTGTGGAACGAGCCCTTTCAAACGTCAAACACATCTTCGATGTGAGCTGCGGCAGAATCCCTGTATGTCGTAAATAGCCAGAGTAGGCTGTGCAAGCAAGTGGACCGACATGACCCCCGAAGAGTCCGCGTCACCACCTCTCCGAGCGGATTCTGCACGCGCCAGAACGAGAAGAGGTGCTGTGTGCACTACCTGTCGACAGGCGAAGCAACAATGTGATGCTGCTGAATTGGCTCCGGCACCATGTACACGTTGCTCAAAATTTGGTCGACATTGTGCCATCGACCCGACTTTCCGCAGAGTCAAGAAACGAAGCCATGCGAACGCACTGGAGACAGACACTCAAGGAGCAGAGATTGGACAGGAGAGCTTTGCGGAGGTTGCTTCCCAGGCAAGCGGGCAACCAGCACGATCGTCTTCAATAGCCCTTCCATTATACTGTGCTCACATTAGACCTCAAAGACTGGAAAATGTCCAAATCAGTTCGGTTGATATCGTCAACCTTATACAGCAGTAAGTCCAGACAATGTTTCAGTCTCGAGTCAGCAAAGACACATTACGAGCTGCAGATTCCCCTTTTTCTGCGTTGTTGGTGATCTGTGATGTCTTCCAATGGAAGATTGGTGCTCCCCATGGCTGAAGTGTTCTTTTTGCTGCACTTGGAACCCTTCTCTGTATGAACAGGTATTCCATGAATCTTCAGCTTACTCGTGGCAGGTTTTACTCGATCTATCACCCACAATTTCCCATCTTACCAGACATCATGACCTTCGCTCAACAGTACAACTCCAACAGGTTGCTCCTTTGGTCAGTTCTCGCTATTTCGGCTGGCAACTCTTCAGTGACTTCAGCACTGTATAACTCCCTTGTGAACCCAGTTCGACGCCTTGCTGGCGATATTTATAGCCACCAGAGCCGAGGCCTTGAAGCCGTTCAAGCATTACTCCTTCTATGCGCATGGCCCTTCCCTTATCAACAGACTGTGAATGATCCTTCGCCAATGTATTGTTCCCTAGCAACAGCGATTGCACATCAGATAGGACTACATCGTCCTCCAGCACTCAGTAATGACTTCGACTTTCAAGTGGATGGGCCTGAATCAAGCAGGGTGAAAGTTCGGGACCGTGAACGGGCCTGGCTCGGATGTTTTGTCATGAACTATACGTTAGTTGAAAAGGATGCTTACTGAAACGTAGCTGATCCAGTGCAGAATCTCAATAAGATTGGGTATCCCATCCCCCATTTCATCCTATCGGTCAATCAGCTCCGCGATCGCAAAGGAGCCACCCTCGCACCTAGCAGACACGCTCATCGGTCTAGTTCATGTTGCTTACCTAGGCCATAAAACAACAACAGCTCTTGGCGACGATGCCTCCGCTCCATCAGGACTAGTAGATGACCCTGCACGACTGATTCACTTCTTCGACCATGATTTTCAAGCCGCATGCCAGTCGTTGCACGGTAAAATATCATCGCAGTGTGACGTATTCCTACTACATTCGCGGCTGACCCTATATTCTTACGCATTCAACGACAAAGGCACCCAGAATCCGAATCAGGCCTACGATGTTGAGAAGTCAGAGCTCTCTGGAAAGGCTCTTTCTGCTGCCATGAAACTCATGCAGCTAGCATGCGAAAACTTTAACGCAAGTCTTCGATGGCCAGCATTTGTTAAAAACTGCGTCATCTATGCCACGTGTCTGGCTGCTTTCATTGTATCCAAGGTGAAACAATCTGAAATTGAGGTCAAGACGATAATCGACACTTGCGAAGCCGCAAATAGTCTCATAAGACTTTGGTCCTTGTTCCCAAAAGATAATTACTCCCGAATTTCAACACATATTGCTCGATTTATCGACTCTATCAATCAAAGGACGTCATTCATGATGGCAACACCCGAAGACACCAGAGGTGGTCTCGCACGTCAAACGCCTGTTACTTCACGCATGTCGGCAAATGTGATGTTCAATGTCATATGGCCAGCAAAGAAGGCGGGTATGAACGGGACTGCACCTACTCTCGGTGATGAGGCACAGTCAGTCGTGCATCCATTAGTAAACACTATGATGGAAGAGGAGGACGCTCACGATACTGGTCTGCCTACTCAAGTAAATCTCGGCCCGATGGACACTATAGACTTTGGTTCTTTCGACGATATTTTTGCTGACTGGTCCGACCTTCTTGGAAACACGACCTGAACGAACGATGTGACCCGTTCACCTAGCTTTCCGAATCTATGGTCTGCATACTTTAAACCAGGTCGCTAGAGTCTCATCTATGTGTCAACGCTCAAAAAGTCCCGTTGCCAATCTTTGGCTCGGGAACTTCCAAATACATGAGCCTGACATGTTGACAACTGCCATGAGTATCTGTCTCACCGAATCCTCCTGATACGACAGGTCTTTTCAGGGTGGCTTTAAAGGCAAAGGCAGGGTCCCACCAAACTGCCGCGACAACCTCCGACTCATCAATGCCATATATGGCCGCAATGCTCGAGCTAGAAAGAACCCCGGCCTCCTTCACCCAAGCATAGTTCTCCGGTTTATCGAACATTACATCGAATGTAACCTCATAAGGGCCAGCATTCTTAGACCGCACGACCGAGGCAAGTTCGGCCAAATACTGGTAGCCATCTCGTGGTGGAGGGGATAGGATCGACCTGTTGTTCTCGGCCTTCATTTCAGTTGAATTGGTAGCTGCCTTTTGACTGGGAGGTGCAAATATGTTGGCTGGTGTAGAGCTCACTGCTGTTCCTGAACCGTGCAATTGGACCATTTTCCGAGGAAAGTGCGCAACAGGGTCGTCTACCGTCATCAGATGGTATATACAGAATTCACAGACCTTCCCCATGGGAACGTCAAACGATCCACAGGACATGGCGAAATTCCCTGATGTGGACATCTGACCGGGATATGCAGTATGCATACAGGCCACCCTAGCGGCATTAATGACACGTGTGGCTTCCTCCTGGGTGGCTGCTCTGGCTTCTCCTGCAATTGCTGCTGATTGGGGAATATGGTCAGAGGCATGTTTTGCTCCCTTGAACATGCTGATATGGTCGCCATTGCCATAAGTAGTCAGCTTGAGCTCGTAATCAAACTTACAAACCGAGGAGACATGGGCTCTGATCTTGTTGACAAAGACTCCCAGCTGGGAAATCAAGACAGGGTCACTGAAGCCCCCGAAGAATGTGCTGTGGAAGCCCGCGGTGCGAGCACCCTCCAGTTTGATCGTGTACTCCCCTTTCGGCGTAGGGGTGAATATCGCTCCTTGGACACGTACCGTTCTGTTGTCTGGAAGCTGTTCGTAGGTTGTGGCTCTGAGATCCAAGGTGCCGCCGGGACCCACGAGAATGTCTGGTCGCGTCTTCTCATACAGGGTATGAGCAGCGACTGAAACTGGAGTGCACGCCGCAGCAGGGTTGTTGGGAACAATGTCAAAATGGTCCCGCCTGACGAATGCCATTGCTTCTCTGCTCTTTGGCTTTGCACAAAGCGCGCCACATTCCAGTATTTTGCCCATGTGATATGCGATGCCCAAGTCGTCAAAACCTTTATGTATGCAGAATGCAGCGTATGGTGATGGATCATAAGTGCGGCCGCCAATGATGATATCGAAATCTGGAAACTCTTCCATGGCCTTTGTGTAGGGCTCCAATCCCATCTGTGCAACAACAAGGGAAGCATCATTGATATCCTTCTCTTGTAGAGGTGGTACGGCAGAACCACATGGTGCGACTGCATTGGCGGAAAGAGCGTTTTGGACCACCTCTTTGTCGATTTCTGAATATATCTTGACCAGCTTCATTGGCCGAAAACCGTTCTTCTTGATGATCTCTTGAATGATATCAGCAAACACGTCAACATGGGCGTTGGATCCGTCTCCCCCAGCGCTGCCGATGAGAACAGGGACTCGGTGCGAATGAGCCGCGGCAATGAATGGCTCTAGGTCATGCTGATATGCTTCTCTGGGGCAAGACATTGTTCCCAGCGCAAGCTTGGATGGCCCGCTGTCTGTTGAGCCTGAGTCGGCAATGATGGCGTCAACGCCTTCCGCGATGGTCGACCAGAATATGTCGTGGTTATAGCCATATCCCAACATACCAACGGGCGTGAAGAGGCGTAGCTCATCTTTCCAAGGGGAAGGCATATTGGTATTGGTCTCTTCAAGACACGGAGAAAGAAAACAGCCGAAACGAATGCTGGGCTAGAAAGAATAGTGAGAATACCAAGCAATCTAAAGGACGCAGCGAACTATTTAGCCTCTCCTCGATATGCGACATCTGAGCGCTTTCGCTTGGTGTTTATGTTTGTTTCGCCAATGTAAGCGCAATGAGCGGCCGTCACCTCAGCGCAGCGTGAAACGCTTATGAATTACGGCTTCAACTGACGAAATCATATGGAGGACGCCGCAATGACCCCGTTTTGCGCTTTCATAAGCCGCCTCGCTTATCGAAACAGGGAAAGCTCAAGCGAATTCGGCTCTCCCCACAGACCTCCCCCAGATGAAGGGGAGTACTTATGGGAGTCGATACCCCAGTGCAGTCCTTCTTCAAGAATAACGCGAACCTATTGAGACTTGCTATGGATAGAACAGATACCAGTGTCGAAATGTCGGCGCACGACGATAACAAGAATGGCGAAGGACTAAGTCTACACCTCGATGAAGTGCACGACTCTTCTGTGACTGGTCTAACCGTGTTCGAGGAACGCCAAAGGACTCCTGAGGAGAAGAAGATCGAGCGCAAGCTCTTACTCAAGATCGACTTCATCATCTTGCCCCTTCTCGCCTTGGTGTACTTTCTCGCCTCTATGGTGTGTTCTGGCTGTGCACAAAGAGTGTATGATAGATCAGCTAATTTCATCCAGGATCGAGGTGATCTTGCCAATGCAGCTGTTGCCGGCATGTCTGAAAACCTGCACCTGACAGGCAAACAACTGGCGAATTGTGTGTCCCTATTCTACGTTGGATACATCGTCTTTCAGCTTCCAGGCGACCTCTTCCTTCGAAAAGTGACACCACCAATCCAACTCTGCCTTGCCATGGTATCGTGGGGACTCGTGACAACATTGTAAGTCACCCAGTGTATACTACAGACTTCATTTTGACAGTGTCGAAGACTTTCTCAGGCACGGAACTATGCCACCCTTGCAGGCCTACGTGTCGTCATCGGAGCAGCTGAAGCCTTCGTGCAAGCTGCACCACTCTATGTCACATTGTGGTACAAGAGAAACGAACTGGCCTCACGCATTGGCATTTTATTCTCGATGCAAGCACTCGCAGGCAGTTTCAATGGCTTGATAGCGTATGGCATCGAGACAAACTTGAACGGAGCTCTAGGTGTGGCGGCATGGCAATGGATTTTTCTCATCGAGGGTACGTTTGTGGGAGAACTCATATCTACCAAAGACTACAATGCACTGACATCATGCCTGAATCAGGACCAATCACCATAGCATGTGGCTTCATCATCCTGGCTCTTCTCCCACCTGTGCCTGAAAAGGTACGATTCGGTTTCACCGAAGCAGAAAAGTCCATGGCAATGTTGCGATCACGAGAGGCTTACAACACCCTCCACGCGAAAATCACCCCAAAGCAGCTTCTCGGTCTCATGAAGGACGTGAAGATATATCTCTACATCGTCCTGTACTGCTGCACCAATGTCAATCTGGCCTCGGTTGGAGGTTTCTTGCCTTTGATCATCAAGTCTCTGGGCTACAAATCGGTGCATGCCCAACTACTTACCATCCCGGTCTTTGCCTGTGCCGTTACTTCGATCTTGATATTCGGCTTCGCGTCGGATCGGACGAGGCACCGTGGCGGCTTCTTGGTCACTGCTTACGCCATCACGGCCGTAGGTTGGATCATCCTGCTCGTCGCCGGGGTTGAACACAAAAAGCTCGCGTTTGGAGGGACGTTTGTCATCGCCGTCGGGACCTATCCGACCGTCATACTCAGTCTGGGGTGGTTGAACTCCAACATAATTGGGTTTACAAAGAGGTGAGTGAGAACGTGATTGATAACCATTCTTGTGAGAGTGCGTTATACTGAGACAAATACTTGAACCTACAGGGCTGCATCCCTCGCCGCGATCAACATGGTGGGCCAATCCTTTTCTATCGCAGGATCTATGGTCTTTGACTCTCCACCCACATACCGCAAGGGCAAAATCTTTGCCCTGTCGTTTGCCCTGCTGGGGATGCTCGTGGCTACGCTGTTGATGGGCTATCTTCACGTGCAAAACCACAAAAAGCGACAGAATCAACATACCCCGGACGCCCGTGAGAGGAGAAGAATGGACCTCGAAGAGATTTGCGAGGATCATCCGGACTTTTTCTACTGGCTTTGAAAGGAATACCACGGAGTATGACTTTAGAGTTCCTTTCAGTCATAGATGCACTCGAGCAGCAGCTTTGGGTCATGTCGGTTGTTGTAGATACCAATATGAACCAGAAAATTGGGGCAATAAAGCCCTTCTGACTCCCACCGGGTTAATGTCAGCCCCATAGATACAATATTAAAACAAATGACCTCGGCTCTCCTCCCACCTGTTGCGACGCCTTACGCCTCATGTACAATGGACCTATGGGTATATCTTAGGGTTACATCCATCTTCTGTCATGAGTATCCTGGATTCAACCTTGAGTTACACATAACATCATCATCGTCAACGTGACCGATCCAATTTGCACAGCATTTTGAACAGCTGATTTACCAGCCAGAATGTTGCCTAAATAGCTGGATCCTAGTACAGATACAAAATATTAGAACATGCGTAGACTTTTTTCTTGTTTTTTGTTTTTCCTTTTGTGCAATGTAAAGATTTGAGAAGTGACGTGCTTCCTCCCCAGTCGAATCTTTGATATGGCCTCTGTAAATGGTCCCGGAGTGTGCGCTTGAAGATGAAGGAGATCTTTTCCCGTGCTGAAGGTCTCTCCAGGCGTTGGATTACCATGGCAGCGCCGGGTTCATTGGATCGTCCCAGCTCCACAAGGAGCCATCCGCTTCGTCCGTAGGGAAGAAGCCGTCAAAACCAAAGAGGGAGAGGTCTTGACTTGAGTATTGGAGTAACGAGGGCTCCAGGTCGCTGAACAACGCCGGGTCAAAGTTCGAAAAGTCAGAAGGAGTGTACTCGGCACCAGTGTCTTGTGTCAATGATAAACCCGGGGCTTCGGCTGCTGCATTGTCGTTCCGGGCCACCAATGTTGGGCCGTTTTGCCCTGATGCTTTGTGTTTGCGAACACTGGCGCGTAGGCGTTCGACCAAATGGAGCCCATCTCTGGCAAGCCGACTACCACTTGCCATGAACCGCAGAGCGTCAATACCATGGTCAATGGTCGACGAGGACAGATCTCGTGTACGCAATACCTCATTCAAGAGTATGACGATAATCGCGGAGGAGCAAGAGTGGAAATCCGTCCAGGAGAATTTGGCAAGCTTATTGTGGCTGCTTAGAAGGTTAATCCATTCAATAATGGTATGGGCGGCGTTGACGCATTTATCGGCGAGTTTTTCGGTTGTAGAAAGGTCCGACTTTCCCCCTCCATCACTTTGGCGAAGCCGCTTTCGAACAAGACGCAATAGGGCTGCCCGGCCAATATAGATCCAGATTATCTGGTACATGATATCAAGATGAGCAGTGGCCCGCAAGGACAATGTATCAAGAGCCACCAAGTGGGCGGGCAGAGATCGCTTCCAACCCTCGAGGGTCGAACACGCCCAAGAAAACTTGTCCGAATTTTCATCGACGGGACTATAAATTTTGTTAGTGACCATGAATTCGAAAGCATTGGAGTTGGTAGGTTCCCCACCTTGCGTCGGTGACTTTATTCAGGACCAAGGTCAGTTTCGTGAAGGCGATGAGACGATCCACCTTTTGGGGACGAAGTTTGTCCAAGTCCGGCCTCTTCTGAGGGAGAGGGGCAGTTATATCTTTCATCTGTAGCATTGTCGGGAAGCCCATCACAACCGATGATCGTCTGAAAGAAGTTAACTCGTGCACTTCCATACTTGTCATGGGTCTAACCTTTCAATACAATAGGCAGTCCAAAACACTCTAGTTGACACTTCACGACTCTCGGGCGTGACTTTATTGTCAGTTGTGTTAAGGTGAAGCGAAAGACTGACTGCTAGGCGCAACGCAAGTCCAGAGTAGGTATAAAAATAAGAGCTGTTCTGAGTTGGAAGGGTATACAACGCCTTCAAGAGGCAACACTGCACGCTCTCAACAGTGGTAGTACTTAGGACGCTAGGCATTAATTCCATGGCCACCTGGTAGAAATGAATACCGGGAAGCTCATCCAGAGCAAGGTCTTGTTGACGTAAATCCGCTGGACTCGATTGGTTGACATGGAGGAAGGATTCACCCAGAGCGAGCACCAGGAAGACCAAGCACAAGGTTGTGCAATGGATTTGTGGTGCGAGAGGTTCTTCCCGGTAAACCTGTACCAGTAGACCACGAAACCAGCCTTCATCAAAATAGTACCAGTTGGATTCGAGATACGTGAAGAAGACGTCGGTAAGAGACACAGCCTCCCGATATGGTGGAAGCTTGGCTATGCCTGCAACAAGTAACCTCGAGTCTTGATGATGTTGTAAGTTATGGACAGGCGAGGCGCTCTAAATGAAGCATCAGATTTGTTTCAATCGAATCGCTTGTACCTAACTTACTTTATCGTTCTGAGGATGGTCTGGAGCAATTGTCTCAGACACCGCAGTCAAAAAGCCTTGCTCGGAAATCAACATTTCGCGTTCTGGCCGCCAGGTCAATCAACAGCTGGATACGGAGAGAGATCTGCCTACCAACACCTGATCTGGGAGATGTTGTCTCGTGGTCCGAAGCGTCGTGACTGAGGTCGAGACGTTGACCCTGGCCAGCAACAGCTTCGCGGAACAGGCCAGATATTATTGAGAAGTGGTTCGGATCCAAGGCGTTTCCGGGGCAAATTTCGTTGAACCGGGCTGAGATGTCATTTGCCATGTTAGCCCAGCGGAATAGATCGTCTTGAGGTGAATTGGTTACTTTCGGCGACTCTCGCTGGGTCTCATGTTGCCTAGGGGGAATGCTTTCAAACACACATGCTTGTCTAGATCGCGCACAACTTGCACATTGGTTTCGAGGACCTGGCCGACATTTCTTTTTACTTGTACGACACTGAATGCATGCTTGAACTGTCCTCTTCCTGTTTTCCAGCGGTACATGTGGGCGATTTCGTTTCGAAGACTGAACCTTCCCTGGCAGCATTGCATTCCGTCTTCTCGAGCGTCCGATTTGAGAGCGATTGATACCTTTTGTTTCGACGATGATATCTTTGAAAAGTGACATTTAATACTAGACATCAACTTCGAAGGCCTCAGCCATTGCCAGAATCGGTTCCTACGCTTGAAAGTGGGCGGAGGAAAGTGAGGTCAACATTGACCGAGTACCGAATCTACCCGTCTTATTCTGTTCATGAACGCTGCTGCTTTAAGGAACAGAATGTTAGAAGTATAAAGCAGCAGCAATCAGGAACACAGTAGTACTCTATGATGTCCCTCCTCAACACTTGATCTCTTCTTATATCTTTTAGAAACTATTGTCACTTTTCAACCCCTACGAAACTGAAGTTCACTTCCGGGAGGCACTATCTGCACTCTATCTGAAGCGGTAATAACGAAAGATTGCTCAGGCGATACGCATGTAACCCTATCACTGCATACACTGTACACATCATATCATTGAACAGCATCAAGAACTACCGCCACCATGAACTGCCATAATGAAGCCGATCGAATCCATCGCATCGTGCGATACGCTGTCGTCTTCCTACGCGAGTTTTGCAAGCCTCTTGACGTCCAGACTGAGTTCCGACCATCTAGTCGCCACAACCCGTCCATCTTTTAGGGTTGCCAGCACGTTCTGATCGGGATCATCCAACACTGTGATGTCCTCCAAAGGGTTTGCCTTCAAGATCAGGAGATCGGCTGCAAATCCCGGACGTATTTGGCCCAAGAAGTCTTGTTGACGAAGCATACGAGCAGCAGTGACTGTAGCACTTTGGAGGATATCCTTGGGTGGTAGGACCTTACTCCGCAGACTAAATTCGTGGGATTGGGCAAATTGAAGCACCCCCAACAGATCGGTGCCGAAACATATGTTGACATTGTTCTTGGATGCAAGTTGAAGAGCATGCAATCCCTTTTCCAACACTTCTTTGTTCTTTCGAGCCGAAGCTGGAGGCAAAAACCCAGGGGCCTTGGCCATGGTAGCATACGTGACGAGAGTCGGTGTCAAGAACGCTCCCTTCTCGTGCATTAACTTGGCAGTCTCTTCGTCGATTAAATTCCCATGCTCGATGCCCATCACGCCCTGTCGGAGCGCCTGCTGGATCGCCTGTGGCGTATAAGCATGGGAAGTAACATAGGTGCCCGCATTCGACGCCACTGTCACAATAGCTCTGATTTCTTCATCGGAGAACTGGATGTGCTCAATTTTGTCGGTGGGACTGGCGACTCCGCCACCCCCCATGATTTTGAGGAAGTCGGCACCTTGACGAAGCTCCTCTCGGGCATATTTGAGACATTCCGGCACGCCGTCGACAACTTTTCCAATGTTCAGAACGCTCGCAGCGCAGCACTCACTGCTATCGTGCTTTTGGCGCATATCTCCATGCCCCCCACTCTGCGATAAAGCATGTCCTGCGAAAAAGATGCGAGGTCCCGGGTGCACGTGCTGTTCAATCGCCTCTTTCAAAGCGAGTGTTGCACCTCCACAGTCTCGCACTGTGGTAAATCCGCGCTCAAGCATGGCTCTACAGACTTGAGGTTGGCGCAGGAGGGAGACAAGCGGACTCATGCCCTTCATATCCCGCAAATCCTTTTCGCCTGGGACCGCCGCAAGGTGAACGTGACAATCAATCAACCCTGGGCATACATATTTCCCTTGTAGGTCAACCTTTACCGTGTCTGAGTCATTTTCCCACTCTTCACGTGGCCCATTCACGGATGCCACAATGCCTTGGGAAAGATGGATGGTTGCATTCTTGATAACGACGCCCTGAACAGGATCGATCAGGTTGGCCCCCAGGAGTACATATTTTGGCTGAGCTGGAAGTTTCCAAGGGGTCGCCATGTCATTCAGAAATGATGCCTTATGTTCAGTCTGTCCGTCCATGGTTTCAAAGTGTGCGGAGTGGGTGAATGTTGTCTCACGAAGAGACGATGGACTATGACATGTCGACATTATAAATTTGTCGTCTGAATTAGATCACAGTGATCTTGCCAGGTCGACAGGGATTCTAGAGCCCCCGCGCTCATTTACGGGTACCAGTACCCGACGAATTCGCAGTTGTCAAGTTGGTGGCGAAGAGAACGATAGCTCGTTCGTAGGTTCTTGTTTGATTGGCGTTGGCGGGTACACGTACCCGCCACGTTCGGCTTGAGATACGGGGTATTCCAGTGAAAAGACCGGGTAGAGGTACCCGCAGAATCCCTCAACATCGCTTGGCCCAGCCCTTAAAGTGCTCAATAGGGCACGAAATCCGACTAGCATTGATCGGTTATCGCAGGCAATGAGTTCGGTATCGGGCCCGGTGGCTTTGAGAAGATACGAACTGGATTGTTCCCACGGGGTACGGCCCTGAGCATAAGAATCACGAACTCCCACATGCGACGAGATGGATTTGATCTGGATCTAGAATTCGTGCAACATACACCCGCAACGATCACTATCAGTTCTCTGCCGCAGCGATTATGGCTTCCACCGAAACAAAGACCTTGTCTGACACCAAGGACGATATGGAGTGTGTGACGTCTCAATCTGGTCAGCAAGATTCATCGGGGATCGTTTTCCTCCATCCAGCCGAGGAAAGACGGCTCGTGAGGAAGATTGATTTTCAGTCAGCCTATGCCCAATGCCTTGCCACAGTATGCCAATTCTAACCCACGATAGCTTGATGCCGGTCATGTTCTTGTTGTACCTCTTCCAGTACCTAGACAAGACCTCGCTGGGATACACAGCCATTATGGGTATTATAGAAGATACGGTAAGTTACAGCTTGCTCAGATGTAGTGCTCTTGCTAATTCGAGGAGAAATTGAGCGGCTCGCAGTATCCGTGGGTGTCGAGCTTTTTCTACGTTGGCTTCCTGGTTGCCAGCCCTATTTCTGCCATCGCGCTGGTCAAATTTCCTGCTGCAAAGGTTGTCGTCTTGACTGTGTGAGTGCCCACGAATGATGCAACTAGCTTTTGATGACTGATTTCTCCTAGCATAATCTGGGGTGGCATTCTTATGTGCACGGCTGCCGGCCATGACTTCGGAACTCTGTCCGTCCTGCGTATCCTTCTCGGCTGCTTTGAGGCAGCGATCAATCCTGGCTTCACTATGATCACCGCGATGTGGTACAAGCCATCCGAACACGCTCTCAGACACGGGATTTGGTATGGAGGCGCCAGTGTCGCCTATATATTTGGAGGCGTCTTAGCCTATGGGTTTTCCCACATACATAGCGCAGTCAAAAGTTGGCAGGTGAGGCTCATGATCTTGCGTTCATGTCAAGCTGTATTCTTACTTCTCGCAGTTTCTCTTCATCATTTTTGGTGCGGTGACAATCATTTGGGGTATTGTCATGTATTTTGTGCTCCCCAACAACCCTCAGACGGCGAAGTTCCTCACCACCGAAGAGAGAAAGTTGGCATTCGCTCGAGTGCAAGGTACGCGCCACTCAGCCGACAGCAGGAAATGGAGCAGTGCCCAGTTCAAGGAAGCTTTGATTGATCCCAGAACATGGTTGTTCTTCTTGCTCAATATATTTACCACTCTTCCAGGAGGGGGTCTCACGGCGGTAAGTGCTCACCCAACGTGCTTCTGGGGTAAAACAGAGCCATTGTTGACAAAGACGCCAGTTCGGAAGCATCATTCTGAAAAGTTTCGGCTTCAGCCTCTACAAAACCCAGCTCCTCACAATGTCTCAAGGCGCCTTCTTGCTCCTGTTCGTCGTCTTCACTGTTGCGGTATCAATGTCATTCAAGAACGCTCGCTGCATCTCGATCGCATTACTCAACCTCATCTCGCTTGCGGGAGCCCTGATGATCAAGCTTCTTCCCGAAAGCGATAAAATAAGCCGCCTGGCTGGTCTGTGGCTCATCTCAGCCTACGCCAGCTCTTTCCCCACCATCTTGAGTTTGATCTCGAGTAACATTTGTGGCCATACCAAAAAGGCAACCGTCAACGCAATGCTTTTCCTGGGATTCTGCACAGGATACATCATCGGACCACAGACATTCTTGGCCCGTGAAGCCCCAGGCTACAAGGTGTGTTTTCATCTCTTGCGCTTCCCACAGTGACAAGAGAATCTATACTAACCCCTGTTTTATCAGACTGCTTTCAATGTCATGATCGCCTGCTTCGTGCTCAACATTGCCATTATTCTCACCATGCGACAGCTCATGGCCTGGTGGAACGGAAAACGTGATCAGGAGAGGGGTCAGGACAACATCGTGATGGGCGAAGCCGCGGAGAACGCCTTCGAGCAGCTCGAGCTAGACGAGACCGACTGGCAAAACAAGAATATCCGTTACTCGCTGTAAGGCGTACTGTGAGATGAGAATGTCTTAGTCAGGTGACGGATAGACCAGGGCTGGAGTTTCGTGACTACCTATTCGAAACGTGTATGAAGAGATGTCCAGGATACTACGGCATGTAGAAACGGAAAACGAGATGTACTTGTTCGGAGTTCTAGGTCAGGCCACTTGAGCCAGTCGAGAGTTTCCTTCTTCAGTTCTCATGGTCTTATCTGATACTATGGCTATCTATCAGCTAGTTACCATCAGTGTATATTCATTGACTCTCTACATTTCCGAGTTCGACTTTGCTAAGATATGGGTAGCCGTCCAGCTTTGTCGACGCGACCTGCCACCATCTGAGCAACGAGTGTTCCGAAACTCAAATCTGCCTCGTCATATGCATGTTCTTTATCCAAAACATTCAATGACCCGATGGTTTTGGTCCCCAATCGCACGGGGATGTTCAGCACCGACCCCAAGCCGAGGCTCCACAACAGTTCCCAATCTTCAAAGACTGCCTTCAAATCTTCTTTCGTCGATCCTCGCCATGTCTCACCGTCGATGAGGACACGTTGGATCCAGGCCTCTCGCTGCGGAGGGATTTCGGACTTGCCGAGACTGCCTCCTCCGCCGGAGCTGGCGTCACTCTGCTGCTGGCCTGGTCCTCGTCGCAACCCCAGTGGATGCAAATCCTCCCTGGTACTATAGATTCGTCTAACCACTAGTGTGGAAGAGTCTGGTGTGGAGGAAGAAGAGTATGTAAGTATGGTGAAGAGAGAGTGACCGAAATGTTGAGCCAAGACTCTATTGACTTCGGCCCAGATTGTGGGCGAGTCGTCGTCTTTGGCATGCTCAGTCAGGGAAGACAGGTGAGCCAGGTCAGAGGAAGTGGCCAACAGAGTCGACTTCGACGGCGCCGTGGTGTTGTCAGAGGTGCCAGGCGGTAGAGTAGTGGGTGTCCTGTCTTCTGACGAAGTCATCGTGGTAAGGAGGGAAAGGGAGCAGTGATGCTGCTCGTGATAAAAATTTTTACAAACCTGGGCAAGCAATATTTATATCCAAGATGTATTGGGAGGACATTTGTTTCGTTAGAAGCGATGCGGTCCCAGGTTGCTCACCGTCAATGGATGCGCTGTGTACTATTCTCATTGTACGTACTATCCGTACTTGTCACGGGCAACAGGGGGAGGAGGGTGGCTTCGGGTACAAGTACCCGGCACCGGCCAGCGTGCCACCCACCCAATGGAGTTACAGTACGGACTACAAGTTGTATGGCATGTCAATTCTTGCAAGGAGCGGTAAAGCATACAGGTTTCATTTTTTTGTTTGTACAAATTCGACTCGATATTTCTTCCATGTCCCAAAGTATCCAGTACTTAGGTCCTACTTCATATGTGTTTCCTCATCCAAATCGTCAACGCATTCTTCTCCACACTATGGTTACCAAGATGCCCGGGGTGTTAGATTTTCATGAATGATATGCGACGTCTCAGCCGTCCTGCTTTCATGCCCAAGTCGGTTGAGAGGCCGGGAGTGCATTTCATACCCGCGGCCATCTCCATAGACACGCTCCATACCCCGCTGCTGCATCGCTGGAAAGAGCTTCCGTCTGCGGAACATGACCACTGGCCTTCGACCGAGCAAGCTCCTGATTGAGTGCCCGTCTCGTTGGATGCCCCGGAATTACTTGAGGGTGGTTGTTGAGTGGAAGCGGTGGGAGCGGCCTCCGGGGCTACTGACTGACTGACTGATCCTGCAGCAGCCGCAGCGGACGTGGCGAAGACACCGGGTGAGACTGGTCTCGAGGTTTCGGTGACGAACGTAGTTGGTACTGGGAGGCCACCCGCCGGCGGTGCCGAGCCAGTGACTTGAGGAGATGATCCAGATTGGTCGGAGCCGTTTTGGGGACCTGCGGCCGCCGAACCTGCTGCTGGCTGTGCGCTTGGCTGGGAAGCTCCAGATCCTCCTCCTGGGAAGGCCGAGGAAACTTGCGTAGGAGCTGGGTTGCTACCTGCATCATCTGAACAGGAGAGCTGCGTGTAGGGACCTGCGCCGGCCTTTTGAACGTACATGCCTGGGTTGGGGTAGAGATAATCAAATCCCTCCGGCGTCGTACAAGAAGAAACCCCAGCCAAATTTGCGACAAACATGTCTGGGAAACTGTTTTGGCGTTTTTGTGACATTTGTGGAGCCTCTGCCGGCTTCTCCTCCTCTCTTTTTTTTGCGCCGCCATTTTTCTGGGTCACGGTAAACGGTGCGCAGTTCATATAGAACTCTCTGTTGCCAACCTTGTTGATCCACGACCAAGCGAGGGTGTAGTCGCCGGGAGCGATTCCGTCTGGAACAGTAAATTGGAAGGTGGAGGCGCCGTCTCCGTTGGGGTCTGCAGGAAGGTTGCCAGGCACGTTCGCCGGACATCCACCTTCAATAGACTTGATGACCATCCACTTGGACTCTTTTGTAGGTTGTAGATCGGTCGTCAGACTGACTTGACAAGAGCCTCCGCCGTGAACAGCCGAACCAGTGAAGCTCAAGGTTTGAGGTTCGCCAATGGCCGCAACATTCTGTGCACCTTCTGCGTCGTAGACTCCAGGTCGTTGTTTGCAAGGGAAGTCGGAGCCATCAGCAAGGAGTGGTGAGTTGGTGAGGGAACTCTTGCCATAAGGGACAGGAGTCTTCATGATCATGTGAGCATTGGTGGTCGCAGTGAGAAGAAGAAGGATGGAGGCCGTGGCCACATTCTTGATTGAAGAAGCCATGGTTGTTGTTGTAGAAGATGTCGATCTAGAATATCGGTCTAGATGAACGGGTTTGCTTTCGCGCTTGAGAGAGTGTCGGGCAGGGCAATAGCCAGATTGCACTTAACTAACGTGTTAGTTGAGTTTTTTTGGTATCGGATAGGAAAAGAACGATAAATGGCCGAAAATTGTCAGAGCGTTAATAAGGACCATCTCCGGACAGACAATGCCGTTTGATGATCTGCTCAGACAAAGGAATACCAAGTGACAGTGGCAAGTATAAAAGATCAGGCAGTCTGAGGGGAGGCAGGTCAAAGAAGACCAGTATTTTGTAGCATACCTTAAAGGATTCAACAAAGGGAGCGGCTTGCTGACTTTGGTTATTGTTTTGCGTGTCAAAGGAATGTATTGTGGGATTGTTCGCGCCAGGCAAGACAATTCAGAAAGCCAACACAATGAGAGTGAGTGAATGAGTGAAAGGGATGAATGAATGAATGGATCGGCTAGCCTGCCAGTGCTGGTATATTGAAGGAGTGACGGTAAAACAAAGTAGTGAGAGAAAGCTTTGAGGAGCTGTCCAAGTGCAGTCAGTTGATGAACTATATAGACCACATTCAAGACCGACCCACAGACCAGGTGATGGGCGAACAAAGGCTCCCGGACTCCTCCAACGTCATTCGGTTAATGCTTGTCAGATGCACTGGGCAAGGGGTAGATGAAACAATGGCATCCTATTGGCAAACACGAGACCTCCCTCACCAAAAAGACGGCTCGAGACCTTACAAAAAATCGCGCTTTCGGACTTGGAGCTTTTCATGAGCTTTGTCCACCGCGATTGAGAGATGGGTCGCTTGGAAGAAGACCAAGAAGAAGCTTCTCAGGCAGTGAGCTTGTAGAGCGTGGTGATTCGAGCATGGACGCATAGCAAATACCTCCGTAGCTGAAGGGGCCGACCGAGACAGTGAAGCTCTGCAGCAAGCGATTGGCCAAGGCAGTTCGCGCCACTGGCAGATACGAGCCGGAATGGTGGCTCACGCACCGACGATCGCCCCATGTTTAAAAAGCCCCCTGGGAGAGGCTGAGGAAGTCCGTCACCTCCACAGGCCGAGCAAGCAGACAAGGTCTCCCTAGTAGGGGTGAGGCAGGGCAGAAAAATGAATGGCAAGTCGAAAGGGAGAACGGACCAGGAAATCCAGGGGCAAAAAAAGACGCGGTCAGTTGCAGCCAACCATTAAACGCGCTGTACTCTTATGCTAGTCTACTATGGGCTTAGCTTCGGCAATGGAGAAACGTGGTTCCGGAGAAGCTACAGCTCTTGTTTGTTCTACTGGCCACGATTCCATCCATCATGAAACGTCCGCTCCGGCTCCCTGCTGGAAATTACTTGCAACCATCTGTTGCCACTCCGAATGTCTTTCTTGCGACACGGACGAAGATCCACAGAGGCCAGAGCTGACCAGAGACAAGAATGTTCATCAGGCAGCTACTGTGCAAGGCTTCGACACGCCTTTGCAGCATCCAGGTCGACACGGACCCTGGTGGCTGGGAAGGCCTGTGCTCTCCAATGCCTCCTAGCCTGCGATTTTCGTGAATTGATGCTTGTCGAAGCATTCTTGACAGCAGCGAGCGCAGACCTCCGCGTCGGTACTTCTCCATGTGAGGCGCGTTTAAAAGTTCTCGAGCCGCGGCGACTTGCCCTGTGCGCGTACTGGTCACCACCATCATACAGCACAGCATCTTGAATATCAGGGTACTCGTACTCCGCTTCGACGTCTGACGATATACTACTAATGACTAAATGACCGGCATCACAGCATGCCAAGGCTCGCTCAACAGCAAATCTGAAGACTGCGTCTTGAGTTAAGTTGGGGACTATATTGTGGGGGTCGAGTAGGGGTCACTGCTCGTTCCGCTATGCCTCTCTCGAACTGATTCTCCGAGTACCCTCTTGAATTCAACGTTGCATGCCGATGGATCTGGGATGTGTGAAGAGATCCCTGAGACTGACCCAAGAGGACGTTTAGTTTGCAATGGCAGAGTCTGGGCTGGAGGTATATCGGCGACCGCCGACATCTGCTTCTGTCGACCTTGAGCGCGCAATCTCTGGTCGAGTTCCCAGCCAAGCCAGTGTTCGAAAAAAAATTGCACGTTTATCTTACAAGGGCATGTTACAGATGAAGACACGGTGGGATTTCTTTCGCGGTTTATCTCGATTTAACTTCCGGACGATGGAGGTCAGCCTTGATCCTTGCAACCTTACGACAACCCATCTTGAGATTTAGGTTTCGAAAAACATACTGATATTGATACTGACATGCCTTTCGGGAGGAGACGAGGGGACAGTCCGGACTTCTATGTCTCCGACGCTGTTGTCTTGAAACTCTTTGTCGGCACAAGACACCACTTTGATTTATTGTTTCTCGAAATATCCGGAGAGTAAAGAATTGCTATTTCTTCTTTGTTATCATGGTGATTCTACAGCCAGCAACCATGGCAGCCGCAAACCAGGCACCAAAGGCATTATCATTCTGCTTTGTACTGATACGAACTCTGATCTCGAACAATGATCACACCCAATGTCAGGACGATGCATATATCAGCCATGGGAAGGAAATCCGAAATTGGTCCACCTACCAAACGATCAATTGCATTGCCCTCAGGCTTTTCGTACTACTCAACGTGCGACTAGGAACATTATCCACAGCAGCAGCAGCAGCAGCATCAAACTTAAAACCACCATGGCTACCTACAGAAGAAATCGTACCGAGTCACGCTCGTCCAACAACCACCACATCTCCCTCCGCGGCCCGTTTGAACTGACGATAGGAACCCCTCGTGATGTTGGGCAGCTCGAAGAAGGTGAGATCCCCCAGAGCGGCTTCCGCGTGAATGTGCAATGGTACATCAACGAACTCCCCCCCTCGGACGAGATCGCGACCATCGAGAGAATGGCCGTCGTCGAGGCGAAGCGCCAGGGTTGCAAGGTGGTCTGCATCAGAAGCAACATCCACGACACCACGCGCATGCGGGTTCCACACTCCCGCCCGAGTCGGTTCGTCCAGGTCCCCGATCCCATAGGATGGCATTACACGGCCGAGATGCGACTCCCCAACGGCGACTGGCTCCCCGCCCACTTCTACACCGAGACGGTCGTCGTCAATGGCAACAAAATCACCCGTGGGCTGGACCGACGGCTCTGGAACAACCCGATCGTCTGGAACACGGATTACTTTCCTCACGTCAAAGGTGAGTTTCGACGCGAGGTGTATTATACCGTGTTTGTCTAGGTAAGTGCGTACGTGGCTCTGGAAGTATACATCAAAGTGTAAGTACGAGTAGGTGCGAGTATCGTAGGGATCATCGAGTATCTTTTAATCCAGTATACAGAGTACGATATACAGTGTACATACTGCGTACAGTTATATCCATCAAAGTCACAAATGTTATCTCAAATACCTGATTGTTGTTTTTCGTCCTATTTAGATCATACCAAATCAAATAGTCTTCCTTCCTGTGTATGGTACAATGTCCTCCTTTTCTTTTGCTGTACGATAAATCGATTCCCGTATCGTGTACGGAGTAGTAGAGAGGTACCAGCACGTAGTCCTCTGCTTCATACTCCGTATTCTGTGCATGCTCCACAAGTTGATAAATGCCGCAAGCGCCCCAATCACAACCACGACACCCATTGGACGACAAAAAGTGACAAACCAACGTTTCACGACCACGATCAGTCCGGCGCGTATCGATGAAGAAAAATGTTTCCATGACGAACCGCACACACACAGAAAAAGGTGACGAAGTGGTCGTTGGCAACGGGACCTGGCCCCTGGAATGGGCCGCGCTAGGAAATCCAGAATAGAAACAAGCTGGAAATCTGGTACGGAGGACCTCCGTAGTCTTACAGCGTTCTATTTCTTCGTGGAAGTGGAAGACGTTCATGATCAAGCACGTACACACACACCTTCCTTTCGCCCTTTTTCAATTTAGGATACTGCATAACCAGTGTGAGGACAATGGGTTCAGTATATCCAACAACCACAGGCACGGCCCTCCTCTCGCCCCGACGGTCGCCTGTCCCCTCGACAGGCCAATCTACTGGAGAACGAGGAGGAGAAGCAAATATATCACGTCCATCACTCCCACGTCGCTCCTCTTCTCTGCACAAACAGCTCATCACGAAACTCCGTCCACTCCCATTCCAGTACCACTGGGCCGTGTGGCATTCCAAACCAGACCCGCAGCATCAATACCTCCTCACCCCGCTCGTCGACGACGTATCAGATATCGGCAAGTTCTATCGCATCTTCAACAACATGCCGTGGCTGCAGATACGACAAAACGACAGTATCCATATATTCCGTGCCGGCGTCAAGCCACTCTGGGAAGATGCGGAAAACCAGCAGGGAGGACGTTGGTTGATTCGAGTCCGACATGACAATAATCGAGCCATCAGGGTCTGGGAGGAGATATGCCTCTTGTGTTGCGGAGGGGAGTTGCAGGCCGCAATAGCTCAAGGTGTGCACACTACCCTCTGGTCCCTTTTTGACCCGCGGCTGATATCCCAAGCACAGAACGTGATCACATACTAGGCATGTCTTTCTCGCCCAGACTATACTATGTCCACATATCGATATGGACCAAACAAGGCAACAATCTGCGTAGTATTCTTCTGATGGAAAAGGCAATGATCCAAGGCTTATCGGCAGACCTGCGACCAAGGTCAAATACCGAAATCAACTATCGAAAGCATGCTGATAAAATAGGCTTGAATGAGGCAGACCAGACTTCCTTGCTGCAGTCGGCAGGGGCGCCAAATCGACCACTGATGGCAAGAGCAATGACTTTGTGCTGAGTATTCGTATCACCATATAGCAACCCATTCGAATAGGTGCCGGTGACAACTATCGGCCGGGTACATATCGATCAATCTGAATTGGCTCACGTTCTCGTCGAACGTCACTTCTGTCTCGGTCACGTCGACTGTCTCTGCGATCGTCCCGTCGATCATCATCTCTTCGTCGAGGACTTCGGTCTCGTCTGTCCCTATCTCTGTCACGGTCTCGGTCACGATCTCTGTCGCGATACTTGTCTCGATCGCGGTCTCGATCTTGTTCTCGTTCTCGGCTTCTGTCCCTACGTCTGTCCTTACTCCTCTCTCTGTTTCTGTCCCTGTCGCGGTCCCGATCTCTGTCTCGTTCTCTCTCTCGGTCGCCGCGATCACGCTCAACATCTCGACTTCTGCCCCTACGATCATGTCGGTCTTGACCAGCTTCTCGATCTCGAGTCCGATCCCGGTCCCGGTCCCGGTCACGATCTCTGTCTCTCTCTCCATCACCATCTCGGCCAGGACGATGACTATCGGGGAGGGTTCTAGGTTCGCGATCTTTGTCGCTCTCGCGGGTTCTTCGCCTGTCCTTGTGACGCTCACGTTCTTCCTCGGTACGGTGAACGCCTCCACCAGGTACATAGCGATCAATGCCCACTGGAGATGCAGATCGCATCCTCCTGGTCTTTGGTTTCTCTGTCTCACGAGTTGGTGACGGGGACTCTTGTTGACTCCGTGCTTCACCTTCTTCACGGTCTTTGCTGGGTGTGCGCGTTTTCTCCTTCTGAATTGAGGCTCGTCTGTCACGAGATCTGCTTTTTCGCTCTCTGTCTCGTTCTCGCCTATAGCTGTCGCGAGACCGTTCCCGTCTACCAGAGTATCGATCAGAGACACCATGTCTTCGAGATAGGTCGTGCACTTCTGACTTGTGGAAATCATATTCGGGTCTTTGCTTTGATTTTTCGGCCAGTCGCTTGCCCTCGCTCAAGAGTAGTTCAAGAGCAGTCGCTTCGAGATCTTTTTCGTCGGTGGGAAGATCCTTCGCAATCATCGATTCGGTGCGCGATGCTCGCCGCTCTGGGCTTCTTCTGCGCTCCCTGTTTCTGTCTCGATCGCGATCTCTATCACGATCGCGATCTCTATCACGATCGCGATCTCTGTCACGCTCACGGCGTTCACGATCTCTTTCCCTCTCGCGCTCTCTTTCTTTCTCATAACGAGCCTCTCTTTCCTTTCTCTCTTCCTCGCGCTTTCGATGTCTTTCGTCTCTCGCCTTTATTCTCTCGGCTTCTCGCTTCTCTTCCTCTTCTCGTCTCTTTTGTCGGGCGAGTCTTCTCTCCTCCTCTTCAGTTTCACGCTTCTTCCTTTCTTCCTCCTCGCGCTTCGCCTCCTCTTTCTTCCGTTTCCTTTCCTCTTCCTGCTTGATCTTAGCTTTCAGCTCAGCAGTCTCACGAAGCAGTTGCTCCATGCGATTCCTATTTCGGTCTCTTTCAGCAGCGCGATTCTCGGTTTCTGCTTTGTACTGTTCATCCGTCTTGCTACCCCGCTGCTCCTCCTCTGCCGCAGCCTCAAGGCCGATATCTGTTTTCCGGATTTCGCGGACAGCATCTAGTACGTTGTTCAAGTGTTTCGCAATTTCAGTATCAATGCGAGATTCCACATCTTGATAAATGCCACTCCGATCAACAGCACCTTGAATCAGCGTTGCAGCCTTTCCACGTTCCCGACTGAGTAGGTTCGGGTCTTTCTCAATCTCGGCTTCCGCAATAGCGTAAATTTTGTCTGCCAGGGCAGTTTTTGCGTCAGAAGTGTTGTACGATGCCCATACTTGTTTTCTGAGACTATCATAGCCACCCTGCTTTTTGAACTTCAGAAGGAGCGCATCTATGGTTGATCGTTGTTCTTTGACGAGAGGGAGATCTGAGATCTTGAAACGCGGACGAAGGGAAAACGGGGTCGCTGGATCGCTCGCAGGCGTATCAGCCATGATTATATCAGCCATGACTAGAAACGAACATGAGGAATTGTCGCGATGACATGGACCGAGAGTCCTTTAGAGAAATTGTGTAAAAGTTGCGAGTCCGCAGGAACAGAAACGCGGATCAAAGTCGCCAAAGTCGCGTATGGAGAAGGAACTGACCGCCTTGGCAACTTGACTAAGCACAAGGCTGAGCAAAGGGAGGACTCGACACTACCGTATGGAGGAGCAAGGCTTGCGAGTCTTTGACAATATTTGATTCTTCTTTACCGAGAGGATAAGAATACCATTTCCTCGGTCGTTCAAAGATATGTCTCCTAGGATCACTTGTTTGCATTGAACTTATGCTACACTAGTTCTCTAACTTGTACACCAAGTATTCCGCGGCCAACCCTCCTTCATCAATGTGCCAACGCCCTTGTCCTACAAGCGCAGATGTTTCCAGCCATTTCAGACTCTGGTCGGTCGTCTCTACATCTAGTCTCGTGAACCAATTTGTGTCCCCAAAGTTTGTCGATTTGATTTCGGCAGCGTTATCCAGTATCTTCTTCGTACCCTCATCAATCATGATCATTCCCGTGTATCGAATGTAAATTTCCCCCTTGTCTGTTTTTGCTCTGGCCCGGGCATCGATATGAACACAGTTTGCGTTGTAATCAATCAAGGGCCAATCTCCCCCCGGCGGAACAATGTCGGCTTTCACATCGGAGTCTTTGAACTTGATGAAGCCACCCGTGACATTGGCCATGAGTCTCGTGGCTCCGGTGTAGTTTGGCCCAACAACTGCAAGATCGGGATGCAAGTATTCTCGCATGGTAAAGATGTGTTTCAAAGTTGGCGCCATGATAAAATTGTTGGTATATTGTCCGAGATCCACGCACAAGATGACACTGTTGAGGAGTGTTGGTGTCCTACCAGCTTTTGAAGTTCTGTTCCTGGGCACTTTATATTTCGCCTGGGGTAGGACTGACTTCTCATTTAAATAGTACTGGAAGTCTGATGTGGAGTATGGCCTCAGTACCAACAGGGTTAGTCTAGACTTACCTCTCCTCGACCTGGGGACTAGGATTAATTAATGTAAGTGCAGAGATTCATACGGTACAGACCATGACTGCTGAGTACAGAAAGCTGCCCCCATTACTAAGAAAGAGACATACTCCATCGTATCGTACCCAATTCGAGGAAGCCATGTTCGGACCATGCGGCTCCGGTCGAACGTCTACCGTAAAGTGGGGCACTATGCATCGATACAACCTCACTCGAATATGATATGGCAGACCGGGTAGTCGACTAAATGCACTCTCACGGCCATCGAAAGTGGTACAGCCTCAAATTCGTTTGACCGCAGCCGTCTTTCCCCATATTGGTCAGGTTTTAACCACCCTACCGCGTTTACCATTCGTCAAGTGCATGGCTCTAAGGCGTCGGTGCCGCATAGCGCTGGTTTTTGGCGAAGAATCAGCTTATACGTGGATTTGAGCTGTATGCTTGATGCCTCCAAATTCCCTCAGAAACAAGGGACATTCAGTTGAATTGACCAAGCACCGACGTCTGGTGAACGAAGTTGCAAAAGCTCAACTACTCGCTGACAAATCCTCCTCTACCAACACTCAGGCCCACCTGTCGATCCTATGGCGAGGGCGTTACATCCAACAGGATGATTTGATTCATCATCTCCTTCACCAAGATATGCGCTTCTGACCCTAGAGAATGAGCTCAAATTCTGCGACTCAGCGTGCTTCTGCCCAACGACGCTACAGGAGCAACCGGAAGCAATATCAAAGTTGCGATCATTGTAGGAAAGGACGACGAGGCTGTGATGCGGTTCGCCTCGGCATTGATCCTCTGGGTCAAGTCGATCCAAACAACCGCTGCTCTATGTGCCAAAGGTACCGGAAACAATGTACATTCGAATGGCTACGCAGTGTTCCAGTGGATACTCTGCCACAACGCATCAAGACAATGTTTGGAACCCCTTCTCAGAGATTCCAGGAGAACTCCACTTTATCCTCCTTACCGGTAATGCCATCAGACGCTAGCTCTCTTCTAGCGACCAAAACTACCCCTCAAGATATCTTTCACAACAAAGGTACCTCAAATCCCAGAACCACTGGGTTTGGTCGTTCATTTCTTGACATTGACCTGCGTGAAACTCAAGATGAGACGCTTCCCTCGCTCTTTTCGGGTTCGTCGAATGGCCTAGATTTTCCTGGATTATCCCTTGAAACTGTCCAGAGCCACGCGTGGCATGAACTATACAACGAGCAACCCGACAACAGTAGACACACAATTCCAGGGACAACCCTACCTTCAGATTCTAGCTATGACTTACTGTCTGGGACTACGGCCTCTGACTTCCCGGTGCCTATCTATGAAGATGCTGACTTCCAAGCAAGGCGTGCGCAGTCGGAGGTTCTGGACCCAAAAACATTACAGCAAGCAGACCTGTCCGCGGGTTGGCCTCCATTTCCATTGGAGTGGCATTCCATGAATGAACGACCAGGTCCGGCAATTCCACTCTCAGAGCCAACGGCAAAGTCATATTACAACGAATCACATGCACCACGATTAAGTCCGCAAGAAAGCCAACTTGCGGACACTTCGAATAAGACTGCGGTTGCCGAAGGCTTGATGAAGATCTACCAGGATAGCTTGGAGAATGCGCTATCATGTTGGATCACTGCAGAGAATTGTCCATACAATATAAAACTGAGGAAAACTCGACAAAGGACGCTCAGCGATGTTATTTATTCACCCAGTGCATCAAGCAGCCTCTACAGCCGCGTCTTTGAACTTGATGCTGGTTTTTCCTCGCTGAGAAGTCGACCGCTGACGCGAGCTGAACATTCTGGTTCCTCGAGAGCACTCAAACTTGCCATTGTAGCTTTTGCTAGTCAATGGTCATATTCTTCCCAACTCTCCCCATCAGATGCAAGGTGGGTCAACCGGCTCTCCTTCGAGGACAGATATGCAACAGAAAGGCAACCCAGTCCTGACCATGAAGCAATGGACACTTATGACTTTGAAGGCTTGCTACGACAGAGTGTTTGGAACGAAGCACGAAGATGCATCGATCGATGGAAATATTGTGGCTCCTTTCGGGTCATCTTTGCCATCATCATGTTTTCCTTGACTCAACAACCACCGAATGAGGACGAACTTGGTGACTCGAGTGACGAGCCTTCAGAACCACTAGATCCGCAAATGCCGAGTCAAGGCGAGTACCTTCTCAACCCCAGGCGCCCTCTCATGCCACAATCATATTCGCCGACAATTTCCGGCGGTGTTTTGACAAGCTCTCCAAGCAATCCACAGATTTCATCCTTCTCAAGAGGCCTCCATGATGGCTCCGGCTCTCTTGGAACTGCGATACATCATCTCCTCAACTGGAAAGCGAGGCTATTGTCGTACTCACAAGATCATGGAATGCCCGCGGACACTTCTATCAATGCAAATCGTACCAGAACCAGTCTCCTAGATCCCAAAAGCCTGTATGACTTCAATCTGGTTTTCTGGCTAGGGATAATGTACGATACGACAGCGTCTGTACTTGGGCAGAGCTCATTGATAGCCCCAGACAGTGACACGTTGATGTATTTTGAGCTAGGCTCTTCATGCAACACCCGAGCAGTCAAAGCTTTCGAAAATCTGCAGACCCCCTCGGGCATGACAACCAACAAAACGCCTTCCCTCGTGAACATCTGGGACTCGTACATAATTGAGGTCGACGAGGCCCGATCATCAAATCTGGCAGCAGAAGGCGTCTTCTCTGCACAGCTAGACACCAAGACTCTTCAGGCGGCAGTTCCTCTCAAGGTACTGTTTTGGCGCAAAATCAGCAAAATGCAGCAGGTGTTTTCCCAACCAAAAAAAACATCACCAGCCGAAGTCGAAAGTGTGATCAAAGAAGCCTTGCGCGTGCACGACTATTGGATCATGGAGTACGACACATTCTTCAAAGCCTGCGTGGGTGCCCACTCCCAGCTATCGTTCCAAGTCCAGTCGTGGCACCTCGTCTTGGGCATGGGATGGAACTTGGGCTGTCTTCTCCTGGCCAGATGTATCGAATTTGCCGATCAAAACTCCAAGTCTGAAAGGCTCGGACGAAGTCTCCGTGCTTCTTCGGCGTTGGTGAACCAGCTGAGGAAGTCGGGTGCGTATTCTATAGCCAATCTGGGTAGGGCGTCTGGTTGGCCCGTGTCGAATTCCACATCTCCAGCGGGCAGTAACAAAGACATCCATTTCGCCATAAGCCAGAGTGCCATTCTCGCCGAGCCACACCCGGACAAACTCATCCGGGCTCTCGAAATGGCGTGCCAAACTCTTCTGGACTGGCTCCAGTGTTGGCGATCCCCCACTGATGCCACCCGTCTAGAGGACCGAGAGTGGCTCTATGCCAACACGAGCAGCGACGAGATATCCCGACACTGTGTCAGTTGTATTGATGCTCTTAAAGTCCTGAGGAGGAATTCTGATGCCGTAAACCCTATCATTTATCGTCTTACAATGCAACATAGGTTGTTGGAGTTGGGACACGAGCTCCAGACAGAATCAGGTCTTTTCTACACCTCCTGAAACTGGGGGGCCGTCATGTGTTGAATGTATGAGTTCGGAGAATACTGTCTGGATAATCAGATAATCTCATGTCGTTTAGTGCGACTTTTGCTAAACGAACCTCACATGATCGTAGCTCTGAGCGGAACCGCATGTACGCTTCCGGGCTGCATGAGGCTTGATGATGTACTCGCTAAGATGAGATGTACTACTGTTGCTCATGGTCTATTGGTCGTTATCACGGTGGCATAGTGTGAGGGTCGTATAATCAAGTCAGTGTACAACATTATACAAAAAGTTGTCATACGAGTACTTGATTTCTTTATCACCAAGGTTGAAGACACATACCTGGATCTTACTGTCGAGAACTCAGCAATCGAAAATCCAAAGCACAGCGGATAGAATTGTACAACTTTTGACTGATATTGTAGAATGACAACATACACCGTCCCGACACCTAAACTAGAACGCGTCGCCACATTTCGAGGATACGTCGGTACTGGAATTTCCATAATGGGTTCAAAAGAGAATTTTGGTACAGGTTCTCATTCGGTTGTCCGTTCTTTCGCTCCTATCATATCTGGGGTTTTCAGTGTCACGAATCCGACCGGTGACGAAGAGATCAAAGCTGAACTCGTGCCACCTGCTTGGCCAGTCACTACTACTACTACGACTTCGACTTCGACTTTGTCCGAGGGCAACGTCAAAACAGCCCATCTCGACGTACGATGTCGCGCAGAGACAGACACAAAAGAACATGTTTATATTCGGTATTCTGGAATTTTGACGGTGGACGGAACCGTCGCGAAAGCGATACGTCGTGAATCAGATTCAAAGTCGACACGATTCGAAAATCATTCCAATTGGTTCACCAAAGTCATGATCGAGACTTCGGATCAAAGGTTGAAATGGTTGGAAACGTTGTTTCTCGTTGGTCAGGGACGAATTCAGGTTGATGATGACAATGATGACAATGATGCTGGTGGTGGAAGTCGGACTGGTGCAGAATATGCAATTTATAAATTGTGTTGAATCTACAAAAACCGTGACCCTATGTAGACTGTGGATGTAAATAGGGGGGTAGGAGATCAAGTTCAGCCTTGCACCACCCCAAGGAAGACACGAGGCCTGTAGTCTCGACTTACCCAAGTAACGATACCATGGTCAAATGATTCTCTCACAAGTATTGAAGACATCAACAGTATTGTTTTGGGGCAATGAAAATTAAACATAAAGTTGTTTTATTGGAATCCGAACTCCCCAGTGATCGTCACAAGCCTATTTACAATTTCACCGTCCTCCGTCAGAAGAATACACCCGACATTCCCGAGTCTAACCAGGCCCTGGAAACTGTGGCACATGAGAAAGAAGGACACCCATTCTCACTGTCGTTGTCCGTCATTATTTGTGGTCCGACCCTTTTCGACGTCCACACAATTGCTTGTCGTGGTCGTCGTGGATACCGGGGTGATTTTATCCCGGACAGCCCTGACATGACTCCCCAACCTTCCACGAGGAAAGTTGATGGGACTTTCCGGACCGACAAAGATGAAGAGGTCATAAATACCGGCGCCTATCACGCCGCCGGCAATGGTGCTTCCCCACGGTCCCCAGGCCCACCAGTAAGTGGCCATGGTCCAGACGTTACCATCTCCGACGCCCGTGGCCCATATAAGCAGCCGTGGCCCAAAGTCTCGCGCCGGGTTCAGACAGGTGCCCGTGTTGTAAGAAAATGCGAGACATAAACCAGTGACCACGAGAGCCATGACTATAGCATGCATGTTGGTGCGTCGAGGGACGTTTCGAGGATCGTTCAGGGCGAGCACGGCGATACATAGAATCCCCGTACCCACGCATTCGGTCAGCATTGCGGCCACGAGGCTCAACCCCGGCCGCGGGAGGGTGTAGAATGCCGAACCGGCACCTCCTGCATTCGTCCCGTCGTACTGTTCAATGGCGTCGTGGTAGAGTCCCAGCACGATGGCGGAAGCGGTGAAGGCGCCGAGTAGCTGGGCGACAATGTACTGAAGGCACATCCCCGCGGGGAAGCTGCGAAACACGGTGAAGACGATCGTCACGACGGGGTTCAGGTGCGCTCCGGACGATCCTCCGACGATGTAGACTCCCATCATGACCCCGAGACCCCACGAAAGATACTCGCCTAGCGTGTCGGTGGCGGCCTGGCGCGACGTCAGGTGCACTAAACTGCCAGACAAGCCGATGACCATGAAAATTGTCGACCCCAGCCATTCAGCTAACGGTCGATGTACTCGTCGCCGGATACGGCCCCAAGTGTTGAGCTGATCGTATTCGTACGGCAACGCATCCCACGCCTCGTCAAGCTGAGTTTGGTCGAATGATCCGAATAGTCGGCGGCCCTGTTGTGGTGGTGTTGCCGTTATCTGCTGTTCTTGCTCCTGAAGCACTTCTGTCATGCCCACATCGACATTGGATGTATCTCGGGGCGAGGAAACTAGTGTGATATCACTGGCTGGCGAGGGTACAAAGGTAGGACTCAAGGGACTCCCAACCTCACCCCTGGGGTGGCTCTGAGGGCGACTGTAATTGACGATGCATGGGACAGGACGGGTTTTCGTGGGTTCTGGATGACTGATCCGAAGGCTTGGCCTGGTCAACTTGTTCATGAGGCCTTTTTAAAGGTGTGGTCTGTACAGATGATGCTAGCTGTGAAAATGTCGCCAGGCATGGGGTGTATGAGCTTCTTGTAACATTGTCGGGCGTGTTGTAGGTAATATTAAACCCATCCCCAGTCTGAGGTTCTTCGTCATTATAAACCTGAGTCTGGAGAAGGCACGATGCCCACCCCTATGAGAGGCTGGTCCACTGTCAGTGTGAGTGTACAACTTCTCGTACAGACTTCCTGGCAACATGACATCTCGACAAGCTTCTGACACTACCGAAGGTGACCGGTATCCCTGTTCCGCGGGCTCTCATCCACGTCAAGGGAGAGCAGCTTCCGAACTTGCTGGATCGCAACGCATGTGTGTCATGGGCAATTGAACGAGGCTGGTCAGGGGTATCAACTGTGGTCGGACCATCGCCTGATTGGTAGGTTGTAGACCAGTGACCACCAGTCTTCCGCGAGGTCAAAGTATCCCTCAACACCTTGAAGGCACCCTGCGCTTAGGCATGTCAGTCTGCAAGTATCATACGTTTGGCCTGCAACATTGACCTTTCGCTCACTAAGGTTGAAATTACGCCAGAGCAAGATTGCCCGACCCTTCTGAGTCTGGACTTTACCCGTCCTGATTGTATCTTTCAAAGCCTCGAGCAGCCGATCACCTTCCCTCGTGTCCAGCTCCCGAGTACGTCAACAGCGTGTTGGAAAAGATCTCCGTGTCATTGGAGGAGGCAAAATGTTGTCGTGTTAGCTAGGGCTAGCGCTCCGTCATGACCAAAGCACTGACTTGATACGTAGGTGGAAGGAAGGAGATCGTTGATTCAAAGACATGGCAATTTGAACTTGGGATGACCTACTTGAACCACCTAATTGTGGTTTTTGAGGTACTCCGTAGATGATCATCAATCATACTCAGAATAAGGGGAAGATCTTCCGGGAGGCTTGTTGCACCGACCAGAGGGAGAGACGAGCTTTGACATTTGTATCATAATTGCAGAAGTCCCAGCCTTGTCAGATTTCTTTGTCCACATAAAGGTCACGTCAAGACTGATCCGTAATGAAGTGAGCTTATGACAGAGTGTAGGCAACGAGATTGAGGTGAACATTGGCCACGATATATTTATACCAGGGCACAAATATGGGTGCGGAAGTCGGTGTTTCGTAGGATGGAAGGACACAAATGATTAGTCTCCAATGCTTTGTGGATGTTGCAGGTTTTCGAGTGTCGGCTTTGCTGTCTTTTGTGTGGAACTCGATGGCACTCCTCGGTACATTGTGCTCCGACCTGTCCAGAAGTCACTCGTAGACAAAATACCGTCGTAATCCATCTCTGTGAGACAGGTTGACAGCAGCTTTGATGGAAGATCATGAGGCTCATTAGGCTAAGCCATCTCCTGGGCTTCCAGGTGTTGACAGGTGTCAAACCACCTAGCCAACACACCAAACTCGGTACTATGTATGTGTAGCCGTAAGAGTGTAGAAGGTGCACGAAGAATCGAGATACAACATTGAGTCAAGACATGGTCCCAGCGATAATTGTAAAGGCTGTTTTGAAGCTGGACTTACCACTCCGTCCAGTACTTCACAGAGATTTACCTATGGATTACGCACAACGCCAAGGCTAGTACTATACCTTACCTAAAACAAAATAGCACTTCTTTTACTAGGAGAGCCCCCCCCCTAACCTTATAGGCACTCCCTCATGCCTAGAACTTACCTCCTCATAAGCACCCGGATCCTAGAGCTCAGTCCCCATGGGCAGTCTCTTGTGTAGACACTCCTTCACCTAAAACTCAAGGCTTCATAGGGCACTATCTTTAACTATGAATCGTTCGATTTCGATGTTGAGCCTAATCCATAATTTATAGCAAGTCCTACACTATGCTTAGATGTGCCATCAAGCACGGTATCGTTCGTCAATACAAGGCACCGGCGGAGGTGTTCTTCTTCATCCCAATATTGCTACGCAGTTTCAACTCTCTCCCATTTCAAGACTGGCCATCCTTGGGAACCATCCTAGACGGAGTGTCGGTTAGTCAACAGATATATTTCTATGGAAATACACAATCCATAACGGCGGCCTTTGCCATGAGCAAGCAAAAACCACTTACCTCGAACAAGATCGGGTCGACTGGCCTCACAATCTTGAAATGCTTCCCGTTCTCCTCCACGTATTCCACCCTCCTTGTTTGATATCCTCCCACCCGGGTTGGATCACTGGCGATTTCGACCTTGGTTTTCCACAACAGACCCTTGTCGTCCTCGGACAACTCCATGTATCCGCAATACATGCTCAATCCGCGAGCGACGTTGGCGATTTCTGCATCACTCCGTTTGGCCCAAGGGGTTTTGGAATCCTTATCGAATTGCGTGATCCGATCAGGCGCAGCGAGATGTGCGGCCAGATATCCGTTGCGACTGACATAACTTCGACCCAAGGGGTTGTCCCCGTGAGGTTTCGAAATCAACTTGGCATCTGGCCCTTCTCTATCATACACTCCATAGGACACACATCTCCATCCACCTACCAGCTCGTCACGATGTTTAAGCCATGTCTCTGACATTTCCGATAAGTCTCCACAGATCAGTATTGCTGATCGAGTTTTAAGATTTAACCAAAAAACGAGAATCTTGCAATGAATGTTGTGTAGAATAAGTAGTAGACGAGCCGGAGAAACCCCAGTCCGCAAACCGCAACTCGCAACTCATCAGCCGAACAGCCGAATACTCAGCGGCAGAATCTTAACCTCTTCAAAGCCCATTTCTCCTTTCAACCATGATATTATTGTGTCACTTCTTACCGAGGCGGTGCCGGCTGTGGCCATGAAATGCAGTTTTGCCCATACAGTTTGCATGGTATCGAAGGACTTTGGGTGGTTCTAATTGTACTGCTCGTACGTCACACCTCTCGGGAATTCTAGAATCTTGGACTGTAACATTTTGCCTGGTCCAATCGATCAAGAAGGAGATTGGGATGCAGCCATACGCCAATAGTATTACCAAGGTGACCACCATGGACACGTGAAGTCGGGCTTCTTATCTTCGCAGACTTGCAAGATTGGTGTTTCACAAACACGGCGAACACCTGTTCATGCAACTTGCTTAAAAAGGTTTGAATTTGCCCGCTAACACTCGTGGGGGTTCCAGCAGAGCCGCAAGTCCAAGCTATAGAATCAGGGATAGACGGCAGTTGGGCACATTTCTTTGCCCCCTTAATGTGACCTTTTATGCAAGGTAAGCGAGCTGATGGACTACCGCCATTCCTATATAAGTCACGGCAAAAGACTTCCGAGGCCCAGATAAGTCAGGCGGTCAAAATGGGGAGCACTGGGAGTCTGGGACTCGACCACGAAGTATCATGTAGGTGCCTACCTAGGTAAGGTTGACGCCTTGAAGATGAGTTGGCAAGGCAGCCAAGCTGGTACATCCAATTCCTCTCTCTCCCCTATATGAGGACGACAAACCCTGACCGCACTGTTAACGATTGTAGTCCTTTCATATCATAGAGAGGCCAGCTTAATAAGTAAACTGACGCAATTCATCCATTTCGACCTTTTCCATCTTCACGGCGATCTTTGCTTTTTTTCAACCGTGGCAATGGCCCAGCAGGACAGGAATATCATCGCCGTTCTTGGCCTTACCGGGTCGGGCAAGAGCACTTTTATCAACCGATGCATCGGCTCAGACGTTGCCGTGGCCGGCAGCCAGCTCAATTCAATCACCAAGAGTCCACAGATCTACAACATGGAACATCGAGGATTGCCAGTCCAGTTGATCGATACTCCCGGATTCGACGACACAGATGTCAGCGACGTTGATCGCCTCCAAGAGCTCGCGCTCTATCTGACGTCCATGTACAAGCACAAGACCAACCTCACGGGTATCATCTACCTGCACGACGTTCGCAGCGAGCGGGTCGGCGGGGTCGCGCTGAAAAACATACAAATCCTCCAAGACCTTACCGGCATCGAAAATTTCAACGCCATCACCGTGGCGACGAACTTTTGGACGGATCCACCAGCAGGGCGATCTCTCAAGCACGAGAGCGCCCTCAAGTCTGAACCCAAGTTTTTCGGCACCATGCTCCAGGCCAGCGCCGGCTACTGGCGACTGCAAATGACCGAAACAGGCGGACAGACCGATTGTCTTGGCTTGATTGATCAAGTCCTACGACACAAGCTGCCCGTAACGGCTCTGACCATTCAGCGTGAACTCGTGGACCAGGAATTGGCGTTTGTCGACACACGAGCCGGCCAACGAGTGTACCGAGAGCTCCTTAACTCGACCAGAGAAAGTTTGGAAAGGATCAAGCAGTTAGAGGCCAGGTTGAACGAGACCTTACGTCAACTTGAGGCACGGGTGCCGAATTTCGTCGTTGAGATATATCGACGATGGGTGCATTGGAGCTGGGGTTGAACTTGTTTAGGCAGGTTAGGTAGCCCCCCAAAGGTACCTGGGATGAAGTGACATGTTACGAACAGGGGCAAACAAAGCTGTGAGGACAGCCAATGGACTCAATGGGAAGATGTGCCGAACGTGGCATGGTCAAGCTGAGTATGAGTACTACGAATTGCCTACCTAGGTATATACACGGTCATTCTATAGCTTCAATACCTAGTCAACCTCATTCAAAATCATACCCCATACGTTCTCAGTTTTCACCAACAGGGGTATTTGGCAGCCGAACAGCCGAAGACCCGAGAAACCGATCCACTTTATTTGGACTATCCTTCTTCATCCAGTGACCATTTCAACTTTCTACTTGTACTCTCGGCACAATGCATACTTGGTTCTGTACAGCAATGACGACCGATAGGAAAACTTTCTTCATGACCTCGGTTAGACTGAAGGGCAAGTCAGGTTGACGCCTGCTCTAGATAGGGTGACGGCACCTTAAAGATGTCGTCGGGCTCGGTACGGACTTGAAGTCGCGCGGCTTCTGATTGCAACTCCAGCTGCTGCTTTATAACCCTGAAGCTGTTTAATCAGATGAAAATATCAACTGGTAATTGAGTGTTTCTCATCGTGCTCCCGTTGCTCACATCCGATTTCAACAATCAGACGATCGTCAACTCTTCCCAACAGAACGCTCACATACAACCATCTAGAAACAAGTCGACCCGCAAGATGTCTTCTTCAACTATGCAGACCGGGGAATCTGGAGGAATGCCGAACGTAAACTACGGCTTCATTGGTATTGGAAGGATGGGATTCCCCATGGCACTCAATGTTCGAGCCAAGATGCCGTCGGGGTCAAAGTTGGTCGTCTGCGATGTCGATCATTCGCAGGTCGAAAGATTTCTCCGCCAGTCTAAATCTCTCGGACCTGTGGAAGCAGCTTCGTGCCCCAAAGAGGTAGCTGAACAATGTGTGAGTGTTGTGTACTCGCCCTCTCCCCTCTGAGGACAAGGGGAAAGAAACAGCCAAACGGCAAATGCCAATTGATCAATCCCGTCTCTCATCTAGGACGTCATAATCACATCATTGCCACCGGGCAAGGCAGTCTCACAAGTCTTTTCGGACCCGTCGACGAGTATCCTGGCCGCCGGGGTCCGGGACAGGTCCAAACTCGTGATCGACACTTCGACCATGGACGTTCAGAGCTCGTTGGATGTCTCCAAACAAGTCGTCGCCTCAGGGTTCGGAGATTTCGTCGACTGTCCCGTTTCAGGAGGCATGATCGGAGCCGAGGGTGGGAAACTGAGTTGCATGGTGGGGTGCTCCAAAGAACTCTTCGACGACCGGGTCAAACCCGTCGTTCTAGCCTTCTCGGACCCCAAAGCCGTCTACCACTGCGGTGGCCCAGGAGCAGGACTCGCGGCCAAGATCGTCAACAATTACGTTGCGATGGTGAGCTACGTGGGCTTGTGCGAGGGAATCAACATCGGTGTTCGTTATGGTCTGGATCCTAAACTTCTAACTGGTGAGTTTTTTTTCCCTTGGGACTACAACAATTGAACTCGCTCCCTACATATGTTTTTTTCTCTTTGTCTTTGCGATTCTTTTTCGACTTTCAAGCTAATTTATTCACGCATTTACCAGATGTCATCAATGCGGGTAGTGGCATGTGCTGGAACTCTTTGTACATGTGTCCCATCAAGGGGATCCAGCCTACTTCGTCGGCCACCAAAGATTTCTTGAGTGGTCCGGATGGGGGGCCAGGCTTTGACCTGGCGACCGAGGCCACTGACATGACGGTCGAACTGATGCATCAAGTCAATGCAAAGTCCGTCATGGCGCCGGTGATGAGAGACATCTGGAAGCGGGCCCAAGCGAGCCCCTTGTGCCAGGGAAAGGAGTACAGAAGTTTGTACCTGCTCTTCTCCGAGGAGGACGGGCGCGGCATTGGAGGAGAGTAGTGGGCCGTAATTGATGATTTGAGTGAGAATGGGTCAGCGAAGACCAGCAGCCGCTGTCTACGACAGAGTAGAAGTACCACACGTACCTACGAAGTTGGTACAGAAATTGAAAAGAGGGAAAATGACGAGGGCTCCGAGGCAAAACGGACTCAATAGCCGCGCATGATCTAAAGACACCATATCTTGAAGGATCTTCGGGGGGTGAAATATGGTAGATCAACCGAACAGCCGGTCGACCGACTTTCTACTGTCTTACGACAGCACATACTACTACATCGTTCACTCATAGATTCCCCACAGAACGAAGTTTCTGGGGGAAAAGTTGCGCTGTTTACTACGTGGAGGGGCTCGACGAATACCTAGTAGATGCCAGAATGTATATGTACTTTCAGTATCCCAACTTAATCTGGGCGGAATCTCATCAAAAAAATCTACTTCAATTGTTTCTTATTTGATTTCACAATCGGCATCATCCTTTCTATTATAAACATGGGTAGTCAAAAAAAGACCGACGACGTGGCCATGGCCGAGTTTCCCATCCCAGACGCGATCAGAGTGTGTCAAGCCGCCCTTGAAATGGCAGGAGGATACTCACCCAGCGACGCAGAGATCATCACGCAACATCTGGTCGACGCCGAGTGCCGAGGCAGTCCCATGGCTGGACTGGCTAGGGCGTTGAGCATTATTGATCACCTCCAAGAAAGTCCTGGCAAGACCAAGTCCTCAAAGGACATTGAAATTACCAGCGAAGGTCCATCATCCGTCAGGCTCAACGGCAACAACGTGGTGGGTTATCTGGTGGCTCACAGAGCCACTGAACTGGCGATTGAAAAGGCCAAATCATGCGGTGTCGCCATTGTGGGCGCCAATGATTTCTGGTACAGCGGAAATTTGGCTTATTATGCCGAGATGGCCACCAAGCGTGACCTGATCTCGGTGATTGTTTCCAACTGTTCTCCCTTGGTCGCGCCTGAAGGTGCTGCCGAGGCTCGTTTCGGCACCAATCCCATGTGTATAGGGTTTCCTACCTCTCAAAAGGATCGGCCGGTGATATGGGATATTGGTACCAGTAACATTATGCACGCGCAGATTATGCGTGCCCAAAGACTCGGGATCAGCTTGCCGGAGGGCGCGGCGTACACCAAAGAGGGGCAGCCGACGACAGATCCAGCCTTGGCCATTGAAGGCGCGATGACGGTTTGGGGCGGCCACAAGGGCAGTGGGTTGGCCGTCATGATTCAATTGCTGGGAATGGCTGCAGGCAGCAGTGCAAGACCAGACGGGCTCAGTGGGTTCGGATATCTGGTCATGATGTTCGACCCGGCCATTCTTCGACCGGTTGATGAGGTGAAGAAGGAAGCGGACGAGTACGCCGAATGGTTGCGGTCCGCCAAACCTGTGGAAGGTGGACGTCCAGTGCGTATGCCCTTTGATGGGAGCTATGAACGTCGCAAAACTGCTGTCGAGTGTGGAACGATTCGAATACCGACGATACTGATCGAGCAGTTGCGCAAGAAAGGTGCTAAATAGGTTGGAACTTTCGCCCGTGAAGTGTGCCGTTGCACATACTTCCGTACACCGCTGAAAGCTTTCGTCTAGACCAATTTGGAGAGTACTTCTCGGATGGGAGTGTTTGCAGCTACACAAACGTGGCAGTATGTATCCCATTGGTCTAACACCCCAATGGGAGACTGATACTTCATCCTGGGGAGATGCACATCTTTTAGATACCACATCTATTGATCAGCATCAGTATTCGTCGATTTAGGGAGTATGAATAATAACGTCTTGCCAATCCAAAATTGAATGGATTTATGTCGGGAAAACAGCCTGACTGGTCTCCACGAATTCGTTGAATTCGTCCAGGCCCAGGAACGAGTTTAAATGAAGATCAGAGCCGTTGTCACTGGTAATCACAAAGCCACGTGGGTCAGTCCAAACAGCCATGCAAGCTCAGCTAAGGGTTTTGGCAGGAACTCACGAGTAGTCAATGTCGTTGATGGGAAAGTCTTGTGGGTCGGCAAATGTGAAATCGAAATTCAAAATATCGTCCACGGAAGGCAACAGCATCTCGCTGGGGCTGAAATCGTTGGAAGTAGTATGCGCTATGGTCGTGGATACAGCCTCAGGATGCAACAATTCTGTGCTGTTCGATAAATCGACCAATGTCGTGGCTTTATGAGCCTCTCGCTCTGCCGCAGTCCTTGCTAACTTCTCTTGGGCTTGCTGGAACAATCGAAAGGCCCCATCGGCACCCCAGTAGGTGTTTTTGAGTTCCGCTTGGAACATCATGCACAGCTGTAGCCTATGATGACCCAGACGAGATATTGAACGAGTCTGCGACTTGCAGTCCAGCAGGTGCATTTGCATTGCCAGTATCAGAGGAGATATACTAGAGCCCGTCAGCTGTACTGTTCTCGCATCAATCATAGTATCGCGAAACAAAGCTTTCCAGTGAGGTGAACTTACATTGCAGGACTTACGAACTCGACGAGATCCAAACTCATAATCTCTTCAAGAATGTTGTTCATATTGTTCGCAGCCGCCCTTATTTTTTGAGTGGCTTCAACCTGAAATGAAGATGATACTTCCTCCACTGGATTCTTGGGATGAGCAAGAACGTAAGGTCGGAGAAGCATGATCATGATGGCTCTAGACATGCCCATTAGTAAAAGTCCTTGCAAGAAATCTTTGTATCTCGGGGCAGGAACTACTCATAATGAATGCGAACTTGACAGACGAAGAATTGTTCATATTGATTCGGTGGTCGTTGACCAAATGTTGCCAGTGCTGTGTTGTACTCTTGCAGTTCCGATTCGTTCTTCCGAATTTGTGCTTCGTCGGTTCGCCAGATTTCCTTTGAATGTAATCGCAAGATCCGACCGAGTAGAATGCTGAGTCTGACATATTTGCTCCACAGCTCGCCTACCACAGTCGATGAGTATACGAGACACTTGCCTTTGATTTCTTGGGGAATGCCATCGAGATCGTCAGCCACGTCTGATGGTTCCGGAAAGGGGACATCGCAGTCTTCCAAGTTGATTCTCATCGGGCGACCTTTGATGAACGCGAGCCATCGATCCCGAACGAGACAACACCACCAAATTCGCCGGACGGTACGCACCCTATCGGCGGGCAGGGGGGCCCGACGCCTGTCGCCAACGGAAGAACGATGGAGACCCATGCACTGAGACATGGATATCGCGATCCCTGTCCAATGCCATGCTTCAAAGCGATCCTGGCTGTCGGGATGCCAATAACCGAGAATCAATACAGCCTGCACCAAGACCAATTGATCACTTTCTTGGTTGTTGTCATACAGCAGCTTCGAGTCGTGTTAATAACAGGATTCTTGAGGCAACCTCTCTTTTGCGTACGAACCTTGACATGCTGGTACATTGCAGCCTTCATCGCCTTTTTGGTCTGAAATCCAGACCTTTTGACAACGTCCAGAGGCAAAAACTATCAGCTACTATCAGTTGATGGTAACGATGGCCACGGCGGAGCACGGGAACGGGCGCTCACACTGGCAGCGACATGGAGAATACTCCATAAGAGAATGAGACGAACACCTTGGCACCCACGCCTCGAATATGAATCCAAGAACGACTTGGCATCGAGGACAGGCAGGAGCGGGTGAGCATTACGAAAGTAGGCGAGCACCGCTTTGTCACAGACGTCTTTTGGTGGAATGGAAAAGGCACCCTTGACCCGTAGGAACTCAAGCTCTTCAGCCGGTGTTTCCTTGACCGTATATCCCGGGACCAAGTACGGTGGTCCGAAGGTGACAGGCTGAGATGAGTCGGTCGTTTTCAGCAATTCGCCCAGGGATCCTGCGGTCTCATGATCGTCCCCTGTCGGAGGTTAGCAGATGCCCCTTGGGTGGGTGTCAACTGGTCAAAGACTAGGTTCAGAAGAGAGAGTTACCTGTATATGACAAAGCTGCGCGGTTGACAGACGCGGGAGAGCCGCCGTGTGAGTGCACAGGACCAGCTCTCGAGCGTGATGGAGTTTGATTGGAAGTCTCAGTGTCGACGTTGTGTCGTGGAACAGCACCTTCAGAAACAGCTAGTTGTGACTGAGGACTCCAGGGGACGGTCAAATGAGAATTGTCCGCGCTGGCAACCCTGGTTCTGTTTCTGTGGCATTAGCCTTATCAAGATTGTGAGATGAGCCTGATGGCTGGCTTACCCTCGCTTTTTGCGGGGAGCGACCTGACATTGAACCCCGTCAAGTGAGCAATTCGCACACGGCTGCCCAATAGTAGCCACATTGCACCGCACCTTTCGCGAGTTGCAATTGCGACAAGCTATTCTCGCTCGTCGACGCCCGCGTGTCTGGGACACAAGGCTAGTATCGGCCACATGTGCCTCGTCCATTTGTTTTTGAGGCGAGGTGTTTCGGCGAAACTGTCTTGTCGGTTCATCGGAGCGCAGCTAATGACGGACGAACCATCTCATAGATGGCGAGGGAGGAAGAGATAGCTACAGCCTTCATACTTGCCGTTCGATTGCCTGGGCCTTAGAAATTGTCAGGAGAGACGCAACCGAGGCTTCGGCATTTCGGTTCTAACGCAGGTGGATTTCACGTGACACAATGTATATACCACGTGACGTGATTTCTCGGTTCGGAATTCTTCCTCCATGTACTCGGTACGCTCGTGTAATCATAAGGCTCTAACATGAGCAAATACAGAACAGTGGACTTTCTGCGGTGCTCATCGTGACTTCTGACTTAGATCGCCGACAGCTAACATACACACTCCTTCGAAAGCCCCTTCTCTATATCAGCGATCCAGTTCCACCTCAATTCTCGGCCCAACCCTCGTTTGTGCCAGTCATTGATAGACTCGGGAAATAAAGGCAAGTTGGCATATCTTACACAGGAATCATGCGCCAGGAGCAGTAACACATTCTCCTGCCCGTCAAATTCTTGCATTTTGCCAATGGAACGAATTGCTTCAGCCAAGTCCTGACCCCATTTCGGGCGCCATACAGGACCCTTGGCGGGCATGCCTCGAGACTTATTCAGGTCTTCGAAACGTGTACCGGGGTAAAAGGGAATGTCACGATTTACCGACGGCAGAGGGTTGGGAAGGATCGAGTCGGGCAGAGGCAGATGTTCTGAAGGTCGAACTTCTCCACAGTGGTGGGCGCTGTCTCCTCCGAGGAATAGGAACGTCGACTCCGCACCTGCTGTCGTACGGACGAGGGCACACAGATGGCCGACGCTGTGTCCTGGCATGTCGAGGAGGTACAACGATCCGTCATTGAAGTAGTCCACGGCTCGCAATGATCCGATTCGCAGTACTTCGGGGCCATCAAAGTCGATTTCTCTGACTTTACGGCCGTTGATGTCTTGCTCGTTAATCCCTCCCACACCTGAGTTGCCCCCATTGGTAACGAAGGTCTTCAGGGCATTTGGTCCGAGGATTAAGGTCGTTGATGGAGGAAACAGTGCCATGTTGCCCTTGTGATCCCAATGAGTATGGCTGCGGTCCAATGATCAGCTTTCGCAGGAATACTATGCATGACCAGCCTCAAGCATACCTCCAAATCACTGCGTTGATGTCCTCCCGCTTGATATTGTGCTCTTCGAGAGCATCGACCACGTCTTTCTGGACTGTGATCTGGTGGCCGACCTTCTTCAATCGGTCCGCGACCTCTGACCCCAGCGTTCGAAGATCTGTCGGGACGCCCAGGTCGAACAGCAATTTCTGCCCGGAGTGATGTTCGAGCAGAAAACTGAGAGATGGCACGGGGCGGACAACCTCTACGCCCTCAATCGGCGGATGGTGGAGGTTGTTGCAATTCGACCCGTGGATTGTCACGAGGTCGAGTACCTTGGTCGTAATGGTGACATCCGAATGCGGGATGTCAAGATCTGGCTGATGGATTCGTTCGATCATTGTGGTAATGGCGACGCTGTCTGTGTGAGAAGGCAAAAAGTGGTTGAAATAGTGGTGGCCGAGTGGCCACAAGACCTTCAGATGACAAGGTTGCACTTTCATATACGATTTGTGTTGATGATCACAGATGAGTCTTTGGGTCAAGTGTTTCTCGAGGTTCCTCGGCAGAGCCCATCCCAAGTCGTCAGCTCCCTGCGACTCTGTTTTGATATTGCTATTGCTTGAACAGAACCTCGGTCAGAGGGCCACCGAAAACTACGTCCATTCAACCGAACAACCGATTTACCGAGTTCATTCTTACCTCCGTAAACCATACCCCGGAAATGTTGAACAATTGCTAACCCCATGTCTCGGCCAGAACGCGGTGGGGTTCGTCACTGACAAGAAGGATAAATAGACCAAAGTCAGGGGAGAGGTGTCGTCGTTCCAGCGCAAGAAATTCAACTGGTCTAGCATTTCACTATGGTACCAAATAGCACCAAGATAGTCATGGCGGAGCACGCCGGTCGCGTCGACCACGTCGAAGAACATACCATCCAGTCCTCATCACCCGAGAAACAGCCAGAGATCATCGTACCTCGTGCAGAGGGTCAGCCTGAGAATGAAAAAATCACTGGGCGGCTAATCCTAGCGTTCGTTGTGAGTACAAACATCTGCAACGAAGCTGGGCCCCAAACTTACCTATGGACAGGCCTTGCTCTCTCAGGTGATATGTTATGAGAATACACTCCTCATCCCGGGCTCCCTTTTGTCGTATATCAATGCGGATCTCGGACCAGATCCTGCGTACACGTGGATATCGGTATCCTGGTCTCTTTGCGCTGCTGTTATGGTCAGTGTGGCTGGCCGCCTAGGCGATATCTTCGGCCGACGATATTTCATGCTGTGCGGTAGCGCCATTGCATTCATAGGAACAATAAGTGAGTGGACAGGCCCGATCAATGCTAAATAGTGCCATTCTCTAACAAATGTCTTCGTCTACTTCTAAGTTGGTGCTACCGGAAAGAGCATTCCTCAAATGATAGTGAGCGGCGTCTTCTTTGGCTTCGCAGCAGGTATCCAGGAGACCTACTACGCTTGCCTGATGGAACTGGTACCCTACAATAAACGAACTCTCTTCATTGGTAAGCCCGTTCTCGCTACGGACCTCCCATACGATGAATAATTGATATCTTATCTGCTAGGTATTGGATGTGTTTGCGCATTACCTTGCTTAATCTCTCCCCTCATCGCCTATGGCATGATGGAACATTTGAGCCTCGGTTGGAGAGCTCCCTACTGGTACATGACGGCGTGGGCAGGAGTAGCTTTTCTCCTTTTGTTCTTCTTCTACCATCCACCCAATTTCGACACCAAGTACCACGGCGCTGGACGCCGCCTCGAGCTGGCCAGAGAGATTGATTTTGTGGGATTGCTACTCTTCACCGCAGCTGCTGTCCTCTTTCTCGTGGGTCTCAATTTCGGTGGTGGGATTTACCCCTGGGCATCGGCCAATACCCTCGTGCCGCTCATCCTCGGCCTCGTCCTCTGGGTCGTGTTTGGAATATGGGAATGTTTCACAAAGTCGAAGCTGCCCCTGATGCCGCCGCGGCTATTTGTTCACGTTCGCTCGTAGGCATTTGATGGATCCGGCTAAGAAGCATTGCTGACACATGTATCAGTTTCGACGTCGTCCTGGCGGTGTCCTTCGTGAGCGGAATGTTCTACTACAGCGTGCCTGTAATCTGGCCGCGAATAACGGCACTCCTGTTTGTCCCGGCCGGCAAAATCATCGTGCGTGGGGCCTACGCAACCATTCCGAACTTGGGCACCTGGGGTGAGTCGGCCATCCCACCCTGCACACCTGCTCTTGCATCCACACTGATGTTGACAATCTCTAGTTGCCGGAATCTCGCTGGTTCTGGTTTTCTCCAGAGTCAAGCATGAAAGATGGGTAATTGTCTTCTGTCTGATCATCCAGATATCTCTTATCGGGTCTCTGGCTTCTTTGGGAGTCAACGGCAACACCCAAGCCGTCGCCACTGTGTCGGTTCTGTCATGTTTCGTCAACCAACCATTGTTCCTAGCGTTTGTCATCATTTCCCTCCAAATCGAGAATCAAGTCGACATGTACGTATTGAAGCCTCTTCGTCTTGTGTCTTTCATCTCTGATAGAAGCTGTTAACAGTGGCATTGCTTCGGGGATTCTTTCTACAATTCGTCTGATTGGTGGTGCTGTGGGAACGGCGGTCTACAGCACCATCCTCGCGGACACCTATGCCTCACGTCTCGCGCATAACATCGAACAAGTCGTGGCCACGACCGGGTTTCCGAAGTCGGAGACATCTCAGCTTATCAAGGCAGCTGCCGCAAACACCGCCAAAGCCTATCAGGCGGTACCCCATATCACGGGGGAAATCATCGAGTTGTGCCAGGTGGCGGTGAAGAGCGGTTACATTCATGCCGCTCACATCGTCTGGCTGAGTGCCATGGCATTCGGTGGACTGTCGCTGATCTGTGCCTTGTTCATTCGGAGCCCATCCGAGGCTCAGAGAACTGGGGCAAGAGCCGTCCATCTCGAGAACGAGTTGTCACCGGCTACTATGGACGAAGAAAAATGATCAGCAAGATGATACAAAACTTTCGAAATTTCTTGCCATAGAGACATACTACGTGCCTAGTGACTAACTCCCAACTATGCCCACTGTTGAGGATTCGGTTCAGACCAGACGCGTCCAGTTGTGGGGCAATGAGGAGGACAATTGGTAATTTCTCGATTATCATTAGCAATTCATACGGAAGTCTGGCATTGTGTATATATCTGATTGAAACAGACTAGAAAGATTGAGAACCGCCAAAAAACTTCGGTACAACCAAGCGAGGGTTACACCGAAGAGTTTTCTAGTACTAGAGAAGCGATAGAGTCTTATGTCTCGCCCCACCCTGAGTGTTTCTAGCTCGATCACTCCAGGAGCTTCAAGGTAGCTAGAGGTTACAATAAGCCTTGACAAGCTTTGGGAAGCTTTCACCAGCTCTTGCACGTGGAACTTGAATCAATAGTATTGGCTGTTTGTATTTCTCTGTTTCTACGAGTAGAGGTGACGCGTACCTGTAGGTGTCTAGCGACGAACTTGGCCGTGATATCCGGTATTATCTAGCCACGTGCCTAATTGATTATTCTGGCGAACCTCACCTAAAGTTATATCTCACGTGCCTTAGATTTCAAGTCAATTTGAGCCGATTACCTATTCCTACATAGCTAGTTAAGAGCTCTTGAACCGCTGGTTCTCGTGAATTATCATGAGACTGAGCGTAAATAGAGGCTCAGAGCGGAGGAAGGGCCAACTGGGAGCGAATGGAGATAACTCCACGGGACCGAGGACAGCAGAAGACCGCACAGTTGATCTTCACGTTCGGTGTCGAAGAGCGGCTTATATTCTCGTCTTTCTAACTGGCTAGCGATGTGGAGTTTCAAGCTAGCTGGATACACTCGTTTTCTCTACACGGCCCCAGGTAGGCTCGAAGCTATTCGAGACAGAACGGAACATCGGCTGGGAGATTCTCCAGTATATGGAAAACGAACAAAGGATTTTAAAATGCTTTCAATCAAAAGACTGAATGTTCACACGTGCTAGGTGGCTCCTTTGGACTGACGTTTTCGTTTGGGCCAGGCTGAAGTGGTAGGAAAGAGGTATTTAAAGAGGACATTACTTGTCCCTCAGATCAGTTCAATTCACTTCACTCAGCATTCCCGTGGATTCCATAAAGGACCAACCTCATTTGCTCGCAGCTGGTTTCGGTATCTAGAACACAAAATGAAGCTTCTCACACCAGCTTTGCTTGCCTTTTTGTCGCTGGCCACTGCCATGCCTCTCGTTGATCTCGCGCGGAGTGTGACCAGCCCTCCCAAGGGGAAATGGTTCGATCGTGAGTTCCATGCCTGGGTTTTACCTATGGGAATCTGACCCGACATGGCGGAAAAGGCTTTGTGGTCGTGGTCTTTGAGAACAACAACAAGGATGTCACCTTTGGCGAGCCCTACTTCTTGAACCTAACTACCATGGGAATGTCACTTGGCAGTTATTATGGTAAGAACTCTCCAATACATCGGTCCCGCATACTATTTGTGCTGACTGAGCGGCGGGATTGAAGGCACAACACATCCATCCCAGGTAAGGTGACCCAGACGTCGATGCGGTGGACAGACTAAGACCATCTGATAGCCAAACTACATTACCATGATATCAAACACCATTGCCGGTGGTGTTTATACTGACGCCGACCACAACACAACCCAGATGAGTGTGATTGATTTGTTTGAACCAGCGGGTAATGTCACTCGAACCTAGCTATGCAAACGGACCCCGGCTTACCGTGGACAAAAGGCATCACCTGGAGAGCTTACATGGAGGGCTACAAGCCTCTGGCAAACGGAGAATGCAACCCTTACTCGATCGATAAGGAGACAAATTACGTCCGGTATGCACTTCTCCTCGTCGCAATTCAAGCTGGGCGTGATCGGTCCTGACCGTCCATATCTCCACAGAAAGCACAACCCGTTCATGTCTTTTGATAACATTCGGAACAACACCTCTCGCTGCAAGAATATCGTCAATGCTGAGGAACATTTTGCTCGCGACGTTTCCCTCGGGGCGGACGCCCCTCAGTATATGTACTACACACCCAACCTCCTGAACGATGCCCACAACACGAATGTTAGCTATGCTGCGCGTGACCTACGCTACATCATGGACACGATGCTGAGCAATCCGGCCTTCATGAAGAATACATTGATTACCATCACCTTTGATGAAAATGGTACGTACCTTCCGCATACTCAATCCACTGCGCTCCATGTGCTGACTAGCTTGTTTTATGTAGATATCTTCAGTCCTGAGAACTTCGGCACTCCAAACCATATTTATACTGTCCTCCTGGGGAATGATACTCTGAAATGCTATAACTGCATCGATCAACAGTACTATAATCGTGAGTATAGGTACTCGATTCGGTTCCTCTTATCCTGACCTTGATCCTCTAGACTTCTCTCAAGTAGTGACCCTCGAGAAGAACTGGAACTTGACCACTATCCCACAGCCAGACGGAAGTGAAGAAGGTTGGGATAAATGGTTTCTTCCCTTTGGCATGTTACGAACAAACAATAATCCGCCGGCTTGTCCATACACCCCGTGTCAAGTTTAACGAAAAAAATACCTCTTTATCTATTGAATGGCTCAAATATCACCACTTTAGAGATTGAGAAAGGAATCCAAAAGGCTACTCTGGAAAAGGCTCTAGGGGCTATCGTTATTATCATGACTTCTTTCAACGCAGATGACCTAAAAAGGACGACGTAGAAATCAAACCTATCACGATTCAAATGGTCTCACTCATTACTCGACAGTTTTTTCTACGATGGCTCGGAAAGACGTATCATTTTTGAAACGAGTCACTAATATCATTGGTGCGATATCTCCTTTCGAAGTCGAGCAATACTTTGAGCCCGAGAAATGGGCTATAATATAGACATATGGTATGTCCGAGGCTGCGTGTTACATTACGACGAACCGATCCACTGAACACGTTTAGCCCCGAATAAGTTAGACTCCTTACTTCTATAACTAGAGACAAGGCTTACAGTATAAACGAAGATCCATACAGGCGTACCAGTAGAGCGGCCTCGAGAAACTCTGGCTTCGAGAGCTCACAGAAGAAAAGGAATGAACGTATACCCGAGTTGATTCACCGGTGACGGTAGTTTTATTGCATAGACAGTGCTTGAGTGAACAATTATCTCAGGGAGCCAGGCGAATGACCAGACCTGACGCCCAATGTAGTAGTTGAGCGCGATTCGCCTTTCCCCCCACCCCTCCCCTGGCCCCCGGGACTATACTTTGCGTTCGGACATTGCGTTACTTTGACACTTCCAACTGCTATTCTAATGTCAGGTACGTTTAGATACTCGAAATTGATATTATGTCAAAGAGCGGACTTCGGAAATCTGCTCTAACCAGAGTTCCTTCCGAGAAGGAATCCCATGCCGTTGACTTGATCCTTGCGGAAGGTTTTGGCCGTCCCTAAAAATGGGAAAGAAGCCCACCAATAATGTGGTAGACCGGCGTATATGTTCATCTTTGTTCGGATACCACAGTTCTCTCGCAGGATTCCTTCGTAGATGATTGCCTCGTCTCTTAACGGGTCTAATCCGGCGACTTGGAAAAAGGCGGGGGGTAATTCCATATGACCCTTTGGGTGATTGAAGGTGTCGTACAAGATGCCGTCGTCGTCATTGGGCCGATACTCTCGTAGTACCAGATTCAGAAGAGCCGTCGGCAGTACCGGAGCGTCTTTATTCTGCTCGAAGGAGCGGTAGAACTCCTTGTACTGTTCTGGTACCCTGCGACTAGGTAGGAGCAATGGAACAGCTAGATACTGTCCCGTCAACGGTGGCGACAGGTTTTCGTCTCGTGCAAGATGTGCCATGACGGCTGCGAGATTTCCACCGGCTGACGTGCCCCCAACGACAAAACCGGCTGTAGGGTCAGCGCCTCACGTTTCAGCTCTCGTAGCCGCCCATTTGAGACAATCCCAACAATCGTTAGCAGCATAGGGGAATCTGAACTCTGGTGCTTTACGATATGTAGCCGATACGCATACAGCACCAAAGGCCTGGACGAAGATTCGACACGACTCTTCCTCGTCTTCGACGTCACCGAAACAAAAGCCACCACCGTGATACATCACGATCAGGGGAGATCTCTCCTTGCGTAAATCGACCGGCTGATATAGCTTTGCACGTATATAAGAGCCATCTCTCGTCGGGTATTGCAGTTCAGTCTGCTTGATCTCGGGAGGAGGTTGACCGAGAGCCTGCTGCATAGCGGTGTGGCGCTCATTCACTCTTGGTTTGACGGCTTCTAGACTGCCATGATCGACTTGTGGCAGCTCTACCCTTTGAAGAAACTGTCACATTATAAGCTAAGTAAAATGCAAGGAAGGTTCTCGGTTGGGGTACTTCTTTAAACTCAGGGTCCATCTCTCCTAGTGCAAGAATTGATTTCCCATCAAGATAGGGAGACATCTTAGCACATAGCCTCGTACGCGTAAACAGGCCTATAGGTTCAGCTAGAAATAATTAATCGGCCTTCTTCGTCAGATATCCCGTATAAATGTGTCCACATGGGAAGCCAGTAGGAGTATTACCTGGGTAGCATATCTCTCCGAAGAGGAGGTCCCTGGGAATAAAATCTATTGAACATCTTTTTATATCTTGATTGTGAACTCATGATCTCAGTGAAAGGCCGCGGATCTGGGGAAGAGACCACGGAATAATACAAACAGATTCTATTCCGAGGACCGATTTATAGAATCCGGACGCGCGTGCAAGCCAGTCACCGGCTTCGATCAAGGAACAATCCAGCCGGCCAATTGTGTACACCTCTCGGTTCATCGTGTCAAGCATGTGAGACGGAATGGTGGTCAGCCTCTGATGTCGCTCTTAATAGCTTGATCGAGAATAAGGCGCGAGCAATTCCGACCATTGTCTTGTGCCGAGTTGACAGACAAGGCTGGCAAGGCTAGGGTTCTCGGTCCACTTTCCTTTTTCTCTCGCTCCCAACTCCCAGCCAATGTCCAGCCGAGCATTAGAGAGGCATCTTCTCCATACTAGAGAGCTTGACCTTGGCATCTGCGGATTCAAAAGTTCTACTACCTTGTATCCCCCGTAGCAGTATTCAGGGCAAGCTTGCCAGCGACCGTCCCAATTTTTGTTTCTATTTCGCGTCGTCACAAACACCAACCACTTCCGAGACCCTTTACAGCCCAGACACGACGAGGGTTCACATATCCGTTTACTCCTTCCCTACTTCGCAACCGCAGCAGCTCGCTGGCCTTTCCGTATTGCCGACAAACACATCTTCGACGGCGGCTCAGGAGAGCGGTGCTTTAAGAGATATAAACGCGCGACGACAGAGGGTTTTCAGAAAAGAAAACAAAAGATGGTTCACAAAATCTTGTTTTGGGCCGGGTTCGGTATGCAACCTTGCAATTCTACAATCTTTCTTGCCTACACAGACAAAACACGGTTTTTGTGTATTCGGTTGGTTTACTGACGTTTTCTTGGTGCTCAGGCATCGCTACACGTTTCGTCCAATTGGGCATTGAGATGAGACCCTTTTTCCAACGCGGCGGCCTATGGGTGTACCCTCTTTTCGCCGGCATCGGTGGTTCGTTTGGATATTGGTTGAAGGGAGTTGAAGACAGACAAGTCAAGCTTTTACAACAACGGAAAGAAATGATAATAGAGAAGCGCAGACGGAGGGCGGAGAGAGAAGCTGCAGAAGGATCACAATCGGAAACTGCTGGTGTGCTTGCTTCGACGAGTTGAACGGGTTTGACTTTTCGTGTGGCTTGAACTTCCCCAGCGGGTGCTCTTCTCTAGAAGAGCGTGTTTAACCGACATTGGGAGTATCAGAAGGAAGAGAAAGACACAAGAGGCATACACAAATCTTGCAGGACACAGCAGGACACAGCAGGACACAGCAGGACACAGCAGGAACACACATGGCACGTCTAGGCTTATTGGCCCGTCTGCGTACCCTACGAACCTACCAACCACCCAACCAACCTACTTACTTATTGTACAAAGTCATCAATCACAAAAACGAAACGTACGAAATGCAATACAAAGACCCATGTGGCATTTCTTGAGCTTTTGTGTTCGGCTTTCTTCTTTGTTTGCAAGAAGTTTATTTGTACCAAGTAATAATGCTTTGCCATTTACGGAGGTTGACACCACGGATATCAGACAGGTACAAGTATCTTGTTCCTAAGGTATCTGTGATCAACTCACTCCTCGTTGATACGTTGTTGTTACGGAACATGCATCCATTACGACAAAAGCTTTGATTGGCCGGCCTATCTTCATGAATGAATTCCATATGCATATTCCTCATTCCTCATTCTTCTTCTCCTTTTTTTTCATTTATGGCTTGCTTCTCATCACCTCGGCGGTTCCTCCGGCCAACTCTCCACCCCTTCCGGTATGGGCATCAGAGCCCTCTTGGTCCAAATGTGGGTGGCACCCGCCAGACAATCTGGGTTGATCCCGACCAGACATCCACCCTTGACCGCGACAAATGGTCCTCCTCCGTCGTGCATGAGTCTCGTTCCGCATTGTCTGCAGAAGTAACACCTTTTTGCCCTTCCCGAGTCGGCCCTGGTGTGCGTAAACACCCCAATAAACTCTTCACCTCCTTTACTGGCTGTTCGTTGAATGTCGAAAGTCGGGAAGATCGCCGTGATCCCAAACGCCGAAGAACTTTGACGTCGACATTCAAGACAGTGACAGACGAACCATTTCAGAGCGGTCGGACTGGGGGTTGTGAATTTGACCGCGTCACATTGGCAACGTCCTTCCATTTTTTTGGTTTCTCAAGAGGTCGAATCAAGTCCGAGTGCAAGTATTGGTCGCGTGATGTATTCTTCCTCTCGGTATCAACTCTCGAGGGGTATAACACAAGTTACAGTACGATAGAAAGAGGTTTGGGTAAGCTTCCGACGGTGGACGAGTGCTGTTACTAGAATATAACTCCAAACTACTCCAAACACAACCCCCCGTCTTACGAACTTGGATACCTGGTCTCCTAACCACAGAATAGCCCCACGATTTTTCCCAACATTGCCGAGCCCGACAGAAGCGTTCCCAAGGAGCCATGAACTAGGTACGGAGGAGGAACCTAAGAGCCAAGGGAACAACCATCATTTCCACCCGTCCTCGTCACGGAGTAACCCCGAACATTCCGGGTAGGTATATGTACCCAGACCATCTCGGCATCTCCACCTCCAACAAAGGTCGAAGATTGAACCGAAGAAACGTGTTGGAGGTCCTCCGTACAGGGCACTGTACTGCACATATACAGGGAAAGGAATTCGTTACTCCATACTACGTACTGACACCACTGGATATACCTCGTATATTGAGATCCGGATGAGCAATACACGAGATGGATAATTGATCTAGTATAATTAAAAAAGTTGAGAGTTCTTTTCATACCAAGGTATATATACACACAAAGGTAAGTGGGTACGAGGATATAAAGCTTCTGTGCGCCAGTCCAAATCCCTCATTGGTAAAGATTAAAAACACAATGTACGTCCGTCTTCGTGATTTCCAGATCTGGTGGCTCTTTCGTGCAAATGGGTGAGAACAGGCAGGTAAGAGAGAACCACTTGTCCGTTGTCGTACATTATCGTATACAAGGCCCCATCTTCGCAACTCACAGCCCACAACTCACATACTTAGTCAAACATGCGCTTTTTGGTACAGGATGCTCCATTTACTCTTGTGAGTACAACGTGCATCGAGCGATTGGTCGGAAAACAACATCTCAGTCCCAGAAGGCCGTCCTCGTCTATTTGATGACTCTCGTGACCAGTCCAGTGGCAACAGTTCGGCCACCTTCTCTCAAGTTGAATCGTTCACCAATTTCCATCACACAAGGATGGTTGGTCTTGAGGACCACTTCGACGTTGTCACCAGGCATAATCATTCTGCTGGTATCTTCGGTTCCTTCGGGCCATGCCAACTCGGCGGCTTCATCAGCGGTACGGACGTAGAGCTGAGGTCGGTATGCCGAGGAAAAGCCAGTCTTTCTTCCACCTTCCTCTTCGGTCAAGACGTACATGGAGACGAGAACCTCCTGGACGGCCTTGACGGTGCCTGGGACAGCCACAACCATACCACGTCGGATGTCTTCACGCTTCACACCTCGGAGAAGGAGACCCGAGTTGTCACCAGCTCTTGACTCTTCGCAGGATTTCTTGAAAGTTTCAATGTCAGTGACCTTGGTCTTGATGACCTGGTCGCCACCTCCGATGATCTCGACTTCGGAATCTCTCTTCAAGACACCACGCATGACACGGCCGGAAGCAACGGTACCACGACCAGAGATGGAGAAAACTTCCTCGACCGACATCATGAAGGGCTTCTCGGTGTCTCGGACAGGGGTAGGGATCCAGGTGTCGACCGCGTTCAGGAGCTCGTCGATCTTTTGAACACCAAGCTCGGGCTTTGTACCTTCCAGAGCGCAGAGAGCGGAACCGAAGATGATGGGAGTCTCTTCTCCTTCGAAGTCATACTTGGACAAAAGTTCTCGCATTTCCATCTCGACAAGTTCCAACATTTCCGGGTCTTCGACAGTGTCGCACTTGTTGACGAATACGACAATCTTCTGGACACCGACTTGACGAGCGAGGAGCAAGTGTTCTCGGGTTTGAGGCCTAACAAAATGTGTCAATCATCATTCCTCCGGCAAACTCTGGATACTGAATCTTGCTCACATTTGCCCATCACCCGCAGCAACGACCATGACAGCACCATCCATCAAAGCAGCACCAGTAATCATGTTCTTGATATAATCGGCGTGACCGGGACAGTCAACGTGGGAGTAGTGGCGAGCGTCGGTTTGGTACTCGATATGGGCAGTTGCAATTGTGATACCACGCTTTCGCTCTTCGGGAGCTTTGTCGATGGCGCCATATTCTAAGAAGTTGGCAAATCCCTTTTCTGCTTGTCGCTTGGTGATGGCTGCGGTCAAAGTGGTCTAGTGAGGGCGTGAGCGGAAACAACCTTGACGAACTGAATGGAAGATTTACCTTGCCATGATCGACGTGGCCAATTGTGCCTGGACATGTGTTAGATCAATACCAGCGCCAGGCCATCGCGACATCTCAGACTTACCGATATTGACGTGCGGCTTGTTTCTCTCGAACACGGCAGCGTACGTTCTCGCTCCGAATCTGTCGTGACCCCAGACTCTGTTCACCGGGTTAACACCTCGGGCAGGGGTGACCACATGCCGCGAGGTGCGGAGTAAAGATGTGACTGAGCGAGAGAAAGCCATGATGACGCCCTAAGAAGACAATGAATGAAGAAGAACGACGAAGCCGAAAAGGACGGGGGATGGTAGTACGACCTGGAAAATTGATTTGGATCTTTCACCAGCAGCGGCGCAGGAGCTTGAAAGATTTTTCCAATGCGGTTTAGCTTGGAATTGGATCGAGGTGGAGCGATTTCGTCCGCAGCCTTGGCATCCGACTGTGCTGTATACAACTGTAGCTTCACCTCTTCACTTTGTACAGCCTTGCCATTCACTGGTATACCGCAATGAACGAATGACAACTGCCCTTGCACCTCACCTACGGAGACACGATCACAGGTAGGGTTTATGTTTTTCATTCCCAGAATTCTGTTCAACATTCCGAGTAGCACCGCAGTGTAATGTGGATGCTCAATGAAGGTGTTACCAACAATAACAAATCCCCCCTTCCCCCCAAACCAATTGTATGAGTACAAGAAAGAAACAAAAAATAAACCAACCCAAATCCAATGATTGAGGGCAGAGTTTTCACTTCCTATTTGACAACACCAGTGTTCGAATCAAAGTGGAAGAAGTTTTTTGCACTTTTTTTTTGGTTCGCATCCAGTCCCTTTGGGATCCGAACTGGAACGGGTGGTGTCCTGGATCTCAAGCGTCCGAAAGTTCTTGTACGAGTGAATGACAAAGACGCAAGGTTGAGTCAGCAGCAGGATGACCACCAGACAGAAAAGTACGGCCATTTTCTTTCCCATGTCGTCTACACCTTCAGACTACAATGATCATGCACTTTCTACCATGACAGTACGTCAACTATTTCCAGCCTTTTTCATCATTGTATGTACATTTCAGGGTGGTGATGTGATGGTTCAATTCTGAATGGAAAGTAGAGGGTAACGGTGTTTTTCAACCCCAGTCTTCTACGTGACTAGAGATCAATGTATCCTGAGTGCACTTGATCAATCCAAACAAGTTAACCCCACAGTTCGAAAGACACGGGTTCCTGTCCGCCAAAGCTGTTGGAAAGAATCATCACTAAATTTGGGCAACACTGGGGAGCCATTGCAAAAAGTGACACGGACGAAGGAAGCATTACACATTGTGTTCTCGAGTCGTTTGAGACTTTCTTAAAATTTTCAATATATCATTCATTATTCGTCGTATTCTTCATTCACAGGCACGTGTGTATAGTATATAGTATAGTATAGCATAGTATAAGGCAGGTTTATGACGCAACGCAGACGTGTTCCATCATCTCGAGTCGGCGTCGATGTATAATGGGAACAGAAGCCAACCGATGTATTTCCCAACCGTGGCAGTGTGTGCGTGTGTGTACCATCTAGGTGTCCAGCGTTTCCTCCCGACTTTTGTTTGTTTTTCCAGGTGCGCGTGTGTTGTTTGCTTTTCTTTTCTTTTTTCCCGTGACTGTAGTCTCTTCGGATCAAGGAGGCGCAGAAAATCTGTATGGTGCCTCTGAAGCCAGAAACTCCTGTTGCATCTCTTTCTGCCTTGCGTCAAACTCTTTGCGTTGAATCGAGCTTCGGTTCGCCGACATTTCGAGGGCGGGTTCCTCGCTGGACTTGCTGTAGCCCATGCGAGAGGCCGACCGGGAGAAGAGACCACTCTGGGTGGCGGCCTTGGTCAGTCGTCGACCGCCTTGGTACACGAGCGGCAAGTTGCAAACGACGACGGCAACAAAGGTCTCCCGGACTGCCCAGCTGCCTGCAGCTTGAGCTCCGCCGATGGGATCCTAGCCCAATAATATCAGCGCTGGCCTTATTTTTCAAGTGCGAGTGACTGCGTCCGGAAACTTACAGCAATAATCAGTGCGGCTCGTAGGATGCCAGCAGCCATGACGAACACGGCTCCGGAGAAGATGAAGATCAAGGAGAATTTCTTCACCATGGGCACGTCGGCTTTCCACAGCAACTGGGCATCCATGTCAGCGGCGAGCAAATGTGAAGCCCAGAGGGATTTTTTCAACTTACAGGGATTGGTATTGACAGTAGGTATACGTCGGAAAGGACGTTTAGAACGACGGTAACATACAAATCAATCTTTGAGATCGCGGGCTGACAGTGGTCTAGCGATAAAAATGAGCAATGTAGACTTTTGGTCAATCACGGGAAGCACTCACTACCAGGATTGGGGAAGATTTGCCAGTTCTTGTGGAAAGGGTGGCATCCAAGTAAGATGGACAACTCGGTGATAATGTACGTGACGATGACAATGCCATAGCCAATACGTATCCTGATCTTCATGTAGTCGAGAGCTTCTCTGTATATACAGTTAGCATTGCAATTTCGAGTATAGCGAGGACCGTAAAGATAGACTCACGTTAGTCGATGATAGAAAATGATCATGCAGAGCTTCAGAGTCCATAAGAGCAAGGTGTAAAGACTCCATCCGATGAGCTGCGTCTTTGACCCATTGACCCGATAACGGTATTCTTGAGAGTTGGGATCCAATGTGCGCCGTTGCTCGTCGGTCATCCCATTGTTGGCTAAGCCTAGCCACCAGGCGCCGACGATATATGCAGCACCCGTCTCGAGACCATAGATTACCTTAAAATGTCAGCGCAATAGTACTGAAACGTATTCAAGTGACTGAACATACAGTGGCAAAGAGCATAAGATAGTCACTGCCAGCGATATTAGCAAGGTCAAAGCTTTCTATAATGTCGCCATCACTCACTCGAGCCATAATCCCTTGATGCCAGCGACGGACAACCTGGAGGCTGTTCGTATGGCGACGATCAGAACGCCCACAGCGAGCAGGGTGAAAGCCTCGGTATTGAATTCGCTTGCCATGATGGAGAGGACACACTCCAGACTCTCGAGAATCAGGCTGGGAGGATGAACAAAAGAACCACGAACGGCGGCGGTCGCATTGATATCAAGCTCGATCCAAAATTTCCGTGATCATAATCCCCACAAGCATGCAAGGACAGAGATCGATTGGGACCTGCCACTTTGTGAACAGCCACGGCAAAAGCTTCGGAGCACTCGTATCGTGCTAGGATCAGAGAACCCTTGTTAAACCGGACGTACCGATGAGAAGGGTATATGATCGACCCAAGAGAAGGGCACACCAACTCCTACGTCTTTTCAGCCGCTGCCCAGGTCAGTTTTGGAGCGACCATCTGGTAGGCTCCTAAAGTCTCCGCCAGCCCACCAAGCAGGGCTTCCATGATTAACTCCAATGAGTAAATGACAGAAACTCTTATCCCTACATACAGTGGGGTTGACGTCGAGGAACTGACATGGAACATGTGGCTAGTGCTTGACAGATAAGAGCTAGGCAAACGCTTCACGCCAAAGACCAAGCAAAGTCTCATGTTGGACGTCAGCTTCCAATAAAGACGTTTGACACTTCGGCGATAGTATGTACAGTAAGCGAGCCTGCCATAGTTGCGCCATTCCAGTGTGGCATGGTCAGCCCCCAGTGATTCAAATTCGGATCGTTGAGCTTTGGCTTGGTGATCTGCCGCGCCGGATCTTGCTTCGAAACATTACTAAAAAGCCGTTGGAAAAAGGGGTTTGAAAAGGCGCTCCGGGTCGGAGCGGGAGACAAAATCCTGATCCATTTAATACGAGCATAACTTTTGTAGGAGGCAAATAATGCTCAGATGGAGCGTGGATGGAGAAAGAAAAGTCTTGCCAGGTTTGACCAAGGAAGCTGGGTTGGTGACGGGAACAGCTGCATACTGTACAGCAACTGTGCAGTACTCTTTGACAGTCAACAGTGGATACTCGGTCCTGGTGAGTAAAAGTCTGGTTGTTGGTACTCTGTGGAAGACTCCCCTACTTGGATTGACAGGTGGTTCCCGTATCCGCGGTGGCTGCGACCTCGTCTGTGGTTGGAGGGAGTTCTCAACCTGACATCAGTAGCGATTCCACATGCAAGCACTTTGGTGTCATGGTGGTGGGCAGTTCTTGATTGGAGTGGCACTGGTGGCACGGCGCACCTCCATCTTCCATTCAAATGCTAAGGGCTAGTGAGGCTTCGTTAATCGAACGAATGATCAGAGCAGGAGCCGTACCTGACATCCCAGACATCGAGACCGGCCTATCAAGTGGCAAATGGAGAGAATTCAAGAAAGATCGGATATGCATCGGATACTTCACACCAACCCGCTACCATGCAGGCTCACTGGCGAATCTGCTCACCCCAGTCGCTCGAGGCATCTGTCTTGAGCTTGGCAGCTTCTTTTCGAATCGTGTGTATGTAGTCCTCAGTACAGAATAGAAGTGGATAGCCCGTGAAAGAGTTCGGTGCTGCAGGAAGATGGGCCCTCCAGCTTGTGAGCCCCAGTGGATCGGCAGTGCTGATAAGTACTTTACAATACCTACTCCGTACAGTAGTAGACATTTTTACGTTTAGCGGCCCCGGGCGCCACCAGGTATTTAGTGAGGTCCAGAGCCCGGAGACAGGCCTAGTGAGCCTCCTTCAGGCCAGAGGAACGCCTCTGACGGATAGAGAACTCGGTTTTCTCACATGGCACAAACAATAGCCTGGGAAAGTGGGAACGGGGTGTCCGTTCTGTGAAACCTCGGCCACCCTCTCTCGCCCGCAACTTCCTCTCATTTATTAGCTTGGTCCCAAGAGAAGCTGCCTACTGTACGGAGTACTACTGTAAACCTTGGGCTCTAGCTGGTTCCAACTTGTTTTACTTGAAAGTTACTCTGATTGCAGGCATCATCCTGGCTCATCTCAGCTAATCCTGGCTGACTGGGTCGTAAGCTTCGTGGGCCAAGGGCAACGGGCGAACGCCATATACCGCATTTACCCGATAGAGCGATTCCCTTGCATATCTTGCAGTTGATGATCTATCTCTAAGAAAAGTGTGACGACTCGAGTCTTTTTCCAGCTGCCTCTGGCTTGAAATCTTTCAGGGTGAGCAGATTGGCAGCAGTCTTTGCAAACTTCGGAGTTGTAAACACCCCAGGTACTCCGGATTGATCGTTCCCTTTGAGACAGGCTGGCCATCATGAGCGAGGCATTCGACCTTATCGTTGTGGGAACTGGTACGTGCACCTTTGACTGAACGACCCTTGCCTTACAAGGTCCCAATACTGACATGGTAATGTAATCTTGTCAAGGCTGGTATGGTCTAGCTGCCGCCAAAACTTACACTGAGCTGCACCCTCGTGACAATGTGGCTGTACTCGAGACCAATTCTTCGCTGGGGGGCGTTTGGGCAGAAGACCGCCTGTATCCTGGTCTCAAATCGAATAACATGTTGGGCACTTACGAGTATCCCGATTTCCGCATGGACGAGGCTACCTATGGTGTGAAATCTGGCCAGCATATTCCAGGAACTGTTCTGCACCAATACCTCACAGACTATGCCAAGAAGTTTGGTGTGTATGAGCGTATCCAGTTCAATACGAGGGTCACGTCTGCAGAACCTTCGGAAGATGGTGACTGGCTCCTAAGAACTTCATCGGCTGAGAATAAAGTCTTCCAGACCAAAAAGCTGATAATCGCCACCGGATTGACTTCCGAGCCTTACGTACCAAAATTGCCCGGCGCTCAGGATTTCAAGGGTCAGATCTTCCACGTCAGAGATTTTGCAGGCAAGGCCGATACCTTGAAGGAAGCGAAAAATGTCGTGGTCGTCGGAGGCGCAAAGTCCGCTTGGGACGTAGCGTATGCCTATGCAAAGGCTGGGGCTCAAGTAGACATGGTAATCCGGAAATCAGGACATGGTCCAGTATGGATGGCTCCACCCTACGTTACGCCTCTCAAGAAGTGGCTGGAAAAACTCGTGCATACTCGCTTCTTGACCTGGCTGAGCCCCTGCGTCTGGGGGGATGAAGATGGCTATTCCAGCATTCGACACTTTCTGCATGGGACCCTTATTGGCCGAGGTATTGTCAGTACTTTTTGGAAGATTCTTGGTGGCGATGTCATTTCTCTCAACAAGTATGACTCGCATCCGGAGTTGAAGAAGCTGAAGCCGTGGGATCCGGCCTTCTACATTGGGAGCTCCTTGAGCATCCACAACTACCCGACAAGTTTCTTTGACCTCGTTAGGGAGGGCAGAATTAGGGTCAACATTGATGAGATTACTGGTGTTGGACCAGAATCTATCAACCTGGCCTCGGGGCAAAAGCTCAAGGCTGACGTGGCAGTGTTGGCGACAGGATGGAGAAAAGAACCATCTGTCGAATTCATCAAGGGCAGCGAGGCTGAAGTAGGGCAACATCATTCGCCCGCAGACCTAGAGGCCTTGACCAAGCAAGCTGACCACGAAATTCTGGAGCGATTCCCGAGTCTGAAGACGCAGCCGGAAAGAACGAATCAACTCCAGGAGAAATTGGCTGAGCGAATGAACCAGCCACTTCGCATGTACAGATTCATGGTACCGCCAGCAATGGTGCCCAAGCGTAACCTTGCCTTTGTCGGCATGTCATCGTCAATCACCACTTCAATTGTGGCTACCGTTCAGGCACTCTGGATTTCAGCCTTTTTCGACGGCAAGTTGGACAGGCTCCCCAGTTCAGAAGACGACATCAAATGGGAGACAGTCCTACATAGTCAGTTTGGCCGATGGAGATATCCTATCGGTTATGGCCCATGTTTCCCTGACTTCGTCTTCGATGCTGTCCCTTATGTCGATATGCTGCTAAGAGATGTCAACCTAGAGTCGCATCGAAAGCGAGGTAAAATGGCCGACATGTTCGACCCTTATGGACCGGAGGATTATGTCGGGCTCATCGATGAGTGGAAGACAGGACATGCATAAGCTGAGCCGCGTCGACGATAAAAGTCGAGTGTGAATAATGAATAACAACATTAGTGTAGCATGCTGCCCATACCGAAAGCTCTGTATAAGAGCAGAATATAAGAGCGTCTCTAGCTGGGTGAACTGTTGAATTTGGTGAATGAGTTTAGAGAGCTATCAGATTATAAATCTCGTTTTGCTACTGGTGATTGTCGGTGTGATGAAGGCCGCTGGCAAGTTGTAGCTGTCACCAGCTTGTGGACGAGATGTGGCTGAAAGCGATTATGCCTGGATCCACCCAACACCCCTCAAACATTTCTTCTCACTACGCCGTCAGATCCATCCTAGCCGAACGAGAGGAGTGACGATGAGCCCTGATCATAGCCCCTTTAGGCTCTTCGAAATATACTGTTGAAAAGTACCTATGTTACACCGAAGCGATGACCAGATGATCTGCGACCCCTGAATGAATGACGCCACGACAAAATCTCACATTCCGAGGTGTCAGATAACAAATATTCGCCCAGTCAACTGAAACAGAAGGTTGAAGGCGACTCACTGGATTGCACAGCACAAGACTTCGCCGAACGGAACCATTGACAGCACAATGAGTGCTATTATATTGTCCCCAAGCCTTGAGGAAAGGGTGATCTCGAAGTTTGATGAGTTGGTAACAAAAGGCGAAATCATCTACGAGCCTTCTACCACAGATACGAAAGAAGATGAGGGCTTCAAGGTATGTTGCAGATAATGCATGTTCGGAGTGCTCTACTGCTATCAGATCCTAACTTGATATCTTGGAGCACAGTTTGATTTCCGTCTAGTACCTCATCTACTACGCAAGCCCATCACTGCCCACGATGCGCCTGAGCGGAAGACCGGCAGAGGAAACAATCCTTTCCTAAATCCCGATCCCGATTTTGTACTATCAGAGGTTGGTCCTTCTCACTTACTCCTACTGAATAAGTATTGTGTGTATCGACCCAGTCTGCTCCTCATAACACGCCGTTTTGCTCGACAGTCTGACAGCCTCGATGCTAGCGACTTGTCCGCCGCCTGGTCATTGTTGATGCACTTTGAGAAGAGGCACATGATGATCTTCAACTGTGGCTATGAGGCAGGGTCTAGTCAAGGCCACAAGCACATGCAACTGTGGCATTATCCTGATGAACGTGAAATGGGGTTCCCTCTGTTTCCCAGCAAAGCTACCTCTACGATAGAGGTCACAAGTGACATTGGAAATGTCCCACATCAGCACTTTGTTCTACGACTTCCGTCGAAAGTCGACGAAGCAGTCCTCGTGGAGGCTTATGGAAAGTTGCACAAGGCGGTTGAGGACTGTCACGCCAAGCATGGCGGCGGACCGGCTTACAATGTCATCCTTGTGAGAGAGTGGATGTGCCTAATACCCAGACGGCGTTGCGGGCTCGAGAAAGGTGCAGGTGCAAATGCTGCTGCCATCATCGGCATGGTGTGGGTTATCAGTGAGGCGGAAAAGGAGATATGGAATGCCGAGTATTTCAGGTATTTGGGCTATCCTAGAGATAGATGACCCGTGGACGAGTGCATGTATCAAGACCGTCGATAGACATAGACTAGAGTGCTAGAACCTGGAAATCAACGACTTCAGATGCTGTGGTTGTTCCGTTGCGGTGGCCGTCGATTTGCCAGCCTGATCAAAGACAAGGCTGTGGAAAAAAGTAACGCCGAAGTTCAGCCGACCCATATCGCATTTTCGAGGCCTTGTGACGAGCAGCAAGAAGTCGCAAGACAAACACCAAGGGCCAGAGTGCGAAGAAAGAACCATGGGCAAAGGTCAGCTCGCCTCTTTGTGTTCTGTTCCAGTATGCTGACTGGCTTCATTAGGAACCGATAAACTCTACGTACATGCACCGCTCTCTCTCGTTCGTGGCCGGAACTGACAACTCGCAGATCACCCACTCCGAATGGTCTTCCTCTGATGCATACTCGGCTTCAGCTGGTGCAGGCGTTCGTGCCGATACCAGCGGCCATGCGGCCTTCAAGAGACTCCCTTTCAACTTCTGTGCCTTGAGCCTCCAGCCTTTCACAACTCCGGTCTGCACGGCGAACGGCATCATATTTGACCATGAGAATATAATACGGTGGTTGCTGAAACACGATACGAATCCTACCGATGGCAAATCTCTGAAGCAGCAGGAATTGATCAAACTTGACTTTGCAAAGAATGACAGCAACGAGTTTGTCGACCCAGTCACTTATAAAGTGTTTACGGACAACACCCATATTGTTGCAATCAGACATGGCGACTCGGCCAATGTCTTTGCATATGATACGGTGGAAAGACTCAATATCAAACCAAAAATGTGGAAGGATCTAGTCTCCGACGAAGACTTTTCCCGCGCAGACATCATAACCCTTCAAGACCCGCAAAACATCGAATCCCGGAATCTCAGCTCGTTCAAGTATCTGAAAGAAGGCGAAGACTCTGGCATACCGAAGGAAGAAGCGACCATCAACACGGCTTCACTGGGCAGTGCTGCAGACCTCAAGATTATGAAAGCAAAGGAAGCAGTTGCCAAAGCCAGAGCAGAACGCGCCAATGCTCAATCAGCCACTAGCAAGGACAAATCTCAACTCTCCACGAGTACGAAGAAGACTGCCACGGCATCCACTTATAAGCCGACACCATACAACGCTACAGGACACACTACTGGTCTTGCCGCTGCATCACTAACTTCCACAGGCATGACGCCTCATACGTCAGCCGCACTGGCCTTGATGTCTGATGAAGAATATCTCCTGAAGCGCGGCCGAGTCAAAGAGAAGGGCTTTGTCCGATTAGCAACGTCCGTTGGGGACCTCAGTATCGAATTGTACCCGGAGCATGCGCCCAAAGCAGTTTGGAATTTCATCCGTCTCGCTCAAAAGGGATATTACAATGGTATCGTCTTCCACCGTAACATCCGAAATTTCATGATTCAGTGCGGCGACCCGACCGGCACTGGCCGGGGTGGAACAAGCATTTGGGGTAAGAATTTTGAGGATGAGTTTGAGGGTCCATTGAAGCACGATACACGCGGTGTACTGTCCATGGCGAACAAGGGAAAGAACACGAATAGCAGTCAATTCTTCATCACGTACAGAGCGACAAGCCATTTAGACAGAAAACATACGATATTTGGTCGTGTTGTGGGAGACGATGGGACGAGTATGGCTGTGCTGAAGCGGTTGGAGGAAACGCCGGTGGACGCAAATGATCGTCCAAAGGAGGAGATCAAGATCATTGAAGCGGTCGTCCTGATCGACCCGTTTGAGGAGTTTTGGAAGAACAAGGCCGAAAAAGAAAGGAGTGACAAGGAGAAGGAAGAACGGAAGGCGGATGATCGCACAACCTGGACAGGAAAGAGGATCAGGAACGACGGGACGATTGAGAAGGATTCTGGAGGTGGAGTTGGCAAGTACCTCAAGGCTGCGATGAAGAATGGGCAACATGAAGTGGAAGAAGATGAGATTGTCGAGTTTGTTGACGAGCCAGAGGAACCAGTCCGAAAGAAGAACAAAGGCGGCGGAGGTGGATTTGGGAATTTCGACGGCTGGTGATCACAACCGAATGTCACTTTGTTCAATGAGCTGGGAGGTGCTAGGAAGATGCCTATACAAGCAGCCTGGCGGAAAGAGCCACTCGAGCATCTTGACGAGTGATGATTTCGGCCAGAAACTCGATACGTGGTGAACTTATACCGCATGATGCTACTACCACCAGCAAATCGATCATATCTACATCGTCTGCCTCGAACCAACGCCGACTCTTGCTTTTGGCATCTAGGAACTTGGTTCCCATCATCGATATAGTCATGCCCGACAAGGAGACCAAATACTCTCAATTCGGCTATTTGGTTTTATGCCAACAGAAAAGCCATGACTTTGGCACTAGCACGTCTTCTGATGTTTCCGGTCTTCCGCTGGGGACTAGACTCTCGAAGAAAGCGGGAGCGTATTAAAGTACAACGACATCGAAGACCTTAATGTCAGCTGTCCGTTCTGTGGTTTCGGGGGCTTGCATCTGCTACCGCTCGCAAGGATATCCCATAAACGGACCGTATCAGAATGAGTCTGGAAGTTGGAATGAACATATCTTCAGATATTCGTGGATGAGATCGAAGAAGTCTCCCACATAGAGAGTCCGCTGGGGAAGTAGGGCAGATGGTCAACAGGGATGGAGCATCAGATATCTAATTGGCACTACTTATGAGTCTCGGTTGGGACAACGGACCATACTCGTACTAGGAAGAGGTAGTTACTATTGAATTGTATCGTTCTCCATTTCTCTCGAATGTCGAATATCAGAGTCTTCCATAGCCAGTTGCTTTTTTTCTGGACACATCTGGACAAAGGCTTCCCGGCAGAACGTCGGACCATTTATTCGTATATTCCGTGTCTGCGCCGACAACATTTCCCTAATAACAACCCATACCACCACCTACCAACTTCTACCGACCCAGCTTGTGGTTTTCAACGATGATCCCTTTTATACCTCAAACTAAACGCCTGACACGATTTCAGTCATAACCTCCTCGCCAGAGACCCTCGAGATAAAGAAAAAAGAGTTGGTGGCCATGTCTCGCATCTTTGCTGGTTTGCGCTCCGCGGGCACCACCACATCGTTGCGACGCCCACGTACACCCACTGAGATCCTCCTCAACATTGCCCTGGCAGGGATAGCATCATACTCCACCTTTGCTCTTATATCTCATCACTTGATAGCTATCGGTGTAAGTTCCTGTACCTCAAACTCGAACATGCGACATGCGACATACAACCAGAAAGATGAATCAAAGAAAAAAAAAGAGCTCGGCCATGCTTCCATCTTTGAGGGTTCCCCCCAGTTTACTCTATACTAATAAAAGTACAAAACAGAACAGTGACGGTCCATCAATGTTCCCTACCATGCCCACCAGCACGAGCTTGACGGTTTACTCACGACGACACCGACACGGTCGAAACATCAAGGCCGGTGACGTTATTATTTTCGAAAACCCAGTGTTCCTGCGAGGCATGGCCATCAAGCGAGTGATTGGTATGCCTGGGGACTATGTAGTGTATGATCCCGCCCAAAGTCCCACGGTTGGAGGGGCAGGAATTGGAGGAGATGCCACCACGCGGGCGACCGAGACCAGTACAAGCAAGAAGACGAACACGGGCACGAGCCCTCCTCCAGAGCCAACGATGATCCAAGTCCCGGAAGGTCATGTGTGGGTGGCAGGTGACAATCTGGCTTATAGCAGGGACTCTAGGTTCTATGGACCTTTACCAATGGCACTCATACTAGGGAAATGTCTGTACAACGGGGACGGGTGGTTCAGTTGGAGAGACATGAGGGGGACGGGTTTCCAACCAGTCCTGCGAGAAGAAGAGGAGACGTGATGCAAAGAACAAAGACAAAACAAGAACAAGAACAAGATCAGAGAGGGAAAGTGAAATAAATGAGATTTGTACAGAGTACAGTGTACAGGTAAAGGTACAGAGTACGGTTACAGATACAGCCACGGCTATGGATACAGGTGATGGAGGATCGCTTGCTTGCTTGCTTCGGGTAATAAGGCGCCTCCAGAAGCTCCACCACGAACCAACTCTACCTGAAGCTAGGAGGATTACGCCTCTTATACGGCAAAGGCTCAACCTTCTTCCTCTTGAGCTCGACATCAGCACCCTCGAGCCCGGCTCTTTGCATGACGCCAGCCATGTTTTCATCCCATTGTGTCCGGAACAAGGATGCGCTGATGGGTGTCAACAGGTGTCGACTCATAAAGCTGCGAGCAGAGAAACCCTCCCTTTGGACCTTGCTCTTGGCAACTTCCAGGTCGATGGGGATGTTGTCCTTTTGTTGCCAGATGACGATAGATAATCGGTGGTATGGGCTACCTTTCTGAGCGTGAGGCGGCAGCCAAGGTAGGAGGACTTGATTATCGGCGGACAGTTTGGCGAGGTCGACCAAAGGTTCGGTCACAGAGATGGGAACATTGGTAGCCAAGAAGTGGCATCTCGAGTCGAAGCTGTCGGTCTCCAAGTTGGGGACGTCTGGGTCGACCACAGCAATGCTGACCAACTTCTCACCTCGTTCAAAGGTTTGCAGAGTCAACTGGCAGGCGTTCTCGCTGATGTCTGATCGCACGAATTCGCCGGGTGGAACAGACTTTCTGCCAAATGCAATCTTGATGTCCAAGATCGGATCACATGTTGGGATCACATCTGGTACAACATTCATCTGGGTAATGCGTTGGACCAGAATCTTCCGGGGGTATTCTCGCCATTTTCGCTCGGCTAGGTATCTGTAGATGGGTTTATTCATGTCTCCTGTTTTAAATTGTCAATGTAGCTCTTTGAGATCTAGCTTGAGATTATCTCACCTTTGCCATCTTCGAATCTTCTTTTCACGTTAGGGTCATTTATATCGGCCAAGATCTTGAGCTCTTCTAGTTCTGCACGCATGCTCTTCAATCTCTTTTGTTTGTAGACTTCGCCACCCCGGAACGTCGCTGGATCGGCTTCTTCGAGTCGAGCAATGCGAGCTCTTTCCGTCTCAATCTTTTTCAATTTTTCTGCTCTGTCCTCGATCAGGATTTTGCGGGCTTCCTGGAAACATTGGTATGGAAGTTGATCAAATGGAATGCCGGGCGATTGTGCCAAAGCTGCGCGTCGTCTTCGGGACCCGATAGGTGGGTTGCCGGCTTTCATAAGCTTGCGCTCCAGTCGTGGCACGAAGACGGTGGCAGGGTCGGGATTCTGGTAGAACGAGGGTCGTTGGACTTCGGCTTCCTGAAGCACGGGACTCGTGGTCGAAAGGGCGCGAACGGCCGCACCGCATGATGATTTTTCCACGGCTAGCGATCGCAGGGAATGCAGAAGAAGGGCACTGGGAGCCCGTGAAGGAGCCATGGTATGATGGAGGAAGATGAGTGACTCCTGCAACGCAGCGTGCAATGTACGAGTCCTCTCGGTCTTCGGACACTATTCCATGGACCCAAGCGACAAAAAGTTTCCAAGCTCGCAGCACTCGAGGTCAATCTTGGCATCGGTCAATGGAAGCGCTAATGCCGATGTACCGATGTTGCGCACCAATCTCCGTAGACTAGTCCGAAACAGGAGGAGGTGGTTACTCAGCACTCATGTCAGCAGAAGCACAAAGCCATTTCAAACAACAAACTCACTGGATTCACCCTTCATTCGTCGCTGTGATGAGCCTTGACCCGAGCAGGAAAACGCCTTGCCTTATAGCTGGATCTCACACTTTGGCCGTACCGTCGGTACAGTTATGTACGATGCTCCTGTAACATGCCGCATGAATTGACGCCCCCTGCGTAATCAAGGTAACACCAATCTACCGGCACCTTATGTAAACGTCCAAAAACGCTTCTCGTATTATCTGTTTCCTCCAGAAGTCACTCAGACCAGCGCTGCAGGCCCAAAAACTCACCAGAATGGAGCGTGACTCTGAGGCTTCGATGCAGGAAGAGGGAGGTGCTAGAGATGAGCAACAACAATATGCTGCCGGTCCAGACGAGAACGTGCCAGAGCCTACCCCCAGGAGACCTGGCCTCTTCAAACGACTATGCACTAAAGCTGGACTTGACCTGCCAACATTTCTGATGATGCTAAAGTGAGAAGCTCTCAACTCCTGACGAATGTAACTGATTGTTTCTGCAGAGGAGCAGTTGCGCCCACCATCGCACTAGCAGCGTAAGATACTCTATTGTTTTCGTTGCTACGAATTCTTATGTGGCTTAGATACGAAAGCGATGCCTGGGCTCGAGAATATACAACGCTTGGATACCTTGCGGCAATAATGACCATCCTCACGCTACCGATTCTTCCTCGGGCGAAGTTCTTCCAGAACCTCTTCGTTGCGATTTTTGCCGTCTGCCTGGGAGCTGCCATTGCACTGCTGACAATCCGATGTACCATATCTGCACGAGAATCGAAATCTCGAGCTTCTAGACAAGGCACATCTGGTAGTCAAGAGACGCTAAGCTTCAGCTCGGCAGCGAACGCCACCGCCGTGGCCTGGCTATTCTTCAACTTATGGCTCGCAAACACTTTACGAGCAGCTCGACCCCAGTTGATGGTTGTGTGCATTCAGTACACCATCTTCTCTGTCATCGCTTCGACATATGCCCCATCGTTTCCGACAATGGCGGTCGGGATGGCGTTTGTCAAGAGATTAATAAAGACTTTTTTGACCGGGTTTGCATTGTCTACAGGAGTGTCAATCTTCATAATACCCGTGTCATCGAGGAAGATCTGTCGGAAGCAAATGGCTGGTGTCTTGAACCTCTTGAAAGCTTGCATAAACATCCATAACTCTTATCTTCAGCAAATCACCAATTACCAGCAAGAGGTGACCTTGGCTAATGGGAAAAACGGCATAGCAAAACAGACTGCTGACTCTGCTGCATTTGCTCAGCAAGCTCAAGCAACGTCCGCCAAACTCAAGACGACTCTCCAAGAGACCTCGAAACTGTTTGGAATGTTAAAGATCGAGATTGGCTTCGCAAAGAAAGAAATTGGATTTGGAAAATTACGTGCCGAAGACTTTGCTATGATATGGGCGCGTCTACAGCAGATCTTCCTTCCAGTTGCTGGCTTGTCCACATTCGCAGATATCTTGCAATCCGTCAGACGACACAAGGAGGAAGGAGAAGATCTGATCGAAGATGCTAGTCTCGTCGATGCTATCCATCGACTTGAAGCAGATGAATGGCATGAAGTGGTGGCCATGTCCCGGGGACCTTTCAGCAGGGTCAAAGAGAGCCTGTCTGATGGTATTGCACATGTGCAGTATGTCCTCGAGCTTGCGCCACGCCCCAAAATTCCCAAAGCACATGACCCGGAAAAGAATGCAGACGCACCACCTGGACCGGGCGATCCCAACTTCACCGAGCACCTGAAGGCTGAGATAAAACTATTCGAAGAACATCGCGAAGGCACGATGCGTAGGTGGTGTGAGAAGAAAGGAATCGATGTCCCTGCCAAATTCTGGGAGGATCCGTCCGCTCAATACAACTTCAAGAACGCCAATTCCCTTGACGAAACCATACGCAGCAAACACAACCACCAGCAACTCTATTTGATTCTCTACCTCGAATACCTCCTCTACTCAGTCTGCCTGTCCATCCTAGACCTGGCCGTTTTCGCCGATTCCAAAGTCCAGGATGGGACCATGAGTAAAAAGCGCCTCATCTTTCCAGGATGGAGACGGATCAAGAAATTATACCAGCACATGTTCATGCAGGAGGACTCTGAACCAGCTTTACCCGACGGCGAAGCTACCGGAATCATCATCTACCCTGGTGAATCGCTTTCTGGACGTAAAGACCCAGAGCACTTGCCCCCGACGAACCTGTATCAGCACATCACCAACCATCTACGTGTCATCCCGCGCTTCCTAGGCTCCGATGCTTCGTCATATGGATTCCGCGCCGCTGTCGCCAGTATCTCTTTAGCCATTCTTGGCTATCTCAGGCCTACACATAACTTCTACCTCCAGCAGCGAGGCATATGGGCTGTCATCATGGTTGCTATCTCCATGGGCCCCACTGCCGGCGCGGGTGTACAAGGCTTTTTGCTCCGTATCGCTGGCACCGTCATCGCCATGGTCGTGTCGATCGCCATATGGTACATGGGTGACCAGAAACCAGCCGCCATCATACCACTGCTCTACCTTGCCTTTGTATGCGGATTCTATGTGGTCCTCAAAAAGCCCAAGTACCTCATCACGGGTATCATTTCGATCGTGACCCTGGTTCTGATCGTGGGCTACGAACTTCAGGACTTGAAGATTGGCACAAAACTACTGACTTCCAACGGCCAGGTATACTACCACATCTACGTCCTCGCACCGTACAGACTTGCCACCGTCGTGATTGGGCTGACAGTGGCATTCATATGGACCTACCTGCCCTACCCGGTCACCGCGCACGCCACGTTGCGCAAGGACCTCGGCGCCACCCTGTACCTGCTAGGTAACTACTACGCATGTACGCACAGCACGGTGGAAATGAAGCTGCGGCTCGGGGCCCGCGCCAACGACGCCGACAAGAAGAGCCCCATGCGCAAGCTCGACAAGGCGCGCGTCCAGTGTTTCGGCAAGATGCTGGGCATGATGAATCGACTGAGGGAGCATTCGGCTTTCACGGTCTACGAGCCGACGTTTGGCGGCAAGTTCCCCAAACAGACGTACGACGAGCTCATTGCCCACCTGCAGAGTTTGTTCAACTACATGTCGCTCATCAACTACTCCAGCCAGGCGTTTGTCACGCGGCCGGATCCAAAAACGAGCGACGAAGACGACCAAGGGGGAAGGACGGACAAGAATGCCGACCAGGGACACGCCATGGGCCGCACGCCAAACCGGTACACCGAGAGCGAGTGGCTGACGGACTTTCGGCGGCTGACGGCCAACGCGAGCGTCACGAGCCACGAACTCACCAGCACAATCTGCCTGGTGGCCGCGAGCGTGTCCAACGCGCAACCCCTGCCGCCGTACGTGCGCGTGCCCCCGCCCATCCACCTGGCCGACCAGCTGGCCCGCATCGACCCGGCCATCCTGAACGTGCAGCACATCAACGAACCCTGCTACGCGGCCTTTGCCGTCCTGGAGATCGCGAGCGTCCTGATCATGCAGGAGACGGCCGCCGTGCTGGGCAAGGTGAAGGAGCTCGTCGGCGAGGTGGATTTCAGTCTGCACGTCTCGTCGTCGACGGACACGAGTACCAGTTCTCTCCCAAACGGCAAGGGCAAGGCCGATTGAAGGGAGAACAGGAGAAAAGCCGCGTCCAACACTAGGTTTGGGTGTGTGCTTTTCTTCACGATGTACGTACGTTTTGGGATTTCTTTTGGGATGTTACAAGACGGTTGGGGGGGTTTTTCCTATTACAAAAAAAACCCTCCAACCCCGAGGCTATGCCTTTTTCTAAAAGGGGCCATTTTACGAGGGACGATGTAGTGATGCCAATCTTTTGGGGGGCCGGTGGGATCTTGGGCGGTGGCGGTTTTTTCGTTCCATTACTTGAATTACTTTCCAGGACTGTTAGATCAGTAGAAGAAAATCATACACGTAACGAAGCCGAGTACAGGTCTTGTTAAAGGTAGGCAGGTCCTTGATCGATCGAGTTCGTCCGGTTATACTAAATCTTTCATTTGGTCACGGCAATGTCATTCTTGTTGTACATGTAATATCCGGAGTACTTTTTGTCCGCTTCACTGCTGCTACTGCTGCTACCGTCCCCAGTACAATAACCAAGATCTTCGTGTGTGCGCAGAGGTCAGTACCTATGCTAAAAATGTTGAGGGTATCTTGAAGAGAAAACAAAAGCCAAAGCAAGACCCAAAACACCATAACCACCGTGTCTCGGATAACATCATCATGGGATAGATGCACGCACGATCCCCCCAAATCCGTCAACGCCTGCGCTTCAATGTAGGTAGATATCCCAACGCAGTACAATGTACAAATGTCCCCCTTGGACTCCTTTCCTTTTCTGTCTTCATCCCGCAATGTTCAAAAATCCACCAAATGCATTCGTACCGTAGGCCGTAGAGCCAGAGTTGTTTGTTGGCGAACCTGGCACATGTGCACTGACACAAGGACAAACCCCATAAGGACGCATCTGCTCAAACTTGTACAATACTATAAGCACCCGGAAGCCAATCTATAATAGTTTCAGGCGAACATGCTGTCGAAATCGAGGTCCATGTTCTCCATATTCTCCATGTTATCCATATTGTCCATGTTGTCCATATTCATCATACCGGTGCTGTCGAAATTGACGGCGTCATCAAAATTCATGTCGCTTGAGTTGAGGAGCTCGTCGAACTCGTTGGGTCCGAGAGCTGGAAGACTGAAGTCGTTCGGATTGAGTTGTGCCGGTTGAGTGATGTCGGCTGGTGCGGTGCCTGACATGCCGTTGTCCGCTGGGGGCATGTTGAAGGTATCATCACCCGCCTGGTTTGCATACGACTCTAGGCCTGGAAGCAGGGACGTCAAGGAGGAATCTTGGGCCACAGAGGCGTCGAACCCGTCCCCGAGATTGTTCATGTCAAAGTTTATGTCGTTGCCGGGGTTGTTAATCATGTCCGCCGACGGTTCACCGAACATGGATGTAAAGTTGAAATCATCATTTCCGCCAGCAGACATATCCTGCGGAGTGGCTTTGGGGAAGTCGTCAAAATTGAGGAGCGTTGGCTTGGGTTCAGGTACTGGTGGAGGAGGGTTCTCGAATGGTTTCTCTGGCACCTTGACCGGTATAGAAGGAGACTGGGACTTTTTCTTGTCAGGCTTGGTCGAAGCGGGCTGTTTCTCGGCCTGCTTGGCTGGAGCGGTCTTTTTCGCTGTCTTGGGAGACGTCTGGGCTTTCGTAGGGGTTTTCGAGGGTTTGGGCGGAGATTCTTTTGGTTTAGAAGGAGGAGGTTGTGGTTGTGTCTGCGCAGCTGCGTCTGGTTCGGCTGTTTTGATGCGCTTGGACGCCGTCTCTTGTTCAGCCTCCTGTGTCTTTTCCTGCGTGCCCTCGACTTCGTCACGTTTTCTCTTCGCAGTGGCTGCGCTGTCTTCTTTTGCTTTTGCTTCTCGACGCGCTCGGTTTTGGGCCAGCTTATTTTCTAAGTACCACTTGGCGTCGAGGATTTGTACTTCGCAGTCGTCAAGCGCATCTTGGAATTTCTTCGCGGTTTCGACGAGGACCGCTCGTGTAGATTGCGCATAGTTGACAGGGTCTTTCATGGCATACGCGATGCGCGTGACGGACCCGTTGAACATGCCTTCGACGATGCGCAACGGATCGTACGCGGGTTTCGTCGCAGCCATGGTGACGACGGCATAAGCGAGGAGATGGGGGGAGGCGGTCGGGAAAAGGGCGAGAGTAATGGTGGTGCGGTGCGGAAAGAAAGAATCGATCACCGGAGGGGAGACAACATGCCTCTCAACTGCAGTTTGATTAAGCTCTTTGGCTTTGACCACGATGGACGGCCATGGAAAAAGTGTCAGTGTCAAGTTCGTGATGATGGACGGGGATGGTGGGTCGAACCAACGGACCCGAAGTGGGAGACGAGACAAGGAGAATGAATGGAAAGGGCCTTTGGGTGCCACACAAGGGGTCCAGGTAGGCTTACTAGGCGCGGGATGCAGCGAGCAGGGGCCATGATTGACCTCCCCGGGCGTCTTATAGGCGGCGGCTACAGTGGGGAGTTGCCTCTAGACGCACCAACCTCACCAAGGCTGGGGGGGCCACCAGGGCTCAAGCAGAAGCCTAAAACAAGCACGCGAGTCCCGAACAAGCTTAACGGCGACTGCTGCTGCGCCTGCAGCCGTTCTGACAAGTCACATCACACCTTATCTGCTCCAACTTCCACCATGTTTTACTGTAACTATCTACTTTTCTCGCTCCTCCTCTTCTTCTTCAGACACTTTTTCTCATCCTATCTTCCTCCAACCAGCTTGTTGTTCTTCCTTTCTTCCTCTCATCTTTGTCCAGTCGCTTGGAATTCGTGCATTGCAAGTTTGGGCGTTGGGAAAAGAATCTGAGCGATTTCTTATCTCTCTTCACTTTTCCTAAAGTCATCATCTCCTCGACCTTGAAATCTGCTCTGATTTGCTTTGCTGCGCACTTTTCTCGAGTTTCAGCCGCCGCCGTGCTGCCTGCCTACCGTTCTCATCTCGGCGCGACCGCTTTGACGACCTGCCATCAGCGTACCACGACCACCTCAGAACACCCCTAAACACACTTACTTCCTTCTCCTCTTTTCCCAGACTTCTGCGTTGTCCAAGCATCTCCTACTTGTCCACCGTTTTTGGCGCTCCTCTCTGGGTTGGCTCTTCATCTGATAGCGACTTGTCTTCGACGTTCTTCAGCGAGAATTTCCTTTGGTTGCGACTCCACCTCCCCCCGCAATACGAGTACCTCGACAAGCGAAGTATACTCGACCTGAGCTGCTCCCATATAATCGTTTCATTCGACAACTTTTCCCGCGAGTCTTGTCTATTATCTTTTCAACTGTCAGAAGAATTATAATCCTCGAATATGTCGGAAAACGCTTCGGTTCTGCCACCCCCGCCATCAACCGTTGGCGCTCCTGGGTACGATGCTCCTCCTGGCAGCAACGGTCACACCGGCGCTCCAATGGGGCCGCCTGCGCTTCCCCCGGTCGTCATTCCCCAGAATAACAACCCTGTCCCGACCCCTGCAACACCTGGCGGTGCCATGTCGCCTTCGTCCGGAGGAATGGTTCGAAGAGCTGCGCCTGAACCAAACAAGAGGGCTCTCTATGTGGGTGGTTTGGATCCTCGTGTGACGGAAGACGTCTTGAAGCAGATCTTTGAGACAACTGGACATGTTGTCAGCGTCAAGATCATTCCAGACAAGAATGTGAGTATGATACTCCAATGGCAGTTACTAACGACTAACCTGAAACAGCAGTTCAACACGAAAGGCCTCAACTACGGCTTTGTCGAATACGATGATCCGGGTGCTGCTGAGCGAGCCATGTCTACACTCAACGGTCGACGAGTTCATCAAGGCGAGATCCGCGTCAATTGGGCGTACCAATCCAACACATCCAACAAGGAGGATACCTCGAACCACTTCCATATTTTCGTGGGTGACCTGAGTAACGAAGTCAATGATGAAGTTCTTTTGCAAGCATTCTCTGCTTTTGGTTCTGTTTCGGAAGCACGGGTCATGTGGGACATGAAGACCGGTCGCACTCGAGGCTACGGTTTCGTTGCTTTCCGGGAGAGGCAAGATGCCGAGAAGGCCCTCGCGTCGATGGATGGTGAATGGCTGGGTAGTAGAGCTATTCGGTGCAACTGGGCCAACCAGAAAGGGCAGCCATCAATCTCGCAGCAACAGGCTATGGCCGCCATGGGTATGACTCCAACCACTCCTTTCGGGCACCACCATTTCCCTACTCAAGGCGTCCAGTCATATGAGATGGTGGTCAACCAAACTCCGAGCTGGCAGACGACATGCTATGTTGGCAATCTTACACCGTACACCACACAGGCCGACCTCATTCCATTGTTCCAAAACTTTGGTTACGTTGTTGAGACTAGGTTTCAGTCTGACCGAGGCTTCGCTTTCATCAAGATGGATACGCACGAGAATGCCGCCATGGCCATTTGCCAGCTTTCGGGTTACAATGTCAACGGGCGACCTTTGAAATGCTCTGTAAGTATAGGCGTCAAGGCCTTGCAGCAAGATATCTAACGTTGTCTAGTGGGGCAAAGATCGTCCTCCGACCGGCCAATTCGACACGTATTCACCACAAACATCCATTGGTTCTGCGACAACTCCTGGCGGCTACAACCCAGCCTCGCCGTATTTCCCCCAGTATGGTGGACCAGGTCCCATGACCCCTCAGGGTACTGATACACTCCTTAGGTTGTCCATGCAGACTTGAGCTGACATATCTCTAGGACCCAGCCCAGGAGGACGCGGCCAATGGGATTCGAACAATCATGCTAGCCCTTATACTCAATCTCCCCAATCAGCCTTCGGACAAGGACCAGTTCCGCCTTCGGCTGGAGGATACGGTCGTGGTCAAGGTGCACCTGCAGGAATGTTCCAGCAGCCTCCTCCATCGTTTGGTAACAATTTTCCAGGATATCAGGCATAGTTTGTGACAGCGTAGGAGCAACGTTATGGATCTTAAACCAGATTGATCTTTGCTATGAGCGTTCTGTTCAGATTACGACATCTCACCAACTTTCATGAGCCATTAGACGGGGTGAATCAAGCGAGCAGATGTGTTGTTGGTGTTGTCGTGAGTAAGTCACGGGCATTGGTGCTTAGCAGGATACCCATATCAAAAGCGTTATACTTGTTTCCAAATGCACTGGTTGAACTGCCTCGCAGATGTAAGAATAGAAGGTTGACTCACATGTCGTATAGCGTATCAATCCAATTTTCCCTTCCATAATATTGATGATTACCTAGGATTCTCCGAAAGTGCAGGGTTCATGCGAGTACGATTTGAGGACGGAGTCTGAGCTCGATAGCCTTGTGCAGCCTTGCATTGTGCCAAGACACTAATATTTTTCACTAAGCGCCACCTCGCGACGCGCTCTACGCGTTACGTTGATTGTCCCAGTCCTGCACGAATAGTCTACGAGTACGAGTACTTCTTACCTGCTGTTTGTTCCCATCTCCCCGACGCTGTCCGCTCTTTCCTCAGTGGCCTCTTCCTTTCATGCACCTTTCTCCGGCCACCGTCCTCCTACGTTCTCCGAATGGTGCGTTAAGATCGCCAAAGAGATTCATTCATGCCATCATGTTTCAGCGAGCGACAAGACAATATGATTCGAATGCACAATCGGACAAGAGGCAGTCACCTCTGCGGGTAAACAATACTGTCGCAAACACTGCACGAGAGCCTGGAAACAGCCAGTTGAAACGCAAACTTGACCGAAGCCTAAGCTATACAAGCAGACTGGCCTCGTTATCTCAACAAAACTCTTTTGATGACGAGAACACTCCCCCTGAGGTCACCTACGTAGACCTTACGAGCCCACAGAAGCACTCTAGCATCTCTTATCCCTCACTTGATAATTTGGATTGCGAGTCATATCCTACACTCCCTCCGTTGTCGAACAACTCCACCGGTCAGCCTCCCAGCAGCGCCCCGGTACCATGGTCTTCATCTCCTCCGTCACATTACAACAAACCAAATGCAGCCACAAGAGTCGAAGAGCCTCCTTCTCCAGTCAGGCCGACGAAAAGACGTGTTCTGCCGGCTAGCTTTACTTCCGCCGATGCGAGAAACGTTTCATCTTTCCCAACAGACACGAATGCAAGTAGTTATACAAGAACTTCGAGGGAACGGTTGACCACAGACAAGGAACAAGAGCTTGACAGATACTCTGACAGATCAGCTGCAGCACACCAGAAGAAGTTTCGGGATCCATCGCACAACGTGACTTCAGCCATGTCAGCCATGCTGCAGCAAGCACCCGCAGCTCGTCAGCGGTCTAGCACGCCAGTGTCACGACCAACGACATCTTCGGGTAGGACACTTCAGTCTTTTATGAAACCTACAGATGGTCAAAAGCTTCCACTTGAACGATTACCAGAGCCATTTCTCTCGGACGAACAAAAGGCTGTTATGAAGGCTGTAATGGAGGAAGGGAAAAGTGTATTTTTCACTGGTTCTGCCGGTACGGGAAAGTCGGTTCTTATGAGGGCAATCATTTCCCAACTGAAGCACAAATACCGCAAGGAGCCCGACCGTTACGCCATTACCGCTTCCACGGGTCTTGCTTCGTGTATCCTGGAAGGCCAGACACTTCACAGTTGGTCAGGCATCGGACTCGGAAAAGAGCCTGCACCTGAACTTGTCAAAAAGGTTAAACGGAATCAGAAATCACGTCAAAAATGGCTGAGAACAAAAATACTTATCATCGATGAGATCTCTATGGTTGATGGTCAACTGTTTGACAAACTCGAGCAAGTAGCTCGGACGATTCGCAACAATGGTCGACCTTTTGGCGGGATACAGTTGGTTGTCACTGGAGATTTCTTCCAACTCCCCCCTGTCCCAGACAAGAATTCCACAGCCAAGTTTGTGTTTGATGCCGTGACATGGAACACCTGCATTCAACATACGATTCTTCTCACCCACGTGTTTCGACAAAAGGATGAGAACTTTGCAAGGATGCTCAACGAGATGCGGCTCGGGAAGATGAGCCCCGCTACAATTCGCGAGTTCAAATCGTTGTCGAGGCCACTCAACTTTCGGGATGAACTCGAGGCTACTGAACTGTAAGTAACGATATTTCCAACTTGTTTGACTTTCACTCACAAGATTAGATACCCACGTCGCGAAGAAGTCGAAAATGCCAATCAGAACCGCATGCGAAAACTTTCTGGTCAAATCATGACTTTCAATGCAGTCGATTCCGGCGTACAAGATCTCAATGTGCGAAAGAATCTTCTCGCAAACTTTATTGCTCCAGAAGTTCTCGAGCTGAAGAAAGGTGCTCAAGTTATGCTTATCAAGAACATTGATTCTCAGTTGGTCAACGGTTCCCTAGGCATTGTTCAATCTTTCATGGACGAAGGCACCTTTTTCGCTTATAAGGAAGACGAGCCAACGTTCCTACTGGCACATGAACCTGATGATGGAGAGCATCCCGAAGACAAAGCGGCTGCCCGTGAGAAGATCCAGGCTGCTCGCCTGAAAAGTCAAGGTGGCAATGTGGCCTCGGGAAGACTGTGGCCAATGGTTCGGTTCAACCTACCAGATGGCACGTCCCGGAGCATGCTCTGTGCACCCGATGAATGGAAGACTGAGTCTCAACAGGGAGAAGTCCTGGCCAAGCGAGTGCAGGTTCCTCTGATCCTCGCGTGGGCCTTGTCGATTCACAAAGCCCAAGGGCAAACTTTGAGCCGGGTGAAGGTTGATCTGGGGAAAGTCTTTGAAAAAGGACAAGCCTACGTCGCTCTCAGTCGCGCAAGAAGTAAGGAAGGTCTACAGGTGCTTCGATTTGATGAGCGGAAAGTCATGGTACACGCCAAAGTGCTGCAGTTCTATTCCAAACTGTCGGGTCATACGACGTTGGAGAAGCCATTCAAGACAACCGGTGTGGAACCTACCTTTTTTGCGAAGAAAGCTAGTGTCAAGAGTACTGCGAAGACACCTGTCGAAGAGGACGAGTTTGGCGATGATTTTTCGTACGAAGAGATGCTGGAGTTGGAATCTCAGATGATGAGCGCTGGCAGTAGAGGGCGGTAGAGTACGTCGTCCCAGGACAAGATGCGGCATCGTCAGTGTCTTCCCAGGTAGTGAGTGGCACGGTATAGCCAGGGACCTAGGGAGCTAGCATACAGTATTTGAGGCATATGTCAGAGATGGCGGAATCAAAGATGGTACCAATTCAATGCACTTCGTACTCGATCTAGTCTCAAGAATAAGAAACGATCCAGCCTCAGTTTGAGCACCGCATTTGAGGTACATGCATCAAGGAGGCTCAAACCCCGGCACACATGAGACAGTCAATTGTTACGGTAGAGATTGTACATTCCGCAAAATACCCTTTTCACGAGTTACTCTATACAAAAACTCGGTGACGAATCACCAAGAACATAAATCAGGTACATATAATCGTATATTCTGTATAATTATCTAAAGTGAAAACATGACACGTACTACGAGTTACGACGGAGTTTGTCCAACTTGTAACATGCGTCTTGCCTGGAACGGTGTTAACCCCCAATAATACCTTGTATCGCACTCGTCACAGAACTACTCCACAGATTCCTTTTCCTTTTCCTTTTCCCTTATTCTTTTGAAAAATGGTTTTGAACGAACTCCTTACACCTGGTGCATACCTTTTACCTTTGCTGGGAACAAAAATGATGGCTTCGGCTTAGACGGTGGTTTTTGAATGGGAGACTGCGCCTCCTCCAAGAATGGACATTGTGAGGGGGGGTGGGGTGGAGAGGATGGGGGAGAGGCGGGAGAGGGGCCCGGCTCTGGGGAAGGTGTCGCTGTACTTTTTTTTCCGATCCAAATACTCCGTAACTCCCTCATTCAACCTCGTTACGCACGGCTGATGACTGCTGTTCATGTATCGATGATGACGAGAATATTTGAGGGTGGCGATGATGGGTTGAACCGGCTTGTTGGATGTTGTTTCTATTGGTTGACTATCGGGGAAAGGAGAAAAGGATGTGCCCGTGGACGGCCAGGACAGATTAATGCAATGATTCTGTGAGTGGTTGCAATAAACCCACGTGTGGCGACATCTGCGAATCTAATGTTGAGGAGTTCTGCATAACAGACGCCTGACCTGAGTGACAGGCATTTGAGGAGATATCCTGTGATAACGCCTCGACCCGTTCTCGTCAGCATCCTTTACTTCGTTGATGGCGTTGCGCAGATCTCGCCTAAAGCCATGGCCGAACAAGATCTCCTGGCCGTAGCCATCTCCGACCACCTTCACTGGAGTCGTGAAGAGGAAGCCAGGGAAATTCCGGAAAGACCATTGGATGGCGCCAAAGCCGAGGACAGGGATCGGCCTGCCATCATACTGACAGAGGCCCATCCGTGGACGAAGGCTCACGTGAGAATTCTCGATCCGGGTCCAGGGTATCCCGAGTCTGTTCATGACGCTCACTTCGATCGTGTTGTCGTCTGAACCGCCGTCGAAAAATGCACAGGAGGCTTGCTCAACGTGGTCATTGAACCCGATGGCGGTAAGGCTCGTCAAACGCTCCCGGTGGTATCCGTTCTCGATCCTGTTCAAGAACTGATCCAACTCCCGCGCCTCAGCTATCCCCATATGGCAGATACTCGTCCACGACTCTGTCAACAGATTGTGTGCTGACGTTCTCAATCGTGAGGTGGCTTGTGAAGGCTCGGGGTTATGGTTCGATGCGCTGTCCACGGCAGCGTACCGGCCCATGGAGGCATGAGTTTGGACGTCTGCGGTCTCGGGTGTCGCAGGTGTTGGATTCGACTGATGCTGATGGGCACCAGTGTCCCTCGTGGCTTGTTTGACGTCAGGGCCTTCGGCTCGCGAGCGTGCCTTGCTGCGTGATTTGAGCTGTCACATCAGGTGTTAACAATCCACAGATGGACAGGAGGCCGAGGATTGAGGTCCACAGAATCACACCTTGAGAAATTGCAGAACCTGTTCCCACCGAAGCTTTGTCGTCTGCCTCGCACGGGATTCAGATTGCACCCCACGGCTAGTCGAGCCCCCTTGGGATGACATGACGGATGTCGTCGAATTCGTCCAAGGCTGAGGATTACCTGGAAACAATTTCAAGCCTGGTGAGTGGTGGGGGGCGAGTCACGACGAGGCTCTGTTTCAGTCGAGAAGGTGCCCGATGCTGAATATCACATGGACCAGCTCTGGAGGTTCACTCGATGACGACGGAGCGAAAGAAAAAAACTGTCATTGCGGTGGCTCGTGAGATAACGACAAGACAATAAACTAGAGGGTGGAGGGCTATTGGCAGTTTGTCGGTGGCAGATGGTCAGAGGATCAGATAGAAGCCGTAAGAGAATATCGTCCCGGTTTATGTTATTGATCTAAGGGGGAGTCCTAGGACAGACAGCGTCATAAAATGCATGATATTTGGTGGTGGTCGAGTGCATGAGCGTGGGCCTCGATATGTGGAACGTACCTGGAGGAAGACACCACCAGCCAACAGACGACTGGAAGCAGTAGATCAAGCGGGTCACTCCCTGCATGGAAAACGTGGAAAAAGCCGCACTTCAGGATGAAGGGGGTAGCGGGGGTAGAAGTCCAAAGCCACCAAAGTAGCTCCCTTCGGCGACTCCAGTATCGCACGGCAAAAAAAGAACTCAGAAGCGAAGATGGTAGATACAATAGGTCGGGAAAGGTCCGTGATGATAGGCCGGACAAAGTAGTCCACATGGCAAACTCTTCTGCATGAATATGTGCTTTTTAGGGCTGCTCCATCACTATCTACGATGGAGTGAATTGTCGAGTGGGAAGCTCAACCACATGTACTCCGTCCTCGACATCTTAGAACCCCGCGTACAAGGAACGTTAAGAGATTGTGATGTTGTGGGGGTCGACCTGTGCATCTCGATTTGCAAGGTATTAATAGGTGCTCCTCTATCTGAGACAGATGCCCATCCTTGACACATAAATGGGCGCGCATAATTGGATCTTGCCTCGAGGCTCCATGGCGTCCAGCTGTTGCAGTAGGCTAGACGCCTCGCGAGGCAATTCTGGTTCATTTCGTCATGAGGCCATGAAGACCAATGTGAATGATTCCAGGTTTGCCTCGCTGTCTGCCCCTTTTGCCCAGGCCCAGCTGTCCAATCTGGACCAGGTGCAGCATCCAGGGGCTTGACTCTGTGTTGGCCTTTCCACCTGGACGTATGTTTCCAGCGACAACGACTTCCCCGCCATCTTGTGTGGTCTTTCTCTTTTTTGCCATGCTATGCTCTCAGTCCGAGCTGCATCTAGTCTGAGCCACCCCGAACATGGCAGGCTATGATGAACTCTCAACTCTCCTGGGGACAAACCCTGATCTCGTCGTCCTTCGCCGCTTCGGGCCCCTGGCGGCGCAGGTGTTGCTTCATCTCCAGGCCGAACTCCTTGAACTTGACGACGATCTCGAGTATCTCAAGGCAGCCGAGTCAAACGATCCCGTACAGCAAGATCATGCAAAGTCTTGGGCAAAAGCCAATGAATCGATTGCCCGAGGGGGGCGGAGCTTCCGGAAAGAATTGATTGAGGATGTCGAGGGGAAGCTTCTGAGATATTGTACGTTGGGACACACATTGTCCATCACTGCTTTTCCTTGCAGATGACGTCGAACCTTTGCCAGAGATGCAAGTGTCTGCTGACCACTGACAAGATCGATTTGTCGGACAGGCGTCTAATGTCCTCAAACTGCCCGAGCCCGATCGGTGCGACATTGATTTCCTGCGCACGTGGTTAGAAGGCGAAAGGGGAGGCCAAAATTTTATCAAGAAGCATTCCGATGCTGAGGCCAGAGCATGGGACCCTCAACACGCAAAAGACCTTATGGCAGTGAACAGGCGGACTGATCGTTTCGCGGCCTGGGTCGGCAACACCTTGATACCAGTTTACCACCGCAAGTTGGGCCACCGCATACATCAGAAGAAGGATGATGATATTCTCGGGCCACGATACTTCTATAACGACGGTCTTTTCGTGGCCATAGGGAATATCGCCTGTACTGTGCTCTCATCTATTATTCCATCAACCTCCATCGTCATCCTTTACTATATTCAGAACATGCTGGTCCGGTTGCTGGTCATTGTCGCGCTGAGCGCGCTGTTCTCCCTGACCATGAGCTTTGCAGCACAAGGTCATCGATACGAGGTCTTCGCCGCCACGACCGCTTTTGCAGCTGTTCAAGTCGTGTTTGTTGGCGGTGCCAACTTTGTAGTTGCGACCCCGCCACAACCGGCCTGACCAAAACCATTTCTCATACAACCGCTCTGTGATTGAAACCAAATATACAGAAAGACGATGGGCAAGTTATTTGACTACTTTGAGCATCCAAGGCTCTGTCGAGGAGCTAATCATCTGCACTATTCTCATCGAACAGAAGTTGCTCGAGCTTCGCAATCAAAGACTGTCCCAGCTCAAACCATTATTCAAATGAATGTAATTTAGGCCTTGAAAAAAGACCCATTTAACAGAGTATCAGCTATGGAAGTGGTGCGTGTGATACATTGCATTGCGTCGTTGTCCAATTTGATTGAGGTTAATCACGATCAAGAGTTGTTCAGTTGAAAGCTGTTCAAAGGAACCGTTCGAAATGTGTACTATCCTGGGCTCTGCGGAGAGGAAGCACTGCCTTGTCGAGGTTGATCTCCAGTGCCTTGATGAGGCTCGCCTGCAGTGCTTGCGTTGTCCTTATATAGCGCCGTGAACTTTTCGGTTTTGCTCTTGCTCGAAGTTTGTCTAACATTTTTGTGAATTGCATCTGCTTGAGCGTTGTCCTCTCTCTGTCGTGTCTTCTCCTCTGCTCATAAATCAGCAACTAGGTCAAGAAAAACACCACCAGGACAAAACTAGCTTTACCTTCAGTCTGCACAGGATGGTAGAGAGGCTTTACCGATCCAATGTCGTTTTGCAACTTGTTTTTGGACCGTGGCATGAGCAATAATATGCGCCCTCCTTCGACCTCCGAAGTAACAAATAGATCATCACCACGTGTGTAGCCCTCAGCCATCCAACGCCATCTTGCAGTGACTTTACGGTCGCACAAAAACACAGCGCCGTCGCTAATGACTTTACGTGGCGGCTCGAGAAGTTCGGTCCTCTCATTGTACTGCTCAGGGTATTGTAGCAAGTCCATGGCCAACTGCTTACAAATGATGATGTCGTCTATATCATCAACAAACTTGACATGATTCTTGGGGACATCGACCCATTTTCCTTCGCCATCGATTGAAACGTCTATCCCCTGGCATTATGGTGTCAGGGAGGCTGTTCGGAAGAAGTGATGGACTTACCATGTCTCGGATTGGTGGCAATTCTTCTTTCTCAAAAACTTTCTGTCTATTTGGCCGTCTCCGACAACAGCAGCTCACTGTTCGGACAAATCTTTTGAACGCTCTCACATAAATCGACTTTGGTGGGCAGTCTGAAAGAGAACGATGCGGTTTCTCTAATTCATTGTCGAACCGATGCTCTCCAGGGCAAGGGTCATGGGACACTTGGTTACCAGAAGTCATTCTACACTGAGAGCAAGAGATATCAGGCCTAGAACTTTCAATCCCAAGGACCATATATGTAAAGACAGCGAATGCAGAGATATCGAGCTGTATGTTATGAGGCTCGTTCCATATTTCCCCACCTTTAGAGCACTAGTCCGACATACCGTTGGCATCGCGGCAAATGTCATTCCTTTTTATCCCTGGAGTGAACGGCCGTTTGTGACTGGTCATTTGTTGCAAGGTGGCCAAACACCTCCCTTACGAAAGGGGGCCAGGGTCTTGATCAGCCTGACAGAGCACACCGGTTTGACCCCTGGTTTAATCGGTTGATTGGGCTCTGGGGCTGTGTTGCACTGATTTCTTGCGACACCGGGCACAGTCTCGTTTTCTGATTCACTTGAACACAGAGGTCAGGGAAAGACTGCCATGAAGCCATCAGTTCGAAATCAGGAAAGTATTGCTGGTAACACAAGGTTGCGTGGACCGCTACAGGGGGCACAAGCTGCAGCCTAATCAATGCAGCAAGCCCAAATCATGATGCGTTTATCAAGGGGGAACCGGGGTCAGGCTGAAAGCAGGATAACTGAACCGACCAAAGCAGGAAAATGACCAATGATACTCATACAAGCAGACATTCCAATGCGTCTTTAGTCAAGCAATCACCAAAAGCCAGCCAGACACGACATTGACAAGGGCTCTACGCGGTAGGGCACTGCCCGAACGCAGGAAATAAGAGGCGCCTCGCGCCCAAGTATTCAGCCTCAGCTGAGACTACATGTGCATGACGATGCGTTGGGCATTATTTAGCCTGCTGCATGACAAAAGTTCCTTCAATCAATTAGTCGTGTAACCATGACACCTCTATGACCATGGAACGAGTTTGCCTCTCCAACCGGACTGAGGTCTCTTAGTGCCAGCATCCTCGTAAGACAAGATGAGAGCCTTACGAGTAGGGGTCAATCAGACAAGGTTAAAGCTTGCAACTTGCATAAAAATCACCATCATCGTCGACTTCATCTTTGGAATCACCTGCCAAAACAAAAAGAAAAGGGAAAAAGAAAAGGGAAAATACCCGACCGGCCAGGCATATGCCCCTTTGCACCTTGTCAAGTCGGGCGTTTGGCCAAACTGCGCCTTGGGGTTATGTCTGCGCCTTTACTTATGGGCGTTGAGGACTCTCAATGGCCCGGATATTCAATAAGGTAAGTACGTGTGCCCAAACTACACGAAACCAAGAGCAAGATTGTACAGCCAAGGCTCGAGACCTTTTTTTTACATCCGGGATCAGGCTGAAAATGTATGAAAACGGCCCTGGGATAATTGAAATCGGCATTTCGAGGCGTCGATGTTGAATTCGGCAGCACATATCCACGTCTATGAACATGGTAATTACTAATACTTCTCTGTGTCACTTTCGAATCGAAACATGCGCCATTGAAATCAATTCCACCAGGATTCTGCTTGCCTTTTGCGGATTCGCGATCATGCTTCACCGCTACACACCATGCAAAGCTCCAAACCGCCCAGTTCTAGGACTCTTACATTGGGAATGGCTGAGGTGATTATACGCTTTCTGGAAAAGGAAGAAAGGTCAGCAAGTTGTTGATAAACACAGAACATTCGTGGTCATTGGAGGGTCATCAAGCTCGGGTGCGAGAGCAACCAAGAAATGGTTCAATCTAGCAGCTCAGGCACTTTAATGATTCAAACTCAACGAGGCTTTTTCATCATCGCAAAGGATTCCTCGTTTCTACGAACGACAAAATTTGGTGTTGTGTGTGAAACAGGCAGAAATCTCGGGCAGCCCTCTGGGAATTGCTCGTTGAGGAGCAGCGTCCAGGTAGGAAAGCAGCAGGTGAGCAGAGTGCCAGTCACGAGCAGACGATGAAAAGCGGTGGCTCTACCAAAGGTACTCCCATGGTTTGTCATGATACTTGAGAAGTTCCTCAGGGATGTGTAGTCTCTGCTTTGGGAACAAGTATGGAGAATACCTGAGGTACCTAGATATTTTTAGTGTCGCAGGTCGAGGCTGCAGATGACGAATGAGGGAGATTCAAAAAAGATTCCAGGGTTTCTAGAACACCAACTTTCGCAGCACTCTCTCACTCAGCACATACTATTGACGCAAACCCCCCAACCAAGAATACATCTTAGACTGCTCACACGATACCTTACATTAATGTGTCTTTGTTCGCCTGCAATGACTCGATAGTCTACGTATTATATTTCACCATGGCTTCCGAGTTCATCGGCTACACCATTCTGGTCACGCTCCAAAGTTGGTGCAGTCCACCGAATGCCCAGTTACAAGGAGTTGTCGCAGACGTTAGAAATCAAAAACTCTTTCTCCAAAATGGTGCGCAAGACCTTTTTCTGTTGGTGGTGAAGGGTTGCTAATACTTTGTCCTAGTCTTGTGCCTTTGGAACGGACAACATCTCCCTTCACACGTAATCGAATCCTCCACGATTGCAGATCTCGAAGTCGCGCCCACACAGCAATCTGTTGCGGAAGAGAAGGACCAACATGGGCCTTTTGACCAGTCTCGACCTGCGCAGAATGCCTTGGCCTCCGACATACCCCAGAACCAGCAACATACCGCCGCGGCATTCATGGATCCGGCCATCATTAGCTACGCGAAACCACCTACGAAAGAAGCCAGACGCCCTTCAATACAGCAAGGCCCAGTGTCCCCTATCATGATCGCCGACGGTGTGATTAGCAATCACCCTGCGCGACTGCAGACTGGAGTGGCTCAGCGCGGCAGTTCAGTGTCCAGCATCGCTACTGCGGTCCCTAAGAAGGGTGCAGACAAGAACACACCGGCGAGCGCAACACTTACCGAGCCCTTTGATGCGTTGAGATTGGGAAACAATGTTGGTGCGAACAAGTCGGTGAACACTCTGAACAATATACCACAGGTTGCGTCACAGACTCGCCCTGGGATCATCGATATGAAGGATGTCAATAATGGGCCTTTGAAGAATCAGAAGAAAGCTGCAAAAGGCAAAGGCTGGCGCCAGACGCCGTTGATTGAGGAGATCCCACGGCAGAACAAAAAGAAGGCGCAGAGAGGCCGCAAGCAGGCCGAAGACGTGAACGGCTGGGCTACAGAAGATGCGACCGACATTCAAGACATGCCCGATTTCGACTTTGAAACGAATTTGTCCAAATTTGACAAACGCCGAGTGTTTGACGACATTAGACAAGCCGACACCACTGCGGAAGCAGATCGGTTGGTGAGCTTCAATCGCAAAGCACGTCCGGGTACCAATGGCGGACGTAATCTCCATTGGACCGAAAATGTTCTCGACACACCCAATGTCAAGACCGGTGACCGATGGCAGAGCGAGGCTGGTGAGACCGAAAATGAATTGGTGGAAGACCACTATAGTGGCGGAAAAGGATCAAAAAGAGCCGGATCGCGACGCCCTCTTCAATCCAGAAAAGGCAGTGTGTTACCGGGACACATTGACCGCACCGAGTCACCGCGACCACTGACTCGAATGCAGACATCGTCTCCTATGAATGGATCAGTGTCTGGTATTCGAGCTTCATTCAAGTTACCTAACAACAAGCCATGCCACTGCCTTTCGCCGCTTCAAATGCTGGAGATCGAGCAATTATGCACATCCGAATTGGGTCTGACGGAAGACATGCTTTCGGAAAATGCAGGCCGTAGCATTGCCATGGCGATCTTGAACCTTCCCGAAGCGAAGAATGTTGCGTTTTTGGTGGGCAACCACAAATCCGGTGCTAGAGCCATCGCCGCTGCCAGGCATTTGCGCAACCGAAGACTTCGAGTCACCATCGTTGTTCTCGGGGGCGAGCGTGAAGAGCTGCTCCTCGAGGTCATGCGCAAACAACTTGGGATCTACAAAAAGGGCCAAGGATACGTGGAACGATGGGACGAGTATCAAGCCAAAGTATCTCAAGGCGGAATGGTTCCTAACATTGTTGTGGATGTGTTACTCGGTGTGCATGTTACATTTGAGGAACTCCGTACAGACGATCAGGCGACGGTGCTGGAAATGATCCGATGGGCAAACCGGACTTCGACGATACTTTCAGTCGATGTACCCAGTGGACTATCTGCTACGACTGGCTTGCTGACGGAAGTCGATGGGCAACCTTTGGTCATGGCAAGCAAGCACATTGTCAGTCTGGGAGCACCGAAGACTGGACTACTCCATGCCATGGCGATGGAAAGCCTTGAGGTCAACTGGCAAGTCTGGGTGGCCGATATTGGGATATCTGCTGCAGCATGGCAAAAGCATGGATCTAGAAGACAACACGGAGTTGACTTTGGTACGGAATGGGTGATTCCTGTCAAGTTTGCGGTGGGTGGTTAGGTTTGAAGAAGAGGTCTGGGTTGATTTCAATATTACTTTTTGCTGCGTTCAAGCGATATCAAAAGATTGTACATACGAGTATGTTTTGAGGGAAGAAGAGAAAGGGCGAGAGAGGATCTGCCAGAGTCAAGAGCTACCACTAAAAGCTTGCATTATTACTTGACTTAGCTTAGTTGCTTCTACTGTATAAATACAAGAGCTTGATCTTTGAACTTTCATTATGGATTACAATAGGTTTGTTTAAACGCCACTACATATGCATGGGCTTGGTGGTGTGGCCTGGTTTCGGGCTGGGTTTGGAGTGTGTTTTGAGGGCGTCTATTTTCAAGCCACCACTGGTGAACAAGGTAGTAAGTACTCGGTATGATCCAGATTTAACTGTCCGTGGTGATGGCGGCTTGCGGCTGATGTTCCCTTTGTATATGATTGGCCCTAAAAATGGTGTCAGCACTTTATATCAATCTACTTTTTGGCTTGCGGTACGGAGTAACGCAGTGAATACTCCGTAATGTATATAAAATAGGCACCTTTGGTTTTGGCCCGCGCAAACTGGGATCTTGCGGCTGACATTGGCTTCTTTTTTTTGTCTCCTCCCGTGCCTTTGTTGCTTACTGGCCCCCCCTCCCATTGTCTACCTAGGGTGACTGAGGGAGCGGTTACAAGGTCTCCTACTAGTGGCCTGGGAAGGAGGGGAAACTTGGCTTATATTCTTGCCCTAGACTACGGGGATATATACTGTATGTACCTTGCTTTGTGAACAGTTGAACGGACCTGTCCAAATGATTTTGAGGCGGCCGAGGGATTTCAACTAATCCACGGGAAGGGCGCCTCCTACAGTATATCGAATGGTCAAATCTTGAACCCTTTTCCTTAGGTCTTACATCTCTGTGCCTGGGAAGACAATTTTAACATCACGTCCTCACGACTCACCACCACTACACCTCACTCTTTTGTTTCCTCTTTCTTTTCACTCGCCGGAATTCATTACACGATATTTTGGTTTTCCATCAACGAGAAACGTTTTACGTTGTTCAAAAGCTGACGATACGACAAGACTCCAACTCCGTACACGACTGCGACATTAGCACCGCTACTTCCCGGGATTGCCTTTCAGCCTCATAACAAAGGGGAGTCAAGTGTTAGGGAGTCAAAGGGAAGCCAGTCATACGACACGTACGAAAACCACGATACGGGACAATTCTACGACACTACCTAACTGAGAACGAATATTTGGGTGGGGCCAAGGGTGTGATTGTTGTCAGCCTCAGTATCGTAGTACTCGTCTACTGTACGGTCTACCTGGTACGACACGACGATGCAGACATCATTCCAACAAGGGTACATCACGGACCTGGTCTGCCCACCGCCGCCGCCTGGCAAGACGGCAGAGGATGTCCTTCAGATGGGTCTCTCCTTGGCCCTGGACATGGTCCATTCGGCAAAGACCATGTGCACTCTCAATCCTCTGGTGCAAGGGGTGCAACTTATGGAGACGTCACACCCGAAACTCGTCGACACTCGAGCTTTGGCTTCGACCTTCGGGGTCGACCACGACGACGCCGAACACGCCACGGGCCCCTTTGTCCAGTATGAAATCACGGACAAACTGCCGGTCTTTGCGGGTTACAGCACGACCTTGGTCTACCACAGTGCCATGAGGGAGACCAGAGACGGGTTGGAGAGTCTGACGAATCCGGGGAACGGGGTCACGATCCACGGGAGGTGGGCTTTGAGGGTCGGTAAGGAAGGACCGGGGGACGACGGTGGTAACAATGCCCGAAAGGAAATGTCGAGGCCCGGGCCACCCGAGGAGAGCGAGGACGGGAAATTCAGTCTCGGGAACGCCAGTGGGGTGATTCACCTGCTCGAAACACAAAACACCAGGTGCAACGTCATGTTGGGTTGGTACATCAAACAGAGTCTCGACAAGAGTCACCGAACCACCCACCAACGGTTCAAGGAGATGTGGAGGGAGAGGATGAAGATGGTCCTGTACCCGGAGAACACCAATTGATGAACTCTTGACTCCTCCCTGACCTGGAGCCCCATATCAAGTCTACTTTCTACGTTCGGAATTGAAGCAGAAGTGGAGGCGTAAGAGGCACGTTGACAAGGGACGCGACAAGAGAATGGACATGTTCAGCTCGCTTTTCGTTTTGGGAAAAGTAAACACCACATGGAGCGGCAAAGTCATTGAGTACTTGATTTGAGTGAAACACGTCGGGGAAGCGAATGCGAATGGTGTTGTGGGAATCAAATGGATGTGGATATGGAATTGTCTTCCTTCTTTTTTTTGATGATCGAGATGAAACGATTAAATCACACATTACGAAATATATACCTACCTGTATACTTGTCAATCATCCTTTTTGCACCCGCGTCAAAGGGGGTATAGATGTAGAGTTTGATGGTTGGGTATCTGTATGCTTCATCATGTTTCGTATCATGTCATTATACAACTCCGGGTACACCCTTCACGTCCCCCCTCTCGGTTTTATCCTTGAAAATGTTCTTGACACTCTTCAAGACCGGGGGCGCCAGAACCACGTCCTGGAGATTCTTTTGTCCGAGTTCTCCTTCCTCGCGCCGTTTCTTCTCCAGTTGTTTCCAAGGATCCACGTCGTCTGCGTCGTGGCTTTTCTTCTTCTTCTTCTTCTTTCTCTTCCCACCTTCGAGGGTGTTGTCTCGATCGACGCCCGCGCCTAGCCACAACAAATTATCCTCCTCGCGTTTGTCGGCCAGATCGTCATCCTCTTCTTCCTGCGCCGCGACCCTTTTGGCTTCGGTGAGGCGCCATTCGCGTTGCAGTCGCGCCAGACGCTTGTTGTGCTTCGTCAGTGGGGTCTTGATCTTTTCCAAACCGGGAATCTTGTTGATGCGGGTTTGGTGGCGAGGTACGGAGGTCAAGGGGAGGGATTGGTCCACACGGGCGGCGAATTCGGACAGCCTTTCGCCAGGGAGGATTTGGAGGGTAGCGTTCTTGTCGGTGTCACCGTCGTTGGCGGCAGAGTTTGTTGTTGTCGCATTGTCGGGCCGTGTCTCGGTCGTATTGGATTTCAGGTTTGACTTCTTGTTCTTTTTATTGTTTGTAGTCTTTACAGTGCCGTCGTCCAGACCAGACGGCAAACGTTTGCCTTGTTGTTGAAAGGCCATGAGCCTCGCAAAGGATTTGGGTGTGTCATCTTTCACACCGGCCTTTTTGGACGCCTTTTTCGCGTCGCGTTTTGATTTCTTGTCCTTGGTGGATTCGAATATCGTTTCCGACTTTTGGTGGACGGATAGAGTGCGTGCTCGAGAAGATGGAGGGAGGTCGAAACTAGATGGGTTCAAAGTCAGTTCTTGAGTTGCGGGTGGGTGTATCGCAGAATACATACTTTGATTCCGCTTGGTCTTCGCGCTTTCTTTTGTGTTTGTGAGGCATTTTGTGTCTGTGTGTGTCTAGAATAGTCGGGGGGATAAAAAGGGCAAACAGTAAATAGTGAGGCTGTCGAGAATTGATGTGACAAAAGAAAAAAAAGTTACGAGGCTGAATGCGGGGAAAGACAGAGGATCGGGGATCGACGAGGCTGACATGGAAGGCCACGACAAGGCCGAGATCGAATTATCCCCTTCCCACCTTCACCATCTTCACTACCTCGATATCTTCACCACCTTCACACCCGTCCCTTGAAAAAAGAAACAAAGGATCCTGTGAGAGACAAAAAGTTTGGAGAGTCGAAGCCCTGACTCAGGGCTCCTTTTTTACTTATCCCGACTATGATCACACTGTCATCCCCTCGTACCTTGGTCAAGGGATGTCCCAGTCACATCATGGAAACCTGCCGAACTCCCAGTTTTTAATCCCACTCGAGCTGGTTTCCAAGGATAAGCCCGACCTCCGAACCACTTATGACACAAAGTCGCAATTCGACGTGGTGAGTTCTTTACCGGTGGGCCATCAAGGCGATCAATGTTGAAGGAAATTCGACTGGAATAAATATGTATAGGGTTCCGAGTTCACAGGTGAATCCTCGGATCACTTGAGTGAATATGTCGTTAGTACATGCAATTCGGGCAGGTATCGTTGGGTAGGTCAAGGAGGTATTGAAGAAATGGTGGTTGCGATTCGAGTGCAGATCAACACCCCTGATCTACACAGCCTTATTTACGTACCTACTCAGACACAACTGAACGCAGTTCATCTACGCGATCAAGTAGTACAATACACCAATGACAGAACGAAGCGAACATTTCTGTTTGTTTTGATACATGCACCAACACACGTCTGGTGACTGCACCACAATTTTTATTTTCTGATTTTGACCTTTTTTTGTAAGGTTTGGTTGGGAGTTGTCCCCCTTTTATGTCGTCTTCCAACACCATGCCGATCTCAGCTGAATATATGACCGGCATCCACCAGATACACGCATGCTAACATCCAAACTCCAAACCCTCAGGGCTGTTTGCTCTCTAAGAAGGAGCAGCAGCTTTTCATGTGCATGTTGGCTGGCTTCCGGCGCACCAAGCTCCAGCGGGACAGCACTTGAAGGACGAAGCAATTCCTGGCCACTTTGAACTGCCAGCAACACCGTTGGTGCATATGTCCCCAATAGGGACTTTGCCGCCATCAGCGTGGAAAGCATCGCTATGTGAGCCGCTGCAGCCATAGTCTCTGATTACATGGTAAGCCATGGGGGGGTCAATCAACAAAACTCAACAGAGGCACTTACTTCCAAAGGGTACATGTGTATCCAGCGGGGAACTGCATGAAACCTAACTGGTCATTATATTGTTGAAGGTTGCCGCCATGCAAGTCAACTGTGTTGATCAGTCATGTGCTTTTTCCGATGGCCTTCAAAGAAAAACAAAAGCTTACAGCAGCTTCCGTCTGCATTGACAGCAAATCCGAGGGATGTCCCTCCATCAGGCTTGGACAGGGTGACTGTGATAGCATTGGCGCCGAGGCTGCTCAAACAAAGCGCCAAAAGAGAGGTGGAAGGGAGAAACTTCATGATTGAATGTTGAGTAATGCAGGGTGAGCCGGTCTGAAACGAGTGATCTAGTATCAATAGGAGTGTTAGAATTTCGAAAAGAAAAACGTCGGGGAAGAGCTTGGAAGACGGCCATTTTATATTCAATTGAAAGCCTTCTCCCACCTCCTTTGGATCTTCCAACACCGCAATGGTACTGTAATCTTCCCATCTTTCCCAGTGGACCCAGTTGAAATTGTCTTACAGTGTAGACGTAGTGAGCCTCAGCCTCGAGCGGCAATAGCGCTTACAGTCGTCGACGAAGATACTTGTTTGGTCTGTAGTGTGAAGAGGTGGACGGCGGTGAGAGATGCATTAGACTTGTTCAGAAACATTGTAACATTCCGGATCAAGTTTGGTCAGATAAGATCGGATTCAGACAATGCACTTTGCCAGCTGATGTGTTTTCATGTCGTGTGATTGTTCTTCTGCCCAAATCCCTGTCGGTTCTCAGCCTTGGGGGCACCCATATAGAGATGATTTCGGCAAATGTATCGACAGTCAAGGACCTGCACCGTAGCTTCAAACAGCCCCAAGGAATATTCAATCTCAGTTAATGCGAAAATTCCCACCTTCGGTCAGGAGTAGAGATTATGAAAGGGTGGTAGTAGCGATAGAACTGTCATGGGGGCTGATGCAGGTGTCAGTGTGGTAAGGATGAGATAGGCTTGCAGTTTGCCAGCTGAGATATCTCAAGCGAAAGGTGCTTGTCTGATGTGAGGAGGCGAGTCAAGAGAAGGAGGAGTGTTGGTTGAAGTTGACGAAGACCGGGGACTTCGAATCCATAGCCACTCCAGGAAAGTGTTTCCTGCACTCCCATTCGACGCCTCCAACATGGGTCTTCACAGCTTCATTTCACTCGGAGGCCGACAGACAGCTCGACGAATAAACAGAGAACCCCTGACGGCGTACAACATGCTAGATTGGTTTTAGGCAGTAATGTGCTGGGAATATCAGTAATCTGAATATTTCCAACATGTACTCGTACGAGTTGAGGAGTCGCAACCAAAGTCCCTCGAGGTTACGCCGAATGAAAAGTCATCAGGCCAATACAGTCACGGTCTCGATCATGGTGGAACGTAAGACGATGATGATTCTGATGATTCAATAGATGAACTGAGAAAGACATTCTCTTGCCCGCGCGATAATTCTTTCTCGCAGAACTCACACATACACATACGACAAACACACAAAAGTTCACCCGTGCACCTTCCACTCAGGTCCTTCTGCGCTTAGTTGAAGTTGACACCCCCACTGCAATTGAAAGTCTGGCCTGTGTAGAAAGCAGCCTCAGGGCTGGCTATAAAAGAGAACGTGTGCGCAATATCCCCCGGCTGGCCCCTCCTCTTGACGACTTGTTTGGCGACGACAGTGTCGAAAAGCTCGGAAGCTCCCTCGTGACGCAACACGCCCGGTGTTTCCACAAGCCCAGGAAGCACTGCGTTGATCGTCACTCCCGGTCCAGCCTCGATGGAGGCCGCGCGAACGAGCCCGACAATGCCAGCTTTCGAAGCGACATAGGCGGTCATCCCGGGCAGAGGACCTGCAAACGTCGCCGACGAGGTGTGTATGATGCGCCCGTACGCGGCTTTTTGCATGTAAGGCAGAACTGCACGGGTCAGATAAAATGACCCGTCTAGATTCGTCGACCTCGTCCGTCGGTACTCGTCTGTGGGGAAGGCGAGTAAGGGATGCAATGGATATATACCGGCGACGTTGATGAGTACGTCGATTTTGCCGAACTTCCTGACCGTCTCGGCGACCGCAGTGGACACGGACTGTTCGTCGCCAACGTCGCAAATGTGGATGTCTGTGGCGGGATGTCCCGCGGTCTCGATTATCGACGCTTGAATCGTCCGGAGCTTTTCCTCGTCGATATCCAACATAACGACCTGAGCCCCTTGCTGTGCAAAGAGTCGAGCTGTTGCCTCTCCAATACCAGATCCGGACCCGGTAATTACAACGACATGGTGGGCAAACTTGTCAGGATATATCTTGATCGGAGGCGGACAGGCTCCTTTCTCATGTTGAAGCTCGGCCATTTGATTACGGTCTTTCTCAAGATTGCACCCACGAAGGAAGATAGGCGAATGAGTCGATTACCGAAATAGAATTTCTCGAGATCTGATCACAAGTGAGTGAACTTTGTCCAGGATAATGAACAATATGGGCGTGGTATTGTTATATAAAGGATCTGAAGTAAAGACGCGGCTTATAGTCTGAAAATACACAATTGATCAAACCTACCGCCCATCTAGCCTGCCGACAAAGCTAGGAACAACGGACCTATTGATCGAAGGTGTAAAGAGCGTTAATCTATGCATCGTTATAGTGCTCTGGGGTACACGACCTGGAGATATTAGTCGTAAATCGGGAGTGGGGCGGACTTCCGAGAGGGGCGGAATCCGGGGAGGAGGAGAAGTTTAGGAAGGGGAGACCTAAAGGGGCAATGTCAATGTCATACTGTTCGACATGGCAGTTCTAGAAGGCAAGGCTTCTTGCAAGGGACTCACGTCCAATTTTGAACCTACAGATGATCTTTTCTAGTAGCATCGTAGGCCATCTGGTGCAACATATTCTTGAAGAAATGGTCGATTCAAATGACCCAGTGAGCGGCGTTGTAACAATATGGTCAGAAGCAATAGTGATCATGTATGAATGGAAAACTTTCCAGGAGGAAGTACTACCACACCCAAATTGTCACATAAGAGTGTTATTGAGGTCGAGCTTCTGCTGCGAACAGTCACCTACAATGCTCCATACGGCCGGATGTTGAGACGCCAGCCCTGTTCTGAGTTGAGTGAGATCTTGTTCTACACATCTCTCTGCAACGGTAGGGTAACTTAATTCACCAGTCTGTACACCTCATACTCGGCAGCGGTGCCCTGTTCATCTATATGCCAATGGCCTTGTCCGACGAGGACACTACTCTCCAGCCACTTGAACTCCTTGGAGCTTGTCTCGATCACCGGTGTCGTGAACCACTCGGTATCACCATAGTCGGTGGCTTTGGCGTCACCGCTGGCCGCGATGATTTTGCCGACCGCCTCATTCATCTTGAGGATGCCGGGATAGTGAAGATACAACGTGTCTCCGGAAGGCGTCGCGGCGATTATCCTGACATTGAGGTGCGCCGTGCCAGTTGTAGGATCAAGCTTCAAATCTCGTCAACACAACACGCCAGTACGATAGGTATGTAGATGGTTGAGGCGCGAGTAGAAGTGTCAAAGAGTGCCGATCCTTTCACATACCAAGATATAGTCGGCCGAGAATGGCTTCAAATCTGCATTGAAACCAGCCGCAGGGCCAACTCCTCTGATAAAGCCACCTTTGGCCTGGACTAGCATTCTATGCGCACCACCTTTGACCGGTATTTCGTTCAGAAGCTCACCACCCACTGCAATCTGCATAAATTTGTAAGCATGTTTCGCATAGCATAAACACCCCCACGGCGATGGACAGTCCGCCAGGCACCGAAGAGACTTAACATGGGAGAGGCAACTCACATAGCCACGGAAGTCCAGCACTTTCTCAAGCTTGGGCGCCATAATCTTCCGCTTTCTCAGATTGTCCGGTCCGAATCCGTCAGGTAAGTGTCTGTTTGAATATCATAAAGGATCATGACATGGAACAAATGGACTGCGTTGTATATATAGCAAGGCACCAGGACCTAGCGGCCATCGAAGTGGGTATCAAAGGCTCTCTCCGCCCCTCCTCTACCGAAGCTTTGCCTCTCTAGACTCATAGCCATCTTCGAGGCTCAAGCGTTGCATGAAGCCACCCGTCATCCACCCGACATGTGCAGAGTCGTGGGATTTGCGAACGAGCAGATCGTGTTGTCCAAGACAAAAGTTTGCCCCGAGATTACTTCGACGGACAAGAGAGTCCGACAAGGAGAATGGTCAACCTTTGAAGGTGAGGCTGCCTTCGCCTAATGCTAAATGTCAATCGCCAGCCGCTCACTCTCTTAATCGACCTCGATCGAGCGAGCTCACATCTGTCATCCGGCTTGGGGGTATGAGCGGTAACAGAAAATCGAGAGTTATCTGTGGGCGAAACAAGGACACTGGGTATCACAAAGTTTTGAATCCCATCAGAGTGATGGTGATTGAAGAAAGGGGTTGTAAAAGCAGCGCCAGCTGAATACTAGGTATGTTTATGAGTTTCATTCGCTGCTTTACAAGTGGATCGACACGGCGCCAAACTCCGCTGCTCAGTTCACTTTGAGTCTTCACAAGTTTCTGAGGCTTTCCTCCCTACTGCTTCTCCTGTCATTATTGCCAACATGTCGTTCGATGCGGAGAAGGTGCAGCGTGTTCTCAAGAAGGTGCCGTCCCTTTATCGAGGACCCGGTGGTGCTGTCGCTGTCCTCAAAGATGGCAACCTCGTCGGCCAACATGTCTGGGGTTACGCTGACATGGACCGACGGATCCCCATCACATCCCAGGTCCTCTTCCCAATCTGTTCGATCACGAAACAATTCGTTTCCATGTTGCTGCTTGACCTTGTGGAGAAGCCACCGCCGTCGATGACCCGTCAGGGGCTCCAGGAACAGTTGCTGGCCAGACTCCGTGAAGTCGTGCCCCCGGAATTTGTCGACGAAAGCGGATTGACCGTGGAGAACCTGGTCGACATGTGCTCCGGACTGCGTGACTACTGGGCCCTCTGTACACTCCAAGGCAGTCGGCCGGACACCCCTTACTTGCTGAATGAGCACAATCCGGACATGCTGCGCCGCATCAGGTCTCTGCACTTCCGGCCGGGCTATGAATACTCATACGCCAACACAAACTTCAACGTCATGGAGCGACTCATCGAGCACGTCACGAAAGATTCCCTGGGCAACCTGTTTGCCGAAAGGATCTTCGGTCCGGCCAAGATGAAAACGGCGCGGTTGTGTCCCCGCACCGACAGGTTGCCCGCCCCCATTGTCGGGTACGAGGGGTCGGAGAAGTTTGGATTTTTCCCGGCACCGAACTTCATCGAATGGTCTGCCGACGCCGGCTTGGTGGCTTCACTCGACGATATGGTCGCATACGAAAAGCACTTTGACCGCAGGTACACGGACCAACAGGACAGCTACCGAGACGCGATTACTCCGCGTGAATACAGGGACGGCGCCCGGGCAAAATACCGCTACGGACTGCGGCATGCCGATCTTGGACAATACAACACGATGGGCCATGGCGGAGCCCTTCGCGGCTACAAACTCATGCGTCGTTACGTGGCTGGCGAACGCCTGTCCGTTGTCGTCTTGTTCAACCATTCCGCCAGTGCGCCAGAAGCCGCCGAATACATTCTGAAGCAGATCCTGGACGTATCCGAACCACCGCCGTTGGCGGTTCAACCTGTTCAACAATGGTTCGGATCATTCCTCGACCCTGAGACTCAACTTTCGATTCGAGTTCGGCCAGGAGACGTCGCGGGCAAGATCAAGATCGACTACGTGAGAGGAGAAGAGACACTCAGACTCGTCGATGCAAACAAGGCTGAATCTCCCGACGTCGAGGCTTCGATCGACGGGGACATTCTGCACGTGCGCCGCTTGGACGACAACCGCGTGCTGACTGCGCGACGCCTTCTGAAAAACCATGATGCGGGCGCCATGATTGACAGATCACAATCACCAGTGCAGGGTACTTATCGATGCGGCGAGACAGAGTCCACCTTCATCTGCGAGGGGGAGGGTGACATGCTGTACGGGTTGTTTGATGGTTGCTTCGGCCGGGGCCCGCCACACCTAATGACCCATCTCGGTGAAGATGTGTGGGTGTTGGCCGACCCACGCGCCATGGACGATACACCTCCCGGCGATTGGACTGTCGTGTTTGTTCGAAATGAGCAAGGGGCCGTGGTCAAGGCCAACATCGGCTGCTGGCTGGCTCGGAAGCTTGACTTCATGAAAGTGTAAAAGGCCCGTTGCAAACGGCAATCTCGGAGAGTCACAGTCGCCTGCCCATCACGAAAAGCGTGCCTTTTTCCCTGCCAGTAGCATAAAGAACTTCTCGCGAAGAAAATACCATCTCATTCGCAGGCCGTTCGTTACATTTTTTTTTCTTGGCGTGATCTTGACATACAACAGGTATAAGTTGCCTTTATTAGAAAGGGGGGTTCGCTTTAGGGGGGATGGGTCTTGGGCCTGGTGTGCCGGCCAGTCCGAAAGAATTCAGAAGATGCCGAATTACCTCAATTACTACTTGATGAATCAAATGGCGTATCTCTCTCTGGGGTAGATGGACAAAAAGAAAGAGAGAGAGAGAGAGAGAGAGAGAGAGAGAGAAAAGACGAATCTTTCAAATCGCTCCGAGTAACGACAAACAGTACAGTATTAGTATAACAATAGTACCTTGGTAAGTAACACGAGTAAGAGTAGAGTATAACACACATATCAACCACCAACAATTTACCATATCAAATGCCTTTCTTGTCCTCATACACTCTCATCACACCGCTAGATATATACCACATATACACATATAATATACACATACCGTACCACATATATACTTGCACGTCCTCATACTGGACCATTGTGTCACATTACTCTCGGTGAACTTAGTTCACACCCTGATTCGAGACCTGATTCGTGACAAGGGGCTCTCTAGGCACCCTAAACCCAGGCTGAGACCAGGACACGGCTCGCCTTCCTGGCCCTGGCAAACCCACGCCATGATGACCTCGATGTGGTGCTTCGATACTCATGTTCCGATTCTCCCCTAGACTCGGACCTGCAGTCCGTACAAAGTTCAACCTGGGACGGGATGCTGATGGAGAATCTATGTCCGACTCCGAACCCGAATCCAAATCCATAGCATCAGGTCCGATAGCCTGAATGTTGGAAGTCGACGCTGCACGTCGACCTTGATCTTGTTGTCTCATCATGTTCCGATTCCTATCCAGACCACCGTTCTTCCTTTTCAAGCCAACCAGTGCGCCATCACTCCTTGTCGCAGGCGTGTCACTAATTCTCAACAAACTAAACTTGTTCTGGATCTCACAGATTGGGAATGACCGTTCGAGAGAAGGGGATGGTGACACCGTAGGGCTAGGAGATTCAACCTGGTCAGTGTCAACACTTGGTCCCTTGGAACGTCGTCTCGACGACGAAATGCTGTTGCTTTTGCTTTTCGATTTGCCTTTTCCGTTGAGTTGGAGAGGAGAGTCTACTTCGCTCTCGTCATCGCCATTCTCCGGAACACCTTGCTTAGATTTGGTTCCCACCGGTTTTGGCGTTGTCTTTGTGCTTCTTGACGATATCGGCCGACTTGACCTCCTACTCCCTGATGATTTAGGTGCGTCCTCTTCGTCAGAACCAATACTTCGACGCTTTGGGGTTACCTTTTGACCCAGAGGAGGTACTCTTTTGCCATTTCGGCCGAGGTTGTTGACACTCTTGTCATGAACCTTGTCTTCTTCATTGGACGTAGAAGGTTCACCCTCGTCGTCGTCGTCGCCTGTATCTTCATCTCTTTGCGTTTGCCTCGCTTCTGTACTAGACCCGGCGTGAGTCGTTCTCGCCTCGGCTTTGCCAGATTGGATTGGCGACATTCTTACCGCTCGAGACCCATGGCCGTCGAGTGTACCCGAGCTAGCCTCTTCAGAATCAGGTAATGTGAGCGGCGATATGTCATCGGAGCTAAAAATATCCACCATATCGACATCGATCTCACTCTCTAGCGCAGCTTCATCCTTGTGCCCATCGCTTGGCCTCTTGGAGTCATTTTGTGGTTGTGCCGATGAAGCCATGACCGGCTTCCCTTTCGAAGGTGCAGGCGACGTAACTTGCTCATCAAGGTCATGTCGTGTCGCAGCTTCAATTGCTTGAGGCGCATCTTTTCTCTTCCTTGTCGAACTTCTTTGGGGACGAGGAGAGGTTGACGGCGAATCGATGTCACCTGTCCTCACTGCCTCCTTGCCTTTCCTCGAGGAGCCTTTCCTGGTTATGCTCTTCCTTGGCAATGAAGACGGCGTTGTCTTTGTTCCGTGTGGATCGTCTTCTTCATTTCTGGAAGTAGCGGACGGTGTCTGAAGTGAAGTACCTGTATCAGGTAATTTGTCTTCTTCATTTCTGGAGGTATCACACAAGTCCTGAGTTGGAGTGCTGGGATTAGGACGTTGCGCATCTCGTGCAGCCGAACCGCTGGGACCACTCCGGGGAGGAGTGATACGCGAACCAGAGGCTTGCTGTCGGGGAGATGCCTGCTGTCTGGGACCCCTTTGCATTGCGCCACTGCGGGATCGAACAGGTGAAGGCCCTCCAATCTCCTCCTGGTCATTAACATCATAGGTGAGAAGGCGTGTCGGGAACCATGGATTCCCATTCGAGTCCTTCAACCTCCGCTCTCTGGTCTCAGGATCCAAGGCCGAATTACCATCAACATCCGGATATACCAAGAAACGGACAAACGCTGTTGTCAGTTGACGTGGCGGGTCGACATCATACGGCTTGACCTCTTCCATCCATGTGACCCAATAATTGATTGCCTTTCTGGCGGTTTCGAGGCTGAGTTGGAAGAATTCGTCATGTGTCTTTCCACAGGGACAATTCAAAAACATCTGCCGCTCCTTTGCGTGCTGAATCTGAAGAATCCTTTCAACTCTCAAGCCGTGACGGGTCTTCCATTCGCCTATACTCCTGTAATCCTGACCGCAGGAGGTTTGCCATTGGCGTAGTCGCTTAACGGGGTTTGTTGAGAAACCAATCTTCAAGTATCCGGAAGCATTGTCCAATTGGAATATGTAAATGAAACCCTCCGGTGCCTCTTGGTCCGAAAGACTTTGTCTAATCTTGTCCCATAATTCTTCGTCTTTTTTCTGGTAGGGTTGAAAATGATGTCGTTGTGGAGAGGTCTGGTCCGGCTGACCCAAAGTGTTTGGTGATGCGGTAGCAGAATTCTCAAGTTCCTCGTCGCCTGTGGCAGAACCGTCTTCCAGCGCTCTCGTTTCTTCCGCGACATCGTCGACCCCGGCGGCTTCCGTATGGCCGTTAAGGTTGTTGCACCACGCAGTCAATTGCATATGCCACTTGGTCACGATCCGATCAAGCATCGTCCAGATCTTGCTTCGTTCGTAGTGATCGACCAATTCGTTATTCCACAGAGCCATGTACTGATCAATGACCTCGGGAAGGTTGTTGTGCATATTTGGGTGACAGCAAGAAATGATATACGCCTTCAGAGTCGGGCGGAACGACGAGTGTGTCGGGTCTGTCTCCAAAAGTATTTCACGCAACTTACTCCTCCAATGCGTGGTGTCCTGCTTCTGTTTCAATGGTGTCTGACATCTTGTAGCATCCGACGTCTGACGTCTTGTAGCATTCGACGTCTGACATCTTGTAGCATTCGTCGTCGTCGTTGGCACAATACATTGGCGTTGAAGACGATCCATGTCGAGAAATCTGAAGGTTACTTTATTCGGGGCAACATCTTCGTGCTTCGGCCAAGCCCCAAACCCCTTCAGGGCCCAGATAAAACCCCACCAGAGGCAGGGAATGAACAACATCAAGATGGAGAGAGAGAAGCGAAAGATACGTGTGTATCTTTGGTAATCGGCGGCTGACATTCTGGTTGGTTGTGGAACGCAGGCAGATGGTACAGAGTACATTGGCAGGTACTGGCAACAGCATACCATGTTAAGTAGTATCTGGTTCAAATGCCAAAAACCGCTCACACGGTTGCCAATTCTGGGGATACTGGGCTGTACCTGCAAGTGACCCACCTCCATCAAGTAGCATGTCACTAGGGGAGTGCATTAATGCGTCCACATGGTCGCTCGACTGGTCGACCCAGCCCCTGGTATCGAGTTCGAGCGTATCGCGCAAGACATGACGTGGATGCCTCGTTTCATAGTTAGTTAACGAGGTATGTAAAGGCATAAACTCCGCACAACATGATCAAGATCAGGAGTTATCGTTCTGGTTGAGTATAGAGTCGTGGTACATACATTCAAAGATACTCCCCGTATCTTGACGCTAATGTCGCGGTAACAGACCATACTAGATACAGTAAGGTGTAAGGCTGGGTGAACAGGGGTTGACGTCTCTTTCTGGTCTCTTGCATGGGTGGCTTGTCGCACCTCGTTTAACCTGCATCTGTGGCTTGTTGTCCCTGAATGTTTGCTTGTACTTTGAAGTCTCATCGGCCAAGAGATATCCACAGAGTGATTTGGGAGAGATAGGGCCGGGAGGCCGGTGTTTCCGCAGCCCAGCCGCATGGTACCAATAGTGCCTTCGTGTGGCGCCATCGAGTGAGTACTTTTGGGTTGTTAGCAACATCGTCAACGCCACAATGTCGTATTGAACTTGTCCCCAGTATGGACTTGGTATGGTTGATTGCATGACACTGACCCGTCGCGTCCGCGAACCTGACCTGACTCAAAGTGTCGCATTTGGAGGGTCAATAGCAAGGTATTCCTGGTAATGCTCAGTCGAACCAACAGGGATAGACGCACGCGAGCTAGGATCATCTGGGTGGTGGGCTGAAGGTCATTCCAGCCGGGGCGACATAGCCAGTTTGATTGTTCGAAGCTCCCTCAGGTTTCCTAGCCTGCTCTTCCCGAAACTTGACCTCTTTTTCATTCTGGGCAACGGCACAACAACAGCAACAAAAGCCCTTGACACAATCTCCGGGCACATTGCCCGCCTCGGTATTCATGTTATAAGTTTTGCGTACACGTGTATGCTGTATAGCTGACAGAAACCCATTTATGCCGCAGAGGATTGCAAAAGCTAAGCAAGACCCATTAAGAACATTATATCCCAGCATGTTTGTTGGGTCTTTTCTCTCCCCTCGTAAAGACAGTCGATACTGTGCCTTACCATATACGATACAAGGGCAGAATAGACCCGTCAAGCAGATCGAGGGCTCTGCACATGAGCAAAGCCCGTGCTGCCAAGAACCGCCTTTTATTGCCTGCGGGCTTGGTGTGTATACGCCGATAGAGAATTGAGCAGGATTGGCAGAAGGAGGAACAATAGCCATATTTGTACTTGCTCTTTGTAGTCCCCTGGGAATGGGAGATACCAGCGGGTTGGCGTCAGGGCTAATTGGGACTGATGGCTTATTGTCTGATGAGGATTGCTTCACGGGATCAGGAGGTTGAGGGTTCGGGGGTTGTTGTTGTTCTTGAGCAGACGACGGTGTAGGGAGCGCTAGTACTTGTACAGGTATGTGCTGGGTAGAATAGGCGCTTGGGAACCGCGGATCCTGCACATGCTGATGTTGCTGGTGCTGGTGCTGAACAACAGCCGGGTTTTGTATATGATATGGGTGCTGCTGTACCACGGTCGGATCCTGTATATGATATGGGTGCTGCGCCGATGCGGAACCCTGCGGCACTTCCATGTTCTGCATCTGTTGTACCGCGGGTGCTGGGCTACTTGTTTTCCTTTCTCTTCCCGTATTATGTTCCCATGAGCGATTCTCTTCGTCCGCGGGTGTTTCCATCCACGAAAAGCGAACTGGAGCAGTAGTGTTTTGAGGGGGTTGTAGAGAGGTCGGAGGTCGGACTCGAGGATATTCGTAATTCTTCATTGTCGCAGTCGCAGTCGCAGTATCAATCGGCAAGCCAGCTGCCGTGTGACGCTACCGTAGTATTGCTCTTCTTTGCCAGCAGTTAAGCGAATAGACGAATGCACCCTAGGTACGTAGAGGACTCGGTGTCTTTTTGTTTCCGACGACGGCGGTGACAACATGGATATAAAAAAACAACCAAGACAGCAGGATTGAACAATGTACCTTGCTTGCTTACCTTGTGACCTCGCGCATCGCCTCACATCGGCGGCGTAGGTGAGGACATTTCTTTCCGGGGAGGAATATCACAAGCACGCGTGTCCCCCCTCCCCAAAGATCCATCACTGGTTGCTTGGGAGCCATCACCGTCGACGATTGGACTGCAGAGGTTGCAGGTAACGACTCGGCAAAATCGGGGCGCTTACAGAGAGGGACTTGACGAGGACAGGGAAACAAAAATAACCGGGGGGGCGGCGGCGTCGTTCGTCAGCTGTGCATCCGGGGGTACTCGGCAGGGGGTTTTTTTAGTTGTACGGAGTACGAGAACGAGACAAGCGAGTCTTGGGAGGGTTTTCTTGGTCGCCAGCCAGGACTGGAGTGGAAGCGCTGTGATGTATGTAAGTCGTGTCGGTTGGTTGATACAGGAGTGAGTGACTTTTGTGCATTAATTGCTTACCTGTATTAGTTACTTGCTGCGTTCCCGCAACCATCGCGTCACCCATTTCGAAGCGCCGTCTTCAACCAACCCACTTTGTCGTTGGATGCGGCAGTGCAAGTCTGACTTATTAGCCCTTAGACACCATTCTGGATCTACCATCCTATTCTTCCATCCTCAAAAACATAAACTGACACGAGGTTTTAAAGATAGATCTGAAGAGGGGTTTTGCAAGGCCTACGTATACTTATTTGAGTTGTATACTATATTTCTATCTTGTAACTTTCCCGCCCCAGCCTCTGCTGCTGCTCCTCCTCCTTTTCGGGCTGCCAAAGATCATGGCTCCCAGGCCTCAAATCCACAGTAGGTAATTCCGCCATGTGCAGTTTTGCGCTGCCATACGGCCTCAACTCTACGGGAAACGCTCTGCCGGTACAATTGCGATGTCCCGGGAGTGGCGGATTGGGCGCGTACCCATCCTTCAACTCCCAGTCCAACTCACAAGCCAGGACGGAAATGCTCACTGGTGGTCGCTCCTCGTGCCAGATGGGATGTGGCAACCACTCGGCGTAACGATTTGGGTACTCATAGAACTTCAAGGTCGAGACGTCGATGGCCACATTCCACGGCTCTCGAGGCAGTATAGTCCAGTCTCTGGCCCGTTGAGGAGCCGAGTCTCCCGGATACCTCGCTGGCCGACTATATGAATAGTCTCCGGCAATAGACAAGGCATAGAGCAATGCACCGTGATAGATCGAAACCGTGTCGTTTGCTCGCTGCTCAATGCGCACCTGGGCGCCAAACAAGACTTCGATCCGGGTTCGGCCTGCCGGGACGATCATCGTGTGCAATCCCGTGGAACCGTCCGGCTCAAGACGATGAGCCTTGCCAGAGTCAACCCAGACGTTGCTCTCGTCAAGTACAGCCCATCCAGGCACTCGGAACGAAAATCTGAACGCGGATCTTGCTTTGATCTCATAGTTGAGGTAATTCGTAAATGGATAATTTGTCTCGCACTTGATCCGGACCTTGTTTCTTTTGTTCAGTGTCGTACTGACATGCGCCGGGCTGAGCAAAGCGTGAGCAAGTCCGTCATCGCCCACCTTCACAAACGAAGCCGGCACCCACTTCGAATACCCCTGCATATTGACAGTACAACAGGGGAAATTCGGCTCTGTGCCAAAAGTCTGACCCCAAGGACCAACGTTCCAGAACGGAGAACCATCGAGTTGATGACTTATTGGTTGATTGGTTTGGGCGATATACTGATGTGCCCACCAATGTGGCATAAACATTACCGGAAGAGCATTGTAAGCTGCCAGCTCAGACTTGTCGGCAAAGTCACGATCTCCCACAGCCTGATAGAGATAGTTGAGGGAGAACATGGTCTCCACCACACTGCATAACTCCGTGCCACGAACTGGACTGAGCCCAGCCTCGCGCTCGTCGCCGATAATCGCACCAGACGGGGTTCCATGATACTCAAACGTCCAATTGACCCCGTTCCTCGTGGTGTTGAGCAAGGTATCGTCCTGCACCAGTCTCCTCATGACCGCGGGCCATTTCAGGCCCTGCCCCGCGTTGACACCGTGCACGTAAGGGAACAAGCTATCGGTCAACTCGACCGGGTACGTATCAAGGTCGTTCTTGAGATAGTTGTCCTCGTGGAACCAATACGCCCAGTCGTATGCCATCTCGTACATGTGGACGATGCAGTGATGGATCTCCCTTTCGTTGTTTCTGGGGTGCTTTTCGTACAACCACTGTAGCGCCATGACCATGTCCGCGGCCCTCGATCGGCCCCATTGTTCGTCGAACTGGTCGCCGGGTTTCCACACGTACCCCTGATGCTTGTTCGAGAGCATCTGATACATGAGCTTGACGAAGCGGTGCATCGCGGGCAAGATCATGGCCTCGCCCAGTTCCGGTTCGGCCTCGACCAATTGCATTAACCCCAGGAACAAAGGGTACCTTCCCCAAAAATTGCGCCGGGACAGGTCGGTCTCCGGTCCCAGCCAGCCGTCGGCCTGTTGATGGCCAATAACCCAGTCGGTGACGCGGAGGACATGGTGTTTTAGTCGAGCGTCATCCGTTAGCCACGCCAACGGCACGAGAGCATTGTAGGAATATGGCCAAGCTTCATTTAACCCTGCTCCGGCCAGTGGTCAGTACAGAGCGATGCTGGACCCCTGGACGTTGTACAGGGGCGGGACGTGCCGAACGTACATGAATATTCCTGATCCCCTCCAAGCCAAGGCGCATCTTTGACCAGGCGATAGAACTCGTGCAAGTGACCCGGCAAGCCATCAGCCATTAGGTCCAGCTGTTGCTTGAGCCACCCCGAAGGCTTCACCTCGCCTAGTGGCAAAGGTTGAAATTTCAAAGGTAGTACTATTCAAAAAGTGAGTCAAACGCATGCCAAGTTGGCTTTCTAAAATTTGTGCACCGGGGAGAATGGAACGACAGGTGTTAAGGTGTTGCAAATTTTTCGCCACGTACATGTCGTATTGTAGGAATCCGGCTCTTTGATCGGTTGCTGTGGATCGTCTTTGGGTGATCGTACATTCCACCTCTTCCAAGAGAGTTCTGGGTTCGTCGTTATCGGACTCTTGGAAGATTTGTGGCAGCATCCTTGGTCTTGACATTGGGTTCAGTATTCATATACACAAATATAACCGATGAAATCCATATGGCGCCGTACCTGCATGTACCACAACTAGCGAACCACCAAGAAGCAGGGCTGATAATTTATACAACAATGCCCATGATAATAACAACATTGTTGTAGTTCCCTCCACTAGGCACACAGACCAAAATAAGGAAACCCCAAAAAGGAAAAAGGGAGAGTCTGCGCCGGCGCGAGACGACAAGATGTGTTTTATGTTTATGAAACTTGTAAGAATGTACGTTGGTGTAAGAAACGAATCCAAGTTTGACCGTGTGACCATCTCCGGCTATTGAAACTCCAACAATCATCAAGTACGAGTACGAGTACGAGTACGGAGTATTAATTTGATGCTTCTTTCTCCCCCGTCTTTCGGTCTCCAAAGATTACATAACAAGCATATGGATGGACGGAGTAGGTTAAGTGTCCGAATAGAACTAGTGCGGCGGGACGGTATCAATGACTAAGCTAAGATACCTACAACACCTAAGTTTCTATCTCGTAGAGATACAGACGGATGAGGAAGTAGAAGAGTACTGTTTCAGCTGAGCGCAGAAGCAGGGTTTTGTTCAAAATGACGTAGCCCCGAAGCTGCTGAAGCATTTTGGGCCAACGATTTCGCTGCATGATCATGCAAGTGCCTTGTTTACCATCTAATTATTTCTTGATTACCGTCGGAGCACCGTCAGCATCGTCGCCAGCAACCGCAGATCCGAGCAGGCCTGCATGATAGGATCAGCCCATCCATTCCCATCATCATTTGCGGTATAGGTGATTTCCGTGTGTATTTGATCAGTCTGATGCTGATTCTCGGGAAGACCATCAACCATAAAACAACAAGCAACGCTCTCACCAATATCCCGCATAGCTATAAGATCTACAGTCCATAATGGTAGATACGAAGAGCCAGGCCTGGAAAAGGAAATATGTCAACGAGCCTCGCAATCCTGACCGCAATCGAACCCAAAATGCAACCAAAAATTTAATTCACAATCAACACCGCGATCAAGATCGCAATTCACACCGCGACGTCAATCGAAGGCCAGCTCCCGAAGGCGATGAAGTCAATCGGTCCAGAATACCAGAATTGAACCCAGGCCCACCTACTGGAGACGATATTCAGCAACGTCTCGGACAACCCGGAGCGGTCGACGACGTCACAAAGACAAGACCGGCCGCTATTCACGTGTTGGCACTCAAATGGCAAGACAGTGAGGCCAAGAAAATGAAGCCGCCATATGATTTGGTTTGTCGGGTATTTTCTGAAGAATTGGGGTACGATGTCACCAAGTATGATATCCCGAGAAAAGACGCAACGCAAAGTTTGCGCCTCAAGGTGGCCGAATTTCTGCCCCCCGACAACTCTCCCAGCAGTGATACGTACATCATCTACTACATTGGCCACGGAGGCAGGGGCAGTGACGAGAGTCTGAGCTTTTTCAGGTACGTACAACTTGCAGCTGACCAGCCAGCCAGCCAACCCAACCTCAGAATCAGGCCTGACGAAGTTTTCTACTAGTCATCGCGGAGAGACAGAAGAGGACCTCATTGAACAATTCCAGTACGTATCATGACCGCAGTGACCCCATCCAAAGTTCTCTACCTCCGTGAAGGAAAAGCGATTGCATGCTCACCGACTGACTCTCACCACAGGGAGGATGGAAAGAAAGCCGGACGCGTGAGGCTACCCGAGGTCCTGACCCGCCTGCCCCAATGCGACCTCGCACTCATTCTGGATTGCTGTTACGCCGGAGCGGCTTTCAATGACATAGACACAACTCTTACTCCGAATCATTTGTACCAGGTGCTGGCGGCAAGCACAGCGTACGGGAAGACTTGGGACGGGCAGTTCAGTAAACGTATGTGCGAATTTTTGCAACGCAAGAGGAAGGAAAGGTTGGATAAAGTGTCGATCAGGGCCATCTCCGGGACCGTCAGGAACACACTTCAACTGCGTTATCCACGAATGGGACCGTCTAACGACGAAGGGCACCACAATACGGTCATTGACCACCCCAAAGCATCGCACGATGACGCGATAAAGCTCCCACTGGACCTTCCTGTCCCCCGGCCCCAGAAGGTGATAGACCGTAAAGTCGTTCACTGAATATCCGTTTAGATAGAGTGACAACCACGATCAGCAATCAATTTTTAGATAGGAGTATCTTTTCCCAAAGCTGCTCCTCACAATTTCCAATTCGATGTCTTAAAAACACTCCATAGAATCCCCCGAGAGAGAGAGAGAAATTCGACCAAAAAAAAGAATAGCACTTGTGTGTCGTTTACCAAGTATCTCTTCTCATCCAGTCCCTCGGTCCGCACAAAATTGCATGCTGCATTTAATATGGAGTCGATGCTTTCTTTTTGATATTATTTACTAGGTATGTATCTGAACCAAATATTTGGTCACCTCATCCTAAACTCGAGAATTCGACCCAAAAAGAGTCCTGTGTTTTACCTCAAATTATTATACCTCAACCGCCGCCCAGTCCACCATCCCACAGCCCCTGATCTCCTCCCCAAATACTGCATTTTCAAAGCTCAACCCGTAGGAGATTCGCAACGCCACGCGGACAAGTTTGGTGAATTCTTGTACGCGGACACCATGCTGCTGAAAGCGGCGTAGAGGCCCAAGATACAAGTGACGCACGAACCGAGGTAGTAGATGACGTCGAATACATTCCACAAGAGTTCCTTCCTGAACCCTCGCGCCCACCGCCTGAACCCGCCGTCCACCCTCTGGACCTGTCCCGTCGCGGGGTCGAACGTCTCCTGTGGGAGCATGGCGTCCCGTTGGACCTTGAACCCGATCATCATGAAGGGCGGGAAGGTGTAGGTGAATTGCAGGATGCACCCTGCCCCGACCAGCACGATCCACGTGTTGATCTGGGGCACGGACTGGGAAACCACCCAAGCCGCGATCCAGTAGACGGGGACGATGAAGACAAAGATCCACTTCCCTCGCTTGCTCTCGAGCCGGGGGAACTTCAGCAGGTCCCGGCCCATGTTGTTGTAAAACACCTTGATGCCGATGTTGCCGTACAGCACGGCCGCGATGAGACCGGTGATGAGGCCAAAGACGTTGCCGACGGTCTGCCACGAATAAGGGGAGACCCCTTGGTACGAGACGTTGTAAGCGTACTGTCCTTGCCTGCATTGTACCATGAGAACCTGGCCAGCACCGTCAACGGCGACAAGCTAAAGTGATATACTCACATGCAGTAGGTGTAGACCCCATAAACCATATAGCAGAGGTAGATGAGGATATCGGCGCAGAGCAACCCCTTCCAAAAGTCCATGGGTCTACGCATCTCCGACATCAACTCGACGAAAAGAGTGGCTCCACCGAACGAGAAGACGGCATTCATGAGGCCATTGACGTTGTTGACCAAGCCGAGTCCAGGCGGCGCTGAACCCGAGACCTTGATGGGGTCGGGGTGGTTGATGTTGAAGGTAGGATTCGAAGCGGCGTACAGCTTGTAGTTGGGAGGTGAATGAGCCATGACACCCATCCTGATGAGAACGTCGGGTTAGCCATTCAACCGTAAACGGGAAAGGGTTGGTCACTCACGTTGCAAAGATGACAAACAAGTTCATAAAAACGGCCCAAGAAGCGAGCCAGCCAAATCGCTGAAGAGTGCGGATCTGGCCGACGATACATCCAAAGATGGTACAGACGACCATGCACACAATGAAGCAGAGACTACCTTTGGACAACTGGCTGATGGATTGACCCGAGGTCAAGATGATCAGGGCGACGTTGAGGAAAAATTGGAACGACTGGAGGCCGTTGCAGGTGTGGCGGAACCAAGTCCCGTAGACACGGAAGGCGATGTCGCCGTATCCTTTCATCGGGTATCGGTCACTATCGAGCTGGAGATACATCTTCCAGAGCTGGTAACCGCTGTACCCACCGAGCCCACCAAAAACCGTGAACAAGGCGACACCGGGACCGAGGCCCATCTGACTGAAAGCGAACCCGGTGCTGAAGGGACCCAGAATGTCGGTGGTGATCAAGTAAAACACCGCGGACCTGAGTGGCATGAGAGTCAGTTGACCGCCAGCACAACTATAATCGTCCACGGGTGAGTCGTCAACTTACCAGGTGGCGGTCCGAGCAGCTCTCGAAGCTTGAACCCACTCCTCGTCACTGACGGCCATGGATTCAAAGTTCTTCTCGTGTACCGTCTTTTCGTTTCCGGAATCGGTACCGGACTCGATCGGTCGTGCGATTTGGGCTTCACCCTGCGCGCTGATGGAAAGACGCGGCTGGGCGATCGAAGTACGCCGTGTGGCACGCTTGCGGAGAATCTTCTCCTTCATGAAAGCGGTGGCAGGGCCATCCGTGGCTTGATAATCGCTGCCTGGACCATAGAGGCGGTCCTCCTCGGCTCGGGTGATTTTGGCATAGTGCAGGTACTCCTCGATGGTGATGCTGGGGTCGTGCAGCTTTTCGATCATTCGCTGAGGGTATGAGTTAAGGTCAGGAGCATCGCCAGAGACAGAAAGGCGAGGGTCAGAGGCAGCACCAATGCCGGCAATTGATCCTACTCCGGAAGCCATGGTCGGAAGTATCAGCAGTCGAGGAGATTCTCAAGTTGAATGCAAGATCTGTTTCCCCGTGGACGAGAACGTGGAGGCGAGCAACGGCGCAACGGTTCGGACTATATAGATCCTGGATCGTCCACCCACGTACATGCAAACAGACTCTCTCTCTCTTCCATCTCTAACTCTCGCTTCGCATCTCCTGCCCTCCCCTCTCCACTGGCCACAGGGTAGACGGGATGCCGATTAGAGGGTTACACTCCCAGGTAAGGCATGTTTTGGTGACAGAAGCGAAGACAAGGGTATTGCCTCACTACATTGGTTCTCATCAAAGATCCCCGTACTCGTACTGATAGGTCGATGTGGTATAATTGGCTTTCTCCCACTCGTATCCCCCGACTAGCCTCTCGGTGTAGCAAAGGGAGATAGCATAGCCGAAGTTTGAGATTACCATGTCAAACCGTGGTCATAGTTTAACAGTTTGGAGGCTCCAAATCGCATGACCAGGGAAAGCTTGACGTTCTTGACCCGGACCGTTGCTCCATGTTCGACTTGAATCGACTTATGGATGAGGGCGATCAACCACACCACCGCATGATTGGGTGGAAGGGGAGAGGTGTGGTGAAATCATGCGACGGTCGACACTCCAGAATGGGAAGAGATTAACGCACTAGGGCAGGTCGATGTTGATATGTCCAAGAGATTTGTTTCGTCCCCCAGGAGCGATGGTCCGGTCGCGTTCAAGGGTGATCAGCCGTTTGATACTCGTACACGTTGGAAGAGAAGAAAAGAGTCGCATCCTTTGACCTGTCATTCGTGTGAAGTCCAGCTCGTTCCATAGCGAGATCGACAATACGCAAGTCGTAGAGGTCGGGGTGATTTGTCCGCAATCCTCTCGATCCCTCAAAACACCAGCCACGTTGGCGCGAGGGGAATCGAGATACGAGCTCGTAAACTGGGAATTCGTCAAAAGGATCGCCCAGTGGTGTTCCTTTTTCGCAGCGCCACATCGCTTGGGGGGCTGCGGTAAGTCGCAATCTAGCGCTTCTTCGCTCTCGGATCAATGTAACTTGGACGTTTGTGCGAAGCAATGGCTAAGCTTCTCCTCAAAGCTTGTCGCCATCAAGGATATAGAGTTCTCCCTCTAGTGGTGTGCGGGATACTTGTAATGGTGTCTCGCCACACACACACACCCTCTCTGTTTTGTCCCATGCTCAAGTTGCGACGCTCCATCTCTTCACTACTAGAATAGCGGAAATGAGGGTGCCCCGAGTACTCGTACGGTTACCACGGCTTCGCTGTCTCGCGAGTGCTTCCACTTTCTGTAACTCGTACAATAAAGACCGATCGATGATGATCGAATGTCTCGGGCCGTCGGTGGAGGAGAAGAAGGAGACAAAAGAGAGAGTTCCTGACTTTCACTGATGTCACGATGCGGGATGCCATCGGGGCCCATGTCGCTTCCTCTGTTCCTGTCTCCAGCAGGGTTCTCGAAGTATGTTTTTCGCTGCCACCGGGGGTGTTCCGTTTGATGCATGCAAGGATGAAGGAATGGTTATCGACGCATGGGAGCGGTACACCCGGCGCCCCCTTCCCCAGACATATCGCGAGTGGACAAGAGATTTGCCCAGGTCTGTGCTCTAGAAGCCTTCCATGCGGCGATTACTCCGGGGAAGGTTGCATTGCAGATGGATCCATCATCCCCAGAAGGATGAATACTCGTAGTTGCACGGCGCACACGTACAGAGTATTCCTTAGAGACACGCGAGCAGAACTGGTCCAAGCCAGCTCTTGTATCCAACGACCCTGGACAACGTCTGTCTTCGAATGACTAAATCATCTCGTTATAGGGAGTTGCTGTCTACCTATAATTGGACTCACATATCGTCGGCCCTTATCCCTCAAAAGCATGTCTCGACTCGGGTCAAGATGCTCAACGAGTACTTGGGAGTATTTTTCACCCAAGATGAACCTACAGAACCCTGGCAAGCTATCCAAAATATGCCTTTCGTTCACTACGGGCTGTACCCCCTGTATAGACTTCTCGTTTGGTTCCCCCCTTGCCACTTAACCCCAGGTACCTCCACCTCCGCCTCTACCCTGTCTCTTCTGCGCGCTCAATCTCCAGTCGTCTTCACCGGCATACTTGTTGTGCAACGGCTGAATCCGTTCGGCCTTCTTCCGCTTGCTCAGGCGATCCGTCGGTGCAACCTTGAAGAACGTCGGCGCCGCCTCAACCAGCCATTTGGGTTCAATGACCGTCGTGCAATGCATGTACTCTTTCGTCGTGAGTACAAGAGTATGAAAGATGACATGCTCCGCAGCTTTACCAAAGAGCGAACTGCTGGGATGCATGTAGACCGGCGTACCCTCGATCAGCGTCTTGTACCCTTCTTGTGGATCTTTGCGTGCCGAGTTACGGAAGAACCCAGAGCACAAGGCTTGACGAACTTTCAGCGTGTTACGCCCGCAGGATACAATGTGGTGCTTGTATCGTTCCATTATGGACACCAGCTGCTGCCGCACATCTCGAGCACGTGCAATTTGACGCTTCTGAATAAAGTTTTCGAAACACCAGGGATCGCTGTATCGTGATTGCTTCCACGCATTGTACACATTCAACAGAGTGAGGTGATCGCCATGAGGATCGTGGAACTTGGCCTTTTTCTGATCAGCTTGCTGCTGCTTTTCCTTTGGTCGGTAGAAGACTGTCTGCACGGAAAGCATGGCCACGATAGTGAGCATTTCGTCTGAACAGCCCATATCTTCCGACGCGATCAGTGCTTTGGACAGCGATGGCTCCATAGGGAAATCCGCCATCTTACGACCAAGTCTGGTGAGCAGGCCTTCATCGTCGAGAGCCGACAGTGCATACAATTCCTCTAGTGCTGTCAACATGGTATTGGTGGGAGGTGGGTCCATGAAGTCAAAGTGCAAGAGATCATTGATGCCCATGGCTTTCAACATGAGGATGGTGTTTGACAAATTCTGACGCTGAATCTCAGGAATACTGGTTGGCAACATTTCCGACTGATATGCCGCTTCGGTGTATAGCCGAAAGCATTTTCCGGGTCCTGTACGACCAGCACGTCCAGCTCGCTGCTTCGCTTGAGCCTGTGAAATCGGTGTGACAACAAGAGAGTCCATTCCAAGTTTGGGATCATACGCATTCTGCTTGACGAAGCCAGGGTCAATCACGTAGTAGATATGATCGATTGTGATTGACGTTTCTGCAATGTTTGTCGCAATAACGACCTTTCGGCTTCCAGGTGGCGCGGGGTCAAAGATCCTGCTTTGCATCTCACTAGGGAGCGCTGAGTAGACCGGCAAGATGATCAATTCCGGGACACTTGGCCCGAGGGCCTTCATCCTCTCATACAACACTTCACAGCTGGTATCAATTTCCTCTTGGCCAGTCAAGAACAACAGGATATCACCAGGTGGCTCAGTCAGGTGGATTTGCATGACGGTGGTCAAAGCAGCATCCAAATAATCCTCCTCGGGTTCTCTTGAGTACATGATCTCGACTGGGAAGGTCCGACCTGGAATAGTGAAGATAGGACACTTATTGAAGAATTCCGAGAACTTTTCTGCATCAAGCGTCGCCGACGTAACGATGAGCTTCATGTCGGGACGTCTCTTCAATGTTTTCTTAAGCAACCCGAAAAGTACATCAGTCGCAATGGTTCTCTCGTGAGCCTCGTCAAGCATGACGACGCTATAGCGTTTGAGGTCTGGATCCAGGAGAATCTCTCGTTGTAGCATACCATCCGTCATGTATTTGATCCTGGTGTCGGGCGACGTTCTGTCTTCAAAACGTATCGTGTAACCAACTTCCCTACCAAGTTCACACCCAACTTCTTCTGAGACACGCTTCGCAACGGACATGGCGGCAACACGACGTGGTTGGGTACAGCCAATGATGCCATTGTTAGCATAGCCTGCTTCGGCAAGGTATTGGGTGACCTGGGTGGTCTTTCCCGAACCAGTATCACCAACAACGATAAGGAGTTGGTTTTGCGCAATTGCATCCAGCAATTGCTTCCGAAATTTGTAGACGGGCAGAGATTCTCGCTGCTGTTTGATGGTCATGTCTGTCCTTCGTCCTAGGGATTGGTTCTTGCCTTGAGTCACTCGCCTCCATTCCGGTACGGTGTCTGTAGCTTTGAAGGTTTGTTGCTGAGCCTGTCTCAGTTCCGACGCGAATTTCCGTTGCTCGGGATTGATCATGGGATCTTGCCACTGCGCGTTGAGGTCGACCTTGGATGCTTCTTCTGCTGCTTTATCGGCAGCTTCCTGTTGTTTCAATTCCCTCCGTTCCTTGGCCAATGTCGTTCCTGCTTGAGCAGCTCTGTTCAAAGACCCTTCGGGGGCTTTGACGACTCGGATAGGTGAAAGTTCTAGTGACTGCTTGGTTTGGCCAGCTAGGAAAGGTGGTTCTTCCTCTCTGACCTCGATGTCCACATCTACTTCTTCCTCATCAAACTGACCCTGGCCATTCAGAGTCGCGTTGTAGTCCTCGTCAATATCAGGATAATCCTGGGCGGATATCGCGCCGGAGGCGATAAGCTGTTTGATTTCCCACCGCTCAGGTGAAGTCATCCTCTTTCTGTTCTTTCGTGAATTCGAGTTGTAGTCATCTTCAATTACAGGGACTGTATTACCGAGGCCGCCATAACGATCCTCAGAAGGCATCCCGTCCAATCGTTCCAGATTAGCCCCAGAAGCGATTCGTCGCGAAGGCACCAGATCTTGACCAGTCACTTGGTCAACCTCTTTCATGGACAAACTGATTTTGTTGTTTTCAAGTTTGATGACCTTCACTTTGACCGGCTGGCCTCGTGACAAAAGATCCGAAGGATGGTTGACCCTTGCGCCTTCTTGTATGGCTGATACATGTATCAAGCCACTTGCACGACCTTTGACGCCTTGCAGATCTGCAAACGCTCCGAAATCTTTAATCCCATTGATCGTGGCATCGTAAATTTTGTAGAGGACAGGAGATTCGTCAATCTCCTTTCGAGGGGGCTTTTTGAAATCATCGTCGTCCTCGTAGTCTCTTCGTCTGCTCTTGCGATGGCCATTCCGTCTCTCATCGTACCGATCTCGACGGTCGTCGTAGTCTCTATCTCGGTCGCGGCGGTGGCGAGATTTTCTCTCCTCTTGCGGACTCGGGCTTCTCGACAAGTATTTCTGTCTCGGTTTCCTGTCTCTCGGATAATCATCTCGGTCGGGACTACGACTTCGTTTCCTGCTTCTCGTCGAGTTCCCATTCGTGCCACTTCCAGTCTTGCCGGCAAGCCCTTCGAGAAGCGCAAAGGTGTCGTCGTCCTCCGGCGTTCCAGGGTCTGGAGGTCGGCTTTCGTCGATCGTCTTTTGCCCGACCATGTCATCCTCGTAATCGTCCCATGCTTGTTCTCGGTCGGGTACAGCCAGTCCTTTGAACACTCGTGCCTTACGCCCGATAGCGTCCAACTCATCCATGTCTGACTTGCCATTTTCTTGCGGCTTTTTCTGGACTTTATGCTTGGGGTGCATCGTCAAAATCAATCTGTCCACGCTCTCCACCAGACTATTGGGGAACTCTGCTCCCATCGCAGCCAGCGAGGCCTTGAACTCGTGGAGGTTGCCACCACATTTTTCATGCTGGTCAATGACAAACTCGGCGAGAGTCTTGTCGTTGATTCCCAAGTGGTTTTGCAATTCGGAGGTGACTTTGGAAACGAGCGACAGGAGTTCGAGGGAGGTAAAATCGTCCATGGCCGCTGCTTGCCGGGTTTAGAGCCCGTGGAAGATTGCCCTGAGTGTTGGATCAGAGTACTGCGTATCCGGATTTAAAAAAAAGTGGTATGTCGACAAACTGCGCCGCCGAGGTGGCTGATGGCGTCGAGTTGAGTGGACGGAAAAGGCTCCAGACACAAAATTGTTACCGTACACTACTGACCGAGTACTCCGCAGACTGTGGCGAGTGAGTTGACAGTTGGTGTGGCTTGTGTACCCTTACAGTATGTGGCTGGTGTGAGGGACCTTGGTTACGAGTACGAGTACGGAGTACGGAGAACCGAGTACCGTAGAATTACAAAATGCCATCATATTCGGTCACTCCGTCCATGTCTCGCTTAAACTGGCTCGATCTGAAAAATGCACCAGTGAATCGTGACTGCCGACGACCGTTTTCATGGGCGATGAGCCTCATTCTGGAACCGATGGCGCTTGGCTTCACGGGCTGATTTGAGGGCCATGAGGGTCTCTGAAAGGGTCGATGTTCATCCCAGGGTCTCGGTTCTCAACGCAACTTGGTTTCCTTGGTTCATGCCGTGTCTCTACTAACGAGTACGAGTCCCTTCGTTATTTGTATGTAATCCCACCCCCTCCAACTGACGTCGCCTCTCTCTTCCACCCCGCCCGATCCTTGTACGAGTTACTTCTTTCCCAGGAGAGCTCTTCTCGGCTTCTTCTTCATTCTTCTTCCCTCTCCAGCCGTTCCCTTTTAAAACATTGTCGAGCTTCACCCGAAAGTCGTCACCGCACTCGATCACACAGAACCCCCCCAAAAAGGAAAACCACTTCTCGAAATGGACAACATCAGAGCAAAGTTGAAGCGTAGAATGAGCCACAAGGACAAAGAAGGTATGTACCTTGACTTGATCGAGCTTCTCCCTCCCCTCTCTCTCTCTCTCCTTCTCCCAGCTACTACTTGTCCCTTTCGTCGGCCTGCTTTTCAACACCAACCCCCGCCTCTCTATCTCCCCAGTGTCCCTCAGCTAACGTCAATCTGTCCCCAGTCAACTTCGACGACCACGACTCGGCCGACGAAGAAACCATGGACTACGTTGGCAAGGAAGCTGAAGATGCAGAGAAGGCGGGATACGATACCGGCAAGCCAGGTAGCTTCCTGAACAGACTCATCATGCACGGCAACAAGAAGACGGAAGACCAACTTGCCCGTGAAGCTGCAGCTGCTAATCCTGAAGCCGGTGGCGCCGACCGTGTTGTCACTCAGCGATAAGCGCAGCCGGCCACCCAACCAAGGCAAAATATGGATCTTCGGACAAGCTGTTGAACCTGCCGGACAGTGGGAAGTGGCTGTCGAGTCTTCTTGTGTTCGATCACTACTATGGTGGAAGAGAGAAACCGAGCCCTCAGCCTCGACCATGTGTTGCCGGTGGACGACTTCCTACATCCACGCAGAAATGGAACTCTAGCATTCATTTGCACAGGTATAAATCAGTATTGGTTGTATCTAGATTGATAGCAGAAGATGAAATTCATTATCATTCCATTACAGACCTCTCCAGATATGTCGTTATTTGTAGTGGTGCTACTGCTCGTTATATTATACATGTAAATATGGTTACACATCTTTAGTCGCTGTAATAAACGTCCTCGCTGCCCAAAAATATACATGAGATTGTGTCCACATAATGACTAGTCGTGACGCCTCGAGAGATCGTTGAGATCATCACTAATCCAACACGCTCAGGCCACCGTTGCAGCAGCAGCAGGAGGAGAGATTTCGTTCGAAGCATCCTCGAACTCGGTATGCGATGATCCCGACACCCAACTTGACGGTAGCACTTCCTCCGGTTCAGCCAAGTCCAACTGCGAAGTGCTTGCCGGCATCGCTGTCTCGTCCGTGGGCACACTTGGGACCTTCATGCGCTTCTTGTACGCGAGCACACGTTTTCTGAGCTCCGGATTCGCCGAGAACTCGACAAGGCACGTGTTGATCTTGTCCTCAACCATGCTCTTTGCATAAAAGGCAACATCCCGATCTTTCAAATTGGAAACAAACCTATAACTCAACCACAAGAACAGCACAAGACCTTTGTGCAGGTCTTCCAAAGCTTCGAGGTACGCTCTATCTCCCGAGATAGGCTCCTCAAGCACCTCGAGGTTGAGCTCGGGAATGTCCATGATGTCTACATCGCGTTTTTCGGCGATGACCCTAGCCAAGGCGTGCGCTACAGCCTCAAGACGACTTGACCCTCGAGAGCATGGAGCGGCACTGAAGACAATCCTGTCTGTGGTGGTCAGGCCACGGACTGACTCGATATGACGAGCAATATAGCTCTGGTCACGGATGCTACACATCTTGAAGCGTTTGTGCATCGAAGCCGATCCAGTGACACGGCGGAGAATGTACTCAAACGGAGTGCCCTTGGGAAGGCGAGAGGCTAGTTCTTCCATATAGTCGCCGGGGGGTAACAAGCCTGCAAACTTAAGGGGAACCTCCTGCGTGTTCATGGCTTGACGGACGAGGGGTAAGTCTTCGTCATTGAGAGTGGTGACTAGTCCAACGTTTGCTTCCGACGCGGCCTTTGACTTCGTGTTATGAACATCCTGGTGGGCGCTGCGGTATCGGCCAGCTCGACCGCCTATCTGCTTGATCTGCGAGACCGAAAGTTGTTCGTGGTGGGTTCCATTCCATCTAGACACGCCGTGGAATATAATACGTTTGACGCTCCTTTCAATAGTCAGTCAGTAAGAGAGCAAAAGTGTCAGTATAGGGGAGCGTACAAGTTGAGGCCCATGCCGATGGCATCACTCGCCACCAGATAGTCATAGTCATTGTCTGGATCATTGAACAGCGCGGCTTGGGCTGCTCTCGTCTCAGGCGGCAGACTGCCATATACAATCGCGCAATGCCGGCCCGTGTCAAGCTCAATCTGCTTCTTCAAGGCGTGAATGTTCATCACTGAGAAGGTCACTATACAATCGCCCTTTCTCAAATTCTTCAGGTCACCACCCAGACTTTTCGTCATGACCTTCAGAGGATTAAGCCTTCTGTACTCGTGCACTTCCAGTGTGTCGCCAGTTGCTGCACATAACTCACGGATCAGAGGAAGAGCTCTTGCCTCTCCACACAAATGGACCTCTTTTGCGTTGGCCCCTAAGAATGCCCGTGTCCATGCCCATCCACGATCAGGAGATGCAATCATCTGTATTTCGTCAATGACGGCGACATCCACCTTCTTCGAAACCTCCACCATCTCTACTGTCGAGGCGTATAGTGAAACATCTGAATCCTCGTCCCGCCTAATGTCGTCTCCCGTTACTAGATCACACTTTGCACCTTTTGCTTTGAAGCGTGAGTAGACTTCATGTGCCAGTAACCTCAGGGGCCCTGCATAGAAACCATTGTTCTGTTCTTCAAGTCTTTTGAGTGCGTTGTATGTCTTGCCAGAATTTGTTGGTCCGATATGCAGATGGACATTCCGTTGAATCTGTCTCGCCGCAGTGTACCATTCCGTCGGATATCGCAGATCGGTAAGGAGATCACCACTCATTGTTCCATCCTTGATGTTCTGTGTGAGGACGAAGTCGATAAAGCCAAAATGCAGATTTGTCTGCAGATTCTTTTGCGAAGTGGATTGAGCCTTCCCTATGTCCGTAAAGAGCTTTTCCTCCTGCTCTGTGAGCGCTTGGCCTGGGGATTGCAATATATCACCCAGGCGCTTTGTATAATTTTCCCAATGGACCCCTCCAGGATCAAGAGACTCCATTTGCGACATATCAGACTCGGTCGAAGCGTCCGTTGATGTTAAATCCTCCTTGAGTTCAACTAGGGCTTTATGCACTCGCTTTTCTAGCCACTGATGAGATCCAAGATCATCTTCATCGCCTCTTCCCCTGAAAGAGCGCCCTGAGGCATTCCCTGAATTGAAGGATGGTCTGAATCTCGAAGAAGGTTTTGAGGGTCTAGAGGGTCTGGGGCCCCTCGAGGATTTGGAGGGCTTGGAGGGCTTGTAATCATTCCTATACCAGGCATTGGTAGTCCTGAAGCCCCTATTTAGATTATAGGTTGGGTTTGACGCATCGGAAACAAGGGCTCGGAAGGCACAGAAGAGACATTGGCCCCTTCGGGTTGAACGAGCGAGCATAGCTCCAGCCGACGGCGCCGCAGTAGAGGTAGCAGCGTAGATTAAGAAGTTATTCAGGGGTGATCATGCAACAGGTTGATCACAAGATCTCTGGTCTGCATGGTGCTGGCAGTGGCAAGACAGACTGAAGTGGTTGTTGTTGAAGGTTCGTAGATATGAGGACGGAGTATCAATGATGGCTCTTCGTTCTTGTCCCATGCGCAGTATGGCAAAAAGTTCGGGACCGTCGCTTCTCCGCAAATGAAATGATTTGATTGGTGTAGGGCGAGAGCGACAGGGCTTACCAAGCAGATCTTCGATGAGACAAGTGTCGAATACCACCGTCCGTACCTACAACGACTTGGTCGATAAGTACACACGGCCATTGATCCCAGTTGGGTGACAAGGATATAGACATGCGGAAACAGTGGTTTATATAACCCTCGCTATGTGCCCTAGTACTATATATCTGAAAATGAACAAGCCAATTGATACCAATCCATTCCTTCAAAAGTTCTCTTTTCCCCAGACGAAACTGTAGCCCTTGGCTCCAGCTTCCGTATACATGTTGCACTTGATATGAAGCTGAGCACCGAGTCCTTTAGGTCCACAGAAGAATACGCCGCATTCACCAGGCCAATGGATTTTGCGGACAGCACGAAACACCATATCCCAGTTTGGTCGGCCAAAGTTTGTCGGCGTTCGTAAACCTGTGATAGCATCTGTGTCTCCGGAGTTCAGGGAAATATTTGATGCCTGGGCAGGTGTGATCTTGGCTGTCAAGTACTATGTTTTCTCATGTCAGCTGTGACTTCTGTTGAAGGAGTTCAGGGTGAACTTACCGCGTGAATCTCGATGGCATGGCTTTTATCTTCGCTCTCGATGGCTGAGAGTAAGGATTTAAACCACTCCAGTGATCCAAAATCTCTGCACACCCAGAAGAAATAGACCTTGCGCAGCCGCGTCTTTCCGGCGGTGGGATTCTTCATACGGTACCAGATCGACTTGAGGATCGATGCGAACGGAGTTACACCAATACCAGCACCAACAAGCATCACCGTCTCAAATTTGAATACATCTTCAGAGGCTGAGCCGAATGGCCCGTCGATATATACCCGAGGAAGAAGATTGTTGACTTGAAGACCACCTTTTTCGGAGAATTCGGACGAACTGATGAGCTTTGTCTGACGATTCGCTTTCTTTTCATCCTTGTCCAACCCTTCGCATCCCAAGACTTTACCCAGTTGCTTCGTGAAATTGCCTACCATACGAACATGAACCGAGATAAAGTCTTCTTCAGGTGCAGAAGTCAAGGTGAAAGGATGATACTGCCAGAGCGATACTTCTGGGCAGCAGAGGAAAATATATCTGCGAATAGGTTAGACGTCTGTTGGATGGTAGCTTCACTCGCTTAATGAACTTACTGTCCCGCACGTGTCTTTGTATGCTCCTTCTTGATCTGAATCTCGACCACATTGGATGGGTGTTGGATGACCTTGTGGATATACGTCTTGTGAGAACCCCTAATCTCGCGCATGATACGCTCTCCAAGATATGCGAAGCCTCCAACAAACCACCATTGATAGAAAGAACCATTACCAAAGCAGGTAGGTATCGTGTCAAGTGGGATCATGCAGTAAATTCCGTGAATGGACCATGCGAGGAAGAAGACGATAAAGAGATGGTGGACATTCCAAAACCGTTCAAAGTTCGCGCGGCGGGGCTTTTCGATGGCAGTGAAGAATATTGCCATAATCGAGATAGTCAAAACGTAACCCGTCCAGCCAGGGCCCGTCAAGAAGTTGAGCTTAATAAAACCGAGAAAGCCGGCATGGTTCTTCGCCGAGAGCTGCGCGACATTGTGTAAATGAGCGATAGTATGAACCCAGGTGAAGAATACAAGAGAATATCCAACCAGTTTGTGAAATGTAATGTTCTTGTCGAAAGGTATAATTCCGTTTAGAGGCGTCTGTCGAGCTAGGGAGATCAAGGTGCGGCAGACCGGTAGGAGAATGCAGGCGACGTCGAAGTGTAGAACAAGTGCAGCGGATCGAGCAATGGGATATCCATATCCAAAAGTGGCTCGCGCATGCGTCATGTTATCCTTCATGGTGTAATTCATAAATCCAAAGGCGTATAGCATGCAATGAACGAGGATAAACGTGAAGACGAAAAGCCGCCGTGATCCTTCGTTGACCATCCATCTGTTGAACTTCTCACGGGGGGTTAATTGTCTCGGCGCCTCTCCACTGACCTCCCCCGAAAGCAGAATCCTCATCAGTTCCGTGGACCGTGTCCTTTCCACCATGGTTGTCGTGGTCGACGCCCCGGAGTAACCCATATTGCAATCGGACTGATAGTAGACAATATTGGGTCGAGATACGCTTGTGATCTGGAACAGGGAAGAACCGAGCCAGCGGCACTTTCACGAAGCTGTTGTGAGCTTGGAGATCGACTTAATAGGAAAGACACAAGAGTCCGAGCCAGCGGAATGCTGCAAAAGAGCTAGAACGAGTGATGGGAAAGGATAAAAGTACAGAATGAAAATTACCGTGCCAGCGGCGGAAGATGATGGTTCAGAGATCGACCAGAGATCAGGTCCTAGGTACAAACATCTTGTATAAGGGGAGGAACTTTTCTCAATTGTCCTTGAATAGGCATGAGCTGGAAACAATTAGTGGCGGTGGTGTGATCTCAGTGGTATGATAGGGGTGAGCGAGGTGCCCTCTTTAGCTAACCAAAGGACCTTGATACAAACCAACCCCAGCTTTGAGACAGGAATCCGCGACGGTTTGTCAAGTGGACTGAGGCCTACGGAGTAGATCGGTCGTCAAAGCACAAGCAACGAGCTTCACACATGGCCATAGGAGCGAGATGAATCGACAGGATGATACGTGCCAAGGCTGTAGGTGGTATGATAGCTCCAAGAGCCGCAAGGGGAATATCTGATGAGGCTGGTGAAGCGTGTTTCAGATCATCGACGCGACATGACTGGCTCCTCTTAGTTTCACCATGCTGGTACGGAGTATGATACTGCAAGACTTGGGAGTTGGTGGGCTTTAAGGACACGGCATTCGCTGCGCGATGCCTCCTGAGTAATATGAAGTTGCAGAAACTAACACGGATCAGGTTTGCAGCCAGCCTCGCTTCTGCCGCAGTGGCTAACATGTCCTAATATGGCACATACGAGTGAAAAGGGAAATTCGGCTGTTGAGAGTTCCGTTCAAGTGCCAAGACGCGATTCACGGCAGCGCCGAGTTGGGACCGACCCGAGCCGCTTAAGTAAGCGGATCCTACATCGTGACTCTAGCATATCCATACGGTACCTATAGATACCTATACCTAAGGTAGGGACTAGTAGATAGGCACTCTTACGAGTGTGAGAGTATGGGGCATATTCGCAACTTTTACGGAGTATGAATTTGCCTTACCAGAACACTAGAAGAATTTGATGTTAGCGAATGTTATTCTCGAGACATGGGGACGACTTTATTCGTGTTATTAATAACGAAGCCATTGTAATACTCTCTCTCCTCTTTACACGAAAGTTCAACTCCGTAGTGTCTCATAACTTGTGTACTTGAATGTTGAGGGACGGTAAGGCTGGCGCAGCCCGGCCACTCACTAGCGTTCCCTTTGACCATTTCAAAAAAAGGGGATAGTAAAGCTACCGCAAACAGAGCATAAACGTCCCGAAAGACTCAAAGAAGCAAAAGAGGCCTTTGCGGAATTCTCTTCACTTGTAGTCCGTCCAAGCATCCACGAAGCTTCACACGTCGTCATGCCCTCCATATTCGAGCTCCGCCAGTGACCAAGTAAACTCTTGCCGCAGATCATGGCATGAAACAACCCCCCAATACCACCGCTCGTCAGCCGCTCTTTACTCTCATCTTCGTCGTTTGGGTCATCATAAAACAAGTGCTTTTTGCGTTCTTCCTCTGCTTCGCAACTGGTCAGAATCATAGGTATCGCTGAACCCAGCCCCACCTCGTCGAGCCTGTTGCCTTCGCCACAACGGATCTTTAAAATGTGCTCAAGGTTATACCGCCATGACACCGGTACCGGCGTGCGCTCGGCGTTAATAGAGCGGAGTGGATAGCAGCGTGCCAATTTCCGACCCGAGGTTTGTTCAAAGGTGGGAAAACAGCGCAGGGCAAGATTCCATACTACGAAGTCATGCGTTGAACGTTTCTCGGCTTTCGTACCGTGAGCACTTGGGCCGGCGGGCTGTTTGTCGACCATAGGGAACGGAAGATATACCTCATCTAGCTGGAGATAGTGACCATACCCGGTCCTCGGGTTAAGAGGCTCCAGATATCTCAAAATCTGCCGCTTTGTCTCAAGTGGAAGTGGGCTGGCATCAAGCACGAGACGAGCAAGCTTTTCCCGTTGCTCGAGCATCCAGGCTTCCCTCTGTTTGCGGGTGTCCAAGATGAATTTGTCTTGACCGTCGAAGCAAGGGACGAGCCGGAGACTTGCTGTCGCCAGGCGCAAACGTCTCAGACAGACCATAATTGAAATTTCCGCGAATCGGCCCGTCGGTACCAAAGATCTGCTAAAGTATTCCTCCATCGCCCTTGGGAGCGCCAGCCCAAGACTTTGCGGCAGGATGTGGCTTAGTGAGCGGTTCATCACCAGGTCTTCTTGTCCAGATCTCGCGACCCTTTATGTCGCCAAGAGAGGCGAGCTCGACTGGCGACGTTGCCAACGCGCATCTCAATGACTCGGATAAGCTTCCATTGTCTACCAAATACTCCGAAGAGGCCCAGTTAAAGGACTCGTGGGGCTTGCGACGTTTCCAGATGCGGGTGAGACAGGCCAGAAGAGCATCGTCAAGGTCCGTTATGAAAAGGAAGAGTTCAGAGACCAAGGCAACGCCACTCTGGGTTTTGACGAATTTGCGGTGGAGAGCCGATTCCTGCGAGAATGCCTCTGCGAGGTAGAGAAGCATTCGGGCAGCTAGGAAGTCTCCGTAAGGCGAAAGCGATGAAAGCGACAGGATAGGGGTGAGGAAGCTTTGCCAGGCTACAAGAACGTGTTTGTTTGACGTTCTAACATGTCCACGATGCAGCTTGATGGAACATATTGACGAGTAGATGCTTTCCAGGAAACTTTTGATTTGTGCGTCAGAAGTAACCACGATAGTTCCTGAAGACTAGGAGGTCTCAGCAAAGTTTTTGATATCCTGGGACAGTTGCAAGTTTTCGCTTGTAAATTTGTCGAGGAGCTGGCAATGGCGGTTCATGTCCAGTGTCTCCCACAAAGAGAGAGAAAGCAACGCAAAAGACTAGACGGGACATTGACTTGCAAAACTAAAAGGGGTATCCAAAGCACCTCGTTGCCTTCAGGGGGGTTGGGAGCCTGGCCGTGGTGTAAGACCGCGGCAAGTTTGAAATGTGGTACATCGAATCATCAGCCTGTGACCATCTCCGGGAGCTGGGAGCCAAGGCTACATGATGACAGAGGTGTGTAGCATCAATGGATAGCGATTGAGTGAAGCCCTTCGGATGAGTGGCTTTCTCTGCCATGGAATACGAGGTACTCCTGTGCGGAAAAATAGAAATTCCATATTCCATAGTCCGAAGTGTGTCAGGAATACATCATTGGCCGTTTGTTGCCCCTCGAATCCACTCAAAGTGCATCGCCTCATGTATCGTCGCAGTTACATCTGCTGCAAAGTCTTTGTACGGAAGAAGCACTTTGCTCTCGCGTTTCACTCCTCATGCACTCCTAGACCAGAGCCTTTCGACTGCGATCCACGCTCTCGCTTCGTGCTCTGCTCTTTGTAGCATGTGAGGCCCATTCCCACCGAAACCGCTTCGGCCGCCATGGCAACCTCCATCATCGATATTCAACGAAACGTTATACTAGACACCATTCGTGCCACGAGCGGCCGGGAATGGAAGGTGCTCATTCTGGACGACCAGAGCAGTCGACTGGTCTACAATGTTACCAAAGAAGATGATATCCTCAACGCCAACATCACGAACATCGAGCGGATCGAAGACCGCAGGCAGACACTCTCAGACACTGACGCCATATACCTCCTCTCCCCTCTCCCACACATCGTGGAATGTCTGAAGGCAGACCTAAGTCGAAAGAGATACCGCCGGGCACATCTGATCTGGACATCGCAACTCCCGCGGCATCTTGGAGAAGAGATCTTCCGCTCTGAGACGAGGGCTCGGTCGATCATCGAGAACCGCACTCTCAACATCGACTACTTCCCGCGAGAAGCGAACCTCATCACATTCCGAGAACCATGGAGTTTCCACGTTCTCTACCACCCGGCCTGCGACGCGCTGGTTAAGAACCACCTAGACACATTGACGCAAAAGCTCGTGTCGATATGCGTCTCTCTAGGCGAATACCCGTTGATCAGGTTCTACAAGCCGAGGGACAGCGAGCGACACCCTGCTGATGTGCTATGCTATCATCTTGCAAGTTTCGTGCAGGCTGCGCTCGACAACTATGCCCGCGACGAACGGAACGACTTCCCCCCTCAGATGCAGTCTACTCGTCCTCGGGCGGTCCTCTTGATCACGGCCAGATCTATGGATCTGATGTCACCATTCGTGCACGAGCTCACATACCAGGCAATGGCTATGGACCTGCTGCCGATCAGAGACGACGAGGACAAGATCACGTATAGAAACATCATCAGGCGCGGCCAGCCTGATCAGGAAGAAAAGGACGTGGAGATTACAGACAAGGATAATCTCTGGGTGGCGCATCGTCACATGCACATGAAGGATCTCCTGGTCGAACTCAGCGATGCCTTTCGAAAGTTCCAAGCGAACAATCCCCAATTTGCAGACAACGACGGGCAGCCCGCGAGCATCAACACCATCAAAGACATGTTGGCTGGTCTCCCCGAATTTCAAGAAGGCAAAGAGGCCTTCTCACTACACATTGACATGGCAGAGAAATGTGCAAAGATTTTTGCAGACCACAAGCTGTTGGACGTGGTCTCGGTCGAGCAATCTCTCTCTACCGGCGTGGATGAAGATCAAAAGAAGCCCAAGAATCTGGCCGACCAACTTGTGAGGCTCTTGGATGATGACAGCATTATTCACGAAGACCGGGTACGCCTCTTAATATTGTATATACTGTACAGGCACGGCATACTACGAGGAGACATTGAGAAACTCCGCTGTCATGGTCAATTGTCACCTATGGACGGCGAAATAATCTACAACCTCATCACTCTGGGCGCGAGGATCGAGAAGCAGCTCAAAGACACGACAGTGCCTCCAACAGCATTGTTCCCACCTCGAATGAAAGAAGCCAGCACCAACCCTGAAGAGATCAGCCTATCGCGATTCGAGCCTGCGTTGCGCTATATGCTAGAAGATCAATGTCAGGGTACACTTGACCAAACCATTTTCCCACCCGTCAAACCACACCTCAATGACCCAAATAGTCACGGCATGGGAGCTCAAACGTCACTCCGTAATGCGGGCAAACCTACCTGGGCACAGACACGCTCTCAATCGAACAAACCTCGTCAACGCATCATTGTCTTCGTTGCAGGTGGAGCTACATACGCGGAAGCGCGTGCCTGCTATGAGGTCTCGCGTATGGCCGGCAAAGAAGTCTTCCTGGCGACGACGCACATGATCACGCCCAAGAACTTTCTGAGACAATTGAGTCTGCTTAGCTCTGGTCGGAAACAGCTTGACCTACCAGTTGATCGTGCCCAGCCGAAGTTACCGGCATGGATGTCAGAGCCTCCCCCACAGGCTCAGCAGTCAAGGCCTCCCGGCGCCAGTGCGAATGGTAGCAGCATGAGATCGACCACGGACGCAATGGCCAGAATGAATGTTAGCGGTGGGCCCAGGCCGGACATTGGCATCAGGCCCGGCGTCGGGACAAGTCCATCGAGACCACAGCAGCCTGGTCCCGCGCCCGCCCCCTACCAGAATCCTTTGGCACCAAGCAGCGATAGTGCAAGTCATGGTAAGTTGAAGAAGGAGAAGAAACACCATCTGGGATTATTCAAGAAGCATTAGCGCCTGCTTCAGGGACAATAAAGCTCTGTTGGGGTTTCGGGGCACTTCTTTGCCTTTGCGCCTTGCCTTTTGCTGACTGAAATGACATGACCTGAGTTTAGCGTGGCGTCGGCGTTGAAGTCGCAGTCTTATGTGCATTTGGCAATGTCCATATTCGTAGCGTGTGAATAGCAGGCATGTTTTGGGCGTAGTATGACTACTGAGGCGGACTTGGATAGTCAATTCAACTATTCGGCCCGAGATAGTTCTCGAGGTCAGGACCGTAGAAGGACTTTCTCAACCTCTCGGCTCTTTTTTTGGCTTCTTCGGCCTGTAGACGGACCTTTTTGGCGTCGAGTCTGACGACCTTGTTCTCTTTTCTGGCCGTGGGCCGTTTCTGGGAGGTTGCTCCGTCGTCTTCGTGCCGTTGTTCGCGCAAGCCTTCTGTATCGTGCTTTTCCTTGGCCTTGATGGGGACGCGGATGCCCTCGTTGCGTGCGCCAATTCCAAGGCGGGAGTCCGGGTCCCAACCGTAGGACTCGAGGTACTTGACGCCCACGCGTGAACGGTCAAGGTGTGACGGAGGGTTGATGTGAGTCAAGCAGAGTTGGTGGGCCAGCGTGGATTCGTGCTGGTCGGTCGACATTATCGGATTGTTGCAGACTTTACACCGAACAACAACAGGCCCAGGAGGGGCGGACGAGGAGCGATCTGGCAGTGGTTGGGAGTCCTTTGGTAGGACGATGGAGAGGTAACGTGAGGCAATGTCGACTGGCTGGGGTTGCTGGTTTGAAGAGGAATTGGGCAGAATGGACTCGGACGTCGACGATGCTGGTACGAAGGCTATCCTTTTGCGTTTAATGCCAGCTCCAAAGACTCGTTGGTCTTGGAGTGGGATGTGGTAGTCTTCGTCCTCATCGGACATTGTGTGTTGTGGTATGATGTTGGTCTCTGGAATAATATCACAAGAGAAGAATAAATAAAATGCGGCATGTGGCGTCATTGCTCTTTAGGCAGATACTCCCGTACCCAAGCGGAAGATCGATTCCAGGCACCACGGCGCCGCTATAGGCGCCCCGAACAGCCACAACCAAGCTTATTCTGGCCGAAGTGCTCCATACCGTCGTCGGCCGCAGTCTCCGAGACTTTTTGAAACAAAAAAAGCCACAGTATATCAACCATTTCTTGAAGAAAGAAACAAGTCACCATGCCCATCCCTCTGCTGGCGGAGGGCGTCGGGCGAGGATGGTCCAGCATCCCGTATCTTGGTACGGCTTTACAAGCAGCAGCAATCATCGGGGTTGTCACGCTGCTGAAGTTGTACTTTGGAGGAGCGAAATGTCGTGCGGAAAGAGTAATGCATGGCAAAGTTGTAATGGTCACTGTCGGTTTATGCTTCTACTTGCCGCTGCAACTTCTCATTGACCAAAATATCAGGGCGGTACAGCAGGTGTCGGTGCTGCAGTCGTGCAAGAACTGGCCACTCGAGGCGCCCAGATCATCCTCCTCACACACCACGCTCCCTCTGACCCGTTCCTGGTTGACTACATTGAAGATCTGCGGACTGTGACGAACAATGAGTTGATATACGCCGAACAGGTGGATCTCTCCTCTCTACACTCAATACGAGTCTTTGCGACGAAGTGGGTAGACAATGCACCGCCGAGACGCCTGGACATGATCATTCTCTGTGCGAATGTGGAAACACCATACTTCGGGACGGGGCAGAAGACGATGGACGGGCTTGAGGCCGAGTGGATGATCAACTATCTCAGCACTTTCCACCTGTTGAGTATTCTCTCGCCAGCCATACGGGCACAACCTCCAGACCGAGATGTCAGGATACTCTTCAGCACGTGTAGTAGCTACATTGGGGGGAAGTTGAACTTGAAGGGAACGGAAAACGTGACAAAGTCAGGAGCCACTTCTTACGCAAGGAGCAAACTTGCGACCATGACGTTTGCCTATGCATTTCAGAAACATCTCGACGCTTACAAGAGGCCCGACAACGCGAATAACAACGCCAGAGCCTTCATCATTGATCCTGGTTTCTGCCGCACCCCAGGTACGAGAAGATGGCTTTCTGGAGGTCTGATATGGGGTCTCTTGCTGTACCTCGTCACTTGGCCATTGTGGTGGTTGATTCTCAAGTCGCCAGTTCAAGGTGCTCAGAGTTATCTCCTGGCTGCGATGGAAGCCGAATACGGACGAGGACCTGGTGGCAAGATGATCAAAGAGTGCCGCGAACTCGAACCCTTCAGGCCAGATGTGAAAAAGGAAGATGTGGCCAAGAAGTTGTGGGAGTTCAGCGAGAAACAAGTTGAGCAGCTGGAGAAAGAAGGCGCTGTTCAGAGAGCTCTGGCAAAGAAGGAAGCGGAGCAGAAAAAAAAGGAGGCCGAAGCTTCTGACAACCCTGGCGCCACGACTCCTGCTTCAGCTGCTAAAAAGGAGGCCACCCCTGGATCGAGAAGGAGCCGCAAGGCGAAATAAAGGCAAATCAATGCTGAAAGATTCTGGTGGAACATTGATATCCTGGGGCAATGGATTGCAGAACTTGCTTGAGACTTCGACTCGGCACATGGTACGCATGATTGTTATGATGCAAGGATACACCCCTCGTATCATATCAACTCGAGAACGAATAGATGATACCTGCAAATCTGACTCCTAGAGTACCGGGGTAACATCCGTCCATATCTTCAATACCTCGAAATGCTGTATAGGAAAATATTTCTGTGGTGACATGGCTCCAATCATTGGCGGAATACGACGTGCCTTCTAGTGTATAGAAGCATTTTTCGGCAGTGTTGATTCTCAGTCTCTCAAGTCTTGTCACTCCACAGACTTACCGCAAAGCCCAATCATGGCGATGGCAATTCAACCATTTCCCGATGAATGGGGGACAAAGAACATGACGGTCGCGGTGCTGATTCCGCGCCCCTCTGAATTCTCAAGGCGGAATGTTTGGCTTCTCTCCATATTTCCCCCGCCCGACGCATGCAATTCCGGAGACACACGCACCATACATCCTACAATGGTCAGGTATACGCCGGACATGTCCCATATATCTACAGTAAGGGTGCCTAGATCATAAATTCTTTCCTCTGCTGTTCTTCAATCCTCTCGTTTCGACTCGCGGCACGCCAACATGATCATCGACAAAACCCTCTCGTTGATACTGGGCAAAGCCCAGGATGCGCCCGTGACATTCGTCGCATACTTCGCGGCTGCTTCCGCGCTGGTATATCTTCTCCTCACCGAGATCCAAAGGGCTCAAGTGCGAATCCCCGGCTTCAAAGGACCCTCGGGCTTGCCGATGATAGGGAACATCCATCAAATCCGCGTGAACGCAGCAGAACAGTACCGACAATGGGCCAAGAAGTTCGGTCCCGTCTACCAGATCATGCTGGGCAACGTGCCTGTGATCGTGGTCAACTCAGCAAAGTCGGCACGCGAGATCTTTGGCGCAAACTCGCAGGCCCTCGCGTCGAGGCCCGAATTCTACACGTTCCACAAGGTGGTCAGCTCCACGTCCGGCACGACCATCGGCACGAGCCCGTTCACTGAGAGTCTGAAACGGCGCCGAAAGGGTGCCGCGAGTGCCCTCAACAAACCCAGCGTGGCGACGTACATACCCCACATCGACGTCGAGACGCGAGACTTTCTCAACGAGTTCTTGACCTATGGCGACGGTGGCCGCAAGCCGGTCGACCCCATGCCCATGATCCAGCGGCTGTCGCTGTCGCTCGCTCTGACCCTAAACTGGGGCACGCGCATGGCGAGCCAGAACGACGAGCTGTTCGGCGAGATCACGCACGTCGAGGAGGAAGTGTCCAAGTTCCGGTCGACGACGGGCAACCTGCAAGACTACATCCCCCTGCTGCGCCTGAACCCGTTCAACTTTGGCAGCGCCAAAGCCCGCGAGATGCGCCACCGGCGCGACGTCTACCTCAAGAAACTCAACGACGACCTCGACGACCGCATGGCGAAAGGCACGCACCAGCCGTGCATCCAGGCCAACGTGATCCAGGACAAGGAGACCAAGCTCAACCACGAGGAGCTGGTGTCGATCAGCTTGACCATGCTGTCAGGCGGCCTGGACACTCTCACGACGCTGGTGGCGTGGAGCATGGCGCTGCTGGCCGAGCGGCCCGAGATCCAACGGAAGGCCCTCGAAGAGATCCGCGCCGTGTACCCCGGAGACGACCAGATCCTGTGCGACGCCAACGACGACCAGGGCATCCCTTACATCGTGGCGCTCGTGCGCGAGCTGCTGCGGTACTACACCGTACTGCGGCTGGCTCTGCCTCGCGCCACGGTCAAGGACATCGTGTACAACGGCCACACCATCCCGAGCGGCAGCGTCGTGTTCCTCAACGCCTGGGCCTGCAACATGGACGCCGACGTCTGGTCGGACCCGGAGGTGTTCCGTCCCGAACGCTGGCTCGAACAGCCCGACGCCCCCATGTTCACCTACGGCCTGGGGTACCGCATGTGCGCCGGCAGCCTGCTGGCCAACCGCGAAATGTACACCATCTACCTGAGGTTGCTGAGCGCGTTCGAAATCACCGACCTCAAGGCCGTCGACGGCGGCGAGATGAACACCCACCCGGTCGACGGCGTCATCGACCCCACCCAGCTGGTCAGCGTGCCGAAACGCTACACGGTCAGGGTGGTGCCGAGGGACGAGGCGGGATTGAAAAAGGCCTTGAGCGAGTACGAGGACCACCAGCATTGATTTGCGATCAGTCAGCGCTCTCGGATCGAGTGGCGGGCTGTGGAAAATGAGTCGACGTTTACGGTTTTCTTTTTCATTCTGCAGTCCGGTGTGGTGGTGAATTCTCTTCGCACTTTCGAGGAGAGAAACGGTTTCAGTCTCAGAATGGTGCGGGTCTCTTGAAAAGGAGTTACGATGCCCTCCTTTTGACAAACAATTGTGTATACATACCTATTCACAACGTACATATCAATACCAACACAATGCATGTACTTTGTCTCTCACATGATCATCTCTCATCGTTTGTTCTGGAGAGCGTCATATGATTTATGAACTCGTCCATCCATCGCAAGGACAGGGATAACGGTTGCCCGTCTATATGGGCATTCATAAAGTTAAAAAGAAGAATCCCCCAGTATCTATTTATCTATATCCAAGGAGATTTCTGTCTATCGAGTCATCAAAATCTCTATAGCGGCCACGATGCACTATCTATTGGCCATCCCCACGTCCCTTTCTACCCACTCTAGTCTATCCCCAAGAGAGATGAAAAGGGAAAAATGTCGTCAAAGCTGCACCTGCACGACTAGGCTGTGTGGTGGTCTAGTGAGTCGTCGGTCTCATTTGCTCGCCGTGCTCGATCGAGTAGGTGCGGTGTTTCTTGAGCCCTTCCTCGGCGATCCTCTTGACGGTCTTCTTGCCGTCGTAGATGTCCTTGGTCTCCTCGAGGATGCTCTTCCAGCTCTCGAACTCGGTGAAGGGGATGCCCTCGCGCTCGCAGTAGGTGATGAGGTCCTGGCCGGCCCGGGCGAAGAGCAGGTCGGTCTCGCGGGCGGCGCTGAGGTCGCTGACGCCGTCGCCGGCGTAGAGGAGCGTCGGGCGGTCCTCGTGGCGCGGCATCTTGGCGATGGCGTCGGCGTAGGGCCTGATGGTCAGAGACTTGTCGTGGCCGAAGCCCGAGTCGTCGTGGAACTTGATGGTCCAGCCGTCGCCCCTGTCGAGGGAGTTCCCCGGGGCGCGGAGTTGGGTCTCGTTGGCGACGACCTCGATGTCCCTCATCAGCTCCTCGCCGAGCAGGTGCCGCAGGAGGGTCTCGATGATGGGGATCATGCCGGAGCTGAGCACGATGACGGGCACGTCGTGGGAGCGCGCCCACACCATAAAGTCCTTGAAGTGAGGGTCGAGGGTGATGTTGTCCGTCAGGATCTTCAAAATCTCCGGGAACGGCATCTTCCACGAGTCGAGCATCTTTTGGAACGTGTTGCGGAACGTGTCGGTGTTGTCGATGACGGCGTGGAAGAGCTGGCGGCGCTCCGCCTTACCCATGCCATAATTGTCGGTGATGTAGTCGTTGGTGTCTTGGAGAGTGATGGTGCCGTCAAAGTCGGTGAAGAAGATGACCCGAGGCTTCGCGTTGAGTGTCTCCGGGAAAGGCATTGCTACTGATTCAAGGTGGGTATATGTCAGGTATGTATATTTTATATTTTGTCAAAAATGGCGTTGTAACCGACAACTCCTGCGACTATGGAAGGCGAAAAAGATTGACCGAGTGTGGTGTGTCAAGGGTCCCAAATCTATAGCTAGAGAGAACTAGAGAGGAACAAACAAAAGTGAGAGAGAGGACAGATAGGTTCGAATACAGACCGACAACAAACCAACAATTCTTGGGGAGACCCAGTTCTTTTTCAGATATTTTTCTGCTGAGCGGGCAAGTCAGATACGAGGGACTTGTGTTGGACTCCGTTACAAGCACTGGGACTCCGTATCTGGAGAAACTTCCGGCCCTGTGATTGGGGAATCCGGACATGACGTCGACCGGCCCTTCGGCTTCCCTCCCGTATTCCTTTCGTTCGCCCGACTTGCCCCTTTCGGCCCCAATGCGGCTTTACGCTGCTGCTTGCAATACCAAAAGTGATAGCTGCGGTTTTCGGCGAGTCACAGAGGAGGAGCAGCAAATAGTTCTGTGGATTGGGGCTCGGTGAAGGGCTCAATTCCACTGTGCTGCTCGAGATGCAGCAAGCTCCCCTGCGGTTGTCACAGACTCTATGGTCCGCCTTTCGAGCTGCGAAGCCCGCTCACAGACCACTCCCGCGGCGGTTTTCCTCAGTTGTTCGACACTCCCCGCAACGATGGAACTGTCGAAGGTCGGGTATAGCTGTTCAAGCTCGATTTTATAGCGACACGAAACCAGAAATCGACCGGAAAGTGGAAGACGCAAAGTCACGTATCGAGGACAGTCTCGATGCCCGGGCTGATCATGTCGCCGAGGGTGAAAAGAAGCTCAAGGACTTTCAAGATGAGACCATCGTCCATACGATACCCGAGTCGTCCTCGATTGTCTACACCAAGACATCAGAGGAGCAGACAACCAAAAAACCCACGGATCCACCACCCTCGACAGACAAGAGCCTACCCTCTGACTTTTCCTCCCGCTACTCCCACATCAGGAGACGATTTACCGATTTTATGGACAATTTCCAAACACACGTGTTCGTCGCCTCCAGAAGGCTGAACGATCTGACGGGATATTCAGGTATAGAAGAATTGAAGCACGAGATCGAACACCAAGAGTTGGTGGTACAAGAGTCCCGTCGGGCAGTGAAAGAAGCTCGTGGCAAGTACAGTGAAGCAATAGCCACTCGAAGCCAGACACAACGAGAAGTCAATGACCTACTGCATCGAAAACACACGTGGTCAGCCGCGGATCTTGAACGATTTACGAGCCTCTACAGGTCCGACCATGCCAACGAGCAGACTGAAGCCGCGGCGCAGAATGAGGTCCACGAGGCCGAGGCACGGTACGAAGAAGCTTCGACGAAACTTGCCAGGGCCATCCTGGCACGGTACCATGAGGAGCAGATATGGAGCGACAAGATCAGGCAGATGTCCACGTGGGGGACGTGGGGTCTGATGGGTCTGAACGTGCTGCTGTTCGTCGTGTTCCAGATAGCTGTTGAGCCCTGGAGACGGAAAAGGCTGGTCAAAGGGTTTGAGGAGAAGGTCGAGCTCGCGCTGAAAGAGAGAGATGGAGACAAGCCTACTCTCCAGGCCACCACAGCCACAACCCCCGCCGTGGAACCGAATGGTGTTGGCGCGGTCGCAGCAATGTCGACGGAGGACAAAGTCGAAGCTGTCGCCGACAATATTGCCGAGCAGATTGTCGATGCAGTGTCTGGCACTACCGCAGAGCAACCTGAGCCTGCTGTCGCCTCACAAGCCGTGATAGAGGAAGCCGCCGAACAGGTAGCTGCTCAAGAACTGGCGGAAGAGGAAGTCGCCCAGGGAACACCGGAGACGATCATCCCCGCAGAGCCGGTCCTCGAACCGTCCCGCGCACAGGAAATCCCGGCGGGATCGCGCTGGGTTTCTCCCGAGTCGCCGCTGGCCTGGTACGAAGACGCCGTGCGCACGCGGTGGAACGACGAGCAGAAAGTCACGCTCAGCCAGCGCGAGTTGACAACTGTCGCCATGGAGGGCGTGGCGGGTGGTATGGCTCTCATGGGCCTGTTGTTTGTGCTTTTGAGACCGAGATAAGAAGTGGAAAAGCAGAAAAAATCTTTCCACGGAGAGAAGGGGGGACAGTCTCCTACCATGCCTCTCCCTTTTCTTCACTGTATATACTTGTAGAATAAAGATGGTACAGAAAGAATTGTTGCAGTCTGCCATGTTTTGCGTGATGGTGCTGTAGTACTCCGTATAAAAGACTACGACTAGATGAGTAGAAGAACCAAGCCAAAACTGCTCATGCTCACCAGTAACTCACTCGAAGACTGAGGCGTTCATTTGCAAATCAATGGCTTATGTCACACTCGTTACACGTGTAATGTCGACTTGTTTTCAATTGATATTTTGATTGGGTTCTCTTTTCTGGTCTCTCTAAACACGACTTATCACCACCTACCACAAGTGTCGGCTCGCCAGTATACTCCTCCTTTCTCTAATATGTACAGAAGCTAGCTTTCATTTTTCCGTGATCCTGCGGAGCGTCTGTACTTAGACGGACAACGCATCGACCCTCGGGGGAAAAAAGAAAGCAAATCTCTCACCAGAGCCAACGCAAAAAGATGTTCAATTGCTTCCAATGTTTTTCGAGTTTAACCAATGACAAGTTTGTCTTCCTCTGGGAAATCGTACGCCGGGATTTCCAAGTTCAGAGGTGCCGGTCCTTTTCTCACACGTCCAGAGATGTCGTAGTGCGAACCGTGGCACGGGCAGAACCAACCACCAAAATCACCGGCTTCACCAATGGGCACACAACCCAAGTGAGTGCAGACACCCAACATGACCAACCATTCGGGCTTCTTGACACGGTCTTCGTCTTTCTGAGGATCACGGAGGATGGAGATGCTACAACGAGCAGAAATTAGCACACAATTCATGGCGCAAGTTTGACCCAAAGGTGTAAAAGAGCGTACTTGACGGATTCGGCCTCCTTGATTTCGCTTTCCGTTCGATGACGGATAAAGACTGGCTTGCCTCGCCATTTGATAATCACGTTCTTGCCCTCTGGGATGGCGGCGAGGTCAACTTCGACCTTGGCCATGGCCAGGACATCAGCGGACGCAGACATGTTGACTAGGAAATCTGTTCAACCCCCAAAAACAGAGACTTCGTTAGCTTGTTGTTCGTTTTCTAAACCACCCTTTCCGGCGCCCATGCGTACGTACCCTGCACGGTGTTCTTCGCGCCAGCTGCGGCGAGCATTCCCATTGATCCGGCCATGAAGTAGCCAAAGACTCGGTTGGTGACCTCGGATTTTCCGGACTTGTAGGCCCCGAAGCTTGGGATCTTGGTGGTGTCCTTCTTCTCGGCCGCTCTGAAGGGACTCTGGAAGCTCGAGGAAGCAGTGGCATTGGATTCGCTCCGTCGCTGGGAACTCGGGGAGGAAGCTATTGTGGTGGCGGAGGCTGCGGCCAGACGGGAGGATGAGGATGTCGAGGTCGGGAGGGAGTGTCGGGTCCAGCTGCGCAAGGCAGGGCCTGCAGAAGCTGGGACTGGACGCATTATGGTGGATGGTGAGTAGAGAGTGGTTGTGGTTGACGAGGTCGAAGCTCGAGATTGTGAACGGGTTTGTTCAATTAATGCTGTGATCGAAGTCGCAGAAGAAGCACCTCCACATTGGGCTTAGCGTCGAATGATTTTATCCGTCAGTTGTGATTGGTCGAGAGCCATCGAAGCACCTGTTCCCTTCGTGGCTGACTCAGCAGTTCAGAGAATCTGCTGTCTTCACTTACAACTTCTATTCAGCAAATCAGAGGCGCTACGGTATTTCCAGAACTTGATCAGACAGACAGTCGTGGTGATGGCACAGCTGCGTAAGGCGTCAACTTGCCAATAATAACAGCAAATCCCAATCTATCGGCATAGTTTTTTTCATTCACATAGTCTGGCCAGAGCATCGACACCCAGTGAACTACCTATTTCAGGAGACACTATGGCCCCAATAAGACTCCGTATTCATGCTGCCTCTGATTTTATCGTGATTGTACAATGTAGTCATACTTCATGCTCGTCCACAGCGCAACACCAGTTCCTGTAGACCAACCCGGAAAAGAACTCGTATCCAGCCAAATACCTTTCATTCAGTCATCTCAATGTCTCGAATTGGATCGTGGTGACTGTGATTTCTCGAATGTGCTGATCTGTGAGCAATTGGACTGCCCGTAATATCATTTGAAGAACCGTTGACACCGTTCGTGCCATTTAAATTTTGATTCTTCATCATGGTATCTATGGACAGTGTACTACTGTCTCCGTTCGCGGTATTCGCCGTAGCTCCTGCAGCAGAAGCGGCTTTTGCTGCCGCCTCTTGTGCCTTTTCTTCTCGAAATTGGCGATACGTTTTGGTCTTTGGCACTGTGTCTGATAAAAACTCAAGATTGTCGATTCTCGATATTGCGGTCGCTTGGAGATTGTCAGAACTGACAGCAATCGGTCTGGACAACAACCTACCAATATCTTTGTATGCTAAATTTTTCCGCGGTTTTCGTTCTGATTTGACCACGGTGTGTGACTGCTCTGCGAGATATCGTATAAAATTCTCCTACAGAATTGTCAATACTGTTAGATGAATCTTAGTTAATGGACAGACCGTCGCAACTGAGATCGCAAAGGCTGCCGTAGTCGAGCATTGAGCGATATCATCGTCCATTGCAATAATCTTCTTCACTCTCGCAACTAGATCGGTGTCAGTTACTAAGAAGAAAACCGCATATCAGAGAGGAACTAACGAGGCAGCACAGATGTGCCTGTGATCTCTTCTGGAGGATCGATGGGCGCATTGTTATAAGGCATAGTTTAACAAGAGGACCGTCGGGGTCTCGATCGGATAGGGCGTATTCTTTGCAGACCAAATTCTTCAAGGGCAGCCACGCACGTAAGAAGTCTCTCAGGTCTAGTGCACAGGTGAAAGAGATCTTGACGCGTCAATTATGATCCTCGGATGTTTTCAACTGCTGTTTCAATTCAAACGTGAGGTTGAACAAGAACAAATACGCGGGAAGATGGTCGCGTTGAGACACTCGTACATATGTCAATGTTCTCGGCGGACGGAGTATTTAGTCCCAAAATGGAAAAAGCGATCGTTGGGAGGCCAGTTCGAAGCTGCGCAGCCTACGGAGTACAATCCTCCTTGACGACCTTCTCAAGGAGTATCACATACTGTATATCTTCTATGACAGTCATGATAGATGATCCAATGTTATGACCACCTCCGCTGCACACGCCACCACAGCGCGGCCGTCCTATTCAGCGCGTCGTCTCTCCAGGCGCCGATCCACGGCTTCGAGCCTCGAACATGGAGTGCCTATTCCCCAGATCACGCCCGCGGACCAGGCTATCACGGAAGAGATCGCAGAGATTAAAAGATATGAAGACTTCACTACGATAGATTGGGTTCAAGATGCGGCCCAAGAACAACTGCGGAGAAGGGCCAGACGGAAAGAATCCAAGTTCTTCGAAAGAGACGGAGTATTGGGCTGGCGTCGAAGAGTATGGGATTCGTACGATGCGGCGCAATCATGGATTGTCATAACACTCGTTGGCATCATTATCGGCTTCAATGCTGCCGCTCTGAGCATTGTGACGGAGTGGCTCTCGGACATCAAGATGGGTTACTGTACAACTGCCTGGTACCTCAATGAAGGCTTCTGTTGTTTTGGCTCTGAAGAAGGCTGCGATGAGTGGAAGCGATGGAGCTCATTCGGTATCGCCAACTACTTTATATACGCCATCTTCGCCGTTCTACTCTGCTTTGTGTCGGCCTATCTGGTCAAGAACTATGCCCCATATGCAGCCGGCTCGGGAATTTCAGAAATCAAATGCATTATCGCTGGATTCATCATGAAGGGATTTTTGGGTTTCTGGACGTTTTTAATCAAGTCGATATGCTTACCACTTGCCATCGCATCTGGTTTATCAGTCGGCAAAGAAGGGCCAAGTGTTCACTACGCTGTTTGCGTTGGCAATGTGATATCAAGATTCTTCGACAAATACAGACGAAGCGCATCCAAGACCAGAGAAATTCTTACCGCAACAGCGGGAGCGGGAGTGGCGGTCGCCTTTGGAAGTCCCATTGGAGGAGTCCTGTTCTCTTTAGAGGAAATGGCATCACATTTTCCGCTCAAGACACTCTGGAGGTAAGTTTGTCTGTTGTTTCCTCCGGCAAGCACTGGCTCTAATCTTTCTGTAGGAGTTACTTCTGTGCACTTGTTGCAACGGCGGTGTTGAGCGCCATGAACCCCTTCAGAACTGGCCAGCTTGTCATGTTTTCAGTCAAATACGATAGAGATTGGCATTTTTTCGAAATCATTTTTTATATCATTCTCGGAATATTTGGCGGACTATACGGTGCTTTTGCGATCAAATTCAACCTCAAAGTTCAGGCATTCCGAAAGAAATACCTAGTGAAACACGGTATCCCTGAAGCCGTCATACTTGCTGGAGCGACTGCTCTCCTCTGCTACCCGAACATGTTTCTACGGATTGAAATGACGGAAATGATGGAGATGTTGTTCCGAGAATGCGAAGGAGACTATGACTATCATGGCCTTTGCGAAAAGAAAAACAGATGGTCGCTTGTCGCGTCACTGGCAGTCGCAACGATTATGAGAACCCTTCTGTTCGTCATCTCATATGGCTGCAAAGTTCCCGCGGGCGCATTCGTACCGTCGATGGCAATTGGAGCTTCTTTTGGGAGAATGCTAGGAATCATCGTCCAGTGGCTGTACGAGTCCTTCCCAGATTCGCAATTTTTCTCTGCGTGTCAGCCAGATGTACCGTGCATCACGCCTGGTACATATGCTTTCCTGGGCGCCGGAGCGGCTCTCAGTGGTATTATGCACCTGACAATCTCAGTCACCGTCATCATGTTTGAGCTCACTGGTGCATTGACCTACATTCTTCCCACGATGATTGTGGTGGGAGTCACCAAAGCCGTCGGGGATCGCTTCAGCAAGGCCGGTATAGCTGATCAGATGATCTGGTTCAACGGTTTTCCCTTCCTCGACAACAAAGAAGAACATACCTTTGGCGTGCCTGTATCACAGGTCATGACCGGAACCATGAGCGTGCTGTACACCACAGGCATGGAAGTGAAAGCCGTGCAGAAACTACTGAATGACACGACATACTCTGGGTTTCCGATCGTGGAGGACGAGGATGCGAGGATCCTGATCGGCTACATCGGCAGGACTGAACTTCAATTCGCCATTGACCGGGCCAGAAAACAAGGCATGCTCGCGCCAGACGCCAAGTGTACATTCGCCGTGGACCGAGAAGATACTGCGGAAACTCCAGCACCTCTCAGTCCATCCATCACCTTCGATTCCATGTCACTACACACCGCCGACTTTAGCGCGTTCGTCGACCACACGCCCATCACGGTCCATCCCCGCCTTCCCCTCGAGACGGTCATGGAGCTGTTCAAGAAGATGGGACCGCGTGTCATTCTCGTCGATCACCACGGCCGGCTCGAAGGCCTTGTCACAATTAAAGACTGCTTGAAGTACCAGTTCAAGGTCGAAGCGCAGGAACACGCATCTGCCATGAGAGACGACCAGCAACAAAACGGACACAATGAACGTTTCGCCGATGTACTGGCGACGGTTCGTGACTACGTGGCTGACACGATCAATAACCTGTCCCGGGGCAAGTTGAGACTGGGTCCTCGGACCGCAACTGGGTGGACCAGAGTCTCCGGACGCGATGACGACAGGCGGCATGACTTTGTGAATGACTATCGTAATGAACAGGCCATTTTGGATGGGACAGAAGATAACGATTTAGATATTGTCGATCACGACAGGGATGGTGTTGAGATGTATTCTAGATGAGGCCAAGTATTGACTTTGTCATATGTATAATCATGGATTTTTGATGCTGATGATCATCTTCGAGCTGTTTTCTATTTAGAGTACGCCTTGCATTCTTACCTTTCCGAGCTGTGGATTCTCTGATCAGATCGGTGGTCTTGTACAATCTATCTGCTGGAAGCTCCGTCTTCACCACCTTCACCAAGCCCTTAGCGGTCTGTGTTTTTCAGATGAGATGCGAGTTGTGTCGTCGACCACTTTTTATGTCTCTCGTTTCCATTTTCAGTTTCCAATCATCATCATCATCATCCTCCTCCTCCTCCTCCTCCTCCTCCTCCTCCGTCCATCTCTCACTTTCCCTTTATTTTTTTCGCTCCTATTCCCCTTCTTGTCCCCAGCCATACGCGAGCAGAAGAGAGCATGTCATCTCCACTACAACAACAAATCAATGTCCATCACGACATGTCTCTTTGATGAGGTTGACACCAAAGTCGGGGTGGGCGATGAAGTGATCACGACCGAGGTCGATGATGAAATTGATCAACGACAATCGAAAACCACCACTTTATTACCTGCTCCTTCACCACCTCCTTCTCTACGACGTCGTCAAACCCTAGAAGATGAACTCGCAGCCGTCAACGACGGTTTCGAACCAGATGGATCCACGATGATCGACGACGACGACCGGATCATTTGGGAATACGACGTGGAAAGGACGGAGGTCGATCTAGACACGAATCTAGATTCGGTCTTGACATTTGCGAGGACCGAGGAAACTGAAGAGGATGCCGAAATTGAAAGGAAGATGGAAAGTGAGGATGAGATTGGAGGGAAGATGGAAAGTGAGAGTGAGGGTGGGATCCATGAAATCAATCATCTTCTCCCTCGTCAGCATCACCACCACTACGACCACGGCGGCGATCACCACCACAACCAAAATGGTAGTGACGAAGACGAAACCACAACAATACCACCGCCAACCTTTCTCTCCCTCAATATTACGGATCTTTCTTCATGGAAAGCCACGCACCGACACCTCACTGGCCTCCCACCTACCCCAGACACCCACACGGCCATCTCACGTCACGCCGAGTTTCTATTCACATGGCTCGACATCTCGGTGCTCCCTTACATTGACGCTCTTGAACGGTACGCGCGTCATGAGATGATACAGACCGACGACGAGTGCTCCTCTGAAGTCTGAACAAGAGCACATGAGTTACTACAACGACCTACCGAGTGAGGTCGGACGGAAAGTCGACTGTAGTCAAGAGAGGGAAAAAGGCAATTGATTGGTGAAACGGTTGTCTCGACAAGTAAAACTTCCCTAGGGGTTGGACCGGACAAGTACGAAACCCACCTAGGTATCAAAAAGAAACAATCTTCTACCTCTCATCATTGCATATTCTGTAACATTCATCATCAATCTGATCTAACCACCTCATCATCATCTTTGGTTGTCTCTTTGCCGGGTAGGTGTATTTCAAGCACCCTTCCCATTTCTCCCATCCCTCCCACTCAACGGCCATAATAATATCCTTGACTCTCACCACCACCACCGTACTCATGTGGTTGTTGATAATTGGTCTGATATTGTTGATAACCTTGCTGCTGCTCTTGACCATAACCAAATCCAGCTCCTTCTCCTTGTCCTTGACCACTGTATTGCTCGTAACCAGCAGGAACTTGAGGCATGGGACTAGGAGTACGCACGTTGCCTCCTCCATAATGTGTGGCGTTGGCAGCTGCTTCGTACAGATCCGAGGCACCGCCGGCCTCGCTCCTAAATGCTCGGTATTGGTCGGCACCGGTGTCATCGTCATCAGCGCCACCACCGTCGGGACCGATCTCTCTCTTACCACCACCTCCGCCAAATGAACCAAAGAGTTTGCCATATTTCTGAACATTGGAAGCTCCAGGGACATTCATCTTGGAAGCCAGAGACAGAACTCCACCTAATCCTCCTCCGCCGGATCCACTGTGACCTCCTTGTTGTTGTTGATGTCCTCCTTGTCCACTGAAACTGCCGAGAACATTTCCCACCATCCCCAGAGGATTGCTGCTACCACCGCCGCCGCCGCCACCACCGTGTTGCTGATTGTGGCCCGGCAAGAAACTACTGGCGAGGCCGCCCAATCCGCCTCCATGACTATGTTGCTGCTGCTGTTGATGTTGGGGTGTGTGGGAACTTTGCAAATGTGGATTCACGCCAGCCTTGTGGTTTTTGCCCGCCCGAACCGCCTCCGAGTTCAAAACACCTTCCAGGCTCCTTCCTCTATCAGGCATTCCATCGACCCAATTTTTGACTGCGGCAAACATGTTCCGGTGGACTTCGTTGCGCTCATTGCGGATTGCTGGATGGTGGAAGACGGTCTCTACGTCCCGCATGACCTGCTCAATAGGAACATTGGGATTTTCCCAGGCATATAAGACTCTGGGGGCGATGAACTTGACAATCTCAGCAGCCACATTGCCGGCAGGCTCGTTGAGGAGGTTACTGAAGTGATCTTTCGACAACATACTGTGGGTCGGATCGGAGGAGTGAGGGTTGGTCCAGACTTCGTATTGGTGTTTGCCAGAAGAATTGATCACTCCTTCACTGCCAGTCTGGAGAGACTTTGAGATGGCGTTAATGACTGGTCGAACAAATGGAGCAAGAAGTGAAAGAATGAAGACGGTTAGAGTTTCGGTGATTCGCTCCACAAGAGCCTCGAGACCAGGAATCTTTTCAATGATGGCACTAATAGCGCGGACGACCTTGTCACGGAATGCCAGGATAGGATAAATCTGAGCAATCGTCTTGGCTGGATCAAAGTTGGGCATTCCGGGAAGACCTCCTTGGGCGGACGGCTGTTGCTGGGAAGCTTGAGCAGGAGTTGCCTGCTGGGTATGCTGTTCTTGTGGTTGATTCCATTGTTGACCTTGTTGACCTTGTTGACCTTGTGCAGGTTGATCCCACTGTTGAGGCTGCTGATGCTGACCCCATGATTGTTGCGGAGCTTGCTGAGGTTGTTGCCAGTTGTGTTGTCCACCTGGGTACTGATCGTGTGCGTTGAAGTTCTGTTGTGATGGATCTGTCCACTGCTGATGCTGACTCTGACCCCAATTCTGCTGAGGCTGCTGATAACCCTGCTGCGATGCATTCCAATTGTTATCATACCCTTGTTGACCAGGGAATCCTGCGTGAGAAGCGCGGCTCGTTCCCCAATCGTCAAGTCCACGAGTTGAATTCCCAAAGTCGTTGACACCTCTGTAGCCAGGCTGTCCTTCACCAAAGGCTTGTTCGTTTGCACGAGCTTGGGCTTGCGAGCTTGCTTGGAGTTGTTCGGCTTCATCACATAGCTCTTTGGTCCCCGGGACCTTTGACAAGAGTTTTACTAGGGTAAAAAGAGGGTTCGATGATTTTGCAGCCTGCTGCGCAGTTCCGAGAGCATTGTCCATCTCATTGACCTCGCTCTGGGTAAAGTGGTCAGTCCTAGATACGGTCAGCAAACTGGAGTCATTCGATTTAACGAGTCCAGTGAGCTCGCTCGGCATCGGAGCGGTCACCATGGACCAGGGAGCACATACGCCTCACCCAGAACAGAATGATAAAAGTCAACCATGCCAAATGTGCCTGTGACAAGAGGGAAGACGTGCTTGCCATGGAGGTTTATTCCAGTGGAGGTACCAACATGAGGGAAGACGTTGTGGAAGCCGAGCTCTCTCAACGCCAGCTCGACATAGTTTGTATGGGCGCCGAAATCCTCCAATGTATGCAGACCTTGTCCAAGACATCTCAATGCTTCGGCAAGCTCTTCGTCCTTGCCTTTGAATATGCCTCGACCATTCGTATAGAGTCGCCCATGGTGAATACTTTGCTCGAAACTGTACTTGACGTATGCCGCGCTGGTTGCCCAGTCTCCTTTGCCATTGGCAATGTAGTTCTTCATCCCAGTCTCCATGTCAATCTGTAGCTCAATATCACGGACGGGACCTCGAAGGCGTTTGTCATATTGGCGAGCATCCTCGTTATCATTGTAGTCCTTGGGATTATCGATATGCTCTTCGGGACGATAAACACCAAGTCTCTCGGAGGTAACCTCGAATTCGGCCGTGGCATAACCGAAACCAAGAAAGGACAATAGCCAAACTAGAATACGAATGGTCTCTGGTTGTGCCTTTTTGAGAGCGCCAGTGTCCATGGCTTGACTATAATCTGCAGAATGTGAGAAGCGCTGCCAGCACGGCACAAGTCAGGGAGGGATGGTTCCCTACCTCTCAGCCAGTTTCCAAAGTATACACCTGCGGGTTTATCAGGACATTTGGACAGCCAGTATCTGTACAAGACTCACGTTTGATCATCATCGAGTTCCACTTGTGATGTTTGATGCATGCCACCGTTTTGAGCACATCTTCAATATCTCCATGACGCCAGTTTTTGCCTTCCACGGCAGAGATTGAAGCAATGTCTGTTTCCGATATCAGCTTTAAACTTCTTCCTTTCTTTGGATATGTTCTGGAAAGCGAGATGTCGTGGCAAAACGTACTTCCAGCACCAAAGGCATGCGCACGACACGTAAAAAGCACAAGGCCGAGGAGAAGAATCAAAAGAAGACTCCTGCTGAACGCCATGGCTAAGTCTTGTTGGTCTCTATTCCGCGTTCGACCTCAATTGTTAACAGCGTGGAAGCAATGGCAGAACGAAAAGGAAGCGAAAGAAATGGTGGACGGCCGAATGTCATCTGCCTGACCGGAGCCAAGAATATAAAGCTGTAGATCGAGTGACCTCAGAGGTTGTGAACTTCGTTTAAATCAGGAATTAACGAATGCACTACACCTGGCCTGATGAAACTGGTCACTGCTCACAATTTAAGAAGTCACTACCCAAGCCATGCTTTATTGCTAAGTCTGCAAAAGGTTTCGATGCCATGAACTTCAACAGACAGCGCGGCTGGAATACGAGACGTTGTTGCGGTTTGTCCCGAACGGGAAACGCCCTTTAACTCAGCCTCCGGAAGGTGAAAGTATTGTTACCAGTACTGGTGGGGTTGAACACTTCAGCACTGCCACGTAGCAGCCTGTTTGCTATGATGATGAGGCTTTGCGGTGTGCAGTACAGGCCCTTGCAGACCTGAAAGCAAAGCTATCGATTGATCTAATTGATCTAACTGTATCAAACGAAAAACGCCGCAACAGCTATTCTGAGAAGGGTAACAAGTGCGAATGGAAAGGGGGTTCTTAAAGAGTACATACATACTGTTCAGTACAGGGCACGAGCACTCCGTACAAATACATGGAACGGCACCTTGTTGAACAGAAAAGAGAAATCATATTTTCAGCATCTATGACTAGAAATACACCTCATGAGCGGTGGCATATATCAACCATCCAATATTTGCTGGATAAGAGAAAGATTTCCCATGAAATCTCGACATCATTTTGAGAACCAACCATTTCAACCCATGAGATGTGCATTTGTTTCATGCTGCAGCGTCACCATAAACCAGCCCAAAGCCCAATCAAAACCGTCTGGTATCTTTGTATTCTCTCTCATCTCCCATAACCAACCGATAAATCAAATGTGCAAGCCAAAAATCAAAACCAAAACCCAAAATCCCCAAAATCCATGTTGTGGGCAAACACCGCCGATAATGCAGATGATAGTCGTCGTCTATCGTGATCTCTTGATCTGACCTGAATATGCTCGATGAACTCCATGCTAAAACACACTTTGTCTTTTGGGATCGCTGTGCCACCATACTCCCCGGGTCCCTATTCCTGTAGCTCGCGACAAAAACTGCTGGTATGATGTCAAACGTCGTCAAAGTCGCCAAACCCTTCTTTCGCTCGATGAAATGATAGATTTTCAGGTCGTCAGATACATATGTACAAAGTAAAGAGGTAAAAACGTGAGTAGGGTTGTCGTTAAACACCGGCGAAGCAAAGGCAGACGACCACATCACAGACCAGCCCAGGAACAATTACAGCGACACCAACGACCAGCACGGAGGAGAGAGCATAACAAGGTCTCTTACCACCGGCGGGCAGCGGTGGTCTGCTGCATCATGCCTGGGGAGATGGATGATGGTGGGCTTGCAATGCGGTTGCCGGTGGAAGGGTTTACAATTGGAATGGCGTTGTTGCGAGAACGGATCGCCGATGGTTGGTGAATCTTGAGGTGATTGTTGTTGTTGGTATATGATGGTGGTGACACATAGGCCGATGTTGCGGCAGAGGAGAGGGAGAGCGAAGGAGTGATTTGTTGGGGTTGAATCTGGGATTGCAGGGGCGAAGAATCCGGTGAACCGCTTGACAATGAAGATCGGTCAGATCCTGAAGTTACCGACTGGCGCTTCTTATAGTCAGTAAAAGATGTCGACAGGAACAGAGGTTCAAGACCAACCTCATCGTAGCTTAGCAGGTTCGGGCAGAATTCCAGGTCGTCATCCAGGTCGAAAGATCGTCCGGCCTCGAATCGTTGTCGGTAGGCCGCCAGGGTAGGAGCCTCGTTGATGACCGCCTCTTTCACCGCCTTGGGGGCTCGATATTGTCTCTGGTTGTTTTGGGCGGAAGAGATGCGAGGTGCCCGGCGAGAGCGGCCATGGTGGTTGTGAGACTGCGGCATCGGGTGAGGATTCTGGGCTTGGTGCTGTTGGTGACCGGCGTAGTAAAATGTCGACATGATTGCAACTCGATCCGATTCGTAGAAGGGTTTCCTGGGTAGAAGATGAGAAGAAAGTAAGGCTGCTTCGTCGAGTGAGTCGAAGGGTGAACAGCTAATCAAATGTGGCAAAACAATGACGGGGCGTCAGCTGATCAGGGTAGTTCGGCCGGAGCTTTGGTCTATGCTGTTGCAGGATTTGAACAATGTCGATAGGAATGTCGAGGTGCAACGGAGAAATACCAGGATAATAAAAGAGTAGGTTGTATGGAGGGTGGCAGGTAGACTAGAGAGAAGTCGAGTTTTAATTGAAGAGGCGGTAATGGGATGGTACGAGTAGCGGAAGAAGCGGTGGGAGGGATGGTGGTTTACAGGTATTCGTAGAGATGCGGGAAGAGAAAGGGCGGGAAAAGAGAGAGAGAAAGCGAGGGACGGGTGAGAAGTAGGAACGGGTACTAGTATCGCCCAGCAGCCCCAGTACAACACTAGCAGGACCAGTAGTACAAAGGCACTAGTAAGTAGCGCAGAAGTCACGAGTAGCGCAGGCAGGTCTGTGGCCCTTCGCGTGCTGCGCTAGTTGCCTGCATCTGGGGCCCAAAGGCGGTCGTCGCCGGGAACAGGGACCAAGGTGCCTGCAAAGTCCCTCGTTGATCGCTCGCCACCGGCCACTGTACTTCTCAGACCGCCTGCAAACCCACTGCGCATTTTTCAGCACGAACTCGGAGACTACGGCAATATTAGCCCAATCCACTAGACCCTCAACTAATCTCCTTCTGGCACTAGTTCGAGCGCTTTGTGATCGAATGGAAGAGACAGGCTCAAACTGCGCCCTCCACCCCGGTTCCATCCCAGTTCTTCGCTCTCCCTCCCAGTCGCCAAACATCTGGCAACATCTCGCACCCTCACTTTGCCCGCACTGTGGCCTTCCCCCCATCCATTTCGCCCATTTGGCGTCAAATCAGCGTGTCCAGATGGCTTGGTTGACGTCGTCCCTGAGGTCCTAATCCTAGAGTCAAATGAACAAACAAAGAGCCGATCCATGATTCTGGCCCTGCAGATCAAACCACGCAACACTCCCATCCCACCTGCTGCGGTTCGCTCACTATCCACGAGTAGACTCTATTCACAGCCTCGATTGTTCGATGCCAACTCGTCCCCCCTGCTGGAGAGCCATTCTTGTCGAAGTGCTCTCCATCTCACCAGTCCAGACCCTTCATGTTGCCGATGGTTACTCCGAACAGAAGACAATAATATCATCATCGTACTCCATAGTATGCCCAATGCTTACCGTCAATCACTGCTATGCATAAAATTGCACAGTAACCGTTCTAGTCGTCCAGTGAGACCAGCATTGTCTCAGCGGCCTGCCACCCCACAATTTGGCGGTGCTCAATGCACGACTCCTGAAAGGCCGTCGTCATATTCATCTCCTGTCTCGAATCATCTCGTGTCTGTCAACAATAGCCGATGCATGTTCTCCTGATGTACGGATAACGGGTCAGATGCACAACGAATTTGGGCAGCAGAAAAGACCGATATTCGTCGTCGCACCACCATGACAAGGCCCACGATATGGAATGCATTCAGCTCGTATTACTGTACATACATTCCGGGAAAGAAACGGAGAAGATCACCAGTCCAGTCGCATCGTGCTTTGCCCACGTTCCACTGCAGCTCGAGCCGAAAAGCATTAGGGACGCTATGACGAACAATCCCTCTTGACATTCCAATTGAACCCCTGGCCTTCCCAAAATATGCATCCAATCTCGTGTCTCTTTTGACGCCATTCGGCCACCATCTTCTCTTGTCGCTTCCATTCTGCAAATAACTCAACCGGATCATTGTTTTCCCTGCCGTGTTCTTCTAGAACACCATCATATTGTGCGCCCTAGGTTGAACTGACCTCAGTGACTAAGCATTCCGTAGTACGAACCCGAGTTGAATTTCAGGCTCGTATCCCGCAAGCCGCCTGGACACACGGCTTGTCCTCAGGTTCTCAGGAAATGACTTCCGACCATGCCCGTGCGATAGTTTATCGAAACTTTTGAGTCTGATACTGTAGAGCTCATTCCCACAGTGCCGACATATCTCCTGACTAGGAGAATAATCAATCCATCACGGTCATGGAATGGGTATTCTCTTCACGAGACTGACGATATTCGGCAGAAGGGGAAGATAGACCCAGAATTGTCTCGTCACCTTGGAGGGCCATATCACTTGTTTCCATTTGCATCTCGTGTTATTGGAACGTTGATGCTGCAATGGACTGGACTACCAATCAATTGCTCGAGGCAACAAATCGCAGGTGACTCGTACAAAGGAAATAGGCTAAACTGGTTAGGACTAGCTAGTAGCATCAGAAGTCTCATCAATGTTACCCGGCGTAGCCTTGTCTAGAGATGGCCGAGAACGGTCTACCTAGGTCGGATCAGGCTGAGAGTTCATGGGCCTCAACATTCATCCGTCATGTGACAAGACCTTGTTCGAGAGCAAAGGCGTTCTGAGTCGTCAGACAATCCACAGGAGATCATGTCTTTGAGTCACTATGTGGCTGGCGGAGCCCTCTGTTCGGCATCGATACGGGAACGCAGATTGGAATGGAGCGACCTGGCGTCACAGTATTCTCAGGCTCGCCATAACCTCCAAGCGTGCCTTGCTTGCAGAGACTTGGAGCCTACAGAGGTCTCAAAAACAGGTCACTACTTGGATCTTGACATAACCCTTGCCGAGTTGCGACACACGGCGGCCCATGGTTGTCGACGGTGTCAAATTCTACTGGAGGGACTGAGTCATTTTGTGTCCTGCTGGGAGGGTCCTGAAGATGAGGATGGCGAAATTCCAGCCGAGGAGGAGATCGAAATTGCTCTCACGCCCTACGTTGATGCGCTGTTGGAGATGAGGATCGCATGGCCTGTCCTCCCACAGCCTCGAGGGCCAGGCAGCAGATACAGTCACATCGATCTCGAGTTTTACTGTCATGCGGGTAAGTTTAGAAGATCCTCACCCCAAAAGGGTCAATAAAACTCGTTTTGTTCTTACTCTTGCCCCGAGGTGAGGATGCACCGTTTCCCGAATTTCGTCAGGCGTCGGAGATCCCGAGGCATTCTAACTGCGATGTCTCTTTTTCCGTCATCCAGAAATGGATCGAGTCTTGCTTGTCGGAGCATGATTTATGTAATGCGGATGATGCATCTGCAAAAATGCCGACCAGGGTGCTCGAGATTGGAAACGCGACAGAATCAAATGTCGTACGATTGACGTCGAAACCTCGACCAGGCGCCAAATACGCAGCTTTGAGCCATTCGTGGGGCGAATCGAAGCGGCGGCTCAAACAAGTCCCAAAGACGAAGAAAGACAACATCAGGTCGCGCGAGCAAGGTATAGCGTGGTCCGAATTGACCAAGACGTTCCAAGATGCTGTCCTGATCGCCCGCAGGCTGGGCCTGGACTATCTCTGGATAGACGCTCTGTGCATCATCCAAGATTTTGATGACGACTGGGCAATGGAAGCTTCACGCATGGCGGCCATATATGGGAATGCCCACGTTGTGATTTCAGCCACCAGGTCCGAGACGGGAGACGGAGGGTGCTTCGCTGACAGGCCTTCTAGTTTCCGGGTGCCGTCCACCACTGACGATACGACGGGGACGACGGGTACGACGACATGTGTCCACGTGAGGGAGAGACCACCTCACAGAGATTTGGACAATGGCAGAGCGTCCATCTTTGCGCGCTCACCGCTCCTAGACCGAGCGTGGATCTATCAAGAACGCCTCCTCGCGAAGAGGGTCGTCCACTACGTGGAACACGAGATCATGTGGGAATGCAGAACGTGCGTCTGGTGTGAGTGCAAGGGCCACAACGACCGCAACTTCAAGTACAACCTCGCCGCCTTGCTGCACGACAAGGACAACGTCCCGCGAAGATACCTGGAGTGGTCGCTGATCGTGAATCGGTACACGGCGCGTTCACTCTTTGCGGACGCCGACCGCCTCCCCGCTTTGTCCGGCATCGCAGGTCGCTTCCACCTCCCCGGGATGGGGAGGTACCTGGCAGGCCTCTGGGAGAATTCCATGCCGGAGTCTCTGGCCTGGGGAGCATCCCGCGGCGGCGTCGGCACACGTAAGATGCGAAGACCCCGCGAGTATCGAGCACCGACCTGGAGTTGGGCGTCCGTCGAGGCCGCATTTGGCATGTACATACCAGACGAGGACGACCCTCCTGGGTACACGTGCAAGGTCATTGCGGCAGAGTGCATACTCAAGAGTCCCGATCCGTACGGTCAAATCGTGGATGGGCATCTCGCGCTGTCGGGACTTTCTTTCAAGACCACTCTGGAGTACCGATATGATGATTTGAGGTTGAACCAGATTCCTCCCAAGTACGTTTTACGTCCGGGAGACGAGCTGTTTTTTGACCTAGATGAGGACGTCCCTTTGGATGATCCACACTCACCAGATCACGTCCCGGAGGGTACACCCTTGCTCGTGCTTATCCTCGTTGGAAACAACGATTTTGTCAGGAGTGCCGGTCGTCAGGACAGTTCAAGGGATGACTATTTTCAGGGCCTCGCGTTGAGACGTTCAGTTCGGTGTGAAGGCGCCTACGAGAGGGTTGGAAGGGTCAATGGACAGATGAATGCTGTTGTGGAGGGCACATTGCGGGAAATCGAGGTCAAAATCGTATGAGGCTTGGATACCACCATGAGCAAGCTTACCTGGCTTGAAGCATCGGGACAATAGGTGTACTTTGAACAGACAATATGTGTATAAATTATAATGACGATGATGATGTCCTGTAACACTGCTGGTGTATGTTTATAATCTACAGAGTTATATCTCTTACTCCGTAGGTACCTAGGTATGTTCATCATCATCATCATCATCATATCGGATCGTCCACCTCTTCCCCCCTCTTGACCCTGTCTCTGTTCTCTTCTTCACTCCTTCTTCTTATTGTTCTTCTCCCACCTTGGTCGTCTTCGTCAAGCTCCAAATCTCTCCCCAACAAACCCTCCTCTTCTTCTTGATCGTGATGTCTGGCTTCATCCCTGCTCTCGTCCAGACCTATACTCCCACCCGGTTTTTTCCCCTCCTCTCTCCTCCCAATCACCACGTTCCCGACCGCCAACAGTCCGGCACCCAGGAACCACAACCCGCTCAATTTCTCCCCAAACACCATCCACCCCAATACGGCCGTGATGACAAAGTTGGCGCTGACGTTGACGATGCTGACTCGCGTCGTGCTGTCGCCTCGGGTCAGGGCGGCCGTGAAGAGAGCCCACATGGCCGCGTTGAATGCTAGATTCAAAAGAAAAAAAGTCCCGCGCACGAGAAACTCGACCACCTTGTTCGAGGCCGACAAGGAAAAAAAGGTCGCAATGTGGGAGGACAGGGTTGAAGTGAGGGCCGTGGTTGTACTAGATACAAAATCCTCAGTGAGTGGTCAGTTTATGTGCCTTTGACCAAAAAGGACGTACAATTCTCGGGGTACGGGATGGACAATCAGAGGGTCGTTCGACCCGCATATACTCACAGTTTTGCAAAAACTCCGTTGATTGCAGCGCAGGCACCCGAAGAAACCGCCAGGACGATCCATACCGGTTGTCGCCTCAGCGCAGACGTAAATCGTGAGGAGTCTGAGTTGGTCATGTCGGGAGCAGAATTGGACCTCTCTGCCGACGACGACGACGACGACAGGGTCGTCTGTGTATAAGGAGACTGCGACTGCGACTGTGGCGAGGTTGGAGGTGGTCGACGTCGTCGTTGGGTCATGGCGTCAGAAAAAGACGAAAAGGGCCGGATAGATAAATATATATATAAACTTGATGCAGCATCTGGATAATGCAGTGAGGAACGGGGGACTCGGGGAAATTATTCCGTGCAGTATCCGTGCTTTAGGGGGTGAAGGTACCTGAAGACTTCAAGCCCACGAGGCTGAAGTGGAACCCCAAACAGCCTAATTTGATAGGCAACTATCACCTAAAGGACCAGCGCTAGGTATTGGACTCGTACTGCTGCTAGGACCCTCGAAAAAGGATATATATATAGGGTACGGAGTATATGTGAACAAATGCATATTCTACGCTTGCAAGTCAGAAAATCTCGTCTCGAATCGTATCAATTTCGTATACGCTGCACGGCCTAGATACATCCCTCGCGCATTAAAATCAGCCCGTATAAACCAGCCTCACCATCACCAAAGTCCCCAGTCCGCTAAAGTAGATGGATATTTATTTCGCTTTGCCATTTGCAACGGTGACGTTCTGCTCCTTGACAGTACTAGTGGTAGTCTGAGGTCCTCTCTCTTCGGCTTTCTCCTTTCCCTTTTCCTGATCTTTCGTCTCATCAGCATCTGAAGACACCTGCTTACCGAGAGACCCTGCCTCATAGCCAAGCGACTTCACGATGCCTAACCCTTTAGTCCTACCTTCTCGGAACAATATTCTTTGACCAACAGTCATAAACTCGGGACGCTGAACAAATCGAAAGGCAACGGTAGCTCGATCGCCAGTCCGGATGTACTCGCGGTCGATGTCGATGATGGCACACGTCTGACTCACAGGGCCGACATGTAGCATGGCCTGGTATTTCGGTCGGATAGTCGTAGCGTGGGACAGAATAAGCACCTCCGCCACGAACTCTCGATACACCTTTGGCGGGGTCTCGGCTTTTGGTAGCACAACCATGCCTTTACGCACGTCTCTCCTCCGGATACGCTTCAGTGCCAACGAAGCCGACTTACCAGCGCCGCAGGCAGGGACCGGGATTCTCTTCCGTTCGATGGACCGTACACCGCTTGTCTCGAATTGCCCTAGTGAATTGGGGCCGACGAGGACCGTGTCCCCGACATGCACCACACCAGACTCGACTACGCCCGACACGACCGTGCCGACAAACGGCACCGAAAAGGTATCATTGATGTGGAATTCCAACGGAGCTTCGTCGTCGTAGTGGCCGTAATGTGGAAGGATGTTCAAGAAGGTCCTTACAAGGTCCAAGGACTCGCCGGTAACGTTGGATACTTGGAATACAGGACATATCCGCTGCGAGACGAACTGCGTGGCCGTCACGACTGTCTCTTCGTGAGTTTTGATGAAGATGGGGATCTTCCGGGCGCCAGGAGACTTGAGGATCTTGGTCAGTTGAGTGATGGTCTGCTCGAGAATCTGGGGTGGACAGATGTCGATTTTGGTGATGACCACCATGACCGGCACGTTCAAAGCGAGAGCAATGCCCAAATGTTCCTTTGACATGCCGATGAGGCCATTGTTCGCCGCAACCATGAGTAGACAATAGTTCGGTGCGGACGACAACAGCCCAAAGACGGTGGTGCGCAGGTACTTCTCGTGGCCCGCAAGGTCGGTGAAAGTTATCACCTTCGCGGAACGTGTCCCGATCTCGCCCCATGTCAGCTTGCGTCCGGGGACATTGGATGAGACGACATCGCCGTGGGTGTCGAAGCCCATAATCTCCATGCCCACAGATGAAGTCCTACCGGATTCGATCTCATGCTTGTGGCGGAACAGATTGACTCGGGCCTTACCACGGCCATCGTCCAGGTTGCCTTTCACCAATACACCCAGCATGGTTGACTTGCCTGCATCGACATTTCCGACAACTGCGATACGAGTCTCAATCACCTCTTCCGCCGTGGACGGGGTTTGTCGGATGAGAAGTTTGCCGTGGCTAGACTTGTCCTTGTCGCCACCATGCTTCGATTGGGCTTCCTCTGGACCACCGACGTTGAACGTCAAGAGCACTTTGACAGCGGCCTTGATGGTGCTTGCTGCCTCAATTATCCTTGCCAGTGCAAGATCCCATTGCTCTTTCGTAAAGCCCATCGACTCGCCACTGTCGAGTAGACCAAGGTCAAATAGAGTCTCGCCATGATCTTCATCAATGCGGGACCGAACCAAGCCAGCTATCTGTTGTAACGTCTCAGGAGCATTCTCAGAGGTATCAAGCAGCCACTCTTTTAGGTTGATCTGGTTCGGCGCATCCGAAAGGCCCAGTTGGTCAAGGATGTCCAACTCTGCATGCTCTTCCGATTCGGCAACAGGAGCGGCGGCGGCGGAGGAAGCGCCGTGATTGCCAGACGTAGATATCGGCTGCTTTGCTCGGGTTTTGGCTTGCTGTCTTTCAACGTAGTCTGCGAAGTCGGAGAGCGCCTGAGACGATCATGTCAGATAGCTGTAGTTGAGTGTACAAGGTCTATTTCTCAGTGCTCACAAGTTCTCCCTTCCGCCGATCCTGCAGCGTCTGTTTGAAACGAGTACCCATTGCGTAAGTATAATCAGAATGTCAACGAGATGATTTCCGGGTTCACTTCAGATGAATAGTCAATGTCGCCCCCGCGCTCTTTAGGGTATTCGGGTTATCATCTTCAACTTGAGGAGAGTAATTGGGACAAGAGTAGTATTGACTATGATGAGACCATATTGAATTGATTTGAAGAGACTCTAGCTAAGAGAACGATCCAGGGCGAGAGTCTTTTTATCTGGAACAAGTCTGAAAACGCCACTCTTTGTAGGTGTTGGAGTCATGACTATTCGGTGTCCAGGCGGGGAACGTGGACAACGCGTCGCTGATCCAGTCATGCCCCTCACTGTATCTTGCGGCCCCCTAAACCGCCTTAACCCCGCCTGAGTTAGATTCAGCCTGGTGAGCCTAGCCTCGATCTTGCGCTACTATCACAAGCCTGTAGCATGCGCTTCATATTGGCACCAATGGGCCTCGAATGATTCATAAATCTGATACTCCATATACGTTGATGGACTGGGAAATCGCTTGAGATGTGGGTTCCTCAAAGGCAGGCTCCTGCTCGGATGACCGACTCATCAGCCGTCAGAACAAGTGGAATCGTTTTATCCAGGTCTCGAGCCTCTTCAAGTAGTTGCCTGTCCAGCCACTCATGGTGACTTGCTTCGACTGACACCACTGCGTCATGAGTCTATAACAGGACGGCGTACCAAGACAAGGACAGGTTTAATCATTCGAAGAAGAGGAGAAGGAGGGTCATGACTCCGGTTGGGGCGAGATGAGAACAACAGAATCCCCTGGTACACGTCAGTGATGAATTTCCAGGGCCAAATTATAAACACATACCTCTTACGAATAGCATGTCTGATTGCTTTTTCGTTGTCTGCCCTTGATAAGCCTTTGTCTGTCGCGCATTTCCAGTGACACCCACCTTTACTGACTCTTCTCCATCCTCGTCTTCGTCAATTGAGAATATTGTTTCCTCGACTTCTCCTAGAACCAGGTTGCAATGACTGTCGTAGGCCTATGAACCTCTTAGTATCGTTAATTTTGTAATTTGTTGCCGGCGCATACATGTAGTCTTCCTTTGAGTTCACGATCTCCTCGTAGTCGAACAAACACGATTTCGTCGAGCGACAATCGGACTAGATCGAGGGGTTCCGACACAGATGTCGCTGCTTCATCTGCCGTGTCTGCCATTTCTCGCTTCGAGAAACGAGTGTTCCAGCAAGTGAGATTGTAGGATCAGAAAGATTAGCTGAACGCAGTTATGTTCAATTTAGTTGCACAAGTACAAGTCTTTGACCGAGCGAGCCTTGCCTGCGCCGAACCAGAGCTTGGCAAGTTTGCGTCTCACGTGACTATAACGAATACGAAAACGATAGGTCTACGGCTTTTTAGGGATTTGCGTCCTAACTACCCGCTCTCACTCCGACAAGAGCTCGGTTTGTTCTAGACGGGGACGATTCTCGTATCTTGAACAGACAAGCTAACATGCGCAACCGGATTTGTTGGTACATTCCCTTCGACTTTGTTTGTCACATTATAAGGGTCGAGTAAACCAATCTAGGTCAGTTTCCAACGTGAACTCGCTGAGATCAATATCCATGGGGACCTCTTTTTGCCCAATCGTCTGATGTGAGGACCGTAACGGGAAAAGGTCTTGGTGATTGTTGGTCGAGGAGAAAAGCTCGTAGCTATTCACGCTTGGAAGGATAGTAGTTGCATCGACATTACCAGATGCTTGACGTGAATGACAGATCAGCAACCTTCTCTCTGTGAGGTGACGAGAGCACATGAGTTGACCCGGAGTAGACCTACACAGACTGAGAACAGCTAAGGCGAGCTGCGATAAATAGTCGACAATGCGCTGCACCACTCGATTCCCTCGGTCAAGGTTCTGCAAAGCCTCGATGGCCATGTTGAGATAGAGAGCAGAACTCTCGAGGAACTTCCACTGTGAAGGTGCGACCTCACCTTCAGCGGCGGTGCCTTTCGGGGAGACAAGTAAGCCTGCAATTATTACCAGACCAGCATTGAATGCTATCAGGTGTGAGTGGGAAACGCTCGAACGCTGCTGCATCGCCAGGTATCCAGAGCCACTTACTATAAAACAAGGAGTAGTTCCAGGCTCCGAGAAGATCACGGCGCCACCCACTGGAAAGAACCACTGTATGGACAATGGAGATGATAATTATGGCAGATTCCACACAATTTTCGATACTGCTGATACAAACCTGGTGCATCATGGTCGTTTCAGTATCATTAGTGGGCCCTCCGTGGGCCTCGAGTAGTTTCTCGAGGATTGGTCGATGAAGTAGAATATGAAGGTTGTGAAACCGAAGAGATAGCACCAAGTTGAATCTTTCCGTGATCTTGTCTTTTGCTTCTAACTTCTCGAGATCTTGAGAGCAAAGTGGAGTGTTACACACTCGTAAATTTAAAGAAGGGAGACTTTGGGTTCTCCACTCGGTAAGTTGTGTTTCTCCTCTGAGTGTCAGAGCAATGATTTCTGCCACAGGAAGAAAGTCTTCAAGGCCAAGGTTTTGTCCATAGCATGTATCAATTATCTGATACATCACACTGTAGAGAGCTCTTTTCGAGTCTTGTCAAACTTCTAACATCGAATGTGAAGTTTCAATACTTACATTGTTGCCCGGAAGTACATTGCATCCATCCGCTGCCTTGTGTCCATCACGGGAGATTGACCCATGACTTGTATGTCCGCGGTTGGGAGTTCAAGCTTAATGTACTTCTCAGGAATCATGCAAGCCCTACCATAAGTCATGCTCAATGTACTTGAACAGGTATTAGGAAAAGTAAAAGCATATTGGGAATGGGTGTATTTACTTACCGATCGAGAAGGATACATCCGAACCAGACACGCTTTCGAATCTCGCTCTCTAATGGGGGAAAGTCTTGATTCGTTCGTGGTGAATGTAGCCCTAATTGAAACGCAGTCGTGATAGCCAGACCGTGAACAGTCCAAGCGCGGACAGACTTCTGTGTACCTTGAAGATACTGGCCCACAATAAGCAGATATTGTACTGAATAGTGTTATCAGTTTCCGATGATCAGATAATCATACCTTCAAATCAAAAATAGGAGTATCCCACCTAGTTCAAGGCTGTTATTCGTCCTTGATTCCCTCTCACATAGACCATTAGCTCTCTGATAATACACATCCGATTCCGCAATTCTCTCTTCTGAGGAAGGATAGCCATCAACAGTCAATGTGGTAGCCATGGCAAGGATCATGTTCAGCAAACCGAGCCATGTTCTCCGAGCCATTGTGAAGTTAGTGCGCTTCAACTGAAAGTAGGTCTCGCAGAACGATTCTTCATGGATGAATGGCAACAGCTGACCAGTCTTTTGGAAGTACTCCTTAATGAGCCTCCAAGTGTAATCCTCGGGTGGTAACGTGTAGATATTGACACTTCGTTGTGAGCGAGGAAAGGTGCCTTCGCTTGTTCCTCCATGCACATAATGTGGCCGAGTGACTCGCGTCCATTCATTGGCAGATGGCAGAGAAGAGTCTGTCCTGGTCTGTATCATTTGACTCTGTCCGCTTGCCTTCGCCAGCGCCAGTGAGATATGGCGTACAAAGGCAACATTGGACGATGGACCTGCATCATATGTGAGCATTCAGGCGGAGAATCGAGAATCACAGTAGCTCTGGACCGAAGAGGAAAGCCATACCGAAATAACCACAATCTTCTTCGTCTGTAAACTTGATCGCCCCCATGCCGTCGATGGCATCTTCACTAGCATCAATTTCACCCATTTCTGCGCTTGCCGGATAGCGGCCTGGTGGTTCCGGAGGAATCGAGGACTCTGGTATTGAGGACTGAGAGCCATTTGCAAGCTGGGGCGCGCCCACCGTACCAGTCTGAATTTTCGACTGACTTTGTTGCAATCCCTTCACGGTACTTTCGATCTCTCCGAGCCTCTGTTCTAGCTGTGACAGGTAACTAGGCACAAGTGGGACAGTTAGCTTTGTTTAGCAGCTGCTGAGGGTATATTAAGCTTACCTCCTTCCCACGGTTAGGCTTGTTGTTGTACCAGCTTGTTCGTACGAGCACTCACACCCCATCTCGGTTCAGAGGGAACATTTCGGTCGACCTCCATCACACTACACGACGTCAACCTGGCAGGAAGCCCCTCCCTTGCGATGACTTACGCGCGACTTCCTGTGCCTACAGTTTCCACATGCCAATGCAATCCTGCGCCGTTTGCTCGGACGACCTGAGGAACCACGCAGGTCTTGCTGAGCAGTTGTTGACCTCGCCACGGATGGACTGCTCCACTCTTGTTCATCATCATTTGTTTGAGATGGCATATTCGACATCCATTGATCGGGCTTTTCGGATGGGTTGCACAGTCAGTCGAAATCGGCAAGATACAAGGCAAAATGGAAAGTCGACGGAAGTTCGCTCCACGGGAACGTCGGGGAGGAAGCGGGTATTGATATGCAGATCCCATGTCAGACCATGCGGAGAAAGGCCGGCGCTGACTCTGGGGATTGCCCCCCTGTGTCCAGCCTTTAACCCCAATTGCCTGTGGACGTGTCTGACATCATGTCTGTTGGCAGTCTGTGGCCTCTTACACCTTACTGAGAATCGGGGAGCTTTTGGTTCTGGACTGCAAGATTGCACCAAGTATGTTCGTTATCCAGGAGGCTGTTGAACAGAAAAGATCATGGTGAGCCCGTCAGGTTGTGATCCGAGAATCTTCTAAAATAGGACTAGCGGTAAGGCTTCACTAGAAAGGGGCATTTATTATTCCACATCCTGATAGTCCCGAAATCATTCAAACTTGCAATAGTCTCGTCCTGGAATGATAACAATTCACAGCAAAGCCTTCGAAGTTCTTCCCCATTTGTTTATGAAAGTCAGCAGCTCCTGAGCAACCTCTTCCTTGTGGGTCCAGCTCAAGAAATGAACGCCACCTGGGAACTTGATCAATCTGGCCTCGGCCGCGTTAACGAACAGTCTGATGCCTTCCTCGGCGTTCCTTGTACTGAAAACAACATCGTCCGTACCCTGAATATAATCAGCACATTCCACAGATCAGGTCAGGAAGTTCGATCACTTACATGCAACCACAGAACAGGGCAGCGAATGTAGGGAAGTCGCTCATGCAGTCCGTCTCGAGTGGCAAGATTGACCGCTGCTTGACAGATTCTTCGTCTTCCTGAGCTTCCACTGTAATTATATCTGATGGATTCAGACCAAAAGTTCCTGGTCTTTTGGTCAACGGACTTTCCAAAACCAATGTCCATCAAGAAGTCGCAGTATTCGCTCCCCGGCTCGAAGTCATCAGCGGGAGCAAGATTGCCAGCCAACGTTACAAGACCTGAAGTCGCTCCTGGACCATCCCAGCAACCAAGTTCGCGGCTTCGCGGGGACTCGGAGTCCATCGATGATCCGATCGCTATGATTCCTCCGACCTGTGCATGGCCGTCAGTAACTATCGCCCCTGGGCCAGTAAGATGGCCGCATACTCTCGTGGGCGCAAGAAGAGCCATTCGCGTAGCGATCCACCCACCCTGCGACGTTCCCGCAGCAAACACTCGCTCAACCCCGAGCTTATCCAAGGCCTGGAGTGCCATAATAGCAGAATCCCAGTAGGTGAAGTTTTCTGCCTTTTGCGGAAACGTGTGGCCGTGGCCCAAAGGCTCCAATGCAATTAGATTAGCTGCGTGGAGGAGAGCTTCATTTTCAAACTCGGGTAGGTAGTAGTCGGCAGTAACGGTGAATGGATTGAACAGCACAAGAGTCGGCTTCGAATGGTCCAAGATCTCCCTTGATGGACGATAGCCCACTTGTATCCCGCCTAGGTGGGACACTTGCAGGGTCTTTCTGTCCAGAATCATGGTGAGGTCGTAGTCCCTCTGATTGTAGTAGGTCTCAAGGCTTCACAAATGATGCCGCGAGTTGTGGCCTATGGAGTATATTGCACAGAGGATTCTTGCCACCAACTCTATGTGAAGTAAAGGCTCGTAATAAGTACGTAGCCTCAACCCGAAAAATGAGGATCCCGGACACTTGCCGTAGTCAGATGGAGAGTGCTGTGGAGGCAAAGGCGCATATCTTTTTCCTATCTCCCCGATAACCGACCGTGGACCGAAGTACCTACTTATGCTGGTTATATGCTTAGAAGATGGTATATTAAGCCATAGACAAGGCTGCTTGCCAGAGAGCAGAATGAGAAAATTGAAATTGGCCACCAGAGTAGATCAGAATACTTCATTGCAAACACGTCAAGTTTGTAGGCGAGTCCTCAATTTTGCAATCCTCCCCTTTTTCTGACCGCAAGCGCTCTACAATGGTAAGTCGCCACTGCATTTGAGCTCGAGGACAAGTTCTAATGGGAGCAGGCTCAGCACCGAGATATTCATGTTGGTATCGTAGGGGCAGGAATTGGTGGCCTTGCGGCAGCCATTGCGTTGCGACGGGCTGGAGCCAAGGTTACTGTTCTGGAAGCGGCAAAGGAATTGGGCGAGGTATATCTCCTTCCATGTATCACTCAACTCAGAACTCCGACTAAGCATGCTCGTAGATCGGTGCCGGAATCCAAATGACACCTAACGTATCGGTGCTCTTGCAGCGATGGGGGGTTGACACCGTGATTGGAAACAACCTGGTGCAGTTTGAGGAATTGAACATGCGCCGAAAAGATGGAACACTTGTTGGCCATACCAAGATCCCAACTTTGGAACATACCCTCGGTCGTCCATGGTGGCTCGTACACCGTGCCCACCTTCACGATGGTTTGGCAACGGTTGCGCGTAGCGTCGGAGCCGAGATTGTGATCGACGCTCAAGTTACGAGCATCGAATACCAGAAGTCAGACACAGTGACGGTGGAAACACATAAGCATCAGACGTTCACTTTCAACCTTCTTGTTGGTGCAGATGGTGTCAACAGCATCACAAGACAGATCTTGTTTCCAAATACTCACCCGGAGCCCCCGACCACAAATTGCGCATATCGAGCCATCGTGCCTTACGACAGAATTCGAGAAGACCCAGTCGCCAGAGAATTGATTCAAAAGAAGACGATGGAAGTATGGATGGCTGAGAATGCCTATATCATCACTTATCCAATCAGTGATGCTAAGCTCTTCAACCTTGTGTTGTCACATCATCGCCCGGAAAAATTGCGTGCCACCCAGAATGACGTCCCAATTGAGGAGCTCTGGAACGAATACAAGGACTTTGACCCTCGGATAAAGCGCATTGTTGATATGATCGACAAGACAGTGAGGTCCATTTCAAGTTCTGAGAAACAAGCCCCCGTACTGACCTATTCTTAGTCGCGATGGCCCCTTCTGGTCACGGGACCCATGCGCTCATGGTCTTCTCCTCGAAAAAATGTCGTTCTCATGGGAGATGCAGCACATTCCATGGTGAACCACATGGCCCAAGGTGCGGCTACCTCTATGGAAGACGGAGCTTTCCTGGCAAGGTGTATCGCCAAAGTTGTCGCGGGCAAGCTCGGAATCGATCGAGCTGTCAAAATTTATGAGGAAGAGCGACAACCAAAGGCTTACCAGAAGCAACAAGTCTCGTTCTTAAACGGTGCCATCTGGCAGTTGCCGAACGGGCCTGAGCAACAAGCTCGAGATGCTGCCATGGCGCCAGAGCTCGACGGGAAATACTATGTCCGCAGCAGTAACCTCTACGGCGATCCACAGACAGTCCTTGAAGTATATGGCTATGATGCCGAGGGTCACGCCGAGACTGCCCTGAGAAAGTACCTCAACAATGGAAAGGAGGTCGCTCACCCGGACACGGGAGTAACTGAGACGATGCAACGCAAATACATGGATTGGTTTGCGGCGGGAGAAAAGTCCCGCGGAGAGCCATCTCGGCTTCAGTCAAGGTTGTGATCTGGTAGAATATGGTGTTCCGTGAATGGTAGACCGGGGGACATGGAGATTTAGATTTCTCTACATCATAAATTCCAACGAGTCTTGATACGTGAAGATGAATTAAAGCTTTCTCGACATTGTGGCTTGCGTCATATGGCAGCAAGAAACTCTTTAATCAATAAGCTCTCGAGCTTTATCACTTGGCAGCACAAGCAGCGGTCGACGAGCTTCCATTGCCGCAATCAAACGAGGAACAAACAGGAGAATTGTGCATTGCGTTCGATTGCTTGGCAGAAGACAACGTTGTGAAGAACAATCCCACCTTTACAAATCCCTCTGAGCAGTGTCCGTTTCTTACCGCCGTCCAACAAGGCCTGCTTGTATCTGTCATACCAGAAAGCGAAGATCCAAAGCGTGCCCAGAGTACTCCTCCATCAATGAACCAAATGCCGGTGCCGAATCTTGTATTGTACTCAAAGGTCGGCGTGATTGTCCTTTCGTGGCTTCAGGCATGACCACTCGGCCTTGAGCGGGTTTTCATGGCATGGGGAGTCAGCGCTCTTCTTCGTTAGGAGTCGTTGCAAATAGGGAGGTCCAAGCATCGACCCCAGAACGCTTGGTGAATCAGCCATTGGTATAAGATTCCAGCGCACTTGAGTCGGGCAAAAGCACTACTACACACTAGTGCACTCCTGAGTAGCGTCAAGACGATTCGGCATTTAGACTGCAGACTACTGTACGGGCTACCAGCTCTCAGGCTGATGGTGCAAGTTGACCTGGTGAGTCTGGCAAGATTGGCCGGCATCCCTGTCACCCACCCATGAGGACATACTAGGATCATGCATCCTGCTGTCTTGGGAAGGGTTCGCCAGCCTGCGAATTGAACAGGCATATAAGGCGTCGCTTTTCCACTTGGGCCCAAAAACCCGTTGCAACCTCAGCGTATCGAAAGGGCTACCAAAGAGTCTACTTCAAAATTCTTGCCATTCGGCTTCATTGAGCGAACCAAAACATGGAGCAAAGCAGTAATATATGGCAGCCTTTGTCCAACCAATGGAGCTTTCGCGTGGTCACAGTATACCATGGCCGTAATCACGAACCAATTGAAGTTTTCCTGCACGAAAAAGACTTGAGACTCGAACACGAATACGTTGCCTTGTCGTATACGTGGGGTAATGCTTGGTCCCAGGCCGAAATACAGGCGAATGGGCAACAGCATCGGATCTCGGAAAATCTGTACGAAGTCTTGAAGATCATCCGTGACGATGACCACGACATAAATGTCTGGATAGATGCCCTCTCGATATCTCAGGTTGATCCTGTGGAAAAATCCAATCATATTGGGATGATTGGCAAGATATTCCAACAGGCAAAAGACGTGTTGGCCTGGGTCGGCCACCAGAGCCCCAACGGCTTAGATCTTTCCAAACTAACGGCTGTCAACGAGAATCATGGCCCCCGAAAGAAGAGCGTCTTTCGAAGAGCTACCGAGGCAATAGTCCACCCCGAGTTACGAAGAACGAAACGCTACCCCACGACTTACACAGATGCATGGATGACGGCTGACTACCGCAGGCGTGCTGAAATTATCTCAAAATTGTTGCAGCGCCCATACTTCGGACGAACCTGGATCGTCCAGGAGCTTATCTTCTCCAAGCATATTACTTTCCGGTGCGGACCACACACCATAACCTGGGAGGTTTTGATGAACCTTATCGATAAAATTGTCGATTATGACCCCGAATGTGTACGCGATATTGAACTTCCGCGTCCCGACCCGTATTACGAAGATCAGATCGAAATGTTGACTGCAAACCCCAGGTTTGACCGGTTGATGTTTATCCGAGGGTGTCGCCGTTCCCATGCAGCAAATGACTTGGGCCTCGGGCTCATTGACTCCATCAATATATTTGCAAATACATCGCAGAGTCTTCCGCACGATCGTGTCTATGCTTTGCTGGAGCTGGTGCAAAAAAAGGGGTCGCTGCAGCCTCTGCAACCAAACTACGAGCTGAAGATGAGCCAGTTGTTTGTCCAGGTGTTTCGAACTCGTTCGTGCGTGCATCCGGGTGAGCTCTTTGCACCAGAACCAGGCCCGCTGCCCAAGCCATGGAAGTGGAACAGCACAGCTTTCGATCAACTGGTGGGATCGAGGAGCGTGATAGCGGCGTGCCTTTTGAGTGACCTTCGCATATCTCGAGAGCAAGCGTTGGATGCCCTAAAGGAGCTGCAGGAATGCGCACGTCAAGACCAGTGTGCCCGAGCAGACGATGACCTGTTTGCTGTTGCCAACGCATTCCACGTGTTGTACGGCTACCCTGAGGAGGGGAATCATGGACGATTCAGACAAGCGCTGTACGCAGCGCTGTGTGATGCGCTCCCCCCAGATTGGATCCGAAAACAGGCCCAACGGTGGTTTGACAACCTGCTCATCGTACTTCCTGGGTACTTTGATTCGTCTGACGAATCCCTAGGCCTTGATGTAAGCGTGCTTCTGAAGGCGTTCGACGATGAACGACGTCCATGAGCTATGGATCGAGCTCTAGATCTGAAGCGGCGCATTCGCCCGCTCCTCAGGACCGCAGGACATTTTGCCAGAGTTAGCTCTTATCTTCGCGGGGGACTAGTCAGCACAACCTAACCAGACTTTCGAATATAGTCTGACCTGTATTGAGCTGTACTCAATCAGGCTATTACCAGGTAGAATGTGTAGGAATGTGACCACTCTCTACCTTGACGTGGCTAATACATTTTGCTATTGCATTGTCGCGAGAAGAAAAGGCACTTTCTACAGCTGCGTGATCACGAAAAAATCACCAATCTTCTGTAACAAGGTGTCATGTAGGTCATTGACAGGTTCTTAATCGAACATTGGTTGCCTAACAATGAATTTTGTGGTGCTCGGAAGTTCCTGCATCGTGGCTCTGGGGAGAAAAAAAAAGAACTCAGTCGGGACTAAGCAAGGGCGGCATCACTTGCATTCCCTATCGGGGTGGGAGGCTCGAGCAGTAGTACTCCGTACCTTGGCAGCAATTTCGAGGCTGCTCTTTCCAGAGACCTTAATCGGAGTAGGTCACTGCTTTTTCCTGCGCCAACATTTCGCAGACTTCACTTTTCTTCTCTGCGTACTTTCTTCTTGGCTTGCTTGCTTGCTTCCTTCTTTGACTGGGCAGTCGGCGTTTAGGTGCATTTATGCAGGCACCGGTTCCTCTTCCGAGGCTCCTCAATGGTGCTCTACAGCCGTCAGCAAGTCGAATTCCTCATTTGAGCCTCCACATTTTCCGGCGGCAGCTTCGACAACCTGTCCACCATCAGCCGAAATGGCATCCTCACCTTTCCCCTGTCCATCGCCGATACCAATCTAGCGCTGTACTTGGAACCTCATTCTTCCCACTGGACAGCATAACAAGCCAGGAGGACTACAATGATGCGAATGCAGGTACAGCCGGGCATGCGACAGCTAGCGCCTCGGTCCCTGATGTTGGGTCCTCTACACAGTCCTCCGTAAGACACGAGGTGTCTATGGAGGAGCTACTGGAAGAAAATAACCCTGAAAGAATATTGCTGGGCCTGGTCACACCCTCGATCGGCGAGGGGTTCGTTCTGAACGCGGACGATGCGACATTCACCAAAGCCATATGCGCTCTAGATCCAGACTACTTTATCGTGCCGTTCAGAGATATTCACCGATACATTAAACCTACGCTGGAAGTCGGACCTCGATTCCGCCGTGTTAGATCTTACGAAGAGCGCATCAGCACTTTTTATCATCTGTTGGACACCCTAGTGACAATGCGAAAAGACCGGGGCCACAAACTTTCTCTCGATGTCTATCGGCATTTGCTACGTTGTGCAGCCCTTGGGGGGAATGGTACCATGGCAAGGAACATTCTTCGGAAAGTCATGCCAGACAATGATATCACGCCCGATGTTGCCTGCTATAACTATTTCATGGAGGCCCTGAACTGGAATCTGGCCTATGGTCGGCATGAGAGGTTCCATCTCAGAGTTGTCCCCAACCATACCGATCTCCGGGCCCGACCATCCAGACCCAAAGGCTTCCAAGGCCACTCAGTGGCTTCACCAATGAATCGGAACGATGATCAGTCCCTACGTTTAGAAGTGCTGAGGACTTTCAATGAGCTCGTCAGACAAGGCCTAAAGGGCGACGAAGCCACTTTTTGCAATTTGATAATTGCCATGGGTCGTGAGGGTGACATATCCAGCGTGATGAGTGTGCTAAAGTCGGTTTGGAATATCGATCTGGAAGCTTTGGGGAGATACGACGAAGAAGAAGTCGAAAGTCCAACATTTTACGAAGCGGATTCTCCACTACGCCCTACGGAGCGCTTGCTTCATGCAGTGGTCCATACATTCTCTTCCAACAACCAAGTTAATGTGGCGAGCCGATTAATCGATTATATTTCCCGAAACTATAACATGCCCATACCAGACTCTGTTTGGACCCAATTGCTTGAGTGGACCACTGTCCTGGCTGTGCAATTGGGAGGCAGAAGAAAGCGAGATGGCCACACTCTTGGCCGGGTCTCGCAAGATGGAGTCCAAGCACTCTGGGATGCCTACCATGATGAACCGTACAATGTTCCAGTCACCATTGTTGACCAAATGATCAAGCTCAAATGCTCTATGCGAGGCAAGCATCTTGACCTTTCTCTGCAAGAGCTTCGCATTTGCAAGAGACTGCTTGAGGAAGATCGTACAATTGTCTCACAATTATATGACCAGATGCGTGAGCAATTGACCAAAAATCACGAGCAGATTTTTGCAGATGGTGTGCCATCGGCGGAATTCCTAAAACTAAAACGAGAATTTTTATTCGCCTCGTTGAAGATGGACTGCCACATCCAACTAATAGCAGTTGCTGTTCGAATCATGCTCAAACAGAAACATTGGAACTTCACCTCGCACATCGCCGACTTCAGGAAGGTCACATGGCCACTCCAATTAGTGCCTGACCTTGTCCGAGAGTGGTCGGATTTTCTACCAAACATCATCCCCTACTATACACCAACAGGCCATGTCATGATAAGTGGCCAGCAGCATCGACATGATGCTCTTGTATCGGCCAATTCGACCCAAACCACCCCGGTCGGTCGGATGCGTGCAGCATTGGACACATACAGCCCTGCTCGCTTGCGGCGTGCGGTTGACCATGCACAACGTTCTCTCAACAGCAGAGCCAAGTCCGATACCGATAAAGAGACAACAAGGAAAGCAAGAGTTGCGGACTATGGTGATGAGAAGTATACAGATTGGGTCCTTGAAGAAGAGAGAGAATCACGTGGTGAACGCTTAAACAACCCGTCCTGGGGCACCTTGAACAATCCTGGCCCCGACTGGCGTGTTGACGAATGGTCACCATGGCGATCGTCGTCAGGGACAGAGGCAAAGGTATAGGAGGCCTCTGATAGTAACTTGAGCGAGGAAGAAGCCTAGTCTGACCTTGAAAAAGAAATCTTGTGTGTATCTCAAGTGTAGCACATTTGTATGATATGTATTCCGAGGCCTCTGTACTCCGTACTATAGTTTCAAATAAAAAGAGGCCATCCATTCTGCGACTGCAAATTTCTTTCGACGGTAAGCTGCTGCATAAGTCCGATCAATGACCATGCAATTCAAAAACAGCAAGGACGCGGCTCCTCTGTACTCCTGTGCTTGCCCAAAAAAAAGACAACGGAGAGGCAATCTGGCATTGGTGAATGTCAATCAATCTCCGTTTTCCTTCAAGGCTAGTCAGCCCTCTTCGCAGCGGTCATCATCCAGTCATCATAAGCAGCATTGCCATTTCGCTCCCACAGACCGACCCTTTCCCACCAACCACATTGCACTTTTTTGCTGTGTTGTTCGTCACGTTCCTACAACCTTTTGGGCCTTCAAGTCATTCACCACCATGTAGCGCCCTAAGCCGATCCATCCCCAGCGAAACCACACCATCTGACTCGCGTGGCCTTCGGTCATGGCGGCACGGGCCCGCCAATAGCGAGGGATATCGTTTATAAAAACCAACCGATCCGGGTTGCTTTTATTTGCGGCGGCACCCCCTGCTGTCCACGAAGCCCCTCCGCGTCCCGAGGTCGACCGGGAGACTATGCCGGAGATGTTGGAAAAAATTGCGTTGTAGATGCCGCCCAGCATCGTGGGGATCGCGTCGAGGATGAAGCTGTACTTGCGAGCGATGTTGACGGTCGGTAAAGTGTACAAAGAGACCGGGCATGCGTAACCGCTGTGGCCGTGCATGATCCGTTGCAAGAAGAGGGTCGCGCCGTGGAAGAGGGCGATGTGGTTCGGGTGGCTTGATATGCCGCGCTCGTCGAACGTGACGAGGACGTCAATGCTGGCGAGGGGTCCTGCTGGTACGTTTGATGCTGCTGCAGGCCCCGGGGACACGGACGTCGACGTAGACACAGAGGTTGACTTTGGGTTGGTTTTGGATGAAGACTTGGACTTTCTTTTATCCTTGTCCTTTTCCTTCTCCTTTGAAGGGGTGGACGACGTAGATGGCGCCGCCGCTTGTGACTTGCTGTTGTTCAGATGAGGCGCAAAGGCACTCGCGAGAACGCGCACTATGTCCTCGGGTTGCCAGACCTGGTCCATGCCGTCCTTGAAGCGTTCGTCGTCTAGGACGTAGACATCCTCTCTGCGTCGGAGGCCGAGTTGCACCGCGGCCTTTTCGAGCTCGAGGCGCCTTGTCTCGCCAATCCCATCGGCGTTGCCGGTGGACATGCAGAGGATCTTCAGATGGTTTTGTAGTGAGGGGTGCGTGAGAGCTTGGAGCGTCGGGTTGAAGAACATGGATTCATCGTCAGGGTGGGCTATCAGGAGGATGATCCGCTTATTGCGCATCGACTGTGGGATCGGGGGGACGCTGGCGGCCGTGATGTGCCAAAGGGCGAAGAAGAGGACTGGAAGCAGGGAGAGGCTGAGAATGGTTGTTCCCTCCATGGCGCGCAGTATCTAAGGTGGTGGACTGGTCGCCTCCCCGGTGCGGGTGTCTTCTCGCGTGACTCGACCTCTACGTAACGACTGCGACGCGGATGAACAGCTGAAGTTGAAATATCCCAGTCCCGTCCCACGAGGACCTAGTGTATCTACCTAGCGCTCCCTTGCCTTCCCTCCGGACGGCCTCGGTCTCCAAATCGGCGCAGAAGTCTAGCCACCTAGTATCTTATTCTGGTCGACCTCGATGCGTAGTGGCAGGCGATCGCGGGGCGTTTGGTTCCAAGCGAATCGCTCTCTGAACGCAGACAGGATGTTCATGGCGCTGGAACAGCGTAGATGTTCAGAAACCCCATCATCCAGGGAAAAGAACTGCGACAGGGTGCATGAACCTGTGGAGCAAGCAGAAAAAACAAAAAAGCGGTCTACGTGGCCGGATTAGTTTGCAGTTTGTGGTTGCAGTCGATCAAGTCATGCGGTTCTGGTACGAAGTAACAATTTCTGGGTCTCGTTCGTTTCGCTTTTGGCTTCTTCGTCTCCGAATGGCCAGTGTCACTTCGCTTCGAATTTCTCCACCCTTCAAAAAGGGGGGACTACTTCAGAGAAGCGAGTATGGACTATGCGAAGGTGGGATTATTGTAAGTTGGAAGACTTGTCGACCCAAGTACTCCGTACTCGGTACATGACACTGGCAGTAACAAAGGTTTAGATCACACTATCATCCTAGAATCCTGAAGACAGAGAGACGCATGTATACAGGGTCATCAATCTAATGATTGATACGATTTAGTTCAGCATAATCCACGCTACTTTGGCACTCTAAATGAGCGAATTGGACACGACACGAGCACTCACGTCTAGGCATACGGCGGGACGAACCTGGCAAGAGCTTCATGGCAAAGCAGAACCGTATGTGTCAAGCTGCATGTTGCACTTGACAGTTCACGACCGCTACTAATCCAGCCGCAACTGTCGTGGCCCCCAGTGTTTTCGGTGGTCGTTCCAGAACGTCCTTCGGAAATGATAAACAGGGTTCGAGAGTCACAGGGCGATTGTCATCAAATGTGCACAAAAACAATAAGTGAGCTTGCCACTTTGCGGCATGTTGGGCCATACCTGGATTGAACAGATAAAAGTTCTTTGAATTCAAATTTCTTGTCAGCATATTATCACTTTGTAGCTAGTAGTCGAGTGAGACCAACCATAGTCCCCAACTCCGCCCCTAAACGCCATCAACTCCGAACCACTGATAAGCAACTGCACAGCTGAGAATTTTCGTCGATCGTGTCTGCATAAATAGCCGGTACAGGGATGCCCTGTAATAAACGTAGACCTAAACCCTGTCGTTCTCGACGATGGAAGGGCCAGGTTGCAACTCTCCAACGTGGTCTAGTACCTGTATCTTGTTGAATAGTCTTTTGGTGAAACAACCAAACCTCTGCCCTTCTTTGCACCCTTGTAGATTGTTTCCAAGATGTCGATCAGCTCTTGCTTATCTTCGAGAACCCAATTGAGTTTGTTGTTGTTACCAGTGCCAAAGTCGCACATCATGTGCTTGTTGCGAAAGAAGAACATGAGCGTTACTGGGTCGTATAGTTCGTACATTTGATTGAAATCTGGGACCTGGTCGATGTCACAGACATAAATGACTGCAAAGTTTTTCACACGCTCCGCTATCTTGAATAGAGTCTCGTCCTGCCGCATGCAGTCCGGGTCCCAATCGCGGCCGAATCGTATAACGACCAATCTTTCGTCTTCGGAGAGGATAGCCTGGTCGACATGCCAGGCTGAGGGGAGATGAGGGATGACGACGGAACCCATGGTGTGACTTTGGGTGAGATCAAGTTGGGACGTGTCGTGAGAAGCTCAATGCCTTGATCTCGAGTAGATGGGATGTTGTTGAGATGGCAGGACTCGTTGTCGAAATTATTCGCAGGCTTGGAAGAAGATAGAAATGACCCAACTCGTACCGGTGCTTGGCAAGGCTGAACCCTGGGTTACTGCAAGGCTGTGTGGTATCGCCGCTAAGGGGCGATCATTGTTGGTATCGAACGACATTTTTACCCCGCTGAAAATCGGAGGATTTTTTGCCAGCGTCTTCATCGTGCCTGCGTTGGCTCTTCATTCCAGCAAATTTATTGAGCAGACCAGGCGTTCAAGATGGACCAGGTCTCGAGCAACTCATCGTCTTCAAACGTTGATTCTACCATTTCCGCCCTTCGGAAAGACCTGACCTCCGAGGATGTCGCCCTCGCCCGTCGTTTCCGTGCACTTTTCTCCCTCAAACACGTCGCATCCCAATCGCCGGGTCCTCAAGCCACGGCCGCAATAGAGGCCATCGCTGCCGCTTTTGCATCGCCCTCAGCACTTCTTAAGCATGAACTGGCATACTGCCTGGGCCAGACCAGAAATCTCTATTCAGTACCGTTTCTAAGAGCGGTGCTCGAGAATAGGTCAGAAGATGCAATGTGCAGACACGAAGCGGCCGAGGCGTTGGGCGCTCTGGGAGACTTATCAAGCCTAGAAATCATGAAACAAATGAAGGACGACGATAAGGAACCTGTGGTGGTAAGGGAAACGTGCGATATTGCCATTGATCGCATTCAGTGGGCACATTCCCAGGGCAGACAAGATGAAGCATTGAAACCCAGCGACTTTGCATCCATCGATCCAGCGCCACCCATGCCATTCTCAACCCAAACTCCATCAATACCTGAGTTACAAAAGACACTCCTGGATACCTCTCTTCCTCTCTTTCAACGCTACAGAGCCATGTTTGCTCTCCGAGACCTTGCTTCTCCACCAGACCTTCCCACCGCAGAAGCTGCCGTGCAGGCCCTTGCTTCTGGCTTTGTCGATCCGTCGGCACTTTTTAGGCACGAGGTAGCATTTGTGTTCGGTCAATTATCACATCCAGCATCGATTCCCGCTCTGGTGTCTGTTTTGGAAAATGGAAAGGAGGAAAGTATGGTTCGTCACGAAGCCGCTGAAGCCTTGGGTAGTCTTGGAGAAGAGCCTGGAGTGGAGGATATCCTGAAAAAGTTCCTCGAGGACCCAGAACAAGTTGTTCGTGAGAGTGTCATCGTGGCCCTTGACATGGCCGAATACGAGAAGAATGGTGAGATGGAGTATGCCACCGTTCCAGAGGCCGTGGCTGCTTGAGTCCAAGAGAGTCCAAGAGAGGTCTTTGATAGCGTGCATTTAAGGCGTCGGTGGTAACACTGAGATTGAGCGTCCTCAGTTGTTTTGGACATCCTTGTAGCCACATTCGCATCTGTAAAAAACTGTAGTACCTTCGTCGGCACTTCTCAGTTGTTTGGTATGATAGAACATTTCGGGCCGATGGCATTCAGGACACTCCCGTTGTATGACAGCTTCAACCTGTAGATCCTCCGCGTTGATGTTTTGGACTTCAGAATGTTTTGATCGTAGTGCTGAAGGAAATGCGCTAGGCTTGGACTTCGAGGTGATCACTTTGGACGAGGTATCTTTCGTGTATTGGAAACAGTCATCACACTTGATCATGTCATCTTGGTTTTTCCCAGGGACTACACGCGGAAGTAAAGAGCCGCAAACGTCGCAAAAGAGAAGACTTCCTATTGCGACCATTTTGACAATCGAATTCGGGGCTGGGGTTCAATGGCAGATTCGTCCGGTTAGACGTTAGACAAGGAATAATTTTTTGTAGATTTACTCGCCTACTTCACAAGGCTGAGAGCGTAGACCCTCCGCTAGTATAAATACAGCCTAGCGCAGCCTCATTCTCCAACTGCAATTGCGATCTTCTTCTCCCCAGACATTGCATCTACATGCATGGCTTTTTGTTTTTATCAGATGCTGCACGTTCTTTCCTACTTACACATGCGCATTTACAAACATGGTCTTAGCGTCTACTGGACCGCTGAATTTCATGTCGTCCCTGTGCATGCCCACCTAAGATACCCTCTCAGCCTCATCGGCGCAGTCACCCCGGATTGCGGGACGATCGAATACGATGGTAATCAACGATACTATTGAGGTTGTCATACCTCGGAAAACATCAAGCGGAGCCAAATCAAGGCAGGTCACTGTGGACGAGGCGATACAGTATACCCCAATGACGACCTCAATCCTGCCTGTGCATGGTGAGTTTGTTTGCCTATGTCCGTCACTCTGCTAAGAACCAAGATCGCATCCCCATACCACAATTGCGTAGTATACAAGATGCCAGGCTCACGAACTCTACCGAAAGGGCGTCTGCATATCGAAGCGATCTATACAGTTCTAAGGCGAAGGAACGCCTGGCTGCGCTATTAGACCCCTCGCGACTGTCAGAAGTGTAGGCTTGCGTGTTTCTTCTTGTTGTTGCTTTTCTAACGGTGACAGAAAATTCAAACGTCCTCCAATCAACAATGATACTTCACATGAGTCTCACTTGAACCCCGTTCAGAAGATGGTCCTGGATTTAACCAAAGTTGACTACACCTATCCAACTCCCGACCCTGCTCGACCACCGCCTAAGAAATCTACACCTAAGAAAACTCCTTCTAATTCGATGCATTCCGGCTTTACCGTCGATATTCCACAACCGCCTTCATCTTTCCGACGACAGGAATATGCGGAGATTCCTGTATCGCCAAAGAGACGCAAATTGGGTGATCCTCAGATGAATGGGAAGGTCGCTCTCGCTGCGAAGTCTAAGAAAGAGAAAGAGGATTTGCTTTTGAACAATTTCGAGAATGTGCTGTCTGAGATCTTCGAGGCTCAGGATCGACTCGCTCCAGATACATCTGCAGTTCCAGCAGCCAGAAGTGCAATATTTGAAGTGCCTCACGAGGATGACGATGATGCAGAGCCTCGGCTTTCACTCAAGACCCAAGATCAACTGCAGACGATGCTGAATCAACTAGTTATTGCAAACAGGCTGACCGATGCTCCTCTGGAGTATGTGCAGCGACTCCAGCGAATCTGCGAACCCGCGGTTGAAGCAGCGCAGACAACCAATCTAAGATTATCTCAAGAACCCTCAGAGGATGATATTCTATCGTGGTTGGCCAAACTCAATCAGGAGGAGATTGGTGCCATGTCTGCATGCACGTTGATCTACACAGTTTTAGGTGCTTCTCAGAATCAGGATCTTGTGAATTTGGAGGCTCTACAGTGGTTGCCGAATGTGCTTGTCAACCTCTTCGAAAATTGTTTGATTCCAATTGTGGAGGCTCGACCAGATGGGCATGACGGCAGGCTGTTTAGGGTTGCCTCAGAAAACAGCGAACTCTTGAGGAGGCTCCTCGATTTCGGTAGAAAACTTCTTGATCTCGCCGCAAAGGTGTGTATTCAGGTCAAGGGGGCTGGATCGATCGTCAATTCAACAGAATTCCTCGCGGCAAAACTTCTGTTCGTACAGAACGCATACAATGATAAACTTTCAGCACTCGGTTCCCAAGCATATGAACGATCACGAAAGCAAGCTATGGCAGTCCTCGCCAAGCTCTACGCCGCCTTTCCCGCAGAAAGGGGACCGATTCTTGATGAAGTTTTGACGTCTTTAGACAAGCTCCCATCCAATAGCCGAAGTGCAAGACAGTACAAAGTGGGAAGTGGCAAAAACATCCAGCTCATTTCGGCTTTGTTTATGCTACTCGTCCAAACCCCGACGATGCAATCACGAAAGGCTGCAGCCCACAAGCAGCGTCGTCCACGGCGTGATTTGTCACGAAACCCAGAGAGCTCAGATGAGGAAGCCGAAGAAGACGACATGGAAGTCGACTCTACTGTCTCTGATCAGTCAGACCACGATCCAATCTCGAAGCTCGGCCGCGTTGCAGACAATCTGTTCGAGGATGCTTTGAAAAGTGCGCAGCAAATTGTCGGCTGGATGGTTGACAAAGCTTCAAAGGTCACCAAGTCTGGAGATTCGCCATATCGTAACATCCTCGATTTGTTTGTCGAAGATTTGACCATAGTGCTTCCATCGACAGATTGGCCGGCATCAGAGTTGCTGCTGACCGTCTTGGCTATGCACATGATTTCTCTGGCAAAAAAAGACAAGGCTGCTTCTATCAAGAATATGGCGCTCGAGTGTCTTGGAGTTATGGGCTCCGCGATTTCTGTTACAAGAGCATCAGCCCGAAGCCTTCTGTCGGCCATCTCTCGAGATGGAGACACGGGAGCCGCCATTGGACAGGATCTCGCGAACCTGATTAAGGATAGGGCACATTTTGGCATTGATCCAGAAGAGCTCATATCACCCGAAGGGCCATTCTCAATCGTATACTCCTATATGAGCTCTCAGAAAGGTGAAGGTCTCAGGACCAAATCTGCGACAGCGTACTTTCTGGTACAATATGCCACTTTCATATCGAGAACATTACGAGGGCCCAGGGGTGCTGCACATGATCCCGCCTTGGAGTCGTCGCTGGCGAACATGATATCTATCGTCACACACCAGCTTTCTGCACCCGATGAGTTTCATGAGGCACCAGATAGCTTTCTAAATGTCAAACATCAGGAAGCACAGTTGGCGTACCTGCTTACGATCCTAAACATGCGCTTTTGTCGGCAATTCGCTAGTATCGCCAAAACGTTAGCCTCGTCTCTTTCGAGTGATCAGGCTCAAGTGCGAAGCCGCAGTTTGAAGAGTGTGGTTACAATTCTCGAAACGGACTCAAGCTTGTTAGACTGGGATCCCACGATCGCCGACGACGTGTTCAAGTGTGCCTCTGATGATTCTTCCCTGGTACGCGATTCAGCACTGTCTCTCATTGCTAGATTCATCATGCCTCAACCGACGCTCGAAGAGAAGGCGTTCAAACGACTCCTGAGATGTGCTGGAGACGCCAATGTTGGTGTGCAGAAACGTGCGATAGGCCATCTGAAAGATGTCTTTCTGAGGGAAACGAGAGAGAGTATGAAGGTCACAATTGCCATTGAGTTTCTTCGACGCACTGCAGACCAGGAAGCTTCAGTAGCCGACCTTGCGCGGAAGACCTTATCGGAGATCTGGGTCCAACCCAATTCGACTCTCCTGGCTAAATCACCTGAGTCTGCCCACGTCGAAGTCACGCTGGAAAGACTCAAAGCCCATATTGTCGCTTGTGTTAACAGTGATATTGAGGGCATGGCGGCATTATTGAAGAAATTCTTGGTAGGGTGCCTCAAAGATTCTAAAGACCTTGAGCAAGTGCACAACTTGTACGCCTATCTAGTCAAAAAGCTGCTAGACTCGGCGAATGGAAGCGATGCGGGCCCGGCCGAGTTGACAACACTGGTGTCTTTCGCAGAGGCACGCCCACAAACAGTCGTTCCCAGTGACCTGACAAGCTTGAAAAGCTATCTGAAGGACCTTTCCAGCGAGGACATTCTAAAGTTTAAATCGGTTGTTGCCATATTTCGCAGCGTTTTACCAAACTTGTCGAAGACTCAGGAAGTCTTGTTGTCAGAGGTGCAACTTTACCTTCTGAAATCGACTCCGAAGCTATCTCGTCGGCAAGATTTAGAACAAGTTATGTTCTGTCTCCAGAGTATCGATGGGGTATTGCTCAACACCTTTAAGATCGTCACGTTCATCAAATCGATCATGCTGAACGTCTTCCAACCCAACATTGCCGAACAGATGAAAGAGAGGCTCCTCAAGGAAAACAAGTTACAAGAGCTCGAAAGCAGAAAACGCAATGTAAGAGCTAGCTCGTTACGACTTGCTGGCGTGGTCGCAAAGTATTTTGACTTTGAGCGCTACCGCAATTCTTTCCAAAAGGACTTCCCACCAGGTCGGAAAGACATCCCAGCATTTACGGCCGGATCATCAGTTGTGGGGTTTATTGCCGATAGTGTGGTACCATACACCCTGCAGAAGGAGCCGGTTGAGATTCGGCTGAGGGCGTTAGAAAGCTTGGGCTTGATATGCCAAGCTTGGCCAGGACAATTCAACAAGAAACACGTTCGAGAAACATTTTTCCAGGTCCTAGAAGGAACTTCTTTCTCTTCTATGAAAGATGACGATATTATCAAGATGCAGGTCATGGTTCTTACGGCGTTTGAGGAGTTGTATGCCAAGAGAGCCAGTGAGAAAGAGGAGACTGCCAAAACCGAAAGCAATGGTGAAGTACAGGCACTCAAAAGCATTGGTGGCAGCAGCAAAGCTCGTGAAGATGATTCAGCAATTTCGATCATCACGAATCCTCTTGTCGACCACCTGCTTCGCATGGTCATGGCCGAGACAGGTGAAAAGGCACTGCTCGCAGCTAAGACCCTGGCAAGCATCGACCACCAGGGCATGACCCATCCGAAACAGACCACGGCAGCTTTCGTCGCTTTGGAGACAAGTCTTGACTCGAGGGTTTCTCTAGTCGCCAGGGCCGCGCATGAACATCTCCACCAACAGCATGAGTCCGTGTGCGAACGAGAGTATATCAATGCCGTATTTGAAGCATTCCGATATCAGAACGAGGTATTTCAGGATCCACACGGAGCAGTCGTCCCCGGCTACAAGGCAAAGCTTTCCCAAGCTTTCACCATCATCAGTAGCAGCGGATCCAAGTATGTCAAGAAGTTCCTCAGCAGCTTGATATCAAAATTGAACACCGAGTATTCCAAATTGAGTGTCGAAGAGGGCGTGGTGCCAGAGCATGTACTCTTTGTTCTCTTCGTGACCCAGAACCTTGCGTTTTTGGAGTACAAGAAGATGGATGAATTGTTACATACGGTCTTGCAACTGGAGTTGGCTTTTGGCAAGAATGGGGGTGAACTTGCTCAAGCTATTGAAGCCAACCTTCAACCTGTTCTGGCCCCTCGGGTGGTCGATGGAGAGTTGGCAGACGGAGTTCAGCCCGAGCAAATGGCTTTCATGCCTCCTATCGATCCAGTGGTCCTGAAGAGATTGGCGACAGCTGCCTGCGCAGTGACACTGATATCGGAAGCGAGAAATTATCTGAAGAGACAATACGGCGTCTCTCGAGATGTGAAGATGGCAATGATGCAAAATAAGCAGACCAAAGAATCCACGAAGGAACCCGTCAAGGTGCATGGCATCACTGGCGAGAGATATTGGACGGCTACTACATCGGTTTTGAAATCCCTCGACAGCACCGATACCATGATACAACGGTGTCGAGATTTTGTGACACTTGTGGCAGTGGATGATGAAGTGAAGATCGCCGAGGAGGAAGAGGAGCTCTCAATGATGGCCACCCTACCTGAGCAGTCCATGGCAGCCCCTCGAGGTCGGAAGCGGAAGAGTGTTAATGGATCGGTGGGTGGGACACCAAAGAAAGCTCGAGGCCGGCAACCCAAGGGGCCCAGTTCGCGGCGGTCATCGAGTATCTCCTCGCTGGATGACGACCCTGACGGCGAATTTGCCGGTTGAGATGTTGACTCTGGGATTTGGACATGGCGTTTGGATGGTTGAAAACTACACTACGGGAAGGTCTCAAAAGATAGATTTAATGACGGGATGATTGGGGAAGATACAACGATGCTTCAAGTGTTTTTGGGGAAGGAGAAATCTCCGTCTAAATACTCTTCGAGGTCGAGAGGTTTAGTCGTGGCTGTGATACAGTGATACAAAGATACCCAATATAGTTATTGACCGGCCGTGGAGGTAGATTTATGGCCATAGAAAATCAAAGTAAAATGATTTACAGTATGACATAAATGTAACAACAAAATAACATAACTGATCTTATGCTTGCATAGCTATTCATTGTTGGCTAGACATGCATTAGTATCTATCTCTTGGTGTTCTTTTCGCTCGGGGCTCGGTCACAAAGGGCCAAAGATTAGGTGTGAGTAAGCGGATGAGTTAGACATACTCCATACAGCAATGCCGATAACAGGAATCTCTTGAGAATAGAAACACGAGTATTGTCGAAGTTCCTTGTGGCTGCAGCTGGCGGAGAATTTCTCTGCGCTACTATGTAGTCGACAACGTTGTGGTGATTGATTGTGGTGACGTTTTGTGCTCCGTAATTCCTACAATATGACAACGTACAGTAGTGAATAAAAAATCAAGCACTGGAACAAGCTCCGAACAGCCAGACATTTTACCCGCGACCTCCGGCCAGTGCGAGTCCGGAAGACCCTCTTAGGCGCTGGGTTTACAGGTTACTCGTACAGTACTCCGTAGTACAAACTCCTTCCAGGGCTATTCGTACCGAAGCATCTCTCTATCTGATCTTCATTCTATGCCGTCATACCTCCCGACACTGATCTACTGCAACACTTACGCCTCCCCCATTGCGAGATATCCGAGATACCCATCCTCACAGCTATTTTTTTTCCCTCGCTTCATCACCACTACCCTCGTTCCTCCAAAAGACTCTTGATGAGTTATTAGCCTCTCTACTGCTTCTTGTTCAGTATGAGGTGACCCTGTCGTTCATTTCGCTTCAGTCATGGAAGCATTCCCTCGCCTGGCCCTCAATGGCCTGCGCCCTGTCCGTCCGACCAACCTATCCTCCTCCTACCGCTTCTCTAAGACCTTGAACCCCTCATTAAAGCCCACGAGACCTTTGTCTATTGCCAGGTTAGCTACGAGACCTTTATCTACCATCAGGTTAGCTCGTGGTTCTCCAAACCGCCTTGGATACCTCGCTAGCCCGACAGTCTGGCGTCAAGTTCGAGCTCCAGCGGGTACCACACGCTTCATTTCCACCAAACACCTACCAAACCACCATGGCCCTTTCGCACGCTTCATGTACAGGGTTTTCGCCTGGACTGGTGTCTTCATTGTCTTCTCGGGTAGTTTGGTCCTGGCATTCTTCATCTACGATGCTTCGACCTATTCAGAAGCGCCGGAGAGAATGGGCGACATCCCGGTGAACGAGAAAGCTTTGTTTCCGAGAAGAGGTGGACCCAAGAATCTACCCATCGCAGAGATATTGATCGATGATGAGGATTGCGATCCTATGAAAGAACAGAAAGAAAAGCCCAAGTTGGTCATCCTGGGAACTGGTTGGGGCAGTGTTGCCATGTTGAAAGAGCTCAACCCAGGAGACTACCATGTCACTGTGGTGTCGCCAACCAATTACTTCCTCTTCACGCCGATGCTGCCCTCTGCCACTGTTGGAACCCTGGAATTCCGCTCCCTCACCGAGCCCATTCGCAGAATCGTCAACCGTGTGAGAGGGCACTTTCTCCGAGCCGAAGCTGTCGACGTAGAGTTCACGGAAAAGTTGGTCGAGGTCAAGGCCATCGATGATCGAGGAAAAGAGCAAAGCTTCTACCTGCCGTATGACAAGTTGATCATCGGGGTAGGCGCGACCACAAATCCGCATGGCGTCAAGGGTTTGGAGAATGTCAATTTTCTAAAATCCATTGAAGACGCCCGCCTCATCAAGCAGAAAGTATTGCGAAATCTGGAACTGGCTTGTCTTCCCACTACAACTGACGAAGAGAGACGAAGGTTACTTTCGTTCGTCGTCAGTGGTGGTGGACCGACCGGAGTCGAGTTCGCCGCTGAATTGTACGACATGTTGAACGAGGATCTACTGAGCTCATTCCCCAGAATCCTGCGAAATGAAATCTCGGTGCACATTATCCAGTCCCGAGGACATATTCTCAACACTTACGATGAAGCATTGTCGGTGTATGCTGAGAAAAGGTTCGAACACGATCAAGTCGAGGTTTTGACAAATGCCCGGGTCAAGGAGGTCGAGCCAGACAAGATCATCTTTACTCAAATGGAAAATGGAAAATCTGTTACCAAGGAACTTCCTATGGGTTTCTGTTTGTGGTCCACCGGTGTTGCTCAGACGAATCTTAGCAAGAAGATCGCCGCGAAATTAGGAGATTTCCAAACCAACAGACATGCTTTAGAAACTGACACCCACTTGAGATTACTTGGTGCACCACTCGGCGACATCTATGCCATTGGAGATTGCGCCACCGTCCAGAACAACCTCGCTGATCACATTACGACTTTTTTGAGAGGTATTGCTTTTGAGAAGGGCAAGGACCCAGACAAAGTGCATCTGACCTTCCAGGAATGGCGCGACGTGGCACACAAGATCCGCAAACGATTCCCACAAGCTGCAGCCCACCTGAAACGCGTGGACAGACTGTTCGAAGAATATGACAAGGACAAATCCGGCACTCTCGACTTTGGAGAACTGCACGAGCTCTTGGTTCAGATTGACAACAAATTGACCTCGTTGCCGGCGACGGCGCAAAGGGCGAATCAGCAGGGTCAGTACCTCGGCCGAAAATTCAACAAGATCGCCGCCGCCATTCCGGGCTTCAAGGCGAACGAAGTTGATTTTGGCGATCTCGACGAGGCCGTGTACAAGGCATTTGAGTATCACCATCTCGGTAGTCTAGCGTACATTGGGAACGCGGCCATTTTCGATTTCAACGGACTCAACTTTAGCGGTGGACTGATGGCAGTGTATCTCTGGAGAAGTATTTACTTTGCAGAGAGTGTGAGCATCAGGACGAGGTTGCTTCTTGCCATGGATTGGACGAAGCGGGCACTTTTTGGAAGAGGTGAGTCGGCTATACAAAACAAGACTCTTGTGGTTCATTTCATTTTTGCAAAACTACCTGTTCTTACCTACCTGATTATTTGATCCCCTTGCTGACTTGTCGTCACGAACAGATTTGATGAGTACATGAGGACATGAGAGTTGAAGCAGAGCTTGCAAACGACCCCCCAGAAAAGGTCCGAGATGCTATGCAAATGATGCTGTCGTCGACCCATGCTTGGATAGAAGGAACAAAACGTCATCGTCAGTTGTTTCGTGCCGGATCATATCTGGTGGCTAAATCAACATCGGTCAGCGGCTTGCTTACACTTGCCCTCGCCGCCTCTCTAGTTTGATGGTCGCAATGGAGTGGCAGTCATGACCATAACCTGGTGGCAGACGTGTGTTTTTTCCCCTCCCCAGAGTTAGACGAGAGGACCGAGCGGGTTTTCCCCCTTTTCTTCTTCCTTGCTTTAAAGCGATACAGTATGTCCAAGTCAACACAAAAGGGGTCGTTGATGGGCACTCGGAAGGTCGAAGAGGATACACATGCGTGTGTGTTAGGTATACATATGTTCATTCCGAGTTACAACGTCTTGTCTCTTTGAGCTTGCTTGTTTATGAACTAGATTTGATGGTTTTGTGTCTTTTATTCTGATCTAGCGAGAAGAGGGGTGGAAAACAAATACACGGTCGGAGGAATGGGCTTGGAATCCTTTCTTGAGTCTTTGTCTGTGAAATTTTGATGATTGTAGCCTTTCTTTTCGGTATGGAAGTCATTTTGTCCGCGCGTGTGTGATTCTTTTCTATGGGTAGTACAGTACGTGCGTCTGCACCTTCAAGTCACAATTTCGTGGTTTTCTCTTTCCACCTGTCCTTCTTCCGAGAAAGAGAGACTGTTGTGTCTTGTCACCCCTCGTAACGTCCGATGACCCATCTCAGGTGGGAAGCTAACTTGGGGTATTTACGTTTCTACCCTCTCCCTCTCGAGCCTCGTCAAAGGTCTGTCTGCTTCCCACCTCTCAATGACACTCTTTGTACAAGTTTGGTCAATCTCCGCGGCGAGAGCATCCACCAATCTTCTCGTACGATTGTCCATTTCGACCTTTTCGGCCGCACTTTCGTATTGCCGTCCACCACCACCGCCACCACCGACGGTGGTCCCACCAGCGTGACGATCAGTCACCTCCGCGGCGACCACCAACCACTCCCTGACCCCCGTGCGCGTGATGAGGGTGTCACTCCCACCGGGGACACCGGCGGCACGGTGAAGGACGTGAAGAATCTTGGTTCTCGTGTTTCGGGGAGTGTTCGACGAGAGAAAGTGACTCATCAGCCTCGTGAAGACGTGACCGCGCCGGAACAAGTCCAGATCGACCTCGGTCCTGAGCGAGGCGGCGAGCAAGCCCAAGAGGTGGTCGACCTCCAGGGCCTGGGCGTTTTGGTTCCCCACGTCCGTGTCGTCGGCCTCGGGTTCGGACAGGAACGTGGCCGAGAGCCAGTGAGGCAGCAACCTCGACACGGTCCAGTGCGGCCCCAGAAGGAGGAACCGGTTCGCCTTGCGGTAGTAGGGGGAGGTCGGGTCGGCGACCACGGGCAGCAGGTGCACCGCCAGTTCCGCCACCACGGACGGTGGTGGAGGGCCGACAAACCCGCCGCCGCCGCCGCCGCCGCCGCTGGCGGCTGAGGCGACCCGCGTCGTCTCACTGACCTCGCCCAACAAGAGGTAGAGCTGCGTCTTCTCGGGGTACGCCGACTGTTCCACGGCGTGCATGACGGTCTGCACCGTGTGGAAGGCCTGCACGCGGATCTCGGCCTCCGGGTGGACGAGGCAGCGGAGCAGATCGGCCAGGCGTCCCGAGTGAATCTCGGTCTCAAAGTCGGGTTTGGTCCAACGGTCGAGGCCGGAAAGGGACGTCGGGATACGTGGAAGCGGGGGACAAGTCTCGTCGAGGTCGACCGTCCGAACAAGCTCTTCCTGTCTAGTTGTAGGGCTGTGGGCGGCGTCGACTTGGTTCTCGACGGGCGATCCAAAAACTTGTGCACCATCTTCCGACCCGAGCTCAGGTAGAGCAGGCGCTGTCTTTCGTTGTTTCTCAAAGGCCTTCTCCAGGTATTCGCGGGCTTTGGCGTTTTGTTGCGCACTTTCCAGCATGGCCTGTTTCAGGGTGGTCATGACTCGATAATTCTCACCAGCGGCGTCGAGGGCACCGAAGAAACGAGCGATCCACTCGGCGACGTTCTTGGTTCCCTTCTTGTCGCCCTTCTTGACCACGAATGGCCACTGTTCCGACATACAGCAAGCGATGAGACTAAGCTCCTTCGAGTCTGACGCCATCTTTTGTTCCTGTTCAACCTGATCGAGATATTTGACTGGCCTTTGCATTGTCCTCGTCATACAGTTGTCCAAGAATTGGTACGTGGCGGGCTCGGGTTCCCATTTCTTGGTTGAGGCCAGACTCGCAAACAGAGCTCCCAGGGATTGCACATTGTTGCTAAGAACACCTTTGATCCGAAGTAGGGGCTGGATGATGGGTGCCGCATTTTTTGTGAAAGGACTGTCAGGCTTGGAAACACAATATCTGAGCACCTGTGCCATCAATGATAACGTTTCCGCGTTCGGTTTGTGGAACCATTTCGTCGCAGGCGATTTTTCGGCAATCTGCGAAAGATGAGGCAGCTGTTCCTCCAGAGTTTCCTTGTTGTCGGCGTCCAAGCTACCGGGGTCCAACCTTTGTAAGTTCTGAATGAATATCGGCCCAATATCAAATTTTGCGCCGGCCGTCAAAGATGGCATGACCCGGTGATAGGTAGCGATACATTCGAGGACCACCGTTCGAATTTGCTCTTTCCCTTTCGTGAGGCGCTGCAACCCCGTGATCGTGTCTTGTAGCTGGGGTATTCTCTCAATGAACAAGTTGATCAGCTTGCTGGAAGCCTGTGTCCACAGATGGGATCCCGGATGCCCTTGCTCGAACACTGTCAACACAGAATCGAGTTTTTCAAGTGAAACTGTCAGCAAACGAGCAGCCGACAAAACGAGGACATCCTCGTCTGAGTGAAGACATTTTGTCACCGTCGCTCGATCCAGAGGTCGAGGAAGGATGCTCTCAATGACGACCGAAAGGGGTGGTGGTGATGCCGGTGACTTGTCGTGCCAGCCACAATTTTCGGGTACGGGAAGTTGGACAATGGAAAACAGGAAAGCGAATTGACCACGCCATAGAGGGTCATCGGCAGGAGATGCTAAAACCTTTCGTTTCTTGGTGAAGTAATCGGCAACCAATTCAGGGCCGGCCGCGAAGATGGAAGTAACCAATTGAGCCTGTAAGACGTCTTTCTCAGGATGAAGTGTCTGGATGAAGGTTGCGAGGGAATTGTTCTTGACTGGCACTTTGTCGGCGTAGTCATCGGAGTAGTAAGGCGAGTCCAGGCCCAGGTCAATCATATCACTATCCGGCCGAGGGGCATCAGGGTTAAGTCCGGCAGGATACCATCCTGTCTGTGGAAGGAGCACACCTTTAGGCGTTGCGCAGACTTGTAGAAGTAGATGTTGGAGGGCTTCGCGGACAGCAGGCGAACGGTCTGTGTTGTCCTCAGAATCGAAGGTATCGAAATCATACAACTTGGCCAAGGCTGAAAGGTTACCCGAGTTGAAGCATCGAATTTTCAACTGCTTAGACAAATTTGCGTCACCAAGAATTGACTTCTCGAGGGCGTTTATCGTTTCAATGATAATGTCTGAGCTTTGGACAGGCAAGCTTCGGAATGCTGCGTGCAACGTCTTTCCTTGGGTGATGAGCTCGCCTTTGGAGGTGGCATCTAGATACCTTAGATTCGCAAGTAGGAATTCGAGGGCGGAGGCATGAGCTTTCAGGCGGTGGTCTCCAAGTTTCGGCTGGTTTAGAATACCATCAAGGCACCTGTAGAGCAGATCCCTCCTTCCGAAGACATTGGTTGCAAGGGCACCAGCATCGAAGCTGATGACTTCCGTCAGAAGTTGCAGACAATGACTTATAACGAGGTCTTTGTTCCGAGGTGAAGATAGCCCTTTGTCGAACAGTCGAAGCTGGTCACGCTTCAGCAAGCTGTAGCAGAGTGACAGCCCGAATTCACGAAAGTCCACATTGCCCGAGATTGCCTGGAAGAATTGTGTCAAGGCCGCCGGCACCGTAGCAAAGACGGCGTCGTCATTTGACTGGCTCGCATTTGACCAGGCGCTGAGTAAGTCTGGAAAATCGACCTTGTCGTGAGAGGACGAGGATTGATCGTCGCAGTAGGTCTTCAGTATTTTCAATTGTCGCTCTCCATCGTTAGACTTTGCGTCCCTCGAAACGCTAGACAGAAAGTGTGTGAACTTCTCAACGGCTAAGGCATATTAGGCAAGCTCTTAAGATGAATGGGATTTCTTTACCTTTCTTGATCTCGTTTGAGGATTCACTCGGAACATTGAAGAGGTTTTTGAGTTGGGATGAAGAGGTAATGAGGGTATCTGCTGGAGGTACAGAGTCGTCTAGCTTTCTCCTCTTCCTTGCACCTCCATCGAGGGAAGCCATTGCTCACAAGGATGGAATCAAGCTCTACATGCACTTGTTGTATCTTGTTAGAAATCAACGGCAGAAGAACTGTATCGAGTCCCAATGTAGTTAGCGCAACATAAATTCTTTGCGGGCGATCTGGAAAAAAACCCACATCACGTGATGCGAATCTGAAATAACTTTGCCTCAGTCATCACTTCTACAGTTGACCATCTTCAAATAACAGCAAGTATGGTCGGATCGGACGTTGTTGATCGAGGTACGAGATGCTCTTCAATATCACGGTGCAGCTGCATTGGACGCACAAGTTGAGTTCAACGAAAGGCCCTGCCACGACTTAATGTCTCGCTACCTCCAAATCCTCAACGATAATATTTGCTACATTGGTGACAAGAGCTATGCTTCACACCATCAATGCACTCAGTATCCTCAGAGGAAGATACCTTGTTCAAGGTCAGTAGGTAAAAGATTTGTCTCGCAAATCATAGGAGGCGGCGCGTTCCCCCATCGTGTGTGTTGGTTTCATGACCATTTCTCTGGTTGGAGATATTTTATTGAGTGGGACATGGTCCACGAAGAAGGTTCTCAACAATCTATCTCAGGTCGCCCTCAATATTCGAGCCAGGATGTTCTGGCAGCTGCAGGAGTAGCATCCTGAAGGGAGATACCTGTGCGACGATGACTGATCCTCGATAACCCAGCCGTCCTAGCATGTTGCTTTGAGCTTCTATGCTATTGACAATCACGATCAGATCGTGCAAAGCCCGTACCAGACGCCGAAAGGCTCTTTTCCATAATGAGGCCGATCAAAGGTGAATCAACAGGAAACCCTAGCCCATGGACATCCGTTTGGAAATGGATAATCGGCATGGACAGCTAGCTATAGTAGTCGCGAAACTAAGCCTTCGGTGCATCAACACGAGCCCTGTGAGTGTTTTACTAGGCTGTTCATGCATTCAGCATTTGAAGGCGATACAATCGTATGAAGCAAACCTGCAAATCAGTACTCAACCCAGACCACCAACTCGTTAGCGAGCGTGTTAGCTGCATAAGGGAAGTGCATATCATGGGCTCCCCAACGAAGCAAACAGTAGTACTCCGTACTATCACCGCAAATGGTATGGACCCAAAGATTGGAAACATCAGACTATTGAACAGCTGCACCTTCTCATGAATGGTTTTCTTGACGCTCGCGTGGTCAACATGTCGGCTGGAAAAGAACACAACCACATGAAACTTAAGGGAGGAGGATTCAAGTCGAAGAATAAGCGCCGATAAGACAATGATAAAAAACGGAAAGAATGGTACCGTATGTGGTAGATCCCTGGGAAATACCAGACTTCCACACCTCTTGGCGGCAAAGAACATGATAAAACACGCCCCAACAGCGTCTGAAAGATCTACTCCCGCTCATGGACGATCCGTCGCCCGTGCCGTGCCGAACAAAACTCCACAGGATTCGCCCGGAGTCAGCAAATCCCTAGTCCCAAATAGGTCCGTTTTCAAGAAGCCCGCAGATGACTACCACATAACTAGCATTGCTCCGAGTCCGACGTCACATCTGCTGTTAACACCATCATTTCTCGGTCATGACTCGACGACCGAAAGTAACGTGCGTCTTATCCTAACCCTTACGGATACAAGTAGACTTGTCTTGTTTGATCCACATGGGTCCTCTGATGGTTCATATCGCAAAGCCCTCGTTGGTGGTTGAGCGCCCCCTGGCTGGTGGTTTATCGAAGCCCATGTCCCATGCATGGTCTGTCTCCCACCCCTCCCTGGTCCGGCAAGTCGACCGAATGGCCTAGTGAGCGAGTGAGGGCCTGGATCTCATCTCGCTTATATCAAACAAGTACTCCGTACGAAATACGGAGTATACGTCCATTCTTACACGCATCCTACTGGGTACGAGAAGTGGTACGAGTACGGCGCATACCATTGTCAGCAGGCTCAGGATCATTCTCAGCTTTTTCATCTGACACGGCAGATTCTATGGGATTCGTGACGAAGGACGGAGTACGAATGCCGTGGCGAGTCACGAAATGCATCCCACGGACGATTTACCTTCCGCATTGAAGAAGTCCCCCCCCTCTCTCTCCACAAATGACACATTATTGTCTGATCGACTACGAGCTACCTACTCCGTAGTTTATGATGAAACAGAAACTCGAAAAAGGTGAGCACTATCATTGCAAAAGGACATTTTCCATTGCTCTTGCTCACAGAGAATCGGCCGAAAGCCCGGATCATTCTTTGAAAGGAAAGGATTCGAAATTGAAGGTAATCCATACGGAGTATGTCCCAGGCGAATACAAAGTACGGATACGCATGTCCCCCGTTCGCAAGATTTTCGTTGCCTGATGGATGGTGGACTGTACGGATGTACTAGTACGTACGGAGTACATCCGTACAACTTTGGGGCTGAATTGTACACAACATGCGTGGTCGGGCACATTTTCCATCTCCATACCGTACGATTACCGTATGTAGGGGGGTGGAATCATAGACCCGCCACTTTTTGTAGTCCAAAGTATTTCGTACCGAATGCCGACACTAATAAATGTTTTCGGTACAAGAACTGGGTACCGTTACTCTGTTACTGACGGAGCTTCATTGCCATACCTGGTTCTCGGTACGGAAACACGTTGGGGGCTTGGGATGCTCCTAGGAGTACTCTGTACCCTCTTCAACCTTTCGTGCCTGTTAACTTCCTTGAGGATATCACTCCGTACCTCGGAGTAATTATGCTTTCTTGTCATTTTCCTTCCATTTTCTGTACAAGGGGAATAAATATTTTTTTCCTGTCATCGATCAAAAAGTAAGAATCTTCGGGATGAGTGACCATGACCCCCCGTTGACTCTAAACATTCTCCCAACGAGGGCTGTCGTAATTTGATTTACTCTCTCCAGGTTATCTTCTTGTTTCCTATGAGTAACCGGTATTTCCGAAATATTTTTTGTGAAGTGAAAAAAAGAGCTATTACGGATAGCACCCACGTTGTTCCTTTTCATCTCGGGTCTCAAAGTATTGGATATTGCTGCTATCCCTACGGGTCGTGTGTGAATACCATACGGAGTATGTACTATATTCTTACTTTCCAAGGCAATCTTCTTTCCTACTCAGGTCTTTCGAGGTTGTAATCCCACAAGTAGTACCCCGTTCTCCTCGTACGAGTCATTATTTTTTTTCTTCCAAACGAAAAAAAGGAAGGGCGCTCCAGTGTGTTTCAGCCTGATTTCGCCTCTCTCAGTTCCTCCGTACATATAATACCTAAATAAGGGACTACGGGATTTCACCATTTTACCGCACGGGAAGTGACATACCAAGTTGTACTCCGTACCGTGTAACGGGTGATACCTGAATTAGGTACCTGAGTACGGAGTAAGTGTACGGATAACCCGAATTCATCATCATACTTTTCAGGTAGGCAGGGGTAGTCATCTCCGCTTCATGTTGAAAGCCGCCGCCGATCACCCCGATACTCGCGGGCGTTTTTGGGCCTTGGGAATGGAATGGTAGGCTTACCGGAAATACGCCAAATGATGAAAACTATCCACGTTGCGACCAAGGAGGTACTCCGCTACAACAAAACCTATACTTGGTAGCCGGTAAGACCGTCTCCGTAGAAGCATACAAGCAAAGATCAAGGTGAGGATTGAATTCACGGGAGGCAGGTATTACTAGTGTTCGGACTTGCAACATCCAGAGGGGAAACATTTTTGACATTCATTGATCTCGTAGCTTCCACAAAGGTAAGCTGGATTTTACAGTCTTGGTTGTCGGCGCCCCCTCGACAGGATGCGCCGTGAGACTGTAAGAAAGTGATTTTGTTCCCATATCCGTGTCCACAAAATTTGGCCTTCTGCTGTAACACACGTGGTTTTGTATTTGTTCGGGTATCATCAGTATGCTCTCCCACCAACTGCTCTCTCCCAACCCCCCCCTTCCCTGTCACCAAGTCTTTCGACTTACGCACTGTGTAGCGCAGAGGTATTCTTTGATAGATCAATGGCAAAAAGATGCACTGTAGGCTCATCAAAGAAGTCAAAATCAAGTCCTGTCGCCTCTGCAACCCAAAAAGAAACCTCAACAATTTCCCATAAGAACGCCGGCTGGATGAGTATTATAACGAGAACGCTCAGATCGGAAGATCAAGTCGTGATAGAGTAGAGTCGTCATCGCATCATTTTAATGCTCGGAAGGAATAGACTGAGATTGGGGAATAAAAATAAACAAGTCGTGATGGAGTAGATGTTAGCTGACGGCAGTGGATCGACTGGTCGGAGCTCTTTGTTCGTCAGTTTCGCGCGACGATTCATCGATCGAAATCGTAGTCTCTCTAATGCATCGGTCGCATATTTGGTGGTGGCAATTGGGACATTCTTGGGTGCCGAGTTCGAAGCCAGTCTGACATTCGTGGCAGGCACCCTCGATGCTGTTCCGCGCATTATCGCCGTCCGTGTCTTGTGGTTGCTGTTGCTGCTGTTGTTGTTGCTGCGCCGTCGTTTCTCTGGCGGCTCTCGAGCGGTCTTTCCTTGGTGGATAACGAGAACATCGTGTACAGCGACGGTGTTGGCATCCGATACAGATCTTGTCGTAGCCAAAGGAGGTGGAACAGTTATGACAGGTATATCTGACCCTTTGTCTTATAGGTTTAGACACTCTTTCATGTTGGGCTTTGGGTCGCACCACCCAATCAGCCTCAGTCAACTCAATGTTGTATCGGGCACAGATGGCTTTGGCCTTGTAGAAACGGAGTTCTTGGTCGTTTGGATACTCGGACAGCGGGTCACGGGGTGGAAGAGCCAAGGGCTCGTCAGGTAAAGGAGTATTCTCCTGCATGTCATCGACCTCAATGGGGGATTGCTTGTCGGTGGCAGGGTATTGGGAATCGAGTGCCGGTTCTCCAGGGCTCTGTGCAGCCTTGGGGCCCGATGCGGGTGGTGTTGGAGTAGATTTGGTCGCAGAAGCCGGCGCGGCTGGCTTTGCTGGGAGAGCTTGAGGTTTATGTCGAAAAAGACGTCTGATTCTCTGCCAGATACTTTGCAGACCCTTCTTTTCCTTCTTTGAAAATTGCGGTCCTCCTTCCTCCATTGGCTACTTGGAATGGAAGGGCTATTGGAAAGGGCGTCATAGAAATTGCAAGTAATCAACGAGAGGGTGAGGAAGCGATTGAAGGAGGGCGTGGGAGGAAGATATGGTGTGGTTATTGGTTGTCGGCTGACCCAAGGCGTTGGGTGTGATGAAGAGATGTCAGCTGTCAATTGGTGGTGAAATTCCGACCGAGTGGACTGAAATGTTACTTGTCAGATGAAGAGAGCCTTAGCCCAAGGACGCCGGCCATCGACCTTTAGGGGGCGCGACAGTGTTCTCGAGAACACTGAGGTGGTCAAATGTGACAACAAAAAAAAACCACCGCGAAAGGTGTGAGAAGGTGGCAAGTCGTGTACGAGTACTGAAGGACTGGTGCAGGTTTGAGTAACGGGAAGCCAGACCAACAAGCTCGGGGATAAACTGTACGGGTGGTCGAAAGTGGTCCAGAGGCCGTATAGCCGGGTGGGTGCCGCCCAGCTCTTTAGGGACAGAGTTGGCTCTGAAGATCGGGGAGGATCGACAAGGCAGGGAGGCAGCCTTCTTAGCCGGCAAGTCCCGTTGTAGTGTCAGGGAGGAATGATTCAGATTGTTGAGGGATCTGCAAGAGTATGGAAAGTAGAAAGTGAAGATCGTTAGGACGAAGCAGAAGAGAACAACAAGAGAAGAGAGGAGAGATGTTCTGATGAGCAAGCAGCAGATGGTGGAGATAAGAAGGACAACAGAACAAGCAGGATGAGGATGGCGTGCCGAATGGATGGAAGGGTGGAATGATGGACCGAGAGGGAGGCGACGCACATACTGGTAGTAGTAGTAACCACTATAACTGGCAGAGGGAGCGGGGGCCACTGCAAGTGCCGCTGTAGGCTTCCTGTAGGCTCCCTGATGGTTCCCTGGAGGCGGCCTGTAGGCACCCAACAGCTGGGTACAATAGGTGGGCTGGTGCTGTCGGTTGGAGGGTTTAGCCCAGTTCGACCCAAGAGCAGCCAAATCCCAAGCACATGGACCCGGTAACTCGTACTCCGTACACAACTTTGTGGCTGCAAGTGGACGCTTGGGGTGCCGCATGGACACAAGGAACCGGGGTTGATGCAGCAAGGGAGAGTCCGTGCTGGGGACTCGGTAGTGCACAATAATAGAGGCTAGACGTGCCCGTTGCGGGTTTGAAGCTTCGACCAGCTGTTGAAACTAAGACTTCTGAGGGAGCCGGACTCTGAAGGCTCGTATCAGACGGAATACTCTACCTACGTCGTACTCCGTAGCTATAGTACGCTGATTTTACATGGATCTGGGAGCCGTGAAGTAAAGATAGGAACAGCGCATGTTCCGTACGGGGGCTCTCAGAAGCCTCTCAACCTGGTCATCGCCTCTCCTTCTAATGGTACAACACACAGTCCATCGTCCTTCTCAATGAAGCGCGATACATATCCTGTGTACCTCCCGTGAGCAAGTCGGCCCATCATCTGGCTGGACAGTCTGTCGGTACCAGCGGCATCGAATCCCATTCGAGCCACGGTGCTGAAGGGACTCCAACTTTGACAGGTGTCAACCATTCAGAAACATGGCACTGACGCAGCCAGGCATTCAAATCAACCTCTAAGCGAGGTCTCCCTAACGCCTGAAGAAAGCTAGTTCAATAATTATGGAAACGGGCCTTTTGTCTTAACTACCTTGACGCTAAAGCATCTGTACGAGTCAGGCGTGCGGGTAGTCTAGCTAGCACCTGACGCATGGCTTTTGGTAGTCTGATACACTACACCATCTGCCTGGATCTTTCCGTCAACTTTTTGTACGAGATACTGTACGCAGTAAACCGCTTTTCTTCAGTCCAAATTTGCCGAGTGGAAATTCTAACATCGCCACCACTGCGCTTGTCCAAGCCATGCATTTGCCACAACCTCGCCCGCGCGAATCAATCAATCAATCTGCGTCCCCAGTAAAAACTGGGCTTCCCATCTTCCCCGGAATGTTAACTACTGCCGCCCTCGCATCACGGCGTGAAGAGTCTTTCGGGAGGCAAAACATGATGATCATGATCATGGTTCTTGGACTAAGCCACCTCAGGTGGGATCAGTTGAGGCCCATGATGGAAAGGGAAAATGCTTTGACAACACATTCATCCCTGAAAGAGAGTTAATTGCCACGAGGCAATCTGCAGCGTTGATCTCCTGATATTCTTTGCCGCTATGTAGCCCGAGAATCCTATCCGTAGTTTCTGAATTGCTATACTTTACATGTTCGGGGTTGCTATTACGCTCAAGTTATCTCTAGCGAAAAAACAAATCCTTGGCCATTTTCTTCAAAGCAAAAGGACACACGGGTCGCAAATTGAGTTTCAGGACGAAGCCAGTTCTTTACAAAAGCTCCCAAAATAATACGAGTGGTTGCTCGACATGTCGCACAGGGTCCCAGCGCTCTGGGACTGCTTGAACACTGTCGAATAGTAGTTAGCCATGTGTTCCTCGTGACTTTGAACTTCTATCAAGGACCATCAGGTGCACAGTGCGAGCCGCTCTTGCCAGTGATGTAGATATCTCGACCCTGGTTTTCTTCCTTCACTCGGTTGGTTTATACTGCATGTTCTTACCATCCCCAGTTGTTCTTCAGGGCGTCATCGATTTCAATCACGAACTATCGTCTCCAGCCCTTCCTTGTCATCGGGAGTACCACCAAAGATACCGGAGGCCAGAGCTTGAAACTTTCGTTCTCGTGGTCGCCGGCACATGTATCCTGTTCAAACCAGGTACTTCCCAGTCTACATTCGCTGCTCCTGCTGTTTCATTGGGTCGGCAAGCTCTGAATCGTGCCTCAACCCTCTGTGATGTATCTCAGCCGGCCGGTCTCACTCTGGATCTGGAACGGTTTCCAAGGCGAAAAGTTAGCATTATTGGTTTCTCTTCCCGGCTCGATCCAACGTTGATGACACGGATTTGGCACCCTATGCAGCGAGTACGGAAGATCGTCCAACTCCTTTTAGCCTTGATACTTCTGTCGAAGGACTCCTTTCTCTGTACTACTGCGACATTTTGGCTACCCTAGTCACTGAATGCCGGCAGATTATCCCTGCGTAGTGGACAAACGAAATCCGAAACACGAGATATCTACGGAGTAAGTCTCAGTTAAATCCATAGGTACTGTGGGCGAGCCGTTCGTCGATGGTGCGCACAGGCCATGCCCCGGATCACGGCTGAACTTGGGTCGTCCGCCGAGCCTCTAGTTCCGCGACACTAACGGCTCTGCACAGCCTCCAACAATCAAGTCTTTTCCAGCGGACCAGGTAAGAAGAGGAAAGGGTTCATCGTACAGTATGCGACTGCTTTTAGGGACTGATATGCAGCCAATGATGTACTTCAGATGGAGTATCTTTGGTGCTGTACAAGACCTACAATACCCGCCTTTAAAAATTCCACCGGGAGGAAAAAGCTTACAGTACGGGGTACTTCACCATGTCTCCCTTTGTCTGGTAAGGTAGTATTATTATTTTGTCCCAGATACTCGGACCAGGCGACCCAGTCTTTCAAAGAGTCTGGAGCAGCGGAGTGGATGTAATTGACCAAACATAAAGCACCCGGGTGACACCTATACCTGAGGTCACCAATCTTCTCAGCAACAATCTTCCTTGTATCGAACTCCGTACTGTACGGGGCAAGAACATCAGGGATCAGGGGTCCAACCTTAACATTTACAATTGACTCCTCCGACTATATTATACGAAGCATGTGCACTGCCAGTGTTTTTTTCGGTCGATCACGCGCGACTGGTCTCAATCGAAACTAAACGAAAAGGAGTAAATGGACTTTTGGGACATTCTTATCCCCTGAATCTCGCAGAGTTTGACTATACCGGGCGGTTATGCTGCTCCGTAGGCACCCACTGAACCTCCCCCGAGAAGTAGGGAGTACTGTAGGTGGTCTGTAACTTGTTTCATGAATCAGATCGTACTGAACCTTGGATTGATAAGGTATTCACTTTCCCCGTTCACACGTCTTGGTCCATAACTCCCATGTGGAAGACTAATTCTAGGTCTAATAAGTACAAGTACTCCATGGCCGTAGTGAGAAAGTGAAGGAGCTAATCCCAAAAACACCACCACAAAGTATCCGGCGTCTTGGTCACCAACCATCAACGAGTCTAGCCCAAACTTTCTAGTCTTTTCTAATTCCTCAATGAATACCCCGTAGGCGCTTGGTCCAAGAGGAGAGCGCTGATAGGAATAGAAAGAACATCCACTCTGTTCACGGAACATACGGATACCAACCTGGATACAACATCTGAGAGAAAGCCTTGATCCCCCATTCCCGTCCTCGTGTTCGCTAACATTCGTGACGGTGTCGAAATGCATACTTGAATTTGGGCTCGGCTGCTCGGCTTAGACTCTGCTAGAAGCAAACGTAGCTCACCAGGACAGATTGAATCGAGCCCATCCTTCCGCGTCTGTAAAAACTCAAAATGTCACCCTGAGAGAGATCACGAGGTAGCAGTATGCGCACCACAGTCGAAATTCAACATCAGCCCCTGAGTTGAGAGGTGGACATCTCTTGGCGACATTTCCGGGCTTCGAATCAATCTTTGCAAGCACTGCTTGTGGGAAGGATCTGCCTTGTTTGGGAACTGCAAGATAGCACGGGCCAGCCAAACACCGCACATTCTCGACTGGTCGCCCATCTCGCCTCAGTCATTGACCTCGACTCGAGGACCCCAGACGACCTTCGATGTCGTTTTGAGCGATGCAAGACTGGAGGTGATGTAGCCCCATGCCGTAACAAAGGATGAGGCTGGGCTTCGATACCCCAGACCAGCAGTCGAATCAGGGGGGTCCGATGCACCAAGGCGACTTTCATCAGATGATGCTCTTTCCGCCACGGCCTTGTCCAGGAACTCCACCATCTGCGAGCAAGTGACAAAGAGATTCTTTGACTCATCAATCACCTCTGAACTCTCAACATCGGTTAGGAGTGCCGACGCCTCTGCGAATGCCGTTTTGAACCGCATTTTCAGAGCCTCGTGGTGGATGTCTCCTCTATCGTCGACCTCGAATACCCAGAATGACAACGGCAGTTCACCGGGGCCCCAAAAATCAGTCCCTGCTGATACGAGTTGTCGCCGGATCCACCTTCCGCCGTTGAAGAGAGCGAGATACATTGCCCAGGCATACGCCAGCAGAGCGTGTGGTCTTGCTGCCAAAGAAGATGTAATTCGAGACGCAAAGACTCGTTGGGCTTGCTCAGAAAGCTGATTGAGATCTGCCACCGCGGTAGCATCCAGTCGCGATTGCAACAACTCAATGTCGTCCCGTAGCCGACTGGTTCGGGTGAGTTCGCGAAATTTGACTCGTTGGTAAACCTCTCGCAGTCGCGCGTCAAGTACGGTTGAGGTTGTCAGTGACTTTTCCAAAAAGTCTTCAAAGGCGAAGTATATCTGGCCAAACACCATCATGCCCAGAGTGTAGAGACGCGGGCTGTCGACACAAGGTGGCAGACATAACGGTAAGCGCGCTGTGATCGATGTGTTGAGGGCATGATGCTGCTCTCTCGTGGCGGCGTGAAGCCCTGCTGGAAGGTTGGGTCGTGAGGTCACGATTAGCGATGTGTCCATCTTGATCAAGTCGGACCGGCCTGTTGGTTCCACAGGCGGGCTCTCTATCTTTGACCTTGGTGACGGTGCATTGAGGAAGGTCAGAAAGAAGGTTGGAACGTTAGTATCCTTGTTATAGGACCACCTGTGCGTTGTACGGCACTGGTGAGGATAGGCAACCTAGGGAGGAAAATGTGGCGCAGGGTCCACGGTTGAGGCGTTGACCGGGGAGACGACGCAACGGGATGAAGCCCAAAGGAGACACAAACGAAAGAAATACAGTCTCTATGAGTGATGATAAGAAAAGAATGTTGACGATGAAGGTAAAGACGCGTTCAGGTGTTGACAGGAAGAAAAGTGCATGTTACTGGCCTTGAGCCCCAAGGAATTCTACCGTTGGCGTGTTATTTCCCATTGCTCGGATATGGCGAATTTTGAAATGTCGATTCACTTTTCGAGTAATAATTCCCAACGATCGTGACGTGATTTTTGGCCACGGCCATTCATAGCCCATGCACGTGACTCGCCTACAGCTCCGGACGTCGGCGCCGTACAACCCCGTGTTCACCGTCTTTGCTGTCTGTGACACTTCCTTGTCCTTTGTCATATTATCAGATATCGGTGGCATTGTATTGCGGCTAAATTGCATCACAGTAAAATAGGCTGGTTGAGATGGCCGAGTTCGAGCCCTTGGTGCGTTTTGCAGACTAGTCGGCGGAGTTGCCTAATCGGGTAATTTTCTCAGCCGTGTGCGTGGTGCAGAGGTGGGTGTACATAATAATACCTATCGCCCTTCTCTGCCCCTCATTGCACCGATACAATATATCAGGACTGTTTCCGTCGAGTCTATCCCTTCGACAAGGAAAGGTTTTGCCGAGATCGGAATAATAATACTGCAGCCAAATAACATCGTTGCCTACACAACATGACGATAGGAGTCGCCATCTTGGGTGGAGGTACAGTCTTCTTCATAGCTTTGTCGACGTGGTTCTAACAATCTCAGGAATCTTCGCCAGGGAGGAGCATAAGGTTGGTAGAACTACCTGATGGGTATCACCCTCCTCTGGCTAACATGCCCTGGATTCTAGCCTGCTATTGAGGCTGCCAAGGACCTCACTTTGAAGGCGGTCTACTCCCGATCGCTGAAGTCGGCAAAGACTTTAGAAGTCGACGAGTCCAAAGTCGACATCTACTCTGACGACTCGGGTGCCGGAAAGTCATTGGACAACTTGCTCACACGTTCAGACATTGGAGCTGTCATCATCGCCCTGCCTATCAAAAACCAGCCAGAGTACATTCGGAAAGCGTTACTTGCTGGCAAACATGTCCTCTCCGAGAAGCCTGTCGCCGAAAATGTTCAGGATGCGGTCGAATTGATCAAGTGGTATCGATCCGAGATAGCACCCAAGGGAGTAACGTGGGGAGTCGCCGAGAATGTCAGATATACAAGTTCATTCGTGCACGCTGCGGAGGCAGTCAGACCTAAGGGTCGGCAATTGACATTTAGATGTCGGATGCAGACGATGGTCCAGGGTGGAAAGTATTTTGAAACTTCGTGAGTACATAAGGCATTCTCAGGACGAGATACTGACACGGGACAGATGGCGTAAGGTTCCTACTCACCAGGGTGGTTTCTTGCTTGATGGCGGAGTTCACTTTACTGCAGCGCTTCGATTGATGCTAGGCAAGGATAACCCACTAGTATCGATATCGGCGCACTCTGCCCTTCTGCAAGAGCATCTGCCACCGGTGGATACGGTCGAAGCTACTGCGAAGAGCAAGAAGGGCGCGGTTGGAACTATTTCAATCTCATTCGGCACCACTGCAAAGGGGAGTGAGTGGACGGTCGCGACAGAGAACGGCTTTGTCAGTATCTCTAAAAATAAGGTCACCATTGATGACAAGGTTGACGAAATTGAGGACGAAAGGACTGGCGTGCCTCCCGAGGTGCGCGCTTGGGGTGAAGCGCTTGCAGCTGGCAAGGTCAACGAACTGCAATCTCCTGAAGAGGCGTTGGCCGATCTTGAGCTCATTGAAGCCATGTTGAGAAGTGGAGAGCAAGACGGCGCTCCAATAAAGCTGCAACATCAAGAAGTGTAAAATAGGGCTTTAGATATCAGGCACACGTCGATGAAATGTTGAATGAATAATACCTCATTGATGAGAGTTGCAATCAGTACTAGTATGGTACTTGTTTCTCTTAATCCTGGTACTTGCCATTGACTGTACTCGTACGGAGTAGACGTATCGATATGGAGTGTCTCTAAAGCGAACTACGCTAAAAATGGTTTAGCGCATTATTGGCGACCTTCCACACAATGTAAGTCTTGGCGCAGAAATTGAGGAAGGCGCAAACTGCGCACTTGAGGAAACCACTGACTTCAATCTCAACCTTTCCGACTTTGCTTCAGCTATTCATCCCACAACACCGGCAAGGTAAATAATTCCTGCATTGTCGATTTGCAGAAGCTGACAGTAGCGAAGATGGTGTCCGCAAAGAAGCACGTTCCTATCGTCAAGAAGCACCCCAAGTCGTGGTTCAGACACCAGTCCGACAGATTCAAGTGCGTGCCATCAGCATGGAGAAAACCAAAGGGTATCGACAACCGAGTCCGAAGACGATTTAAGGGCCAAATGGTCATGCCATCGGTACGTTATACTCTCGAAAGCCTGGGAAGAGGTTGAAGATGTGATCCCGACTACATGAGAATTTTGTGGGAAAACTTCGACTTCATGGAGTGGGAGGCTAACAGACTTTCTGTGTAGATCGGTTTTGGCTCAAACAAGAAGACCCGACACATGATGCCCTCAGGCCACCGAGCATTCCTCGTTCACAACGCCCGCGATGTCGAAATCCTCCTCATGCACAACCGAACATATGCCGCCGAGATCGCATCCGCTGTTTCTTCGAGAAAGCGAGTCGAAATCGTCGCCAAGGCAAAGGCTCTGGGCGTCAAGGTTACCAACCCCAAGGCTAAGATCACCACCGAGTCATGAGCTGGAGAATACTGAGGATGTGTTGATATGGCTTTCTGGGTGGATGAAAGGATGATAAATGAGGTCAATCAAAGCGCGGCCTCGATGGATCTAGCATGTCTAGGATGATGGAGTTTGTCAATCTTACGGCTGCTGCTCATTCTTGGGCTCGATCCAATGCATCTGGTCGGCCTGAAGAAAACAAAAAAGAAAATGATACCATTTCAGCCAATTTTCCTTCGGACTGCAAAATGATACCAGATCTTCATTATCGAGAGCCCAGTATTCCTCGCCTCCTTTTAGCTAACCGCACGACATTTTGCAGTGATTACTACCTATGGATGGTTGCTGTTGCGCTGGCACCAGGACAGTTCGGTGCTTTGGGAGGGCAGGTTTAACCCTCTGATCTGGACTATATCGCCCAGTCTACATTCCCACATCGTGCATCTACATCCCACGAGCATTACAACTCCTCCCATGAACATAGAGATTGTGTCGCTTGTGCACTAGGTAGTCAGCGAGTGTGTGTCTCGTTTATCGTCTGATGCCGGGCAAGCGATCGAGTCCCTTTTCCTGCCCAGTCCAACGTTCACCAATGCGACCTATAGTATACCATAACTGATAATTAGAAGATAAGCGAAAGAGTCATTCTGAAGGTATAGAGTCGTAGTCGGGTGCAGTGCACAGGAACTACTGCTGCCGCAAGGAAGAAATTCTCCCGGCAAAAAAAGATTCGTCTCTCAACAGCCAACCGTCGCAGTCCACCTTTCACGGAGCAGATCCTACATTCCTAAATACATTCGCTGGCTCCTTCAGCACGTATAATTGCCTATCTGGCAAGTAAGGGACGAGTTCCCAAACCTGCTTCGAATCCAGGCATGGCCTTGATCACGAGCGAATTGCGTGCGGCGTCTTTCGAAGACAACCGAGTACCCCTACCGCCTCCTCCAGACGTTGCCATAACCCCTGCTGGCACACTCCCCAAACCGTATTTTGTTGAGAATGGCCTGCGTCGGGTTGCACCTTACCATTTCACGTACAATACATACTGCAAACAACGATGGCGAGGCCGAGAGATTCTGGACATCTTCGCAGCAGAATTTCGTGACCGAACCAGGGAATATTACAAAGAAGCGATAGAGGCAGGGCAAATCATAATCAATGGCAAGCCATGTAATGATGTCCATACCATTGTTCAGAATGGAGATGTCATCTCACACACCCTTCACAGACATGAGCCGCCGGTGACGGCGCAGCCTGTCCGAGTCATCCACGAAACAGATGATATGATCGTGATCGATAAGCCAGCCGGCGTACCTGTCCATCCTGCGGGTCGCTACAACTACAACTCGGTCGTTGAGATCATGAAAGCAGAAAGACAGCTTGGTTTCAAACCGCTGCCATGCAACAGACTCGACCGATTGACCAGCGGGATTATGTTCATTGGCAAAACCAGCAAAGAAGCTGAGGTCATCAGCGAGAAACTTCGCGGCCGTACGGTGCGCAAGGAATATGTCGCCAGGGTCAAGGGTCGATTTCCGGACGGCGAGGGTTGGGACGGCGATTCTATGAGAGGTGGTGTGGTCAAGTGTGAGGAGAGTATCCTACAAATCAGTCCTATCGTAGGCCTGAATAGAGCCAGAGCAAGCGGAAAATCTGCAAAGACTTTGTTCAGAAGGTTAGCATACTATCCTACGAGCAAGCCGCATACCTCGAGCGGTACCGACTCATCAGGTGTTTCGACTGGTGCGACAGGAGCCCAACCTGCGCCGGCGATATCTGGGACAGAGAATGAAGGATATAGCATCGTTCATTGCCTGCCCTTGACTGGGCGCACGCATCAAATTCGAGTCCATTTGCAGTTTCTTGGACACCCGATTACCAATGATCCGATCTACAGTAATAGGGCAGTGTTTGGACCGTCTCTTGCGAAGAACGAATCAACAGGGGAGAACGACGAGGAAATCATAGCCAAATTGAAGAAGATCGGGAAGACAGAGGTTTCGGACTCGTTATCTTACGAGCAGCAACGACAAGCAGCGAGGACAGAGCAGACACAGCAAATGACGGTGTCAGAAGCAGCAAGATTGAAAGATGCACAAGACAAATTGAACTTCAAACCATTACCAGAAGGCACTTTGCATGCTGGGTCGCTGGCTGGCTCTGGTGAGAACCCGATGCACGACGACCCTCAATACGGAGCATTTGTCAAGGCACACGATGAAATGGTTGCAGACTACAACAAGCGGAAAGGTGAGAAGATGACTGGAGAGAAATGCGCAATATGCGACACTCCGCTTTACTCAGATCCTGGACCGCATGAGCTGGGCATCTACCTCCATGCCTTGTCGTATGCTGACCTTACGCCGGGAAGCTGGAGCTATCGCAGTCCTGTACCTCAATGGGCTTTACCGCCCGAGGGTCATGATGGCCCACGAGATATTGACGAATGGGAATATCGAGGAGACGAGACTCTGGAGATAGGTGACGAGAGAGAAGATGAGAAGAGCAGGAATCTGCTTGGGGCGAAGAAGAACAAGGGAGAAGTGTGAGATGAAAGGTGTCGCAGAGGCCGCAGGCCTGTTATGGAAATGCGATGACACCATAGATGTGTTCAGAAGTACATTTCAGTCAAGTTCTACGGATATCCGTCCCTCCTCTGCACTGCACCGAGCGTGGCTCTCAAGTACCTCGATGAACTCGTGGGTGGTGAGAAAAAGTCCCCAGCCTCCCCTCTCGAAGCGACGCCTTAGAGGGTTGATCTGATGCCTAGGAAATAGCTAGGGGTCCCTGCGCGAACTAAGCGTATAATTGCATCCATGGCCCTAGCAGCAATTAGTAGGGCTAATCTAGCAGCCTCCGACCAACCAAGACCCCTGGATGTCAATGATCGAGTCCCGGTGCCCTGATCCCCCAATACTCATCGTTCCCTCGTTATGCTCCCCTGCCACCCCCCGTTCCAAAAGTGACGAAGCTGCAACCTCTTCCACCCTCATTCCCTCTTCTCCAATAATCGCGCGCTGCTCTCATTACCTTCCATCTCTTTTGGTCGCGTTGCCTGATGCTTCATTGAGTCGCATAAGGACAACTCACCGCTCGACTACCACCTCCAATCGTGCCCATCTTTTGTGTTTTGTCGCTTCTCATCCTCCCGGTTGCGCCAGCGATCGCACACTTGTCTTTCTTCTTCCCTGCTTGCGCATCAACTTCGCCGCGCTCTACACGACTTGTACTCCTCGAAGCCCTGAATATTTTCTTGTCGACATGCGATCCCTTCCTGGAAAGCGCAACCCCCTTGTTGCGCCTGGCACAGCGCCTTCATGTGAGCGCGCTACCGTTGAAGATTTACATCGTGGAGTGGTACTGACGAGGGTACAGACGATGATCTCCTCGGTCGCCGAAGGCTGGGCAAGACGAAGCTCACTGTTAAACCGGGCCAAGTAGGCACCTCGAATGCGACCAAGGCGGAAAACCTTGGACCGTTCGAATATGCCCATCTACGAGCTCCTTTGCCGGATGACCTTAGCGGGTCCGAGATATTCACAACCCAGACTAACCCTACGCCCGAGACATACTTTCTTATGGTACGATGGACAAAAGCTGTATAGACCCGAGAATCTGACATGGTCGCAGAGGAGAAGTAAGGATGGCTTCGTGAGCGCCACCGGCATGTTCAAGATAGCATTTCCCTGGGCTACCCACGCGGAAGAGAAGGCAGAACGTGACTATCTGAAGGAGCTCGACTCCACAAGCCAGGATGAGATCGCTGGTAACGTTTGGGTGGCGCCTCAATTTGGTACGACGCTACGATCTGCCCCCGACTCGAGCGAGGCTGACGAGACAATGCAGCACTAGGACTGGCCTCTGAATATGGCCTCACGGACTGGATCCGTGCATTGCTTGATCCCACCGAGATCACACAGGCGCCTTCCAGCTCCAAGAAACCGATTGCGCCCCCTCCAAAATTTGATTTGCCTGGCGACAAGACAAAGTTACAGGCACCAACCAAAACACCTCGGTCGAGGTCGACGAGGTCGTCATCACCAACGAAAGCCACCGTAGCAGCCACTCCCTCAAAGAAGACCAATGCTTCGCCTAGAAAGCGACAAACAAAAGCCCAGAAGGAAGCCAACATCGCGCATGCTAATGCGGCAAGCGCTACTCTGCAGTCAGCTTTGGATGACGCTGCGTCCGTTGCAGAGACGGAGCCCAAGGCTGGCTCTCCAGGGGCACCCGGGCTCGCATCCAGCCCTACAGACGAAACAGTCAAGGTGGAAGTTGACCAGTCAGTAGAAGTTGAGGGAACGACAGAGACGACGCACACAAATGTGACGGTAGAGATGCCTGCAGGATCCCCAGAACTACCCCTCCCCGAGGATACGGAGAAGATGCTGGAGACAGCCAGGAAAATGGTAGAAGAGGCGAAAACCCTAGAGAGCTCTCCCAAGATCGCAAAGAAGCGCAAAGCCCAAGATCCAGAACCCTCAGATATCGACGCAGAACTTCCGGCACAGCCAGCGAAGAAAGCCAGAGTACTTGAGGAGAAGCTGAAGAGGGAAAAAGTGAGAACGAGAGCAGTCTTGGGAGTGACAGCGACTTTGGCTATTGCGTAAGTTGATGAAGTTGCTGAGTTAATAGCTGACACTAACGTTACATCTAGGGCCGCCATTCCTTATTTCTTTTAAAAGAATTGTGTGTGACAAATCGAGTTGACGCTATTTATTGTTGTTGGATTTTACTTTCAAAGAGATACCTGCTGTTCAGTTTTTAACGATCGAACGGAGCCTACAGCGAATTGATGTTTGTGTGGTAGAGAAAGGAAAGAGTTGGCTTTCGCGTCGAAACATCCGCGCAGTTGTTTTTACTATCCAGATCCCTTTTCAAAATTTCTGTCGATGGCTGTTCGTCTTTATAAACGACCTGCCATGTCTCGTCGAAAAGAGAATTTTGTTCCAACCCAGAACCCGGAACTTGCTTCGGGTTTTGTACCTGTACAGAATCCAATACCCATTTTTCTTACCTCGAATTGCCTAGGACGTTTACAGTCTGCACAATCGACACTGGCTCAGATAGTCTATCTCTGGTGTTTGCCATCCTGGTATGGTATCCATGTACCGATGGTCACGCTCGAGACGGAGGGCATGAGGATGTGCTATACTATACGAGTATCGAGAGAATAGATGTGTCCTTCTTAAGCCTACTATGTACCAGACAGAGGCTAGAAGATTGGTTATTTAATCTCCAGTTGATCTGTGCCTACATCCGGGAAGTACTCGGTACAAATAACATGCGAGGACTTGTCCGCACTCGTACCCTTTTCCCAACTCTTTACGCGTGAGAACGATGGGCGCGAAGAGCTGCTGGACCTCCGCGTCTTTCGGTAAATATCCCGGGTGTGTCTCAGAAATGATCTTCGGATCCCTTGGCTAGTCACTCTCGTTTGACAGCCGCCGAAACACCCACTGTGACAGGATCTGAGATTCAAGCGTCGGGGGCTTCAAAAAAGTGCAATGCTAGCTGGAGTGACACAGGTACTTCTTTTACGTGAATTTTGCTTGTGTTGTTTATATCATTTGTTTACAGTCCGTTGGGATGTTTTGGTGTATGTGAGAGTGTTGGAATTCTTCAAGGCGCCCTCCTCCTTTGTACTCGTTATAATTAGGGGCAGCGCCCCAACTTTCGCGTTTCTCCAGAACCTGAACGTGAACCGATCACACGCGCTTCTTTAACAAAGTCACCACAACTTTTTTTCTGTCCTTGTGGTTAATCAGCCTTGATAGACTCAATCACCGCAACCGAATTGCTCCCTTCAACTTGTACTTGTGCGTGTACTTGTACCTGTACCAGCCTCGGCGCCTCTCGTGGCCAGTGAGAGAGACTGTGTGTGAGAGTGGGCGAGAGGGTCAGAGTGTGAGAGTTGTGTGAAATGGCCACCTCGACCATCCTGTTACCAAGCGCAATCATGAGTCCGCCGCCGCCATTTTCAGCCTCGACGACGACCGAAGCTTACGCCTCCGAGGCGGTTCTCGCCGCCTCGTCCTGTCCGTCATGCGGATACCATTTCCCTCCTCCTCCGACCGGTCTATCGAACGATCCCGCCGAAGCTCATCGTCGCATCCTAGATCTCGAAGCGCAGGTCAGACTGCTAAACGCGAAGGCCACATCGGCCGTGGACAAACTTGCAGACTATGAAGATGAAATAAGGTATTTGCGCGAAACCGCCTATGCTCGATCACAGCAGCAGCAGCAGGTCGGCAGTCCTCCAATGGAAGGTCCAGGGCCGGCATTGGGAGGTCAACAACAACAGCAGCAGCAGCCGCCACAACAATTGTCTCGCCTGGCGAGTCTGAGCGCTTTATTCCCGGGGAGACGAAAAGAATCAAACTCGGGACAACCCATGACACCCAACACGGGAACGTTCCCTCAGAACAACACCAACAACAACGTCGCATACACGAACAATGCCCTCTCCCCGCCGAAAACTCCGTATTCGGGCGCAAATCAGCCCATGCCGACTCTACAGACGGCGCAGTCGGATTCACAAGTCATAACCCTCTCGTCACTTCAGTCGTCCCTGGACGAGGAAAGGTCGCTGCGGCAGCGCGCCGAGACGAACCTGTCCAACGCACAGAGCGAGCTTGAGGAGTTGACGGCACAGTTGTTCGGGCAGGCAAACGAGATGGTCGCGACGGAGCGGAAGGCGCGCGCAAAGTTGGAGGAACGTGTCAAGGTGCTCGAGCAGAGAGACGTCGACAAGAGAAAGAGGCTGGAAAGGTTGGAGAAGGCGATCACCAGGATCGAGCGTGTAAGAGCCATGGTCGGACCTTGAGGGGGTCAGTCCCAAATCACACACAAGGCTGTGTGTACAATGCACAACAACTTTGATTGTTGGAGATCTAGTGCCCAAATTTTCTCGACGAAAATGGTCCTTTGGCTCTGTCTGGTGAGAGAATCATGGACCCAACCGAACGACATTGAACGACGTTTCGAACTGGTCGCTTACAAAGAAAAGGCACTGTCAGTTGTTCTCCCAGTCAGCTTTCCGGGTGAGAAGCTCACATCGATCGGTCACGCCGGAAAAGACTACACAGACAGGAGCAGCAGCAGCAGCAGCATCGACTCCAGACGATCGTGGGTGTTGTGAACGGCATTCCCAGATGCAGACATTTGTTGATCGGATCAACGTCACAACAAGAGATGACTTGATCATTTCCCAGGTCACTGTCAGAGAGCAGCAGTCTTGTTGCTTGAGATCGGTGGTAGAACACCGCCATCATCGTACATTCATGGGATGGATGGATACCTTTGGTCAAATACCATGATAACGATCTTAGTATTACTATAGTTACAAGAACAGAGGCACAGGTAGTTAGTTGGAAGGGGAGGAGGAGGAGAAATCGGATTCATATACTGTACAGATAAAGGTTGGAAATGTCTTGTTACGCACGATGTAAGTGCTCTACAAGTCAGCATAGGTTCGCAACGGACAGATCAATGATTGAGAATTGCCCATTCACCTGCTGCACCGAGTAGGTACTTATTTTGGGGCAGGGATTTTCTCTTTTTGTGTCTGGCTCATACAGGGAATACGTAATGTCCCTTTTTCTAGCAATCCTTGACCCGCCAATTTCTATACAAATACACACTTGAACATTTCATGCTCCTTGACCGGACAGAGGACATCACTAAAATAACAAGGTGGACAAATTTCATGACGTCCATCCTGACATTCTTCTTTTCGACAACCTGAGTAAATTGGACGCATTAGTCTTTGCTATCGTACGGTGGTATATAGCATACATATGGCGCTCCCAAGGCGTGTCACGATGTAGGGCAGGGAGGAGCTGTTGAGTCGACAATTATTGAAGAGGCAAAAATGACAAAGACTTACCAAAGAAGAAATCATCCTTCCCATCTGGTTTGATACACCGTTCGTTCGAGCACTTCCAACTCGGTTTTAATGTCTTGTCGACATGTCTGAAGTATTTCCACGCATAAAACTTGACGAGGACGTGATCATTGTCGAGACAGTGTTCGCCTAGCTCGAAACACTCGTCGCATAAGTCGAATGTACCGCCTTTGCATTTTGAGCAATCTGAATTCCAATACAATCGACGTTAGAGATCAAAGTGTTTTGTAGTCAAGATGGACAAATCATGTGGGTTCGGCGGAATACAGTGTAGGTGTAGGTGTATGCGTGTGTTGGAGAGGTACAAACTTACGGTAAAACGCCCCCTTGTCAATTCTGGCATGACAATCAGAGCAAGTCGCCTGTCCTGTGGGCGCTTGACCTTTTTGTTGTTTCTGGTACGGTGCATCCTGGTTGTAAGAGGCGAACTTTGCTCGAGGAAAGGCGTAGAGGTTGTGGGTGTCGTCGCCGGGGCATGTGCGACCGGATTCGTAACAGCGGATGCAGAGTGTGTATTGGTTCTTGGTCTTGCGGCATTCGAGACAGTCTGGGTAGTGTGTATTGTGTTAAAATGATTGTGCAAACGTCTCGGAGCCGAAAATTGAATACAGAGCACGGATATGATGTACGCTTACCGTAATGCCAACCTCGCGTGATCCGGGTAGAACAAAAAGTACAACTCAACTTTGCCGGCCCGGCGATGTCTTTGATCAGTTTGGTCGAGCCGGAAGGGAGGACGTATCGGCCTGGTAGGGCCGTCTGGCGAAGTTGCAGAGTGTGCTTTGGGTCTCTGCACGCGGAAGATTCTTCGTGGCATTTCAGACACAGATTGAACTCATCGTCGGCTTGAGAGTCACTCCCGGGACAGTCGCAGCAATCTATTCAATTAGCAAGTCCGAGGCGGGATGGGATGGTCCACTCACGATAGAACCTCCCTCGTGAAACATTCGTCTCACATCGCGAACAGATGATGTCGGTGGCCCAAGGGAGACTGTTGCAAGTTATGTTGTGGTTGTACTTGGGCAGGATACTTTCGTAGTCGAGACGTTCGCACACTTGCTGTACGGCTTGCATGCTGAGCAAGGCCATGATCTCCTTCTCGACCAGCTGGGCCGACTGTGCGCCAGCGATCCACGCCGCGGCGCCTTCGTACGTCTGATCTGGAGTGCAACCGGATGATATGGCGTGGTGAGTGGGCCCGAACAAAGACTGCACCTGGTCTCGAAATCCCGAGCCCCAGTTCTGTGCGGCGGTTTGTATCTTTTCGTGTAGACTCTCGTGCCATTCGCCAGCTGCTCCGGGCTGTGGATCGAGGATAGAATGGACATGGCTGGCCGTACCGCCGTGCTGCTGCAGAGCGGGATCAGTGGCGTGCGTCACGGGCACATTGCCGGCGTGTTGTAGACCCTGAGTGGCCGTGCCAGAGTCTGGCTGAATCTGTCCTCCACCGTTGAGAGTGTGGTCAGCGTGTCCCAGGGGGACTGCCCCGGCAAGACCAAAGTCCACGCCCATGCCCACCGCAAGACACGTTATGGCCACGGACGCTGGAATGATCCAGTCTCGATGGAGGAAGGGTCGGAGTTCGATGCCTCGATTAACGAGTTCGGCTTTGATGAACTTCAACTTCTTCGCGGCGACGTACCACCTCCGCGCTGCCCAGACACAGATCCCCGCCGATGCACCGTGTGAGGGCACGGCAAAGGCTGTGCCGCTGATGATCGAACACATGGATGAATAGCATATCCTGGTCTTGACGGCTTCTTGTTTCTTGAGCTGCGTGTCGGGATAATTGACCAGGCGTTGATCATAGTCGTCTGGAAAGTAGCAGAAATCGAGAAAGTAATTTTTGGCCATTTGCTTCTTTGACAGACCTGATTTAGACGTGGCTGGAGTAGAGTCATCACTGCTGGAGGCGGTGGGGTTCGTTAAAGAGAGATCGGGTACAGGATCAAATTTAATGTTCAGAGATGCAGGATTCTTCTCTAGACGATTGGAAGGATCGCTTCCCTTCTCGTCCTTCGTACAGCATATCTCTTCTTCTTCATCGAAAGTATATGGTGGAGGTGGCGTTACAGGACGCTGCTTATCTGAAACATCCCCTGAGGTGAAGCGCCTTGATAGAGCTCGGATGGAAGGCATGGTAGAAATTGTCGAGGTCGAATATTAGATCGTATGAGTGTGTTCACCTGGTACCTGTGCAATGATGACGTTGGCCATGAGCACAAGGGAGAGATTGTTCTCCCATTGCGCCTGTTCGTAAACACAGCTGTCCTCGTGGGAATGAAGTTTATGAAGGTCCGGAATGTTTTTCTTTTTCTCTTCTTCCCCGTCTAACTACACGTATTGATGTGAGTTACACAAATTCAACACGGAGTACGAGCAACTCGTAGTCCTCCTGCACTGCCTCAGGGTCTCGACAAGATGCACAACCCATGTCGATGTGATATGACGTCGCTGTGCATGGTGAACATGGTCAAGATAGCCAAAGCCCAATCATGACTGACAATGGACGCCACTTTTGGCCCCCAGCACAGACAAGGCTCTGGGTTCGTCGATGGTGTATGGAGGGGCTCATCAACCAGGTTAATCACTAAACAGGATCAGAACAAGTCTGATCAGCAGCTCAGATAATCGGATATCATCATCTCTCATCATTAGATTTCAGGGAAAAAACACAATCCAGCCTCGCCATGAATATTGTTCTGCAACCAGCCGAAACATTCTTCCTGCGGCACTCTTCCACAGGCCGATGACTTTCCAATGTTGCACAAACACCACGAAACGCCGCGTCCAGGATCCGAAAATAGAATGTTGCGGCGAGTCTGTCCACGTGCCTGATGAATAACAACGTCTCCACATGTACAACGAGCGAGACTTCATTTGGTGTCAGTCAACACAATTCACCACCTCGATCACGCTTCGTCGAGGTTGGTCTGTACACAGAAGGACCCGCCATGGCGCCGCCAGATAGTCAACCGGCCAGCCACCAGTGGCAGCCCGATCTTGTCTGTGGAATCGACTTTGGAATGACCTGTACAGGCAAGTTTGGCACATACATCGCACAACCCTGAGAGAGAAGGGTGGCTAATTGTTACACAAGGAGTCGCGTGGGCTCTTTTCAACGAGATGACAACCGACTGGTCTCAATTACGGCAGATGCGAAGATGGCCGGGTCAGAACAGTAGCCTGGAAAAGGTGCCCACCGAGCTCATCTACAGTGGCGGCAACACTGTACAGCTGTGGGGTGCCGAGTGCAAGGCTCTGGCCTCGCAGGACGAAAGGATCCGGACGAAAAGGCTGTTCAAGAACGCCATGTCGACTCGTGATGTCGGCCCTGCTGCCCACGGCCATGAAGTTGAAAATGCTCGGCGTTATTTCAAGGACTTTCTCACCCAAGTACATGCTCACGTCGAGGCCTCGCTTGCCAAACAGATCAACGACTTCAAGAAACTCAGGATCGAGTATGTCTTTAGTGTTCCTACGACGTGGAATCGTGACGCCGATACCTTGAACGAGGTCAAGCAAACCATTCGCGAGGTTGTCGGCAAGACACAGTACAGAAGAGGTATCATTGGCATGAGTGAAGCTGCGGCCTCGGCGGTGGAAACAGGACAGGACAGGTTCAAGGTGTGACTGAGTAATCGCTCGGTCTCGAGTACCTGTACTAACGACCGCGTAGAAAGGCGATGTCGTCTTGGTCTGCGACACCGGTGGAGGTACAGCCGTAAGCATCGCTCTGTACTGTTGACTCGGACAAAGATGGGCTGACAATTTTTTTCAGGACGTCAACATCTTCAAATTCGTGTCCTCTGAAAGAGAGGCAGGACGCATAAAGCCCTTGACGTATGATGAAGGTATGTATGCGGGCATTTCAGGAAGTTTTCATGTTTTTGGGTGTGTGTGTAAGTATCTCTACTGACATCCTGCACTAGGTGCCCCTGCTGGAGCAGCAAGTATCGATCAAGCTGCTCTCGACCATTTGATATCGAAAATGAGAAGTATTGAGAACCTAGGCAAGGACAGTGTTATCTGGGCCTTGGAGGCCGTTCAAGCAGGCTTTTCAAACATCAAACACGACTACGGCAGATCGAAACAAGAGGGATATTACCTCTTGCCTGTACCCGGCATGAACGGCCTTCAACCTCCATCGGAGGACTTTGAGTTGGGTGGAAAAGGGTCGCAGGAGATTTGTTTCCGAATACGCCCGTGAGTCTATCTTTCTTCTCAACACCCAAATCAACGGCAAGAAAGAAAAGCGGTACTAATAATTTCAAACAACAGAAAGCTCCTCGAAGAGTGGTTCAACACCGCCGTCAATGACATACTGGCAATAATCGACAGTCAACTAGAGGCATTGGCTAGGGAACACAAGGGCGAGAAAATCGTACGAGTGCTTTTGGTTACCTTCGACTTTCGGATCATGATTTTCTAACTTTTGACTCTAACAGGACCGTGTCGTACTATCCGGAGGATTCGCATGGAACGTCTACTATCAAGATCGGATGAAGGCGTATTTCAGCAACAAGAAACGAGAAAAGCATAGGTCGATATCTCTCGACTTGGACATTCTTACTGCTCCTGAACCGTATGCCGCATATTCTCTCTTTTTGTTCAAGGGATCATCATCTTCCCCATAACCCACGGAGAGCGCGATTTCTAACTCGTGAACACATGACACAGAGAACTATCCGTCGTCCAAGGACTGGTACACAACAGGGTCCGAGAACTGAAGGGTCTAGGACCTATATTCGAATCGGTCTGTTGTCCGGTTAGCTACGGAGTCGTCTTTGCCGAAAGGTACAACTCTCTCAAACATTCTCGACAAGGAGACGTACCCGAGATATCTGCATTGGACGGCAAAAAGTACATTCAAGGTCAAATTGATTGGATCATTAAGAAGGTAAGTAGTATCTGGATTTTTGTAAGACCTTTTACCTCCGTCATAATCATCATCACCACCACCACGACCACCACCACCACGACCACCACCACCACGAAGGTTGCTGTCAAGTAACAGTAACACTCACAACACTAAACTAATTGTCCTTTTTGGGATTGCTCAGGGAATCCCAATCCCCAGCAAAGGAATCAAACGTGAATACGATATCGTTTTGAACGAAAAGGCCGAAAAGTTGCCCCGATCGTTCCAGATCGTCACCACCGACCACCCTCGAGACCGTTTACCTCCCAACGTCAGTCACAGCGCCGTGAAACCAGTTTGCGAAATCACCATCGACTTGACAAAATTAAAAGTGACCAACAAACCACAGTCCACCAGTACCTTTGGAGCTTTGTCGAATAAGATAAAAGCATCAACTCCCTTGATCAAACGATCCATTTCCAACGCCACTTCTGGCCCTGCTCCTCCTATTTCGTCCGCCCTAGGTACGAGTGGTGGCGGTAGTGGTACTGCGGCGGCCACAACGACGCCCACCACCAAAGAAACAAGTTTCGATTTGTTTCTTCTCGTTGGAGCCTCGGACTTGAGATTCGAAATCAAACCTAGAGGTGAACCTGATATCCTGGCCAGTTCGGAACATGATCAGATCGACGTGGTGTGGGCTCAAGACGACACCCTAACCAGGACGTCCACGGCGACATCACGGACGGACGATTTGCTGTTGAAAAGGTCCTGATGAACCTTGCTGGCGGTGCTCCCCTTCTTACTCCTCTCGCCTCCCCCTCCTTCTCCTCCTCATAGTCCCTGATGGGATTTCTCTTCATGATACAAAGCAGACAACGATCAAGAGTTGGGACAGCTGGTGACATTACATGTCAAATCAACGATCACTTTTCAATACAATGATTGGAAAATCTTTGTCAAAGTCTCTCAATGGTTCATCATTCATCTTACAGTATATACAATAACATAAGTCATAAGGACATTAATATACTATTCAATAGTATCTAGACTTGCGTCTGGCTGGTCTCGAGCTATTGGCTCTGGGCTAATGTTGACTGCTTCTACAACTGAATAAGATCAAGCTCGCTGAAATCAGGCGGTGCGCCACTGTAAACGCATCGGCCCTTCGAATCGAGTCCCTGTCTGACATTGCTGACCCAGATATGAGAGCTGAAGCTTCCCATACGATGCACTTCATCATCACTAACACCGAGTTCATCGCGTGGGATCCAGATCACAGGTCGTCGCGCTCGAAGTGCACTGTGTTGGAAAGCTCTCTGGACCAATCGATCACGTTCCTCGGGTGTCAAATCTTCCAATTCGTCGCTGACGCCTGCAAATAGCGCATCGGCAAGTTCATTCCGTGCAGCTTGCTGTGCTTCGACGTCCTTTTCATTTCCAGTGATTGGATTGAAATTGTTCAATTTATTGAATACATCTCGAGGAGGTGACACGCGCCTTTTGTGTGGTTTGCGATCGTGAGGTACTTCCGAGGGAGCCCTGCTACGACTCTGTGAGGGAGTTTCAGTCCACTCGCCAAAATTGGATGCTCTCCGATTCGCAGTATTGTCTCGGTCGGCCCATGATTTGCGTTTTTCTTTCGTCGACAGATTGCGTGCCACCAGATGTTTAGTGGTATTGGTCGCTTTGTGAGTCACAGATTTAGCCATGCGAACGCTTCTACTCTGCTGGTCCAGGCTCATAACGATCTCAGGGTTCTGATATTCAGAAGGGTCGAGTTCCAACTGTTTTGTGCTTTGCCTCTTAAGCCGCGCTTCTTTGTCGACCTTGATACGTTGAAGCTCGTACTCTTGTTCGTGTCGATCATCTTCCAATTCCTGGCGCTCCTTACGCTCCAGCTGATCTTCAAGAGACTCGATCTGATTTTCGTCTTCAATTAAGCCCTGCTTGTTTCGCATGATTCTGGCGAATTCCTGGTCTCTTCGAACCGCATCGTCCTCAAGAGTGATGGGCAGATATCGGAACAACGGACTGAAGGCTTCGTTGAGAAGGATTTGATACCCTGCAGTCAAGATAAGGATCACAATCATACCGATTGCTTGTCCCGTGCAGGCGACATTACCGGCCGTATCTCTGACCAAGAAAAACATGCCGATCAACGCGATTTCCATGACATATAACCCCACGAAGGTGGTATTGATGGCGTTCGGATACAGTAGACCGCCCGTGTCGCGAGTAAACCGCGTCACGTACAGCGTGTTGTAGCGATATACGAACCAGAAAAGGGAGAATGTGATGATGTTGAAAAGGAGGATAAGTGGTGAGATGACTGAATAAATCAAACCGATGCAAGCCAAGTTGGTGTACACAGGGAAGAAAGTGCCCCATTGAACATTGGATAATTGCGTTTGTCGTTTGAACTTGGCACGAGCCGTGCTGTCGAAGAGAGGAGCCAGGATGAACCACCCAATAAGTGACCCGACTTGTACCAGAGCTCCCGCGCTCACCGACAGTGCTTGCAGGAGCATGTAGGAGAAGAAGTAGTTGCTTGCCTTGGGGATGTTCGTGCCTAATAGCGCAGGAATATTCGTGAATCCATCGAAGCTGGTGAACAGCGCGAAGAATTGTGTCAGCGCAGACGCGATCGACACGACCAAGAACAGTTGAACGAAAAGAAAGGCAAAGTAGTACCGCTGAACAGAGATCTCCACCAACATTCCAGACTGGATTCCTTGTACTTTGCAAAGAAATCGAAGGATCAGGGGCAGCAGGAACGTGAGCAGACCGAGAAGAGCGGGAGGAAGGACACCCTGAATGACACTTCTGAACCATGCGGGAATCTTCAGCACCCAGTGGAGCCAAGACCAAGTCTTCGCAGCGACATCTAGCTGCGAAAGAGCGGACGTAAAAGCAACTGGGATGGCCCAAAGGATGATCATTCCAGAGACGACGGCGATGATACCGCCAGTTCGGATATAGTTTTGCCACCACGGAATAGACATGTTATCCCAAATGACATCGTTGGGATCGATCTCGACCATGCGAGGAGCCATGTGCTTTGGAATGTGATGACTGACAGTTTGACACGCCATGTGGGCCGCCACCTGATGGTTGAATTGAATGAATGCGGAATTCATCAGAGGAAATCGCTCGGGATGTGCCTGGTCGTCTTCAATCTCGACGTTGAGCCTAGCTACTTCTTTGCGGCAATAGCGGATGGTGTCGACCTTTTCACCGATCAAGGGTAGCGAAGGCATCCACTGCCAACCGAAAATTGGCAATCTCATGGTGTCGCGATCTTTTTCTTCCAGATACCGTCGCCAGAGTGCGTCATCGGGATCGTGTTCGAAGTTCCACTCGAAAGCAGATGGGTAGTCAACTGGTTCCTTTTCATCTGGCCCTAGTCCAACGTGTTTCATGAACTTCTCGATATTGGTGAGCGGCTTCTGGGACTTGGTCTTCTCGTCTCTCATTGTACTAGATTGAGAGATTGGGCTGGACGGCAACTCGCGCTTCCCAGATTTTTCCAGTGAGCGTCCACGATTTTCAGCTGTGATCTGCCTGATTGTTGATGCGTCATGAGCATCACGCGATTTCTGTTGATGTAAAGCATTCCGCGCGTAATCATCGGACTCGAACTTCTCTTGCTCGTCGCATGACTTGTCGCCAGAGGATCGGCCCTGGTCTGCGCCCGAAGCCACGAATCCATTAGTAGTATTGATGGTATCGTTGACTCCTTTATTGACACCCCGGATGCCACCCATAATTCTATTTCCGATGGTATCCAAACCATGTGTAACCGCCGTGATACTTTCGCCTAGCACAGGGATTGGTAATGCGGGTTTCTTGTTTTGTTTTCTCTCTTCGTCGATCTCTTCGTCGTCGCTAGACGATGAAGACCGATCATCGTTACCATCGAGTGCATCACGAAGATTGTGGTTGACCTGATGAGGGTTGCCTGAGCTAACACCATGACCATGGGCAGCCTGGTCACCAGCTTCGTTTCTGATGGTGGTTCGAAGATTCTTTTCCCGCTTCGAAATCTTTTTGCCCGATTCCTTCTCGGCTTTCTTGATATTTTCTTCATTTTTCTTGAAACACTTTTTGATGAGATCAGTCTCAGCAGCTTCGAGTGTAGCAGCAAGGTCGTCTCTTTGCTTGATTTTGGCGCTCAGTTCATCGAAATTTCTGTTGATCCAGATGTTCCTGAGACCGCCAGGGAACACGTCGTACAGTCCATCAAGTGCTTCGACGGAGCACCATTTCTGAGGAATTGAACTCACGAGAACGGTGGTGGCCGATGCTCGCAGTCGATGTTGAGGTGATGTCAGGTACGCTTGCCGCATACGAATATAGCATCGTAGCTCGTCATATGCAACATAACAGACCCAGACTATCAGGGCCAAGGCAAGAAGCCAGTGTGCCCAGTAACGCCCAGTATGATCGGGGGCCACGTTTCCCCAAGCAAGCTGATCCAGACCAGTGACGTTGGAGGCATTCTCGTGCTTTCCCGTGGCAAAGTCTGCACCTCTTCCACCGACTACATTCAAGGGGATGAGGATGGGTAATATGACCAATGTCGCAGGAATGAAGATCTTGAGTAACGTGCGGAGGTAGCGCAGGAAGAAGTATGCGTCCAAACCGCACTTCTGCACGAATTCGGAATTCGAGGTGACGAAGACTGGTTTGATCCACTTCCACCAGCCAGGGGGTGTTGGGATTGTCCGCTCTCTTTCTGGTACGAGATATGTTCTCGGCTGGTAGATTCGAGCAAATCGATCTTTGATGAGGAGGAAGAGGGCCACTTCAATAGCGAAGATGGCTATGGAGGTAACTAAGGAGGCGGCAAACTGACCCGCAGTCTGTCCAGTCCTGGACTCGCTGGCCGTGGTGTTGCCACCCAAGTTGAAGGTTGAATTGAGAGATGACATGACGTATTATTCTAGCTGGGTAATGGTGCTCTGAACAGGAAATATCATGACTGAAATCGTCCTGGGCTCGTGAGGATCAGGTGGAACGGGGTCAACGCGTAGGATGCTCGAGGGGTATCAGGGTGCGCCACTAGCAAACGCTCAAACGAAGGCAGACAAAGCAGGCGAAGAAAGGAGGATTGCACTTGTAGGATAGTTGTGATGAGGATGAAAGAGGAGATGAGGAGGACAAAGAATGCAAAACAAGATGGTGGAAGTTGGACAAAGAGTCCTTTGGCATGGTGGAGCGGATGGCAACCAAGATTCACATCGAGATTGTCGATATTCGACAATCGCAGGACAGAGGGAAAAAGTGACATACAAAACGCCCATGCGCGAATGACGTGTGAGGCTCACATCGCCAAATTTTGCCTGCACCCCAGGCTCTTCATCGTCGAATCATCTGCACCCGCCAGCGCCCATCTCTGGCAATGGTGGCACTGATCTCGCGCCTAAGCCACCGGGAGTTTAGGGCCCCCTTTTAGGTGGGTTTAATTAGCTCTGGGTTGCTTGCCGTCCCTCGATGTGCCGCGCGGTTGACACGTCTTGGTTGGTTTGGCACGACTATCGAGATCCAGTACCTGCTGCCCACCACCATCTGCTGAAGCACTTATTTACAATACATGTCTACTTTGAGAATTACTGTGTATGTACTGTACAAGCGACACAGATAGACGAAATAGTTGAACAGAGTAAATACTTTCAAGGAGCCTGTACTCGTACGACTACTCATTTGAAACGGTTCCCCTTTGTGTCCAATTTCTCCTGATGTTCTCCACCGTTTGAGTGTGGCGTCTGTCAACCGAGGCATGTTAAATTTCGTGGCTGCAAGGCTGAGAACACGAAGAAACCGGAGTAGTCGAGCTTCAACCTCACCTTACCGCATACCTTACCCCATCTTGCAATATCAATTCATTTGTCCGTGATCAGATCCCTGTCCCGTCGACCTTTTGCTGTTGAACCAATAAACCATGACCAAATCCTCTTCAACACCCCCTGTTGTGGTCTCGACCACCCCTTCGGGTATCACAACCATTGTCATTTCCCGGCCCCATCGTCGCAATGCCGTAAACTCTTCGACTGCTCGAGACCTATACTCTGCCTTTATCGATTTTGAAAATGATTCTTCACAAAAAGTCGCCATTCTCACGGGCTCCGATGGCTATTTCTGTGCAGGTGCTGACCTCATCGATCTCACTCTGGAACAGGAACAGGCCCGGGCAACAGACAGCCAATCCTTTCAAAAGCCGGTAGAAAATCGCAACTGTGGGCCGATGGGACCCTCGCGGCTACAAGTGAAGAAGCCCGTCATTGCGGCCGTTGCTGGCCACGCAGTAGCCGGAGGACTGGAACTCAGTCTGCTGGCTGATATGCGCGTCGTTGAAGAGGATGCCATATTTGGAGTCTACTGTCGACGGTGGGGGGTACCATTGATTGATGGTGGAACTGTTCGTCTTCAAGCCATCGTCGGTCTGGGACGTGCTCTTGATATGATCCTGACTGGACGACCTGTCGCTGCTCAAGAAGCGTTGGCCATGGGTTTGGCCAACAGGGTCGTCCCAAAAGGCAAGGCTTTGGAGGAAGCAACCAAATTAGCAGAGGAGCTTCTAAGGTTCCCAAATGGATGTATGAACGTGGACAGGAGGTCGTGCTACTATGCCGCCTACAACGCGTCAAGTTTCGAGGATGCGCTAAGCAACGAGTTCAACCACGGCGTGAAGGTGCTGGAGACCGAGAGTTTCAAAGGCGCTGCCCGGTTTGCTGGAGGTTTAGGAAGACATGGAGGGTTTTCGAAACTGTGACACTTGGAATTATCAATTGCATGATCCAAGTCTACCCATCAATGCTGTCTACTTAGTCGACCTAGGATGCGTTGCGTTCCCACTCAGTATGATTATAGCGTTGTTGTCTTATTTCGTAGGAAGTACTCAGTAGTACAACAGGCTATTCTGGAGAAGCCAGCAATAGCGCGAAAAGTATTCAGAGGCCCAACTCCCGCAACGTACTGATTCTTCCGTATTCTGACCAGACCAAGTGCCCGCTCTCAAAGTGAGGTTCCCTTTGTCGACCAAAATTTCGACAGAATAGTATCGCACACAAGGTCATCAACCTAGTCCAGAGCGTTGGCTTTCTCGAGAAGTGAACAGGGGCAATCAAGTGCTGTATCTTGCGTCTTTCTGCTCACCGCTTTCTTGCAAGGCTCAACTTGCTGGCCATGCCAACGTATGGCACGTATATGCCACCATTCTCAGAGAGGAAATCCCCGGTATTTGCCTTGCGGCCCAGTTCGCACGGGCAACTTTTTGCAGATACACTAATTTGGAATCATTGCTCCAATCGAAGGCTATTTCGACCACAAGCCCCCCGTCTCATACATACGAAGTCCCATCACATTGTGGTTGTAATTTCGTGCTGGTTTTGATCACGGGCTGGCGTTGATGCCGCCGAGAAAAAAAGACAACAACGAGAACGCCGGCAAACAAAAGATGAGGTGACGCAGGCTACGCTTGACGTCATTGGCTTTAAAGTGATGCTGTTGATTGAACAACTCCCTCCAACACAAGATTATCAGGTGAGGCTGGTGAGGCTCAATCTTGTGAAGATCCCATAAAGTCTGCGTGAGTACGACGAGTAGGAGGGAAAAGGCATCTTAAGGCATCTTTGGGCATCAAGCGACTAAAATCCCTGCTCTTCACCCTGCTTTACAACCTGTAATATTCCCTTGCCACCCTCCTACCAATAACCTTGTCAGTTGTCAGCATTACTACCGCCCTACTCATTATTACTCGAGGTGAACCTTGGCAAACGCAGGCCCAGTTGGTTAGTCTCAAAGGCAGGCACGCACACACATACAAGGAGACACACACCCTCCCAGCAAGTCCCTCGGTAGTCAAAACAATGGCGTCCAGGACGGCGTTGCTAGTGATTGACATGCAGGTGGGCTTCACAGCCCATGGTCGCGGAAACCCTGCCAAACGTCGTGAAACTCTGTGATCGCTTTACCAAGGCCTCGTTGCCCATCATATTCACCCAGCACGGTCACAGCGACTACGAACTCAAGACCACGCCGTCACCGAGTCAACTGGTGCGCAGATGGAAGCCGGAAAACTCCATCGCCACGGGCTCCCCTGACTGGGAACTCATGGGCGACCTGAGACGATACATCCCGGAGTTCCCCCCTGAACCTCTGAAGGTGGGTGAGTCGTTCCCTCCGACCGGGGACGCGCAACTGTTCCCCAAGTTGATGGCGAAGAACACCTACGACTCGTTCATCAACACCAACCTATCGACGATCCTCGAGGCTGCGAAAGTAGAGCGAGTGATCGTCTGTGGGGTCATGACCGACGTGTGCTGCGACGCTTCGGCCAAACCAGCCTTCAGCAGAGGGTACGAGACTTGGTTCGTGAGTGACGCGACGGGGAGTGGAAACAAGAGTCAACACCTGGCGGGCCTCAAATGCTATTCCTTCGCCTATGGGGATGTTTTGAAGACGACAGAGGTATTGGACCACCTGAAGTTGTAATGAATGGTGGTGATTATTACGAGTTAAACCCCCCCCCCCCCCCCAAAAAAAGGGGGGAGCCCATCAAGAGGAATAATTAAATCGAACCTCAACCTAGGACACCCTTACCTAGGTACTTTAGTTATGGAGTACGAGTAATAAGGAGTCACACTGCCTAGGCGCGCACCAAGGATCTTTCTCGGCGACCTTGACAATGTTACGGTGGTGCTGTACTTGTACGCAGTAGGATAGTCACCGCGCGAGGGTCGGCCTTCCATCCTTGTGGAGTTAATCACGGAGTGTCTCACCCAAGTTGCACGGAGTACTGCGCCGTCCCGTATCTAGGTAGCTGCACCGAGCGGGCTGTTCTGCTGTATATCTCTATACGGAATCGTTCCTGAATGTTTTTCTCTTTTGGTCTTATCCTCTTGTATGTCGACGTGTCTATTGAGCGGAAAAGCTGCAGGTACCTCGGGTATGCAGAGCACTTGTGCGATCTCATGTCTTCATAAAGAAGATATAGAAGCAAAATACCTCTGGGTAGGTCTCTGACCAGACAAGCAGGTAGTCAAACCCGTTTGTGATCTTACGAAAGTCCTACGCCTCCAAGAAGAAATCCCATGCCACTCCATGAATATGGTCTGGAAACATTGACGAGAACTGCTCGATTAATGTCACTGCTTGACTACCATGATACATCCAAGCCTCTCTAGCTCCATTGATCAAATCTTCGATTTGCCCTTCAGTTCGACTTGACAATCCAAGACGTCCCTTTGCTCTAGCACACTCATCAATTCCCATTGGGACTAACAAAAACGATGAGCACAGCGCTGAAGCTGGCTGTCGCTATGAAAGAGTCAATCCTGCGGGGCATTCCGACGATGGCGACTGCACTGCTAAAGAGAAAGCTGAGAAGCACAATCATACAGAGCCTCAGAAGCTCGTCGTGAATGAAATACAGGCAAAAGGCCCCGGCGGTAGGAAGGATCGGCGCCAATACTGTGGCCAACACTGTCACGAGCCTGGCGATGTGTTCATCTTTGTAGCGAGACAGCTTGATCGGATGCAAAGGTTTCCAGTCTCTTGGAAACCTGTCCGATATGACCTCTTGCTTTCCAAAGAGCCTGTGGTATGGCTTCATGATGACCCAGGTAAGCCAGCTCGTGAGAATATCCGTGCCACCATCCCGGTCCAGAAGAGATGTCATATCATACTCGTTCTCCTCCTCAATCCAAGTGCCAGACTCGACAGTGTTCTCGAAAAACAGGCCCCTGTCGGGTGTATTTCGAAGGACATCATCTTCAAGGACCACGAGATTTGGTTTGCGCACTGGAGGGAGATTGGCAATTTGTCGGGTTCGGAGAAGACCTTCGTCTTTTGTGATCGGAAACAGTCAGCAAATTGGGACATTCTTCTAGGGTTCAGAAGCGGTCATTGCGACGTACCGTATTCTTTTAGAACATGGATGATCTCCGTCATCAACTTTCGTTGTCTGCATCCCAGTTCGGATTGGTCCTTCAACAAGGCGTCAAAGTTCATAGAAAAGGACTTCCTCTTGGGATCTCCCGACTCCCGGTCGTCAGTGATTAGAGACAATAGTTGCTCCTCTTTTTCCATCAGCTCGGCTTGCAGCAACATCTGACTGCGGTGTCTCAGGCGCGAGAACTTCCGGTAGATACAAAGCTCTTCACAGTAGCTAAAAGAAGTGGTCAAGGTGTCGTACCCTTCCATGCTGGAATGGAAACTTGAAGCTTGAAAAGCAGCTGCAACCTCAGCCGGAGACTGGCAATCGATCTGACTTTAAGCCAGTTCGAGACTGCGATATGGTAAACATGTTTGTCAGCCTCGATTGGCTTCGCCATGCTGTCTTGTTGCCTTGGATGTGCTGGATGCCAGGCTGTGAAGAGGCGTGTGCAAACTGCCCAACTCATTCCAAGGCGAACTCGCAGAAGGAAGAATGCCACCTAGCTGAGGAAATGGTGGAGAGGCTGCGTTGCATTTCCGCGCACAGAATCCCTGTCACACCCATGATCGAGTAGCGAAGAGGCGTCGCTTCAGCTTGCATGAACTGAATGAGTTGGCGAAAACCACTGTTCGTAAGCGCCAATGATACACAGGGGGGCCCGTTCAATGGCGATTACAACTGATTCAGCCAGGATGTGATCACGAATGCTCTTAAGTTGCGTTCCATCGACCAGATGGCCCGTCATATAAGGAGCAGACCCATTCCCAAGAACTCGGCCATCATCACTTCCTGCTCATCTCACAGTACTCCGTACTTGCTTACCATTTCATGTAAAGCCTCTACGATGCAACCTTTTCATCCCTATTGTTAAACTGCACGCCAATCAGATACGATGTGTCAGTCCAAGAACGTTTAGCCAGCGCGGAAAGCTCCGATTGTGCTGGTTGGCACCTACAGTAGGTAGGTGGAGGTGTTTTCCGGCATATTTGACACAACCGGCAAATTTCAATTTACTGGACGAATATATCCAGGAGAAGGTCCTCCCTGGTTCCTCTCTGGTTCCTCCCTGATTTTCTCATCAGCTAAGTTTCCTCTCTGTTCTTGACAGTGTCGAATGCTAGCTACCTAGGCAGCCAGAGTGGATCACGTGATGCCAGGAAAACGACAATGAGACCTGATGGACTGCGCAAACGCATCCCGGGTGTAACGGCGCGAGCTCGCGAAGGATGTGCGACTGTACAAATGAAGTCGAGATGATCAATGGTTCGAATTCGAGCATTGGGCGACACATACTGGTACGACGAAACTGTGGTCGAATGTTGTTGCTGTTGCAACTGCAATTTCCACTCGCAGCATTTCCTGGAAATCTTCAGCGTCATGTCCGAAATTTCGTCGTCGGCGCCTCCCAGGCTTCACCTCCGGCGTTATGACGCTAAACGTGGGCGCTTTCTTCAGGATCCATCCTCCACACGATGAGCTTCCCCGACTTAGCGCGATCACTGACAGTACTGACAGCATGTTTCCTGTACCCTTCCATTACTTCCATCGTACTCGCACGAACTGCTGATTACGAGTCCAATGTTTTCAGGCGCCTGCTCCCTCGGTCGGCGGGCGCCCTCAGACCGCAGTTTATGCTGTCTAACCCAAGAACGGGTCTCTGTGGTAGCGCTGTCCTGCTTCCGGACCGAAGGCCCTTTGTTATGCTGGGTTGTCCCTCAAGATTTGGCCCCTAGCTATCAACCCCTGGAAGAATGCCCGGCTGTGGTCATTGCAACAACGCTCCAACAAAGGCCATTGCAAGCGATATGCTTCTTACCTAGGTGAAAAGGGTGCTTAGCGGGCCTTTTGGTTCCGGGGGACTGGTTGAGTTAACTGTCCATTACCATAGTCTTGTCCAAATATCCGCTAATTCGCTTCGACTCTGGAAGTCTGAAACGTGAGACACTCTCCTGGTCTCGCCGCTCTCGACAAGATGAGGCTATCCTCGCTTTCGCGTCGGCTCTTGCCCAGCCTCGTTCTGCGCACATTTTGCTCCGTACGCACAAAATTTGTTTGCGATATTCGTTGTCCCATTGCTGCTTTCTCAACCCCAATACTTGATTGCTACTATTCCCTGTCCTGAACCTTCAAACCCTCCTTTCCGCGTACTGTCCAATTCTCCGAGCCGATTGTTCTTCGTTGTCCTGTACTCAAGAAGAAGCGTTCAGACAAATCGATGGCCATGCATGACCAGATTTGGATGCAATTTTCAACCGGACGCGTGCTTGGCCACAGTCTCTCGTGTGCCAAAGGTGGGCACGGGCGAGTCCTGACATTTACAATACACTTGGAAGACGCCCCTGGCGAAATCTCGACAACGGATCTGGGAAGAGATCTTTCGACTCCTCTAGATCAGGGGGCAGGAGTGGACAGTAGAATCCTGGCCGGAGTAGATCAAGAAGATGACGACAAGAAATATGATATAGTTGGGTCAAACATCATGGATACAGTCGAAAGACAACTGCAGTGGCATGGCGCCCTGGATCAGCTGCGACGCTGTGATCAGGTTCCAGAAGTCACCATGTACGGCTTGCCCAAAGAGCAGCATGGAAATACCGATTCTCAGCTTCGAAAGGACTCCCATGATGGCAATGATACCAAGATGATGGAGCAGGAGGGGGGCCACATACTAGTCTTCACGCAGAAAGGACATATCAGAGGCCAGTGCTGTGAGACAGTGCCATCATGTCTTTTGAGTGATCCAGTGGAATGTGCTTTACATATTGAGCCACGTTCCAAACAAGGACTGCATCTTGAGCGTGCCGGTCCACAGCAATGTGAGGAAAGCGACAGAGATGTGTACGTTTCGGCCCTTTTAGCCGAGAACGTTGCCGTCGATGAGCTTGTACAGGTGCGATGCCTGTGTCTCGATCGCTCAACTGGCGTGGAGGAAGAATTTAACGGCAGGCTTGATACAGGTGCGACTTACTCAATGATCAATAAGGACAGTCTGCCAAAAACTGCACAAGTACGACCTCTTAAGGCGCCCATTAAATCTTCCACAGCTTCTGGCGAGAAGTTGACTGCTGGAGAATATGTCATTCTTGATTGGAAGTTGTTGTGCAACACAACCCTCCGGGCGTGTACATGCAAGATATCTTCCTGGTCGTAGAAAGCTCAGGGGAAATTCTAGGAAATTACAATGCACTGATCAGTGCATGGGTGTCAATGAAGACAGGACATATTGCCATCAAACAGTGTGAAGGATGCCAAATCCGCTCACCGGTTCCATCTGAAGGGTCGATGGAAGACCTCGTAAACTGATCCCTGCTGGCGGTTGTCCATGCCTGTGGATCATTGGCAGAGCCGCACTCCCCCATGCCTTTTGGAGCACACCCTCATAGATGGGTCGGCTCCAATGATGAGAAGCCCTAAAGTCGATTCCTGCCTGATGGCCTCAGGATACTGGATAAGCGGCCGAACAAGGGACGAGGTGCAAAGCGCCCGACTCTCAGTGGCCGTTATCTGCTGACCGCCTCGAACAACTCATGAGTCCACGAGTCGGTCCATGTATGAGCACGAGAAAGCATGAGCTGGAGGCATCTTGATGTTGTGTTGTGTGTGCTACGGGTTTGCCCTGCTTCTGTACGTTCAATGAGAGGATGGGCCTGTGTTATGAAGAGTGGTTGGGTCTTTGCATAGAAAGCGGTCAGCAGGAACTTGACCGTAGAGAACATATAAAAGCAACTGCATTCGTCGATTCATCTTGCTTCGCTTCGTCCAACGTGCCTACCACCCTTGAACTCTAAGAAGCCTCCGACTCACAAAAACACCTTAGAGTCACCTCTTAAATCTTTCAATATGGCCAGCTCCTGCAAGACCAACACGACCTCTACTATACAACCAGTTCCCCGCCAAAAGGAGGTGTATTTTGAGACAGGAGGGCCCTACCGTCGACCACCTGTTCCAGTGTCCCATGACGGTGAGGCACAGTGCTGCACAATCAGCAACACTGTACTCTTCAATCTCTACGGCAGCAAGCGTCTTCCTCTTGCCGACGATGGCCATATATGCAAACATAAGAACCAAGTTCGCAGAGTCCGACTAAAGGTTACCAGCGGAAAATGCACAAGACTGACCTGCGTCATGTTTTGTGTCCTTGAGGAGACTGTGCCTTCGGTGGTGATGACTGGTCAAGAGCGATGTTGGGCACAGGTCCCAGAAGCAACCTGCAATGTTTTGGTTCCAGAGACTTGCAAACCCAGTCGGTAACTGTGACCCCCATCAGCAAGCGGTCACTGACAATATTGCAGAAGACAAAGCGGAGCTGAAGCGGCGCAAGGAGGAAGACAAACAGCGATTGGAGAATTTGAAATCGGTAGAAAGAGCAGCCAGGCGCAAGGCATCATCTAGAGCTGCAAACGCACACGATGCAGCGCCGGCCCAGGATAATCAGCAAGGGGGGGATAACAGGGGTGCAAACCAAACCAGCATAAGAAGGTTAGCAAGTAGCTAGGCCGTCCACTTCAGCCGACGTTGTACGTACGTGTTAGGCTTGGGAAGGTCATCGCTCCAGCTTGAACCAATTGCAATCAGATAGGCCGAGCATCTTTATGTGTAGGCGGACCAGAATGGAGGATAGCACGGAGAAGTTTTTCTGGACACTCACTTATCAAGGTAGAGTTGGGATAGGGCTTCAATCTCTCAATGTTAATCACCGTCTGCTTTTGACGTTGCTTCTCCATAAACGATAGTTGGATTTCATGATCAACAAAGCACACGAATAGTTGCAGTTGGTCTTGATGGTGGAGTTCGTGGTTTTGCCTGTGTCAGTTCGTCTGGGTACAGGGACTCCAAGCCCTCCAAATGTAACGTACTGAGAGGTTCATCATGGGTGGAGCGTCTGAAATGATGCACTCTTGTGCTTACCTCCAACAAACCTGGCCCCAACTGGCCGTTCGTTTAGGAGCTTTTTTAGCACGGTACAGCACATTCTTCCTTTTCCCGAAAGTGGTCATGCTGCTGCCGCGTGCAAGAGTATCAAGTCCGTGTGGGTGATGTTGCCCTCCCGGAAGAACTGTGTAGGGTAAGGATGGAGCTGCGTGCTGATGATAGTCTTGACGCCTGCGATGCTTGATGACGCGATGCGCCTCGTTAACGTGTGTGCGAGTTGTTCACGGACTGAAGTAGAATCAAAGTGTTGTAGTCCGTGCGGTGGTGTGTGGTTAGGATATTCTCATAAAGGCGGTGAAGCAGAATGTGTGAGGCTGAGAGTACACACCATCATCTCCTTGCTTAAGGCTCGAGGTTGACACGATGACGAGTCGCCACGATAGATAACGTAGGTCGGGTAGGAATCGGCCTCAAAGGGGAACATTTGTGGGTTGCGAGGAACAGCGAGCACTCCTGGGTCTTCATGCGTACGGAGTGACTCTCGAAAGGAACACTCTATGAGTACAAGATTGAGGACGTCCGAAACGATCCCGTGTTTAAGGGGTTCTCAGCCTTACTACGGACTATATTTGTTTTACGGTTTGCACCTCTTTCTGGTGACCCACAAATGGGCTAGCTTTGCGGCCCAACCACGACAAGGCCCTCGACTACCAGTTTTTGCTGCCCTGGGACACCTACGTAGAAGAAGGAGAGCTAAAATATATCTAGTTTGTGCTCAGGTATTCTAGATTTTCTGAGGTCTGTTTGATTCTGTAGAAAGAGGTACTCCACAAGTGCGATAGTCTCAGAAGCATGGGACAGTGTTCCATTGGCCAGGGTTGCCCTATACATACACTTCTGCATGCTGGACCGCACCATCATCAGGTACGAATACGGCCAAAGAAACAAGAGTCGGGACAATGCACATAGTACTCATGTTTTATGTTCAATTCGAATTTGAAAATATAATTTTGTCTCTTAAAACCGCCCAACGCCGTCGCTAATTTGGCAGACTCTTCTTATATCCGACATACATTTGAGATTGAGACCTGTGCCAGTAGCAGAAACTCAGTACTTGACCCTTCCAAGCGTTGGCTTCCAGTCTAGTGGATGAGTCTCGGGCGTGGCTTCTGGGTCGGGTCTCCAGATCTTGATCGTCTTATCCGCCTCGCCCATGATCAGACGCAACCCAGTCTGATCAAAAGTGCTGCTCATGATGCCGGCCTCGGCGTCCAGAGAACCAGGCTGCGCCAAAGACTCCGTGCTCTGGAATCTGTGACCGGTCTTCCAGTCCCAAAATGAGACACTCCCATTGTCGCCACCACTGAACAGGACATTGTCCTCATTAACGGCCAACGTGTTGATGATGGCGTTGTGGCCTTCAAAGTTCTGCATAAAAGCACCCTCAGGACACTTCCACTGCTTGATAGAGCCTGCAGATCCTGACGCAAACGTAAATTCTTTGGGATGTAGAGCCAATGCCCTTACACCCTTCTTGTGGTGCGTCAAGACACCCATCGTCTTTCCTGCCGCTAGATCCCAGAGACGGACCGTACTGTCGAGGCTTGACGTTATAACCTGAGGATCTGCTTCCTGGCACTTGACATCTGACACGGTGCCTTTGTGCCCACTGAGGACGTGAATGTTCGACCGCGTCCGCATGTCCCAGACACGCGCGACACCATCTCGTCCACCGGTCACCAAGACATCAAGAGTAGGGTGTAATGAAAGTGTGTAGACTCCAGACAAGTGGCCGTGGTAATGTCGAATGACCTTGTTCGTTTCCAAGTCCCAACACTTGACCATCTTATCCTCGCCACACGAGAAGAGGTAAGGATGTCGCGGTGACACGGCCAGTCCGCGAACTGTGGAAATGTGGCCGGTCAATGTCAGCCGGAGTTGTCCTGTGGCAAGATCCCAAATTTTAATGGTTCGGTCGCCTGCGCCTGATGCAAACCATTGATTTCCAGGTTCGACGGCTAGTGCTCGCACCCAACCAAGATGTCCTGATATGACTCGCATCAATTTCCAAGGCGCGTGCCAGTCCGGCCGAGGCTGCTGCATGTTTGGCCTTCGGATCAGGCTATTTCCCGTCCCATTCGCCTGGGCCGATTGCCCTTGTGCTCCTGCATTTCCCTCGCTCTTTACCAACGCCATCTGGTTGGACCCTGCCTGGACCTTCGGCCGCTTTGGACCCCGCGCTGCAGCAGACTTTGCTTGCTTCTCGGCCAAGGCCTTGGGCAATTCGCGGACGCTTTCATACTCGACTTTTCGTTTGTAAGTGGTCGCAATCGAAGAATATGCAGGGTCGCTGGTCTCGTCGAAGTCATTGCCGAAAATCGCCCTCGTGCGCTCCGTGAGAGCTTGTACTGCCGCCGCCGCCGTTGCCGCCATTGTGCCCGTCTTGGTTGAGATTGAGACAGAATGCAAAGTTGTCGAAACTGTACAAAGGCAAAAGTGCATCAAACGATTTTCAGAAATGCGCCGGCAAACCTGCCATATGCGGGAGGCTGTTCATGCGGGGAAATAATTGCTTCAAGGGACGCGACGTGCATTCTCCGCCTGGGTACAGTCTCAAAAGGCTTTCGACATGGCAGAAACCAAGGAGGACAAGTACGCCATACACGAGGCCGCGAGAGATGGCAAATGTAAGGTCCTACACTCCTGATTGCTGAGAAACCAAATTACTGATCAATCGAAAACAGTACAAGTGGTGGAGTCTCTCTTGAGTGTGAGTTGTCGCCTCCTCTCCTGCGCATGGGAACATTATCGTTGACCTTGGCCAGGCAAATCCAAAACTAGCAACTCTGGTAGATCAGGATGGGAGACTGCCTGTTCACTGGGCGTGCGCCTTCAATCACCTCGATATCGTCAAAGCTCTAGCCTCGACCCGCACCTTCGATCCCGACGCTCTGGACGGCTCAGGATGGACGGCGCTCGCCATCGCATCTAGTCTAAAGGACAACAGCGGGGAGGCAATCGTGGATATCCTCCTGACCAAGGAAGCCGACCCCAAGGTGCCGACCAACACTGGAGCCACGGCTCTTCATTTCGCGACGTCCAAAGGGAACCTTGAAATCTGCAAGACGCTCTTGAAAAGCGGTGCTTCCGCAAGAGTGAAGGATAAACGAGGACAATTACCCCTGCACAGAGCCGCAGCAGCAGGCAGTGTGCCAATTATGAAGCTGCTCCTGGAGAACAAGAGCCCTGTAAATGCTACGGACATGGACGGAATGACCGCGCTGCATCACGCCATTAGTGAAGGCAACGGCGACGTTGCGGTGGAACTACTCAAGGCCGGCGCCGAGACTGATAAGAAGGATATTGATGGGCGATTGGCAATTGAATGTGCACCAGACTCTAAAGTACGGTCTTACATCATCTCAGCTGCTAAACGAGAAGGAATTGAATTTGAGTGAGATGTGACAAAGTTGCCAAAAATCCACCAAACATGTCATGATTTCCCCATGGTATCTGCCAGCTGCCGGTACATCTGCTTCACATCGACAATGTCCGCCTTGAGCTCCTCCACCTGCTCACTCTTCTCACCAAGAAGTTCGAGAGTTGTCTGGTGCCGTTTACCTAGGCTTTCATGTTCTTCTTCGAGTGCCTTCACACGATCCTCGATAGATCGCTTCTCCTCAACTTCGCGCATCAAGCTGACAACCTCCTGCCTGGCCTCATCGCGCTGTGTTGTCAGACGCGCGAGTTCATCCTTGGTGGCGGCCTTCTCACTCTCAAGCCGACGGACGTTTGCGGACATCCTTTCCACAAGCTGGACAGAGGGGCCAGCTCCGACCGTGGACGTCGAGATCAGGTCGTTGACGCCACGATGGCTGGCTGAATGTGGCGTTGGGGACACACTGGCAAAAAAGTCGTCCGCATCGTTGGAGGTCACCACCGATGGCGTCTCAGCAATGGAGCCGTTTGTCACGTTGCGGATAGAAGGGGCTGAGTTCTGCCGCGATGGAGCGGTCCAGTCAAAGGATTGCATCGTGGAGGATTTTCTGCTGGTTGGTCTTTCGTACTGAACTGGGCTCAGCAGGTGATTGATGTCGAGTGCCATACCATATCCCTTGCGAATAGAAGTGCCAGGCGAATCTGTCCGTTGAAGTTGCAAGGTTGCTGTCCACTTAGACTTTTCTTCCTCTAACTTGCGCTGAAAATCCTTCTCTGTTGCTACTTTGAATTCCTCAAACTCCCTTGTAGCATCAGCAAGCTCGGTTTCAAGCTGGACGACTTTCCGGGTCAAACGTTGAGATTTTTCTTCGACATCCGCCAGGAATTTCTCTTTTTCAGCAAGCATATTTTGAACCTCATCCAACTGAGATTCTTTGCTCTTTGCTTTGAGAGTTGCTTCACGCAGCCTTTTGCGAACGTCTGCCTCCCGGGCTGCGATCTCGTCACGTTCCTTCTCAAGGTTGGTTATCCTCCCTAGAAGGGTACTTTCGATCCCTTGCCAGTTCTGGCTTGCTGTTGCGTATTGGCTTTGCAATGTCTCAATTTGCCTGAGCAATTTTGCTTGCACATTGCCATGGTCGGCCGAAGAGGCTTCCTCAGCTCGAACACGAAACGACTCAAGTTTACTTTCGAGGGATGCTTGTTCGTTTAGCATTTCACTCTCTAGCACTTTGGTCTGCTCCCTTTCTCTGCTCAATGTGGCTTGGAGGTCTTTGATTTCTCGTCGTAACTTCTCCTCCGAAATTTCTCTCTCCACCTTTGCACTCATCAGATCGGCTTGTAACTCTGTGATCCGCTTCTGTTCTTTGGCGACTTGATCTGCTTTTACTTTGTTCTCGGCTGCTTCAGCCCTTGCATTAGCCTTAGAGATCTGAAGTTTCATCTCAGCCAAGGTTGACTGCAGTGCATCGCGCTCTTTGCGCACCGCATCGAGCTCGTTAGCCCCGGAAGATTTTGTCGCAAGACTTTGCTCTGCACGTCTGCTTGCGGCCTCCGCTTTCCTGGCTCGATCTTCCATGTCTTTGAGCGAGCGCTCAGTCTTATCTGCACGAAGCTTGGCTGCTTCCTGTTCCCTGTTGTTGGCAATGAGTTGAGCCCGCATTTTTTTAATAGTAGTAACGTGCTTCATCTCGGTCTTCGACAGATTGTTGCCTTCTTCGATCAGCAAGGCAATCTTTCCCTCTTGCTCCAAGAGCTTCTTCTCCAAACTTCCAGGCTGAACAGAGGCGGCTGCTTGCTTCAAGGATTGGGCAGCTTCGCTGCTTAAATACTTAAGCTTCGCCTGAAGAGCATCGATCTTCTCGATATACATGTTTACGTCTTCCTGTACTCCTGTCGTCCCTGTTGTTGGCGTGCTTTCTTCACTTTTCCTTAAGGAGTCTTGAGAACCACGGCCCGGCAAGACCTGATTCCTACCCGTGGCCTCGCTGGAAGTCCTCGTGGAACCTTCCTCGTCCTGCACACTGATATCTATTTTCGGAATCTGAGATTCAGAGTCGGGAAATTCATCAGATTGATGGAACACTGGTGCATTTGTTACATTCCCAACAGGCAATTCAGCATCTCCTTGCTCTGAGTCCAAGTGTGCTTTTGCAGAGGTTGGCTCTTCTGATAGGCCTTGGTCCATCTGATTCTCTGCCGAGTCTGAAGCCTCGTGCGATAGTTGATCTATTCTAGGTATGGATGGAGCGGCTGGTGATTCGGTTCGACTAGTGTTCTTCTTTGCCATCGCCCTGGCAAGGCGCTCTTGCAGTCGGTCATTGGAAGTGGAGGCACTGCTATTGGATCTCGAGAGATCTGAGGAGGCTACGACAGGTCAATCATGTGAGGCTTCGAAGGTCATTCTTCACCTACTTCGTTTGGGGGGTGCTAAATCTCGACCTGCTTGCGCTGGTGTGACGCTTCGCTTTGGAGGTTCGCCGCCCTCTGCAAGGATATCATCTAGTCGTGATTCGACCGACGCCACAGCCTGCTGCAAGAAATTCCACCTCGAAGTAGATGTCGGTTTCGACGCCATCTTGATGCGACAAACGATTGCGACGTCTGCAGTATCAAAGGCCGCAATTTGAAATGTCCATCATCTTATCAGAGGCCTTCCTGACAACCGCAGGACTGTTCTAGTCACAAGAAATGGCATTGCAGCATGTGCAATGTCTGGCAGTCAGTAACGGTCTTCTGGGTGTGTTGACGCGTTCTCATCTGAACAAGTGTCGAAGGGCAACTAAAAGTCGGTAGGTGCTTCGGTGATCGGCACGGCGCATGCACGTCGCTTGACCCTCCAACTTCTTGGAGCTACAACGATAACGATTAACCTTGGAGCAACTTCCCTTGCAATGACATATTGGTTCTTAAATTCGATCTGACCTCTAGTTACGTTCTCCTATAATTCATGGCAATTGTTGTTTGATTAGACATTCAAGCCTCGTGGTGCAGTGCTGCCAGTGAAAACGACTCACCCAAGATGTCTTTGAGTCCACCTGCCTACCTCAGCTCGCTGCAGAACAACATCAGAGCACGTCCGGTAGGCAGCAATACTACCGTTGCGAACCCTGTACACACTGACGCATCTGCTAGATACCATGGGATGGCGCAGTCCGCGCTGGCAATCTCACAGATGACCAACTGAAGAAGATCAGATCAGTCGACAAGGTCAGAAAAGAGCAGAGAAAGCAAACGATTGAAAAAGATGTCAAGAGCTACAGTAAATTGCTAGTAGGCGGTAAAGATGGCGGCAGTGTGCTCGAGAAAGCGTCCAAGCGAAGCGACATAATTCAATATATCCTTGTACTTGCAACAGACCTGATCAATGGTACGTTTGGGACAATGCAGCGGAACCGTAATCGTTGACTTTCTGCAGATGCCCCTGCCCTGGCAGATGCAATACTCGATCATCCCGAACCATACAGGCCCTTTATTTCCTTTCTCACGCAGTCGGGCAATCCAGAAGACCCGATACCTCTATTTTCAGCTACATTCCTAGTCAACCTAATTGCCATTTCACTGACATCATCCTCGAAACCGACTCCACGAGACGACCAGGCGCTTTCTCAGGTCTACTCATATCTGGCAAAGCTAGTAAAGAACCAAGACAGCGGACTTCAAGACATTGGAGTTCAACACTTCTCACAATTGTTGCGGACTTCACGGTCGAAAGAGTTGTTCTGGAAACAGAAATCAGACACGGTTGATCCATTGTTTGATATCTTGCGGAAAGCTGCAGGTGCGGCAAAAGATAACGATTCGACACTATGGAGCGGGGCTACAAGTATAAGAAGCAGCGACACGAGGTTCGGGGGCGGTGTTGGGTTGCAGTTGATGTACCATGTCTTACTAGTCATCTGGCAGCTCAGTTTCGAGGGAGAGATGGTTGGTGAAGGACTTGAAAAGTATGGCTTGAAGAATGCAAATCGAGCGTCGGCTAACCTCTTAACAGGGACGAGGAAATTATTCCTTTGTATACGCAACTCCTCCGAATGTCACCAAAAGAGAAGACGACTCGTCTCTTACTTGCAACATTGAATAACCTACTTTCCTCGAACAAGGACACGTTGATTGCCATAGCGACTACTGCCAGACTACCTTCGCTTCTTAGTAACCTCTCTGGGCGACATCTCACAGATCAAGACCTGCTTGAAGATCTCGAGAACCTTAAGACCATGCTCGAAGAATACACCAAGAACCAGACAACGTTCGATGAGTACGCTGATGAAGTCAACTCCGGCCATCTACGGTGGTCACCGCCACACCGAAATCCTACGTTCTGGAGGGAGAACGCTCGCAAGATACTTGAAGACAAAAAAGGCGAGCTGCCGAAGAAGCTCGCTGAGATACTATCTAGAGGATGGGAGTCAGACAAGAAAGTGCTTGCAATCGGGTGCAACGATGTGGGGAACCTCGTCAAAGAAGTCCCAGAACACCGATCAACTTTGGAGAGACTCGGGCTCAAAGCTCGATTACTAGAGCTCATGGGTGATTCCGACGAGAGCGTTCGCTGGGAGAGTCTGAAGGCCGTTGGAGAATGGATGCGATACACCTTTGACAAATAGAGGGCTGGCTGACACCGCACTGGTTTCATGGCGCCGGGAGTTTTCAACATCAGGGACTGCAAGACTTCACACTACTCGTACCTTATCTCCCGGCTGGAGAGGCGAGAGTAGATGCAATCGACGATGGCACAAATCGCTTGTGATTATTGTAGTGCATGGGCGTCGCAAATAGGTTAGCTAGATGCTGATGAGGTGCTTTGGCGCTGTCAGTCACCCAATTTCTTCCGTTGTCTGTCTTCATAGGGAATAGAGCAGCCTCACGATAATTATCGTAATGTGACCATTCCTTGAAGGGCGAGTTGAACTACTCCGTATGCACTTGACCTACTGCTCTGTGTGGAGTACGAAGTTCAGTTTAATCTTATAGCCTTGAGCAAAGTCGGCATGAGACGCTTTCTCGGAGAAGCTAAACGGCACAGCGTCTTCACCTAAAGCAGTCGGCATAAATATACTGTACGCTAATTGCAAGTAGAATAAAACCCTCCATGCAAGGCCAATCCCAACAAGGGTCAATGGCCGTTGTTCTTCAAGAGCATTCATTGTCACAAAAAGAACCCTGGCACGGACTTGTGGCAATCCCCCCAGCTTCAGAGTCTAAAACACCAAGAACAAAGGATCGACGTAGACGGAGTACAAGTACCCATAATTACGAGTTCGTCCAGAAGAACAATCCCGAGACGCTTTCATTGTACAGTACTCGCATAGCCAGAGGCAGCGGACACGTCAGTCAGTCCGAGTGTTTTTCTGTCAGAGGCGCGTTGGCATCCAGACGGCTTCAGCGCCATTTTGAGATGTGTATTCATGTCAAAAATCAGGTGCAGACGCCATTGAACATGAATAGACAAGCTCTGGGTCAGCCGTATCCTCAACCAGTCCACGCCATTGGTTTTGGGCCAATTTTGCAATGGTAGCCTGAAGATCCCCTACGTTCCTGCATATGAATCTTCAGAAGTCCGCACCGGATAGGGTATGGCAGAACACCTGCATCGCTTCTCCCCGCAAGATTGCATCTCTGTGTAACGAGCACAGTTGGTGACCCTGCACTACAACAATCTCGCTAAAGACCTCATCTGATCAGGACGAGATGGCTTTTGTAAACAGGCCTCTCCCCTAGCCCGTCTCTATTCTCGCTCGTGCTGCTTGCAATCAGCAAGCGCCAAAGGTCGGCTAGTGCGTAATCTGCGAGGGCCCAATAAGATTGACCCTGTCGGCGCGTCTAAACCGCATCCGACTGCAAACAACTTAGCGACTCTTTTCCTACTCTCGATTAATTCTTTCCAACTCACTATCAATGCCACAGACCTCAGAACTCTTTCTCTTTGGCTCTCCACTGTCCGTACCTGGGACTATTCGCATGTGGCTGATCTGCGTGCCATACGCCAATTCGAAACATGTCGCTATTCTAGACGCCCGTCAAAGCGTCAATCCACTGCGACAACCCTCCACACCAACCCCCTGATCGCTCCCACCATGGCCGACAATGCTTCCTCAAGAAGCTTCGTTTCTGTACCCCCTCCTCCGTTACCGAAAGACTATCCTCCTCTTCAACGTCCTACTTTCCCTCCGGCAGCTGTGAAACAATTTTCCCAAGGCTCTCCCGTTCGCCGCAAGCCTCTCCCTTCGAACGCCTCGCCCGTTGTACCATCACCTGCGTCACCTGAGTCTGTTGAGCAAGTACAGAGCGCGACAGTTTCCCCGGAGCAAGGAAAGACCAACGGCATCTCACGCGCTCTTGACTTTGTAGAAAAGGGGTTAGTGAACTGAATACGTGTCAAGGAGTGTATCGCGTCGCTGACCGCAACAGAACATCGAATTCTTTGACACCTTCACGGAGTCGAAAACCTGTACAGGAAACCGCGTCTCGAAGCACGACGAACGGCTCCGTACCTCGAGTATATACCGAAGACTATACAAGCTCCCCCCAGAGCAGCCACAGAGGAAGACCTTCAAATGGTTTCGCGGTAGAACCCGTGGGAGAGGACGACATGGGTCTGAAACCTGGCTCGAGGCCGCCACCTCTGCGGACGGACTCGAGCTCGTCAACAAAATCATTAACGGTCGTTGATGCGAAGAAACCTCAAACGCCAGGATCCAAGTTCACTTCCTTTTTCAGCCGCAAACCTGCCGCGTCCCCCAGCACTGAATCTTCAGTGACCGACATATCCGACCGAAAATCTCCCCTTCCATCCCCTTTCATGGGATCACCTAGTGTCTCTGTACATTCATCATCAGGATTTCCGTTCGGAAGCTCTACCTCGCGACCTCCACAATCACAACCCTCTCAAGATTCGATCGAATTTGATGGCCGCTCATATGTTCATTCGCTTTCCAATGGCGACGCGGCAAGCAAATGCCTCCAGCTGGAGGCTGAACTACGCGAGATTAGCACAGAACTGGCCAACTCCATCAAACGCGAGATGGACCTGGAAGATCTTGTTGATAGGTTGCAGAATGAAGGACCAAATGTGAGCAGGGAGATTGATCGTACCAGTGACTATTTCTCCGACTCAGGGACAAGCTCTGTGCGACCTGGAACTAGTGAAGGCAATCCAAAGGACGAAATCCAGCGGATACGACGCGAGTCAGAACAACAAAAAGCACACTTAAAGGTTGAGATGTCTAAGAAGTGGCAGAATGAGCGGTCGAGTCGGCAAGCCCTCGAGTCTCATGTCCAGATCCTGGAACAAAGGCTTTCGCAGACGCGTCGAGATCATAATCAATCGGCAGATGTGACAGCAAGAGCCAAGGAACTCGAAATGTCACTTGAGGATGCAAAACGCAGACTAATTGAGGAAAGGCAGATAAAAGAGAATTTTGAAGATCTCCTCACCGCTCTACGAGTCGAACTTGAGCAGCATCGCAATGAACGAGACAATCTTCGTGACGAAGTTGTGCCTCAACTGCGATCTCGTGTCGAAGGCCTCGAGGCAAGCCTATCTGAATCCCAGAAGTCACCCTACGATGTATCAAGAATGCAACAAGAGATCCAAAGTCTCAGGGATGAAAATGCCGCACTCCAAAGTGCAAGAGCAATGAATATGCAGTTTCAGTCCATCTCAGAAGAAGGTGAAACAGTCGAATCACCAACAAAATCATCCTTTTTTGGTGGGCGAGGTCCAGGCTTACAGCGTTCAAACACTATCCACATCAATAGGTCCAATTCGAGAGCAGGCAATCGGTCAAATTCTTTGTCCAGGTCAAACTCGATCAGCAACCGCACTGCCACCGAAAATCAGCAGCCTCTTACTGACCAGTTGAAGGATGTCACGGAGCAGAGAAATGCCTTGCACACCACCGTCAAGTACTTGTTAAGGAGACAAGAAGCTGAACGGCGGCTGTATGAGAAGCGTTTGAAGCTGATTGAGGCCGAACGAGATCGTGCGCAGTCATTGCACCATCAGAGAAAAGGAGGCTACGAACGAGAAGTTCGCACCCTTCGCTCAGAAATCAATTTGTTGCGCAAAAGAACCGACGACGCTTTGGAACAAAAATGGCAGTGTGAAAAGGGACTAGCTGGTCTCAAAATGGACTTGGACCGGAGCAAACAAGAGACTGCTAGCCTGCAAACGTTGCTCCAAGTTCGGGATGACAGCGCTCCAGAAGTACTGTCCTCGACATTGGAGGAAGCTTTGCGACGGCTGCAACAACAGCGGGAGCAAGCACGGCAGCAGGATTCCCTAGGCCAAATCAAGCAAGAGCAAGAAGTTGCTGCACAGCTGGAACTATCAGCTCAAAGATCCGAGGCATTAGCCACGCAAGTCAGAAAACAAATGCAAGCCAACTCTGATCTAAGAACTCGACTCATGGAAGCCGTTCAGAACGGTGAACAGAACCAACAAGCTTCAGCAGAGCAAATCAACGATCTCCAATCAAAACTTCGCAAGCTAGAGGACAGTATTACTGTTGCCCAGATGCAATCCGAGACAGCCGTCATGAAACACGAAGAGGAGGTTCGGGTCCTTCGAGCTAGTCACAATATCCAATTGATGCGCACAAGGTCTGGCAGAAAGACCCCTGGCCTTTTGACACCAACACCTAACTCGCCAATGTCTCCAATGTTTGCCAATTCGAGAAAGAGCCCAAGATTGGACCTGACTACTAGTGGGCCAGGCATGGCGCTCCAGGAAGCTCTGAAGACCGAATTCCTTGAAAAGAAGGTGGCAGATCTGGAGAAGGCTCTTGCAGAGGCAGAGAAGGAGATGGGAGACGTCGTGGGTCGAATGAACACGGCTCAGATCGGTGTGGCTGAGCTGGAATCCGAGAGGTGAGAATCTGTCCAACACAGTCTACGAATATGCAAGCTAACACGCTTTGATAGGGACGAAGCTCTCCGTCAAACCCGACGACTCGAAGCCGCCATCGCAGCTGAACGTGAAAAGGTCCAAACCCTTCTCGACTCCTCATACGACTACTCTTACTCGGACGACTATTAGCCTATAAAAGTGGCTTCACATCAACGATACACTCAAAACTACAAGTACATTCTTGCTTATAATCATTTACATCATCTAGCCATGACAGGCATATTTAGCGTGGAGTTGTTGGTCTAAGAAGCTTGCATGCTTCATCATTTGGAAATACCAAACAGTGTTTGAACTTTCAGCGGCCTAATTTGGCATATTTGTTACCCTTTTCAGAGGGCTTGGTTGTTCTTTGCTGCCACTACAAAACGCACGCGAGATCTCTCGCAGTGCATCGGTACATGATATACCCAGTTAATAGTATTTAGACAGACGCGATGAAGGGTGGTTACGATTACAGGAGCCTAGGGATTTGGACATAGTGGAACTTGGGGGCAGGAGGAGGGGATTGGGTGTTGCACCACTCATTGAGGATCAGGATATTGGCACTCTAGTTGTCTGGATAATACAACGATCCTCTTCGGCGTGAAGTTGGTCAAGGAGCCTTGAAGAGAGCTCTCACATCTACAGTGTATCACTTCTGATTTCACTTCTTCAGTGCAAGATATCAAGTTCTCAGGAGAGGAAGGGCTGTAAGGTTACTCCGTGCACTTGCAGTATTTCCCCACGATTTCTCCGGAGAGTTCACATGGCTTAAGGTTGTGCTACATCTGACCGGCCTCTGCAGCGCGTTGTCTACTTCTTTTCCCATCTCGATACATTTTGCCCTGTTAACAATCCTGGCACTTCGCTGGAGGGAGTGGTGTATCAAGACGCACGCTTCACCCAAACTTGTTCATTGTATGGGGACTTCACTCCGGCCGTAGCACGATATGTGGTACTGCCACTGACGACATTTACCTCCAGGACCCCCGTTCACTCTTCTTTTTTTTACTATTTGTTGTGGAGAACAAAGGCCATTTGTTCCTCTTCTTTCTACCTACACGCACTCTGCCTCTCTGTGTGGCTCTTCTTGTGTACCTACCATACCTCCTGAAGTCGTCGTAGATCAACAAATCCACCGAACGTGACCCTTCATCCCTGTTCTGACCCGGCCCAAAGACGACGACCCAAGGCGCAGACAGACAACCTACAACTTACTTTACCTTCTACACAGCAGCAGGAACGGCAGTAGCAACAGTAACAACAAGAGAGCAATGGCACCTCACCAGCAGCACCCTCTTCCACCCATCGTGTCGAACCTCGCCGATGTGTACAACTCCTACGTCTACCCTCTCCTGCCTGGCCCTCTGCAGTCCGTCTCCGCCGGTGTCGCGTCGATACTGTCCACCGGCATCGCCGCCGCGACGAGTGGAGACATCGTGTCGCTGGCCGCGTTCGTGGTGGTGCTGTACTTGACCCTGAAGATTGCGGACTACATACGGCGCAGCGTGGTCGCGTGGGTGGTGTTCGTCATCAAGATCGTCTTGGTCCTGGCGCTGATCAACTTGGCCTTTTACGTGAACAGTGTGGGCGTGCAAAAGGCCGTGGGGGACGCCGAATGGGTCGTCAATTGGCTCTGGAGCTTGTTCGAGGACAAGGTCTTGAACGGCGCGGGAGGTGATAACAAGACGGGACCGTCTGCGTATTACGGCAGCGGGAGGCAGCAGGTACCAATTACACGGCCCAAGAGCAAGTGGACTTGAAGGCGATCAACCACAACTATTGCGAACACCATGATGATGATGTCAGGCGCTGTCGAAACCTTGTGCTGGGAAAAAGAAGAAGCCATCATAAGAGGGTGTCAGGGACACAGTGCACAGAATGAATCTTGGGAAATCTGGTATCTACAATGTTGTCTCGAAATGAAAACGCCTCCAGCGCCAACGCTGTCCCCGAAATTCAACGATCAGATGCGATTGCTCAGTCTTCTTCCCAGGCCGGCTCTTGCATCTCGGCCTCTTTGGGATCCCTGGGCTCTTGTGCCTCATGGTATTGAATGGCATCGTCGATATAACTCAAAATGTCTCCAACGCTGTCTTCATCGTTTACATCGAGCTGCAGGAAGGAGACCATCGAGAAGTCGTCTATCAACCTCGCGACGGCCCGATTCAGTTGTTTGAAGGAGCCTCCGGTCATGACTTGGTCGATCTCACGTGGGTTGCCGACGTCGACGGTATGTTCGGTCGCCGTGCCTCGACCAGTATCTTCATCTTCCAGCAAATTCGCATCGGGGTCTGTAAATCGCTTCATCTCTTTCTTGGGTACTTGCTCTTTCACCAGGTCCATCTTGGACAGGATATTGACGTGAGGAAGTTCCAGCATGATCATGGCGCTCATGGCGGAGAGGGTGCCGGCGAAAAATTTAGCCTTGTCTACCACGAAAGTGGCTTCCAATAAATAGGCGGCGCATAGATTGATGTTCAATGGACCCATTCTTGACAAGTATTTGACCAGTTCCGGTAGCAAGGGAATGTGCGTGTAGAGTTCGATCTGGCCGGGCAGGTCGAAGAGGATGAGGTATTCTTCGGAGACGGGATCGAGAGCGGAAGCGAGGAAGTCGAGGTTTTGGAGGAGGAACTCGAAGCAGAAGATCAACCCTCCATTGGGACCCAGCGACATTTCCTCCATGACATCCTCGAGGGAGATCAGGTCGCGGATGTCGAGGTCGGGCTCAAAGGCGAAATCGCTGGCGGCGGGGTCGAGGTTGACGTAGAAACATGAGCGTCGGCTGTTTTGAAGATGTTGTATGAGCGCAGTACAGAAGGTCGTCTTGCCTGCACCAGCAGGGCCCATGACGAGGCAGCCAAATTTGGACATGGTGGTAGAGTTCGTGTAGAGAACGAGGCGGTGGAATGGGATTCGCAGGAAGAAAGAATTGCGCAGGCGAAGGCGCAGGCGCAGGGATTGTTTGCGCTGAAATTTTAGTGCATCTGTAGGAAGAACTATCGCCTAACGTGCTAATTGACAGAGGCTTCCTCAAGGTAGAGTGGTAAATTTGTTGTTGCTCGTGGGAATGTCCATGTGAACAGAGACCAAAAAAAAGATTCAATGTCACTCACAATACGTGGATAAGTAATGGATGACATAAGTAAGATACAGAGTACAAAGTCGGGTGGAGGGGTGGAAGACTTGGGTGCCGAGTACCTCACAGTACACTAGAATACACCAACAATCTCCCTGTGCTGTAGGTACCTAGAGTAGAGGCCACGAGTACTCCGTACCTACAAGTGCCTCTGGGTACATTTCTTAGGCATACATTTACTTTGTAGCCTTCAAATGTCTCCGATGGACTTGCATCTGCAACGGAAAAAGTCACCGTCTTATTTCCCAACAACCACCCTTGCCCTCTGCCTAGCCAGAGCGGTTGTAAGTGACGACCCGGAAATGAAAACAAAAGAGTCCCGCACTCAGTACAAAATGAAATGCATGGGGCCACTCAGATTTTCCATTTGCTGGCCACGTCTGAGCGACTGCCGAACAAACGGGCTGGTGCCGATAACGACATCGTCTTTTCTCCTCATCAATTTTCCCCCGATTTTTTTCTAGTCCAAGAGAATCTTCCCTTCTTGTTGTCAAACTAATACCACATATACCGCCAACCTCCCACTCCACTTTCTTTGCTGTTTCTCTCTCTGACTCTTTACCTCTCGCTGTTGTAGTTCATCTTCATCGTATACCATCAGACCTCAAGAGCACAGAGTCCGCACATTCAGACTGTGGTGCTGCCGAATTTCCTCGAAACTCCGCATTCATTCTCTTCCACCGTCAACCGTACATAAACCCCCTCCACCTTCAGGGCCTCCCACGCCTTGAATATCTCACAATTCACCATTTTCTAAACGTCCTCCAGTTCTCTTCCACACGTTCAAAATGGCCGGCGCCGTCAACGGAGTCGACAAGCGCGACACCTTCCTTTTCACCTCCGAATCGGTCGGCGAGGGACACCCGGACAAGATCGCGTAAGTCTTCGGTCTACTGCCATGTGGCCGAATGTGTCTTCGCTGACAAGAAGTTCAGCGATCAGGTTTCGGACGCTATTCTCGATGCCTGCTTGAGAGAAGACCCTTTCTCCAAGGTCGCCTGCGAGACCGCCACCAAGACTGGTTTGTGCCCATAAACTGCGGAAGTTGGCCTGATTCTAACCCCCCTCCATAGGCATGATCATGGTCTTTGGTGAGATCACCACAAAAGCCCATATTGACTACCAAAAGGTCATCCGTGACGCCATCAAGGACATTGGCTACGATTCATCCGACAAGGGTTTCGACTACAAGACATGCAACGTCCTCGTCGCCATCGAACAACAGTCCCCCGATATCGCCCAAGGTCTACACTACGATGAAGAGTTGGAAAAGCTGGGTGCTGGTGACCAGGGTATCATGTTCGGCTATGCTACCGACGAGACCCCAGAACTCCTGCCTTTGACCGTCATCCTGGCACACAAGCTCAACTCTGCCATGATCGAGGCCCGCAAGTCGGGTGAGCTTCCTTGGCTGCGACCAGACACGAAGACCCAAGTCACGGTCGAATACGCCCACGATGGTGGTGCCGTTGTTCCCCTAAGAGTGGACACCGTCGTCGTGTCAGCTCAACACTCGGAAGACATCTCTACCGAAGAACTACGGAAGGAGATCAAGGAGAAGATCATCAAGCGGGTTATTCCTGCCAAGTACCTCGATGACAAGACCGTTTACCACATTCAACCTTCCGGTCTCTTCATCATCGGTGGTCCTCAGGGTGATGCTGGTCTCACTGGCCGCAAGATCATTGTCGACACCTACGGTGGTTGGGGCGCTCACGGTGGCGGTGCTTTCTCTGGTAAGGATTACAGCAAGGTCGATCGATCAGCTGCCTACCTCGCCCGATGGATCGCCAAGTCCCTCGTCAAGGCTGGACTCGCTCGCCGTGCCCTCGTCCAGCTGTCCTACGCCATCGGTATCGCCGAGCCATTGTCGCTTTTCGTCGAGACTTACGGAACCAGCAGCAAGACCAGCGCCGAACTCGTCCAGATCATCCGAAACAACTTTGACCTCCGACCTGGTGTGATCGTCAAGGAATTGAACCTGACCAACCCCATCTACTGCAAGACGGCCAAGAACGGCCACTTCACCAACCAGAGCTTCACCTGGGAACAACCCAAGGAACTGAAGTTCTAAGTCGGCCCCGAAACTCAATCACGATCATTTTGAGTATGGAGAACTGCGACTGGGAGGGAGTGTATAGACAAGAATGTGTGTTACTTGCGGAGGTGAGGTCCGAGCTTCTGGTTTCAACAGACTCAGAGACGAACCTCGCCTTTCGCTCGTGGCGGCAGTCTGGACGTCTTGATGTTCAACAGATAGGAGTGGAATGTGTTTTGTGAAGTTTTGGTGGCCTCTCTAGGAAGATGACGGCCACTTGAAGAGGCGGGACGAATCTCTACCCCCCTTTTTTGATTCTAAAAAAAAGTTTTCACGGCGTGGGTTTCGTGACGATATTCAACATGTTATGATACCCCCTTGCGCGCAAGATACATCTGATGATTTTTTTATGATTTGTGGAAATCTTTCCACCTCTGGCATTGGGAATGGCGTTCAACTCGCTATGCTAGAAAGAAGAAGAAGAATACAGCAGACGATATTATGGAAGACCAGTGATATGCATTCGAGGGATGATGGCTTCAATGACTTTGCCATGACTAGTGGTCGCTGTTTAAGACGGAAAAAAAAAGACACAGAAAGAGGCATGAGACGACAAGATAAGATTGGATAGATGATGATAGCCTCAACGACAGATTCTTCTTGACGAACGAAATAGGAGTTGGTTGATGCGTGTGTGCTCACAATAACAGATCGACTCGACTCGGACGTTGCATGGACAATAAAACAACAACCTTCGTCGTGGGACGTGATGTGATGTGTCGTGTCTCTTGGTGGTTTTGTTTCTCTTGATGAGGCCTTGACTGATTTTTTTTTTGGTTTTATTTTCGTCACTGAAGGTGTCGACACCTTGATCAGGGGGTCTCGATCGGGGGGTCAAAGATACCGATGCTGATGCTGATGCCGATCAGGAGACTGGTGACCACGGAGTTACCATTTATTAGTCGACGATGAACGCCGCCGAGTGAAGGAGCTCTGACAATACGAAAAGAGTCTAAACGTCGGGGGGGGGTGTGTGAATGTTTTCATCATTGTTTTACTCGGTAGAGTACGACCGGGGAAAAAACCAAAACCAAAGGCAACCTTTTTTCATCATGCCCCACACCGACTCCTGCGACAGACTGAGCAAGGGGGGCTTGACTTTTACATACACCTCCTCATACATGTGTATGTACACACATACCATTCTATATTACGTTTGGTTCCGAGAGACATGAGAGAGAGAGACACACACACACAAACACACAGATGACAAGAGAAACCACAAAAAAGGGGGAGTGATTTGTCCCCGACCGCCCTGCCCATCACAATTATTCCTCGCCTTTTCTCTCTCTCTCTCTCTCTCTCTCTCTCTCTCCCTGTCGCTATGCCTGACTGATGAGGTCTCCAAATTTAAAAGGAGAAGAAAACAAATGAAAATATACATGTAAAGTGTGGGTGTCGGGTGGTCGAGGGGAGGTATGTTTGGAATGAGAGAGTAGGAATGTAGAGGTGACATTATGACCGTGGGTTACCATCATATCGGATTCAAGCCGTTAATCAAAGGCAGAAATAAACAAAACAAAACAAAAAAAAAAGATTCCCGGGAGGGCGCGGACTTCTCGAAGACCCATCCAATCCGAACCCCAATCCGAACCCCAATCCAATCCAACTCGACTCGCTGTGCTGTGCTGTGCTGTGTTGTATCGTGCCATGCTTTAAAAAGTGGTGCCGAACAAGAAAAAAACAAACCAACGCCCACGTCCAAGTGGTCAAAAGTCAAGTCAACGCTTAGAAACAATTCAATGAGCTTCCCTTTCGTTTCTTCGTCTTGCCGTCCTTTCCGACCGTCAACAATCGCATGCGTTCTTCGAGTTGAGCTCTCGCGGCTTCGGCCTCGCGACGCTTCTTGACCTCTTCCTCGACGGCTTGGACGCTCAGACGCTCCGAGCGACGCTCCTTCTTGAGACCCGAGAGTTCCTCCTCCATGGACCAAGCCTTCTTCTTCCAGATTTCGGCGTCGGCGCGGAGCTTGTTCGATTGCGTCTCGAGGTCAACGAGTGCCTCCTCGAGAGTGGCCGTCAACTGTTTCTCGGCATGAAGGTGTTTCTCGATGGTGCGCAGACGGTTCTCTTGTTCTTCAATGAGTGCGGAGGATCGGCGAATATTCTGGGAGTTGGTAGAGACAGCAGTGCCCGAGACCGGTGTGACGGGAAGGGTGACCTCTTTAGACGTGTGACGAGATTGAGGAGGTGAGGGATTCGTAGCACCTCCGACTTGGAGGCCTGGCAAGGTAGGCAAAGGGGGTAGAGGGATGGCCGGTGGAGGCGATGGCAGAGAAGCAATTGATGCTGACTTGCGTAGATTCGAATTTATCGAATTGGATCTCGGGACGCCTCCGTCGACTGGCGGTGATTGAGGTCGGTTCTGTGATTTCATGGTGTTGGTTCGTGAGCCGCTGTCCGAACCACCTTCGTTGATTGATCTTCTCTGGTCGAGATCCTTCTCCAAGGTTGCGATTCTCTGCTGAGCTTCGACCAAAGCCTGATTTCCTTGCGCTTGTATCACCGAGACTCTATTGTGATGCTGTTCGAAACTGCTCTGCAACTGTTGCTCAAGCTCCTCGATGATGACTGATTTCTTAGCCTTCTCAGCTTTGATTGTCTCCGCGGCAGCTTCGGCTTTCTTGATCTGAGCCTCCTTCTCACGAATTGTTTCCTCGTGGTTGCCAACTTCATTCGCAAGACTGCGGATGGTCTCCTGGTAGTTGGCGATCTTAGCATTCGCGTCCGATAGTGCTTCTTCTAGCTCCAGCAAGCCTTGTCTACCGTCGAGTTGACGTTCAAGTTCAGCATTCACATCTTTCAGCCGCAGATTGGCCTCCACAATGTGATGCTTTTCCTCCACGACATCTTGAATATGGCTGGCAAGCATATCAGCATCGGTTGGGTGGCCCAGTGCATTCTCAGCCTTTGAAACAAGCTCGTCAATTGTGGTGAGAGCATGCTCAAGATCGTTCTTGTAGGTAGACACGAGCTTTTCATGCTTCTTCGTCATCTCTGCGATCTGGTCGTCATAGCCTGCAAGGTGGCCGGCATGCGCCAACTTTATCTCCTCGATCTGACTGTTATGCGAGTCGTGGATTGACTTCACACCCTGCTTGTGGGATTCGAGAGCCGAGTCAGCCTCTGTAATCTTCTGCTCAAGATGTGCAATCTGGGTCTTAAGGGAAGCGATCTCGTTTCGATGCGACTTCGCCTGTTCTGTCTGGGCATCAAAATCTTTGCTCAGTGAGTCATGTAGTTGCTGGAGCTCAGACACCCTTGCGGCATGTTCAGTATTCAAGCCCCGCTGCTCTTCTACCTCCTGTTTGAGATTGTTGATGAGTTCTTGGTAGTTGTCACGCTCGTTTTGCATGGCAGTAGCGGTGGTAGCGCGTTCGGACGCCACATCGCCCTCGCCAGAGACTTGCTGAGCTTTGAGGGTTGCAACGCTTGCCAGTGCTGCCTCGAGTTCTGACTTCGTCCGAGAACACTTCTTCTCCGACTCTTCCACAGCTTGTTGACTTGCCTCAAGCTTAGACTTTAGGTCAGACAGCTGTTCCGTGAGGGACTCGATCTTTCCTTGATCTGGGGATCCGGGAGGGGTGAGGTGACCGTTTGCCTTCTCGGCGTTCAGTCTTTGGATTTCCTCTTGCAGGCCCTGCTCACGGTGGGCATATCCTTCATGAAGAGACTTTAGTTCGGTCTCCTTCTGGATGATTTGATCCCTCAACTGAGATACCATGTTGAGATCAACGGGTGAGCCAGCCTTTATGCTTGTCCTTTCTCTCGTGAGTCCAGAAATGATGGTAGATTTGAGTTCCATTTCTTTCTTCACCGTCTTGACTTCGGCCTCGAGTGCTTGAATTCGTTCTAAGCGGGCCTGAAGTTCGGTAGAAGCCGCGGAGAGATGCACCTCGGCGCCTTCCATGCGGTCGGGTTGTTTCTCAAATTCTTCCACAAGCAAAGCCCTTAATGCAGTTATCGACCTCAGACCACGATCGACTGCATTGTTACTCTGCGATGTCATACGCCGGAGCATTCCTGGTGTGCTCGGAGATGCCGGTCTAGATCGGTGGACCTGTGTCTTCAAACGATCAACGGTTGTCAACGCTTCCTTGTGATCAGCCTGAAGCTGAGTGTACTGCTCAGTAACCTGCTGCATGTTCCTCTCATGCTCTGCAAGAAGATTTTGCAACCTCTCAATCTCTTGCGTCGCAACTTCCATTGATGGGGACGCTTTAGAGATAGGGGTGATATCGGTATCCACTGAAGTTGAGGATTCCCCAGCTAAGGATAATTCCGAGGACAATGATCGCGAGGAGGGTAGTTCCTGTCCATCCTCCGCTCCTTGCAGTTGACCCTCGTCTAAAAAACGCGGGCTCGAAGGGCCATTGCGAGGCTCGGCCTGTTCAGACATTTCACCTTGTCGTTGCTCCTCAAATGAGTCATGCATCTCCGCCAATGTTCGAAGTGCCTCCTGATATTTGGCCGACAAAAGATCCAACTCATTGACCGTAGACTCATGTTCAAGCCGGAGGTCGAAGAGTTCTTGGCTGACTGACTCAAATTTTTCAGTGATGAACTTTGATTGAGCAGGGCTAGGAAGCGGCTCGTCGGTCTGCTGTGCTTTCAGGTACTCCTGCTGCGCAACGGCAGTCTCGAGCTTTTCAAGGCCTGCAGCGTCACTTTCGGCAAGAGCGCGTTCAACTGGGTCTTGAACCTGTTCGTCGAGTTCATTCTCGTTTTGTGGTGGCAGTTCTGTCTCTTCTGGCGCGGGGAGTTCTTGTTCATGCTCCTCCTCGATGATCTTGTCCTCTTCAGGGGCTCGCTTACTGGAAAGCTTGGACTTCCCTTCCTTTTCTTGAATATGATCGAGCTCGTATAGGAGATTGTCGAGTTTGCCTAGACTTCTCTGACGTTCCACAAGATGCTCCAACCGCTCAATTTCACGTTGCATGATCTCCACGTCTTGGTCAGCTTCGGCAAGCCGTTCTTCCAACGTGCAAATATAGTCCTCGGCGTTGGTTTCACTTTCTCTGATGCGCGAAATCTCCTTCCGGAGTTCAGATATGATGGCGTCGTTCTTCTCGCTGCCACTGCTCTGATTATCGAGTCTAGCTTCCAGGTCATGGAGGTATTGTTCCGTATTTGATTCTCGATCCATCATTTTCTGTACTCGAGCATTCAATTGCTGATTCACGGTTTCAACATAGGCGCATTTTGTCTCCTTCTCCAACAGACTACTTTCCGTGGTAGCGAGCGACGAGCGGGTGGTCGAGAGGTTTGTCTCCAGGCTCTGAATTGTCTTCTCATATTCCATTACCACTTGCTCAATCATTTCCTGATTGGCTTGTGATCGTCTCAATCTGTCGATAGCACTTTCACCTGGTAACGATGATGCTTGATCGTATGCCTCAGCATTTTTGGTCAACTCGGATACCAGCTTTGCATGTCGTTGGCTCAAAGCACCGTAGCTCTCTTGAACGTCAAGTAGTTGGTTTTGCAGTTCATTTTCCCGTTCGTTTGGTCTGTCTCCTCTTTCTGACATACCGCCAGGTCTTCGATCACCCGACTCTGCGCTGCGGATCTGTTGTCTCAAGAAGGCAATCTCCGTGCGCAAGCGTTCAATGATGGCTTGCTTGTCGGCTCCATCGTCGACCTGTTGAATCTTCGGCTTACTCTGAATGTTTCGGGCTCGCTGTGCATACTGCACGGTGTTCAACGTCTCACTGAGATGAAATTCCGCCGGGGTTACACAAGCAATCATGTAAGTGATGGCATTACCACCCAGCGAGTCTTGAAGCATTCGAGTCAATTTGGAATCTCTGTATGACACAAACGTCCCGGCAGCCTTGGAGGACAATTGTGAAATAACTTTGCCCAAGCTAGCCAATCCAGCGTTGATTGAAATTCCTTCCCGCGCACGATCGCCCGTGGCTTGAGTGTTTTTCAGTCTTTCGCTACCAGCCAGATCAACGAAATGGAGTTTGCTTTCCACTGTCATCGGAGACTCGTGCGAGGGGAAATGATCGACTGCAATTGAAGCTCGTTTGTCCTTGGTTGATGTGAAACCTTGGGCTTTGGTTTGGCGAAGATTGATGGTAAAGACAGCGTGGGACCGAGACGATCTGGCATTGATGGCAGTCGCATCGGTTTGACGAATGGTAGAGCCATGGTTCAGGACACGCATCAACTCTTCGATGGAAGAAACGCGTACGGAATTGAGACCTTCCACGAAGATTCGGCCACGAGGGTCTTCCCGAATCTGGACGTTGGCTCGCTCTGTGAATGGTGCATCTTCAGGAAGGAGAAGATCCCTTGGTTGCTCGTTGTAGATCTCGACGTATGTCACTGACATTTCCCAACCCTTTTCCGGAAAAGACTTGTTGTTACGCATCACTTGATTTATACTTGTGACAGAGTACCTCGTCGGTGATTTTAGGCCTGAGTTGTGGCGACTGTGTGCAGGAACTCCATTCAAGTTGTCGAACAGATGTTGTGCTGCGCGCGGGATGACACCTTTGACCATGTTAATGTTCGAGTTCAATGAATATGTGAGGTCATGCGTACCTTTCATAGAAGAATCGAATTGTTCACTGGGGCCTGATGTGCCCATTGTATAACTTTTCCCAGACCCAGACTGGCCGTAGGCTAAAATAGAGACATTGTAGCCCTGGAGGAAGGAGTTCACGCTGTCTTGCAAATATTCCCAGACTCCTTCCTGGTTGGTGTCTCCTCCAAAGACGCGATCAAAGATGAACATTTTCCGCCCCTGAGGCGATTCGACCGCGAGGCTGGTATTTGTGTTGACTTGTACCATTGACCGCTGGAACCGCTGCGGGATGAGTTCAAATCCAGGATCGGTCGGGCCCAAGGGCGGCCGTACACGAACCACTACCCAAGGTCAGTAGACTGATTCCAAAGAATCGCGTTACTATGTCACGTACCGACTTTGACCGACGTCTTTGCATCTTCGTCTGAAGCTCGACTTCCAACATGATTGCTGCTCTGGCTCATGCGACTATTGCTCCGCGGCGGTGGTCGGCCGATCATGCTTTGAGGTCGTTGTTTTTGAGTCGGATCTGGTGAAGGGACTGAATACATGCTCTGCGCACGAACCTGGCGCGCAGCCTCCGGCGAACCTGGCGGGGAGGAGATCATGACGAGTAGCTCTGACTCTCTCTTGCCTCGAGCGTCCTCGTGTTCGCGCAATAGCGTCTTGACCTCAGTGGGTGTTCCCCAACGGCTGTCAGAGTGCACGGCAACGCACGGTTGTCGGTGCCTGGCCTCTGAGCATGAAGATTGACGCGTATGTGGATTCGAAGGGATAGGAGATTTGATGATTGGAGAAAGGGGTGGAAAATATTTGAGACGTCGACAGCTGGAGAGAGGTCGATTGTGGTTCAATGGTCTATCGCACGTTTCGAGAACTGGTCGCCTGTGGGGGAAGGGCGTGTGCCGGTGGTCTGTTCGGTGGCATACAGATCATCTGTTCGAAAGGAAGTGATAGTGACAGGGGAGGACCAGGGCGCAGATGCGCTGGCCAGGGACTGTGGTTTTCAATTGTCAATTAAAAATCCTACTAGACGAAAAGGGAGGGGCGAGTGAATCCAAAATGAAAGAAAAGGGTACAGAAAAAAAGTGATCATACGGAGTACGGCTGGAGGGATGGTGAGAGTCCTCCGTACAATTCCTTTCTCACGCGTGCGTGTTTGTACGTGAGTGTGTCAGGTCAGGAGTCGAGAAGGCCTCGCATTGTGGGCGCCGCATGAGGAATAGCTAGCTAAAAGTGCTGGACAGACTAAATCAAAGCCTACGACTACTTTTGACCCTACAAGCAGATCTTTAGGCCATTGGCAGAATTAATTTCCGGGCTTGCGGGAAATGCTGTTGGTGCGTCTAGTGAGCCCTTAGCGGCTGCTCTAGCGGTCATTCTTAGCTCCGAACCATTGCAGGAACCCAGGAACCCGGCAAGCCTAAAGGCCTCCATAGGTGTGTGCCCGCGCCCACTGTTGGCTGTCAGCACGCTTCGGCCCTCTATCCACCAGGCCCGTCGTCGCTGCTATCCCCCATCTGTATATATCGCCTGGAGGCGTCTACCCAGCCACAGGCCAGGGTCCTGTGTTTCAAGCTGCTGTCATGTCAGGGGTTTACAAGGCTAACCCAGTGGACTTTCCACCGCATCCCTGTTGTCATCCTCGCTTGACAACATCCTGCATGCCTTGTCACTTCTTGCAGCGACAAAATGTACGGATCCTTAGAGCCGGCATGTCGCTCAGAGAAAAATTCATCCGATTCAAGGCATGGCCTTGGTCCGCTGTTTGGCATGCTTCTGCTTTTCCCCGCTTCTATACCGGATGCAGGCAAACGGAGCCATTCATGTCAGGGTACAATAGGTACAGCGACAGGGTTCAGCTGGACAGGTCGTTACCCTGGCTATCCGTCCCTACTGTACACCAAGCATCACTTTGATGCTTATTACTCCGTAATATGCTGCCGTTTCCCGCCGCAGCTCGATGTTTGAGACATTGACGATTTGACGAGATGGACCGATCAGCACAGGCAGCTTTCAAGAACCATTGGATTGATCTCGATGCGACCATCAGTACTCCAGACCCTAGTGGGACGAGAATCTACCTTTTGAACCGTCAGTCTCATCACCCGTTCTCTGACAAGGAGTGTTCCCGTTATCTCGACCATGTCGAAGTTTGTACGGGGTAGTAGTGGGATCAGACTGCATTCAGGGTGCAACCAAGGTTCGATTCGCCAGTCCGTCCACAGATCCTGCAGTTCTGTGACTCTGTGACCCTGGGACATCCTGTGCGCCCGCCTTTGCACGTGGATAATTCTCCGAGCCGTTGTGATATTTCACATGGTGTCGAACTTAAGCTAAACAACCCTCTCAAATTGCAAAGGCCTTGAATGCGTTTGTCGCTGAGATAGATCAGAGCGCTTGTCTTGCTCTAGTCTCGAGCGTGCATAAGTCGCGCGCCTCATCACGAAAATGAATGTGTCCCATCGATCCTTGCCGACCCAAATTGCTCGAAATCAGGCGGGGTTCGCAGTGGTTCCAGATCCAACCTCGCTTTTGGACTGGCTTGCTTGCTGCACACAGCCGATCCTGTGAAGAACGTCGACAGAAAATCCCGCGCTCCCACTATTCTCAAACAAGTGTTGATTGGGCGTGGGCGGTGCGGACTCTAATCGCATAGACGAGGACTGTAGATCATTTTCAAAAGCTGCGGCGGTACGAGTATAATGCATCACACGATGATTATTATCGTTGACAAGAATGCCATAGGACGTTCGCTTGTGGTATTTTCTTGTTCAACCCATGTCGGAAGCGCCTCCGTGGTGATCCTCGTTTTCGTTTCCATCGTCGTCGTCGCTAGCACTGGCTTCGGATTCGTCGGCCTCGTGTATTGCTTCTGAGTTTTTCGCATCACCATCAATACCATGATCTCTCATGTACGTCTCCAGCTCTTTCGCCATTTTCTTGGAAAAGCCCGAGGCCTCGACCTCGACATCGAGTCTTCTGTTTCCGTCCTGCCCGAGGAGTTTCTTGGCATCCTTGAAAAATGGACCGTCTTCAGTACTAACAAATCCAAACCTCCTTGAAAAAAATCGCTTGACACATTCAACGTCTCTGTTGAAATAGAATTCGGAATTTGGGTGATCTACGCTCACCATTTGGGGGAAGTCGATCAGGACGGGGACCAACTTGATCTCTCCGTTCTCCTCGTCCTGCTCTCTGATCAAGATGTTGAACTCATTGAAGTCACCATGTATGAGACCCAAGGAGCATAGTCGGATCAACATGTCCATCAGTTCCGCATACAGGCCAGCGGGGTTGGGAACCTTTTCGATCTGCCGTAATGGGAATCCATCAATGAGTGACATGATCAGCTGATGTCGATTTTGACCTAGTGGTGTCGGTACACTGAGGCCAACTTCGTGTAGCGCCTTGAGAAAGGAAAATTCCTTGACTGCGGCAAGTCGTGACATATACATCCAACTGCCTGCACCTCTTTCTTTTTGCGCCTTTGTCCGGGCATAATCTCGCTTGTTCCGAACACCCTTTTTGAAACTGACCCGACCAAGGCGGTGTATCTTAAGCACTCTCTGTTCACCTTTTTCATCACTAACCACAAAGATGTCACTCTCTTTCCCAACCCCAATTTGGTTTCCTACGCTGTAGGCAGCATTGCTTTTTTGCAGGGAATGTAGCGCGAGATAGTCTAGGCCTCCATACGTGAGTCTATAGCCGTCATATTTTGCATTCTTGACTTTTGCTATCAGATTGGCCTTCGCTAAGAGTGAGATACTTCGTTGAACATCGCCAACACTGGACTTGGACAGGTTCGCGATGAGAGGCGTGGGAACTACTTCGTGGTTGCGGCTGCCAGTTTCAACGGCAGTGAGGGTGCGCCAATCGGTAGGGTTGAGATATCGGAGAGATTTTGTATCGAGCTTCATCTTGTCCAAGATAACAATGAGTGGATGCTGTCAGGGATCTCTCGAGGGCATCACAGCGCAAGATTTCACATGTGCGTGGATAATGTAACAGACTGCGCGGTTGAGGCTGCGTTGGCGAACAAAAAAATGTTTGGCCGATCGGCAGCTTATCTAATCTTTCAAATGACGTATGTAAATGCACCTCACATCAATTGCTGGGACTGTCCTTGTCCTGGAGGACGACAACATGACAATTAAGCGAATACGTGAACCCATTTATTGACCACAACATGTAACATGTCGGAGTGTTCAACAATGGATTTGATCTTTTCGCTCTGTTGCTTCCAGACCAAGATCATGCCCATGGTGTCCAATGTGTAAGTTGAAAATTGTGAGTGTGCAGATGCCAGAATGCATGCATGCATGCGCTTTGAGTTCGAGAAACGGACATCATCCAAGAAAGAGAGATGTTTGGAAGCATATGGAGACCCAGGCTATCCAAGTCAAGTCACGAAAGTCTCTGACTACACATTTGGCCAGATGGAACCTGCACTCAGACAACGACTGTTGGTCACAACTGCCATGACCTTAGTCCACCAAGTGACGCATAGCTGCGTGAACAACAAGAGAATTGAGCTGGCCAAACATGACCTGGAATTTAGCTTTTTGGATCAATGGAGCAGAGGATGATGCTCATATGATTTGGGTATGATGGAATGGTCTGATAGTCTTTATCCATCGAGTCAGGGTGGACAAACGAACACCCCTGGATGCGATTGCGATCTGAAAAAGAAGATTATGTTGGACATGTCCTGTAATCAAGAATCGAGTACCAGTCCTAAATCTTACTTTTCACCTCCTTACAACTTTCTACTGATGGCGTCCATTCTGATGATCTTGTGACTTGTTCGCCATTGAATTGCTTTTGCTTGAAGACCTTCCGAAGCCATCAGTGAACAGCCGCCGTGCCTTTTCTTCACCAACAGCGGAAAAATAAAACAAAAATATATCTCGAGAAACAAAAAGTTTGGAAGTTCGAACCCCGCGGCTCTTCTATTACTTATCCCGACTATGACCTTTCACACCTCCTTTGTATAGAGATGCTACAGTAGTCATGGAAACCACCGAAGACTCCCAGTTTAATCCACTAAGCAGCTGGTTTCCAAGGATAAGCCCAACCTCCAAACCAATTAGACCAAAGTCGCAATACGACGCGGTGAGTCTTATTAGTGGCCATCAAGGCGGTCCTTTGTTGGAAGTAATTTCACTGGAATAAACATATGTAGTATAGAATTACCAGGCAGTGAATAGGAGCCTCTGGAATGCTCCACCCCATTGAATACGAGAAGTCAGGGTGTAGAACCTCGAGAAGGAACGATCACTTCAAAACAAGATGAAGGTGTCCTTGAGAATTAATATTACTTTTCATTTTGTATTGTATCTGTGCTGTACTGCTAATCTAGCCCATCCATTCATAACCTGTTCAAACTGATACACAGCACAATTATCAAAGGCAGCTTCACACCCTCGGTGGCTCTTTTTCGGTTGTAGGCCCGGGTTCCCTTCAACATCTTTATCCTTAATCGTCGCCGTCGGTGTCATTATTATCATCATCATGCCTTTCGAGTCGCAGGGAGACGACCCCGGACCTCCGAGGCCTCAAGAAGCCGATACTACAAGATCCCCATTGACTCGTCCACCTGCGCCTCTCCATCTTCCCTCGGACTACTCGATCCAACTTCCCCACGGCTCTACGCAACCCCCGTCCTACCACACGGGTAACAACACTCCTCATGGTGGAAACGACAGACAAGGACCAAATGTAGACTAGCAGTCTCCAGGCGGCGTCAGCACCTCACTCAACGAGGCGAGAAGTAGCGTGCGTCAGCTGAGTGGAAGCCATTCCAACGAGCCCTCATCAGGGGGTCCTTACACACTCATCTTCTCATATGCAAAACATGCCAGCTCCCTGACACCCTTGGGCGCCACCGCACCTCTCTATGTTGCTTCGTACAAGCGACCTTTCGCATTCTCCAAGCCCGACATACTGGTCTCGTTTGCACCAAAGGACTACCAGTTGGCCACGGTCAATTTTCACAGTTTCTCAAGCAAGATCAATCTCGTCTTCTCCGAGGACAGGATTACCACGTACAAAGCCCACTTCCCCACCACCAACATCAGAGCATTCCAGTGGACGGTGAGAGAAGGTCCAAAGCGAAGCAAAGCCGGCATTGAGTGTTTTGATCAATTGAAGCGGCCCGTGTGCACCATTTCACTGACCCAGAACCTCACCAGCGGAAGCCTCGAAGTCTGGAAAGAAGACATGGAGTGGGACGAATTCGATCGAATGATTGTGTCAGCAATCGCGCAAATCGAATGGTTGAAGAGAAGACTCGAAATACCCATTGGAACCCTGCATGAGGCGGCTGCAAGTCTGGGGAATGCTGGTGGAGTTGCTGCTACAACATGAACTTGTAGTTGATATGGCTGGTTTCTGGCATACGGCCTCTGATGAGCATAGCTTTGGACTAGAAAGGAGAACAACGGGCAAAGGAGTGGGAGGAAGGAAAAGTGGCACGATTGGAAAAACCAGAGTTTGTTTTTGTATCAATACCTCCTAATCCGTCAAATACATGCCAATGCAACCATCAACCTAAGATACTGAAAAGTTCATTCGACACGCAATGCACTTATGAGGTTTTTATAGAACGCTCTATCTGTTTGCTGCTGCCACTGCAGCAACTTCCTCATCCAACTTCAGAATATCCGGGAGGGGCCCTACGGGAGTGATGGAGAATGGGTTGATCTGCTTGTGGCTCTTGGTGTAGTGTTTCTTGATGTGCTCAAACTGGGTGGTTTCGCCGAACGCGGGGACATTCCAGTACAGATTCCTCAGCCACCTGTGCAGGTTGGGGTAGCCGGACCGGATGTCCTTGATGTTACACTTGAAGTGTTGGACGTAGACCGGGTCGAATCGGACGATGGTGGTGTAGAGTCTGACGTCGGCCTCCGTGACGCGGTCGCCAAAGTAGAACGGACCGTTGGACCTGGCAAGCTCGGCCTCGGCGCGGTCCAGGGACTTGAAGAGCTGCAGGACGTTCTTCTCGTACGCCTCCTGGGTGGTGGCGAAGCCGGACTTATACACCCCGTTGTTGATGTCGTCGTACGTCCACGCGTTGGTCTCTTCGATCCGGGACGCGAGTCCGGCCGGGTACAGGTCGACCTGGGGGGCGCGGAACTCGGCCGGCAGCAGGTCGTCGAATTCGGTGTACAGCATACGGATGATCTCTGAGGACTCGTTGGACACGATGGTCTTGGTCTTCTTGTCCCAGAGAGCCGGGACCGTGACGCGAGCGTTGTACTCCTTGTCCGCGGCGAAGTAGAGGTCGCGCAGGTGCGTGAACTCCGGATGGAGAGGGTCAGGCGTGGTGTTGTCACCGGGAATCTTTTCGTCCGAGGTCGCGAACCGCCAGCCTTTTGAGTTTTGCAAAGCCTTGTCAGAATTTGTTCCAAAGTACACCGCGAACAGAAAGTCGAACGAGAAAGAAGGCAGCCAAATAAACGGACCGCCAAGGACCCCCGAAATAAAGATGGAATACCATGGAAACCGCAGATCGGAAATCAACAATAGGTACCTACCTTTCTCTTCCAGGTGCCAATGAACGCTGGTGAAGCCTATAATGTCTTCGAGGCCTTTGAGTTTGCGTACGATGAGCGTTCTGTGAGCTAGTTTTCCAGATGTCACACGTTAGCAACACTGAACAGAAGATTTCGTTTTTGGTTTTAGCAAAACAGCGGAGGATTTCATCGTCGTACCCCAAGGACAAGCATAAGAGACGTATAAATGATACCTCCCCTTCTCGGCCGGGAACTCCGAGTTGGGGTCTTTGGATATCCAGCTCCGGAAGGACGATTGCTGTCGCTTGAACTCTCCGGACTTGTCGCCGGGCTTGACCCAGTCTGTGATCGTGGCGGCTCTGGTGTCCTGCGTGGAATGATTCAGCCAGAGTACGACAACGGCAGAAAGGAAAAGGACGCCGATGGACACGAGGGAAAAAGGGTTACTGCGTACCGACATGGCTGAGAATGATCTCGCTGGTCTAGCGAGTATTTGGAGTGGTGGTGGTGTAGGTGTAATCGAATTGTTAACCAGGTGGTGTACTTGTTGACGGAGACGTGCAAGGATGTTGGACATGGGACGATATCCCCTCGACGACGTTTTCTCTGCGACAAGCTAAGCTCTACTCTGTTATATCACTCTGTATCTGACTCCACGAGAAACGATAACATTAGCAGCTTTTATGTAGATGTCACAACCTGCAAGGAGCAAATGCGCGGAAATGGTGCCGATGATTCAATAATAGGTAAAGTTTTAATAACATAATGTGTGCTGAGTGCATCAACTGTCCAGAACCAATCATTCAATCATGACGAAATCCGTCATCGTAATGTGCTGATGACTAACCATGCCATCATGACTACTTAGGTGAAGATGCAGTAATCTCGACTTGCCTATTTGATACGAAGTATTCAAAACACTGCAGGAATCAGAAATTCTTCATGTTGGATGAATACCTATCTTTTGCTCTATGACTTTGCGATCAATGATGCTGAGTGAGGAGAACAAGCCCGCAGCAACCCTTATCCATGTTAGTCTTGTTACACTCACTCCATGATTCCAGTCACACCTGGAAAGCTGCGTGCAGCTGAGGCTCGCCTTTGGCTTTTCCTTACGCCGTCTACTTTCTGTACTTGACCATGACATAAGGGATCTCGACATCTTCCTCGGTCTTATCCTCTGCTGTGATCTCGAAAATGATGTTCTTCTGATGATTCGGAATGGGCTTCTTGCTGATGGTCTCCAACAATTTGCTCATCTTCAATGGCATACGGTCCTTGGTCTTGTTTGGCGGGTAGAAGCTGGCATACAGTAGGCTTACACCAGAACTGACCATGGTGACGCTCAATCCCTGAGAGTCGAAGTGCGCCAGGAACTCCGTCAAAGTAATGTCATCAATCTCGAAGCGGTCCCATAGCTTGTCAACCGTGACTTCGCCATCCTTGCCTTGGTATGTACCCTTTGGGCTTGCAATGGGCTCACTGAAACCAAAGAACGGCAATGCAAGGTTGACAAAGCCATTCTTGTACTGCTCAAGATCCGTCTTACCATCGATGATCTTGTACAACTCGAGAATGACAAGTCCTGTGACCAGAGCGGTTGTTGTGGCGATAGCAGGGATGATCTTGCCTGCGATAAACTTGGTCTTGTGGCGATCGGCAACTGGGATGCTGTAGTTCATGGCTCGAAGATTGCTGGCAGCCGTGATGAAATCGATATGGTGATTGCTATCATCATCTTTCTCAAACTCCACAACATTAAGGCGGAAAGTTGGGATGATTGCCGGGGATGGCAGCTCAGCAATAATCTTGTTGAGTTCGTCAGCGTCATCAGCAAAACTAGGCTGATTGGCGTTTGGATCGGGTTCTTTCTCATCTGCCTGAATCTTGACATTTGCATCGGGTTTGAACTCTGGGATGATCATGCTGCCAAGGACCTTGACATAGTCTTCATGTGAGATCTTGGGTACTTCGATACCATAGTTGTAAGCATGAAGAGCGGCAGCGGCCACCACAAAGCCCATATGAGTGGTGTCGTAGGGGTCAAACTCCAAGGGAGTAGGGGCACGTTTCGGGCCAGACCAGAAATCAGCACCTGTCGATGTTTTGGAGTCTTTGGGGAAATTGTACAACAGCTGTGCAATGGCATTGTGATATTCCTTCTGGAACTTCATCCGAGCCCATGCGATGCAGTCGTTGAAGTCACTTGGCTTTTCGGTGACCATGTAGTCACGGAGACTCTCCAGGATCATCTTTTCGTTGCCTTGCTGCTTCAATGTAGTTTCGATGTAATCTGGTTGTGTGATGTACAAGTTCACCGTTTCTGGAGGTCCCACAAAGTATGACTGGAACAAGTCTCGAGCCCAGGCAATGGTGTGCTCAATCTTGTTGGGGAAGCTGCGAAGCGTGCACATCGGAAATGACTGCTCTGGTGGATCTTGAGAGCTTGAGTAAGATTCAGTAAGGCGAGGCAGAATGACCTGCGTGTTACCTTTCGTGCCCAGAGTACCGCTCTCAAGGAGAGGCTTCATGAAGAAGACACAACGACGATCGACGTATGTGCGGGCTTCAACATTGTCCAGAGCATTGGTAACGATGTCAAGTCCATTCCAGAATTGTTCGTTGAAGATGTCTTCGCTGTCCGGTCCAATTCTGTCGGTCATATGAGTGATCTTTCCCTTGAGGTCTGGGTTCATGACTTGGACCGCTGCAGCGGCACATTCACTCTTCTGTCTCCCAACATCCTTGGGTCGGAACAGGAACTGGCGATTGAGATTGCTTTTTTCGATCGAATCATTGTCGGTGACTGTGATTTGGCCGTTAGGACCAGTTCCGAGGCCGATCATAGCATAGTTCTTCAACATCTCACAACCAATGGCGCCGGCGCCCACAAGGAAGTTTCTGACATTGGAGATCTTTTCTTGATATTCTTTGCCAAAGACAGCAATTTGCCCATCGTATCGCGATCCGACAGGCTTGCACAACTCTTCGCTGCGCCCTACTGATGTGGGAAGCGATTCGAGAGCATCGAAATAGAGCCACTGTTTGACAGGAGTGAATTTGCCGGAGACCGCTTTGAGAACTTCTTGTGCTGTAAGACCTCCAAAGAACGCTGCCATAGGACTTATATCACCTTGTGCTTGGTAACTGAGTTCTGTGATTAATTTGTCGCTGATTTCGATTTCTTCGCCGCTGTCCTTTGCTAGTTTTTTTGTCATTTCAAGAACTTCTTTTGCATCTTCATCATTGTGTGGTCTCGGAAGAGAGCCCTTGTGACTTTCAGCAAAGGCGTGGAGAGCTTGGATACCAATATGGAGTTGTGCAGGACGGTCAAACTTGGCAAAATCAGAAATCAAGGATTCGGGTTTCTTGATCTGTTCAGAAAGTGATTCAAATTGAAGCACTTTTGGCATCTTGACTTGAGCAAAGAGACCACCTCCTTCATATTTGCCCAATCCCGAGATATCTCCAATCGAGAAGGAATACGGGCCCTTGACCGTGATCTTGCGAGGGGCAGCACCATTCAACGCCTCGAGGCCCTTGATCTCAGCGAACTCAACATAGTCACCGTCTTCCAGACCATGACGTGTTTCGTCGAGCGCAGAAACTAGGCCAGTTTCATCGATGTCTGCAATGATGCCACTGATTGGATTCTCGCCTGTGACGTCGCCAACAGTGAAGTTCTTTCCAAAGTCGTTGAAAATGTATCCAAACAAACCAAAGGTATCCGCTACGGTCAAGTAGATCCCATTTTTGTGGCAGAAGTCTCCAATGACCAGTTGATCTTTGAGAGATATGGTCGTCAGCACAATGGCCTGATATTTCTTGAGTTGCTCGAGATCTTCCGTCAAGGAGTTTGATTGATGGACTGAGACAGGGGTGTAGGAGTTCAACTCTGCCACCCGCGGAGCAGTAACGTCGGCTCGGGGTTTGCCAACGTCTTCTGTGCGCAAGAAAAACTGGGAAGATAGGTCGGCAATCGCTACCGGGTTGGGGTCGAAAAGAGTGAGCGACTTGACACCAGCAAGTGCAATGTTCTTTGCAATCTCAACACCCAGACCTTTTAGACCAACAATGAGAACATTGGAAGAGCCCATGCGTTTCATAGCCTCGTGTCCGAGTACGTAAAGTTGTCTGCTATAGAGTGATTCGTCAATCTCACCCGACTGGAGCTGCGAAATAGCAGCCCCAGGGTTGTCGACTTCCATCACAGTGTCTGTCATAATCTTTTTCTCTGGCCGGGAGAGATCTTCTGTAGAAGCCTTTCTCTTGCTACCGGCCTTTATAGCTATCGGAATTTCGGCGTGAGGAGTAATGGTGACAGTGGCCTTGCCTCAAGCAAGACCCGGACTACGGTAGGTTTGATCCGAAGAGCAATGGCCACTTCAGAAAAGAACGAGACTGGAGGGAGTCAGAGCGTTGTTGGTGAGGTGGTGAGAGTGTTGGAAAGAATGACAGAACAAAAACCTTTGAGCAAACGCTGATTAGAAAAGGCACGAGAGTGCAGGCAAACAGTTTGTAAGGTGGTGTCTTGTCAAGAAGATTCGCGAAGTCAAGCAAGTCCGTCTGTGCCTGTGCCTGCGCCTACGCCTGCGCCTGCCACCTTCACTGGGTTCTCAGTACCTTATCTTACCTAAGCTATTGGTGATGCAATAGGGCGGCAATAGCGCTCGGCAGGCTTGCTTGAAACATTCATTAGTGGAGCGATGACACTATGCCAATTACAGCGTATCGGATAATGAAAGATAAAGTGCTCGTTGCAGTCGCGTGTAGGCAAGTCAAGTTCAAACAGTTCTAATGAAAGAAGTATTCCCTATAACAGTCTTCGCTGTATAACCCCTCCTCGAGTCGATCCTGCACCATGTATTAGACCAGACATCTCCCTTCCACAAATACGGTCTGGTGCCACCGTTCACATTGGACATACCGCGTCCGCATTCTACTCGATTGCACGCGTTGACCGCCCCGATTTGCATATCCCACTATGGTCGCTCATCCTCTCAATGTGTCGCTTCGAACTCATCGGCCGAATAGTACTCTGGTGTCAATCACAACCCGACCTTGAACATTCTTTTGACATTGCTCACGACCCTCCCCCTCGTCTTCGTCTCCAACCAGCAACAGGAAAGCCTTCAAGATGTTACATGAAATCCTCCTATCATTATCGGGCGTCCGATCGCCCGTCTGGACACAACCAGGCCAATCGAGGCAAGAGGAGGGAGGTGATATGAACCAATATGTGTCGCCGCCAGAACATGAGATGCTTCAAACCCTTGCCCGTCTACACGAGTTACACGTACAGATCAAGAGTGCTACTGCAAGAGTCTCGAGGAAGCATCGCTCAATGGTCTGTCGAGCTGTAAGCTCCTCAATAGCTGACTTTCACCTTGGAAAGTTCGTGGATACTATTGTGCAAGTTGAAACATCTATCCTCAATAAGGACGCTGGGTATGTAGGTGCATATGATATAGTGCCTCTTAGCACACTAGTATCGGAATTTGCACCATGGATGCGACGCATGGAATGGCTGTCGTCGTTAGCCAAACAATTAGATCCTAGCGACAACAAGGTGCTCGAAAAGCAGTCTACCGCCGCTAGCATTCTAAATTTCTTGGAACGAGAAACTCATACTGGTTATTCGGATATTGAAGAAATGGCTATTGGTCTTCTGACAGTGGCTCATAAAGCCTGGATGAGGGCAGTTTCATTCTGGATACTGTATGGAAAGCTTCCAACTTCTGGTGCCGATGACTTCTGCATCAAGAAGAATTCACGCCCTTCATCAACAATGGACACATTCCTGCTCGACCATTCACTAGCACCAAAGTTGCTCAGTCCTGCCGGAGCCAATGTACTATTGTCTATTGGAAGCGCTCTGGACCAGTTGCGTTCTCGTGTAGCGTCCGCGGCGGATACTATCAAAGGCTCTGACGACCCGGCGATGAGTTTACTGCCCCTTCACATGCGGCAACTCGAATCCCTTCAATACCCACTTACCTCATCACGACTAGAGAGTGTCTTGTTTTCGATCAATCAATCTATCTCAGAAAATGCCCTTGTTGAAATCCTTCCCCGAACGAAAGTCTTACAGTTGCTCAAGGTAACTTTGGACTATCTTCTCGTTGGCCACGGAGAATTCGCAGTGTCCCTGATCGCTCATGCTGATGCTCGCGTCATGAATCGACAGCAAGCTCAGACTTCCACGAGGCCTATTAGGAGAGTCGGTCGGGTTGATGATATGGCAATCAAGGATGCAGAGATCAATTCGGTTTTGGTCAAAGCGATGGCTGAGCTAGCAGCCTTACGTGGAGATGAAGATCCCGACGATGATGTCTTCAATTTTGCGAGAAAGAGTCTGTCCTTAAAGCCCGTCGACTCAGTCTCTCAACCGTTGATGGTCTCAACTTTATTGCCAACACCTGCCATTATGACCATGGCCATGCCTTCATCTTCACCCCTGCATATATTTCTTTCCGCACAAGATATCACAACCTATGGCGTCCTGAACGCCAACCTCCTCTCAATCCGCAGAGCCGGTCTGCACTTGTCTGGCCTCTGGAAGTTGACAGCACAACGTCGCTCGTTCCCCACACCATTGGGGCCACCCAGAAGTGCAACGCCCGCAGGGCGGATGTTGCTCGCCGGGCGAAGAGTGCGGGATGGAAATAGAATGAAAAGAACGAGGAGGCATTGGACTTGTGCAAGCAATGCACTATTTCTGATCAACGAGCTTGAGAGCTACCTTGAAGGAGAGGTAATTCAGAGCAGTTGGATTCAATTCCAGCATTGGTTAGCAGGTGATGACCGACTTGGGTCTGCATCTGCAAGATCGTCTCGACCTACTACGGCTTCATCGACTGGTCAGTCGAGATTTACAGACGCCTCTTTCGGGGCGTCTTATTCGGATGCAAAATCCCCACCAAGTGATCCTCGAGTGCTAGCCGCAGCTCATCGAGTATACCTGCAGGCTCTCAAATCTGCACTCTTCCTTGATGACGAAACTTTCATCAACGTTCTGAAAACACTCCTAGGCCAAATTGACCATTTGGTAGCACTGTTCTCTCGCCTCCAAGCAGTCTGGGACGGGCTCGATTTACAGGAGGATGACGGTGTAGTAGATGCCCTCACGGATTATGCGCACGATGAACGAGAAGTTCTAGCAGAAATGGATCGTACAAGTGAAGCCATCAAGGCATGCATTGCTGGCCTGATAGACAAAGTTCGCGAGGTCGAAAAAGAAGAACGCAGTGGTACGAACACTTTGCTTGGAGGATTGAGTCTTGCAGATGCGAATGCTTCAAATTTTGTTCCGTGGCAAGCTAGGACGGTCAACAGATTGGTTATGAAGCTTGACAGTCTGGCAGCACGACGTGATGACGACAAAAATGGCAACGATATCCTTGATGATTATGATGACGACTGACGACTACGTTTGGTGGTCTCAAGAAGGGGATTGCTCACACTCAAGTAAATACTAGTTATAATGGATTCACGCGGGATTTAGTATAGGATAGCCAACGGCCTGAGTGGTATATACCAACGTAAATTGACAACCAAGACAGTCACTTTGATCAAGACCGATGGAAGTTGGTTTTATCCAGAAGTATATCTATTGTCTTTGGGACCTGTATTAAGCTACGAAGCCGGAGAAAAGTTCTCTTACCCTATAACGACTGTCAGTCATTTGCCACTTCCATATGCAGCCGTCACCAGCGACGCGGAAAGATCAAAAGTGAAGAATGGAGATCAGATAAGCCGAAGACCTCATCCCCTTCCCCGCCAGGACGACGCACCAACCGTGACCTCATAACGAGACCGCGGCAAGCACAGTCGACACTAGACGGCGAGAACAATACCCTTCCGCCCCGTGAAAAAGCAACCTCTATTTCCGCCAGGCTTCTCCACAACCTATCATCCACTGTGCCTCTGCCTCGGCGGGCTCTGACGAGCCGGTCCGAGGGTGAGAAGCACAGGTCCGGTATCAGGGAGAGTGGATGGAAAGTCGGGATTGATTTTTCAAGAGGGTTCGAGGCGCGTTAGAAAGGTGTCAACCCTTTGAGGGTGAACTCGGAGAATGGATAGACTTGGTGTCATCATGTAGAAAGTGCGATGGTGATGGCTGGGGGAATTGAAATTTTTTGCTCACTTTTGTTATTCGAGGAAAAATACGTCGCTGGTGACTGAAAAAGAACAGTCACCGGGCTGAGATTTTATTTGAATGACCTGGCAACATGTCGTTAGCAATTGAAAGCGACGAGAAGCTGAAAGGTTGACAAGGTTGATGAGAAATAGATCAGACAAATGGTAAGCTTGGTAATGATTTCTTCAACTTGTGTTCAGAAGCAGAACTGATTGAGAAAAAACCTTTGATCATCATGGTAGGTAGAGTTCACAGAGAGTCGGTGTGATTGGAGAAGGAGAGGAAAAGGCATACCGGGCTTGTTGGGACAAAAGACATCAAAGGTTGGCACGACTACATCTGGATTCTCAGGTGTCAGTTCGTCTATTTTCAAGATAAGTAGGTGTTTCAGACAAAGACAAATCAAAGAGAAACAAGTCAGATGGTAGTGCATGTTAAGTTCATGGCTCATAGGTTATCGCCGGAACTGGTGTATGATAAAATTCATCATGAAATTTGTTGTGATGGAAGATAGAAGAGTAACATACCCTGAAATTCACGCATGTGTCGGAGAAGGGCAAACATAAAGAATCAAAAAGCTTTGCATCATTGTAGCCGGTCCTCGAGGTCGAGGAAAGAGGCATGCTCAAGCAGAAGAGATGGAAGTTCATCAACAAAACAATAAAATTTATATCGCAGGCAGCTTCACAATGATCTACCGTAGTGTCCGACTCTTGGCCTCTAGCCACGTGATGCCAGGGTTGCTGACTAACTGGTGTTCATCGCGCCTTACCGAAAGCCTTAGTGGAGCGCGTCTGGCCGGTAAAACGAAAACATATCAGGTTATGAAGGCAGAAAGCTACTTGCAACTGATAAAGTCTTCATGCTGAGCCCGAATTAAGTCACCCTGGAGTATGCTATTGTGTCATACGACGCGTAGCTTGAAAAACAAGTCAGAATTTTCGTTCGAGCTAATGACTTGTGAGAGAGGTGTAGCATACGAGTTCCGTCTTTGCAGTCTCCTGCAAGCCGCCTAGGTACTTCTTTTCGTGCCCACTCGTTATGGGAGGAGCTCATCGAGAAGGAATCGCGCCACCTGTTCGAACTTACGGTAACCACGATCATTGGCGTGTGGGCTCTTCACTCATACACAGTCGACTTTTGGCCGATCAGCCACCACTTCTTTTCAGCTCGAAGATCTTGCAATGTTGAACGAGGCCCACGGCAATCAGGTGACTATACGAATGGTAAGATGTTGACATTTGACTTGGGCTCAGAATAGCAACCGTGGGGAGTCAGGGGGATCGACAAGATACTCTCCCAAAGTCCCGGGTCATCAAGGATTCCTATGGCATCAGACGTCGGCAGTGAACGTATGGTATGATTCCTGCCTCAACTATGCAAATGGATCGCCACGACCAGAGTCGCTATTCATACACGAATTTGGACAAGCTGACAATCTCCAACTCGTCTGACCTCAGTAGATTTCCACCATCTTCATATCTATGCAAAATAAAGCTATCCTGCCGGCATCGCGAGGCCCTGTGGTGGTAAAGCTCTTGGCTTCTTGGTGGGACATGGAGTGCGTCGACTGCGGTTGCAATGCATTGAGGGCGGCCAATGTTCTCAATTTTCATGCAATACATCATCATCGGTGGAAGCAAAAACTTGGTTTTCTCAGGTTGTTGCTTCGAGTCGACTGCGCTTCGAATCGCGGGTGGCCTGAAAATCAAACTGGCCAATCGCAGCATGAGCCACTTGGACGGCTACCCCCATTGCAGGCTGAATGCTGCAAAAAGAACGTGGCTCCGAGATTCGCACCTTAACGGCGTGACAGCTACCATTAAAATGATGCTGACCCGGCTGTTCATCTCGACATGCACTCGTGCACTAGCTATCGACTTCATCCGTTCGCGAATATCGACGTGGTTCTGCTCCTCATAAGGCTGTTGTGCCGTTTAGTACAACAATTCTTGACACACATCGAACCCTTTCTACCACGATGCCCGGCGTCTTTCGACCTGATCGGCAACGTAGATGGCACCAAAAAACATTCAGCGGATGCGTCAAATGCAAACAGCGGCGTGTCAAATGTGACGAAGCTCGCCCTCACTGTCGAAAATGTGGCAATTTAGGTATACAGTGCCCTGGGTACAAATTACCTTTGACCCGCTTATTCGAGCCTAAGCTGTTGAAGCATCCCGAATGTAGCAGGGAGGAGAGGATTGACTATGACTTCTTCGTACAGACCGGCTCCAGAATCGTGGCGGCTTCTCAAAGTACCTCCCTCCCATTCTGGACGGAATGGGCTCCTCGATTGGCCGAAAGTGATCCAGCTGTTAAGCACGTGCTAATCACCCTCGGCTCTCTTGTTCGACTTCTGAAGGACGAGCTAAGCAATGAAACGGTCAACAAGCGATGCACCCTGGAATCCCCTCCCTCAGCCATCAGGAATGCGACGCTAGCGATGCAGCACATGAGCAGCGCTCAGGGCCGAGCGACAGCAGCCGAAACGTCAGTTGTATACTGTATTTTGCTCAGGGAACTTGCAATCTGGACAGGAAGACAGACATCTTCGCACGAATATGTTCTCGACGCCTACAATTTCCTCCACACCAAGAACGCTCCTGGTATCGATAAGACGAGCAAGGCAACGATATTGGCTTGCATGATCGACCAACTTCTCGCTCACGCGGCGACTTGTACCGATGACTTCCCCCCCGTCAATTCCGGGTTGCTTTCCAACTATCAATTGGTCAATGGACTTGAAAGGGTTTCGGCTATCTCAACCTGGAATGATGCCTTTGACGGGATATCCTCACTTTTGCAAGCCGTATTTCGAGCCACCTGTCCCTATATCCTTTCGACAGACACCGAACTAGGGTACATCCTGTGCACGCTCAAGCTTTTCGACGACAAATTGCAGAGTCTGCGTGCACAAAGCGGACTTGCATGCGATTTCTTGCATCTCCAAGTCCATCATAGCGTAGCGCAAATCATGTTTAACACACTCAGCCAGAGGGATGAGTGGATCTACGACAACTACCAATCCGAGTTCTGGTCCATTCTTGAACACATCAAGAGGCTTCTTGCAGCGAAATGTATCATGCGCAGCAACTCAGAGACTTCACTTCAGCCATCATTGGGCCTGATCCCACCATTATTCCTCATCGCCACGAAATGTCGACACTTGCATGTGCGTCAGCAAGCTGCCCACATACTCCATGACCTGCGCCGTGCTGAGCGAGTCTGGACAAGTTGTATGGCTACGACCATTGCCAGATTTGTGATTGAAGAAGAGAAACCAGTCTCGCTGGTCTCCAACAACGCTGATGTGACATCTGGCGGCCCCCAACCCCACAGACGGATACGTCTCGATGAAGTTGTGTATTCGAACGAAGAGTGCAGAATCGTTCTAGCGTACACAGCCTTCAGTGAATACGGCGCGGAAGGAGAGCATTGCACTGCTAGTCTTCCCTTTGCTCCACACCCTTCGATGAAGAGCAACGATGAGACTTGTTCCATATCGAGGAAGGTTCTCAGACACTGTGGCTATTCTGGGATCCTACTGCTCACACCGCGGATTGAATGTCACTGCTTAGGATGTGAATAATATCAACACCCGGAAGGACATACAGTCGTACCTTTGGTTCCACGGTACATTCTAAAGTACCTGGGCAAGGAGTCGCTTTCCCTAAAGAAGTAATCTCTACGGGCGTGGTGGAGAACGCGAGAACTACGTGCGTGAAAGCAATTGTTAGGCACTTCACCGCCGCATTATGTGCACTGCCAGGTGATTGCATAAGAGAGTAGGATATGTTGCAAAATAAATTCAACAGACGATGGTCATCAAGAGGTGAATAGCGATCTTGGGAATGCCTGTGGCGGTCTCACGTGACTGACATTCAGGGAGCCCTCCCTAGGCCAATCCTACCACAACTGCACGACGTCGTAGTTGAACACTTGTTATGATTTATGATCAGAGACATGTTGAAGTGCTCAGTATTGTCAAATTGTTTTACCCTTGCTCAAAATACAATGTTGCCATGACTAAAAGTCCACGCATATTGTGTTTGGGTTTACAATGTCAACGTCATGATTGCATCTATGGTATTGTGTTCCAGGCAATGAGCTCATCTTTTCCCTGCCCAGCATTAAATGCGCAACTTGTACAATCCTGTCCATTTCTCTGACTTCACACGATGAACCGTGTTCTTTTCTCCCGCAGCGTAACACCTCTGATAAAATCGTTCACCCCAAAGCACCCACCTAGACAAATCTTTCGGAAAATGTCGGCTGTCAAGACCTCTCACCTTTCGAATGAGGATGTGCAGGCAAGCAAGCTATTCGACGTCTCTCATGTTGTCGCTGTGGTGACAGGTGGTGGGACTGGAATCGGTAATCTGCTTCCCCCCGGCGAAAGACGGACCATGCCCTCAAGGGAGAATGTGCATTGACTACGATCACGGTCACTTTGACTGACGACCAGCCCAGGTCTCATGATTGCGCAGGCCTTACAGACGAATGGAGCCAAGGTCTACATCACTGGCCGGCGAGAAGAAGCCCTCGACGCCGTCGTCAAGCAGTACAGCAAGGGTCCAGGAAGTATCCACGCTCTACCGGGGGACATCACCAAGAAGGAAGAATGTATCCGACTCGCCGACTCGGTGGGCAAGAAGGAGCCCAAGGGCGTCCATTTGCTCGTCAACAACGCAGGCATCGCCAGAGACGGCCACACCAAATTCTCCAAGAATGGGGAACCGGACATGAAATCGGCGGAAAGCATCTCGCAGCACATGCTCAGGTCGGAAGTCTCCGACTGGCAAGACACCTTCGAGACCAACGTCACGGCCCAGTTCTTCATGTCTGCCGCGTTCTTGCCGCTGTTGGCGAAAGGACGCGACGTCACGCCCGATTATACGTCGAGCATCGTCAACATCACGTCCATCAGTGGTCTGATGAAGGGCTCGAGCAACGGACAATTCGCCTACGCGTCGAGTAAAGCCGGCTTCGTGCATTTGACGCGCATGCTGGCCACGACGCTGGCGCAGACGGGCGTCCGTGTCAACCAGATCGCACCTGGCATCTTCCCAAGCGAAATGACGACCGGTGAGAGCGACGAGACGCAGAAGAGCGAGCTGAGTTCGAAACTGAGTAACCCGGCCGGTAAGAAGACCCTGTGAAAAAAAACGGAGCGCCAGTAAAGTTCTCTAAAGCAAGCAGTTGACTGACAGTGTCAATTTTTCACAGGGCGCGGAGGTGGAGATGCTGACATGGCTGCCACGATCTTGTACCTGGTCGGCAAGGGTGGTTTGTTCCTGAACAATCAACTCATTCATCCCGAGGGGGGCCAGTTGTTGGTTGCGCCGGCTGCTATTTGAAAAAAAGGTGAACTTCATGCCAGGCTAGGAACGTTTTGCGAACGCAACAGGAATTGAGTCAATGTACCTACGTGTACAGTCGGGTCCAAAAAGAGGCATTCAGATCAGGTAGAAAAGGAGGGTTAGAAGCATGATCGAGAGTGTAGTATCGTTCAAAAATATCCCTGTAAAGCCTTTCTACCGAAACATCCTCGTCTGGATGCGTGCAACACCATTCGAATAGGCTTTTGTATGAATGCTCAGGTAGTCATGCTGAGATGATGAGTGCTGATGAGTAGATTTGCTCACCAAAGAGTCATCCGCCGGATCATGTACTCCGCAGTGCTCGTAGTGTATATAGTACGGTCGCGCATATAAACCAGCAGAACATTTCGTCAAATTTGGCAAGGCTGGCCAATGACGTCTGAACAAAGTCCGACAATTCCAAAAAGGTCAAAAGTTGACGAGGCTTCAAACGAGCCCGTTTCCCAGAGGTTGTGCAGCTTTGATGGGGTCGCCTGTCCGTCTACTGTGCCAACTTGAGGTCCCATGTCTGACAGACGGCGCGTCAATGGCCCTGCCGGCACGACCAGCCCTCCGGTGTTTGTGACTTCGAGCCAAATTGTGGAGGCAGAAAAGAAAAGACTTCGAGGGCATAATGAGTTGCGGAAGATATGTACGTTTCTTGCTCGCGCAACCAAAAGGGAAGAAAACAAAAATACTGATTTACGAATGTTGTACAGTCTTGCAGACTGGAGTCGTCCCCTCGGCCAGCGGGTCGGCATACCTCGAACTCGAAGGCCAGCCCGTGCAGCCGACGCTCGTGTCCTTGTCTTCTACGATCAAACTATCTTGCTCGGTCCAAGGGCCCAAACCCCTACCGAGGACCGCATCCTTTTCACCCAACCTACAATTGAACGCGTCGGTCAAGTTTGCGCCGTTCGCGACCCGCAACAGACAGGGATACATTCGTGATTCTACGGAGAAAGACCTGGGGTTGCACCTGCAGAACGCTTTGAAGGGCGTGGTCATACCCGACAGGTGGCCGAAGAGCTCCCTCGACATCGCGGTCACCGTTCTGGAGGGAGAAGACGATCAAGAGACGGGGGACCGGATTTCGGGCCTGGGACTGTTCAACATGCTGGCCGGGTGCATCAATGTCGCCATGGCGGCACTCGCGGATGCACGTGTGGATTGCCTGGACCTCCTGGCCGCCGGAGTGGGTTCCGTCGTCGTGTCCGGTGCGGACGAGAAGCCTGTAAAGGTGCTTGATCCTGCCGCCGTCGAGCACACCAAGGTACTGTCAAGTTGCCTAGTGGGATACCTGCCCACACGAGACGAGATCGTGGAACTATGGTGCAGTGATTCCGGGTTGGCACAAGCCAAAGGCGTACCGGGGTCGGGTTTTGACGAAATGGTCGATGGCGCGGTCGCAGCTGCTCGCGGTGCGCAGACGGTATTGAAGGAGGTGCTCATGGAGGCCATGATGCAAAGCCAGATTGCGACAAAGAAGTTGACCGGGCAGAGTGCGAAAGAGGTCGAGATGACAGGATGAAAGGAGATGAATAGACGAAATATTCGAGAATTTCTCGGTCGCATTACGTTGCGGCATATCAGCGCATCGTCGACAACATCGGCATGCTTCATGAACTCTTTTGGGGACGATGGAGACAAAATGCGTATTGTTTGCGATCTGGTCACGGGCTCATCCCTCAATCGGAGGCACGAAAAGCTTGTGGTGTTGCGAAGACGCGCACGGGAATGCGCTCTCCTGGCTTGAGCCCACAGCTTACCATGGGCATCTACAAATGATTGGATGATGTTTCCCCGGTGGAAACGAAATGAAATGTGTGGTACCATCAATCGACCGCTCTACGTCGAACAAAAAAGCAGACCATATGCTGCGTTAAAGCTCCGGGTTGGAAACCTTAGTAGGATAGCGTCCGTGTCGAGGGGAGCGCCGCAGTGACCTGACGATACCGTTTCCGGTGATGTGCAATCTGTAGGATATAGACAGAGCGAAGGGCAAGACAGCCGCCATACACGATGAACACTCATTCTAGGTAGGCAGATCTAGGAAAGACAGTGGGAGATGGGACCCAAAGGCTACGAGAGTTAGAAAAGTGCTCAATGAGACAAGAAACGAAGATTAAGTCAACGTCTATTGTTTTCTACATACAACGACTTCGTAGTGGTGGCTTTGGGCCGCGACCTGGCCATGGTGATAATTTTTTTTGTCTTTTTTTACTCCCTACGGAGTCTCTTCAAAACTTGACGTTGTTTGACTCCCAGATGGCGAGAGCCATCTCGTCGTCAAGGTCCTCAACCTCGACCGAGGCACCACCGGCCGGGCCAGTGCCCAAGCGAATGAAACGGCGGCAGGGGCACTTGACGTCGGCGTAGATGGTGCACAACTTCTGGCACCAACAGTCCTCCCAGCAGATACACATCTTGCGATCGACGTACTGTGCAATGGTCATGTCGCCTTCGATGTAACGGTGGTGGCCGACCGAGACTCCTTGGAGACGGGCCATGGCACACTCGCGGTAGGCTCGGCGGCGGAGTTCCTCTTCGGCGGCGGTGCGAACTTCCACCTCCAATGCGTTGTCGGTCTCGAAGTCGGCGTGGCTGAAGGCGACCTTGCGGACACGGACAGACTTGAGGTGCTCCGAAGTGTAGTCTCGGTGGGCAATCGGGTCGACGAAGAAGTTGACGTGGGTGAATTCACCATTGGGGTGATCAGGGTTGCCAAAGGTCTGAATCTCCGGTGGATTGGCGCGAGCAGCTGTAGGCAACAAGTTAGCAAAATGGTGTCTTGAATGGACAAGACACACGTCTCCAAAACTCACCACGACGATTGATATGTCCGACTTCGTAGCTCTCAAATTGGCCAGGCCAACCTCGAAGACGGGCAACTTCGCTTTCGAGTTGAGAGTCTGGGAAAACAGTGCTTGGGCTGGGAGGTCCTGTCTGAACGGTGCCAGAGGTTTCAGTTGAAGATGGAGATGACAGTTCTGGAATAGCAGATGGAATATCTGGGAGAATGACTGGGCTGAGTGGTTCAGTCTTGAAGACAATGGAGTGCTCCTCAACGGAGGCTGGAGTCAATGGTCCTGATGTTCCAACTGGAAGCCGTGAGAAGGCAATGGTCGGACTGATTGGTTCGGTGTCGACAAGGTCGAAAGATCCATGAACTGGACTAGGAGGTAGAAGTCCTGGAGGAAGAGCAAGAGCCGGAATGAACGGAGCTGCCTTTGGGACGTTGGAGAAGTCTTGTGCTGGAGCCGAAGCTGCTTGTCCTGCAACAATAGTTGGGACCTCTGAAAATTCTAGAGCGAAGTCTGCGAAAATTGGGAAGTACTCGTCGGTAGACTTAGCAGATGGTGATCGTGGACCAAAGATTGGAAGAAGAAGAGATGGTGAGTTGGCATGGACAACAGGAGTCTGAGCTGGGACTGGAGCCAAAGGTGGAAGAAGATCCATGGACGCTATTGTTCCATCGACCTCGACGTCAATGTCGTCCTGTCGGTCTGTACGGAGCTTCTTGAAGGGAACGGGGCTGCACGCGAAGACTATGACAAACGTAAGAAAGAGCCATTCGAACTTGCATGATTAACGTACCATTAGAGTCAGAAAAGCCAATGAAGGACTTTGTGTCGATCGGTTCGCAGACCTTGCGCTTCTTCGACTTGATCTTGGCCCTGATGACATAGAGCTCGAATATATCGACATCCGAAGTGACATACTTGGCTGGGCATTGTGAACCATAAGGCACAACTGGTTTGTCGCGGAATACAAGTTCGGACGAGCGAAGCTTAGCCTTGGGTGACTTTGGCGAGAGGACGGTTCTCTTTTTTGGAGTGGCTTGCTTAGTCAATAGTTCGCAAGGACCGTGAAGGGCGTAGTCTGGGAGCTCCTCCGAATCTCTCAAGTTTCTGAGAGACTGGTAGGTGGGAACTTTGTCTGTTTCATGCTCAGCCACTGCCAGTGTTCTGCGGAAAACGGGATATTTACCTTCGACAGGACGATGTTGTAGGTCGGCGTCACCATTGGGGGACTGAACAGACATGCCAATTGGCGTGTCACAACGGGCTTGTTCTGGGTCATAATGAGCGTTTGAAAACCAAGGCTGTAGTGTGTGGAACTTACCATAGACGGACTTGACAGTATCTTGGGCACCAGCATCAGCAGCCTCAAAGACGGTTTCGCCATTCTTGTTGGTTGCACACCACAAATCAACGGATTGATTTGGGGTAGGTGGAAGTGGTTTGTCAAGGTGGTCCTCGAGTGGCAGTGGCTTGTTGAGATAGTCCTCAAGAGTTGCAAACTTTGCCGGCTTGATGGGCTTCTTGAGACAGTCGTTTCCATGAACAGTATCCGAGGTAAAGCGGTACCACGAAGTACGTCTCGCCAATGGCATTTCCAACCCAGGGTTTGAAGTCCAGGGCTGGGTTCTGTTGGAACCTGCCTCCTTTGAGCAAGCCATTTGGAGCGAGCAAGACACAATCACTGTGATAGGAAGATGTCTCAAGGGAGTTCCAATATGGCAATGGCAATGGGATTGTTACGCTCTTGCAAGAAAAGTTTTGATGGATAGAAAAAGATCATGGAATAGAGGATGAGAAAGATGAGAAAGAGACTCGGGGCTTTGAGAACTTGTGCGTGGAAAATTTCGAAATCGCTTCAATGGAAAACCCTGTTGTATTGAATTCCTGTACCCTATTGAGGTTTTCTGTCGCTTCATGGTGAAAAACCTGCAGATGAATAGTGAAGTGACAATAGCAATGCAGAAAAATTTTGCAGACCGGTTGGCAGAAAAACGCGGGCAAGAGAAAACCTCTGTGAGGTGAGGCAGTACACAATATGGGCGGTGTGAGTAATATCCTGACTTCTCAGATGAAGCATACATTGGCCATTCGTCCTAACAGGACAGGAGGAGTTTACCTGTAGCAACAAAAACCAGATTGCCTCCACGTCCAAGTTCAAGACCGATATAGGTACCTTGTCGAGCTTGACTGAGGTACAGGACAGGATCGGATTCCATCCATATCGACGGATCAATGGATCAAAACATAGACCACAACAACAATGTCTCGATCTCACTCACGGTTCACTGCCGACGAGGCATGTAGTCTGGTGTTGCTTTCGCCAAGCGTAGTTGAGATGCAGCTCCATATCTTGACAATTTCACGCTGGGTCAAGAGACGAGCCTGAATTCCATCGGCGTGTCGAACTACGCCGGATAACGAGATATCCGATCTTGGAATCTGAGAAATCTGTTTGAAGGTGCTGAGAAAAGACGGTTCTGGCATATGGTGTTTCAGGAGAAGACGATATGTCGTTAGGAGGACGTCAGCACGGACACGCGAGGACATCATGGAAGCGTGTTGGCGGCCACTCGCCGTACCCGCCATCCCATTGAGGAAAGTTAAGCGCGCACGGGAAGTGAGAGCGACTCGCTAATAAGTACCGACCAGGCCCAGAGACGCCCAACTAGGAAAGCCTAGAACGCCTAGCTGTGCCTGATTGACGGCCTCCCTGTTCCTTGTGGTAGGCGCAGCTACGGGGTATTTTAGGCGCAGTGGACACCACGAATACAGGGGTCTGTTTCCTATTCCATCCTTTTACGGATTCTTGACTAGAAATCTGGCCCAAGTCCTCAAAGCAGTCTCCTCAATTCTTGTAATACAGGTATCTATAATTCCTTCTCTATTTTCTTGCTTCTGGATCTCGACGTTTCCTTCTCTTCGGTCTTCGACTGGTATTCCGCTGTCTGCCTGACCCGACTTGTCTGTCAGAAAATGTTAGCTGAGCGATAGTATTACTTCGCAAGACATCTGCCCGCCGCGCCTCCTCCTCCTTGGGCAACATGGCAGGCTACGATTATTCTGTTCAAATGTCCGCTTCAAGATGGGCAACGCGGCTACTGCATTGTACACTGGCTGTCATATTGTTGACTGCCTCTTCTGTCAGGTCCGAGAAGACCGCAGCTGACTATTATGTACAATCGCTGCCTGGACAGCCCGATGGACCGCTGCTGAAAATGCATGCTGGGTAGGTGGACTTGAAATGGATCAAACTCATGTCCTAACATGTGAACAGACACATCGAGATCACGCCCGAACACAACGGACATCTTTTCTTTTGGCATTACCAGAACCGACACATTGCTGACCGACGGCGAACAGTAATCTGGCTCAATGGTGGACCAGGTTGCAGCTCGATGGATGGTGCGATGATGGAGCTCGGTCCGTATCGCGTGAAAGAAGGAGGAAAGTTAACATATAATGAAGGCTCGTGGGATGAATTTGCCAACTTATTGTTTGTGGACAATCCGGTGGGAACAGGCTTCAGCTATGTCAACACTGACAGCTATCTACATGAACTGCAAGAGATGGCGGATCAATTCCTGATATTCATGGAAAAGTGGTTCGCCCTCTTTCCGGAGTATGCGAGTGATGACCTGTACTTTGCTGGGGAGTCGTACGCCGGTCAGCATATACCGTATATTACCAGGACCATTCTCGATCGTAACGCCAGAGCCAGCACTGAGGGAAAGCAGCAATGGAACCTTAAAGGCCTCCTGATCGGAAATGGCTGGATTGCGCCAAAAGAACAGTACTTATCGTACCTGCCCTTCGCGTACCAGGAGGGACTCATACAAGGGGGTACAGAGGAGGCTAAAAAAGTCGAGGCTTCACAGACGAAGTGTCTTGCCGAATTGGGCAAGCCAGGTGGTACTGAAAAGGTGGATGTCAACCAGTGTGAGACTGTTCTGTCCATGGTACTTGATGTGACCAAGAAAAATGGCAAGTGCTACAACATGTACGACATCCGGCTGCAGGACAACTGGCCGTCATGTGGAATGGCATGGCCCCCCGATCTGACCACAGTAACCCCTTATCTTCGGCGACAAGATGTCATTGATGCTCTGCACATCAACCCAGACAAACGAACGGGCTGGGCAGAGTGCTCGGGTGCTGTTTCTTCCGCTTTCAGAGCTAGTCACTCCAAACCTAGTGTTGATTTCCTGCCGGGTATAATGGAAGCCGGTGTTCCCATCTTACTTTTCAGTGGCGCCAAAGACATGATCTGCAATCACCTTGGTACAGAAGACATGATTGGTAATTTGAAATGGTCCGGAGGTACAGGATTCGAGCTGAACCCAGGGGTTTGGGCGCCAAAGCGTGAATGGACCTTCGAGGACGAGCCTGCAGGTATCTATCAAGAAGCACGAAACCTGACATATGTGCTGTTCTACAATGCCAGCCATATGGTCCCATTCGATTGGCCAAGACGTAGCCGAGACATGCTTGATCGATTCATGGGAGTGGACATCGCCAGCATTGGAGGCACGCCAGCCGATAGTCGACTTGATGGGGAGAAAGCAGGGAGCGAAACAAGTGTAGGTGGCCACCCCAACAGTACTGCTGCCATCGAAGATGAGAAGAGCAAACTGAAAGACGCGGAGCTCAAGGCATATTATCGCAGTGGAGAGGCTGCGCTTGTGATTGTGCTGATTGCTGCGGCCTTGTTCGGCTGGTGGGTGTGGCGTTCGAGAAGGGCACGGTCACGAGGATACATAAGTGTGCCGCTTGTGAATGGCCCCTCTGCGAAAGGACGAGACGTGGAGGCAGGCGATTTCGATGAGAATGAGCTAGACAACCTCCGCTCCAGTCGTCCACGGGCGGATATGGAGACGGAGCCATACGATCTCGCATCTGACAGCGAAGACGAGCACATGGCATCTCACAACGGAAAGGAAAAGGTCAGCGGGTGACAGGAATAGGATAGAACAAAAAGGAACTGAAGGCCTTCCATGTTGTTAATATGATGACTATTGATATGAATACTCGGTATAGAAGAACATCCTTAGCTTGATTATGACTACGATCACGGGCTTTTTTTTTCTTCTATCGCATATAATTCCATCTTCTGCCCTTCCACTCCATGGGCATCAAGGTGAAACCAGATGGGTTACGGAGTGATCACAATCTGTTATTGCGAACTGGCCCGATATTTGTGTCAGTGTCAAATGTGTCAAGTCAGATCCCCCGCGTGCCCAGTGCATCTTTTCAGTTTCCTTCTCACTGTATTTACCAGGATTCACCATCCACCACCAGCCCATGTGGTTCCCTTTTCACCGTACTTTGCTTCTGCCATGGCTTTGAATACGAGAGCCAGAGAAAACCCCTCGCATGGACCTGGTACTTTTGTCCTCTTGTCCTCTTTTCCAGCTTGTTTTCGACCACTACCAAGCCACATCTCAACGTGTTTGTTGCTACCGACGGGTTTTGTTCGAGACCGCCCCCTTTGAAAACGAAACCTTCCAACGCATTGGTGATTGGATTGCTCTGGTCATGATCTCAACACTGATCCGAGCTCAACTTTCACTCATCCCTCTACTTCGGATTCCTGAAAGTCCTGGATTTCTCGCTCCACCATTTGATCGCGCCACGCCTCCAGCTCGTTCGTTGGCTACTCTTGCCGACATGCTTGAGACCCACGCCCTCTGCGCATGCTGTCTTACTCTCCCACCGCACGTACATGTCACATATCCCTTGCTTGCAAGAGACTATTGATGGTGTCATGTCAATCGCTATACGAGGGTCTGGGGAGGTGGTGGCTACCTCGAAGACACCATTCTCACCTCGTCCCTTCCTTAACTTCGCCTTCACTCAGGACTTTTCATAAACCACCCTTCTCGCCATCATGAACAATATTCACACAGGCTTCAGTATTGTTGTTCTTATTTCACTTCGGTTCTCCCTTTCCAGTAATTCTCGATATTGTTGTTCCCTGACTAGCCTCGCGCAGTTCGATTCCATCATGCCGGCCTGAAATGAAACCATTGCATGCGTTGTGCCCGTTCAGATACACAAGTCTTCGCCTCTCAAGTCGCCTTGACGTGAATACAGCTCGGTCGAGTCGAGGCTTAGAGCCTTGCGTATATTCTCGAATGGAGGTGGATGGCTCACAGGACTGGCCTCGATATGCAGCAAAATCAGCCACCAACGCTTTGCCTGCGACGGAGGTGTCTTATGATCCTGGATATGTAGTCCTTTCATTCTTCACCTCTCTAGTAGGATGTCTTACCACTATCGAACTCTTACAACGACGGACATCGACGAACGGTCTTTACAACTGGTATGTGTTGGATACTTGAATAATACGAAGAGACTGATGTGATCAAGGTTTCTTTTGATTGCCTCAGCGATAACAATGGGCGGAATTGGTATATGGGCAATGCATTTTGTCGGCAACAGAGCTATTGTTCTCGATCATGCCAACCATCAGCGCCAGATATTGTACAACCAGGGTTTTACCGCAGCCTCGTTCTTCCTACCCATCGTCGTCCTGATCTTCGCCTTTTACCTCCTGGGGACACCTGCCAAAGCTCGCCAACTCCATGTCGCTCTTGCAGGAATCCTTACTGGTGCTGCGGTCTGTGGGATGCATTACATGGGTCAGCTGGGGATCGCAAACTACAATTGTTCCTATTCCCCTGGGAATGTGGTTGGCGCGGCAATAATTTCTGTAGCTGCAAGCCTCATATCACTCAGCCTTTTCTTCCGGATGAGGGATAAATGGTCTGATCTCTGGTGGAAAAGAACTCTTTGCGCAGGCGTCCTCGCCCTTGCGGTATCCGGAATGCACTGGACCGCAGCTGCTGGAACCATGTATCACTGGAGAGGTGACCTGGCTGTGCACGGAGAATCTCGGACACAAACCTCAGTTGCAGCATCTTGTCTGGTGAGTTGTGGGATATCACGATACCAATTTAAAATATCCTTCTAACAAATTATGCAGTCTATGGGCGCCTGCGTCGTGCTTCTCGTAGTAATCGGCATACGAGGACGCAGGCGTCGCAATGCTAGAATTAGGTCTCAACGACTTGTACTTGCTTGTTCGTATTTCGACGACGAGGGAAACCTCATGATCACCCAAGATGGGCTCTTGCCTAGTACCAAAATAACGAATCATTATGTTGAAAGGGTACGTGAGGAGGGAGTGCGAAGGTGTTTTCTGCGCTGATTGAATTTACAGACATTTGGAGAGGACGAATTGAGCAGGACTCATGAAACATTCCTATGGATTTTCCAAGCTTCTCACCATTGGAAGATTCTCAAGGACATCATTCCCGGGATGAAAAGTGAGATAGAGACAGACCCGAACATGCACAAATTTCGACCTGGCTCTAATGCCACGACCCTTCCTGACGACACTAGTGAAATATCGCACGACTTCGCCCGTGTGTTCAAAGGGCTATTCTGCGTAGCTGCTCAGCAGCTCGCAAACACCATTCATGAGCCTCTTGAAAAGCTTGGTGTTTTGTTCGAGGAGCCAATGGACACGGGGGTTGTATATTGTTCTCCACGGGCACGGAAAGGCATCAGACAGTTTTCGCTCCTTTCCGCTTGTACCATGGGCTATGACGCCGAAAGAGGAAGCGTCTCTAATACCTTCACGAGGGGCAAATATCTCTTTCTTGTTCGCGAAATTAACCATACTGAGGCGGCCAAATTTGCTTCTTTGGGTTATCGCTTCGCTGCCATAGAGCAAATCGCGGAGTCTCTTTCAAATAGTATGCAGGTCAATCGTTCCGATCTCGTGGAAAGAATGCTGCGGGTCAGAACGAGTGCGGCTCGGTCATGTTTGCCGCCTCCTGGAACATATCTAGCATGTTTCATGCTGAAGCCCAGTATGTGCAAGAGCTTCGATCTTCTCGTTCCGGACGACAGACAAAATCAGCTTCCTCATGTTACATTACAGGTACCTGATCTTTCTGCTGAGCAGAAGAATCAATTGCAGTACTTGGACGACATGCCAATCAGTGAAATCCTCAAAGTTCTACTCAATCGAGAAACTTCTAGGACCATCGAAGAGGGCTTTCGCTGGCAACTATACAACACATTTGTCAAACTGGTGGACTTGATTGGCGACTATGACAGCATGATGCAGGCCAAATTTTCTGCAAAAGAATTCTACGTCGGTGGTCCACATGGCGATGTTCCCTCATCGCCAAAGCATTGCACGACTTGTATCCTCTATACTGTCCGCATATTGGGGAACATTCATGCATCGCCTACGAGGAAAGAATTCACATTTGTACCCTTAACCTTTTTCAGTACTCAACAACAAGCTCATACAGCCCATGCGCACAACGAAGTCTTCGCCCAAAGAGTCGAGCAACAATTCGGTTATCTACACAAGGACGTGCAGAAACGTGGGAGATCCAGCGCCACCAGAGGTCGGACACCAAGTCTTGCAGATCGAAATGGCTCAAGATCTGTATCGCCAAAGTCCCCAAGGTCACCAACATGCATTTCTCCATTGAGGAAATCAGAGGTCAGCCGCAGGAGTGATGAGGTAACCATCGTCGATCATGATAAGGGATCGACGGAAACATCAGGGATAGAAATGAGGCGTGTCAAATCATGCGATAGAGGATACACTCGACGTGGCAGCGAATCACCAGAGGGTGAAACGAGAAATTGGGTGACAGACGTCTTTGGTCTTTTCCAACTGAAGTCGGAAGGTTGGGCTACCACCAAGCCAGGTGGATGGGGGTTGAATATTAATGTTCACAACTCGGTGGAGATTGCGACCAAGGATCGTCGCAAAGGAAGTACTATTGTCAGCGCATCATTCTAGACGATGAAGTCTGCATACGTAGTGATGAATGATGAAGAACTTGGATCAAAGAAGAAGCATTAAGTATGGTTGAGCATGGAGGGTTGTAAGCATTCCATGGCGAGGGAGTTGATCAGGGCTGGTCGCTTATTGGCGGAATATCGGGGACAATTCTGCCGCTGTTTGCCGCCTTCTTTTGCGATGATTTCACAGCATGCCACCGCAGCCTTGTGAGTTTTGTAGATTCGATTGCAAGAAGACCGGATACCTAGCTTCGAGATTTTTGATGAACTACACGAGTTTGATGACATAGTAGCCCTTGGCAGACAACTCTTCCGTCTCAGCGCTGCGTATTTTGCGACTGGGATCTGCCTACTACAGATCAGCACACGACTAATACTCTTTACTGCCTCCTCCTCCTCGGATCACCTCAGCGTTTGCACAAGTCCTATTATTCTTTTTGGATCGCTCGTCCGACCATTCCCTCTCGTTTGACAACCCGAGACCTCATCTGTCAAGAACTTTGTTACTAAAAAAAGGCACGAGCGGAGGAGCATGAATCAATAAAACAACCAAAGTTACCATCCGCGGGGAAACCATACGCCACCATTTATCTTTTGTTTGACGCGGGCTGAGAGTTGATCTACTGAGGGGTCCGAGTCATAGAGAGAAAGACAGAGAGTGCGGGAAGGGATCAACTAGTCCCGAAAACCACCAAAAGAGAATAAAAAGACATAACAGACAAATCGTAGTCGGACGGTTGGCGAAGCAGACACACACACACACACACACACACACACACACACACACACACACACACACACACACACACACACACCTGCAGAAGGGGAAAAGAACCAAGAGGGTCTCGATCCAAAACATGCCGTTTGCTCAGCTTGTCATTGGCCCTCCCGGGGCGGGCAAGTCGACGTACTGCAACGGCATGCAGCAGTTCATGGGAGCCATCGGCCGCAAGTGCAGCGTGGTCAACCTGGACCCGGCCAACGAGGCGACGGGGTACTCCCCCGCGGTCGACGTGAGGGACCTGGTCACCCTCGAGGCCATCATGGGCGACGAGGACGTTCGGTTGGGACCCAACGGCGGCGTGCTCTACGCGCTCGAGGAGCTGGAGGAAAACACCGCGTGGCTCGAGGACCGCCTGGCCCGGCTGGGCGACGATTATGTCTTGTTCGACTGTCCTGGCCAGGTCGAGATCTTCACGCATCACGCAAGTCTGAGAAAGGTGTTTGCGAGGCTGGAGAAGGTGGGGTTCAGGGTGAGTTTTATTTCTTCTCGGAACAAAAATCCCAGTCTTCTTTCTCCTGTTCAGGAGACACGTGCTTCTACCATGTCAAGAATGCAATGGTTCCTATCACGGCAAAACCATACAAGACAATCAGTCGTGACCCATGACTAACATCGTCACAGCTAGTCGTCGTCAACTTGATCGACTCATACGCTCTGACACTACCATCGCTGTACATATCGACGCTCCTCCTCTCCTTAAGGAGCATGCTCCAACTCGACATGACGCACATTAACGTGCTGACGAAGATCGACAATCTCTCCAAGTACCCGCCCTTGCCGTTCAACCTGGACTTTTACACCGAAGTGCAAGACCTGTCATATCTACTCCCCAGTCTCGAAGAAGAGTCGCCCATGTTTGGGCAGGGGAAATTCGCGGCATTGAACGAAGCCATTGTCAATCTCGTCGAGGAGTTTGGGCTGGTAGGATACGAGACTCTCGCGGTCGAGGACAAGAAGAGCATGATGTCGCTTTTGAGAACCATCGACAGGGCCGGTGGCTACGCCTTTGGGGGCGCCGAGGGCGCCAATGATAGTGTCTGGCAGGTTGCCGTCAGAGAGGGAATGGGCGGGATGAGTGTCCAGGATGTCCAAGAAAGGTGGATCGACAACAAAGAGGAGTGGGATGAGAAAGAAAGGAAGGAGTGGGAGGAGGAGCAGCAACGTAGGGAAGAGGAGTGGGAGAGTGGGATGCAACAACAGCAAGGGGAAGATGATGCAGACATGGATATGGATGGTCTGGACGTACCAAAAATGATGGGCGACAGTGGTGTTAAGATTAGGAGGAAAGGGGAGACCGGGCCTGACGGTGGAGGTTCGTGACCATGGCGCACAATTGTAATTTCATCACTTAGCGATTTTCCGCCTGTCAACGATTGTTTGTGGCATTGCTTTTGCGGGTCGTGAAGGTGCAATGTCCTCTTCCTCTTGTTCTTCCAAATGTTGGTCTAATGCGAGCCATGGATGGCGATCCTGGTGGTTTTTCGGTCGTCGGAAATATGTGACCAAGTCATCTACAGGGCCGATGACCCATATACTTCTGAGATTGACGAATGATGATGATGATTTTCCACGACGGGAGTCGAAGCGAAGGGAAATTTTCAATCAGACGAGTCTTCCATGTCTTGTTCGTAATCGAAGTCTATGACCCCCTCTTCTTCCTCTTGAGCCCTGAGGCTGGCGAGCTGAACTGGTCGTTTTCCATTGTTCTGATCCAGTAGACCTTCCAGCACAACGTCTCCATCTTCATCCTGCCTGCCTTCTAATTTCGCGCGCACAATGTCCCTGCGCGCTCGACGAAGAACCTCCTCCTCGCTTTTTCTTATCGTACCGCTCACTCGAACCACCCGAGCGACGCATCGGACCGGAGGAGCTGCACCTCTCTGTGGACCGGGAAGCGTATCCATGAACGTGAGACTTGCCCAGACGAGACTGTAGTGTGCGCGAGGTACACGTAGGATCACTGTGCTCGTGCCCGGGCTAAAGTAAACTATACGTAAAGAGGGCTGGGTGACCGAAAGGCCATGGTCTCCGAAGACGGACTGGATACTCGACCGGATGGCGGATATGAGAAGTTGCGCACTGATGTGGCTCGGGCTCGGACGCGAGAAGAGTACGTACGCTGGTGGTTGGGGAGATGAAGACGATTGTGCAGGCGCGGGAGAGGTGGTGGTGGAAGGGTAGAGGATGTCGAAGAGGATGTAGCGGTGTTTGATGCGCACCATGTTTTTAAAAGAACATCCAGTGTAGGTTGTACAGAAGGGTTCGTCATGGGGGGGACGATCAGATCATCATCGCCTTGAGGATCTACATGCAGCCTTCTCATCCAAAGAGACTTGGATGTTGTTGGTCTTTGGAAAAAAGATCTGCGAACCAGCTTTGGAGCCGCAGGACTAAACTGCGGACAGGCACGAGCGTGCAGGCGAGGCTGGCAATTTACTTGGCAAGGCTGCGCACAGATAGTCCTCTAGGATTATTCCGTATATTAGAGAGTATCCGAAGTCAAAGTCGATTATTTGACCGTACAGTACTCCGTAAAGGGTTCCCAATGGTACAAAGTAGGCATGGTCCAGACTGGTGACATGGCGTCAACTGCTGTCTATGGAAGAGAGACGAAACTCGTGACATTTTGCAACTTGAAACGTGTAGGTTGGGGAAAGACCAATTGACGTGTCGTGTCAATTTTCAGGAGTTCTACCCAGTGACAGGGTGTTCTTACGTGAAACACCTAACGAGGCGCTTAGGCTCGAGGCCGGGGGCGATTCAAGGCTACTCTTGCCCGTCTCACAGAACTTCTAAGCGGAACAGAAGATCTGAAACGTGTGTCCTGTAGATCTTGTTCGTGGCTCATCCTGTTTGATCATGGCGGGCGGAAAGGTCGGCAAAAGATACTACTTTCTTGAGCTGCACAGCCATGACTGAGGCGCTTCCACGAGATCAACGGGTGCGTTCTTGTGGACTTGCTTAGTGACCTTGTCCATGCCCCGAATTCCCAGCGTGTAAGTGCTTCAGCAGCGGAAACTTGATATCCAATAGACCTTTACGATATGACAGGATTTGAGTCATGGCTACTGGGTAATAGGTCAGGATCAGGTCTGTCTTTGTATGAATCAAAAGGTCTAGCCGCGGGGACGATAAGGATGATTGACGTGGAGGATCAATGGTCTGTGGTTTGAGGGAACTATTTACGAAGCGCTTGACGTGATCTGCACCTTTGGGTCCCGGTATATCATGGCTCGTTCGTGGTCGTGCTAGCTAGTACGGAGTAGTTGTGGCCTGCGTCTATACAATAGTATTTTCTTCGAGTGTTTCAGCGTCCATATGCTAGGCGCTTACGCGCACCCTATGACGGTTGTGAGTGGTGGTAAACACATGTTTTCTTTGGGTGGTGTTGCCCCTGAAATTCTGCAACCCGCGTGGCAATACGGAATCGAGGTCGGCAGGCTTGGGAGTGCGGAGAATTTTCAGAGGTTGCAAAAGGGATGGGTATGGTCGTCTAGGCTCTAGAAGGGATGGTGAAGTCTGCAAGATCCCGCGACGAGCGTCGATGGGTGGCCAGGCCGGTGCATCAAGTTGGGCGAGAGAGAAGTGTGAGTGGCCTGGAGAGGCAGAGTGGATGAGGCCTTTGTCCATGTCCTGCGCCAATGGAGAGCGGACTTTATATAGCGCGCAATGAAGAATCCACCCACCGTCAACTGTCAAAGATTGCTTGCACGCGTCCAACTCCATCTCCCTGCAGGAAAGAATCCCTTCTCGATCTCCCCAACATCCATCCAAAGGGATCCAAGGGAAAGGGATAGAGAGGCAACAGGAAAAGTCTGTCGTCGTTCGTTAATTCTACCAACCGTCACTCATTTACACAACCCTCCTTTCTCTCAGACGTCTTTCATTTATCACAATCACACTCACACTCCTTTAGCCGACGGTCGATTCGTCGCTATTGCCTCCATCAATCAACCATTCCTTCGTCAACAGCCGTATCCTTCCTTTACGGCCATCCGATTCACCATTCTAACCAATCTTCGATCCTTTGTAACCATAGCGGACTGAGTCTTGCATCTCGAACATTCCTTACTACCCTCGAACAGTCGGATTGGATCGACAGGAAGTCGAACTTCACCTTGTCTTCACCTCACTTCTCAGCCAAAAGTCACTGCGCACAAGCCAATCTCGCGTGGCGAATTGTACCAAAATTTCGATCTAACCTGTACCACATCGCACAAACAGACTGTACGGTAGAAATATCTCACCAGGCCTCCCTACTTTAAGCATCATGTCTTCCTCAACAATGTCTCTTGCTCGCGCATTTACACGGCGCAACAAGCGAAGCGTGGGTGAAATCACTCCCTCAAGAGGTACCAGTGTCAAATACGCTCCGGGAACCATCAATCGCAGTCAGATCTCACTTCCCACTGAATTGATCTCGACCACCAACGTCCAGGCGTTGAATGCTCCCGACATTCCTGGTGCCTCTGGATCGTCCACGGCCTCACTCTCCTCTGCCAGCGACTCCGACTTCTCCACCATCGACCGAAGCTTCCTGACCAATGCGGCGAGCGACACATCATCCATCGACGACAGCGGCCCCGCGACCCCCGTTACACCCGCCTCGGAAGATACCAAATCATTCTTTGATTTGAAGCAAAGCCTGTCGGCAGTTCCGGCCCTTGCTTCACCTCATGCTGTCGAGACACCTGCAATTCCAAAACGTGCCCTGTCCCACTCCAAAGAGGCACACGTCCTATTGTCACGAAAGCGATCGATTCAGCGCATGTCACCTCCCCCCACCACCCTGAACAAGCCAACTACACGGAGTAGCGCCGATATCTTCTCTTCATCTGCCGACCCTAATCACCCATTCGGTAAAGAGCTGGCACAAGTGAATGAGGTTGCGGAAGAGTTTGGTGCCACGGCCCGATTACTGGAAGAAGAGGAACAAGAAATGATGAACAAAGGTCTTCGCAAGTTCGGTGTGGAGGAATACCTGGACGAAATAGCAGGCCTCTATGGTGGAATCTTCGAAGACAAACTCGGCTCAATCGCGAAGCCGTGGATCTAAAAGATCTGGTTGTTGGATTGGCCCGCGGGCTGATTCATGCGCCAAATTCACGACTTTACGACGATTGATTTTCTAAAAGCGAATCGCTGTCCAGGGTGGCTGGCTGGCGAAATGCGGCGTCTCACATACCGTTGAGGACATTATTTCACGTCACTCCTTTACTACAACCTTTAGCATTGTTCTTTTCACGCACACACACCTCGCCTTATTCCACCGCCGGATGGATGAGAATGGACTTGTGTACCAGGCTCATGTGGACTGGAGCCAAATGAACCATGTGCACCCGGGTCAGGATTTGAGCAACTAACCCTGAATGGGAATCTTGATCATGAAAGAGATGTCAATTTTCGAGCTAGAGGGGATTCCTTGATTGGAGATTTTTTTTCTTCTGGTCAAGATGAGACAGATGATGAGGCGGTCAGAAAGACAAGGGCAGGTGAATCTTGTATTACAACCTACCATGATGAAGCAACAGATGGAGCTAGTTATCCTGAGAAATAAGAGAAACGAGGACCTGTTTAGAAAAGCAAAAGAATAAGACCTCATTTCGATATATCATGTTCAACCTTCGCTCCCCTGGCGTGAGGACTCGTAACCCACCTGTGATGACGAGGATCTGTAGTCCAATGTCTTGTATTGTAGAAGTACAAGTGATCGTCCCAGGGGTCTGTGCCCCATTGCAAAGGTACAGTGCTCACACTACCTACCCGAGTAGGTATATGGAGGCGAAAGGCCCGTATTTCCGTCGATAGTGGCACGGGCTATCGAGGGTTTGACAAAAATCCGAGTCTACGATACTCATACTCCAAGAATAAATGTAAGCCTTCAGTAATGCCGTATTAAGAGACTTTATTATGACCTTGCCAAAAGTCAAGGCAAATACTTGATATATCTATATGACGTTAAGCAGAGGGTTTTCTCCTTCGAGCACGTAAACAAAACATGTCATTGCAAGAGCCCCTCGTACTGTTTTGTCCCCAGCTGAACAGGGATGTTGAAGGGCCAACGCTCGGCAAAATCCAGTCTTCGTCATTCGGCTAAGTGAAAATCAGTGGAGATGAGTTCGATAAATTAATTCCCAGCTGGAATGTTCATGGCTTGCTATTGATCGAACCTCAGCTCAAGATTCCAGCCTGGTGGGCGCACACGTTGATAAGCTCCATACTATTCATGTACTGTACATACAACAATCAATCAATCTCATCTGTGCGGATCAAAGCCGCGACGACACGTACTTCTTCCTGATCCATCTTCGTCTGCTTCCTGCTCGACCTGGCGAGACACAGACATACACACATCGATTCATTCTTTCCCTCTTTCCCTCTCGTCTGTCGCTATCGCACCCTCCTCCACGATTACCCTTGATCTCCCTAGCAAAATTCACCTGCGATCACTCTACTCATCCAATTATGCTATCGCCGTGCCGAACGTGATTCCTCACCGCGAACTGCGACTATAGAGGCTCTGAACCTTTGCGACGCACATCGAGCGCGCTCTCCCAGCCATGGACGCCAACCACGCCCTCCTCCAGACACGTCAAAGTGTTAATCAAAACAACGACCAAAACATTGGTTCTGCGCTCAACAGCTCACCCTCTCTATCAGGCCTGATCTCGACACTGGTCCCCACGCTCATCATCGCCGTGGTGTACTTTGCGCTCTTCGTCGTCTTGCGATCCCGATTTCCTAGACAATATGCGCCTCGAACGTATCTGGGTGCCTTGCGCCCTCAAGAACGAACGCCGGTGCCGCCGAATACACTCTTTGGATGGATTCCGTTTATGAGAAAGGTGGGTTGTGTTGACGGATACCAAATACCTGGATGAGAAACCTCTCTGACCGTGGCATAGCTCCCCGACGAATACGTTCTTCAACACAACTCCCTCGATGGCTATTTCCTCCTGCGATACCTCAAGATGTCCATTATAATCTGCTTCGTGGGATGCTGTATCACATGGCCGGTTTTGTTCCCGGTCAATGCAACCGGCGGTGGTGGTCAAAAGCAGCTCAATGTGCTGAGCTTCAGCAATGTCCAGGATAAGAATCGTTACTTTGCCCACGTTTTTGTGGCTTGGATCTTCATCGGATTCATCTTCTTCCTGGTCACTCGGGAGCTCATCTACTATATCAACTTGAGACAGGCCTACCTCCTGTCGCCCTTGTACGCTTCCCGGATCTCTTCCCGCACCGTCCTATTTCAGTCAGTTCCGCCCAAGTTTGCGGACGAAGCCCGAATCCGTAGAATGTTCGGCGATGAGCTCAAAAATGTATGGATTGCCTCCAACGCCAAAGAACTGGACGAGATGGTCTCGGACCGTTACAAGCTCTGCATCAAACTCGAGACAGCCGTGACCAAGCTGATAAAGCTCGCAAACGATGCCCGTCTAAAATCACTCAAGGGAAAAGATCCAGCGCCTGAAAGGCCGACTTACGACGAGGAGGAGTATGGCGAAGAGTCAGGCTCAGCGGCGGCTCGTTGGGTTAGACCCAAGGATCGTCCCACCCACCGTCTCAAACCATTGATCGGCAAAAAGGTTGATACCATCAATTATTGCCGCGAGGAGATTGGTAGACTGAATCCATTGATCGAAGCCGAACAGGACAAGTACCGGTCAGGCGAATCCAAGGCTAGAAATGCAGTCTTTGTCGAATTCTGGAACCAGACTCAAGCACAGAAGGCCTTCCAGATGGTCACTCACCACCAGCCCTTGCATATGTCGCCTCGTGTCGTGGGCCTCAGTCCTGAAGAAATTGTTTGGTCAAACTTAGGTATTACCTGGAAGACGCGCACTATCCGGAATATCGTATCCCTGGCTGTCGTTGTTGCACTGATCATCTTCTGGTAAGTTCAAATAATGGGACAACGGCTTCGAGTGACATACTTATCTTCTGGTCAGGTCTATCCCCGTTGCTTTTGTCGGTTCCATCTCCCAGATATCTTATCTCACAGAAGTCGCCCCGTTTCTGAAGTTTATCAACAACTGTCCAAAGGTCATTCTTGGTGTGATCACAAATCTCCTCCCTACTATCATGCTTTCGCTGCTCATGTCTCTTGTGCCTGTCATAATGAGATTCATGGGGAAGATAGCAGGAAAGGTATGTCACTAATTCCAACAGCACTTCGCTCCTTTCTTCTGACTTGAAATCTAGCCTACCCTCTCACTGATCGAACTACGATGCCACGAATCATTCTTTTGGTTCGAAGTTATTCAAGTTTTCCTGGTGACCACCATGACTTCTGCTGCCAGCGCTGCAGTACCACAGGTTATCCACGAACCTGGGACCATAACCACAATTCTTGCAAAAAATCTCCCCCTAGCTGCCAACTTCTATATCTCCTACTTCATCCTCCAGGGATTGGTCTTCTCGTCTGGCCAACTTTTGCAGATCGTAGGTCTGATCCTCTACAACGCCGTGTCCAAAGTACTCGATAAAACACCACGGAAAATGTACGACAGATGGTCCAGCTTGTCATCAGTCAGCTGGGGAGATATTTTCCCTGTGCTCGAAATGATGACCGTGATCTCTATCACATATTCTCCCATAGCACCATTGATGATGGGCTTTGCGACAATCGGACTGGGACTGTTCTACTTTGCATACCGATATAGTCTACTGTTTGTTGACAGCTCAGTCATCGATACCAAAGGTCTCGTCTATCCAAAGGCTCTACAGCATACTCTGGTTGGCTGTTATTTGGCAGTAATCTGTATGATTGGTTTACTCGGTATACGAGCCGCTCCCGCTCCGTTGGTGCTGATGATCATTCTTCTGGTTGTCATGGTTCTCTACCACATTTCGCTGGCATCCGCCGTCAAGCCTCTACTACACTACCTGCCACGCTCTCTCGAAGACGAAGAAGCTGCACTCCTCGAGGAAAACGATACAAGTGGACTGTCATCGGATGCCCGAGGAAAGAATAGTGTATCCGAGAAGAACCCCATCGACGAGTTGCGACAAACAAAAGAAAGCATGCGTACAACTGGCGACCAAGAGACGGTCCCGATGTGGAAACGTTTTTGGAGGCCCGACATTTATGCTAGTTATGCCGTGCTGAGGAAATTGGTGCCGCAAGATTTTGCCGAGATCAGGTATTCACCCGAAGTCGAACGAGACGCGTATCAAGACCCGGCAGTCAATGCGATTGCACCATTGCTGTGGGTTCCACATGATGATATGGGTGTGTCGAGGCAGGAGTGTTTCCACACGAACAAGGTCGTCCCTATGACCGACGAAGGGGCGTATTTCAACGAAAAGGGCAAGATAGTATGGAGCGAGGAGGAGACGGGTGGAAGGCCACCGATTTTCGAAGAAAAGATTTATTACTGATGAGAGGATTCAAGAGTGGTGGATTTGAAAGAGCCTCATGGGAAGTATGAGTTTGCTGCAAAGCATGTGTGACTCCTTGTTACCTGGGCGTCAACAGTAGCCCCTCGAGAAGATGAGCTCGAGCACGATCAAGACGTTGACAGTAGGGGGTACACTGGGAGCGTCTCTGGTCGTGTCGCTGTCAATAGACTTTGTTTGAGAGAAAAAAGGATACCCTCAAGTTAGCCATTAGCTAACAATCATATTGTTCATCTTTTGAATGTGTATGTATGTACAGTATATATAATCACTTGGTGTTTGATACTAACTGGTGCAACATGTCTATCGTCTCTTTTTGTTTGAAATACTTTTTTTGGGATTGAGCTCTTGGACCCGAACAAGGGTAACTCACGCAGGAGTTTTCTCCATCACGTACTGTTGAATCCCCCCCCCCCATCAATATGTACCTGATAGGGACACTTGCTTTGGGTGTCGAAGAGAACCATTTCTGACTCTGTTTCTTCTATACTAGGCTATCAGGCGCGCGCACACACACACACCCTCAAGACCACTCGTCCTTTTGAAAATCTTGCATGTGAGATTGTTCGTATTTGGGTCCGAACTTTGGATCCTCAAAGACATTCATTCATCGGGGAAAAAGAGAGAGAGAGAGAGAGAGAGAGAGAGAGAGAGAGAGAAGAGGGGGGGAGAAAAACCGAAGGCAGGTGGTGGTGTCCGGTTCGCGACAGTTGCCGGCAGTTTACCATGGACGCCGGTCTCCTGTAGATGCCCCGTACCGTAACATGCCTCCTCGTCTTTCTCGTCCACCATGGTGAGCTCGTGATGTGCCTGAGCAAAGGCAAAGTGAAAAAAGAAAGGGGAGGGGGACGCGAGGCGAAGTCCATTCCCCCTCTCCTGGCCGTGGCTGACGGTTTGACTTTTTCTTGCCAGAAGTCCTGAAAAGAGCAAGTCGAGTAGTTCCGAAAGAGTTCATGACGCTGACGGCGACGACAACAGCGACGACAGGGAAACAAACATCACACAACACGCAGCATGTGCCACGAGCAAATCAAAAAATAATACCAGATGTTTTAGGACGCCAGCTCAAAAGTCTCCATGGGTTTTCCCAAAATGGCAGTGAGAAAGAGAATATCCACCCTCGAGAGATCCGGATCGTAAAGTCAAGGATCGAAAATGTCATGTCACAAACTCACGACGACGACAAACTGTCATTCTTGCCAAAAAGGGTAACTCGAGTAGTGGAATACGATACGAGGAGAGAGAGACACACACACCGTGGGAACCCAGTCCGGACCACATAAAACTTTGGTTCGTCGTCTCCATCGATGCCGTTCCCGTTTGACACCCGAGAAAAAACGTGGTTGACCACTTGTGGTCAAGGGAACTCATTTGTCCCTCGAGAATGTAAAAGAAAAAGTCAATGCCACGCGGACCTCCCCTACCTGACAGCACTTCTCGGTACCGGACTTTGTTTCGAAACCAACAAAGGCTTTCAACCGTCAGGGCCAAGGCCGCGGAAAAGTCAGTCGAAAAGACCGAATCGGACCGCCATCGTTTCCATGGATCGGAACCAGCTGAGAGAAGACGAGCTGAATGTTGGTGGACCATCAGAGTTCGCCGCAATACCTTGACATCGTCGAGAATGCCATGTCTATGACTATTCAACGACGAGCTTCAGCTTTCACGATAGGGGAGTAGTAACGTTGTGTGGCATGCCATTGTGGTGATTGGAATGACTTGGGCCCATTAGTCGCCCAGATATCTACTTCGGAAGCAATAGAAAGCACTCTGATCCAGAGAGCCGACCGTGACGTGATGAAGTTGGGGGGGAAGAAGAAACGACACACAATCCCAAAGATGTACCAGGGGCATTTCCCAGCTGGGACGTTCCCGCTGGTTCACCTACCTGCAGCAGAGTCCGGTCTTGACATGGCATGTAGTCATGGCTGAATCGCTCAGAGACAGTTCGGGTACTTCGTGAGTACGCAGTCTGGGCCCAAAGTCGATGATATGACGATGCAGGAAGGAAACTTTTTCGAGACCGCCAGTGCCGGCATCGCCGAACACTTCATTTTTCCATCCACCCGCCACATCATGGCGAGATAGAGTTTGGGTCGTTCATCATCATCACCAGTACTGGTCCTCTGAATGAGACAGTGCGTGATTCGTTTGGCTAGTGTGGCTCGCTTGGATACTCCGACACCGACGGTTTGACAATCAGCTGGCTCATTCGAGTCAAGATGCTTCAAAGACAGTCCGACTGCACGTTGGAATCCGTGACGTTTGACATCTGCGGTCTCGAATCTGTCACATTTTGCAAGGACATACTCCGGATATGCTGAGTGATGTAAAAAAAAAGTGTATTCCGTATGTCCCTTACGAGAACCGGGGTTGCCCTCGGCTCGGGATTGGTTGACGTGTTGGGTGTGTGTCTTCGGACCGAGGAGACGCGGGAGCATCAAACACCATCCGAAGCTCTTGCGAAGTACTTCCGTGCCTGACTTTCGACCAGAACAACAGTTGAATTTTCATCACGTCGCGTTAAGATTTGAGCAGGGACAATTAATCGTCGAGAATATGGAGTACTGTACCCACGCATGCTGTCTGTTCAAGCATGAGAGCAGGGTACTGCTTACAAGGTGTACAGACTTCAATCGTGGCCCGGGCCGTTGTGGGAGGCCTAAACATCAAAGTACGTGTTTTGGGGGCTGATTAAACCGGAACCGCACCTGGAGTGATGTGTGAATTCCTTATTGCAGCACTAAGTGATAATAATAACGAAATTGTAATTCTGCCCTAGAGTCCAGGGGGTTGCGTGCTTGGGATTGGCAAATGGCGGTTGCAGGCGAGAGACAAGCCCCCGGTCGTCATGTGGGCTTGACCAGCAAACATCCCTGAACTTCCAAAGAAGGTAACCGGCTTTCATGCAAGTCATCGTTGAGGACCAAATGTCCTTGGACAGTCGACAATGTACAATGCAAGTTGAAGTAATCACTTGACTTCGCTTCGCGCGAGGGCGTAGTCTGCGTGGAAATCGATGTGCAGCGCTCGTCGCCCACGTTTGGGCATGGCAAACGAGCGCTCCATTGAAAGTGCACTGATGATCAAAAGCCCAATTCGGATACTCACATGAGATGAGCAGGTTCATGTGCTAGCAGCACCTTGAGAAAAGACAGCCGCCAAAAAAGAGCCAGATGGGAGCTGGTATTGTAGGACCCGAGTGTGGGACAGTCCCCAGTCAAGCGGCCTTGAGGAAGCGTCAGTAGTGTCCTGTGGCTTGAGATTGCTCAGGAAGGCTTGTACGGCCCGTGTTTGACGATCATCTAGAAGCCATTGAAACGGGCTAATTCTGGTTGCCCTATGGGGGTGTGATGGGTGTGCTACAAATATCATCGGAATATTTCTTGTTGGCTCTCGCAGTCACAGACGAGGGCTCTTGGGAGTGGTCAATAATAGCCGATGCAAAGATGCGACCTCGACTACCGCCCATCGCCAAAGGGGCACCCACAGATATCTTTTGGCTGGAGGGGATTCCATCTCACGAAAGATGCCCCAGCAACTGGGTGAATTGGTTAGGGCCAAACGTTGAAGGCATTATCCCTTCGGTTTTGAAATTCAATCTAGCTGAATTTCCAAAACTTCCCTGTTGCCAACTTGCTAGCTTGCTATCATTGGCTGCATTGGGATCGGGGGCGTTGGAAAGCTGTCGATCATTGTGGTTCACTCCTAATAGTGCCAAAATGTCGGTGAGACAAACCTTACAATGATTCATGAGGTAGGCCTGGCCGAGATAGAGACTGCAGGCACTCTCCGTACTGGTGGCAGGGAAGACTCCGCGAGGCAAAGCCTCCAGCACAACATTGAGACACGTAGGAGAGCGCTTCGGTCCGAGGGCGATTTCGCTGGACATGAGGCCAGTCTCGTGCACGCAGAAGTGGCAGGGCCTCCAACGTGTTCGACTGCTGCTGGTGGACGAATCGTTGCATGCCGCATGGCTTGTATCTTTCACCATTGGTTCACGTAGAGATCGGCCATACACGAAGCTCGTCGGGCGCAGGCATGTGGTTTGCTGCGTGCATTCTCATCTGCATATGAAACTTGACATTTCCTGGCTGCTGCGTTGGCCATCGAGCTGCTACGAGTACGCTCTCTGTGTTGTGCACTTCCCCCCCATGGAGTTCCACTATTGTTCAGATGATGTGACAAGGTGGGTCGAAGCTGGAGTCTTTCGGCCGCAACACTTGTTACTAGTACTCCGTACAAAGGATTTAGACCAGTGTTGGTGACAGGGGCTGTCAACGCTTGGTTGCCGAATCCATCGATCTTGAGTGGACCTGGCTTTGGTAATGGGGCACCGGGAGATGCTGAATGTGATGCACAGGAAACGTCGGACAACAGGTACGAGGAAGGACGGATGCATATTCGATGCTCTCGAGGGACCAGAGGCCTACCAAAATTCTCTTTTTCGTGGTCCTAAGAAGATACATACCTACGGCTGTAGCCGAATACTGTGGGCGAAGTACTGGGTGTAACGAACTGCTCCAGCATTCGGTTGCCAGACGGAGAATGGCTCGATAATGTTGTCTTGTTCTGTACGCAGCAGGGTATTAACCGAATAGAATCCGGACGGTGTCTCCCTCACGATCTGGCTGTGTGCAGACTGTTTCTGGGCAAACACGCGTGCCGGACCGCGCGGATGACATACTAAACGATAGTGTCTAGTCTGACAAGTCATGCTAGGATGAAATCGAAGACCAATAGTTGGAGGTAGCGAGGAAAAGGCCAGTCAAGTCTGAAAGCAACGGTGGAGGATTTCTCCTCGCACTGGAAGAAGGAGGAGTGGAGATGACAGCTAGCAGAATGAGACTTGACTGAGATAGGACATTGACAAAGGGTTTGAAGCGGATACTCGTTCAACGCCCCGAGCCTAGCAAGATGAAGCAATGATGGACAGAGGACGAGACAAAACCGGGCAAGGGAAAAAGTGACGGAAGGACGGGGGTTCCGAGGTAGAGGGAGAAGATGAGGGAGATGAGGGAGATGAGGGCCGAGGGAGGAAAAATTCAATTAATTGACTCTGTTTTAGGGCAGAGAAGGTGTAGATCATTCTCTGACTACGAGTATTTGTTCTGTACTGTGCAGTACTACATACGTCAGACAGGTAGCTGAAAACTACCTTTAAGGTAGGATTACAGGAAGAGCACAGGCATCCCTCGTCCCTGGGGGAGCACAAGTCACCTAGGTACTCCGTACCGTCCTCGTAGGTGCCGTGCTGAGAGTGTGGCTTAGGCTATGATTCTAGTCAATAATGCTCTAACGGAGTACTGTATTGTACCATAGGCGGAGTTCCCACACAAACCTACAGTAGGTGGGCTTCTGGGCGTGTGGTATTGTACCCGACCACCCCTGCACATCTCTTAGAGACCCGGAACCCTGTAGGGTAGTGGGCAGAGTTGTAGTCGCCGTAGTGGCTGCTACTCCAGCACTGCACAATATCCTCCTCCCTCTTCTCCTTCCACTCCACTCTCGCTCGCTCTCTCGTTAATCACAATTTCTTACACTTGACCATTCCACCTCCTCCATACTCCGTACAATATCCTCGTATTACCCGTTCTTCCTCACTCTTCCAATATTCTCGCCCTGACTCTTCCTCTTCCTCTTCTCTAATTGAATCCGTCGCACAGAGGCCGCTACTATTTCCAGCATAGTGCCGGCACGTCTGGGGTTCATCGGCAGAGCAGGATCTAGCTGTTGGCAAAAATCGCCAATACCTGGCCTGCGTCTTCCTCTTCTTCCTACTCCTCCTCCTCATACATTACTACCACCCGAGACTTCCCACCATACATCACGACTGTTGTCTCTGTTTCTGCTCGTCTCTACATATTCTTTGTTACTTCCCGCCATCAAACAGCATTCACCTTCCTTGACCTCACTTCCTCGACGGTACCACCGGGTACAATACAGTTTTCATCAAACCCACCTGAAACTATCTTTGCGTTCTTGACTCACGACACTTTGATCGGCCTTGCATAAAACCCGGCTTTGAGCAGCTTTGATTTGCTTTCCATACCTTTCACCCTTCCAACACCGTGGAATCGTCGCACTGCGCTTGGACAACCCGCCGTGTTCCTACCTGCACACCACATATTGACCCGCCTCGCACGACTTTGTGTCTCGGAGAAACTATGTACTAGAAGCTGTTCAACTGCTACTGTACTTGATTATATCCGACTCTCCTTGGTGTTCGAAGTGGCCATTTCTATACCATGGATGCCCACGGAAGCTTCGTCTACCTGGTTGAGAACATACCAGTCTGGAAGACGAGCGCTGAGTCGATCGCAACGCGTGCCTCCAGAAAGCACGCCGAGTTCGCTGCCGAATTTGCTCGACTAGTGCACCAGACGAAGCCACAGCGAAAGAAGACGGCCTCAGTTGCCTCGATTCGAACCGATGAGGAGGAAGACACCAACGAAGAGCTTTCGTTGCCTCCACAGATAAATATCAATCCTCTTGAAGCCGGCAATAGATATCTTTACGCCCAAGCAAATAAGAAACGAAAGGCGGGAACTTCTGTCCGCTCTAATGCGTCGGGTTCTCAACAATTCCGAAACAAGAACCGAGTGGTGATCTATTATGATGGCGATATACAATCACAACTCACATCCTTGGTCAAGGACATTGGTATTGGGCGAAACAACCTGCGTAAAGGCAGAAACTCGCTCACTGTGGAGCGGGGGTTTCGACTTCCGCCCCTTAGAGCAGCCCAAGAAACACCTTCCGTGGACAATTTAAGAAGTACGACAACCATCATGTCCGGGAAAAAAGCCGTCGAGCCGCTGGTCCTCAAGGTCACTGACCCCAACGAAGCCGGCTTCCTTCAAGTGGACAAAGAGCTTGAGTCCATCCAAACTCTATGCGAAACTGCTGCGCACCAAATCCTCCGTGATGGAGATTGTACCATCGAATTGGACAAGATCTTATCCAAGATAGAAGCCGTGTGGCAGCAAGCAGCCGATACGGCCGCTTCATTAAAGATGCTGAAGCAGGAGCAGCAAGAGTTTTCTTCTGACCTGGGCTCATCAGATGCCGAGTCTACTCCTGTAACCCCCATCTCACCTATGTACGGTCATCGTCACAAGAGTTTAAATATGGATCAAGGCCCTAGGGGGTTTAACACCACTCTCTGCGATATGAGAAGTCGTGGAGCTTTCTTGGGCACACCTGCGATTGCGGCAGACTCGAATGTTGGCCTTATGGCCGACAGTATCGAGGTTGATGATGCCAGCGATCAAGACTCCGTCAAGCTGGACCTCACCCAATTTGGTTTGGGGAGAGCAAGACGTACCCGGATCTAAGTGGACCGAAATCATCTCGACCTACTCTCATTTGTTTCAATCTCCTTGTATAAACTGTCGTTGGCTTTTTTTGTCGTTGCATTTCAGCGTCTTGTCTGGTACCCGGAGCATATATGCATCATTGAGCGGAATTTGATTTGATTTCCTTTTTGTTTTCGGTCTTTTCAGAAGCAAGAGAAGAGACAGCAACATTGTTTGACCGTCTATGGACGATGAAGATGGGAATGTGGAGGGATACTCGTGGTGGAACAGCACGCAGGAAACGAGTGGTGCTACGACTGCCAGATCCTAACTCTTGCCAGAGGCAGCCATCTCGATTTTCTGAGAAAGATTACAGGTTCAACGATGTGATCTTGAGAGCATGGGAGGTTTATTGTGGCCACTAGGAAGCATAGCGGCAGCGCAGATCAACTATGGAGAGGGTTTTTGTCTTGAGCCCCGTGTCATATCTGGCATGTATTGGCAGCTATCGTGACCGAGTTTTGGAAAGAGGGAGATGTGATATCAGAATGTTACGGCCGCTTTGAATATGGGAACCACGGACTGACTCGGGCTTAGGGGATCTTTTGAGGGGGTTTCATCTATGGATATCTATTGTGATTGCCTTTTAGCGAAGCGGAACAAAGATCGGGTCGAGTCAAATAGCTGAGCAGTGTTTTCTGAGCAATGACAGTCCTATTTTCCTATCTGTTCTACTTTATGTTCAGGACCTTGTTGTTTGTGTATTGGAAAGTATTTTGCCGACCCTGTGTATGGCTTCTTCGCAGGCAGCACACGGTGGTACTCTGGATTCTCCGTCACGTACGGAAGTAGCTGCTGACCTTGAAACATTTGGTCAATGTCAGCATGTTCTGAAACCTCGGGAGATACGAAAATGTGTTTTCCGTTCCTCTACGGATACAATTTTTCGCAAGACATGTGCAGGCCGACGTGGATAATGACAGCCTTTTTCGCCTTTTCTAGCTTTTTGAAAGTATAGACTTTTTTTTTGCCTCGCGCTGATGAGCGAGAGAGAGAGAGAGAGAGAGAGAGAGAGAGAGAGAGAGAGAGAGAGAGAGAGAGAGAGTTGTGGACTTGTGCAAAAGTATGTGTTTGCCGTCAATGTCCCGATCCGGCAACTTGGACAGTCTGGCAGAAAAGGGAAATGTATCTTGCCTTTTCTTTCCTCTTTTCGTACAGTTGGATACGAGAATACAAAACTCGGTTGCTTTTTCGAAGACGAAGTACTAGGTACCTGATAAATTGGCCAAGGGTGAATCAAGCCACTCCTTGCAAGGTAAGGCACGGAAGACGCGAAATGTCAAACAAATTGAATCAACGACGGATCGCACGGGATCGAAAGGTGCATCCCCCCCCCAAAAAAACACCATGACATTCCTCACATGCGTGTGTCTCGACGACCAGCAGACGGGGAAGTACTTTGCGAACGGGAATCTCAATGGTCTCGACAGTTTGGGTCCCTCCGTGTAAGGATGAGGACGCCTCTAGGATTGGAAGAACCAAACAACAAACGAGGGACACGAGATGTGGAAATAACGAGGATCACAATCGTGGTGGCGGTGTACCACGCAAGGGAATTGATCGAATGGTTCAAGTTTTTCGTTACAACGGATTGCATCATCATTCGTCCTCTCGGTGGTGGGTTTTCAAGGTGGTCATGATCATGTGTGCAAGACAAGAGTCTATTCTTTCGTATGGACTCCTCCCCAACGACATCCTTGTCCGCTTTCCCTCTTTGATACTTTGGCAGCACGCATGGGTTTTGAGTCGAAAAGAGTCCAGTCCGGTCCTGTCAGACTGGAGAACCATGAGGAGAGGAAAAGGGGGCTGGGTTGATGCTGGGGGATTGCGTGACACCTTGATTGTGGAAAGATATCCTAACCAGGGCATCCCTGGCGTCCCTTGGTTGGATGGTCCAGCGGTGGCGGTGACGGACTGAGATCTTGTTCTTCGATCGATCGACGGCGCAATCTCGTGCGTTAGTCCATTCGAGTCCATACAACCGAAACCCGTGGAGACCAGTAACGTCGATTTTCATCTGACTGTGTCGAAAGGACTCAACCCGTGTTCAAGCGCCATTGCTTGACACGGAGACACCAGCCGCAGCGTCCATGGCTTGTTCTCCTGCCGCCTTCACCCGAGCCTCCTGCACGACACCCCAAAACAGTCTTTTCTTGACCTCGCTAGCTAATAGACCAGCCATCTCCTCGGATGCGATCTTGTTGCCTCCTCGGACGACTTGCTCCAACGGGCCATTTTTGATCACCCTGAAATCCTTGTCGCCGCTTCCCGCCAATTCTTGACCTCTTCGGTTGAAGCTCATCCCTAACTTTTGCGCCCTGGTGACGTCTTTGATCTTGATTGTATGGTCGGCGATCTGCTTATTCGCGTAGTCTCTATTGGTAAACAGTGGCGACTGTGAGATTGTCGCCGTCCAGTATTTGTTCCAAAGAAGGTCGAGTACATGTGTGTCGAGGGTAGACTTGTAGTGGGACACTTCGAGGGGATAGTACGAGTGGGCATGTGCACCAAAGTCCTCTATCTTCCCCGGCGGGATGGCCTGGAAGTCTTCTCCGTCTTCCGTGTAGGCTTTGTCACTTGGTCGTTGACCCTCGGGATATGTTCTGAAAGCTCCGATCTCGACTTTTCCCGCGCTGACCGTCCGATCCGGGTCGATGACCACGGCTACGAATGGATCGTTGACCATCTGTTGGTTCATCTGCGTGTGCACGTCGATGCCCGAGAGCCAGCAGCCATAACCAGGGTGTGAGTGGTACCATCCGATGGGATTCTCGAGTTGACCGCCTCCTTCCCTTGACATGATGCCAAAGTTCACCATGTATTCGTCTGCATCGGCATGTGCGTTGACTCTTGTCTCCGTGCCTTCGACTGGTAATCTGAATGCGTCGGTGATGATGAGTGACGTACCCGAAACATAGCCCGTCATCAGACCCATGATTTCTATACTACCACCGGAACGTGCATGTGTGGTCATCTTGAGGAGAGCGAGAGCAGAAACGCGCACATGTGTAAAGTAATTGAGATCTTTCTTCCATGGTGCGTTGCTCTGGAGGGCTTTGTAGGCGGTAGGGTCAGGGAGGGTGTAGAGAGCGTTTTGAGAGGGATCTATCGTAATTATGCCGTTTTCAGCCTCCCAGTTTCGAAAAGCCGACTTGGTAGACATTAGGGCGACGACCCTACTAGGTCGAAATCGTTACAAGGTGGATGGTTATGTGTTCTTCGTCGAGGCTGCGGTCAGTTCATGCAGTAGACACTATTAATTTAGAAGTGATGATGAATGCGGGGAGTGATTCGTCGGAGAAATGCTTAGGTAATTTCTTAGTTGAGATACACCTCGTTGTTGCTGTGCAACCGCCGAAACAACAACCATCTGGAGCGCGCTTTGCTGATATGCTTGATGGACTCCCACCTGATTCGCACGACGCCGCTTCGACCATCTGGTGGCCTTCTTCAAATGCTCTTTCAGCTTATTCACCATTCTTGTCATTGCCTCTGTTCAACCTGACAGACACCTATCATCAAGCAGCTGGGCCACCAGCCCTGAGTCGCCAACATGCCCGCGCCCATGGACACCAGCTACTTGACGACCCAGGTCACCACCATCATCGGTCAATTGCACTCGATCTTCGATGAGATCGGGGTTCCTCGAAATGAACGCGACTCCAGAGAAACAGAGCTCTTCGCAGCTCTATCTGAAACACTTCACAACCACCTCCGCAGTGTCAACCAGTATGTTGTGCTATTGAGCCCGTGTTGACGAGATGTGCTAATCATTGCTTGCAGGGAAAAGAACGAACTCACCGAAGAGGCGCATAACATAATCAAGACCATCAAACAGATGGAAGCTTCGCTGGACGACGAAAAAGAGAGAGGCTATGACCTGGACAGCAGTGGACTCAGAGTTACCTTCCCTCTTATCGACTGTTTACGCGACCTCAAAGAAAAGTACAACGTCGTCAGCAGGCTCCACCGAGAACGATTTGAACAAGTCAAGAAGCTGGTTCAAGCTCTCGAGTCATACTCGTCGCATCTCGAATCATCTTTCGTCAAGATCAGACTACCTCCCACTTCTTCCACTACATGTCCACCGAACTTCGACTTGTCTCCCTCTTATGTCACAACCCTTGATGAGGAATTCTCACGAGTCTATGATGAGTATAATAGAAGAGTCGTTGTGGTTCAGCAAACCGCAGAAGAGATTGTGAGGTTGTGGTCGGACTTGGGTATCCCACAGGCGCAGACCGATTCTTTGATAGTGCAGCATTATCGGGACTCACCCGAGCAACTAGGACTACACCAGGCAGATTTGGACCGACTAAAGAGCCGGCGTGAGAAACTTGTCGATGAAAAGAAAAGCCGAGAGAGGAGAATCGTCGACATCAAGAAGAACATAGAGAATTTGTGGGATCGATTGGGTATTGAACAAGCAGATCGGAAGGCTTTCCTGGCTGCTAACCGCGGTTGTGGCCTACGAACCATCAACGAATTCGAGGATGAGTTGGCAAGACTCAACGAGTTGAAGAGACAAAACCTGCACTTGTTTGTTGAGGATGCTCGTGTTAGACTTCAAGAGCTTTGGGACTCTCTATACTTCTCGGAGGAAGAGATGCTCGATTTCACACCAGCATTCTCTGATGTCTACAGCGATGCTCTACTATCTGCACATGAGGCAGAGATCGAACGACTTACCACGCTGAAGGAACAGCGGGCGCCAATCTTGACAGTTGTTGAGAAGTACAAGTCACTGGTTGCCGATAAGGAATCACTTGCTGCATCTGCTGCAGATGCTACGAGATTGATGCTAAAGCCACAGAAAGGAGAGAAGCGAGATCCTGGCAAACTCTTGCGCGAGGAAAAGATGAGAAAGAGGATCGCGAAGGAACTCCCCAAGGTTACAGCCGAGTTAACCAAGACCCTCCAGAAGTATGAAGACGAATACGGCAGACCGTTCTTGATTCATGGCGAGAGGTTCTTGGATGAAATGGAAGAAGCAGAGACCAAAGCGCCACCTCCACGATCGAAGACACCAAACGGACTTCCACCGAGATCGAAGACTCCTGCCACTACGCAGCCTGCTAAATCAGCTCCAAGTGCTGGAAAGTCTGCACAGATAGCTCGACCTGCAAGTGTTATGAAAGGCCCTCCACCACGTTCCACAGCCAAAACGCCAACTGGTAGCAGATCCGCAACAATGAGACAACATCCCGCGCCAGCATCTGCTGCAAATGGATGTTCATCACAAGCCAAGTCTCCTTCGAAAATCCCAGCTCGTGCACCATTGGGCACATTGAAGCATGGCAACAACTCACCCGAACGCCGGACGGTTCATCATGCCACATCCCATGCCACATCCCAACCTGCTGAGCCGCAACACAATTTTGGCCAGAGTACGAAATCAATGGGTCCTCCTCGAGCACCTCCTCCCAAAATGAGGGATCTCTTTGTGCCTCCGCAAGAGCCGGCACCTACGACTACAGGGTTGCCCCTCAATCAAGCTCCTGCGACGGGTCGGCCTGCCAGTACAGTTTCTTCAGGATCCAACGAGAGCAACCGTTATGTCCGGCCAATATCCCCAGAAGACGTCTATGATGACCGCGAGCGCATGTCATACATGTCAATATCCCTCCTCAACCGTGATCGTCAACAACATCAGCCACAAGCCGACGCATATTATGCCGGACACATGAGTCAACATCAACACCAGACATCGCATTCTTTAGCAGGTTCAGTCCATGGTCACAGTCATCGGTCAAACCCATCTGCACCCCCTTCCACCAATCAATCGCGCCAGACGTCCAATACGTCTTCCAACATGACGACTGCCACAACAGCATCCGGAAGTGAGAATTGGGAAACATACTCTGACGCTTCGGAGATGGAACCTGAACGCGACGTCAGAGATACGTACTATTCCAAGGTCCATGCATCCACGACGAATACGTTGGGCATGAGTGTCAACCCACACCAAAACCTGAACGGCAAGAGACCCGGTACTGCTGGGGGTGCATTTGCGGGACAAATGGCCCCTCCACCTGCGAAGATGCGCATGCCGAATCAGCAGCAGCAACAGTACGGCTACCAAGGTCAAGCACAGCAGTATGGCCATGGTCAATTCCGTGACATCTCGGACGAGAACATGAATTCCAGTCTATATGGCCACGCGGTGCGAGTCGACGGGAGCGACGCAGCTTGGAGCACCGAGCTCGAAGAGACGTATTGAGGAATTGAGTGCATCATTTAGGCTCGTTCCTAGCGGTGTGTTCGAATCTGCGTCCAGAGCTGGTGATTTTCTCTTCTCTTCTCAAGATATTGTGTTTCTATCCTGACTTTTTTTCGGTTGGAGTTTCTCGTTGGAAAAGAGGAGAAAAAGTAAATCGGCGCATACACACATTGGGATTTTCGGGAGGAGGAGGAGGCGTGCCTCATATCCTCGTCTTCTTCTCCTTCATCATGACCGTTACGATTGCTGTCTTTATTGTGTTGGGAGCTGCGGGCGAAGGGTAGGCGGGTTTTTCTGTGGAGCATGATCTTATAGGTACCTGGGTACATTTGCACGGGGACAGGAACGACCTGGACGGCGCATGAAGAGATGTTCAGGCGAACCTTGCAGATTCAAGTACTCCGTACAGACGGGTTCGATTTCTGTTTCAGTTCCCGCTTTTCGACCACAGCGCAAGCCCCCCAAACCCGACCTTACCTACCCATCCAGGTACGCCAGGTGCTTTGTCTCTGTTTCTGTTTTCCGCCTCCAATGTCGGGACAAAGCTTTTGGACTAGACTAGAGAGACAGACAGACAACAATGCCAATTTTCGGAATATACTTATGATGTACCTTCTTTTTCCACCAAAAGATTATAGGTGGGTTGGTTCTTCGTGATGTACTTGATTGACGTGCATGAAAAAGGTGGCCTACGTGTACGTACGAATTGGATACGGTGTATTCCTAAAGAGTACGATGGAAAAAAAAGACATTGATTCATGCTTCATTGACATTCGTGTGTCTCGTTGGACTTCGTGACCCAACCAAAAAAAAAGACGTGTATCGCAACACGACATCGACTGGTCTTTGTAATGATCCCCTTCCCCTGCTGCCAATAGAAAAGGTAGGTGCTCAGCTAGGTACGTAGGTGCGTAGGTATATAGATGTTCAACGGCAGTGAGTATGTGTGTAGATAAACAAAGTCGATCGATCCATCAATCAACCGACCCGACGCGGACGGAATTTCGCACCAAAATATCAGCCAAAAGACAAGGAGGAGCCGGTGGCCTCGACGTTTGGGGGGATTCTGGTCATTGTCCAATTTCCAGATCCAGATCAAGATCAAGGCCAAGGTGAGAGAAGGGGTTGGATCTGTCCGTCATGGACGATCAGAATCTCGAGGTGGGTCGTGAAACACTTCGAGGTAATAGTGCCTGACCCGGTCACAGATGCCGTGCCGGCCCTTCCAACAGCCGAACTGGCCTTCGTACTCGCAGGCGGTGCCCATGATCTCCTCCCAGAAGCCGCGCTCGACGTCGAACCCAAACACCTCGTTGGCGCGGCTTTCGCTCATCCAGCACCGCACGGCGGTCCCGTTGGAGTCGTGCGTCGGGCCGCCGGAGCCCGTGACCTCGTCCTCGAACCCGCGCATCTGGTGGCCAAAGATCGTGGCCGGGTCGAACTTGGGAAAGTTGGCGTGCACGAAAAACGGCCGGACCTCGGTCGGTTTGATGTCGAAAGGGTTGAAGTCTGTCGAGGCCTCCCCTTCCCCGAGCCGCTCGTGGGGGGGGCCGTTGACCCTGGTGTAGACCCAGTCGGCGATGGGGTCGTGCTGGGCCATGGCGCTGCCGAGGTAGTGGCCGTTGGAGTCGAACCGGCCCAGGGCCATCACCCGTTCGTGGACGGCGTAGTACGGCTCCTTCAGCGCGGCGGCCGCCCAGGCGAACGTCTCCTTGTCACCCTGGCCGGGGGCGCCCTGCGAGAGGAGCGGGTAGTAATAAGTCGGGCCGTAGTAGTTGTAGTACGCCGCCAGCATGATGGACATGTTGTGCTTGGACTTGGAGTACATCAGCTCACCGGACTCGACCGAGGCCCTGACGTTCAGCGGTGGGACCTCGTCGATTTTGGCAATCTCGAAGTAATACGGAGATTCCGAGGCGAACCAAAAGTCCGGCCACACGATCATGCCCGTGCTCTTGAAAGGTTCCTGCTCGAATATGGTGATGGGGTTGTAGATGGGAAAGGCGTCCGAGTCGAGCAGCAACACCTCCTCAAAGGACGAGAAGAGAATGGCCATGATCTTGTACTGGAAGCGGTCGATGGCGACGCCAGACTCGGCGGCTCGGAAGATGTCCTGCAACACCAGACACTTGGCATTGAGCGTCGGCAGGACCTTGGTACAAATCTCCTCGTCGTACTCGTCCGGGTCGGCCACGAACACCTCGACGGGCAACAGGCACCACGTCCTGCGCAGCATGCGAATGGAAATGACCATGACGGGGAGTTGTTTGAACCCCGCGGTCATGACCAGGCCCCGGCTGCCCGGTTCATAGGGCATTTTCGGGGTGGACTTTTTCATGTCATTTATAAAGTTGGAATGGGCCTCCCTCATGCGCTTGATGTCCTTGGACTCCATGAACAGTATGTCCGGTCTTTGGTGGTTGTGGGAGGGATCATATCCAATGTCCAACTTTTGAGGCACCACAGGGTCCGGTGGATGGTCACAGTTCGGGTCATTGTTCAAGATTAAGAGGTATAGATCTCGCCAGAAGGAAGCCTGGCTTTTGAGGAGAGGGCTCGTGGGACGGGGCGCGGGAGTCGGGACGACGGCCTTTGGTGTCTGCCGGGTCGGGCTCGAGTAAAATCGAGAGTGGAGGTAGAGGAGGAGGAGGAATATCAGGAGAAACTGGCCAAAGAGACTGAATCTTCGACGATGCCATTGACCACGGAATCGAGACGGCCGCGGTAGAAGCATATTATCATGATTGTTGTTATTGGGAGAGACACAGCATGATTTCGGTCCGGGGAGGGAGAAAGCAGCGATTCCAAGATCAACTGCGGCAAACAAGGACAAGGGCAGAAAGTGAATGAGGAGGAAAAAAAGATACGAAAGGTTGCCCTACCCGTTTAAGCGACGTTGAAATGGTATAGAAACCTGGAAGGAGAGTGGATTGTTGGTCGTAGAGAAGACTCCGTAGTGGAGAGAGGGAAAGAAATATGCGACGTCGTCGAATGGAGAATTCTCAGCCGATGATGGGATGAACCCTGAAGAATTGACACGGGAACAGACCATGGACCTGGACAGGCATGTGCCATGTATTGAACATCGTTGTTTCATATGTGGGACATCAGTCGCCGTCCGTCGTCGATTGTTTGACGTCGAATGATGTGCGTCGACAAGAGACAAGATGGCGAAAAATCTGAAACCTCTGTGGCATGTGTTGAAGTAAATATAGAAGTTTGCTCATGGAGTTAAATAAATCATGCATGGTTGTTTTACGGACTCCGATTTGGTAGAGTAACAGCGACCCCTGTCGCCTACAATCTTCCGTCCTTATGGCCTATTGGCCAACTTTTTAGGCATGCCCAATAGGTTAGAACTGTCACTAATAGGCTCTCTTTTCCGCAGTCTGGGGGCATCCCTGAAGAAATCCAGTAGGTACTTCACACTCACTGACCTGGGCGACCTGTGATCTATTCCTGAGACCAATCAACCCGAATTCCCATGATATCTGTACTTTCCAACATCCATCTGATCAGTGAGTTAACCAACACACACACTCCATACGTGGATATCTTCATCATGGCACCGTGCAAGCGCCATCAACAACAATATTCGCACCAGTCATGAAGCTCGATGCATTCGAGGCACAGAACAGGTAGGCCTGTCTCTCCATGTCAGTTGGTGTTGTGTCTTTCACAACAATCATAACTCACCCCTTTCAACTCATATGTCTCCCCCATGCGTTTTGCTGGAGTCAACGCAACCCATTCATCCGACAACTCTTTGGGCACTCCATCCAACATATCTGTCCAGATATATCCAGGACTGACACAATTGACTCTACAAAAATCTATCCATTCGATCGAAAGACTCTTTGCCAAATGTATCAACCCAGCCTTGGAAGCGTTGTACTAGTTTCATCATATAATTCATCAGCATTGAGAGCAAAAAAAAACCCAATGTTTCAAGCATGTTCTGAGACCGAGGCCTCTGTCGTCGAGAGGAGTCGATCGAGGTCAGGGGGCAACAGCCAAAAGGAAGAGGAAAAAAAACTCACAATGGCCTGCTTGTCGGGAATATTTACAATCATCCCAGATATGCTCGTGGTGAAAATGATATTCCCGCCACTCCCTTGAGCTTTGAAGTACTTGGCCGCGGCGCGGGCGCAGAACCAAGGCCCGTCGAAGTTCACGCCCATTTCGCTTCGAAATTCCGCCGTGCTCATGTCCTCGGCGGCGGCGGTGTAACATATCCCGGCGTTGGCGACGAGGATATCGATCTTGCCCCCGAAATCGGCCACGATGCGCTCAAAGACGGCGCCGACGGCCGTTTCGTCGCTGACGTCGCATTGGTAGGCTCGGATGGTGACCCCGTGGGTAGACGACAGGTCGGCCGCGAGTTGGTGGGCCGTCGAGGAGCTGCGGTAGATACTCGCGACCGAGGCCCCGGCTTCAGCGTAGGCCTTGACGATTTCGAGACCGATGCCTCGTGAGCCGCCTTTAAGCACTCATTTTTAGTTTCCTGCGCGCGCGCGTGTGTGTGTGTGTTGAACAATTGCAAGTGACGAGCTATAGTCGACGACGGACGAGGGTGGGAATGGATAGATGATGATATGTACTCCCTACAACAAGACTCAAAACGTACCTGTCACAATGGCGACTTTACCCTTGAGACTGAATAGATCCAAAACATGTGCGTCGCCTGGTTTGGGAAGGTACATTTTGATTCCTTTTTCTTTTTTCTTTCCCTTCCAGGGGTTGGAAGGGTTGTTGTTACGCTGTAGCACTTGTTTCCAGGAAGATACAGTGTATTGTGTACAGTATGAGTTGATGTACGGAGGACTTGGAGGTGTATACTTAGGTATGCTATTGATGCCACGACCTAGAGCCCGAGTTGGAGGGAAATACGGGGGTACAATGAGTCGGTACGATTTGGTGAAATGATTTCGATGTCTCTGTTAAGTCTGAGGACAGTCACAAAAAGAAACATTTATGGAGATGAGCGTCTACCTAGACACTACGAGTACATTTCTGGTGAACTATTTGTCTTGGATGAAAATAATAACCTTTTGGTACAGGGATAGAATTGCTCTATACGGGAGTATTTCCAACTTACCTACCCTAGCTGAGTTAGGATGCCTCTTGGATGTACTCCGTATACACTAGAGATATCGTTGGAGGAGGAAATATCGCTCGCTGTGTACGGTACAAATCGCTCGGTACATTTCTTGTAATCGGACCGTCGTTGCTCGTCACTCATACTCGGACTCGTAAAACGGTAGCGTCAATATCTCCTTATCCTCGACGTCCTTCCTTTACTTTTTCAACAGATACTCGTCAAAATTCAAGACCGACTTCCCCAGTACCAAAGCCCCTTCAGCACAATCATCCTTGTCACTCCACTCTTTTGCCGAATGGCTCACGCCGTCCTTGGACCTGACAAACACCATGGCCGTCGGGGCGACGAGCAAGGTCTCAAGAGAGTCGTGGCCCGTCAAGGTACGGGCGCCTACCCCCTTGTCGCCGCACGCGCGGGCGACACAATCCACCGCCTCCGGTGTAAAGTCTCCCGGCAAGATATGAAGGGACCGAGTCATGTCGAGCTCCAGACCGTGCGTCGAAGCCGCGGTTTTGGCCAACCCCTCAGCCCGTCGGCCCATCTCCAGCAAGCCCTCACCCTCGGCGTGCATGAGGCAAAACACCACTTTCGTCCGGGACTGGATGTTGCAAGCCCCCACGGGCCCGCTCTCGATGGCCGTCACCGTGCTGCGGCCGTGCATGTTGTGGGCGAGCGTTTCGACGCTCGTCATGAACCTGGCCGCGCCCTGGACGCTGTCCTTCCGCCCGTGCATGTCGGCCGTGTTGGCGTGGCCGTCGGCTCCCCGGAACACGACCTCGTACCACGTCATGCCTTCCCACCCTTGCACCCAGCCGACGGGCTTGTCGGCCCGCTCCAGGCTGCTCTGTTGCTCGACGTGGACCTCAAAGTGCGCCGAGATGGAGAATTCGTCGAACGTGTTGGGCCCGGAGCCCACGTAGCCTATGCGTTGGAGTTCGCCGCCCATGGTTTCCGGGGAACCGTCGTTCGAGTACGAGGCGTGCGCGGCCTCTATGGTGCTTTGGCCCGCGTAGACGAGAGACGAACCCAGAGGGGGAAAGAAACGGGCCCCTTCTTCGTTGGTCCAGTTGATGGCCACGAGGGGTGCTCGTGTCTTGATGTCTTGTTCGCGGAAACTTCGTAGCACTTCTAACGCGCAAAGGACCTGGATATCATGTATTGTGAGAGGTGTATGAACTCGTTGACGGAATCGTAAAGCACCACCACGGAAGGGAGGGAAAGAAGGAAAGGGAAAGAGAAATCTGTACCACTTACACCTAATGGACCGTCGAATCTGCCTCCCGTCGCCACCGTGTCGAGATGACTACCCATGGCAATCGGTGGGATGCTGTTGTCCATACCCTCGATGAGAGCAAATTGGGTGCCTGTAGCATTTACCTGTTTGGATTGTCAGAAGCAGGGTATCAATTGACTCTGTCTGCCTCGTAGTAGGTGTAATTTTGAAGTAGAGACTGGGTCTAATTTTCTCGGGTTCCGTACCTTGTAGTCTGCGCCCAAAGCAAGCACCTGGTCTCGAAACCAATCTCGCACCTTCTTATCATTGTCGTCGGCGCATAGACGAGTCACTCCACCTGGAGACGGGGCGCTGAATTGTGCAGTATAATGGATGTCATTCCTTGAAGAACCCAGCGCGATGATATCAGCACACATTCAAAGGCAACCAACCTCAAAAATTGGCAAGTTGAGTTCTTGATGATTCGACTGTAACCATCTGTGCCATACGGAGTACGTACCATAATCGATCACCATTAATTGAGAAGTTGGCGATTGGAGATGCGCGTGCCCTGGAAACGAAGAGGCGTCGCTTTCCCAGAGACGAATGAAGGAATGTGTTCACAGTGACTCTTGACCTGACGCTGAACAGCATCTTTGTCGGCGTTACTTAACGAATGTGCGGACAGAAAAATTTCCACCGAAGAAGTATATCCGAAAATCTGGAAGTATCGGAGAGATGCTAGGGGCGGTGATTCTTTACTGGATTAGAGCACTCAATCTCTGTAGAGTAGACTATATGTATCATGGTAAAGCCCACAGAGACTGGGGGCGGGTCAAGCCCTCATTGATAAGTGATCCTCTCCTCTCTTGAGGTTCGGGAAGGTGGTCATCCTGGTCAGTAGAGCCTCGGGTTACTGAGAACCCTGAGTAACTCGCAAGAGTGATTGATTAGGAGAAGCGACGGGACTGGGGGATTCTTGGATGATGACCACGAGTCGTCGGGAGAGGCCAATGAGTATGGTTTCCGCGCATCAATTCCGTCCATCTGGGGATAATGTACTGTACCCCCCGCTTTCTTCGTTAGCGTTCTCGTAGCTTCGTGAGCGGACTACATCACCAAGACTCGACGGTGGACTCCATTGGAATGTCATTAGTCTGAAGAGCTGATCCATCGCAACAGACATGGGTAAAAAACCTCTGAAAGCCAGCGTGTACAGCGGTGTGATTATCATAGCAGAAGTCAAGAAGTGTGTGCGTTGAAGATCATCACTCTGAAAGATGTCATACCAAAAACCACAGCCTGATCACATGAATGCCAATGCCCTGGCAAGGCTGAGCATCGTCAGGATAGTAACGAATCGAGAACACAATTGATTCTATGCTCTTCGAATGGTTTGCAATGATATTATCCACCTTCCTGCTATTGATATGGCCTGGTTGTCCATATCCAATGCTTCAACTAACGCTCAGACCTGTCGTGGTGTGCTTTCAAGAAAAATCCCCCCCCAGACCAGATGTAGCCCCTTCAGCCCAGATTTCCAGGTCCTTCATTCGACTTGAATGATCTCGCCTCAAGGCTTATCGAACCACTCATCATTATTATACTCACCGTATTTGTCGTCGAACTCCACAGACCCTGCCGTCGTACATGTACACAGACCAACACACTATAGATTTGTCGAAAGAAAATCGGTCGAAAATCGCCACTGTTCAGATGACCTCGTCTGGTCCGTTGTAAAGTTTTCTGTTGTCATTCCCTCAGCTCCACCAGCCACGTTGTTTGAACCATCAGTCACCTCCAAGCCAGTCATCCATGGAGGCAGACCGTATGCACTCTGATCGTACGTTGCTCGAGCAGTTTCCGCATCGTGCCATGTACCAGTATCAAACCACGAGGTGAAAAAAGGTTGAAGGTCATCGGTGCTGGTATTAGTACTAGCGACGGTGGCAGCAGCGTGCAAGACTTCAAGTCCTTCCATTGGCTCATTCTGCGTCTGGCCAATAGTCCGAGAGTTAGGTTGCTGGTTCTGTCGCTGTACATGCAGATCTGAAGCTTGTTGAGAGGTTGCCGCAGAAGCCGAGGACCGTGGAGGCCCAAGTGTCTCGTTACGAAGGGCCCCCGTGGCAGTTTCAGCACCTGTGCCTCGGGCTAAGCGGAATATGCTGGTCGGTTGGAGCACGGTATCAAAGGTGTTGTGGTTGGAAGAGCCCTCTCTACTGGACTTCGATGCACTGTGCTGCTTTAGCTGGGTTCGCCTGCACTGTGAGGTCGAACTTAACATACCTGTCGGAATCGTCGTCTACCTGATCAGGAACAATATGTCGAGAGAATGACAATGACCCAAGGTCGGACTCGATCAGCATCTTCCGTGCGGCCTGATACTGAAAAGAAGAGTTAGTTATTGAAGAAACAATACAGGACTAAAGGAGATTGGAATCGGTGACTCACAAACGGGCCAGCCATGCTCGTGATTGATTGCATAGCCTCAAGACAATCTAAATTGCTGTTGACGTGCGGCATGATCTCCTTCAGTACCGCCTTGCCCTGTTCTGTCTGGAGGCCTAAGATGCGAGTGACATAGTGTAACATGACTCGATTGCTATCGAAAGCCACAGAGGGAAGCCAGGTATCAGCCAGGATTTTCGTGCCGTGGTTCAAAGCATCCCTCAAGATACTAGCACAGTCCTGCGCACGCTGGAACATTGTAGTCTGTAAATGATCCTGAAATTCGCGAGGGTACTGCCATCTAATCTGTAGGCGGTATAACTGCGGCGTGGAAATTCGATACAAGTCGCAAATCGTCCAGTGGTAGGTGCACTGCAGCAAAATCAGAGCGCCGAGTTGCAATGATTCTTTCCTAAGATAAAAAGCCGTGCGGTTCAGCTGAAGGCTTGCAGGGAGACTTAACGACCAGTCTCGCAACGAAACATCGATCGCTGTGAATTCTGATGTCGGGAACCATGGTTCCTCCGCCGCGTCGAGTCTTTTGACGTATCTGCTTACGTTAACATCACGCCAAACCACGTCAGTGCCAGGGATATGGTATTCAAGGCATACCGTAAAACCCGTTTCCGAATCCTGATCAGGCGTATATAAAAAGCCAGAAGGCCCATGTTTTCCACTGGTCGAGGCGGAATCGTGTCCAGAGGCAGAAATTTCAAAAATTGACCAGGCTGAAGGAGTTCTGTCACACATGGAACTTGAAATAAGAAATTCCGTTCGTGAGTAGGCAGCTGGATCTTGATATCTCCCTCATGAAACATGGTTAACTGATCCGTACCGCTACCCGTCAACGCATCTTGTACGTAACAACTCCACATCACACGCCGACGTGATTCCTTGGATGGTATTGAAGGGCCGTTCAGTGACTCGTCTTCTAGGATGTCGGTCGAATATTCCAGGTTCAATCGAAGAGCGTGGGCTAAGCGAGCACAAACGCCTGTGAGGACGAAAGCGCTTGCATGTTTGCCAACGCGTATTTCATGATCATGAAGCAGGATCGCGGTCTACCCCGAGTTAACAAGACATCGATATTGATCAGAATGCGTCTTTTTTAGCCTTTCGAATGGATAGCCGTGGGGTTTCATGGCTAGAACATGGATCACTTACCATAAGATTCTCGACCGAGACGTTGTCAAGATTCGAGAAAAGTAGAGATGCCGCTCTTTTGGCCCACTCTGTTCCGGCCGAAAGCACATTACTGTACTCGCCACGTTCGGCGTGACCAGAATTTTGTAGAGCATAAAACCTGGAGAGATCCTCGTCAGCCTCTCCGGACTGGACACAATCACCCTATGCGAATACGTACTTGGCACCGAGCGCGCATACAATATGTAGCAATGCATTGTTGGCCTGGCTTTCACTCGTGTCATCATCTAGTCTCTCCATGAACAATGGCCTGTGGATGAATGCGTAGCACCGTAAAGGATGTATGTTGTCCATGTACTCCTTTACTAGAAGTCGGATCTTGGAGCGTGGAGGGAGGCGAGATGTAGAAAGCCTAGGAAAGCACAACAAGCCCGTCAGTATGGAGTAAACCTCAGACAATAGGAGGCAGGTAATAAGTTGAGCCGTCTGGTGCCACTGATACTAGATGCAAAGGAAACATACCAGGACAGATTCTCAACCTTGGGGGTTTGGGTGGTTCGAGGGCCTACTGGCGGCTCAGGACGAGCTGTTACGCTGGACGGTCCATGCAGTCCTCCTCTTGCTTGCACGGTGTTGTTGCTTGCATCAGTGTTTAAGAGACCGAAGTCACTGGTCCTCGTGCTCAAATTTGGTATACCTGCACTATCATTGAGGGGATGCGCCGAAGCCTGTGTGTCATCTGTCCTCGTTGGCGGGTCCGAAAGACTTGCTCTTGGCCCTCCTTGCAGTCTGCGAGTCCATTGAGGATCGGATTCTGCTTCGTACTCGCAAAGCAAGGATCGTCGCTTGCAGCGGAGACAGTCAGGTCGTTCACCGGTACATCTCGACTAGAGTAAAATGTCAACAAAATGGTGCACCAGTATGGTCGTGGATTTCATGCCTTGGATGCACGACACTCTCTACAAGATCTGAATGTGCGTTTTCGTTTTGGTGTCACTTGCGCTGGAGAAGCGTTATCCTGCTGTAGAGGTTCACCACCATCATGTCGTGGGCCATGGCAATCCAAGTTGAATCGTTCACAGTTGAGACAGCGGCCTGGACGTTCATCACATTTCACCTAGAGACATATTAATGTGGTGTCTCATTGCAATCTAGTTACACGGCGCCCTCGGGCATACCTTGCGAGCACGACAGGTAATGCAGCCTGTTCGATCAGTGTTAGATTATTTTCCATTGATGATTACGAATCTTGTGTGTTTGTGCGCCTTACCAGAACGAGAGCGTCGTGTCTTGACTCTTTTATCTGAATCTTCTATCCCAGGCAATTCGATGGTGGAGACCGGTATATCGGCAGAAAGAAGGTCAGTGCTGGTCATTTCCATGCTCCGGGATCGCTGGAAAGTAAGCGATGATCCCGGTGAAGAGATTGTCTGGGAAGAGGAAGAAGAGAGAGAGAGACGGAACGGAGATGGCGGGCGGTCGGCAGAGACTGACGGAACCGAACACTTCTCCGTAGTCGGCGACGGACTTGCGCACAGCCGGCCTGTATTAGGCATAGTCAGCATCGCCTAAACGTGCTGGCGTTGGTGCCAAAGAACCGCCTACTGACTCTCCCTCATGCGACAACCCGACCGAGCAGCCGATACAAGGACCGATGCTGCTACCGACCATCCGAACTAATCCGGTATACAAATAGGTATACAACTGCATACAGTATGTTTCGAAACTGTGTCTTTCTTTTTGGTGTCATTAGTCTACTATTGTACATGACTCTGTAGTTTTGACCTTTGGTGGATGCATAATACATTGAAGCCAGAGCCTCAGTCAACGAAGCTAGTCTTTCGTGTCTTGTTCGTTGCTTTATTCCCATTACCATTACCATTGCCAGCCCAACTCCCATTTCCCTTTCCCTTTCCCTTTCCCTTTCCAGTTCGAAACTGATCGTGAAAATGTGACAATTCCAAGGAAAAAGAACTCCGTACCTATGATGGGGCCCAACTCCACGCTTGTCATCAAAAAGCCGTTCCAATTGTTGTTGAAAGTGAATCAATCCTCGAAAACAAAAAAGGCAAGAAAGAAATCTCAAACAGTCCATGTCCATCCACCCTCGGCACCTTTTGAAAGACACAACCACCACCACTCTGTAGTCTCGTAGCCTCCAGAATGCATGTGCACCTTTGCAAAGCCCGCTTGGACGCACCAGCCCATCAATAGCTCTACTTCGTGCATATCCAAGGCAAAACCGATGGCCCTTGAGATCTCGGCGGCCGTGGCTCCGGGCATCTGCGCCAGCAGTCCCACGACTCCGCCAACGAACATCTCCCACAGGTGCACTTGCACGTGGCCATTGATGTCGACCCATGCGGGGATCAAGCCATCCTGTTCCTCATCGTCTACGTGTCCTCCGCGTCGCGGGACACGAAGCTGTCGGCCAGCGGCAGCAGGATCTCCCGAGACCCACGAAGTCGGCGACGTCGTGTAGATGTCGACGGCGAAACTCAGGACCCTCTTGTCCATGCTGCGGGTCTGGTAGCCAACTTTTTCGTGCTCAAGGCCATAGCGAGTCCGAGGCACGTCGCGGCCCGGTTGGAAGCGCACGACGCCCTGGCTGTAGAGGTTGAGCACGGCGACCATCTGGGCGTCGTCGACGATCTGGTCGCTTTCAAACACCACCGCCGCGGCGCTCTCGCCGCGCGCAAAGGCAGCGTCGAGAACGTCGAGCTTGTACGCCGCGGCGCGACGGAGCATGCTCGGCGTGATCATACGGCGCTCATCGAAACGCTCAAACAGCTTTCGAGCCGGCTCCCATGACCGCACGCTGGACACGGTGTCGTGGCCGTTTCGGTCCTTGGACACGCGCTGGATGATTTTCTCATCCTGTAGTAGTTTCAGCACGCGTGCAAGGAGCGTGTCTCGCATGGCCGCCGTGGGAGCCAGGCGAGATAGTTTGGCCAGCGCGACGGACGGGTCAAAGGATTCCTGAGGCGTCAGGACCGTAGATAGAGCCCAGGACTTGGCGAGGTGGAATGTCGGATCGGACATTTCGGATTCGAAGCGTGGAGTGTATTGCATTTGCATTCGTTTTTTCACTGACAGAGTGTTGTCAGTGGAAATGCTGGCAGGATGAGTATGTCCGAAGATAAGAGAGCTTATTAGGTCTTCCCTGGCTGGATTCGTAATGTTCAGATTATATCCAAGCAGGTTGTGGTAGCGCTTGGGTTCTGTGAAGGACAATTTGGTTGTCTTGTCGAATTCGTCGCGAGTGTCGGGTAATTCTCCTATCTGTTCCGAGTTCAAGTTATCGAGCTTCTTTAGCGCCCAGTCAATGATGCCGGCCCAATCTGTCGATGCTAGGTCTTCAAAGTTGACGGATGGCACTTCGTCAGCCTCTAGAGCTTCGAGGTATTTCCACTGCAGATTGTTCGTCAGCGAGTTGATGTCGCGGGGATATTTCTTCGAGAGCGTCTTCCACCGGTCCGCGACAAAGTCCTGGGTGCGGTCGGGAAACAACTTCATCACGAGTGGCCAGTCGATGTAACTTTCTAGGCCACCTGCGAGAGTGCGCACGACAATCACGGCGATGACGATACGGTATATGTCATGCTCGGCCATGTTGCGGAGGTGCTGGGTGCCTCGGGCTGGTCTTTCTGTCCGGCTCACACGTCCTCTGGCATTTCCACGTTTGCTGCTCGTGACTTGTAGACCTCTGGCGCCACCTCTCTGGCGCTTGGGCTGAGGCTCAAATTCTGGTTCAAAATCGATGTCTTCCGTGGATGGTTTGCGTTTGTAAGGTCTTTTAGAGCGAGATGCAGCAATTTCCGCTTGAGGGGCGGAAGGTGGCTGCGTAGGTGAATGGTCGCTCGGTAGCCATGCAATGCGCTGCAACGACTCTGTAGGTGCCTCCAGTGCTGACACAAAATTAGGCCATGACTTCGTCGGAGGCAAAGGAACTTCGACCTCGACTTGGTCCTTGTTGGAAAATTGTACAAGAGTCTCGAAGCTAATCGCGGCGGGAACAAGAGCACGCGCGTAGAGTGCCTTGGGAACGCCATGGTTGATGAAAGCGTATTTTGTCCGGCTGGAGAATTTTGATTCCTGTTCCTCCCAAGCGCGGACAGCCTCTACTTCACTGGCGAAGCGCTGCAGCCCAATATCGGCAGATTGAACATCTTTGAAATGAACGTTCAAATCTGGCATCTGTAGAATGTCTTGTAGGGACGATGGGAAGTCTAATTTGCCGTCATTTGCCCAGATCACTTTCTTCGCATTTAAGCGTGCTCTTGGTTTCCGAACACTTCGTCCACCGTTGGTGCTGGTATCTTTCCAGGGGTTGGAAGGATTCGAGTCAGACCGTAGCGCTACGACCGGATTTTCGATGATCCAACGGTCGATCTGGACAGTCGGCAGAGCGCCAAGACGCGGCACTTTCAGAGTCAGAAATCCAGTTGCTGCAGTTGGAACGCCGACAGTTCTGATAGGTCCCAAATCTGATGCATCTTCGCTCACGCTTCTTTCTAAAGTGGTCCGTTCGTCCACAGGTATCAAGATGGCCGTTGAGCTAGATCGATGACGTTTGAATGCTCTAGTCTCCATCGAAGGGCTGGCTGCATCGTCAACAGCTGAAGATACTCGTCTTCTTTTACGTGGCGTCTCCTCCTCATCAGACGCCACGTTGAAAGCTGTCTTCCCAATCAAAGGCTTGCGATTGCCTTCATCTCTCCAGTGTGGTGGAATGTAGTCTGCAGGCTCAGCATCGATGATTTTTTGTTTCATGTCTTGAACAACCTGAGAGTCTGGACTGATGCTTGGAAGGAAGAGAATTGCGCGCTTGAGCATCATCCCCGTTCGACTCCGATGACTGAACATGACCTGCCGTAGTTTACCCCGTTCGCATAAAGATTTGATGGCAGCTTTGAGTGTTTTGAGAATAGGGCGGTCTGGCTGGCCAGCTTCTTGCCACCTGGCAGTAGAAATTCTTCTCAAGGTGGAGGCATCATTCGGTGCAACTCCTGATGTCTCCGAGACCAGCTGGAAAACAATCTTGCGACACAAGGCACCGACCTTCAAGGCTTCTCGACTTGACCCTTGTGTCTGTGTTTGTGATGGAAATTCGTCAGAATCTGATGCAGTTTCTTCTCGGTGCCGCTTTTGTGTCGTTCGTTTTCTGCGTCGCGGAGTTGCAGCACCGGAAGGGACAAACTCGCCGTCAACCTCCGAGGGTGGCCAGCTCTCATGACGAGCCAGAGCCAGTGTAGGCGTGGTTTCTGCACTTATGTGAGAATTAACGGACAAAGCCGAAGCTTTTCCTGAGTCCTCCGGGACAGACTGCTCGATATGATCTTGCAACGGAGTATCTGCTGATCTTTCAGCGCTTGTGGTGGCAACAGCAAGGACATTCTTGAGAATACGTTCACCTTCGTTGACAAGTGCATCTACAGGAGAGTTGCTCTCGAATGCATTTTCTCCATCCGAAGGACTCAGATCTGTCTGCAAGAAGAGTTGATTCGCATCATTTGATCTTGGTACGAGCATACCGCCAGTCTGTGGATAGACAGGAACACCAGACGAGGGTCGTGATCCGCTATCGGAGACCTGCTCGCTCAATCCAGCTGCAATGTGGCTATTATCAATCTCCCCCGAACGGACGGGCGCATATTTCAGTGGTGGTGGTGGTGGTGGTGGTGGACGTTTCCCACTAGGCAGCTTGATATCTTGCGATTCAGTCTCGAGCTCGGGCAAAACAGCTGGTGAGGCACATGTAGGATTCGACTTATACCCAGGCTGGACAAGCTCTTCATTCGTCGAGACTATTGAGGCCTCGTGCGAAGCAGCCTGACTTGTTGTCAATAAGGCATATGATGGAGGCGTTGCAGCCGACTCCTCGTCCGTATGCAAGACTTCGGCAGCAGAAACCTCCTGCTCTCTCGATTGCTGTTTAGAGCGATCTGACTTTTCTTTAGCCAATATTCTGGCTTTTGAAACTCTGCGAAGATCCTCTCGTTCGGAAAGAGAGGAAGGTAGAAGTGGGTATGTAAAGCTGTGAGCAATGCTAGAAGATATGAATCGACATTTGTGAGGGACGTTCCTGTTACGGAAGCTGACTTCTTGTAAGCGGCTGGATTTGAATATCAAAATTTGCGACTGTGATTTGATCTTGCTGTGGTGCACCCCTTTTGGTGTAATATACAGGCCTGCGGATGATCGATCGAGTACACTCTTTGTGGAAGCCACCCAAGCTTCATTGATATCTTCAATGTGGTGTGGAACAGGAAGCCCAGCATCGATGCCTCTCGACAGTGTATCATCAAAACCAGGAGGACGGCGGGCGTACAGAGCAAGACCAGCAGGATCTTTCATGACGCCTTTGTGATCCTTCTTAGACATGCCAGCATTCGTTCTTGCCTCGAGGAAGATCCGCCTCCAGAAGCTTTCTGTACCTCGCGCATATTTTCGAGGCCGGCCCCTCACAATCCCGCCGGCGACCGCCTCGTTGACATTCTTCTTAGTAGGTGTCGCGGTTGTCCGGGCTTGAGGACTTCCAAGCCCTGCAGGGTTCGTGAGTAGGGACGATTTTTTGACACGGGTTTCTTCGGGTAATATCTCGCGCAGCGTGACGATCGGTCTCTGGCCGGGATCTTTGACCAGGATAGGTTCGCCAACCTTTGCTAGAACATCTCCCGGTCCGGCGGCCCGAATGAGCGTTGAGAAGTTGCATTCGCCATTCTTGACCTGGAGAGAGAGTGCATTCTGAATAGGAAAGCCATAAGCATCGATTTTGATGACCTTCGCAGTCTTCTCATTAGACGCCGCATCCTTCTTGGCGTTCGCCATTGCCAATGCTTGCTTTGCTCCAGGGATCCCAGATACATCAATAGCGTGTTCGGCAACCAATTGGAGAAAGATATCCCAAGAGTAATGGGTGAACTGGGCAACGCCATCAACTGTTATGCTAGTGCGTACAATGGTCAGATGTCGTAGATGAAGCGGCTGGACGCTCAACGACTGAGCAGATATTCTGGCAAGTAGAGATTCAATAGTCCGACGAACGAAGAGGCCAGTGACCATTTGTCGAGAACTCTGAGAGGTATTAGCTGCATGCCTGCATTTCATTCCAGGTGCCTTACCGTATTAGTGAGCCCAGCGTGACCTGCGACACGCGCCGCATCGAGAAGGGTGTTAGCCATATTGCGGTCTGGATTCCATCTTGCAAGATGTGGCGCAGTCCCTGGAGCCTCAGAGACTGAAAGGCTTCCACCTAGCTCATCGGAAGACCCTGGCTCAAGTACCGAGGACAGATGTTGTATAGTATAATCTAGTTTCAGATCATTCACTTCGAGGTTCTGCAAGTCCTCAGGACTAGGACGATGCAAAAGTTGAACAAACGGTTGCACATCTCCAGAAGTCGCCGAGGGGCCGATAGCAGTTTTCACTCTTTTCAGGCATTTCAATCGATCAAGGCGCCGAAGAATCCTACCCAGAACGGTGGATTCGGCAGCGGATTCAAGGTTCAATTGCTGTGCAAGCTGTGTCTGGGAAACAAGATGCTGTTGTGAAAGAACGTCAAAGATTCTCCGAACAGCATCTCGCACTGTTGAGCCTTTTAGAGGCTGTCCACCTTGGCGATGAATGTCATCCGGATCATAGGCCTTGGATGGAGCAAATTTCTTCAATGTAAGGCGACTCGTCCGGTTGCCTTTGAGATAAACCACTTCTTTGATGATATAGCCTTTGTGCTGCAATGCGTCTGTACGCTTAGGAACCGAGCGCTTGTCTTGACCCGTCAACCTGATAAGTTCACCTTGTAACATGCCATCTGACCGTGTCGCAGCAATCTGAGCCAAAAGATCGAATTCCAAAGACGCTACTTTGGTGACGTCCGGAGGATGTCCACAGAGAGCCTGGTAGATTCGGTCCTCGTTAGCCCGGATCCTGGGCGCTTCGCTTGGAACTCGTTTCTTCTGGTCCACCCCAAGGGATTCAGGTTGTCGGCTGTGTTCTGGGGGGCTCCCAAGATTTTGCGATTGGTCGACTGGGTTCAGGTTTTCATTGACAGCGTCTCTGGCAAACTCGACATCTATCTGATCCAGCGGTATGTTGTTGTACTCTTTATTATCGCCAAGAGAAATGTCCGGATGTCGACCAAGCCATGTCCAGATCTTACCAAGCAGGAGCCGGTCGACGTTGACCCTGGACTCGGACTTGAAAAGATCTTCTGCAGTAGCATCGTTGGCATCTAGTAGGTGAGTGGGATCATAAAACGATGACACAGCTTTCGCGAGGCCATCGATGGTGAGACCTGTATACAGATCGGTGGTCAGTCATGACCCTCCAAGTAATGGAACCTGAAGGGGGGAATGCAAGGATGTCTGTAGACCGTGTGGGGCTCCTTGATGGTCCCTCGCATACTTTTGGAATGAGAGAATAGGACGTCGCTACTTTCGCACCAACCAAGTACTTACCGGAAAGTCCACTCAGTGCTATCTCACCGAGTAAAAACTCGATGAGTTCATCCAAGCTCTTCGCCATCGTTTTCGTTCCATAGCAGGGGATCTGTGATGATTTGTGAGCGAGATGTGAAACGAAATTATAGAGCGGTCATGAGGTTCGAACCGCAGACCCGGCGCGTCAATTTTGACTGAAAATCATGGGCTTGGCGAGAGTCACGCGCACACACTGCTGTGATTGGCTGATCGGCGATGCCTAGGAGAACTCACACTAGACCGCTCCTAGTTGGTCCTTCTACTTACTACGGTCGCATCTTGAGCAATTAACTGGCCTGGGGAAGAAAAAATTGACAGTCAACAAAGAGACACGTCCGAACTGGACAAAATCTATGGGTACTCTAGAAGACCTCGTGCTGCACCGGCCTTCAAGCAGTTGCGTGTGCGAATGCGACCAAGCGTCCTTCAATCCTTCTGCGTCCTGGCTACCACCTTTTGTACGATAAACACAAACACTTTTCCCGAGACTCCACCATGCAGAAAGCAAAGAGCCCACCATCTGCGCCCATCAGATAGAAACGTAAGGCGAGAAGGATAACCAAAATTGCTGAGGTCTGCGGCCTCTCACAGGACCAGCTCAGAATGCTGCCGTGGGCGTTCCAGGCAGGAAGCGGAGAGATTTAGATGTACATAGAACAAGAAGCAGGCCTTCATATACCTTACCTTGAACGGACAGTGAAGTGGTGCCGTCGTAGGTCTTTCAACAGTTAAGACGCAATTGCGCGAGGTGGGTAGTTGCGGCGGTTGTTTCGCTGCTTTGAAGGCTTTGAGACTGTGCTCCATCCCTCTTCTTCCAATTCTGCTGTTGTGCTTCCTTCAGGTGCTTGAGCTGTGGGTGCATTGCGCCATGATCCATTGGCGCGGCTAGGTGGGTCTCTAACAATTTCTTTGGGCTTGACCGCCTTGTCATCAACAGGACGGCTTTCATCACCCTCGTCGTTCTCGTCATCAGCGACCATATCATTCATGCCAGAATCGGCGCGTCGTAGGATGTCGTATTTCGGGGTAGTCTGTTGGGCGTTCTCTTCGCCATTCTCCTTTGGTGCGCTGGGTTCTTTGTTATCTTTGCTAGTCGGTTCCCTGGATTTCTCAAGCTCCGCCTTCTCCTTTGCCAAACGACGCTCCTCTGCCTTCTCGGCTTTGGCCTTGTCATCGGCCTCGCGTTTCTGACGGATAGCCAGTTGACGCTTCTCCTCCACTTCCTTCTCCTTTGCAGCTGTGTCGACAGGTCGTGCTGCACCAAATGGACTAGCCTTGGAGTCAGACACAGGGGTGGGGGATGTCACCGGCTCAGCTTCGGACACGGTTCTCTTTGCGAGATTCAGCTTTGGCCTCGTCGCAGGAACAGCAGCGGCAGCAGGAGCAGGCGAGGAAGGCTCACTCGCCTCGGGGGTGGGTGCCTTAGCGGGAGCGTCAGGTCGCATTCTAGCTCGCCATTGGTTATCCATTTCTGACGCTGTTGGAGTTCGCTCAGGTGGTGGTCGTTCAGTATACTCGCGCCTCGGCGGTCGCGAGCCGTCCTGAGATCGGCCCTCACCCCATGCTGGGGAGTTTCGGCGGAATCCACCGTCTTTGCTACCTTGCCTGCCACCCTCGCGGAGCGACGTGGGGGCCGGAGACACAGGCGACAATGGCCCTTTTCTCTCCCAATTGGAAAAGTCCCTGACCTTTCCATCACCCTCGGCGAATGCGCGTCGTGGTCCTCTTTCGCTGCCGGCGTCAGAAGAATTGTCGAAATTGCGACCTCCAAATCCACCAGCCCGTTCGGAAACTCTCCGCTGGTTGTTTGGCAGATCTGGAAGAGGGCCTTTCCTTGACCAGTCGCTGAAGTCTCTGGTATCTTGTCTCTCTTTCGCTATCCATCCATCAGCATACTTGCCGTCTCCCAAACATTGGTGTCACTTACGAGGCTCCGCGACGCTAATGCGCACTGAGCGACCGGCCAAGTTACTGCCACTCAGATCGAGTGCAGCTTTAAGACCGTCCAAGGTTGCAAATTCCACATAACCGAAGCCTTTTGGTTTGCGATCCATCTTATCCTCCACGATGCGAACATTGGTCACTTCGCAGTCTCTGAAGAAGTCACTAACATCTCCCTGCGTGGCATCAAAGGAGAGATTTGCAAGATGGGCGGTATAAGGAGGTTGAGTGGGAAGTGGCAATTGTTCTCGCGTAGCATAGGTATCTCGTCTCTCTGTATTTCTAGTATCAGCTTCCGAGCCGTGTTCCAACGCGCAGGTGATTACCCACCTGAAAATCCGCCTCCCAAGCTAGGTGCAGTGCTGTAGGTACGTCGTTCGGAGGCATAGCTGGGCCTGCTGTCGGAGGCTACGATCATCAGAAGTCAGCCACGATCTTGGCAATTCATACAGATTCGAGTCAGAGAGGGGATTCTCACCTGGCAAGGGCATGTCCTCCATCTCGTCCGCCCATGAGCCAAAATCTGTAGGCGTTAGTCAAAAGGTCATCCGGGGCCAATCCAGCTCGAGACGCACTCTCATCCTGCAAGAAGGTCCCGAGGGACATCTTCTGATTCTTCTTCGGAGCTATGAATCGTCAGCACAAAGAACAACAAGGCCTCCCAGCACAGGGACGTTGCTGTTCGTACGCATGATTGCAAATCTCAGCACGCGCCGATTGTGCGACCGCTCTGGTAAGGGTGGTGAAAAAAGTGACGGTGACTGAAGACGCCTGTTGGCGTAATCAGACAGACAGAATTATTATCGAGAACACAAATGAGCTCTCGAATGATCTAGGATAATGGAGACGCAATCGATGAAGAGGCTGAATGTCCTGCGAAAGTCTGCCCTCACTTTCTTCCGTCAGGCCTTGGCGCGAACTTGTCCGCGCTGCGGCAACGTTCTTCTTCTGCTCCTCTTCTCCGACTGCACCTCGACAATTCACGGGAAAGCATGGCTAGAGATGGACAGGCCCATTACCAATGATCTGGTCAATTCTTTCACCAATCCAGTCTTGTCCTCTCTCGCCGTAGGCGTAGGGACTGGTATGTCGATTCTGATAAAGACGGCATTGGCCTCTTGCTGATCACGTTCTACCAGGAGTTCTCGGAATAGCTTATGGCGGAGTAGCTGGAACTATTCTCTCGACGCCTAATCCTGTTCTATACCCAACCTACTCCGGAGTTCAATGGCTCTGCGCAGGAACTACATTCTTCTGTTTGTATCCCCCTTTCCAAAGCCTGTCTAAAGATGTTAACAGATGGCCAGACTGTCGTAGTGTCCTTCTTGCAGACCCGAAAACTCGACAGCACCCGCTACAGGTGGTCGCTGCAAGTGGCCTTAGCGGCTTTGGTGCCGGTGCTGTCGCAGGTGCATTTTGTGAGTATTATAATCGTAAAAGCCGTGGATATCTCCTAAATGCTGTTCAGTGCGACGAGCTGCTGTGATCCCAGGCGGCATTATTCTGGGAGCCCTGGCTGCCACCTCTCAGGCAGCGCTCAATGTGAACGGAGGATCCTTTGATCTGAATTTTAATGATATCCCATTACGCTTGCAGCGAGGCATGGCCAACCTTATGCCTATGCAATCGCTCTCTGATGAGCAGTATGAAGAATTGTTGAACAGCAAACTTCTCAACATTGAGGCACAAATTTCACTACTCGATGATCAAATCGCAGACATCCGTGAAGCAAGCAAACAGCAAAAGTCTAGCAGGAAGTCAGATTCGTGAACAGATCCGGGACAGATGAGGACAAAACCGTCAAGACCATTGGATCACTACCATAGCAAGAAGCTCAGGTGGCCTTCCTCAAAATGTTGATCCGGAACAGGATGGCCAGTCTATTGTTCTCCATCTACCGGCATCATAGCCTCGAGCAACAGCCACCGACTCCCAAGAAATAGCTTGTTTCACCAAGCAGCTTATGAACGACTTTACGACGATCGAGCACAATGCTCGAATTTACAAATGAGCACCATCGACACCCCCAACGACTGTTTGCAAGTTGGAAGACTGTCAAATAAACATGTCGGAGTTAAGCTCGAGGATGTCGGCTAAAGAGGCTCAACCGGAAGATCAGGTCCGGGCAACATTTTGTACAGTACTCTCACACAATGTTCAAGAGGATCAATGTTCAAGAGGATCAATGTTCAAGAGGAGTACGGAGTAAAGTGGAGTGTACTTCTACTGTAAAGTCAGTAATTTCGGCTCCTCGACCCGTGTGATGTGCTCTGTATGGAGTAGTACATAGGTCAATAGGGAAAAGGGGAGGTTAGGAACTGGACACAGAGCTTGGTCGCTGTTCGATAATTTGGCTTGTGATTTTATGCATATTATCGCTCAACGACACCCACGGGCCGACCTTGTTGTGGTATTATTGTGGCATTGCTCTCTAGACATAAATCCTCATAACCCAGGCGTCATTGACATATCCATCGGGCAAGTGAAGATGCGTGCACGTCAGTGACTACTTCTATGCGAGTCCAGTAATCCTCATCTCAGGCTGACTCAACCGACATGGCCAGATGCCTAATTGATAATCTGATTTGACGAAGCCAGGATTATGGGCTGGTGCGGCTCGAAGGTCGACATAAGAATTTGTTCCACCGATTTGGTAGCTCCGCTTAAGAATTATAGGTTCAAGAGCCCCGAGTGAGCCGGTAGAGCGTTGGGTTTAGAGGCACTAGGTAGTTAACCACCCCTTTAGGTGCTGCGTACTCTTACAATTACAGGCCCAATAAACAAGAAAGTTCACTAGGCTTGGATCTCAAAGCTTGTCTGTCGCTGCTCTCGCCCAAACTTCCCTGTACAATCCAGATTTCTCGTGGCCCGCGCGACATTCTTGGTGCATGCACTCCATAGTCCGTATCCGTCCTGCTGTCACCTCCGCACACCATGAGCACTCGGCCTTACCGGCAGTATTTCGCTGCGCCATCGCAAGCATCCTACTGTCGCGTTGCTGTTATCGTGTACTTCTAGAGACTTTCGTTTGACGAATCCTAATTGTCAACGCGACACACTCCCCGTCACCCCAAGTGACGTCCAAGTTCTCGAAACTTCAGCCTCCAAGATTTACCTCAGCGCACCGTCCTCCTGCAAAGCAAGCAGATCACTTACTAGCTGTAAGCGAACGAATTCTGGAATCTTTGCGAGTCGTTCAAAGGGCTACCGTACCAAACCATGCACGGCAATGGCAAGAGCTGATTGGGGAGGTCAATTTCGCTGGATTTCCAGTCTCCGGTGCCACAATCTTTATCGCAGACGAGATGATAGGGCTCGTAGCCACGAGCCATTGATTCCGTGAACGGTCCAAAGAGTCTTGGTAAAGACCCCGATAACGACAGAATGCCTCTCCTCAATGCCACCTCGGTCGCAGCAGTCTTGATACTGCTCTACCTTTCGTCGTTCCTGCTATTGGCCATCCTGCGTATTGCTACTGGAGTATCCATTCAAAGAATTGGCTATTTTAGCTTGAGACACATATCATATACACCGAGAGAGGGCTTGAGAATTGATCTTCGAGGGCTAGGCCTGAGCCCACACAGGCCAACGTTCGCGCAGCCTACATGGATCAGCCTCGTATTCGAAGAGTTGAAAGTGACAATTGATCCCGCGGTCTATGAGAACTCGCCCCAGAGATCTAGCGGCACAAAAGATGTGGACGGAAAAAAAGACTCGAACGAGAAGAAGGAGCGCAAAACCCGAAGGCTGGGTGGTAGGAGCAAACTATGGAAGAAATTGACCAATATCAAGGAGTGGCTTAAGCGCATTCACCGAAAGATCCATATCCTCCGCATGTTCGATATCAGCTTCATAAACACTTCTGCTGAGGTCGTCGGTGTCGGCTACGTGCAGGTCTCCAACTTCACCATGGCAGTCTACACGCGACGGAGGCTGCTTGACCGCGGGCGCCTTTTTCGTCACAAAAAGGAGCCATTGGGAACGCAGAAGCCAGCCGAATGGGTTTTTGCTGTCCGGAGTGTTCTTCTGGGGTCTGGCGGTCACGATCCCATTGAAATCCTGGACAACATGACAATCAATGTGCATGGGCTCCTCTATAAGGAACGTGAAGGCCTCCGGGACACATCAATCGCTATCAAGGCGGGCCGTCTCTACGCGCCAGTTGATGAGATCCTTCAGTTCACGCAAAGAGCACAGAAGATCCAAAAGGCTGCACAGACTTTCCAACCCTCGAGTCCGGCCGAGGAAATCACATTCGAGGACCTGGTCGAAGAGCTTGACCAACCTGGTAGCAGAGAAGCTTCCATTGTACAGACGGTCGCTGACTCGAAAGAATTCTTCAGCTCGGTACTGCGGAGTGTACAAGAGATTCAAATCGGACTGAGCTTTGTTCGTATATCGAAAGAAATCGTGTCGCTTCGGCGGGCTAATCTCCCCTTAATCGCGAACATGGTAATTCATGAGATCGGCGTCGATCTGCACAGGCTTGATCAGAACTCGCCGTCTCATCGCATGTATTTCTCGAAAGACGACGTCGCCCATCAAGCTCTGGTTGCCGCTGTTTCAATCTCGGTCAGTCTGGACGAGGACGACTATCAGTCTAACAAGATCATGTACATCCCGATGGCTACAACCACAATCAGAACGACTCTACCATCCAAGACCATGAGCTTCACGCATGAAAGAGATGTCGCTGAGAGAAACGCGAACATTCTTTTTGCGAATCTCGTTGTCACTTCTCCATCTTTAGATCTAGTGCCACCTCATCTGATGAAATTGTTAGCTGTCGCTCAATCTCAGGCTAAGCCCACGCAGGATCCACCTCAAAACCGGCACCGACTGATTTCAAGACTGCTCCCAAAAGCCAGCATAAAGTTTTCCATCCATGAGCCCGTTGTCAGATTCATATTGCCCGTCGCAAACCCTACAAATTCAACTCCTGGTGACTACGACATGATCATCTCCTCAATCACCTCTATATCTTTGGACGTTGAGTCTTCGCACTCGGCAGGCGGAGAACTGTTGTACTCGTTAGGTTCGAACTTCCGCGTGATGTCCCATCAGCTGTACTACCAGGCATCTACGGGCGTTAGGCACAACATCATCGTTACCGAGGCTCTGGAGATCAAAGTCCAGGTGTCTGCTTCCACCGAGGTTGCTGTCAGCATATCTGGCAATCTGCGCACGTTCTCCATACTCATGGTGCGCGAAGAGGTTAGTAAAGCAATCTATAACATTGTACGGCATGTCAAACGCCGAGTGCCTATGAATAAACCCAACACCGCCAGAGCGATGTCGACATCATTTTTGCGAAAACTACCATCTTGGATCATCGAGGCATCATTCGAAGGCTCTGGGTTCAGCATTGAAACTGCTGGCATAGATTCTAGTGTATCGAGCCAGACTCGGGGTGTTGCACTGGAGCTGGAATCTTGGACATCAAACTATACGTCTTCTCGGTTGGACATGGCGCGGAAACCAATCACACGAAGGAAGACCAGTGCCTCCGCCCGTTTCGAGGATTCGTTGTCGGCAGGCAGACATCTCTCTCCTCCCACATCGCCACCTAGACATCGACACAGTGACCCAACTGACGGACGGCGTCTTACTTTTCATGTCAAAGGCCTGGATGGATACATTATCGAATCTCTCGATAGCTGGGAGCCAAAGCCATTTACATCTATTCCAAGATTCGAGGTGGCCTTCAGCACATCCAGGGATCAACAGGGGCCGCTATTTCACATAAACTCCTCCATTCGTGCCATCTATCTAGAGTTTTCTCTATACAGACTATACTCAATTGGTGTTGCTGGCTCGATTGTAAAAGATGCCTTTTTGGGTCCGGCAGCTCCTTTGGTGGATATAAACGGGCAGCTGCCTATTGGAACACCTTCCGCGGGTGCGGCAACCCATCTACCTGTTCCCCTGGGTCAAGAACTTTCGGTTTTCGATGTGAAAGCGCATTATGTTCAGATTAAAGGTCACATGCCAGCAGATCCGCCAATGATGCTTCAGGTTTATCAAGTCGCTGGTGGACGCCATCGATGGTCTGCACCTTTCCTGCGAGCTGATCTTGTACGCTTGCATGCTGAAGCACCTCATATGAGAGGTGTTTATGCACGTATTGTATCAACCAGCAACCTGCGTCTGGACCTCCGGCATGTGAAGAGAAAAACTCTGCACGGCATGACTGAGGAACATTCAATTGATGTCTCCACAGAATTCATTCGCTTGGCTGTGCCACATGGTTTACAGATGTACAAAATCTTCGACAACTTCGTCAACACCGGAAAGGCAATTGCACAATTACGGCACCGCTTCAAGACCAGGACGAACGAGTATATCCTGAAGAAAGAGCCTGTCGGGCCAAAGAAAGTTCCTAGGGTATCACTTCGATCAAAAGTGCTTTGCTTCGAGCTCGAGGACGATCCTTTCGAGTGGAAGCTTGGTGTTATTTATCACGCTGGTCGTATCGAGCAAAAACAACGACTTGCTCGGGAGGATGCATATCGATTGAAAGTGAAGAGACTACAGGAAGATCGCAGGCCCCGGTCGACATCCAGATTCCGAGGCCCTTCAAGCCGGCATAATTCTCCAGACACTGTTGAACGCAATCCTCGGCGTTCTAAAAGCGCAGATCTCACGCCTAGAAGACGGTCTGCCTCTCGAGGCAGACGTAGGGAATCTGCGCGGCTAAGATATGACCGTGAAGGTGCTTGTGCATTGACGACCAGCGCTAAAATCCAAGCAGATGAGGCGTGGCAAAAACTTCTGGAACACAATGCGCGAAGCTGGAAGCGGCGTGTAGACTGGATGATGAGGCTTCAGAATAAAACGATCAAAAGCATACGACAAATGTTTGCTGGGGCAGATGAGCCACCTCACGATAGTGGCGAACACGAAGCTATATTGGGTGTACCCAATAGACCTGGCTTGATGACAGCCATTATCAGCGATCTTCATTTGCTTGTCGACAAGCCGTCTTTCCCATCAGCTGAACTGCCTAAATTTCTCAATGAGATTGGGAAAGGAATGCCCTACGATACACAATATGCCCTCCTGGTCCCCTTAAGTCTGAGTCTTGACATGGGTGAGGCGCGCGTGATGCTCCGAGACTATCCTCTTAACCTCCTCCACATCCCTGCAATTCGACCAGGTCAATCTGCGCGTCTGCCCAGTTGGTCGTTGAGAACTGATTTTATCATTGCCGAAGAGTACAGAGATGAGCAATCTATACGTCATGTGAAAGTGGAAATTGTGCCTAAGGGGCAACATATTCAAAGTGGTGAAGAAATTCCGGGCTTTTACATCGATGTCAGAAGGACGGTGTCTCCAGTGAAGACATTTTCCAAACCAGTCGTGGACATCAACACAAGCTTACCGACGACAATCTCCTGGGGCACGTCCTATCAACCAGTTATTCAGGACATGATGATGACGATCGAAGGTTTCACAAAGCCTGAGATCGATCCGTCAGAGCGTGTGGGATTCTGGGACAAGATCCGCATGAGCTTTCATTCACGTCTTGTTGTCAATTGGAAAGGTGATGGCGACGTCCAGCTACGGCTCAAAGGTTCTAGAGACCCCTATGTAGTAACTGGCTACGGAGCAGGATTTGTCATGTGCTGGAGAAACGATGTGCAATGGTCAATACACTCAAGCGACGATCCACGCGAGTTCATGACTGTTCGCAGTGGAGAGTACATCTTGGCTATTCCAGACTACAGCCACGAAGCCCGCAATGCGCCTGAGCAGCAAGCCTCTAAAGAGACGGACAGCATGTCTACCAGCAGCTCGCAGAAGAATGCCGCAATCTTCAAGAAGGTTATCATGAAGGTTTCAGGCAACGTCCAATGGACTGCTGGTCTGGTCTTCGAGCGTGCTTTGGACGATGGAGGACGATCTTCTAGTTTTATCCCACACTATGATGTGATCCTGAAGAATCCAGCCATGATGCATGGTGTCGATATGAAGGGCTATGATGCATTCCGTGGCTTCAGAAGTCAGCACATCCACCTCTCTATCGCTATCGCGGCGCCATTCGACCGAGACTGGCTGAGCGCTGATGCATCACCTTCGGAAAGTTATAACAGCGTTCACCTGAGTCCCAGATTTTTCTCACACTTTTTCAATTGGTGGTCTTTGTTCTCCGGAGTCATGTCCCTACCTATCAGACAAGGGCCACTGTGGCGAGGGGTTGAGAAGTCGAGCAAGAAATTTGGACGTCACCTAGCTACTATCAAGTACGGCCTTTTACTGTCTCCACTCTTCATTGCCCATGTCTACAAGCACAAAGATGCCGAAGACTATCAAGAAGATGTTGTCTCAGCTACAGGTCTGAAAATCAAGATTGACAGTTTTATGCTTGATCTCCACCAACGGCGCGAACATTTCGACACACTGTCAAAAGGCAAATCGGAACAAATGAGGACAAGTGCTATGAAGATCAACAAAGCTGAGCTTGACTTCATGAGAGCAGATCTTCGAGCAGTGGCCGCTAGCATAGCTGGGACTACTGCAGAAGACCTGCAAAAAGCAACGGATGAATCACTTTCAGCGTTCCAGGAGGTGTCACCAAATATCGACATGTCTCAATTCACCATACCTGACCGTGATTTCACCTGGATCGACATGGATGATTTTGTGGAATTGGACTGGGTCCTACCTGCCGAATCCAACCCGGAAACGAAGATACTCCCTCTCGCATTCACACCACGCTTTACTTATTTCCGGCAGACCGATCACGGACCTGGTGGCATACAAGGTGACGAATCTCGAACGAGCCCTTTTGGCGAGGAAGACACCCACTTCTGTGTCATGTCCCGTCACAACGACCCCCGAAAGGTGCAAATGAACCTTATAGAAAGCAGGTTACACGACCTTGAAGACAAACTACAGGCGCATATGCGCATCATGAGTGACCATGAATTGAAAGTCATTCGAGATGGTGATCATGATCAAGCAGTTATGGAGAAGCAGAAAACACTGGTGGCGCAACGAAAAGAATTGGACAGCAAACGCAAATTCTTACAACATGGTCTACAACGCCTGATGGGCCATGGCAATCCAGGCGAACACCATGAATCAGAAAAGAGCAGCAGCTCTAATCGACACGGAAGCACAGCGACCTCGGTGACCGAACTGGTCGATGCTCAAAACAATGGTAATCCACATGTCGATATGGACGCACTGTATTCGTCCGCCCCTGACGAGTTCGCTAGTGACTTCAACAACCGCTTCATCATTCACAACGCTCAATTCAAATGGCACAACTCGTTGCGGAACATTATTCTTCGCTATAGCCACCAAGTCAGCCAGCGGCGAGGCTTTGTTTATTACATGTCTCGCCGTGCCGTAAAGTTTCTCCTCGATATCGTCGACGAGCAAGCAAAGGCAAAAGAGATGCGACGAAGGCAAGAGAAAAAGGATGTTCCACCCGTTCCCGCCACTCCTAGTGTTATCTCGCCATCAGATGAGAAAGATGAAGATTCCGTTGTGCAAGATCGAATTAACCAACTTTTGAGTGATGCCACTCGTTTTGTGCATGCCGGTGATTCAGACCGGGACACGAGTCCCAAAACAGAATCTGTCTCAGATTCCATCGATGCTGCCTCGGAGCGACGACCTTCGACAGCAGACCTAGGCGACAAGATAGCAGAAAATTTCCAGGCGATGAACAGCTATCATCTACGTTTGATTGCCCCGCAAATACAGCTACAGAGCGAAAAGAACGAGAAAGCAGTCGCGCTTATTGCAACGAAAGGGATGCAGCTGAAAGTCGTTTCAATCATGGACAAGGCCCGCATTTCAGACGACGTCTCCGGTCTGGTTCAACGTCGATTCGCCCTTGACATGGATGGTGCTCAGTTCTTCGTGGCTAGCCAAAAGACTCTCGCGCAGTACCTCCACTTGTATTCGGGCAATAGATACGGTAATGCGCCGGGCTCTTCTTGGCCACCATGGGTCTCTCTTGAAGCGATGTTTGACTTCCACCTGGAGCCTTTCGGCTTCCAAAGAGTTATTCAAAAGACATCGGCGAGCTTGCGGTATGAGAAGTACAACCCGCTACGTCTGAAGTACAACGAAGAGGTCGAAAGCGATGGAAGCGGCGAGAGCAAGAATCCTTCCCGACGGGAGGACCGCATTGACCACTTATGGGTTGACTTTCCCAGAGTTCGTGCCCGTTGCGACTCCCAACAATACTATACCATGTATATTATTGTTCTGGATCTGCTGCTGTACAGTGAGCCGCTAGAGAAAACACGGAGTGAACGTCTCGAGAAGATTATGCTGGCGTCAGACTTCAGTGATCTACGAGGCGCCCCGGAAATTGCACAGAACCTCCAGGAACGCATTCGGCAGCTAGAGGAGATCAAACTGCACTTCCAGATCAACGCCAAATACCTTGACAAGCGCGGTTGGCAGGATCGGATAAATCTCGAAAAGGATCTGACAAGCTGCGAGGATGAACTCTTCTTCATCATGAAAGCCATCAATACGTCGCAGCAGAGAAATGACGACCGCAAAGCCTCCGAAACTAGTGGTCTTTTGCGGTGGTACTTGAGCGCGTCTGAGATTGTCTGGCATTTGATGCTCGACAAGGATCAACCATTGACGGAATTTCAACTAGGCAACGCTGCATACGAGCGAGTTGACAACAGCGACGGGTCAAATCACAATGCTCTAGAAGTTGAACACATTCGTGGTTGGAATCTTTTGACCAATGCGTTGTATCCAGAGATCATTGGTCCTTACTACGAGCCTGGAGACCGACGTCACAGCACAACACACGCCCAGAAAATGGTGGAAGTGCACTGGTACATGCTTGAAGCTATCGCCGGTATTCCCGTGCTCGAGCAGTTTTTCGTGACGGTGCATCCTCTGAAGGTGCAGCTGGAGCGTGAGCTAGGGAAGAAACTGTTCGAATACATCTTCCCCGGTGTCGGCTCGAATGCTTTCGAAAGTGACAACTTTTCTCCGCTGATGGTGCAGAACATGGCACCACTTGATGAGGGTAACGATCAAGAGCTTGAGGACGCGCAGAACGCTCTCATGTCGGAGACTGATCTTCGCGGGCCCAGCATGGAACAGAAGAGAGACGCATCTCCTGGGGAGATAGCACGACGACTCAAGCCCACGTACGGGCTCAGCTACAAGGAAAAGGCCACCCCATCTACCACGCAGCCCAAGTATAAAGGACTGGGCATTGGATCCGAGCATCACAAATTCTTCAAGCATTTCAACGCGTCAAATCCGCGATCGGTATTGAAGGAGCCTACGCGCAAAGGCTCCTCAGGCAGTCTTCGCTCTAACAAGGGAAACAATGCCTCGTCCGGCAGCCTTGTAGCATTAGGCAATGCAGAAGAGAAGAAGCTCAATATGCTTCATCGCACCACGAGTAAAGAGCGCGGCGCGGTCATCAAGAAGAGCAAGGACAAGAAAGAGAAACCGTCAGACGACCTGTCACAGATGATGGCTCGTGCGTCGAATTATATGACTCTTGCCCATGTCAAGTTGAACACCTTTATCATATGCCTCAGCTACAAGGGCAAAGGAGATCGCAACATTGAGGACCTCCACGACTTTGTATTCCGCATGCCCACTCTCGAATACAGGAACAAAACCTGGAGTAATTTGGACCTTGCCCTCCGATTGAAAAAGGATGTCATTCGTGCGCTGATCAGCCATACGGGCGCCATAATCGGCAACAAATTTTCCCATCACAGGCCGAACAAGAAGCAAGTCGAGCGGCTGAAGGAGATTGCTATGAGCAGCACCATCCCAAATAGTGATATCAATCTACAGTTGTCGAACACGAGCGAGAACACTAGTCTCTATTCCTTCAGCCAGGACAGCAAGGACGACGACTTTGAATCCTCGGGGATAACGTTTCAGAGTCCGACAGCGCATGAGAACGGACATGGGAAGATGCCGGTGTTTGGGACAGGGGGACCGAGCCCACTACTGCGTAGTGGCAGCTGGAGCTCGAACACCATGTCCAAAGTGCCCGTGTTGCAGATGCCCAGATCGATGCCGCCTCCGTCAATAGCAACGGCGTCAAGTTCAACCGGGTCGATGGGTCCTCCGGCCAGGCCGAACACGGCAACTTCCCAGGCACCTTCCAGTGGAGGCGGGTCGAGGAATTTACTCAAAGACACGATTGGACGTCACTTTTCAGGCGAGTCATCCAAGGGACGTGGTGTACATTTCGGACCTCTGAGTCTCGGAAAGAGCGAGAGCCACAAGGACGTTCCCAGCACTATGAACCATGGGCGCGACGGACAACATGACGACGGCGCGGAAAGTGACCCAGAAGGCCACCGTAGGAAGAGCGTGCTCCTGCTGGGCAAGAAGGTGCTTAATCGGCTTAGTTAGGAGCGTGGCTGAACGGTGCTTGCTTGCTTGCCTGCTTCATGAGGGAGTGAGTATTGAAAGAGATGTTGCATGATATGAGCCTGGCGTTGAGGTGTCTTTCGGACCTACCTGCCTAGACAAAAAGGCAGGGTCACGTTGGGTATGAGCATGACTAGGTACCTAGGTGGGCTTGGGGGTAGAGCCTACTTTGAGAGCCAAGGGGGCTAGATTGTGTGTCGTGTTGATGAATGATGTATCGATATATCCCGGCCAAACCAACGAGACACAGATAGGGACACAAAGTCTCGAGTCCTTTTTGGGTGTCTTTTTTGGCGGTGACGAAACTGATTCATGAACATATGGGCGGGTTTGGTTGTGTATAGTTTAGTTTTATTCAGTCGCAGTAAAAGAATTGCTTGCGTATATGTTTAGTAGGTAGTCATAGTCATAGTCATATGCTGTTGTTACTGATACTCCTCTATCGAGGTATGGTTATCCTCTTGCTGGTCTTACTGCCCTAGGTACTAATAAGGCGCAGAAGAGTTCGCAAGCAGCCAGCTCACCGCACAGACGTGATATCTAGCCAGAATGATATGTTGTGGTCCAACGTAGACTTGCCGTGGGCGACAATTCCGTGAGGATGAATCGCGTCAAATACGGCAGATGCCGAAGCCTGTCGAGGTTGGGAAATTGTGCTGACGCTGGTTGTGTGTGTGGTAGCCATGTTGGGCAAAAGGTAACGAAACCACATAGAAGCTCTACATACATTTTCACATGCCCATTCAAGAAAGAAAAAATGAAGATTAGCTGGTTCAACTTGAAATCGCCTGTGCTGAAAAGTAAGGAGATTAAGGGCCCCATAAGTCGGTTGGTTGGATGCAGCTCCATGCGATGTGAGCGTCATAGAACGTACCTACCGTACCTTTGTCATGTATGATGGAAAAAAAGGACAAGATACATAGAAGACGTTTATCCAATGGTACTCCGGTAGCACTCGCGGACCTGGGTGGTACTTGCAGTCTCTACCTCCCTCGAGGATTGTAGAAGTCAGGATTGAACACTGAGGACTAAGCCTCGAGGGGCCGAGTAAACAATGGACATTTCCCCTCGTGCAGCAACGCAAATCCTCCTCACCCGACTACCTGTCCTGATCGCCACGGTCATCCTTGCATGCTTCGGTCACTCGCCCAACGGTGAACATCAAGATCTTTTGACGGAGCTGATCACGATACTTGCTCGACCCATTCTAGGAACCCCAGCATCCCTCTCAAATTCTCAGCGGGCGTTCAACCGAGACTATGGTGTCTGGGGTAGAATGTGGGTGAGCAAGTGGACGGTACAGGTACCAACGACATCGACGAACAGAGACGGACAAGTAGCCACCGGAAATGTGACCCACGGTAGAGACCTCGGCACAGGACAGCCTCTCAAGGATAACTGTAAGGCCAAGTCCATGACTCTGCCCGAAGCAGTGCACTTTGCCATTCGTGAACTGGCAAACGAGAAAGACGACCGGTTGTGTCAAGATGAGATGCCACCTTTGAAGCCCGTCGAGGTGGAATGGACGGCGTACCGGGCCAAAGCATTCTTCCCCTTTTCACCCCGTCCATCCACGTCCGAACACGACATGTACCGTGCCATGATGGATGAAATAGGAAGCTCTGGTCCAACGATCTTGTACTTGCACGGCGGGGCGCATTGCTTGATGGATCCCGTGACGCATCGGTGGTCGACGACGAGACTCGCCAAAGAATCCGGTGGTCGTGTCCTTGCCGTGCGGTACAGACTCTCTCCACAACACATGTTCCCAGCCTCCTTGTTGGATGCGCTATCGGTGTACATGGCATTGATCTGTCCGCCCCCGGGATCGTATCACACGGCGGTGTCGGCGTCGCAGATCGTCATAGCAGGAGACTCTTCTGGCGCAGGACTGGCAGCCGCATTGGTGCTTCTCCTGCAGACACTGTCCAACCACCGAGTCGCACCGAGATGGTACTCCTCGACGGACACAAATATTCCGGATCCAGTATGTGCGGGTCTCGCCCTGGTCTCGCCCTGGTTGGACATCACGCGGTGTTTACCGTCGACGGCCGCAAACGCTCGCTGGGACATCATCGCTCCTCCACCTGCTCCTGGATTGAATCCCACTCCGGCTTTTCCACCGGATGACATCTGGCCGGCGCATCCGCCACGGGTCGAGACGTACTGCAAAGCCGCAATGTGCGCGCATCCACTCGTTTCGCCACTCGCCGCACAGTCCCATCACTGGAAGGGTATTCCTCCTGTTTACGTCTGCGTGGGATGGGAAGGGATGCAAGATGAGGCAGAAGTCTTTGCGAGAAGGGTGATTGAGGCCGATCCGGAAAATCAGGTGGTCATCTTTGATGGCTATGAGGGTATGCCTCACTGTTTCGCCATGTTTCCTTGGAATTGGGCTGGAACGACCGCGATGAGGCGATGGGCAGAGTTCTGCAGCGACGTTGTAAGAAGTGGTCCACGTTGGGTGTTGAGACCTGTTGCTTCCACGGGGACATGGACTAGTAATAGGAAACGGCATGTACGACAGGTTCCGTTGAAAGACTTGGGATTGAAAGAAGACAGGCCTGGGCGCTTAGAGAATCAGTTAGACGACCTTCATGTGAATGAAAGACTTGCTGAAGCCAGACGGTGGCGAATCGAGTTGGATAACCAGATGGCTGCCGATCCAAAGCACCATCCAGCGTTGAGAGGTTTGGATTTGCCTTTATCCCATCATGAGAAACAAATAGATGTCACGATAGACACTTGGCGCGATAGATGATAGATTTTGGATCCTTTGGGGATGTTAACTAGATGAGATTCTTCACTTGCATTGCCTTGGGCATCGTAGATGCTGGAAGTAGGTAGCAAGGCTGCACCTCAACCTCGTATAAGACGCTCTGTCGGTGTATAATACGCAGGTTCATCCCTGCAATAGTAACACACAGCCAAACATCAAAACAAAACACCCGGCGACTGCACGCTACTGAATTCTCATCAAAGAGCTTTAGAATATTGATATAGCAAGCAAAAGATGATAGGATTTCGGTGGAAGGTCACTGTACAACTCGCGAACAAAAAAAAGCATTCGACACGAGGTAACTATTGCCTATACTTGCATCTAGACGAAGCACGGAGACGTGCTGTAGGGGAGTGGCACTGTTTTCGATACTAGGAATTTCATCTCAGAGTTTGTCATGCAGTTCCAGCCAAGTTCCATATCACTACTCGGAATGCCCACCATGGTCCAAGTTACGGTCAAAGCAACCCCTGGAGCTAGGGGCCGTTACGAGTAGCGAGCATCATCTGGGGAGTCCAGGCACCTCTGTCTAGGCTCTCCATTTGCACCGGTACAACAACTAGTCTGGCGCGGCCTGGAAAATAGCGTCGATCATGCCCCAGACACAGACTCGGTTGGCTCTCCTGTAACTTCACCTCACCTCAAGCCCTGGTCGCGGCATGTTTCATCGACAGTTCCGACTGGGACAGCTTCACCATAGGTCATGCACACAAAGGTGAAGCGTGTCTGGCGATCAACATAACGCTGTCTCGCGTTAGAAACACACATCCAGACTGCTCTAAGGATACCACCTGAAGAAACATCCTCAATGGGTCAAGACTCCGGGGCTGCTGTCCATCCAGAGCAGGGGAATTAATTGTCCAGGCGTCTGGCTGGGAGGGCAAGCGTAGGCGGCTTCGTGCCCCCTAGCAATGAGTGGTTTGTTGACTTGAACTTTCCCACGTCGCAAACCACCTATATCCTTCATATGTGCTCCGTATGGTTGACAAGAAATCCAAGAACGAATTTGACAATCTTCGATGCTTGCTGCTGTCGTTCAACGAGTCTCGGTAATCTCGACACATTGTGCCTGAGACGACTTGGCGGGACGGCCAACCGAGCCTCATCGTGAGCAGGTTGAGCAGGTTAAGGCCCCGGGTTGAGCAAATTGAGCACATTTTTCACTGCTCAGCCATGGAACGGCCAAGATACTTGGGTGAGACCTTGTCTAGCAGTATTACGACGGCCTTTCTTTCTCCATCCTTGGATGGTCATTCACCTCTCACTCCACGGATCGGTCGAACTCCGAACAATTCTCGTAACCACGACTTGTCCTCGACCTACCGCAGTCCTTCTCCTTTTACCACCGAAGACGACGATGTCTGTCCGATCATCCCTCGCGGGATCACTTTCTCCCTGCGGGAAGTCACGTCCTTCTCGCAGCAAGGCCAGCCTAGGAAGGATAGACATTCAAGACCGCCCAACCTCAAGCCAGAGTCGCTGCACTTGTCTTCGCTATGTCGTGGACAACATGGTGACCATTTTCTGCCACGAAGTGCACTGTCCATCACACCGAGCTTGATAGACCATCCCACGAAACACAGACCCAGTGATGAAGGACACTATCTCACAACTTTTTCCGCCATAAACCTCATCTTGGGGAAGACCGTCGGTGTCGGTGTCTACTCGGTGCCATCCTCGATTTTTTCCCAAGTAGGGTCCGTTGGGATGACTCTTCTTGTCTGGGTCGCCGGCGCCATCATCTCCTTCTGTGGACTATCCGTCTATCTGGACCTAGGTACTGCTCTCCCTCGATCCGGTGGGGAACGAGTTTATCTCGAACGGATCTTCTCTCGACCTCGAATGCTCGCCACGTGCATGTTCATGTCGTACGTTGTCCTCTTGGGCTTCAGCACTCCGAACTGCATCATTCTCGGCAACTACGCTGTCTCGGCTCTGGGCATACAACCCGCCGTCTGGAACGTTCGTGGTGTAGCAGTGGCCGTGATCTCAATGGCCTGTGTCATCCACGCACGGGCACCGGCAGCAGGTCTTAGAATAATCAACGTCCTAGGCGTCGGGAAGATGTTGATCCTAGCCGCAGTCATCCTCAGTGGCCTCGCCAGCGTCGGTCGGATCTTCTCTCCCTCCTCGGCCGTGGGCGACGGCAGTGGTCCGTCGATCGCCGAACAAAACTTCACCTCGATCTGGGCGGGCTCCAGCTCCAAGCCGTACAACTACGCCACCGCGCTGTTGCAAGTCCTCTACTGCTTCCGCGGCTACAACACGGCCAACCAAGTCATTTCCGAAGTCCGCAACCCCATCTCGACGATCAGGGTCGCCGCACCGGTCGCCCTGACCCTGGCCTCGATAGGCTACGTGCTCGCCAACGTCGCGTACTTTTGCGCCGTGGAAAAGGACGACTTCCGCACCTCCGGCGTCGTCGTCGCCAGCCACTTCCTGCGCAACATCTTTGGCCCCCTGTGGGGTGAGAGGATCCTACCCTGTTTCATCATCGTCTCGGCATTTGGAAACATCGCCGCCACCTCCTTCGCTCAAGCCCGAGTGAACCAGGAGCTCGGCGCGCAGGAACTCCTCCCAATGTCCGGCTTCTGGCGCAGCAAGAACGCCAACGGCGCCCCCGGTGCGGGCTTGTTCTTGCACTGGCTCGTCAGCGTTCTTGTGATCGTCCTGCCCCCGCCGGGCGAGATGTATACCTTTCTCGTCGAGATAGGAGGATACCCCGTGTCTGTCTTGTCCGTCGCCATCTCCGGGGGCCTGTTGTACCTCCAATCGTCCACCGCGGAACGTTGGACGAGCCCGTGTCCCGCTCGACGCTTCCCCACCGTCATGTTCCTCGCCAGTAACCTGTTGCTGCTCATCTTCCCGTGGATCGACCCAGGCCAAGGGAAGAGTGAGGGGCCAGAAGGAGCCAATCAAAAATTCGCCTACTACGCGTACCCGGCCACTTCGCTGGCCATCCTCGCCCTGGGTGCCTTGTACTGGGCGTTTTGGCGCCTGACGCGGCGGCCAGGGACGAAATCCGTGAGCACGCCTCTCCTGCAGGACTGGGTCTCTAGTGGTCGAACTTCGGAGGCGTCCGAGGATGGTAGTACTGGTTCTCTTGCCGCCACCAGCGACGGCAATGGCGGTGGCGGGAGTATCATTGGGGCGTCTTGATCTCCAATGGTGATACTACGTACGGGGTACACGAAGGGGGCCATCGGTAAGAAGTTGTACAGGGGTGACGCTATATCTACCAAGGTATTTTCTCGTTCGCAGCAACACATATCCACCCTCACAGTAGATGCCTACTTGGTATAATGGAAATCGTAACATGTCACGATAGAAAGAAAAAAAAGGTTCAAGAATAGTTTCATTCAATCATGATATGCTTCACGAGTTCGACACCTTCGCCTAGTCCAATATGTAAACCAAGATGTCACAGTCCAAAAGTAACCATTTGGTTAGATCACAACCCGTCATCCGAATCCGAATCCGATTGACATACTCCGAGTCCCAACTCGTTCCCATTTCATTTCCGCGTGATCGTGACTTTCTTCTTCCTCGACCTCTCGTTTTTTGCACCTCCCCGACCAAACAAATCCCTACGCCATCGGTATCGGTGTCGGTGTCATAAAGCAATCTCGGTCGTAATGTACATTTTTTGAAAATCCTCGAGTAGATCATGAACTTGTTGCATACTCGTTTCGTCATATTTCCCCAACATCGGTTCCACGGTAGGTGTGGCCCCAGAGGAGTCGTCGCCTGCCGTGCTTGCGCCGCCCTCATTCTGCCTGTGATCACCACCGCGGACCGTTTCGTCTGACCGCTTCTTCGATATCTTCTCCAACATGAAACTGGCGAGAAGCCAATACTCGGCGGCGTGGCGGATGAAACCTATCCTCCTCCAAAGATCTCGACAAGAGACCTCTTCTTCGCCTACGGTCGAGTAGCGTGGCTTCATCAGGGATTGGGCCTGGTAGATCAGCCACGCCTCTCGCCAATTGTGGATCGCGTTGCGGACGGGGATCAGTTGACCGTGACAACCTAGGGAATTCTGATAGTGGAAGATGAGAGAATGCAAAGCTACATATGTGTACATCGGTGTCAGTGTTTGTGGAAATGGCGAGCAAGATATAACTGAATGCATTGAACGGTGACCCAAAAACATACCTGATGTCATGGAAAACAGATTCAAAGGACCCAAGTCTGCAAGTGCGAGAAGCTGTTTTTGTGGAATGCGACCGGCGTCTTTGCACAAAAGTTCAACGGCAGAACAAAGATCCTTGATGCTGTCGGATTCTCGTTTGAGCTCTAAATCGCGTTGAATTTGGTCCCAACACGCCCGTGCGGTACCAGCTTGGTAAGTGGCTTCTGTGCAAGCCATGTGCATCTTCATCTCCTTGATCACCAGTCGCGGAGGAAGATTGTTGAATATGACAAACGCCGTGTCGATGAGAAATATCCACAAAAAGACACTGTACCCCCCAAAAATATGTCACTTGTCAGTAAAATGCGTTGCCTGTGTGAGAGCATTGCTCCTTACCGGATGAGTTCTTCTCTGAGGACGAATTCTGCCCAGACAAAGTCGTTGGCGGTCAGTTGCGAATAATCGCGTTGTTGAGCGGTGTGGATGCCAATGTCTCTTGCCACACTGACGAGGGTACTGAATCTTTCCCGCCGGGCACGTCGCCGACTCTTGTCAATGCCTTCCCAGTTTTGAAAAAGGAGCACCATATAAGCCGCCTGCAAAGCTTGAATCTTGTTCCTTGACGAGCTGAAATGCTTGGATCCATATTCTACGGAGAAATCGCTGTCATCCAGCAAGTCATCATCGGTGAAGACGAGCTCTTCGATGCAGTTGAACCACATCTTCGCATTATCTCGATCTTCTGCGTCCGGGGAGAGACATGCTCCTTTTGTGGCAGGTCAGCACGTTTGCAATCCAAGGTATTGACACAATGGGTGACTCACCTATCAATGTCATTGTCGCGACGAGAATCGACTTCGATGCCAACACGTCAAACGTTGGTCTGTGTAGGAAATTCACTTGAGGATGCCAGAAAGCCCAATAGAGGGACAAATATTTCCGGATCTGGGGAGGCGAGAAGAAGCGTAAACTCATATGATGCAGTAACGGAGTCCATTCATGTGTCACAATACTTCTGCGTGACTTGACGACAATGACCTTTCTTATCAGTGAAGTAATTTCATTCGTGACCGCAGCATAGGGATCGGCTATCCATGACGAGGCAATTCGAGCCACTCCACAATCGTTCCCATTCCATGGGTCATGTTCCAGGTATGGCAACGAGTTGAAAGGTGTCAAATCAGAAGGACTTGATTGGAGAAATGCGCCAAAGGCATCGTCCCTCCCAATACCTTGACATTCCCAGCATCCGGAAAGCATATGACACCGCTGGTTGAGGGTGCCGCAATCAAAGGACTGCACCAGTCCGTAATTGCTGGTGAAGTCATTGAGAAACTGGAATCTATGCTTCTTGACATCCTGAGACGCGTCCGGAGGTAGCGAATTTTCTGGATCAACGCTCAAAATGTCGGCCCATGGTATGTCAGAAAAGCCATCTGAGAAGGCAAACTCTGAAGTGGCGTCGGCGACGACATCCCAATTGCCAGGCGGCGGCATGAGTGGTTGGTTCAATACACCAGCCCCGACATTGGTCATGAGCGATGGCTCAAGAGGTGGCGGTGTGATGAGCTCTGTGGCCATCGAGAAGTCGCCAACCACCCCATTGTTGACATTCTCGTTAACGGTACAAACGGATGGCTTTCTCCGTTGCGCTGGTGGAACTCCTTCACATGTCTTCAGGTGCCGTTTGAGCACGTCGGACCGTTGGAAAGAGCTCTCACATTGGTGACATCTATGTGGGCGGTCGGGGCGGTGGGAGAAGAAGTGCCTCCGGAGATGTTCCGGTCGCTTATAAGATTTGGTGCAGATTGGACAGGTGTGGGATGAGTTGTTGGTCATAGTGGCGACATTGTTCTTCAACAGGACTTATCAGGGTGATTGGAGTTGTAATTGTGCAGGGGTGAGGTGACATCTGTGATAGCACCAGGTCCAAGTACAAGTTTATCCACAAACACAGACACTGTATCGGTACAGATGCAGGTCTAGAAGCGAAGAAGCGAGAGAAGAAACCAGAAGGTAGAAAATTCCCCGCATTCGCCGCTTCCGAAGAGAAAAAATCTGGGGATGGTGGGTGTGAATCTCAACTCCGGATCAGTCAAGAAGGATACTGGGGGTTGACCCGATCCCACATAGTCTGGAGAATTCGTATTCAAGAATCAAAAACAATCAGACAGCGGAATGAAAGAACGGGTAGAGGGAAATGATTGAACTTGGTGTTGCTGTTGCAGGAGTTGGTTTCACGTGACTGGGCAATTGCTCCGGATGACTAATCGGGTAATTCAATGTCGGTCATTGGTCTTCGACTCCATCAACCAAACGACAGCCTCACAGTCAAGCCAAATACAGCGAATACAATAACAAGAACACGAGCGGTGAGACTTGTTGAGACGCCGGCGAGGCCAAGACAGCCCCCCATGGGCTCCCCAGAGCATCCCACCACCAGACAGCTGTCGTTTCATCCCACAAGGAGCACAACCCAAGGCTGCCCACCTCCACTTGGTGCATCCCGTATGCGCAGATCTTTCCCCGGGTATGAGGGCGTCTTAGCGTAAATTGGATAGCCAATGGGCATACGCCAATATGGACATACCAGGCTCTCGACCAAGGTGAACGAGCATTTGGCTGTGTTGCTATATAACGACTCAAGGTCGAGTGAGATGATCAAGATGTTCGACCCAACCTCGGAGCGTCTGTTCATATACACAAGGCACTTGGCACGAGTTTTCTTCGTTCCCTTGGACAAAAATACTCGTTCGCCAATCTAGAACGGGATGGAGCGAGTCACAATGCTTCCACCGCATATCATGCTCGCCGTGACCCTCGTGGTTGGCTATCTCACCTACCTGGCCTTCACTACAGGTCGAAGACCCAAAGACTTTCCACCTGGGCCTCCCACGGTTCCAATCCTCGGGAATATCCATCAGATGCCTGCCCGAGATGCACCGTTGCAGTTCGAGAAGTGGGCTCGCGAATACGGTCCAGTATACAGCTTGATGCTGGGCACAAAGACCATGATTGTGTTGTCGACCGATGAAGCAGTGAAGGAGTTGCTGGACAGGCGAAGTGGCTACTACTCGGATAGACAAGAGATGTACATCGGACAAAAACTCTGCAGTGGTGACAACCGAATGTTGATGATGGTTAGTTATCACCAGTATCCCTGAGCATATGAGTTGGTTCACGCTTGCTAAGCTACACTTCATAGGGTTACGGACCACGATGGCGAGGTGTATGGACAATTGCTCCAGCTATGCATACTAAATGGCTGACACCCCCCTTTACAGTTCCGCAAGATGTGTCACGCTCTTCTCAACATCCAAGCAGCCAAGTCTTACGTTCCATATCAGATGCTCGAGAACAAGCAAATGTTACATGAGTTTCTCCACAAGCCCGACGACTTTATCAAGCATATTCGACGCTACTCCAACGCCCTGACCACCACCATGGTTTACGGCTGGCGAACACCGACGTATGAGGACCCAAAAATGATGCAGCTATTTGAAGGGTTCTCCAAGTTTGCCGCCATCAACCAGACCGGCGCATCTGCTCTGTTCGAATTCTTCCCTCTTCTTAGATGGATTCCTGACATTCTTTCTCCGACCAAGCGACAGGCCAAGGAGTTGCACCGCCACGAACGAGAACTGTACCTCGGCCACTGGTTGAACGCCAAGGCAGCCATCAAAGAGGGGTGCATACGTCCGTGTTTCTGCGTCGGGATGGCCGAGGCCCAGAAGTCGGACGGTTTCAGCGACGACCAAGCCGCGTATATTGCCGGCACTCTTCTCGAGGCAGGCTCAGACACGACCTCTAGCACTTTGGTCGGCTTCGTATTGGCCATGCTTCTCTACCCCGAGGTGCAGAAGAAGGCACAGGCTGAGATTGATCAACTCGTTGGGGACCGGCTGCCGACAATGGATGACGAACCCCAGCTTCAATACGTCCGTGGCGTTATCAAGGAGAGCCTTCGGTGGGCCCCCACCACGCCCCTCGGAGGCGTTCCTCACGCCGTCACCAAGGACGACGAGTACCTGGGCTACCGCATCCCCAAAGGCGCAGGAGTAGTCAACAACGCATGGTCCATCCACATGGATCCCAAGAGACACCCGGAGCCGAGGAAATTCGAACCGATGAGGTACGCAGAGGATACACAGAGTCTTTCAGATTCGGCGGCCAACCCTGACGGCAGCAAGCGTGACCAGTTCACGTTTGGTGCGGGCCGTCGTATCTGTCAAGGTATCCACGTCGCCGAAAGGAGTCTGTTTCTTGCCGTGTCTCGTATCCTGTGGGCGTTCAACATCGAGCCAGCAAAGGACGCATCGGGAAACCCAATCATTCCGGACCAGGAAAAGTTCACTCAGGGGTTCGTGTGTATGCCTGAGCCGTTCCCTGCCTCCATCAAGGCCCGGTCCCCGGGAAGAGCTAAGCTTGTGGACGAAGAATGGTTCGAGGCCGAGAAGGAATTTTTGGACCCAGGCACGAAACAATGGTTGAAGACACCTCCTGGTGTGATGGGTGAGAAGGTATGAAGAGGTTCTTTTTTGTAGGAGAGTACGACAATCTTTGAATGAGGGTCGAGTATGAGCATGAGTATGAGGCTGCAGGCTCCGGCCTACGGGCTACCTGGTTGCCAGTATTTTTACGACTTGTCTTCAGTTTGGTTTGATAGGTAAATACCTTGTGTTTTCGTATCACACAAGGACCTCCTGTACCTGGATTGAATCGATCCAACAGTTATCGTCACGTCAGTCATTCGAGAAAAGTGCCCAGTACCTCATCTGTTCCCACTCTTGATAAAATGTTCTTCAAGCCTCGTGTATCGTTAGTCGTTCAAATGACCCTTGGAGCCAAGATATGTTCCATCTTACGACGTGCATGCTTTTTACTCGACGGATATCAAGCGGTAAGCACTTCACATTGCATGATACTCTTACTCCCTACTTCCTTCTAGGATTCATCTCACGTATCTACTTATCCGACGAACGATCCTCAAGTCTCGCATATATCAAACCCAAGTACAAACAGTCGCTTGACTTGATCACTTTTCCTTTCGACTAGACACGACTCAAACTCACAAACCTGATTTCAACACCGTCACGGCAACGACCAAACAACGAACGACAATGGCAACAACGGTGAAAACGACGCAACAGTCGATCCCTCGGTTCTACCGAACCTTTTTTACAACCATCGACCCGGTCATCGCTTCGAGCGGCGTCATTGCGAATTTGTTTTTCCCTTCCTTGATCCTGAAGTCCTACACCGCCACCCCCAAACTCCCCCCAACCACAGAGACGGTGGCCCTCCTTCACGGATCGGCAGGGTGTCTCTTGTCGACCATGTTTTTGCAAATCGTCCTTCTCCGTCTCAAGTCCTCCGACATGACCGTGTGGCGCTGTTTGCAGACGAGTATCTTGATTCAAGACGTCGCGCTCATCTCTTCCTTGTTCGTGGCCGTCGCAGATCAAGGGAGGGGAGTTACAACCTTGACAGCCGAGGAATTCGGGAATCTGGGTGCCTTGCTAGGCGTCGGAGGGATCCGGGTTGCTTTTTTGATGCGGCTGGGCTTTGAGGATGATGAGCATGGCGATAAGAAGAGGGTGTGAGGGATATGAAACTGAGAGGCCTGAGAATAGGATGCCGGGTTGCATTGTTCCAAGGTTACTTATCACGAATTACGATGATGGACACGGCTGGAGGGAGTAATGTAATACGAACGTAAGAGGCTACAGCAATGATCTAAATAGTCTAAAAGGCTGTCGACGTAACCCGTCACCCGAAAAAAACAGGAGTCTTTCGTCCTCGTCATATGAGGAATCAAATCATGATAGTCTACTAGTCTATTGAAACTTGACCCAGCCGAAAATACCACGTCGACGTACTACGTACGCCATTACACTCAGTCTCACACTGTCGCCACATATCTCAAGGGTGGTGGTGGCATGTCAGCGCCCAAGACTTTGCTCATCTGCTCACCAGAAGCGTGACTCCCCACGACCTTTTGCTTTCCTCTGGGACAAATGATGCAGGAGTAGGCTTGAACCAACGAGACCACTTCGAGTTCGTTTCCGAGATTCCCGGCATTGATCAACAGGGACGCCAAATCACAGACATCCAGCAGCGCCGTATTGGCACCTGCACCTTGGAACGGCATCATCGCGTGTGCAGCGTCTCCTGCCAAGGTCACCCTCCCGACAGGCAACCTGGGAGGCGGGACGAACTCGACAAACTTTAGAGCTGGGGTGATGATTCCTTCGACACCGGCGGTGCGGATGATGTCGGTCAGGAAGTCGGGCAGACCTTTTGTCTGGGCGAGGGCTTTGTCGTAGAGTGATTCCGGACTCGCCGAGGCCGTCCAGGCTGTCTCCTCTGCAGCGTCAGGAGGCTGATAACAGACGGCGTAGTAGTACTCTGCCGAGGATTCGTCCGGTTCAATCGATAGCAAGGCGACGAGATATCTAAGGTCTCTTTTGCCGGCTATCAGTCCCGCACTGCCGAGTTCGTGCAAGTGTTGGAACTTTTCGCGAGGCAGCGTCGCAGATCCCATGATGGGCACAAAGGGGGCAAAGTTCGAAGACTGTTGAAGGAGTTGTGTTCGGACACGCGATGAAGCACCGTCAGCCCCCACGAGGATGCTGCCACGAGCACTCGTGCCATCGTTGAAGTGGGCAGTTACTCCGTCGGCATCTTCTTCATAGTGTGTGAACTGCTTGTCGGTGGAGATAGGGATGTCCTGTGCGAGATATTCCCGTAGCCTCTCCCGTCGGCATCGAAGGATATGTCCAGGCTGATCACTCGGTACACCACCGATGCTTGCTATCATGTCCCCGGTGCAGGCGTCCAGTATGGTAGCCCCGTCGAGAACGCCGATGTTTGCATTGACGCTGATGGAGTGGAGGTCACCAAGACTAGTTGGAAGAAGCCTTTTCAACCTCGACAAGCATCTGAGGAAAGGAAAAAGGGGTCAGCCAAGTCTCACTTCTTCAAGTCCCCCCTCAACACCTTCGGAGAGACTTACTCGTTCAATGCAACAGCCCAGCCTTGTTGACGACTATGTAGTTCTTGATCTCTTTCGAAAACTTGAAAAGGGATCCCATTTGCCTGAAGGATCTGGCCGAGTGCTAAACCTCCTAAACCTCCACCAATGATCAGGACTTGATTGTCAGAGGTGTTCATTGCGATTGTCAAGAGAATATTGATCTTTTGCTTTTGGGAACGATCGAGAGCCACTTCTATTGCGGTGGATTTGCTTGAAACAACAGTTGAAGGATAAAATAGAAAGATGCAAAAAAAGCGGAGCTACAAAAGAAGAAAGATGCGGATCATCATCATCATCATCACCACCGTCATCATCTCACATGCATCTGTCTTCTCCCTTGAGAAAATTCTTTCGACGAATTGCCGTTGAGTCAAAGGTCAGATTCTCGTTATGCTCATCCCTGGATATGAGCCAGCGCTCCAACTCCGGCACCCAACTGTGGCCAGAATGCTGCCAGCAATGTCAATCGTACAGTAGTCAAGGTGACAATGCGGTGACTGAAAATCCCTGAGCAGATCCTTTAGTTACCTGGTGCTGTTAGTTCCAATCAATATGTTTCAGCGATCGGCGTCGGTTGTCTGAAACCTGTGATTTTCATGATGATTGGTGTCATAAAATACAGGGCCTGCCTGAAGTCGGCCTTGATAAGGTCCGTGGGAGTCCTGATGAAGGACTTGTATACGAGGTATACCTTGTCCCTTCGGCTCTACCTAATAGCATGATGATTCGTTGGGTCAATGTGATACGTGGACACTCAAGTAAATGTACTATACCATGTCAACAGCCTCACCTCCTTTCACCGATTGTAGTTGCTATTTTGGCCTGGTGTCTCACGCCCGTACCACAGAAGGAGTCAAACTTGTTGAGAGGTGGAAGATTACCGAGTGGAAACCTGCATTTATAGTAGAGTCTGATGGCTACAGGGAGAGGACCTGGTCGTCAGCTGGGTACCGTAATACGGAGTGTGTTGACGGATACTGGCCGATGTTTACGGCCACTCGGCTAAGTTGCCCCTTATCTCCACACGAATATGATCTCACGGTGCATTGTCGCATGTGCTTTTTCCACTCAGAACGGCTTCTCTCCCTTTATGACTCGTCTCACAATGATGAGATGTCTCTGCCGGGTCTTGGACTGTCGGAACCGGAGGAGGTCTCTACCGTCGAAACCCACCAACATGACCTAACAAAAGAATGTGAATGGCGATTCGAAGTCGCTGTCGGCAAATACGTTCAAGTCAAGGTACAACCAACCAATTGTGCCCTGCCGTTCCTACATTGTCCAAATTTCACTAACAGTACCACCTAGGTCCTGAGTGGAAATGCCGAGATATTTGGCACCGAACTCGTCGTCGGTAACACGTATATTTTCACTGGCACGAAAGCTGCAATCTACACCTGGACTGGCTGCGCCTTCGAAGTCAGCGGAGATGCTTTACAGAGCGAATACAGGGCCGAAGAGACGCCAATGAACGAGTATATCAATGTCCATTTCGCGTTGGAAAACCTACGCGAGCAAGCTAAGGCCTCCGGGCGACAAGGACCCCGGGTCTTGATCTTAGGACCCGACGACGCGGGGAAGACGACCCTCGCAAAGATCCTCACAGGCTATGCTTACCGATCCGCACGGTCACCTACCGTGGTGAATTTGGACGTCAAAGAGGGATTGATGAGCATACCGGGGACAATGACGGCCACCGTATTCAAGAGCACGGTGGACGTCGAGGAAGGCTGGGGTACTGCACCGATGAGTGGCCCCAACGGCGCCATCCCAGTCAAACTGCCTCTGGTCTACTTTTTCGGCAGCTCCAAACCCGAAGAAAAAGAGGGCAAGGTCTACAGGGCACAGCTGAACAGGTTGGCACTCGCAGTCACTGGCCGTCTCGGCCAGGACCAAGAAGCCAGAGAGAGCGGGGTCATCATCGACACCCCAGGTGACTTGACCACCACGAAATCCAGCACGATTGGATACGAGATCATCCAGGACATTGTTTCCGAGTTTGGTGTTTCAACCATCATCTGTCTCGGGTCGGAGAGGCTGTACAGCGACATGGTCAGACGATTTGACGGCCAACCCACGTCGTCTCGGTCGACGGGTGGTTCCACCGGAACCATCTCGGTGATCAAACTTTCAAAGTCGGGCGGCTGCGTCGACCGCGACGAAGCGTACCTGCGGTCATTCCGAGCTGCACAGGTGAAGACGTATTTCTACGGCAACCCACGTCTGAGCAATGGCATTTCGCTACTCCCTCGGCAGCAGCAGGTCGACTTTTCGACGTTGACCGTCTGGCGGCGCATCTCCTCCACGCCGGATCCTACGTCGACCACGTTCCCCGGCGATGAAGACGAAGATACGTTCTTACCAGGTGGTGGAATGGACAACGAGATAGCCCCCGGTGCTGGTGGTGGTGGTATGTCCAAGGTCCCGCTCCCTTCTTCGCAGATTTACGAACGGATGACGGTCCCCTACGCCGCCATGCGCAGTTCAATCCTGGCCGTCATGAACTGTGAGCCGGAAGCCGAGCAAGAAATCATCCGCGATAGTAGCGTCATGGGCTTCCTGTACGTCACCGACACTGACGAGGCTAGGGGACGGATCAGCGTGGTAAGTCCCGTGGCCGGTCGGGTCCCGAACCGTGCCATCGTCTGGGCGGGCTGGCCAGAGCCCATTTTGGGGCTGGACAAGTTATAAAGACATGCTGTTCCGTTTCATCGCGAACTATCAGAGATGAGGATACACAAAGTGGATCAGGTTACAGATGGCGTCAGGGGACAAGACATATACTTCAAGAATGAAGGCTTACTGCTTAAAAAAAGCTTTTGAAAACCCAGATCCAGGCTGAAAAATTAGACAGCAAGTAGCTGCTTTTTCGGTCTTGGATGATTGAGCAACGAGTTCCCGGCCCTGGGCTATTTACCTCTAGATCTAGGTACCTCAAGATAACCAAAGGCATGGAAACAAACGCCTCCAGTGTACTTTTGTATATTTTCTTTACTTTGAAACCTTAGGATGACTTTGGATGTCTGTTTTGGTCTCACAGTCATTCATATACGGGCATGCCGTTTTTTCCCTTTTCCCTTTCTTCTATTCTTATCTTTTGTGTACAGAGGTACTATTCAGTCAAGTCCCGCAAGATACGCAAAATATTCTTGACTCCCATGAGGGCGTTATCGTCTGGGCCCTGGCCAGGTGTCCACGAGGCATGTGCGAAATCGATCAGCCTGACTTCGTGGACTTTTGGAGGTACTTCATCATCGTCGTCGTCGTCGTCATCAATCATGTCGTTATCATCATCGTCACCACCACCAACAACAACTTCTACCGCTTTAGTGTTGTTGCCACTACTGTCCATGTCGAGCTCAAGATCATTGCCATCGCCATCCTCACGCTCAATCGGCATTTCCTGTTCCGCTTTTTGCTCCTCTTGTATCGCAACCTCCATGGCGTCCTCGTCACCTTCATACACCATCAACACGCTCGCGCTGTACATGCGGCTCTCCTCGTTCTCGAGCATGTACTGTATGCTTTCCAATTCGCGGATAAGCCGTCTGGCGATCTCCGGCCCACGTCTCCGGCGAAATGTCTTCCTTCCCGGCCGGGGGTCGTGGTGTACGCCGCCTAGGTACGTCGTGAAGGCGTCAACAACGGTGTGCTGGTCGAACGATTGTCCGTAGAACTTTGTGTAGCATTTATATCCGTTCTTGACCTCGACATGCGCAGGGTCTTCTTCTACTACTTGTCGTGGCGTGGTGGCACTGGTAGTGTTTGTCTCTGTCGTCCCTGTCGTCGGCTCTTCTGCGTGCCGGATCTTCATGCCCGCCACGCGGAACCCGAGACTTCCTGTCGTGGTGCGCTTCGCGACCTCGTCGAGTTTCTGGCGTTTGGAGCGCGGGGCGTCATCGGCCCAGAGTCGTGCACCGAGCTTGACGTCCAGCACGTTGGGATGTTTGAAGCCGGCCGCGACGTTCTCGAGTACGATTGCCAACCCGGTCGAGAGTTTCTTGCCACCCGAGGGCTTCCATGACATGCGCTTGGTCAGGGTCGGGGAGGGCATGGTGGTGGTTGTGCCATTGACCACGGCGGCGCCGGAGAGGGGGTCGGTCGAGTCGGGCGCGTCCTGTTCGTCATGCTGCAACAGCGAGCCGATAAAGGTGGGCATGTGGGCTTGGAAGAGAGGGTGTGCTTCGGCGGACTCGTAAAAGTCGATCTCTGCTTGCGTGCATGGCTTGATTATCAGGGAGCCTGAAGCATTGGAACTGATTCCTTGACTGGGTTTGGGTCGCGGTTAGTGGGACATTCACCCAAGAAGAACGGGAAGGGTAGTACGTAACGTTCAAAGGAGAGAACTTACTGTCCAGCAGCACTGTGGTCAAAAGCAACGAGTTCCGACTCTGCAGGCATGAGAGCGACTTTCTTGCCGGGCGGTGGTGTTGATACAATGTTGGTCGCCATCTCAGCGGTGGTGCGCTGGAGTGGTAGAGAGAATCGAACAAGACACAGAGAGAAAGGAAGGCGCAATTGCGAGTTGTTTAGAACAGGAACATGATGATGCTGTGGGCAGGGAGAATGAAGAAGCTGCCCCTACGAGGCCAAGTACCGAGGGCGCATCATCCCTGTGTTCCGGAGGATGGAGTCAAATCCTTGATTTCTTGGAATTTCTTCGAAAGATCGACGAGCTGAAACGCTGACGTTTTGGTTCGCGGGATGTAACTACCGTGGAACTGGTCACAGCCACAAAAACGTGGGTGGACGGTCGTGGTTCGGGCGGCTGAGGCTAGCGAGACTTCATTTTTAGGCTATAATTGTAAGTGCCGGTATAGGTGGGTGCGGTGTGTTGGGGGTGACTTTGTGGTGTTGTCATAGGGGTCGTTAGGGGAGACTCCTACTTACCTAGACACTTAGACTCAGGTACCGGTTGATAGTGCCGGGTGCACGGTACTTTTGGCCCCAGCCTAATGAAAGCCTAACATAGCGCCTAATGTAGACGACATCAATATCTTGACCTTTTTTACTTGTGTATGCAGAGAGCCTCACTACAGATCACTGCAGTCAAGTAAACAATGTTTGCTTCAATCTGAAACTTCGGTGTTGACTTCACCTTTATTGAATCCCAGTATGTATTCTCATCAGGTGATCAATTGGCCATCAAAACCACCAAGATTTTGTCTCTCGACTTACCAATCTCTCCTTCTCGACCTTCTCATCTCAAACTTCGCTTCATCTTCTTCACCGAGTTGATACTCTGCTGCGCTTTGTTGCTTCCCTCAACTTGGCTTATACTCCACACAAGTCAGGGCCAACATGTCTGCTACTAAAGACGACGAGTTGGCGGCTTCTGTAGCTGCCGTCGATCTCAATGACCAGAATGCCGAGAAGACCCAGATCCCACAAGCCAGCACTACGGACACTGCGGACACCGGGGACAGTATGACTGCTGCCATAGAGGCTCCAGCTGCTGTACCTCCTCAAGGTGAAGGCGACGATGAATTTGGTGAACCCGTCGATCTTCCACCACTAGAACCCAAGAAGAGGAAAACGAGGAGGAAAAAGCCAGCCTCTCAACGAGGAGCAGTAAGAATACACTTCTCTCTATGCCGTGACCTCCAAGACGAGAACTTCACAGGCCTCGAGTCTGACTACCACCTCAGGACAAACCCACTGGCTTCGAGGACTTTTTTGCAGACTCACCCATGACCCCAGACCAGTACGCCCAAAACAAAGAACTCTACAATCCGTAAGATGTGGCTCCTTTTTCTACAACCTGGTTTGACCATCTCCGCCTACTGACAACCCATACCAGATCCATACCTTTCGTCGACCGAATCATCACCGCAGTAGGCCGCTTCGAACGGACACGCAAACTCACCTCCGAACGTCGCGACGTGCTCTTCAAATGGCTCGTTTTTGGCGGCGTCGAAATTGGGCCCAGAGCATACCAGGGCGCCCCGGACACTGAAAGCCTCGATAACGCTGAAACCGCCGCGGTTCTCTCCCAAGCCTCGGCCAACAAGGACAAGTACGACGTCTCCTCCCCGACGAGCTTGTACGATGTCGACTTCCAGGGCGTCATGCACAGCTTCCTCAGCCGTCGAGCTCGAGCCATCTACGGCTTCGATACCCCCGACCAAGTGTCCACACTGACCACAACACTCGAGCGCTTCATGGACTATCTCCTCCAGCACGATGTGTGTCCCGAATACCACCCCGAAGTCCTCGCCACCCGCAACTTTTGTCGCTCCGTGGGCCCGGAGCTGTGGCACGCCGCCGAGGCCCTACGCCATCTCCCGGGCGATTTCAACATCGCGTGCTCGACCCTGTCTGGGGGCTACTACGCCGAACACTACGACGGGCTCACGGACTGGGAGACGGAACCGGACCCTCAACAGCAGGCCGTCTTCGTGGGGATGAAGCCCGAAGAGGCCCAACAGGTCATGTCGTTTGGCGTGGCCGGCGCCGCCGAGGAGTCTGTCTACAAGGCCTACCTGGACGCCGTTAGAACCGGTAGTCCAGTGGCCGTGACCGACGTCGAAGAGATCGCCGGCTTCGAAATCACCAGGATCGTCCCTCCCACACCAGACTGCAAGGCCATCTACACCCAAACGACGTCCAACTTTCGCCCTGTCGGCCGCGTGTACGCCAAGGCCTGGACGAACCCAGACTCGCAACCCGAAGATCTCACCGACGAAGAGAAACGAGCTTTGTATGTGTCATCGACAAGCCCAAACAACACTGTCAAGCCAAAGGAATACGTCTTTTTCCTCGAGGAGATCCTCCAGACCTACCTCCGCGTCGGGACCAAGATTGAAGCCACAATCTACATGTTGAGCTGCGGCATCATGTTCTTCGATAATGTCGTGAACTTGTTTCCCTCGTTTGACGAATTTATCGCTAACGAACTTATGCTGGATTGGGTCACACCACGCCCGAGAAAGGGCGCCTTTGACTATGTCGCAACGGAGGATGACGACGACGATGTCGATGTTGACGGGACAGAAGAGCGTCTGGGTACTACTAGTGATGGAGGCGTTGGTGGTGGTCATCATCATAATGACGATGATGACAAGGCGGCAGAGTGATGAGTTTCTCTACTGTCTTGTTGATATTGCATGATTGCAAGATCCCTTCAATGCGTGCCCAAAGTATTTGCCTACGTACCCACGATAAGTGCAGACCTACCTACCTCACCTACCTGGTAGGCAGTTGGTTACTTGATATGAATGAATGAATGAATGAATGATGCTTAAGAAAGAATCAACCTCTTTTTACGTATTTACCGTAAAGTTAAGAGTCAATCCAACAATCAAGTCTTTCGGGATTCATTCCAAGCGCACTACGAAGCCGACTCTTGCCTCTACTGTACACGGTACATGCCATTCCCATGCCTCACTATCTCCTGCAGATCGTGCCTGTCAGGACTCACGAATTACTGTCTGGACTCGGAGTCGTCGTCTCCTCTCGTAATCCCGTGGATCCTTTGTTCTGTCGGCTGAGCAAAACGCTCTCGGATCGCTCAAAGAGGAAGGCTAGATTTCCACATTAGGCTGGTTACATCCATCCCCTCGGGCATCTCTCAGGGACTATTATTACTATCACAGTCATCCCGAACTCCAGCGGTTTCAACTCCGGTATGATGCCGCTTATAACTGACAGACGCACCCGCACTCTTTGAATAATCCTTGGTCATGTGGATCGCGGTGTGATTCGTCAAATACCGACTCGGGTCCTTGATGAAGAATGCCGCGACGATAGCCAGTACACCAAAGGGGATACTCGCCCAGAAGACGCGCTTGAAGGCGTAAGCGTAGGCTTCCCTGAGGGCCCGGGCGGCCGCGTCTTCGATCGCGGGGGTGATGCCCCTGACGGTCGCAAACGCATTTGGTACACCGACGGCGTTGTCCATGGCCGCCGCGACCAGTGCACCGGGGTCGTCGAGGTCGTTGGCGACTGCGACGGCCGCGACCCGTTTCGGAATCTGTTCGCCCTTGACGCCGTTGAGGATGGTGTTGAACACGGCGTTGCCCACGCTGCCGCCTCCGGATCGGAACGTGCCGATCAAGCCAGAAGCGAGACCCAAATGGCGGAGTGGCACGTTGAGACCGGCAATCACGTAGCAGAGCAGCGTGATCAGCGCAAAGGCCCCCTTGCCGAAGAACTGAAAGGCCGACCAGCCCGCGCGGCTATCGGGGACGACTCCGGAGTACGCCGCGGTGAAGACGGTCTGGATGGTCAACATCACAATGACCTGGAGTTTCAAGTGGCCGATGTGACCCATCGCGATGGTCGCGAGGCCGCCAAAAATGACCTGTGCGATGCCGTTGGGGAGTGCAATCACGCCGATCTGGATCGGGTCGTTCGTGAACATGTACTGCGACCCTTGAGGGAGGAGGCCGGCAAATGAGTAAAAGACGGCGCCTGTTTTGTAAATTGACCTGATTAGCTTGGTGGACTCTTCTCCGGCTTTGAAGTTTGAGACGAGAACGATCACGGCAAAAAACGTTACGGAGGAGAAGGAGTTAGATGAACCTGAATCTTACCGGCAACAAAAACGACAACAAGCAAGACTGTGAATTCTCGGACCTGTCTGAACAGATGTAGAGGAAAGAATGGTTGTTTCGCCAGCGTAAAATCGTAAATGAAACACGCAATCAACGTGACGATGCCAATGATTATCGGCGCAATGGTACTCGCACTTTTCCACGCGTGGTCGGGTGTTCCAGCCCAGGTGAGCCCAATCAAGAAGACCGTGAGGCCGCCCGTGTAGAGCGTGAAACCGACATAGTCAATCTCCTTGATCTCTTGCCAGCGGGATTTCTCGTAGTCGTACTGTGGGCGCTCTGGGGGCCAGTAGAAAGCCAAAGTTCCAATCATACTGAGCACGCCGTAAATGATGCCGATGTAATAACACCATCTCCATTTCTGGGCCGTGTTCGCGTTGAGTGTCGTGGCGATGAGCGTGCCCGCCGCGGCCCAAGGGATAGTCATGGCACATTCAGTCAGGCCAAGGAGACCTCGCCATTTGTTGGGGACGAGTTCTTGGATCCCAGCGTAGGAGACGAAGATGATACCACAGCCGAAACCGATGACCGTGGAAGCAGCGACGAGAGTCAACGTGCTTTGGGCGGTACATGCAATTATCTATTGACGATATTAGCTTTTTGTGTCTGAACACAGGGTTTGTTGAATGACAGTCACCCATGAACATCAGGGAATGCAAGATTCAACATCACTCACCGAACCGACGATTGCAAGAATCTCTCCAGAGACAATGGTATATCGTCTTCCAAAAATATCTGACAGAGAACCGGCAATGGAAAAACTGACGGATGAAGCAATTGACCAACCACCAACGATCCAAGAAATGTTTTCTGTATCACCTAGGTCTGTCCCAACGGGAACCAAGATACCCGTGACAAGGGTGAATCCACACGATATCGGGCAGACATATGAGAAAGAAAGAGACTGAAGAGAAGTAAGAGTCAACGAGGAGTTTCTTACCAAAAAGGTGTAAAAGCACCGCTGGGGTGGGAAGGGAGTTGGTCGAAAACTCACAATGACGGCCAAAAGTGTAGTCCATGTCAATTTCTCTGCCCTTTCGGGATTGTCCTCGATGGCAGCTCGATGAGGGTCGTCCAGGTCCAAGGGTATTTCGTTGCTGTTGAAAGGTGCTTGGCGAGTTCCCTCTAGGTGTGTAGCAGGAGACCGGGCGATCTCGACCTCAGCAGCGCCACGGGAGGGTTTCTCTCCAGAGTGTCCAGACATGGCTTCTTCTTCAGAAATGCAGAAAAATTCCCAAATTTTACCACAAGTCCATGGAGGATAGAAAGCAAATGAAGGAGGGAACCGGACAAAAGAACGCGCGAGACTTGTCGGATAGATTCACACAGGGAGCCTCCGCGCCTCACTCGTTACCTACCATTGACTCCATATTCGCATGGGGGATGGGCGATCTTCCTCCCGACCTGACTTATCACTCGTGCTCGATACCATACGGTACGAGCGTTGCTTGCCGAGAAGGGTGAGGAGTTGTCTGGAGCCCCGGTTAGCCGAAAAGAATCAGGGATCCATCTATCTCGAACAGGTTATGCTCTTCGCCCACGGCGGCCATGGACGCGAAAGATGACCGGTTCAGCCGGCATAAAAGTGGTATAGCTGAAGGCTCCAACGCACAGTATACTAAGTAGTCTGTATGGGGCTTTTCCCACGCTTGATCCCTTTTACAGAGGCCCGGCGAACCCCCAAATCACAACCGTGTAAGTAGGTCCCATAAGGGTGCCGATCTTCCAGTGCTCTCGGAGCAAAATAAATGCCCGTTGGTGGGACACGCAAAAGGGCAGTGATGTCGAGATCAGAGATTCTCTGGAGAAAGTAATGCATTGTTTGGCTGTCTCTGTGAAGGAGGGATCAGCATCCTCGGTCAATTCGTACTTTGTATGTGTGTGTGTGTGTGTTTAAGCGGGAACCACGTGGACTTCAAGATCATTCATCATGGCCATGTTGTGAAGGTATACGAGAAATATCCATGGAACGGAAAAGCTGCCGATGCTAGAACTGCACAAGTTCTATTGGTATCATGGACCGAAGCTGACTGTTGTAGTTGAATTGGAAGCATGCCTCCATACACAGACCCTCCACGGAGCCGATATTGATCCTCGCAGGAGGATGTCAGCCCCATGCAAAGAGTACGAGTACCTACGGCGTATACAGTATGCAATTTGACCCCACGTTGGGCCTCGTATGGGGTTGAGGAATCTCGAGATGGGTCTGAGGGTATCAAACCCTGAATGATAAGGAACTTATGAGTATCACACTAAAACTAAGACTACACCAGATGCGATCCATTGCAATTGATTTTCAAAAAATGTGTTCTCTTGAACGTCCAAACATTTCAAATTAAGTCATAATGGGGCCTGTCATTGATCCCATTGCCGTCCATAATAGCCTGGATCCCTGCCCCCTTGCTATTGTACATCAATTGCAATAATGGTAACACCGGTCCGCTGTCCATTGCCTTGGGATCTCCAAGGGCAAGGCAAAGTCTCTTTTTCAAGCACCCGGTTCGGTTTCAGTTTTTGATAGATTGTCAGAGACTGGTTTGTCCAGCACGTTTGATTTGGCGGCGCGGCTCACACTGGTGACAGCCGGCCTTTTTTTTTGGATCCCTTGATATCTAGATGTCTTGCTTGGATTATGATAGCATGAGCATGGTCCCACGTACTCGTTTTGTTCCATATTGGAACAATTTAGCGTATTGGAGAGTATCGCCCACTGGAATCTCCTGCTTTACAAAGCAGTGCGGTGGCTGAATGCTCTAAGCAGTGTCCATGGCATCTCCATTTGCTCCATTGCCGCCGTTGACGCTAAAGCTGACCTGTCCAGTCTCACCAATGAACTGCTTTTCGAAATCACTGACAAGCTTCATTGACCTTGTGGGGTCGTAGAATAGCTTGTAGCTTCGCTGTACATCATCGATGCTGACCTCTTTCGCCTTGCGCTTCTGGCTAAGCAATGCTGACGTGGTGATAATATTGCTTGCATATCTCAAGCCTGACTCCTGTCCGATCTTGGCGAGCAGGGCCAGCGCATCTGCCGACAGGTCAACTTCCTCCTCCTGAGCCCGGATGGCTAGGATCTGAGAGATTTCCTCTGGCGCATAAGGTTGTGTGCTTATGATGACTACTCGATCCAGGAAGTCCAAGGGCAGTCCGTGAGGTGAGCTGTAATTCGTTCCTCGTATCCTGGTGTTTCCTCTGTTACTTGCCATGATAACGATGGGTGCAAGGTCCTCTTCCAGGGCACGGTTGATGTATGAATAGCATTCAATATCCAGCATATGCACTTCGTCAATGAAGAGAACCCCAGGGATGATTTCTGCTTTGCCTTCTTCTTTCCACTCTCCCACTTTGGTGTTGATTTGATCTCTGACCTCACTTCGAATCTCTCCTGTGTCACCGGAAAACAGCGCCAAGAATCCTTGCGTTCGCGAGTTGATGACATCGATCTCATGGAGGCTGACTGTGTGGACGACTTCTTTACGGACCTGAAGTTCGCCTTCGGGGCATTGGACAAATTTCGTGTCTGCGCCCATGGCGTCGTAATCTCTGGATCGTGTATACGATCTGCCGAGTTTCGTGATCTTTCCAGACGACTTGTCGATCGATATGACATCTCCAGCCATAACTCTTTCCTTGGTCATCGAGCTGATCATCTTGGTACCCATATCATAGACTGTCTCCATGTCGGTAGTCTTGATTGTAAGCTTGCCTTGTTTATTGCCCTACGTGCTAGTCAATCATAGCAATGAGATAACATGGTGCTCAACACTTACGCCTGAGACACTCCTGTCTATCTGAATTTCGACCACCTCTCCCTCAATGATCTCGCTTTCTTCCTTAATTCTCACACCAATGGACTTTCGGAATGCTTGTGTCAGGGCTTCGGTTTTCGACATTTCTAGGGAGAATATCTCGGATGATGCGAGCATTGTGAATGGCACATCAGGGCCGAGGGACTGCGCCATAGCCATGGCGATCGCAGTCTTTCCTGTGCTTGGAGGCCCTGCAACCAGAACCGCTCTTCCCGCAATCTTTCCCTCCTTGACCATTTGTAGTATAACGGCAGCAGCCTTTCGTGCCTTCTCTTGGCCGATCAGACCTTGTGACGTTCCCCGGGGCTCTAGGGTCGCTAGATCGACTCCAAGACCACGAATGTGAGAATGCGCAGCGACGAGATTGAGGCCTCGAACCTCCCGGCTCTCGGACACAGTTGTTATGGGCTGCGGACAATTAGCATGGGCGCAAAGGTAACATCGTCATACTGACCGTGGCCATGTTGGTGGCAATAGTACTAGGAAGCTGCAAGTCTCCTTCTCAGCTTACAGACGCAGAAAGATGATACACGGCCACGATGTAAGTGCATCGCTGGTGCCGTTAAATTTCGCGACAGACGCGTCGGCAAACCTTCCCAAATCACCATTGATCCCAACCGCCCTCAGTACTGCATGTGCGTCCGGGGTACGGGGCATATGTCTAGCACTTCACACAACCTTCATTTTCAATTAATTTACTGTTCACAATAAGTCACCGTTATCGTTGTTGATTATCCAGTGCTCCGCTGGCCAGTGCACCTTCGCACATTCGCCCCTGGAGTGTGTCACTATCTTTACAGTCTTCCTTCTACGACTTTGGGACCCCAAGAGTCCCACCATCGCGCCCTAGGGTCTCTACAACTTGTAGCAAATAAACTCGATCGATAGCTTCAGTGTTCTCCTTGAGAGTGCCGCCATTCTCAAGTCTCTCGGTATGGTGTGGGGCAGAATACATGAACATGTCGGCTCCAAGCAGTATCGTGGCTGCACATGTCAATCCAAAAGACCCTAGACTTCTTCGGAGGCAAGTGTTGCACAATGCCAGCAAGTCCACGTCCAGTGCTTCGCCCGAGAAAAACAAATCTCCCGATGTAAGAGATGGAAACATACCAGAGACAAGGGTTACAGCAGCTCCGCCTCCAGGGTTCAGCTCATCTGATCGAGGGACGGCGTTAATGCCCATGCTATGTAACATAATTGATGGGAGGCTACTGTCACGCAAACGGGAAGCGGTAGAAAGGTCTTTGCAACAGCATGGAGATGCATACGAACATACTCAACGTACTTATTCAGAATTCCCTCTTATGGTTCGTCAAGCGGCTCAGAATTTAAAACATGCCCAGGAGAAGTTCGAAGCTGCTCAGAAAGCGGAAGAAGCACATCTCGCTGCTGCTGAACCTGAAAATATTCTCCGTATTCTTGTACATGAGCCAGCGAAACAGTCATCTGAGTTTGAAGCCCAACGGGCAGAGCTGAACGATCTTCGACAGAAACTCAACGCTATGCAAACACAAATCTCATCGGAGTCAAAAAAATCGGATGCCACTGCGACTGAACTGGCCAAGGTTACTGCCGAATTGACCAAAGTATCTGCAGAAAATGACGATTTAAAGAAACGCACGTTAGACCAGGAATCCACCATCAAAACACTCACTGCCCGCGTGAAAGGACTGGAATCTTCTTACGGCGAACACGCGAAGACCATGGAGGGCAATGTCAAGACTGTGCGGTGTGAGATGGAGGCTTCTTTCAAGGCTACAGAAACTAAGATTTTAGGCTTTGAGGAATATCGCAAGAGTATTCAACTTATGGTTATGGTCGTAAAAGGTGATCTGGGCGCGGCGGTAGATAGGATTTCAAGTATCGAGAAGAATGTAGGTTCGGTGCAGGACATCAAGTTACGCCATGGCGAGGTCGAGAACTTACGAAAGGAGCTTGATCAGCTTCAAGAGAGCTGCGAAGCCAGGGCCAAGGCAGCGGATGCGACAAAGGATCAAGTCGAGAGTCTCAATAATTCCACAGATGCTCAGTCGGAAAGAATCGCGAAATTGTTCCGACAAATAACAGATCAGCAGTCAGAGATCCAAGCCTTAAGCACTAACGTTGATCTGTTCAAGTCCGAGATATCGGAGAGCTTGGTCGATCATCAAGCATCGACTCTGACTAGTGTGTCCAAAAAGATTGAGGACAGGATTGAACAGCAAAACGTTGAGTTCGATTTGGTCAAAGCCAGCAATGACAGGCAGGAAATGGAGATAAAGCGTCTCGGGGAAGACTTGACTACCAGCTTGCGACAGGCAAAGGAGGTAAAGCGTATCGAGGAAGACCTGACTACCAGCTTGCGACGAGGTCTGAAAGAGGCAGGAGAGTCTCTCAAAGCATCCCTTGATAACGCCATTTCCGTTGAACGCATCGAAAACGAACTCAAGTCTAAGATAACGGCCTTGGAAAAAGAAGTACTCGAAATTCGAAACTCCCCGCACCCAGCCTCGCAAGCGTCAACAGCGAATGATTCTAGCAGTGCAGCCATCATCACTAGGGTCCAAGAGCTTGAGACAAATGCGAAGAAGGTTCAAGATGCCATCACTCTTGTGGGACACAACTTCCGATGGTTGGATCACCGCTTCAACAATCTGGAGACTAGTCAGCTTCGACAATCAATATTGAAGGCTGTCATACCACAGCTGCCCCAAATCGAGCAAGGCTTGGTAAATATCGCCAACCTTGATAATATGATGTCCAAGCTTCAGGGAGAGCTTGAGCAGGTTCGCTCAGATCTTGAGACCCGATCTAAGAAGATCAAAGAAGAACTAGACACTATGATGGCCAAGACCTCGGAAACCCAGAGTGCGCAGCTTAGATTGTACACCGACACGTCACAAATGAAAGAGACGATAAGTGGGTTAATGATTAATCAGCAGAACGACGAGGGGAACTATGAGCGAACCACAACGCGCCGCGCAAGATCTGCACGTCTAGATCGTGGCCAGGGCGAGTCGCAACCTCGTTCTCGATCCAGTCGCGCGTATGGTGACGTGGACAGTGCTGATGAACTCAATCCCGAGAGTTCAGATCCAACACATTCAGCGCTCCTCGAACAGTTCCGAGCAACTGCAACCAAGTCTATCCACTCCACTGATGCCCGTTCCCCAGTACCATCATCTCCGCTCAGAGGTCGAGATGTCCGACTTGGGAAACGAAAATACTCTGAAATAGACTCACCAAGCCGCAACGACCGCAGAGCATGAGCTGATATCCTACCGATTTGAATGCCTGAAGAGTTCATAGTGAGCTTACACCTTTTGTATCAATAATTCGCCCCTGGCCGGGGCTGCTTTTGGAGTGTTGAAGCTGGCAGCAGCGTTGTTAATTAATGACTTTAAGTATGATGATGAGATGCCACAGCACTTGCTTCTAGATATTTTGGCGATCACAAGAGACTGTCCCTTGCGACGAAAACTGAGTTAAAATTAGGACATCGATGGAATCATTATTACGGAGTATCTTGAGATAAGATGAAACTGCCCAGCCTTGCCCAGCCTTGCCAAGATGGTGTTAATTGGATGCTTGTTTGTCTCTTGCTGACAAAGCCCACTGGTGTATTCCATTTGGGGTTTAGTCGTGGCTATTTCTAGTTTAGTGCGGCATCTCAGATCAACCCAAGTCTAGTCAGCGAACTCGAACTGCAAACTCGGACCCCAAATTCCTCCTCTGTGCAGAACATTAAAAAGAGGTTCAAAAGGTCAAAGAGGCCTGATGTTTCCTCTAGCACAGACCAGTTCGGATATTTAATTTGCGATCTCGTTGCCCAAGTTTCTGATATCCCTATCGCCGCCATGCACACCTAGTTTGTTTTCTATCTATATTCATATCAGCCTCGGCCAGCCAGTTCATTCGCAAGTATGGAGGCGCTTGACTCTTCCATCGAGAGCGGGGAGGCCACTGCGAACAGACTTGCGGACGAGAAGATCGATGAGAAACATGATCGTCATCACCACCATCTCCATATGCCACACGGCCACGGCCACGGGAGGCGTTTTCTGGAATTTGTGCACCCTCACACCGGCAAGACGATTCACGTCTGCCACAGCCCAGAGCATCTCGGTACGTCAGTTATCATCGGCCCAATCCTTCCATGTACATTGTCGCTCATGAGAAAATGTCGTGTCCCACAGAACGAAAACGCACCGAACTCCTTCGCGACAACAAGGTCGAAGAGTTCGATGTCCTCCTACAAGGCTCGGCCGATCACCTCGATGCAATCCGTCAACTCCACGCCCACCACCGGTCAAAGAGGGACGAGCTCCGAGAACGCCATGGTGACTTGTACACGGACATCGAAACCGTCAAATCCGACCTGGACGCACTCGCGTCCGAACTGCACCAGATCACTACGCACGCCGTGTCTCTCGACGCATCCTTCGACCGGTACGGCTACTCGGCGCACCTACGGACCAAGGACGACGAGTCCGAAACGACGTCGGTGCACAACAGCGACCATCCGTCTGCCGTGGACAGGCACAAAGACCGGTCTGCCGAGGCTCTCCGGTTCCTCAAACGGCCCACCATCCGCCAGTACTTCCACAAAGGTCTGCTTTGGCGCTCGGCAAAGGCGGGCGAGGTGGCCTCGTTCGAACTCTTCCTCGACCTCGTCTACGTCGGTGTCATCGACATCGTGGGCGAAAAGGCGGTCGAGGGCGCCAATGGCTTGTCTCTTTTACACTTTGTCATCATCTTTTCGATAGCGTGGAAGATCTGGGCCGACCTGACCATGATCATCAACCATTTTGAGATCGACGACATCTTCCAACGGGTCAATGTGATTTTTTACCTCGTGTGCCTCTTTGGATTCACGACCAACATTGCCTACGCGTTCGAATCGACCTACACGTCCGCCATTGCCTTCTACGTCACACAACGCCTTTCCACGGCGCTGTGGTACATCTACGTCGCCTGGATCCTGCCCACGATCCGCGGCTCGATGGTCGTGCTGTCTGCCACCGTGATCATCTCATCCGCCTTCTGGATCGGAAGTATCCACGTCCAATGGCCCGCTCAATTGTCCCTGATTTGGATCGCCATCTTCATTGACATCTTCGGCAACATCATCATGATCTGGGTGATCAAGCAGGATAAATCGAGACTTCTCAGGTGTGTTGCCAAGTATTTTGAATTCTCCCCGGCGGTCAACATCGAACATCGCGTCGAGCGGAATAATGCTTTTGTATCATTGGTGAGCCGGCTCCTCTTTTTCTACCCCTCAACCTTGCAGAAAGGTCTCGAGATGACTGACCGGAGACGACACTCGTACGGTCCTGTTTATAGGTCTTTGGTTACTCAATCCTGACCATCCTGTTCCAATCGCGCGCCTCTTTCGGCATCAACGCGTTCTTTGGCAAAGGGGTTCTCGGTCTCATTCAAGCTTTCATGTTCAATTGGTACGTACCCTCTCTGCCCCCTCTTCACTCCCGGTCCAGCTCGTATGTCGCAGTGTTGCAACCGAACCTGACCTGACCCGACTCGGCCTCTCAGGATCTACTTCGAAGTCGACGCGTACCACGTCCACGTCCACGCGATCCGACGCCACTGGGCGTCGTCAGGGGTATGGGTATCGGCCCACCTCCCATTCATAATGGGCTACGTTCTCGCGGCGTCCACGCTCTCCCGCCTCGTGCTCGCCCACGACTGCGCCGACGCCGACCCCGAGTGGCTGGGCGAGAAGTACTCCGAACTGTCCGAGCCCGAAGTCCCCACGGCCTTTCGCTGGTTCTACTGCGGCGGACTGGGCGTCGCGCTGATCTGCATGGCCGTCATATCCTTCTGCCACATCCACAAGCGCGTCGCCAAAGCCAAGGCGCGTCTACGCAAGCGTGTCCGCCTCGCGTTCCGCATCTGCGTCGCCGCCGTCATCATCTGCCTCCCCCTCGCCGACTCACTCTCGTCCCTGTCCCTGATCTCCGTCACGACCGCGCTCGTCTTCTCCGTCCTCGCCCTGGACCTGTTTGGCATGAGCTGCGAAGGCGACAAGTTCTGGACGGGCGGCTTCTGCCCGCACGAGAAGAAGCGCTGCACCTACACGGCTCAGTGTCGGCTAGGCAAACGGCGTAGGCGGGAAATCGAAAAGGCGATGCAACGTGGTGAGAAGGTCAGCCTGGCTGATTTGCTCAAACGCAAGAACTCGAGCATGAGTAGTCTGGAAAGTGAAGATACCTTGAGAGACGAGGAGTGGCAGGGTGGACATTATTGACGCGGCAAGTAAGATCCGATTGTCATTACGGAGTAGATCAACTCTGTATCACTTAAATAATTTCTCTCCTCCCTTCCTATACCTACCCAGGTATAGAGAAGTACACACGTAACATGTAACATGGATATTATACTCCGTATGGCGTAGCACACCACCCTACGTATGTTTATATTCAAACAAGTGAACTATTCCTCTTCAACAAAAACTACGCCTTGATGGCGACTGTTAAAGACTCACCACGTCGAAGCGTGGCTTTGGTCTGATATTAGGGTTCGGAGTTCGGACCAGCCTCATCCTTAAACTGACTTGGTGGGTTAAAAACTGGGAGTCAGCACTATGTATCTCTTGACCAGGGTGCTAGGGGATGGCAGTTGATCATGAGTCGGGATAAGTAAACGAGAAGCGCTACGTCTGGGCTTCGACTCTCCCATCCTTTGGTTTGTTTGAATTTTTGCAGGGGTTTTGGACGACCGTTGGGAGGCGAAGAGGTGGTGAGAAGAAGTGAAGTTGATCCGTGTAGTCTCGTTCTTCTGAATGAGAAAGGCGCAGGGGGAAACGACTTTGTACCAAAAGTGGCTAGGCGAGTTTTGGCCCTTTCGGCCCTTTCCATTTAGGAAATAGTTTACCCCGGGATAATGTGATGTTCCATTTATTCTTTACTTGGACTCTGTACTCCGTACCTGCGCAACTCATTGTAAGAACAACCTCAAAAACTACAGGACATGTTTTCTTGCCTTGGTCATGTGTCCCAATGCCCACGACACGTTCCCGCTCCCTTCTGCACAAGGACATCACATACGAAGAAGCCCATGAAACCGAAACGAATGTCCTTCACCAACTGGGGCATCTAGAAGAGCGAAGAAAGTTCTACTACCTCATCTATGAGCATAGAGACCTTGTTCAGCAACGTGTAGCTCATCACTTAGGCCTCCATTCTGGTTCTGCAACTCCTTCCCCAGTCGGAGCACAGCGCGGTCCGGCATCTGCCTCCTCTGGCTTCGGTCGACCTCATCCACGTCGCAAACTCTTTCCGCGACATGTACTCCTAGGAACTCCTCATTGTCGACCTCGCGATCCGGAGGCCAGGCACACGGTCGGCCAGACTCGGTGGAACGTCACGCACACCTCTCTCGGGCTCGCTGTGAGGTCGAAACACTCGACGAGGTCATGTTTGTTCTCAGTCAGGCCGCCTCATGTCTACGGAACCACGGCCGGGCTGACGCTTTCCAGCGCACCCGGTGCGTCGGGCACGTCCTTGGAGTGACGGCCCGTGTCGGTCGCCGAGATTGTCGAACTCGAACCGACTCGCTCCGCCAAAGATGACCGCAACCCAGTCACGACCGGTCGCACGACAGAAGACACCATGTCGATGGGACGGTGTGTACACGGCCTCCTCATCAAAAGGGTCCCAAGGCTCAAAGAAGCAAACCCACAATGGACTTCCGGCATGACAGCTCCAGACTTGTAAAATCCCAGCTCTTCCCCGCTCGAATACGATGGCTCCATGATGGGCGCCTTTCAACGTGGTGCCCATTGAACCGACCCATTTCCCACCTCGGCACACCCATTCAGTCGCCCTTGACGGCCAGCTTTGTTCACTGGCGGACAGTCCCATCGCTCGTCTTCGCCTCGGCACTCGTCGGCAAGTATGCTCGTAAACAGGGTATCTGATCAAGGGCCGCCATCCCAGATGATCGGCTCCATCGTCCGAGGCTGTGATGTGGGCATGTCTCTTCCGGCACTAGTCCCAATTAAGTAGGCACTGAATCGAGTGCGTCTTGTGCTCATAGATATTGCCCCGACGGCTGAGTCTAGCTAGGTGTTTGTCTATTTACCTTGGTATACATCTTTGACCTTTGACAGCTTGATCTGCCAGGCAAAAAGCTTCTGCTCGATACTTCCCCACCTTGCAAGATACCCAATCACTATTTTAACAGATCTTTGACAGATCTAGCTAGCTGTTGGCCTCGACGATGGACCCGGAAATCAGAGACAGCCCGCACGTCCCGAACGAGGCCGACCTCTCGGGCGTCGAGGCCAGGTCTGCCCACGGCGCCTTTCCGCCGGCCTGTACGAGTCCACTCCTTTCCCCGTCAAAGACCATCTTCTTGCGACCCTCCCCGTCGTAGACCTCCCACGGCTGTTCGCCGTTGGTCAAAGAGATGAGCGCCTCGCTGAATTTGTCGGACGTGAGTCTCGTCCCCGGATCCGCGTCGGGACCAGCGACCGTGGGCAGTCGGAACAGCATCGCATTGCCGAGGGAATGAAAGGCCCTCCCCTTCCACGGGCTGCCTGGGAACGGGTCCCGTTGTTCAAACGAGTAGAGGGAAAGGGGGACCTCGGAATGGTGCCCGGATGCGATGATCTGCGCCATCTGGCCGAACGTGGCGTGCGTGGCGAGCCTGACGACACCGTCCGTGCCACTGCCGGGGGTGTCGTCGTCGGCCTTGATGTCGTAGAGGGCCAGAACCTCACGGCAGAGGTCTGCGTCGCCTCCAAAGGCCTTCTTCACCATCGACACTGCCTGTGCGCCCGAGATCGACCTTGGCACGAACAGCGCGGCTTCCTCGGTCGTGTTCCCAACCACCATCCCTCTGAGCCAGGCAGGCAAAGGGGCTTTGGTTTCCAGGGAGAAGCCTTCTTCATGGTCCGGGTAGAACTCGGGGTCGTACGTGGGTGGCGACACGCCAGGGCCGTGGATCTTGTTCAGTTCGTCGCACGTGAGGCTACGGAGCGCTGCCAGTTTATCTCCTGCTGGGGCGCCCGTGGGGAGTCCGATCTTGGCAATCAGGGCATCGAAGCGTTCTTGTGAGTGGGAGAACGGAGTCGGGGTCAAGGGTGCGGCAGACATGACGAAAGCGCGTTGAAAGGCTGGAAAGTCGGAACGAAGATGCGTCAGGATCGAGCACGCTCCGGCCGATTCCCCGGCAGCTGTTATTTCGTAGCCGTTGCCTCCCCAGAATTGAATGTTTTGCTGGATCTGGTCCTTGTTAAAATCTCACAGCACGTCAAATGGCGAGGAATTCACAGTCATACCCATTGTAGTCCAAGACGTTGGTCGTGGTAGCCTTGGTTGGCGAACCCCTTCTCACCTCGAGCCAGACTCTCCTCTCTAATCTCCTTTGAGGTCAGGAAACCATAAGGCCCAACGCGGTAGTTCATGGTGACCACTATGACAGGTTTGCCGATTGACATGGAGTGTTGAACGATGTAGTTGCCATCTAGAAGAGTGTTGTGTCAGTGTCGTCCAATACCTGGAGGAGGTCTTTTGCTGCTCACCATACTCATCTGATGCATCTCCGTACGTGAATGCCCCGCCATGGATCCATGCCGTGACGGGCAATCTGTTTCGAGACCCGACGGCCGAGGGTGGTGCATAGATGTTGACGCTCAAGCAGGCAAACTCGGAGGAGTTCGTGATGTCGATTTTCTTCGGGTACAGATGCCCTGTCATGTCGTGAATGACATCGAATGGCTGCGGGCAGCATGGTCCATACCTGACCGCCTCTATGACGCCTATCTCTTTACGAGGATCGATCAATGTGGCTTCGCAGAACCGTGCTGGAATGCGAGCATATGGGACGTTGAGAAAGTTTGCGACGCCGGTGTTTTGGTTGATGAAACCATTGATCTGAAGCTGATTGATGCGGCAGGCGGTGACCTGTTTCGTCTGTATGGACGGATGGGGTCCATCTGCTCGATCCTCCAACGTGCTCACGACAGCGGCGCCTTTTTGTAGGACGTGGCTGTAATTGCTGCTTTCAACAAAGGCCGCCATGTCTGCGGAGAAGTGGCGGTCGATCTTGGGCGTATTGAAATCACAACGGCAATTCGCACCCCTCTACCACTTGGTGTACGGCTTTCTTTATGTCTGAGGGTCGACATTGTCGGAGGTATATCACTGCTCCGAAGTATACTGCCGCGACAAGAATGCATTGTCGAGCTCTGTGTCGGTTTGCGTGAGCAATCGCAAGAGAACCCCAGAAAGCATATCGGAGAAGCTAGTGCAAGCGTCAATACCACATGGAAGTCCGGGGCTCGTACACCCTACTCGGCTATGGTGGTGGCGCTTTGCTGTTTCAGGCCTGCGTTGCCTCTGCCGCTGTACTCCATACCTGTGAGCTGCAGTACTGGGGGTGAACATTGCCTACTCCGTACAGGTGGGGAGTGTAGGGTCAATTTTACTGTTCATTCGCATGTAATGCACGGAGCACAGCGTTGCGGAAGACTTGAGATATTCCCCACACAGGCATGCGCTCAAGATTGTCAGCGGTCTGCTGCAAAATCTGCCGCGACCCTTGTCCGGAGAGGAGATCGGGGATTCCATGCATGCGCAAGATGCAGGGCTCCCCGGTCTCGACCCATTGCGCAACTCTTTGACCCTCTGGAGAATCATCCGAGCCCAGCCAGTCCAACTGGCATACCTCAGGCTGATCCTGGTGCTGTCGATACTGGGCGTTGGGTCCAGGTTCTGATGCTTGGTCGGCTTCTAATGCTTGTAGAAGAGGGATACAGCTCCACACCAGGAAGCCGCTATGGAAGGAATGGTAGGACTCCAAGTGATGGTTGAAGGGATAGCGTCTGGTAGCATTCCACACGAATGCAGTGGTACGGGCTACCTGACGAACCTTCTTCCCATTCCATGCCGCCCACTCCAGAATCACTTTCCGAGCCGGACCTGATGTTGGTTGCCCTCTCCACACAAGGTGGGTGTAGTTGATCAGATCATCTGCGTCCATGATGAGTGCAAGGTGAGCAAGACATGATTGTTGTACCACCGCATCGAAGCCTGTCTCGCGTGATACCCCAGGCCGCGGTTCCAAAGGCAAGGCGAATGTGCGGATCGCAGCATGAAGAGCCTTTCTCCGAGCAGTTAAGCCTTCTGGGTCAGTGAGGATGCCACCGCCCGCCGAAAATTCGAGTTCCATTGTATCCCACATGAGTCGGACAGCAGTGGCAAGGAGGATGTGTTTCTGGTAATCGTCAAAGATGCCGTTTTCCGAGTCTTGTCCGTCTTTCAAAAGGCCTTCGAGAGCCACGCTATATTTGATGCTGGGCGGAGCTGATCTGGACCACGGGTGGAGCGCTGCCCATGCCTCTGGAGATTCAGCTTCCCAGTGCTGAAACGAGGCTGGCATATCCATAGCTCTGATCTCCATCAAGGAAATGTATGGCCGGGTGCCTCTGCAGTATGTGCTGGAAGTATCATGGAGCTTGGAGCTGGTTTAGGACCAATCTCTCGAGGCAGATCGGGTGAGAACTCACAAATATGGCCCAAGCCAACCTGCGCATCTTTTCCACAAAGATCCATGCTTCCCATCGCTGTTGAAGTGTACCCGCAGGTGTATAGCTCCTAAACCGGTGATCAAAGATCCCAGTATTGCGTGCATGATTGAGGAGAGTGCCACGATTGCTTTCACTGAGTTCATAGAGACGCTTACTACCCCCAGAGAAGCCATGCAGGGATACCAACAGCTCCGCTGCGAGGAATTCACCCGTTCGTACGAATCGAGGGTCATATTCAGCCTAGTATCTTGTCAGAACTCAGTAAATGTTGGTCAAAAAGTGTAGACTGCATGCCATAAACACCAAAAGCCGTCTGGTAACCTCGGCAAGTGCATTAGAGAATGACATTGCGTTCTGCAGACCTGAGTAACAGGCGCCGATGGAGGCAATAGCCAGTGTCAGAAAATGATCCTTGCCTGGGTCAAAGGTAGGGCGGTGGATGATCGGTGTGCTCTAATGTTCTTGTCAGCATGCGATCACTCCCAGTTTACATGATGAATGCCACGATATACACAGATGTGCAGGATGAGCCGCTGTATTATTTTTGCACCATATCGAACGTGCACTATGTGGTGTGAAGGCGTTCGACGATACCTTCGTTCGCGCGATCGCTCGAGGGCCGAAGAGACGCTATATAGCCTCGACAAACAAAGTAGAGATGCTTACCTTGTGAAAGTGGGCGAAATATAAATCAACGAAGCAATCGAGTGTCGTCCCAGAAGGAAAATCTGCCAATGAGATGGGTTCCCAAGGGCTTTTCTGCGCAGATTGTCGTATTGATTTCATGATGCCATCTCTGATGTTCTCATTTATGGGTGGTACATCAAAATGACGCGAGTACATGAAGAATTGCTCAAATTTACCTAGAACCGGGAGTGAGGTCAACTGAACTGGCGCGGCACACCATTCCATGGGCCATCTGTCTTCTGGTACGGCGGGACCTGTGGTCTCTTGCTCGTCCGGAGTACAAGGGGTTCTGCCTCCAAGGGAGCGCTCTTGAATTAGAGGTGGGCGACTGGATGTGACCGTCACTGGCCCCAGAGCGACTGGGACTGTCGAGGTTGTAATTGCATCCGCAGCAGGCAGAATGTCGTCGATACTGTCATTGAACACCCAGTCGAAACCGGACAGAATATCCATGCTGCTGTGGGAGTCATATTGCTGTGAGTACGGTCCTGGGTCTGAAAAGAAGCCCATATAATCGAGAGAGTGGAGAGGTAGCTGTGGCTGGAAAGTCTGATATGCGAGCATCTGCACCGAAGCTGGAGTTTCGTACGGAGGCTGAGACGGCGTGCTGCCCATGTTGGGTGAATCAGTCATGTTAGAAGGATGACTTTTGTAGGCAAAATCAGGTGCGTCGGAGGCGTATTTGTATATGCACTTCAAGTCCTTTTTCAAGCATGTTGCGCAGCTTGGTCTTTCCCCCGTACATCGTACTTTGGAGCTGCTCAAGTGAGTCACGATGTTGTCGAAGAAACAGCTCGCAGATTTCCAAGTACTCACCGGCAGCAAGCATCGCAGGCTCTCTTGCGCTGTCTGGGTGGAGGACGCCCAAGGTCATGGATTTGTAAATGGCGACGAAGAGTATCCCTGGCATCGTTGATAGAACGTCAGATGGCGCCATGAACTTGCCGTGGGCGAGTGATAGTCTACATACTTTCGCTCAAATCGCTTCTTGCACACTGGACATTCCTTGTCAGCGGTGCGTCTGCCGGACATGGCGTTGTGAGAAGTCCAGGTTATCCCTCATGCAGGGGTCGATCAAAACCATGTGCGAGGACAATGCGATGATCTGCAGATCCTCTGTAGCCAACGAGTGCCTTTTGTCGCGCGATCCTCGAGATGGCAAGGTCGGTACTACTGTTTCATGTCTGTCCAGACCAGACTACGAGCAACACTCGTCCGCAGCTGCCAAATGCGGGACCACCAGTGTGATCAGTTGGCCGCACAAGGAGAATCAGCTGATGAGCCAGAACTGATGTTTGTGAACCAAGATGCTGGATATTGATGCCCGTGCCCCCACGGCCTCGGCTATGGTAGTGTGGATACCGAGTACTCCGTAAAGAGCAGCACTGTATGTCGGAGCTTCGGGTGTCGAGGTGCTAGCCTGTCGATCGACCCGCAAAACCCCAGAACACGACTCGGAGCCATCGATTGTTTGATTTTGTTCAAAGAATTTTCCCGGCTCATGGTACGTAATAATGAGTACGGGGAGAGGCGAGCGAGGCATGGGCCTGATCACTATAAATCCTGGAGAAGGATCCACATGAATCTCCTGTGTCACTCAGGTTCTTTCTCGCCCTGCAAGCGAACAGTTGCTCAAGGAATAGTTTTCGAGGTTCGAGTCAACATCGGTCATCTCAGGAATCGACGTCCTTCGTTCTTACTATAACCAACATGGCTGACCACACCGGGCCGAGCGGCACGATGTACACTCGCAGTGCTAAAAGAGTGCTGGGCTACTGTATGCTCGTTGGCATGTTGGCCGTCACACAAGGCCTCGACATAGCGCAAACGTCTGGATTCCTTGCCATGCCTAGGTTCAACCAAGACTTTGGCAGATGGAACGAGGCGGCACAAGGCCATGTTATTACCGCCGGTCAGCAAACGGAAATGTTTGGTATCTTGCTCGCTGGTGCTGTCGTCTCTTCTGCGGCATCTGGTTGGGTCGGCACACATTGGGGTCGTCGTACCGGCATCTTTGTCGGAGCTCTCACTGGCTTCATCAATCCTATCATTCAGGCGACCGTGACCACCTGGGCAGGGCTTATGGTCGGCAAGTTCATCTCTGGATTTGGTATCGGACTTGGGCAGACCTTTGTGATTCCATACTGGGCCGAAACGACGCCGGCTCACCTCCGTGGCTTGGTGCTGGTCAGTCTGCAAGGAATCATCAACATCTTTACCCTTGTGGGATCGTGTGTCAATGAAGGAACGCACGACCTCACTACCCGCTGGGCGTATCGTGGTCCTCTTCTGACGGAGTTGCTTGCTCCACTGATTCTTCTTGTGGCTATATATTGGATCCCGGAGACACCACGTAGGTCACAGATTGTCGGCGAGAGAGCGGAAGATCCTTTACTTACAGCATCGCAGGTTTCTACGCCTCTCACGGTCGTCCGGACGATGCGTTCGATTCCATGAGGAAGATCAGAGGACCAACATATCCGGAAGAAGAGATTCAGGATGAAGTCAAGGAGGTCATCGCCATGGATCGCATTGAGAAGGAGCTCGAGGGGTCCGCACGTTGGATTGACCTCTTCAGGGGCACGGATCTCCGGAGGACTGTGGTTTCCGTGATTGCCATCACGTGTCAGGAGTTCTCAGGCATATCGTTCATCACTGGGGTAAGGCCCTCTTGTCTTCGAGCCCGGAAGACGGCTGACCACTTGTAGTACGGCACATATTTCTTCAGCATCTCGGGAGTCAACAATCCCTTCGTCATCTCCGTCATCACAGGCATTTGTGGTATAGCTGGCTCAGCCGCGGCATTTGCTCTGATCAAATTCTGTGGCCGACGTCCAATCCTCATCTATGGAGCTGCCGCACAAGGTACATCGATGCTCACGTTTGCCATTGTCGCTGTCGCTGCTCCTGGTAGCCACGCCGCCGCACAGTGTTTGGCTGCATTCGTCAGCTTGTTCATCTTCTCCTACGGCGCGACCTGGGGTGCGGTGGGACCCGTTGTCCTCGGAGAGCTGTCGTCGACAAAGTTGCGCTCCAAAACGATCTCGCTCTGCTACATAGCAGGATGGTCCGCTGACATATTGATCATCTGCGGTACTCCATACCTCATTGGTGCCGACTATGCCAACCTTGGAGCCAAAGTTGGCTTCATATATGGCGGCATCGCTATCCTGGTGGTAATCTGGACATTCTTCTTCCTTCCCGGTACGTACGCCTTATTCGGTTGTGGTTCTTCTTGACTCGTGCAGTGTGCTGATGTGTCTCATCGAAAATAGAAACCAAGGATCGAACGCTGGAAGAAATTGACGAAATGTTCATGAACGTGAGTGAAATTGGTCAGAAGCGCAGAGCCTGGATGCTAACCCAGAGAACAGAAAGTGCCAGCTCGTCAATTCAAGAACTATGTCATTACCAAGAATGTACAAGGCCTTTCGGTGCAGGATCAGATCGACCATATTGGAGAGAAGGCTCTTGTGTCGGTGGAAACCGTGGAGAACAGGGCCTGAGGGACTTTAAGTGCCGGTACTTGCCCTACCGTGGTTGCTGGACAAAGGATGAAGTGTTTGAATGGGCGAATCTTGCACTATCCCTATAAGCGGTTGCAATCTCCTCAGGGATGCAACGACGAAGACTGCGCCTGGTCCGGTGGTTGTAACACTATCTTGTGAGTAGAGAAGTGTAGATGATTTTGACAGTATCATGTATGCATCAACAATAAAACAAGAATATCCAAAGGTAGATATATTGCTCAAGCAGATTTGCTTTCGCAATCGACCACAGGTTGTGGAAAACAGGGCTTCCCGTTCGCTCAGCCGTACTTAAGCCACAAGCCGATTAGTTAGTAGTTGCGTCGGTGACGAGCAGCGAATCCTAATTGTTGATTGTTTTTGCTTTTTTTTCTCCTTTTTTAGTGGATTAACTCAAGTACAATATGCGAAGTAAAGAAGGGTTTGTATACGGTTACTCTGCGTATATACTGATATATACTGATATAGAATTTCAGGCAACCAGGACGTGATTTATGGTGGTGATAAGAGCCAAATTAGCACATCTGCGACCCGGTGGTCGCCTATACATATATATTATTTTGCCTAATCACACAGAGCAACTTCTTGCATTTTCTATCTTCACATCTCGTGTCTAGTCGAAAACCAAAATCCTGCACCGCCCCAAGAGTCATGTTGCTCATGTTTTTCCTTTTTTGCCGATGACATGATGCTTCTGTCTTATTTTAACTCTCGCCGGGATCTCGCGATCATCTACGAGAAGACATCAGCTACAAAATGACCCTATCAACACGTACATAATGCGACCAAATGCTCCCGACCGTCCCCTTCCCCGCTGCTGTGGAAATTCCGCGAAGATATACAATCCACAAACCCCGACACCATCACCTCAGGTAGTTGTTTCTACCCATACCCCTACCGATCATGAGGTACTTCTCAAGTAAAGTGTCCAAATATCATCCATTCACTCTTCTATCAACCCATACGGCCTCCTCGACCTAGACCAACTGCGCCCAGCAATGCCGTCCTCAGATCTTTTGCCTTTCTCGAAACCAACGGCATGAGCTGTAGAGCAGGATCTCGAGGGTCTCGCTCTGCAATCGTCATGTACAGACTTTCAAGCTTTGTAATAAGCGAGGTCAAAAGCGCTGGAGCATGCTGTGCTAAATCAGCTATCTCAGGATCCTGAAAGGTAAAGGTTAGCGAAGCCACAAAATGCATGTAAGAGCCATCACATACCGAGACGTCAACTGCTTCGAAAGCTGCCAAGATCCATTCCAGTCTCCGAGCAGTGTTTGTGCCCAGAGAATTGCCAATGGTGATAGCAATGGAAAATGCAATGAGAGGCGAAACATCTGTAGCAAGATACTCGGGCGTATAATGGATGAAGAGTTTGTCGAAAAGGTCAACCGGCTGGCTTGATTGTAGCCATTTGATCGAGCCTTCCTCGTAACGTCCTTCGTTCATCAGGTCGGTGATCTCGTCAAATTCGGCTTGCTCTTTCGTCTTCTGTTTAGGCATGCTCTGGTGACCAAGACTTTGTGGCGATGGAGTCATACGTGCGGTAGACACTTGAAGTGATCCACCAGGGGTGCTGCCCTCTCCGAGAAGAGCCAATTGACGACGATCCTTCAAGATCTGATTTTGGAATGCGACCTGAGAATTTGACATCTGTTGCAAGGTTTCCGTGGTGGCCTGAAGGACTTGACCAAGCTTCTCCAGCCTATCCATGTCATGTTGCCTGGCAGTCTCCAGCTGACGTATTTCATTACGGAACCGAACCTCGACATCAGATGCAGCCTTTTCAGCGGCAGACACCGCAAGCGTCTTGAATGCCGGCACGATTTGTTTTTGTAGTATCTCCACGAGCTGTGCCTCCATTTGCTTCGAAATTTTCTGGGAAATAGTGTCTGCAATGGTCCGACTCATCTGAGGACTCTGGAGAGCTGCGTTGATAGCAACCGGCAATCGAGCACCCAATTCTTGCGGCACCAGAGACTGAAGGGACTTCTGAACGGCGTCACCCACCTGTCCGCTGACAGCTTGTAAAGTAGCACTAGTGACAGCTGGAACCACGGAATGCTGCATCTGTGCAGACACAATGCGTGACATGGCCTTGTCAACGTTGTTGGTCAAGGTGTTGGAGACTACCTCAAGAAGTTTTTGTTGGTTTCTAATGTTAGACTGGTCTTGTACAACTCGATCATTCTGGATGTTCTGGTACAAAACAGTAAGTTCGTTACGGAACTCGCCCGCTACGACACGCTCCAGTTTTTTGAGCTCTTTATCAAGCCAGTCACCGGAAATGCCTACGGAGACGGCCTTATTCGAAGATTCTTCAGCAGCTGTTGGAACAGGCTTTCTGGTTGAAGGATCTTCAGATGTTGTGTAGCCTGGCTCAACAGAAGCTTGGGCAGACACAGGCTGCTGCTTGCTCGGCGAGGACGTACGTGAAGCTGGCTTGTCTGAAGCACTGAGGTCTGTGGCTTGTGCAGCCTTCTTTTTGCTCTTCTTGCTTTGCTTGTTGGATGTGCCTTCACTCGGCACTGGCTCGGCTTGAGGTTCAGGAACTGCGAGGGGTGCAGAAGCTGCTTTGGATGGCTCTTGCACTTCTAACGGCGCAGCTTCAGTACGCTCAGTAGAAGTTTCAGCCTTCTTAGCAGACTTCTTCTTGGAGGCCTTGGAAGCCTGTGGAGCGTCTTCAACAGGGATCTTGCTTGATTGGGTTTCTTCAATGACACTTCCAAGTCGCAGTTCCTTCAGGCTGATGAGACCTTCATCGGCGGCGCTAATACCGTGGACAACTTTACTGTCAGCATTCCAGCCAAGATCTTCCTTATTGATGGTCAAGCAAGTCACGCCTTTAGAGTGAACCACATAGAGTTCAAACAGTGCCGCCTTCTCGTCGATTGTCTTTTTGTCATCCGTGCCTCGGTAGATAGGTAGTAATTCAACGCTCCTAAGTTGACCTCTTCCGGAGAACGAGATCTCGCGGATGCCGCTCATGCAAGCTGTGGATTCTGGCTTGGGTAGTTCCGGATCTTTCAACGCAATGCGTTGAACAAAGGCAGCTTGTGAACAGGACGAGCTAAGGGTGTATCGAGGAGCCGAAAGGTGGATGAAGAAGAGGGAGTTTCTGGTAGGGTGGCCAACCACAATGATACCACTGTTGGGATGATAGTTGACGCTGCAAATACCATCGGTCTCGTTCTCATGAGGAAAGTTGATCTCCTGAACAGCTTTTCCCAGAGCAATGTCCCAAAGCTGCAACGTGTGGTTCTGTCTCAAACCGACCAATACGTACCGCAAAGCACCTCCCTTTATGTAAGGACGGGACTTGTCAACGAAGAGCACTGACGTAGGCCATGACTTTTCCGCGGGTGAAGCTGTAGACAATGAGAGCAGTGGCGTATCAACGGTGAGGCCGGCATCGTGTGCAGCAGTTGCATTGGACTCCTCAATAAGCTTGCGAATATCCCAAAATCGCAACCTCCCAGTCTTATCCAAAGAGACAATCAGGCTGTCATCCTCACTGAAAGTGAAATCCTTGCCGGCCTTACCGGTGGAGATCCGAAACGCACGCTCTGAAAATAACTTTTCCACGTCAACGCGACGATTGTTCTCGTCAACCCCATAGCGCGAGGAAAGTGCAGCCGCAGGCCAAATAAGATGAATTGCCTTTCCTCTTCCAATGGCAAAGAACTCTGGATGCCGCGAGCTTCGTTTGGCACGGGTCTTGAGAACGCCTCCAGCCGTATTCTCATCCGCTGGTGGGTGGGGAGGGAAAATAAGGGTTTCGGACTCGAGCTCATTCTTCTCAAACAAATCGTTACCTTCTTTCTGAATGGTGGCATAATACACGGCTCCGCTAACTCCCGTCCCAAGAACGGCCTGCTCGTCAGAAGCGGGTCCGTTGAGTGAGGTGGTACAGAAAGCGACGTTGAAAATGCGATCGTGGGAATTCTTGAAGACTTGTCGATCGCTGCCATCATCTTGTCGTATGATTCGCATACCACCACTCTTGATCAGCGCATAGGTGATATATTTGGCAGTTGCCACGGCCAGAGAGCGATCAAGCTGGTCAAACTCTTTCTTCAAACGAGAAATCTCCATGACGCCATCATCGCGAATTGACACATCAGAAGGTGTGTCCAACTTCAGCGAGATAGAAACGAATGGTTTGATGGGGAAATTGTAGACAGGAATGACCCGCTCGCCAGACTCTTTGGAAGGCGATTCTTCCGCATCTTCCCATTCATCCCCGCCGTTCGCGTCTGCTTCAGTCGGTTTGTCGGGGTGGTCGTCATGCTGAATGCCATTGCTTGGCTCGTTCATAACCTCAGGTTTCTCAACAACGGGAGGCTTCGGCACCCCGAACAGTCTTTCCAGTTGTGCTCGCTTCTCCTTCTCAGTCATCTCGGTCTCGATCTCCTTTTCAGGCACAGACACCGAGGGCTCCCGAGAGAGAGTACCCTGTCTGCTTGTGGATGGTAGACGAGGTGTTAGGATCTTCCTCTTGGTAATTTGCTCCGGGGTAGCGACGGGTGAGGCGCCTTCCTGAATGTTGTCATGAGCAGACTCGATACTCGGGACAGGTATGTCAGAAGCACTGACCGCTGGGATGGGGGTCTTGGTCTTCTGGGTCTGTGAACGGGAAGCCTGGAGTGCTTCAAATGGATTGACATAGGTAAAGAGCGGCTTGTTCTCGACACCTGAGTCGACCGCTGGGTTATGACCATTCTGCTCTTGACCTCCGGTCGTGGCCGGGGATGCACCAAACACACGGACAGGAAGGCTGACCGCATCTGGACTTGAGTGATTTGGACTCTTATCCTCAGGCTCTGACTGCTGCTGCTTGGGACGAACCCTATCCACAGAAATCTGTCGACCTACGTTCCCTGGTTGCGCTTTGCTGAGAAGCTTGAGCAGTGCGTCCTGGGAAGCATGCTGAGCGGTGGCGGATGACGGTTCATGGCCGCCTCCTCCTTGATCTTCCAAGTTGAACGGTGACTTGGGTGCGGTGGAGGGTTTAGCTGGAGGAGGACTCATGAATTTTGCGACGAGATCGGATGCTGACAACGACGGGCCTCGGGCGGTGTTTCCTCCTTCTTCTGATTTTGGCAAAACGTTCTCATTGTTGGGAGTCTGAGCAACTGCAGGAGTAGGAGAGGTCGCACCGATATTGGCAGTAGGTTGAGACGCGGCTCCGAAATTGAGTAGATTCAGAAGTGACTGGGCCGTGACAGCACCGCCCTGCGAGGGCACGGCAGCAGGTTGCGAGCGTACGTTTCCGAACGAAGCAAAAGCCGGCGGCGTCGAAGGCAATGGCTGAGCAGCAGCATTTGCAGACTGAGGAGGAAATCCGCCGGTGCTGAGACCATTAGAAGCTTGGGAAGGCGCAGGCGAGTCGCGAGCCTTGGGCTTCAGGTTGGCAAAGAGAGCTTGGAGATCGTTGTTCGACATTTTTCAGTCGAGCGTAGACCAACAAGCTTGAAGAGGAGCTCACGAGCCGATGAAAGCAGCGATGAGATTGCTAATCAGCCGTAGAGGTGCAAAGGTACAAGCAAGGTTTCCGTTTCTAGGATTTTACACCCAGAAGGCTGGAAACGGGAAAAGGACGAATGAATGGAGGGCACGAAGAGTGCCAAGGGTGCAAGACTACAGAACGCAGCCTGAAGTGAAGAACTAAGAGGAAGAGCAATTCGACGGGATGAGCGTGGAATCAAAACCCACCGGGAGCAAAGGATGAGTGCGAGTAAAGTGAGTAAAGTGAATTAAAAAAAAAGAGGCTGCGGAGAAATATATGAGGCGCAACCAAATCTTATGGTGACATCTTTTTGCGCTGGTGAGGAGTCACTATTACGTCTCATTACTGTAGTACTATTCGATACCTCACCCTACCTATACCTTATTACCACCTAGGGGTATTTTAGTAGGTAAGTATCTAAGGTCCTCTGTCTCTATCTAGGTACCTAATGTATTCACCTAAATCGCGGTACTCGTAAGGCATATTTAGCTGCCCAAGTAAATACTACCTGGAAATTGTCAGCCTGTGGTCTTCATACAGGACTGTGCCCAACAGGATCCCAAAACAACCTACTTGTATCTGGCAACGGTCCGGCTTCCCAAGGCTACAACTACATGTACTTGACTCGTTTTCCTGGCTCAGGTAAATTCGACATTCTGAGACACTTACTCCCTCTGCATGAGAATCTTCAGTAACAATACAAGCAAGGTACTTGCGACCAAGTTGGACACCAGAGATGGACGAAGAATTTCTTGATATAGTATACCTAGGTAAGTAATGACTGTGGCATTCACACTTCCTGGTTCTTCTAGTATAAGTATTGTTGTGTTATCCGCACATTTAGCGAATAGAATATCTACTGTTGTTTGATGACGAAGCGGTAGAATGTCGGCGACGCTCATTCCTCCAAAAATCCTCGGCCGCGACTTTCCGTCTGTACCTACTTACTTCACTTATTATAATAACTCTCGTTCGAGAAACAACAAAATCCTCCAAAAAAAACAAAGCCCTCACCATCTCCTTCTCGATTCCCGACCAACGAATCCCACAACCATCAGCAGTCATGAGTCCGAGACCATCCCATCATCATCGTCATCTCTGAACCCAGGTTCGCGGTAATACAATCCACCACCAACACCGCCGTCAGCCCAATTGAATCGCCTGCGGTTAATCAACCTCAAAACAACAAACCCAAGACCGTTACCGTGACGCCTCAAAAGAGGGAAAACAAGGAGGCGGTTTGCAACGAACGGGGGGCTTGTACCCATACCTACCGTAGGCTCTGAGGCTGAGGCTACTTTGTACAAGTCTCCGAGTCGTGATACGACTCGAGGACAAGCCAAGGTACCTCTTCTTCAAGAGGGTTTTGCACAAATCGAATGATGTACTGCTTGCGAAGGTTCGTTACCTGCCTACCATCCCAAGCCTGTTCGCTCTTTTCATTTCTTCTCATGATCATACTCTGTACTCGGGGATCTATACTGACCAAGGACTTGCCTCACCTAGTTACCTCCCACTCCTCCTCCTACCTCTACCACTCTCTCTTTCTCCGGTCCACCTCATCATCTTCATCGCCCTGACCTACTTCCTCAACCGACCTTGCATATACTGTTCACTTCTCCTCGTCATCCTCTTCGCCACATCTTGCCACTGGTCGAACCGGTGCTTCATCAGTCTCAGCAGTAGCGGCGGCCAGTACGGCGAGGACCCTACTGCCTCTTCGATCGCGTCGTGGTTCATCCCGCGGCTTTACACGACGCCGCCGACCACATCCTTCAACAACAATGGACAGGCCGACGATATCTCATCAGACATGGGCGCGTTTCTGGCTGACGTTGCAAACAGTACCGCCACCGCGTTGTCTCAGGCGTTGAAGGATTCTGCCTCCAACTTGGTCGACGGTGCCCGCTCAAAACTGATCACCAATAGTCCTGGTGGGCCCGCTTCACTGCCCGTGGACGCTGGCGTCGGTACACAATGGCTTCGGCAACTGCTCGGCCGCTCGGAGTGGACGTTGCCTTATGTCGAAGTAAAGATTGCTTTATGACGAGCTGTTATGGGAACTATTTGGCATGGTGTGATCGACGCGTGCTGTTGAGCTAGTTCGAGTCGATCCCAAATCATGAACATCTTGATCAAATCTTTTTAGAGTTGTACATGATTGATATTGTTTTTACTGATCATACTACTCTGCAAAATATTTCGCTATAGTGTCAAAATTACAGCTCGATCGTGGGCAGATTCCTAGCCACGACGGCTCGTCAGTCGGAAATCGAATCGATATGACGCGAACCTCCTGATCATATTCCCCAATCATACATGATTCAAAACGCCAAACGCTGCGTAAAAGTCGTCAAGGTCTAGATCGATAGTTCCCTTTCGTAACCTTGGATGAGTGTGTCACAGCGAGTGAGCTTCAACAAATTCCTTTGGCAGCATGCGCGAATCGCACGCCTTTTCTTGGACGCAGCCAATGCAACCCCAACAGGTCCTCCGGGATTTCGGTAATGCTGATGCTCATCTCGGGAAGTGAGTCGGTCCCCGCGATCATTGAATCGGCCAGTCGTCCTCTGTTATAGACGACCAGAACACGAAAATGGCGACTACGCTGAGTAGGGTGAAGAGCGTTTCAAACAGGGCGCCGTTGACTTTCCCATCTGTCGGGTTGCATATGTGAACAGATATCACATACATGAAAATCTGGCCAATGGCGAATAGGAGCGCTGCAGAGCCGAGATAGAGCATAGGCTTTGTCTCGCCCAGAACCCTTAGAACCAGGATGGTCTCCAGGAGGAAGAAAAAGAACATGAACACCAACGGCGCTAGTTGGTAAAGCACGTAGAGAGCGGTATTGCGGTGTGAACTCGCAGCTGATAAAGAGTCGTCCCAGTAACCGGTCCACGAGAAAGCTGTATCAAGCGCAATATACCCGGTCCCCACGAACAACGCCAGTGAACTCCCAGCTATCAATCCTAGTGATAAGGGCGTGCCGTCGTCGAGGAGTTGGTATCCCACAAAAGCATTCATCAATAGTATCCATGATGTCGCCGTTACCGCAGCTATGTGGACAGCCGTGAAGCCTTTTCGCACATCGTTGTCCAGTGGGAAGCCGCCCATTGTGAATATTTCGCAGATCTCGATCACCAAAAATCCCAATAGAAACATTTGCATTTCTCTTCGACCAACGGCGGCCGCCTTTCGTTGGGCCCGCCATAATAAGAACGAGGTGACAACGATGGCCACGCCGGCGAGTAATATGGACCCTAGGTTTGCCAGATTTCTTCCATGACTGAGAGAGATCCCACGCAGAACACAGCCTCCGCTTCCGTTGACATTGACATATTGGATACCGGGAGGTTGATTAGTGGCTGTCAGAATCTACAAAGAATTAGCTGGGATTCGAATAGCCTGGGGGTCTGTAGAAATACTCACATTACATATTGGTAGAAATGAATCGGCACAGAAGTCCTGCAAGCACATGTTACCCAGCTGTTGCAAAAGTCCGACGGAATGATCTTACTTGGAATTTCCCAAATTGTGTATTCCCCATTTCTTAACGCTCCTCAAAGGCCACAGCCGCTGCAATTCGCTGCAATTCGCTGCAATGTGTCTGATGATCGCCTTGAAGAAGCTGCGCTGTCACCGTCGCGACACCATGCGCTCGAGGGAGGCGGGTGTTGATGAGTGTGAAGAGCTTCGACTTGGGAGAAGGGTGTGAAAGGTGGTTATCGAGGCGAAGGAGGATGCGAGGCCAACGAGAATATTTTTGGAAAAGAGAAGTCTGGAAAAGCAAGAAGCGTGGTGGTAATCGAGGATGTCGAGGTGTTCAGGGTTATTGGCTGCAGGAGCTGCCAAAGTGGAAAAGTTGGCAGGGTGACTAGAAGTGGATATTCGAGTGGCAGGATTAAGCCAGGAACCTGCAGGGCCTTGGGGTTTTTTTTACTTGCTGTACGCGACTGGACACAGCCACTGCCACGTTACTCTGTACAGAACAAATTATTGAGATGAGTATGAAGGGTCAAGTGAGCTGCTTTCAATGTTGAAGCCGGTTCAATCATTGTACTGTAGGGAAGACACTCGATGCTCGGTCAGAGGTGATTGAAGAGTTCTGTCCCGATAAGATTGGCTTGGGGAGCACGAGCGGAGATTGAAGGCGACTTTGGCCCTGCTACTGAGACTTGGACGCTTGGATGATGCGCCCCAAGACGGCCCCGTTTCAATTTAGATACGAAGTGCTGTACTGTGATGTGATGGGTACGAAGCTTCAGGTAAGAAGGTGATACTTTTGCGAGGATTCGAGGTTGCAGGACGACACTCTGTGAAAAGACGCGATGACTTGCGTACCGTGTGCCTGACCAAGTTGCTAAAAAAAGGGAGCAAGACGATCTTTTGTCGCATTTGCATGGCATGCATGATGCTGATCAGCAGCTCTACTGTAGTGCTTTTTTTCCTCTGCTGGTGGACCCAACTGTGTCCGGAGTCGTGGTGGTACGGAGCACAATACGAGTACTCGTACCCGCACTCTGTACTGTTCATACCTTAGCTATCCGTACCTACGGAATACAAGTAGAAGTAAGGGCAGGGGAGGCGGGCGACTTGCGAAATGCTGGCGAACAAGGTGGCGCAGCACATAGTCGACCCTCCTTCAGCACCATCCTCTCTGTCCTTTCGCAATATGATCTACAGTACTACGGAGTACGGAGCACTACGTATTGTTCTCGCATATTGAATTCCTCAAAATGCCATGCATATCCGTACTCTCCACTGTCAAGTCTTCAAGGCTCAAACGTGAAGAAAACATGCGACAAGGCTGTGGGCCTCGTCGAGATTGCGTGGTCTGCTTCGTGTATCCGCCAACGCCCCTGACAGGCCTTAAAAATATGCGAGATCCTCGGGCCATCGCCGGCTTCGATTAATCGTACGAAGGACAGGCACAGATCTTCCGCTGACACATTTATTGAATACCACAGACTGCTTCCAGCCTCATGGCCCTCTGAAAGTGAAGTCCATGTTCGACACGGTTGTCGTTCAGGTTGGACGTCTTCCCTCCACATGTCGACTTGTCTTTATGCATACTCGAACCCGGAAGAGGTTTCAGTGGAGAGTCAACAAAACCCTCAAATCAATGGTAAGCAACTAAGGCAAACTTCATTATGGAGGCTACAATATTCTGTACTGTACAGAGTACTTAATAATGTAGTGGTACTCCAGTACGTTACGAGGACGAATATAGTTGATCGGCATACTTTCCATTTATGGGGTTTTATATGATTTAAGCTTAAATAAGTGCTAGAAATCAGCTTTGGTCGCGGCATGATGACGATGTCTCTGCATTCACGCAGATGGTGACTTGATCGTTGGTCTCCGGGGATCTAGGAATTCTGCAGCCTCGTTGTATTTATGCACAACCCATGAAACGTGACCCACCTATCTCAGTCTGATGTCCTGACCATTTATTACCTTCCTCCGATCACGATCACTCGAACTTGAAAAATCATACGTCCAGCCAGCGCTTCCTCGTGTCGCACACATCACCGTCGCATGCGCCATGTCTACTTCAAATCAGTCGCGGCCTCGGCGCGCTGCGCGGGTGCGATACAACGAAGACAGTGACTCTGTTGACCTTTCCGACTTCGAAACTCGACCTCAGCCACAACGAGCTGTTCGCCGGAGGATCCAGACCTACAGAGAACAGAGCAGTGATGAAGACACAACGGAAACATCGTCGGACGAATCCGACTCGCTATCAGAAGAGGTCTTGCCACAACAAGGAACGCGATCGCGACCCAAAAGAATACACAAGCCCTCTACGAGACCTCAAAAACGGAAACCTCAAAAAGCTGGTACAAGAACAGTCGCAAATCCATTTAGCGCATACAAAAGACAGAAAACGCGGTCGCACGACGTCAACCATAGCAAAGCCAAGGATGCTATCACAATTTCACTGCCGCCGAATGGTCGCATTCCTCCGTGGCAACAACTTCCCTACCAAATCCTCGTGAGCATCATGAGATATGCAGCATACCCGCTGTACGAATCGCGATCCCGCCCCACTGCCTCGATACACTGGCTGTGTTCGTTGTCAAGGCTCTGCCGGTCATTTCATGATGCCTGTACTGCGGCCTTGCTCCACAACCCTCCATTGTATCCCGATGTTCGAGCTTACGGTCTCATTCACCTGTTACAACAAGACCCTGGCAGGTTGATGACAAATTACCGCAGGAAAATACACTACCTCGATATCGAGGTTAAGCACCTTCTCGCCCGGAAGAGCGGCATTGCTCTGGAAGACTTGATATCGAACACACCGTTGCTGCAGGGCATGCGACTGTATTCCACGTACGACGATTGGAGAACCGAGGTATGGGCGCAGCCGGGGGTCCGCAAGATTCACTGGTCCTACCCACCAGAGTTGTTTGATCTCCTCGACGATAATAATGTGATTCTGAAGCAATTTGAATGGAATGGGAGGTTTCCTAGTCCGACGGAAGTCTTGGAAACGACACTTGCGGCCCATTCAAGACCGGCTTTCAGCAGATTGCAGGAATTGTCCCTTCTGAACTTGACTCCTCCCGACAAGTCAAGTGACGCTGAGATTGCAAAGTTCCAAAGCATGTTCACGAGTGCCTTTGAACACCTCACAGGGTTGAAGCGACTGTCCCTCATCAACTGCGGCTGCTTGGATGAATCGACCACCCCCATGCTTCCAGTCGGGCTCGAATACCTCGAGATCGATAACTGCTCCAAACTGACGTCGACGGCACTTGAGCAATACCTGCAGGTCGGCGGCAGCACGATACGAACATTGAAACTGTGTGACAATCAATCCATGTCACTGGGGTTCATGGCCGACGTGAAATCTATGTGCCCTCGCCTTCAGGACATCGACGTGGACATGCTCTACGTCGACCCGACATCCTATCGCGATCGAGACCCACTGTACGACGAGCTCCTCCCCAACGGGCCTCCGACGTGGCCGTCCAGTCTCGTCAACGTCTCGTTTGAGAATATGCGCCAATTGTCGGCCGAGGATGCCGAAGACTTTTTCGATTCTCTTGTCGAATCTTCGCGGCACCTACCACGCCTGAAGAGACTCAACATCAAAGCCATCCTGAAGAACGCCAGCTGGCGGGATCGCGCGCAGTTGCGAAAGATGTGGTTGCCGAAACTCCAAAACGTCTTCCTGAATAGATCCAAGCCCTCCGGCCCCGCCCCCGTCTCCGCTGCTGGAGGCCACACCAAACGCGCCAGCGTCTCTCAGCGACAAAGCAGCAGGATCGCCGAGAGCCTCAAGCGGATGAGCACGGGCGACGACACGGGCGATAGCGACGCCGCGTCTTCCTCCCTCGCCATTCAGGGTCGGTGCGACGTGGTCAACCTACAGATCTCCGACCAGAGACCGGCCCAGGACCAGTTCCGTGAGGACGACTTTTTGGACGACGAACCGAGCGACGACGAAGAGTGGATGGGCGTGGATAGAGAGCCGGTCTCGACCGGGTATGCATGGTAGGGCGGGTGGTTTGACAAGGACGCGACGGTGGCACTCGATTGTTCACATGGCACCTTGGGAGATGTTTTGGGTTCTGGGTGTTGGCTCGCGAGGGCGTTTTGTGTCAACGGAAAAATGAATCAGGATAGACTTATCGTAAAGTGATAAGATGATAGATGATGTATGATGCCGGATTTGCGTGCCAACGAGTATTGATAAACATTAATTCAAAAAAAAATCAAACGAGTCTGATCGATATCGTCCATGCTGACGAAGGGAGGATTTCACGTTTCGAATGCAAAAGTCTCGCAACTCCCTCGAAGGTAGGTTCTCACAAACGGTGCGACGTTAAGGCTGAATCTCTCTTTTTTTGTTCTTTTTTCGTATACAACAATGCTATCCGAATTTTTCTTTCTTGGTCGGCACTGTCCCCGGCTGGATATTTACAAGGTTTTAACGATACACCTCCTACCTCTCGGTCAACAAATCAAACCTCTTTCCCGGACCAAGGCCGTCGTCGTCCATTTCGATCCTTTTTTTTTTGAAAAAAAAGGGGACCTAAACATTCAAGCCAATGTCCGAGGCGAATGGAAGGACAAACAGATCTCCCACCGCCGACACGGAAGCCTTGGAGTCCAGGAGGCTCTTTGCGGCCTGTACATCAAAATTAGCATTCGTCACGACGTCGGGACGTGGGGGGAGGCAACACTTACGGCCTTGACCTTGTCCGAGGAGACCTTGTCGATCGCCGCGCCGATTTCGTCAATCTGGAAGGGCTTGCCGCTCAAAATCAAACCAGTACCGGTGGCTTCGAGTCCCGGTTGGGTCAGTTGGCCGGCTTCGAGGGCTCGGAACTTGGCGAGCGCCGTGGCCTTTTTGATATCCTCTTCCGCAATTTCACCCGAGGCGATCTTCTTGATTGCAGCCACCACCTCCTTGCTGGCCTTGGCGACGTGCTGGGCGTTTCCACTGATCGTGACGTAGAGCAAGCCGGCGTCCGAGTAGGCTTCGTGCTGGGTCGAGACGTGGGCGGCGGGGAAGTCCCTTGCGGCCTTTGACAACAGGGAGAAACCTGGCGACCACTTGATCGAAGATTCTCCTCCGAGGAGGGCCGCGAGAACCGCAAGCTCCGGCTTGTAGGAAGACGTGGTGGTGAAGGAACTCGAGCCGGGGAAGGCCAGGATCATGGTGTTGCCGGAGTTGTGGGCAATTCTTTCTTCACCTCCAAAGTACTTCGTCGGCTGGCTCTCGATCTTGAACTTTTGAGATCCCTCCGAAACGTCGCCAAAGAATTCCTTCACCCACTTTCCGAGCTCAGAGTGACTGGCCCCGTTGGCGACCACGGCAATGTTGTTCTTGGCGTACGCGGCACCGCTGAATTCCCAGATGGTTTCGGCGTCGAGATACTTGGTGATGGGTGTCGAGGAAGTAGCGTACAGTGGTTCTCCCAGGCCCCGGTGGAAAGCGACCCCGTAGGCTGAGTTCAGCGCAAGTGACGAGGGACTGGCAAGAAGGCCCTTTTGCGCGAGTTTCATAACATGCAAAACCTCTTCCTCGAGCTCGTGAGCTATATATTGTCAGAAAAAAATTGTCCTCAATGCGGCCTCTTTGTCTACCCACTTGTATAGCGCGTCTTCGAGATGACCTCTCCCAAAAGCTCAGTGAAATACGGCAAATCGTCTCGGAGGAACTTGGTTCGGAGGACGAGGTTCTCGCGAGAGTGGTAGGCTGATGTCTCACCGCCCAACAATTCTGTCTCCCGAGTAATCCGGAGGGCCGAGCGTTTCGAAGTAGACTGCAGCATTGTGGTCAGATCTTGTTTGCTGCAGTTTCAGTCATTCGAAACCACCCACCTTGAAGGCAAATTTCTCGAGGGCATCGGTGAGGCCAGGGAGCGGCTGGTATCGAGTGCCAGCTTTGGCGACGACGGTCAGTGTCGTTGTCGGTCCTGGCAGGTCTCTGCTGGCGTATTTGACTCCATTGGCTTCGCCAGTTTCATACCCAAAGCTTCCGGAAGCTGCTGCGGCCAGACCTCTTCGTTGTTGCAAAACGGGGACGGAAAACTGACGACGGCTAGCTCGCAAGGCCCTTGAGCCTAGCGAAGCCGGGGAAGCCATTGTGTAGCAGGATGAATAGAAGTGATTGATGTCGAAAAGGTGCAATTCACCAGGAGCTTCAATAATGCATGAATGAGAACGAGCTTGAATCTGCTGGCCACTGATTGGCTGCAGCTGCCAAGACCAAAAGACCCGCTGCGACTCCATTCTCAAACTTCTTGCAGCATCTTGTCACTTTTCTACACAGAACTCTTTCTTTCTCGTCAACAACTCGACCGAAGCCATGGTTTCGTGGCTGTAGATTGATCAGACGAAGTCGTACTGTCTGTCAAAGTCCACAGCATGCTATGAACCACCTTGACCTGCGGAATCTGGACTTCTCGCGCATAACCACGACACCTTGCTTCATCGCCACGTGACACTGCTGGCAGAACGGCCATGGAGGTAGCAATCGACTTGGGGTCTTTTCATGCTCTACAAGACTAAAACATTCTGCAGGAATTTTCCAGGCTGTGCTGCCTTATCGTCGAAGATGTCTATGGCGACTTCCTTGCTGTTAGGAACCTGAACTCGACAACTGGCGCTATTAGCTAACTGTTTGCACAGCAAATCTTCCAGCAACTCATTCAACTTGGACGTCTTTCGTCAACCCAAGTGGCCCAGAAATGTCGACTGCCATTGCGCCAAGTCAAGACAGGACTGGCAACCCTGATTCAGCTTCGTCTTGTATACCATCATACCAGCCCAGATGGTCTTTCGACGTATCAAGCCAACACAAACAATGCATACAATCTTATGCGCACAGGAAAGTTGGCCGCGATTGCCCAGCGTCACTTTGGCACATTCGCCGCTATTGTTGTAGAGCATCTCTCAACTCTTGGATTCGCCACGGCAGAAGAGCTCGAGGACACTATCTGCGCCGACAAAGACTTCAAGACATTCGAAGACCATGGGCCACAGACGAACGGAAGCTCGGGTAACCAAAGAACACATGATCTTGATTCCACTCGCAGCCGTTTTAGAAAGGTGCTCAGATCCTTGATCGACGAAAAATACATTGTCGGTGTTCGTGACGCTCATTTTCAATCACTTTTTGATGCTCGTCGAGAACTTGAGCGTCATCTTGAAAGCAGAGGCTTGCTTCCATCCAGTAAAACAAAGAAATCTCAACCAGTCGTTGATGACAAGATCAATGTCGACCTGGAGCAACTCCTCGACCCTGCCATATCCGCATCGGCCATTCTCCACGAGCTTCAGTCAAGTCGGCAACAGGGGGTATGTGTATTCCTGTGATTTACTTTTCTGTACTAACGGCATCAGGCCAAAACTCTGCTCTGTGTTGACTACTCGAATGTTGTCTCTTCGGTTCGCAATGAGAGAATAGCTTCGACAGCAGGAAGAATCTTCGGCAAAACCCCTTCCCACATCGCGAAAGCAGCTTGTGCACAGGTCGAGCTCAGCTCAAGCCCGTTCAAGGTGCGACCAGTCGATGATAGAAACGACGCCATACAGCGCCTAGATGTCTCCTTGATTGACGTTCATCTATCGGGATTGTCGAACGGCTCCGCCGACCTAGAAACCGAACAGGGCTCCTCCTACAACAGCCACCTTGTGAACGGTCACTATCATTCTAGACCTAATGGCACCAGACATGACCCATTCATCGACCAACAGTTAGGAATCCTTGCGGAAGGTCCATTTCCTTTTATCACACAAGACGTCGGTGGCTCTTGGCTGGTAAATAAGAAGGAGCTTGGTGATCTTCTGCGCGAAGAAGAGTTGATGCGCTTGATGGGCGAAAGAGTAGATCCACCGGCCCTGAGGATTGTCCGCATGCTCCATGATAAGGGTAAGCTCGACGAAAAGACTCTCCAGGAACTTGGGTTGTTAGGCGCCAAAGACCTTCGACAATGTTTGTCACAGCTCCAAGTGATGGGATTCCTCGAATTGCAGGAAGTTCCAAGAGATCCACAGCGGCAACCAAACCGGACACTTTTTCTTTGGTTCTACGATGCTGAGCGTGTTCGGAAAGTCTTGTTGGGAAAAATATACAAGACCATGGCAAGACACTATCAACGTATGCATCTAGAACGAGAAAAACTTGCCTCTACCTTGAGCAAGGTTGAGCGTACCGATGTGGAAGGGAATGTACAAGATCTACTCCCAGAGGCAGAACTTGAGCTTCTGTATACATGGCAGCAGAAGGAAGCGTGGTTTATTACCGAGCTTAATCGTATGGACGACTCGGTCGCCATTCTACGGGACCTCTAATTGAAGAGGTCAAATTTCTTTGCGGCCTTGAACATCATTGCATATTAGCGGCATGGTAGCAAGCGTGGCTTGACTGGGCATCTACGAAACGATTGGGATCTTTTGTTTTTCTAAACGATGCTTGCAGAGGTTGCACATGTACTTGCTCACTTTACAAGTCCTAATGGCCAAAACCAGTTGACTTTAACATTCTTCACATATGAATGAACTCATGTGGGCACGTTATAAGAAGCGACTACCTGGATTCTCTTTGCTAGCGAATATTTTAGACCCATTACCAGGGTTTCCTTCGATGAGTGGACAGTACCTGAGTTGGTTCCAATATTTTGTACAGCCTTGTAATCCATAGACGAGGCTGTGTAAGCGATGCCGCTTTTAGATGTTGGAACGGCAAATCCTCGGCATCGCGTCTTGGCGTCTTGAAAGCTTTCCCGACACTTGCAGCTTGAAGCTTTGCGCAGTGTCAATCAAGTCAGTATTTCCAGGATCTCATACCACATTCTGTCGTCAAAATGGCCTTCGCTTGGAAAGCAGCAGGTCTCACGTATGTCTTGCTCCGTGATCCAGGTCCGCAACGCAATTGCTGACCATGCCAGCTACAACCGATACCTCGCAGTCGCTGCCAGAGTCGTCCGAAGATCTCTGAAGGAAGGACCGAGATTACAAGCCGAGAGAAGAGGAGAGATGGACTTGAGATTTGCAAAATGGCAGGTCAGTTATACAATTTCACCACCCGTCACGAGGATGCATGACTGACGACAGGGGAACAGGGCGGGAAACAAGGAGACAACCACAGCCTGGCTACTGCCAACGCTAGTGCCATGGCCGAACATGCAGCAAGCGAAGCCAAATAAGTGAAATCATGATGCGTCATTAGAGGACTGCGATACATGGGGGAGAGAGTTCAGGGACGAATCGATGCTACAAAGCCTGTACATAAACATAGGGAAAAAAGGACTTCGTTGCCAAACAATGGATTGCTAGCCCGGAATGCTGCACCTGACATTTCGTGGAGTAACTGAATTTCGGACTTTGGATGATCGATCATTTCTCGTGTAGACGTATATCCTGCTGTAAGATGATTTCGTGGTGAATATTGTCGAGGGTGCGTTGTAAACGAAACGAGCCACTGCGGCAGCAGATCAGACAATCTGGTGAACATGATCGTTCCCCGCGGCAGAAATACTCGTACATCTTCCCACGTCTTGAAATTTCTCCCAGACACAACGACAACAACAACCCTCCAAGGTGGCCAGGGACGGCAGAGGCCATGGTCCAACCTCAGGTCATCCACCCGAATGTCGAAGTCAATGATATAACGAGGCAATTTCGCAGTGCTGTGTCAAGTTTGTCTAGTCTCACCCTCCCTAGAGTGCTTTCTAACGAGTCACGTATAGCACTCCTACCAGGCGCACTGGTTAAAGATGAGCACTTCACCCTGTTTGAGGCCGTCAGCGCCTTGGAGGTGAGAATCACGGGATGTTGCTCGGTGGTATTTTTCAACTCATGCAGCACATAGATTGGAGACCCGAAGATGGACAGCGGCTCAGTGGCCTTTGACCCAGATACTGAAGCCGAGTTCGACTTTGCAGCGACAAGTTCCCCCGAAGAAATCCTATGGCTGATGGACGAGCTGTCCTGTCGCGAGGTAGGCTATCGTCCGACGCCATTCCATTGCGACAGTGTGTCTCATGTGCTTTGATGTAGGTCGCCTGGCACAAGGGCCATCCATTGTCTCAGACGCTCTTCACTTCGTTACATATCGAGCGCCTTTTATGGCCGGAACCGAAGCGACTTGCTGATGCCCGATTCTTCCGCGAACATTCACCGGCGATCCCTTCGTCTTCCTTGCTTGAAAACGTCTTCCGGCCGTTTTGCCTGGGAATGATCAAGGCCTGTGATCTTGTTCTCGAAATGGTCATGGGTTCACATTACTACGAGGTAAAATCTCTCTCCCAGCCTGATATCAACCCCAGGTATCTGGGCGTGCGCCACTGACAGAACAACCAGGAAGAGGACTTTGCAACCCAGATTTTCAATACACCACTGCTCCACATATTCCAAGTGGATGAAATTCTGAGCGAGTTGCAGAGAGCCAAGCTGTTTCTGACGCAAAGCGAACTGGGCAGCGACGTGAGAACGGCATTACTGGCACGAATAGAGGTTAGAGGCTCCTTTCTCGAACTTCTCCGGACCTCTTCGACCTGCGAGCGTCCAACTGCGGCTCTTATCAACCGATGCATCTCCCTTCTCGGTGAGATCGAGGCCACCACCGACCTCGGCCGGTGCGTTACCGTTGAAGCTTTCACGCCCAAAACCCAGCGCAAACTCGCGAGTAGCGTCCCTCCCCGTCCTATGGTCGCCATTGCCCGCGCCGACGCCTTTCCCTTCTTCCGCCGCCTCATAAGTGGCATATACACCGCATTCAATCTCCTCGACGTCTCATTCAGCGCCGATCTCCTCATCGCATACCACCACTTTATGGCCCAAGAGAACCAACCGGCCGTTTACGTCCGTTCCCTGGTCCAGTCGTTCCTGTACCTGGACAACTCCGTCCTGGGACACTCGACCCCCAAGGAATTCATCTTGCAAGACTTGCGCACGCTGGTCTTCCCCGTCCACCCTCTCCTCTGCAACTCCCCCAGCGAGATATTCACCGACCGACAATTCGACGCCGCCACCCAATTCGACATCTTCATCGAACGCACCGCCGACTCGTTTCTGAACCTCTTTCGCGCCTTTTGTCTCAACCGGCCCCGAGTGCGTCGCACCATGTGCCACGCCGTGCTGGAGTGGGACCAAATCCAGCTCGAGGCCGAGGATCTCGATGGCCAGATCCAAAGCGCCTTTGACGAGCGACCCATCCCCTACACCGAGTCCGGTGACGACGAACCAACCTTCTCCTACAGCCTCAGCAGCTGGGTGTACCACTACAAACTCATCCAGCTCCGCACCATCGTGCAGATGGGCTTCGAATTGTCCATCTACGCCCCTCACGAGTTCAAGCTCATGTACTGGTACTTGTCCTTTTTGTGCAGTACTCACATGCACCACCTGGAACGAATCAGTCACTTTGTGTCGTCGTCGTCGTCATCCAAATCGTCACAGCACCAGCAACAACCACAACGCCAAGAGGCCGTCAAAAAGACCCTGAGCCGCCTCTACAGACTCTTCACTTGGCTCAAAGCCACAGACTCCCTCGCAAAGTCTCTCCACCGGGTCTTTGTCATCCTCGAGCGGCACAAGTTGCTCGTCAAACCCAGATTTCCTTACTCGTCGGACGAACTGAGGTACGAAGTACGCATGCGGCCGTTTCGACAGCTGTCCATCCCGCAACCCATCGGTGAGGACGTGGCGCGACAAGCCTCCTCCCTCGACGGGCTCGGCGACCAGGAAGTTCTCGACCAGGCCGCGGCGATGAACCAAGTCTCCAGACGTGCTTGGGAAGAAGTTTTGAAGCAGTCTTGGCACTCGGAACCGTTGTTGCGTCCATCGTCGTCGTCGTCATCACAACAACAACAACAACAACAACAACAACAACAACAACAACAACAACAACAACAACAACAACAACAACAACAAGGCGCGCCACGGTCAGAAAATCTTTCGGAAGACGTGGTGGAACAGGAATGGACCAAAGACGTCAAGAACGGTATGAAGTCGTGCATCGGCACCGGCATCGCCATCAGCACCTTGACCAAAGCCCTCGAGGGTGGCGGCACCGTCATTGACCCGGCGAGGATCAAGGTGGATTTCCCCGTCGTGGGCGAGCGCGAGAGGTGGCACGTCGCTTGGGTGGTTCCCAAGATTAGGTCGGTGGTTCCTTCTTGAACAAAGTGGATGACCCAACGATGCCTGAGAATGACCAAGTCGATATATATATATACAGACAGTACTTTTGGTACATGGTAAACACATACTTTCCTCAAAGACACTCTCTGTCCCGGTACAGTAAGGATCCGGCCAGACAGGTCATGTACACCATGTTTTGATGTCCTACGTCAAGTACCTACTGTTTACCCAAGATACACATGGTTCATTTTCAAGAGAAACCACAAAAGTCGCCAGGCCTTTTTCATTCAAGACTCTTCATTGACTTGTAAAACTATCCTGATTAACTAGTTGGCCGAGCAAGTAGTTAGGTGCGTAGGTATGTTTGGCGCAATAGGTCTACCCATGTAGGATATACAAGGCGACTGAATTGATAGTCCGCAAACAGAATAAATCGAGCCATCCGTCTGTCGCCTTTGCCAATTCTGTCTGCGCACACACACCTCCACACATTGCACTCGGTACCCACGGAACAAACCCCTGGCAGGATAAATTCATCATCATGACCATGGCCATGTAACCACGACCACGACATACGTTCGGATACGCACCTCTCCCCGTGTGCGTGTGTGTTCCAATTACTTGATGTTCTTACTCCCGCATAGACAGACGTATCTTCATGTCACCAGCAACTTGCTCATCAAGTGCATCGCGGTCTTTGCTCTTTCTCTGACATTGATGTCCGGGTCACCCTCCAACTTCCTCACATGTGTCACGTAGCCGTACCGTTGCAACTCCTGCGCACGTTGTTTGCACGCCGCACGTTCACTCACGTCGTCCTCGTACGTCAGGTTGATGGCGATCCAGCAGACTTGGGCACGGACTTCGCGATCCTCGTGGCCGGAAAAGGAGAGGACCTGCTTCATCAAGGCCTGTTGGCCGGTGATGAGGTTGCGCCATTTGGGCTCGCACGCGCAAATGTGAGCGAGAATATACAGCACCTTGACGACAATCGTCGTCGGTGCAGGCGTGGAAACATTTTCCTTGCGTGTTGGCCCGGCGAGCGTGCGCGGGCGAAGTCGATCCAGCATGATGCGGAAGAACTCATCCTGACCCATCTCATCGAAGATGTACTTGACGAGCTCAGAGGCATTTTCGCCGCAGAACAAGTTACGTAGAAGATCGAGGAGTTGAGCCTGGATCTCCGTGTCATCTTCTGGAGTATGTCTCATATTGAACCCGTGTTGATCGAGACCTGCATCGCCAACCAAGCTTGTAGGTGGCAGTCGGCTGCTGTCACCGGATCCTTCGCTCATTACTATGTCGTCGGGTTTGTCGGCGGCAGAAAACGTCCGTTGGGAGCCGGGGAGAGGGGGATAATCTCGCTCAACCAAGCCAATCACTTCACCCTCGGGAATGTCGCCAGGGTTGGTCTTGATCAAGAGTTTGATCCAGCTCGGACCGAGTTCATCGACCACATCTTGCTTCAGCTTCCTGCTCGAGTTGCATACCAGTTGTTTCAGTGTCCATAGTGACTCAAAACGAAGTCGTGCATTGGCCGAATGTGCTTGTTCACATAGCTTTTTCACCACACTCGGCTCAAGCACGCTTTCTTTGGCCGGACTGAAGTCGATTGCCAAGTTGGCGAGTACCTGGGTGGCAGCTATTATTACTTCGGGGTTTGTCGAGCTCATGAGCTTGATGATTGGTTTTGTGACTTCAGCTTCAATGATCTTTGTCCTCAAGGCTTGAACCGAGCGTGTCAGCACTCGTACGATACCACAAGCAGCCATAAGAACAGGCGCAGAGTTGCCATTGATCTCCATCTGTGGGTCGTCAATGTTTTCAATCTGGTAGAGTTCCAGAGACAGTAGAAGGTAGTTCAGCACCCCTTGGTTGCAAATTTCTTTACGATAGTCATCGTCGAAAGGTGCAATCGCGGCCAGTGCCTGTAGACACCCTTTACGATACTCCATTTCCCGCCTGATAGCCGGGCTTGGGGCATGGCCTCCGAGCTTAGTCGCAGATATCGAGACATCTGCATGAGATTCTTGGGCCTTGCGAGGTTGCCAAGGCTTTGGTTTTCGCCCGGATGTGTTCTCAAAAGTTGACTTGAGGCCTGTCGACAGAGTTGCGATAGCACCTCCTTCCACTGCCACTCTTTGCATGTCAGGGTCGTCCATAATGAGTACTGCAAGGACGGCAGGTATTTCCTTTGCATAATGTAAGCCATTCCCTAGGTATACCCCGTTACCTTGCCGCACGGAGTCCGACTTGAGCACGTCGACCTCAAGCATTCGCGTAAGAATGGGCACTAGCAAGGAAGTAAATGACGTGCCCCGTTCCTTCTTCACGAAATTTAGACTGTATAGATGGACAAGTAGCTTCGCTGCCAGCATGCGCCTCCTTCCTTTTGAAGCACGAACCATATATAAGAGCCAGGAAATCACCGAGCTCTCTTCGAGGTCATCTGTATCAGGCTGTTCCGCACTTGGTTGTTGAAGATTTGAGGTAGCTGGACGGAATGATGCTCGGCGCTTTGGGATAGCGATGCTGGACCCCAGGGGCGGTAAGGGAGGAAAAGGTGAATTCGATTTTTCGAGCACAAGAGTCAAGGGTAACAGAGGATCAAATGGCCCTTGTGGGCATGAGCGAGGCACGGCTCCTCCAGAGAAATAGGCAGCTCCTGACGGAGCCCGTCGGATATCGAAGGGTGCAAAATTGTCCTTAATATCGGGAAATACGACTTTGATGGAAGGGTCGCTTAAAAACATTGCTGCACGTTCTGCGGACCGCTCGATCAAAAGGCAGATGGCCTCCAGGACGGGGGATAGGTGAGCAAAGGGCGGAGCGGGATCTGGTAAAATTGAAAAGACGCTGTTGTCGCTGTCCAAAGCCTCTGAACCGGGCGGGACCAGGCCCTCTGCAACCACAAACGATGCCAGACGAGCAGCCAATATTGTCAGCATACCAGTATCTACCAAAGCTCGTTTGTGTTGCTCCGATGTCACAGTTTTGGCGAGCACAGCGAGCATTGCATCGCATGCCTGCTGCGAGGAGAGAGTGTCTCCTGCAATTCCAACGATTCGCGTGGTGCACTGGATATATTGTTTCGAATATAACAAATCTGCCAGCCTTCCATCCTGCACCCATTGACCAGGGCTAGAAGGTGGCATGTTTTCGGCGACAGCGTTGAGACATCTTAGGATCGTGAGGATGGTCTTGGAACTCCGAGGCTGAAGGAGGCACTTGAGAAGACTTTGCAAGATATCTGTCTCGAGGATGGGCTGGACAAAGGAAGGGCCTTCTATATAATTTCATTAGTGACTGGGAATGCCATTTGTGATATTTCTTTACCGTGAGCAATGACACACAGCACTTGCGCAGCATGCGTAAAGATCAAGTCGTTGTCATCAGTAGGCGGAGTAACGATGAAATCAGCCAAAGCTTTGTCCAGCAGATGAAGGAGACCGTGGTGAACGTAGTCGATCTTGCGGGAGAGATGGCCACTGACTTCATACTTGATCCTCTTCAACACCTGCGACACGGATGCAGTATCGGTGGCAGTACGCAGGTCGCCGAGAGTCTGCAACAGGGTCGTTGCACCCTGCGAAGAGAAGGCCATGCGGAGGCTGCAAAGAGCAGATTCATGCGGCGATGATGGCTCCGTGCATAGTGCGTTCGGAGTACAGAGTAGAGTACGAAGTATATGGACGAATAAGTGCGCTACGAGTATAAAAAAATGATGGTCCGCAGCCTGGGGTTTTCGAGTATAGACGAAGTACGTAAGCAGAGGGAGAAAATGGAAGGGTGAGCGACAAGTTGTTGGTGTGTAAATAAGGCTGTGTAAGGCTGATGAGGCTGCAGCTGCAAGGATTTTCCGGGGCTACAGATCCCCTGTAAATTAGGTAGCGAGAGCCCCCAGAGCGCCTCCCATGGAGCCCCCGGGTTGCCCACCCCAAAAGGTCACCTAATGTTGGGTAAATCATGCCTGAAGCACCAGGCTCAACTGGGAATGCGGCTCCATCACCATCGTGTACCCTTTGTATCTAGGGAATCTTTGTGAAAAAGTCTGTGCACAGGTGCCTACCTAGGTAGATATCCAGGTACGGAATCGTAGGCAAGCAGGGAATACATACTGTAATCGGGTCATTGCGGTGCAGGGCCGAGATTCCCTTGGAAATATGCAGCCCATAGGCGAATCTCTGCCGCGCATTTGAGCACGCGGCTCGGTCTGTGTGCCGATCGATATTTCACCTCATCTGCTTCTTCATTCTCCCGCCTGGTGCATTTTTGACACTCAAACTGACAAGCACAAACTACAAACTACAAGTAGAACAACCTTTTCGGCGACGATATTTCTATTCGCAGCATCGCATCCATTACGTCTTCCTCGTTCGAATTCTTCCTCCGGATCCCTCTTCCGGGGTGCGCATTGGCTGTACCGCTGCGTGCGATGAAGGCCACTGCTCCGTTTTTCCCTGGCTCGCGCTTCACAACACCTTGACTTGATATGCTCATTTACCTTCGCCTTTCTGGCCCGCAGCTTCACCCTCGACATAAACCATGCTAGCGACCTCTCCGTCGCCTTCTCTATCCGCGTGTCACCACGATCCTACAGCCTTCTCTCCGCGGCATGCGGCGCAGTATGAGCAATCTTCCTATGCTGCAAAGTCTGCCTCTGCCTCCGCCTCCCGCTCCTCGCTGAACGATCAGTCGGCTTCTTCTTCTCCTCCTCCCGCTCCTCGAAAGTCTCTCTTCACTCCTCCCGACACCTCGTCCAGACCTCGTCGATACCCTAGCTCGAGATCTCTCGACAACTACGCCGCCCCTCCACCCCCACGTGCTACAATGGTGGACGCTGGCACGCAATACTCCCCGCCCGGACCAAAAGCGCCCTCACCACCGAGCACGCATGTTCCTACGCCCACGATAGCACACCTGCAACTCTCGGAAAAAGAAGAACTGAGATCTCGAGCCCTGGGCCGGGATGATCGAGCCGCCCCACAAAGAAACACTTCTACACGACCACCAGATGCTACCTCCTCTCTCCCCAAACCAAGCGGCACGCCTGGGCAAGGCGCACTGTCACAGGGCAAGCGGTCTGCAGACGGTCCTGCCGCTCAAAGCCCTCCTGCCGCTGCCAATGGCGACGTGCTACCCACCACAGACGTACAGTCCCCCGTGAAGAAACACCGCCCAGATGCCCCTCCAGCACGCATCATGCCCCTTCTCTACCAGAATTGCAACACCCGCGATCTCGTCGTCCTGATATCGTCCATGCTCATGGAACTGATACGGTACAACGACGCCATCCCCCTGCGTGAAGGACAACTCACCCGCTTCCACTCCCGAGCACCCCCTGGCATTTCCGTCCTCGACTACCTACAACGTCTGACCACACACGCGACACTATCTCCACCCATCTTACTCAGCGTGGTATACTATATCGACCGATTGTGTGCCTTATACCCGGCCTTCACCATCAGCAGTCTGACCGTGCATCGTTTCCTCATCACGAGTGCCACGGTGGCGAGTAAAGGATTGAGCGACTCGTTCTGGACGAACAAGACGTACGCCAGGGTGGGCGGAGTGAGCATGAAAGAGCTGGCCTTGCTGGAACTGGAGTTTCTCACTAGAATGGAGTGGCGCATCGTCCCCAAGCCGGAGGTCCTGGTGGATTACTACAAGTCGTTAATCGAGAGGAGTGATCAATATCAATTAGAGGATGAATGAGTTGGGCTGGGGAGGAAGAGGAAGGGACGTCCTGTCGGGCTGTTCACCTCTACATGAACATGCGCACATTGGCCACACCTTTTTACCTTTACGACTTGTCTATCCCCCCGTGGCCTTGTTTTTACGTTACGAATTTTATGATGATAATACCACGAGCACAAATCCAAAAGGTTTTGCACTGCATCCAGCCAGACTAGCTAGCGTTACGGATTAGGCAGAAAAATCTATAAGATCATTGCTATATGGATAGACCACCTTTGAGATTGGCCATGAATGACTTGCTGTGCCCAAATACGTTTGAAGTCGATATGTCACAGGTTTTGTTTGTTTCGCCACAGAAACGTCGAGCAGATGGGAATCCGTAGTTCGTGGTCGGCCATTGACTCACTATCTACCACATAAGTTTACGGATTACGGGGCTTTTGATACCTAGGTATCTTCTGGAATGGTAGATGGTGGAGGGTTTCCTTTTTTCAATCTCGAGCCAGAAGGAATTGCAAAAACAAGAAGGAAACCCCCCAACAAAGGCTCGCAAAACGCTCAACGTTCAACGCTCAATGTTCTTCAAAGATACACAAGGCTGCATCCACCACGCTCAGAATCACCCTCAAACTCCCATCGCTGTACTCGGTAACGGAGTAAAAAGAAGTACCTAGGTAGTGTACCGGTCGTAGGCAAGAAAAAGAAAAAACATCCGATCCTTCGTGACGAGGTGAGAAAGTAAGTACCCTGATGTTTGGGGTCTGACGAGGATACTTTGTTGGACGTAGGTACTCCATAAAACTAAGGTATGGATTCTTCTTCCCCCCCCCACCAATCACCCATGAACAACCAAAAGTGACCCAGCCTTGTATCAAAGTACCTGTAGGTACTAAACAAAGAAGGAAGGCGTGTGTACCTAGGTAACGTGTCCTCTGTACTCCGTATCACAACCGATCAAAAATGACTCTCAAAGACTACAGATCCACCATGTGTGTGTGTGTGTGTGTGTGTGTGTGTGTGTGTGTGTGTGGACAAGTCTGTCTGTCTGGCTAACTAGCCAGAAGGACCTTTTCTCGACGGGGCCTGCTTTTCAGGCTTGTCAATCATCTCGACAAACTTGGCGGGTGTGCAGAAATAGATGTGGCAAGAATTCTTGACGTTATCGTTGGTCCACTCTTCATCGACAAGGGAAAAGTCCCTGTAGTGTTCGACGTGCATCGCGGCCCACCCGACGAAATACTGCACCAGGATCTCGTCGCGCGCCTGCACGCGACTAGCTGCCATTGATAATGGACGACGAGGAGGGGGAGGCTCTGTATCGTCCGCACCATCAGGTTGGTCGTGGTCGGGGTTGTGGTCACCACGGTCGTCGTCGTCGTCGTCATTGTACCCAGGGAGGTCACAAGGGACCGAGACCATGAAACCATGCTCTTCACCCGGCTCTTCGGCCGCGAGCCACCAATCCGGATCGTCCTTGGTCGCGGCGTCGAGGTTCGCGTGAGCCTGCGTGTCGAGTCGCTGCAGCACCTCGAGGATGCCGAGATACTGGTCTTGTGTCGATTTCTCGGCCTCGTCGTCATCTTCCTCTTCCCCGGCCTCTTTCTCCTTTGCCCCACGTTCAGGCTCGAGCAGGCGTCGGAGGATCCATTCCCGCGCGTCCGGCACGAGTCCCATCTTGTGCGTCTGCACCTTGCCACTCCCCTTTTTCTCGAACCATTTCATCATGACCAGCACTTCCGCGGGAAAGTCTAGCAAGCTGCTCTCGGTGATGAACACGACCGTGCCTCGTGTGAAGATCCTGTTTAGAGCGACGTTACCGCCGCCACCGCCGCCGCCACCGTCCGTACACTCGTCGGCCCCGGAAAGGGAGGCGTTAAAACCGACAAGACCTCTGGACAGATGGGAAGCGAGATTCTTCATGGTGTAGTAGACGGGAGACCCTCGTCGGAACAGCACGATACCCGACTTCGAGGAAAGCTCCGTCCGGAAGTCCGACCACGCCTCTTTCTCATCGTCGAGGAAGATGGCTCGCTTCCGGACATCGTGCACGAGAAGCCACTCTTCGACCGCGCGCGCTTCGGCAGGATGAGACTTTGCAAAGGCAATGTAAAAGATCTTCTTCTTCCTGACCTCACGGTCGCCCATATTCCCAAGGTCCTTGAAGTTTGCGGAAAACGATACCGCCGGTGCTGCTGCCCTTGTGTCTGATTTGCTCACCATCCCATCGTGCGAGTCCTGTCGAGGCTGGCCCGGGCTTTGAGGCGTTCGAAGCGACCTTGGTGAACGTTCACCGAAATAAGGGGACCTAGCACGGACTAAGGTGCCGGACGTTTCTACAGTGAGGTTGGAGTCCTCCGTATCTCGCCGTGTCGTTGCAACGGCTTGTGCTTTTAGGGGAGGAAGTCTGCAGGAAGATGTCGGAAGTGAAGCCGCAGCTACGGGTCGGGGGTTGACATCTTTATCCTGGGACAATACCCAAGTCGCCAGGTTCACGTCATGGTTCTCGTTCCTAACGAGGAGATGGAGTCGGGAAACCAACCCTGGCACTGGTATCGATCCGAGGAACTTCCACGAGGGCGCTCTGCATGAGTACAAGACTACCACAAACCCGGGCGTGGTAGATCCAGGAAACTCCCAGACAGCGCAAACATCTTGTGTCTCTAGGTGCTCTGCCAAACTCGCAGTGCTAGATTCCGTGTCTTCATACGGCTGGATCAAACCCAGGCCAATTTGAGTTGTTAGCTTCGAAGTTGTTATGTTAGTACTGGAATCCGTATCGCCAACTATGTAAGGAAAGAAAAGAAAGAAGAAACTCACATTTGTTCTAAAAGAGACGAACTTGGCTTTGTTCATCACACATTGCTCTTGAAAGTGAATCACCACATCATGCCCCTGCTTGGCAGCTACGAATTTAGCGACGAGCCAGCTTGGGAAACGGAGGACCTTGAGGCGCCCGACAGAGTGACTGCCATAGCGCAGAATAAAAACTAGCTCTTCCCCCTGCTGACTCCGCCCATCTCTGACAGTGGCTGTCTTCATATTTTGTCCATTTCGCACTGGCATCGACGATACGCGAGCTGGAATAGATAAAGGTTGAGCATCGCTCTCTGCGGCATCAGAACGCCGCCTTGAAGGCGTGGCGTTTTCTCGTCTTGCGATCGATGCTATATTCGTGATGAAAGTGGACGGTTGCGAAACAGTTCTGGAGAAGTTGGGTTTCTGTTTTGTTATCTCGGGCACCGACGTGCGAGAATGAGATTCCGCGGAATGAGGTGTAACATCAGCAGCCACGGGCCCATTTTCAGTGACCTCATCAGTGGCTGAAGTTTGAAACGAGGTGAGCTCGTCCCGGCCAGCTATAATAGAAGGAACGGAGCTAGGTGGCTGCGTCCGAGTAGAACTATCCGCTCTATCCTTAACAATTTCGCGAGGAGGACTTTGCGGGCCATGCGTTAGCGCCATAGGGGTTGGCCGGTCTGTATTGAGCACCATAGTTGGGCACGTTGGTCTCGAGGTGGGGTGCTCTGGAGGGATATTCCGAACGACAGTCGTCGCCAGGACCGGTGGCGTGCTTGGGGCCTGCGGACAGGTGACTCCTGCCAAATGTGCCGAAGGAGCATGGAGGAGATCATTGTCCGCGCCAGTATTCACCGTCTGCTCCAAAGATGTCTCAGGCACGAAAAGAGGCGATTCATCGCATGCATCGAGTGGCTTGTCCTGGTACTGATCATCCTTGACCTTTGGTAATTCAAATTCGATGGGCGCTCTAAGTTCAAGTTTCGATATATCTGGAGTTGCTTCGCGCCTAGCATGCTTCTGGTAGTTGTTCATGTGCCTCAAAGTATGGAAACGGTCACCAATATCGAAATGGTCTCTCTTGGTGTTGATCAACAATACCTTGCCGGAGCCTTGTTTGGGAATCCTGCTTGCTATACCCTTCTTGGAACCAAACGTCGGGATACGAGATAAGGAGGCTTGTGTACTAAGCTTTCCCGATGTCTGCTGGGTCGTCGCTTGCGTAGTTGTCTGCAGCTGGTGTTGCTCCACTGAGAACTCATCTGATCGTGTTGATGACTTTTGTCGTTCTGTCGAAGTGTGCTGCGATGAAGGGACTCTTCTCACAGCGGAGTCTATTGTGGAGTCCAGAATATTATCATTGTCTGAAGGGCTGTCTTCCGAAGATAGATGCCTTGCCTTTTTGGCCTTTTTGGCCCTATTTGCCCTTTTTGCCCTTTTTGCTTTTTTGGCCTTTTTCTGTATCTTATATGCCTTCATCTTGGCCTCTACTTCCGCAACTTCGGCTTCGTCGAGGTGGTCACCGTTGGCCCATTGCAGTTGCCACTCGGCCAGAGTCTCATCGTTGAAATTCTCCCTAGGCTCCCAGGTACAATCTTCATTCTGGTACCCCTCCCATTTCGCAAGGTAGTATGTTGCTCCATTTATAGTCCGCGAAGCCAAGATTCGCTCCAATGGGTACTCCCTAACTTCAATCTCTGAGGGCTTGAGATCGTCAAGAGTGGCCATGTTGACGGTCTCGATACGTCAATACGCAGGCAGTAGTGAAAGCAGGGGAGTTTGCAAGGTGGAAATAGAACAAGCCAGAGCTGGGGCAGAAGCGATGAGCAGAAGAGCAGGAGTAACGTTGCAGCGACCTTTGAGTCAAGCATGATTGCTCAATCCTAGCAAGCCACAGAGTGGAACAACAGCTTTCGAGCCTGTTGTTCTTGTCTCGGATTTCAAACCTTTCGACATTCGCCTTGTCTGATGCACATTCGCCTTGTCTGCTGTGTAGTGTCGTTAAACAGTATGTGAAGGGAAGTGAGACCGACCAATGAATTAGCATTTCAGCGCCAAGATGATTCACGTGACTAGATGCTGGCCATGGGTCATCAGATTGCGATTCCAGACAGTTGAGGCTCCCATATGTCCAGCCCGCAAACCCTGAGCCACTCCTAACGACGTGGCCCGATATCACATCTGTCTCTCAATTCAACTACATCCACCGCGGTCAGACTACTGCTGAACAACGCTCCTGTTGACGAGTCGCGCGCCCATCCACCCCTTTGGACGTCCTCACGTTCTGACACCCTCATTTTCGTTGCCTTTAGAACCCCTCCCCTTCCCCAGATCTCAACATGGCAAACGACGAATACGATTTCTTGTTCAAAGTTGTCCTCATAGGGGACTCAGGCGTAGGTAAATCCAACCTTCTCAGCCGGTTCACCCGAAACGAATTCAACCTCGATTCCAAATCCACCATTGGCGTCGAGTTTGCAACCCGATCAATCCAGGTCGACACGAAGACGATCAAGGCTCAAATTTGGGATACTGCTGGACAAGAAAGATACCGAGCCATCACATCCGCATACTATCGAGGTGCTGTCGGTGCCCTCCTTGTCTATGATATCAGCAAGCACCAGACGTACGACAATGTGACCAGGTGGCTGAAGGAGCTCCGGGACCATGCGGACGCCAACATTGTCATCATGCTGGTCGGGAACAAGAGTGATTTGCGACACTTGCGCGCCGTCCCAACCGAGGAGGCGAAGCAATTTGCCAGTGCGTACCCGATCATATATCCACGCGGAGTAGTGAACAATTCTGTTGACACAAATACACACAGGCGAGAACAATCTATCCTTCATCGAGACTTCTGCCCTTGATGCTAGCAACGTCGAACTTGCCTTCCAGAACATCCTTACAGGTAAAATTCCCTTGCCCCTCCCTATGTGTCTCAATGCCGCTAAACATTCGCAAATTTAGAAATCTATCGGATCGTGTCGAGCAAGGCCCTCGATCAGGGTGACGCGGCGCAGGCACCGACTGGCGGCGTGAAGATTGACATGACCCCGTCAGGGACACCGGATGCAAAAGGCAACAAGTGTTGTTAGATTTCAAACCACCTTTTCACGAAGTATCGGGGAGCACTGGCGTCGTCCAACAAACATGAGGTTGAGTACATGTTTTGATGCGAGCATGAAACCATTGAAGGCTTCATTTTTACCGATGGGATGGCTTATGGTAGTGAGTTAATTCGGGCAATGCAAAGAGTCTTAGAGAAAACATTTCGCTCTCACCAAAGTGTTCCCTTGTTGTTTCTCCTTGATGTATGGCCTGGGCTACTAAGACACTCGATACCGATCAAACGAGTGGATGTGCGTCTTTTTTAAAGGCGTCGATAGCGGGAAGAACATCTCGTATCAATGGCCCTGATTCCGTCTATCATTCTAGGTCTCAGTTGATGGTCTATCTAGCACAATGCCTGCCGTCCCCTGCCAGATGGCCTCCCGGGTCAACTGCACATCCACACCACGAGTATGCAGCACCGCCGCCCAATCGTGAAACAGCATCGACCCGGACTCGAAGAAACATGCATCGCCGGTCTGGGCCTCGACATACTTTTCCACGTCCGCCTTGGACACCGCGTTGTCGTAGAGCCACAAAATCTGCGCCGGTGAGAATTTCAAGAACGACTGCACCAAGTAGAAGCTGTGTACGTCACTTCCCCACCCCGACATGTGTTTGTGCCGGAGTTCTTGCACCGAAGGTTTCGTTCTGTCCAGCACCGTCATGTCGTGAGAAGTATGGAATATGTCACGATACGACCCGCGTACAGATCCGTGGTAGCTGCTGCGGTCGAAGGAGGTGTGCAGGGACGCGTGAGGGACGTGCCCGTGGAAATGTCTCGCATCGTCGGGCATCCTAGACCATACCTCTCCATCCGTCGGACAGATTTCTGTCGCCACGACTTGTTCAAATGTACAGCGTAGATCCTCGAGCTCGTACAGTTCCTCGGTGGGCCACGTGCGGAGCAGTTGCAATCGTTCGTTCGATGGTATCATGTCGAAGCGCAACATGCGTCCGAAGCGGCCGTGGAAAGCCTGTGTGTAGCTCCAGAACCGGTACACGGCGCGGCGCAGTCTTCGTGCTTCCGTGTCGTCGAGGAACCTGCGGGACATGCTCTCCGCCTCGGTCCAGCGAAAGCTGGGGTATAACGTGACAAGGCGTCCCGCTGTGCGTCCGACAGCGGCGGCTTGCGTCAACAGAGCGAATGAGAGTGGCGGGGTGCGCCGAACATGAAGCATTTGATTGTCGTTTTGGGTCAGGAGTTGGAGTATATCATCGAGCGGGCCCATCTCTTTGTCTAGCGCGCTGAAGAAAAGGGAGAGCTTTTGCGACTTAGGAAGAAGGTCATGGAAGTAGCGGCATGTCAACGACAGGTTGATGATGTCGGACACTGAGGTGAGGGATTCGTAGATGTGGACCATGATCTCTGGAGCGAGGTCTTGCATGGTCATGGCCTAGTAAATATTAGATTGCTGTTGTTGCCCCGGGCCATCGCTCTGGAACTCACGATTTAATAGATTTAGATGTCAGATAATTGAAACCAGGGGGGAAATATGAAATATGGAAAGCGACACTCGGCAGCTATATCTTGCTACCACGAATCCTGGGGCCTCACAGAGATGAGACCCCGGCATTGGGGCTATCATGATTGAGAGTGAACTTGGGAAAGCCGTTGGAGGTGAGCAGAGCAACGATGCTCTCGATACGAGAGCGAGACCCTGACGCCTCCATCGTGAACAACGAGGTCCGATGCAAACTTCAAAGGTCGAGGAAGATGTTGATGGGAGGTCCGCAGGAAGATGAATCACGAACTAGTTGCCTCGTGTTCACACCGCTGCTCACCCAGGCGACTACGAGTTACGGAGTTCCGCCAATCAAGTGCTCCGACTCCGTCCATATCACGTGAGCGTTCAGCCTCGTCAGCCAGAAGCATCATTTTGATGTCGCCCGAGCTGCCTACGGACCACCATAAAGCAAGGTAGGTGGGTAAGGAGGATCCCTACCTCTACAGGGTGTGTACCCTTTGGGTCATCTCAAGGCTTTTGGTGGTTCCGACAAAAGGGGGAGGGTTGAGTGGCGTACGGAATGCCGCGTGGGCCCAAAAGAAACAAATCGTCCACGAATCATTCATGAATCATTCATGAATCATTCACGAATCGTCCCTCGATCGTCCAGAAAGCATGGATCAGCCATGGACGTCAATTATGCAAACGTCTCCAGGTGATATGAGGATGCTCCCGAGTCACAATAATGGCGATCACATATAAAGCCCAACATGGCTCTCAGAAGTCACCATCGGCCTGCTCGCACACCATCTCTTCCTGTTCTCCTTCTTTGTCCCGAAAACGGTATTCGGAAAGCCACGGACCGCACCTCAGTGGAATGCAACTGGTTTCTTTTGTTTACTACCGAGTGGTTCTCACTGCCGCTTAAAAGCCTAACCCTGCGCACTCAACCATTCGAACTCAGTTCATCCATTCCACCATGTACCCAGACTGGCCCGAATCAGAAGCGGACCTGATGCCGCCACCGCAGGTCGATGGACCCAAGTTGAAGGCTTTCAAGTTTTCTCGTGCACGAAAGATCGATTTTCTCGAGTATGCTGGAGCAGGGACACATTCACAGGTCTTCAAAGTCAAGATAGAAGGAGAGATCTATGCTCTCAAAGTAGTAAGTTGAGCTCTCCTCCTCCTCCTCCTCCTCCTCCTCCTCCTCCTCCTCCTCCTCCT